TTTCAATGCCTTAGTCTTTAACCGTTTATTAAAGTGTTTTATTTAAACTTAAAACACTTCTAACCATTAAAACGCGCTTTCCAACAGCCATAGTTAAGGGGAATCGGTAATATCAAGTCGTAGTTACTTACACACTTCGCCTATTAAACCGTTAAAATTGTTTAGTCTTCCCTTGTGATCCTCTATTACAAATTCTTCTTAATTTTTATCTGTGGAACTATTTAAAAGAGACATCGGTACTTTCTTTTATATACTCTTCCTTATGTTGTTTAATCGTGACATTTCTATTGGTAAAAAAAAATCTTAGATCTGATAGTGGTCATAGATGGCTGTTTGTGTTTGTTTAAAAGTGTTTTGTTTGTAACTAAATGACTAGTGATAACAAAAAAAACTAATCCTCGTTTGTATAATGGTAGCAATGTTAGGCCACGGGGTTCAACATTTTCTTAATAAATTCATAATTCTTAAATTGAATTCTTCTAAATCTGAATATTAAATAGGTACAATATCGAAATTCCGTTTGTTTCCGAATATCCAAAACCAAGATAGGTTGACATCTTATTTAAATATCATATGGCGGGGGTAATTCACCTACCATCAAGTCAAGCCCAAAATAATAATCCAAGAACAATCAGCCGGTTTCAGTCGCGGTAGAACATAAAGCGTTATTATCTCAACACGATCGCACCCAGCCGCGATCATTTCTTTTTCCAGACTCCGCCATCTCCGTCTTTCTCTCCCAATTTGAGCAGGACTCGGGCAGTGCTAAGCTAATCTGGAGGGCGTTCCCTCGACAATTTATCATTTAGTAGTTGCCTACAGACATTATTTGGAACGCATTAAAATCGCGGTTGTGGCAAATTTGTCGGCATCGAAATTACTACTTCGCTTCACTGCATAATTTATCACTTAAAACACATCCGGCTAAAATTGTGGGTTTCTAATTAGAAATTGATGCATCCATTGCTGCTCTAAGTTCGTTAACGAGCTGTTAGTGAATGTACTTACTGAGTTACGTTAATGAGGGTGCTATATACTAGCTGTGCCAACGACTTCGTCCGCTAAGAATATTTATTTTATATCGAAATTCGTTTTTGCAAACCCCTTTATTTTTATAAACCTAAGCTGTTACCCACAACGTCGGTCTGGTTTTGGGTATCCTGAACCGTTTTGCAGCGCGACAGCAACCCATAATGATAAATAATTTTCTTCACATTTCCCGATGTATCTTCGCTTGTATTTCAGGGCGATGTTTTATTGCCTATTAACCTTCCTCGATAAATGCTCTTACTCAGAATTTTTCAATTCGAATCCCTAGTTCCTGATATTAGCGCGTTAAAACAAACAAACAAACTAGATAGCGTAAATAATTATAATACCTTAAAATCCGAAAACGAAATATAAGGAAAATGCAAGCTATGTTAGCACACTTATTGATTGAAAGAGTTTATTTGTCATGAATAAAGAGATTATGATATGAGCTAGAGCCAGAGTGACCTAACTGCAATTTTAAGACTTGACTTATTTATATCTTTATAGTCCAAAAACGTTAACCTACAAGAGCACAGTGACTAAAATTGTTAACATAACTCTTACACAAATAATAGTACAAATTCATGTTGCCCTAAGTTAATTGCGCTTTTTTTATTTATCTTATTTGCATTTGAAAATCATGTTTTTAGATATTAGGCCACTCTGGCAAAATTGGTCCAAAAATCGGCTCATTGGTCTAATAGTAGCAACGTATAATAATCAAAGGGCCGTAGGTTGCATCCCCACCGGGTCTAACATGTTTGTATTTTTGTCAATTTTTCTGAAACACGTTGGACCTCGTCTGGAAATCTGGACATTAGATCTGTGGTAGGAATATCGAAATTCCGTCCGCCGCCCAAAGATGAACAAGCAGTGAAGTTCAATGGCGTTTAGGTCGACAGCGTGTGTAGATATCATACGGCTGGAGTATTTCATTATATAAAAAAATACGTTTTTATGTAAAGAACTCTGTAAGCCAAGTCGCCACGAGCCTGATGGCCTGAGGAAGCAGTCACGATCAGCGCGAACACGTGATGAATATGTATCAGCAGGCTGCAGCGCCTTGTAATTTGGAATCGTAATTATTTACGTGAGAAAGGTCTACTCAGCCCCAGCGAGACGAATCGGTGATTGCAAGTTGATACCACGCTGATCACGGCTTACTGGACACGGATAGTCCAGACGCTAATGTGGCGTTGCGAATGTTAACACTTTCCTTTTGTAGTGCTTTGAGACTACAAACGCCTGAATGATATGGTTTTAACGGTTTGAAACGCGTTATATTTTTCAAGTTTTAGCGTGTAACAGTATTATTTGTACTAATCTGCCGACAAGTACAATAATACTGTAAAAAAAACACTTTAACGGTTTAAAAGGCGATATATATTGGTTAAACTATAAGATACCCCCCCCTAGTCACTGAGAAACGGGCTGTAGTTTAAAAAATGTATATCGCGTTTAAAGCCGTTAAAGTGTTTTATTTAAATGTGTACTACTCGTGTAAACTTCAGACAGTATAATCTTTATTCGAATTAATCAAAATCGAGAATTGATAACAAACTATATTTCACAAATTAACGTTATTGTATTGAATAGTTATTTCAGAACCTATACGACTATTCATAAGTAGTATAAAACCACAAGTCATAGATTTGCGGTTAGTCTATTCTGTATCTCGACATCATGTTTTCATAAAAATACTTTGTAATTATTCCAATACCGCTCCTATAATTAAAACGAATAACCTAACTGTTAGAATAGCAAAGTCTTTTTTATTCACTCCACTTGAATTATTGATTTTCAAACCTTAAAAGGAAAATAAACAGCTTAAATAAATTATTACAGCGATATAAGGACACCCTAATTTTATCCTCCAGTGGGTTTTCGTATAAATTGGAATATACAATGTCTTATTAGCACGGTATTTTAGCGGGAATTAAAATAAGACGATCTAGTGTTTTGCTTTATTTGTTTCTGGTGTCTGAGTGACGACGGTTGTTATGACTGCTTTTGACGTTTGCGTGTAAACAGCCCGGGTTTGCTACTCCATTTTACTGTCCTTTTAGTTCACTTCGAATTATTTGAGTAATATTCGGATTGAACGATAAATATTATACTGCACCGCGTCCGAAAAGTCGGGCCGTAGTTAATATAAATTAAAAATGAGATAACTCATGTTTGTGCGTGTAACAATGTGTTTTAAACCGTTAAAATGTTTTCTTTAAATGTACTTTAAATCTACTTACGTAAATTACAGACAATACTTGAAAAATTCTTATAAACTTTCAAATTTTATATAAACGTAACGCCAAAATAGAAAATATTGTAAATATCGAATACATTTCTTCGTTTATATGAAACAATTCCAATTCCCATCTTAATGATTTACTTCACTTTTTATAAAGCCGAAGTATTCGCACAACAGAGCATAACGCAACAACTAACGCCATCTATCGCACTGTCTGAACATTAATATTAAAATACAAGTTTGTTTAGCTCTATAATCTCATATCAATAAGTTTCCATACATTGAATGTCTTATTGCTATACCTCCCTTACTTTCAATTTGTGGAGTCATCAATATACAATTTTTTGTCGTTTTGTTTTATTAATATAAGAGAAAATGGTCTAAATTATCGTAGGAGTAGGGTCGAATGTCGTGTGACGTTTTAAATCTATAAATAGTTGAGCTGTGTGGTTTTGTGAGATCTTAGACGGTTAGGCGACCCGCTGCGCGAGGTCCCTAAAAACACACAGACCGCGGGGCGCCGATCTCTAACCGCGGCTCTTACTAATAACACGCTCCTTCCATGTCATACCTTATACCTTGCCTCTCGTTTTTTCTCTTTCATTTTTTAACAATGGCAATAAAACGACCCTCTGATGATAGTAATCCTTCATCCTCATTGTCTTTTGGCAGTTTCTCGGAATAAAATATGTTGTACTCCTGAGACGTGATATCTGAATGTCATATTATAAATGGCATCATTTAAAATATTTTAATACCCTCTACATCAGGGCGATATTAATTTAGTACGGTTGAGTTGAGCGGGCCGGGTGCCACCGGTATGTTAAATGACGGATTACCGCTGCCGACTCGAGATCGAAAGATAACTTGCCCCTGATCATATTGATTAGGTATATACTTCTCTTTTTGGTGTATACTTAAACGATATCATTAGTAGATATAAGTGTGTTTTTAAAATATTTTTTTTTATGATCTAAACGGAACCTTTTTCGCGTTTAAACCTTGCTATAACAAAACTTATGCCTTGGAATTACGAACATTCAAGTGTTCTAGTACTCGATCAGAAATATAAGTAAAACACACTTTAACATCGCGAAGTGATAAATATATAGAAGTGAAATCCATTTCATCCACAAATGAAACACACAAGAATAATCATTTAATAGCAATTACACAACTTTTAGTTGTTTAATTTTCCGTATTAAAAGTGTCGTTCGTTTGGAAAATATCGACAATACATGCGATACTGGAACTGGGATCGACAGCGATCAGCGCTGTTGATCAAACCAATTGAATACTCGTTCGTTCCTCATCAAATTTCTTCAACCCATGCATACACCTGTGTACAATTGTTCAATGTAATATCAACCTTAAATGTTAGACTTACGTTTTTTTAATTTTTACAAAGCTATCATGTGCGATGACGTGTAAAAATAATAAAGTTTTGGAAACGTTAATAGATTCTGTGAATTTACATAATTTCCCATACTTTCCACTCTCAAAATAATAAATCTTATTTGACAACATACTCTCTCAGTTAAACAGACATATTGCCATGGCGACCGATTCTTATCTACGTAACTAAGGCCGTTTCAAGTTGCTATGTTGATTCTTGTCAATATAGATTTTTACAGAATTATTCTATACGTGAAGTGTTACAGTGTTGTGAAACTTTGAATTGTAATTGTTACTCTTTACTATGGTAAAGATTACCGTCGAAATGGTTCGTAAAAAAGCAGAACATCATGAATGTCTTCTTGGTCCACTCGAAGAAATAGCACTACATCAAGAAAACATAGAAAAAATTGAGTTCCTTCAAGATTGGTGTCCCAAACTTAAAATATTATTGATGCAAAGTAATTTAATTGCAAAAATAGAAAACTTAAACAAGCTGAAACACTTGAATTATCTAAATCTAGCCCTAAACAACATCGAAATCGTTGAGAACCTGGAACGCTGTGAATCATTACAAAAATTAGATTTAACCTTAAACTTTATTGGTGAAATTGTAAGTATTGAATCACTGATCGGAAATTATAACTTAGAAAATTTATACCTGACCGGAAATCCGTGTACTGATTTCGATAACTACAGAGACTTCGTTATTGCCACCCTTCCCCAACTCATATCGCTTGATGGAAGGGAAATAGAGAGATCCGACAGAATCAAAGCCTTACAAAATCTTCCAGTTATACGCTCAGACATTTTGTTTGAACAAGAAAACTATCGCTATCAAAGAAAAGCACAGAAATCAAGGCTAGAAAATGATATACAAAGAAAATGGGATAATGAGTATAAGGATATGGATCCTGATGAGAGAAATAAAAAGTTTTGGGCAGAGAAATGTGAACATGCCCCGGAAGTTAGGTATGAAATAGAACACATGAGACAACTTAAGTTAAAGTCATACGAACCACAGCCAAAAGAAGAAGAAAAACGGGGTTACAAATACTTTGCGACAGATGGAAGGCCTTTTAACATAAATCAACCCAAAATAGACTTCCTATTTAATGATTCCGAGCCTGATAAGTACGAACTAGACCTAGCTATATACAAATATCTAGACACCAGTTTATTAGAAATCGATGTCCAGCCTAATTATGTTAGAGTCATAATTAGGGGTAAAATATTTCAACTCCACCTTCCAGATGAAGTAGATATATCTAATTCAACGGCACAGAGATCCCAGATCACTGGACATTTGGTGGTCACAATGCCCAAAGCGCATGTTATAGTCGATAAAAAAGAACCGAAAATCAGGAAATCCAAATTGAAAAGCGCTCAACTATACCATCAGCACACAATGGAAGATTGTGCTACACACACAGAACAAACTAAACGAGAATATTTAGAAATAGGACCCTCTGATAATATCCTAGATCTAACAAAAATGATTGAAACGAAAACAATGCGTACTAATATTGAACAGAAACTGACACTATCAGCTAAAACACCGTCGTCAGATTTTATTGATGATCCTAACGTTCCTGATCTTATATAAATTGAGACTGATTTTGAAGTTTAGTCTAGACTGATGTTAGTTTATTGTGTAGTTCCGATCTGTGGGCTTGTTATTAAAATAATTTCGTGGTCAACAACTGAGATATTTATTCATTTAACTTCTATACTTAAAACCTAATGCAATATTTCGAGTTAAAGCTGATATTTTATGAACATAAATGATTATCAAAGTATTTTTATAGAAGACATCTAATTTTTGTGTTTGTAAAAGTATCATTGTTATTGGGAAGAATAAAATTTTAAATTCATAACACGATTTGGCAAAATACTAAAACTACCCTTTCTTCCTCAGTACAAGATGATTAGGAGTTAACCTTGATCTTAGTATATAATATAATTTGTACAATTTATTTACTTGTTAAGTATTCGTATTATTATAATATTGTTATATTGTATGTCGTTATTGTACAGTTTAATAAATACTCCTGAAAGTTCTAACTAAATCAACATTGCCTGTTAAAAAAATACAGGCGTTATAAATGACGACACATTTCACAATAGTGAATTAGGAGATAGCAGCTTTGAATTGCTTAATATATCATTATGTGAAGCAGACATTTATCTTATCATTTTAAATATATAGTTTACATGAGTAGTTCAAGTCTAAACCTAACTTACCTTAACAACGTATTTTTTTAAATATCTTAATTATTATGACAGATTTTATTTCGTTGAACTTGTTTCATTTTTATGTTCAATTTTACATACAGACCGTTTAATTAAATCTGCCTTGTTTCAACTCCATCAATGGGAGGTATACCGTTAGTTTCTGGTGGTGCCACTGTGAACGACAGAAAACCGTCCACATCGTGCATCTCTTTCGATGCGAATTTAGCGGAAATTTGGTGTTTGCCAGACCACGGTGGCGTTAGCTTGAATTGCGCTGTAGCTACTTCACCAGGTGGAACGTTCTAGAAAAAAAAATCCATAAATTATAGATCACGCAGAAGTAATATATTTCTGATACTGAGATGCAAACTATATCATATCTATACATAGACTGATGAAAAGTAAATTAGGAGTACCCTTACTTACTGTTTTAAGGTCAAAACATTATTTAAGCAAATAAGCTTGGCTCTTTGTTGATAACCAGTTTATCCAATGTATGTTATGTTATTTTAACTAAGAAAAGTGTATAATTTACCTCATTAAGCTCAATTTTAAGTTGATTTTCAAGCCCTGGACCCTGGATGTAGAATTTCCCATTCTTCAACGGTATTGGCAATGGATTTTCCACTTTAACAGTCACAGTTATCTCTTGTTTAGAGACAGGTTTTTCTTCAATTGAAATTTTGATGTCTGGGTTACGAACTCTGAAATCATCTTGCGCGAAGTAATCGAAGTTTCTGTCAACAATTGTAGCTAAGCATGCTATGTTGAAGGAAGCCTGGAATTAATAAATAAAATATTAATGTAAACGGTATTTGAGCAGGATCCTTTAGGTACAACGTTATTTTAAAATTAAAGATCCTTAAGGAGAACAAATTATTAAAAATGGAATGGATCTTTTACATAATTAAAATGGCTACAAAAACACCTATCTTGCGTTCACAGTAAATTAAATAAAAATAATATTTTACTTTTATTTACGTACTTGATCGACTAATTTCTTGTAGTAATCATCAAATGTGACTTGCAATGAGATCCTTTCTTTTCCTTCTGGTCCAAGTACCAGGTCAAATTCCTCTCTTTTCACGCCATCGCCTGTGACACCTGTGTAGGTGACAGTATCTACTCGAAGAACCCCTTTAACGTTATGTTGATTGATTGCTGATCTATTCTTCATGTGGAGCACCTTTATAATAGATAAAACAATATACAATTTAATAGGAAGCTGGAAGAAAAATCAGCGTTGATTTTCTTTTATTATTTATTTTTTATCGTTACTTTAGGCATCCTCCGTAGCTTAGTAGTACAGACAATTTTCTGGAAAACTTCCAGCTAAAAAAACAGAGTTGATAATAGAAAAAATAGAGATTGAATTAAATGTTTTCACAATTCGAATTAGAATAAATACTTTAAGCAATAAACAATATAAAATACTGTTTTATGTAGTAAGTGAGTAATGAAACACTAAAAGTTTAAATCCCGGAAAGACATATAGAATATCATTTAAATAACAAGACTTTACGTGTACTATCTAAGTACACATATTGCAGTGTATAATGTAAAAGTATATATTTCTACATACATTTACTACATTCCGTTAAAATCAGCTCAGCCATTTTTGTGGAAAATGCTTAATGATGTAACACTTACGACACTGAAGTCTTGTCCAATCTTGATATCGTCTCGAAGCTCGAATTCAAAGATAACGTCATTGAAAGCGTCGTTCAGATAATACCTCGCGAAAATGCTCTCCGATTTTCGTAAAGCCTTCTCCATTGTTAAGCGCTCTTCGCGTGTTCGCTCCGGGTATTTGTATAGATTTGTGATATCCTGAAATAGTATTTATTTTATATATATACACAAAATATATATATATATATATATATTAGGGAACATATCTTACGTACTAGTATTTATCCTATACAGCATTAATAGTTGTAACAACTGGGATTCGATCTTTTAGTTATTTATTTTTTATAAAGCTAGTTTTCATTAATTAAACAGTTCAAAGAATTTAAAGTTTTTCTATAAAACATAGTTAAAAGTATCTAAATTACATTAGCAAAAGCAATAATGTATGTAGAGATTTATGTGCGAAGAGATCATGATCTCAGGAAGTTTAAAGTTCGTGTATATAATATGTATTTAATTAAATTGATTTGCCAAATACGTTTTTATTAAACCAGAAAGAATGGCCTATCAGATTGAACACTGATAAATGGTCTTCAAGAACAGCTCTGTTATATCACACTTCTGACTTTTCAAACGCACACATACATCCGATATTACAATTAATGACTCGAATGTGATGATATGAAATGATCATAGGAGTTAAAATCAACGTTGAGTTCATCTAGCTTAAGTAATTTTTCACTGCCTACAGTTTTATTAAGGCAATCTCAGATATACGCTATTTTGCTAACATATAGTGTGTAGCGTTTAGTAACAATTATATTTTGGTTTGTGATTTAGCCTTATGTGAAAGTATTAAGTCATTATATTCAATAAGGTAAGTCTATGTGATAATAGATATGTCTTTACCATTATTTAATGAAATTAAGTATTTTTTAAGTGATAGAATTCTTAATACCTCTCTTTCCATTTTTCCAATTGCTTTAGTTGAAATATTTTGACCTATAGAACTTGTATCCCGTGCCATTAACTTCAAAGGTTGAATTTCCCCAGAATATTTCCACAGAACCTGAAAGTAAGTATTGCTAGCATTATATACGAACAGAGGTATTTAAAACCAACTATATTGTTCTCTACACACCCATTACACATTTTTTTCTTCATTACAATCTATGATGTTGCATCAAGAGTGTTTCTTTATGACGTAGGAGTATCGACAAGAAGCATTTGATGGAATGTGATAAGTCCCAGTCTAATAATAAGTCACTTCATTTGGTATTCAACTAGCACAATCCTAGTGAATAATAATAACGAGGCAAATACAATAAACAAAAGAAGTTAAAGCTAAACTGAACTATGTGATTGTGATAAAATTTTAAAAAGATAGCTACGATCTACATAATTAGAATAAATTACGAACCTTATCAGCATTAACTTGAGCGAATACATAAGCTGCATCATACGGCCTTTGCAGTTCAGCATCCCGCACAGCTCTCAAAGATGCTGGTCCACAACGGTAGACGTCTTCGGAAGTCTCTTGAGGTGTAGAGTCTATCGCCTGCCAGCCGCCATATTCTGGACCTAAGTCTGGTCTTTCCATCCACACCTGAAAGATTTTTGAAGAACAGTTAATTTTATTTATAAATAACGATGACCCTTTCCATGTTATTTATATATTTTTAGATACATAGGTATATGTATTACTTATAATAATTAGTTTACAACTTTTTCAAGTTACTCTTCGTATACAAATAAGATACGTATAACGTATTTTAAGGTAATTTGTTTTTGGTCTTACAAGATAACTTTTTTGTATTTAGGATGCTAACACTTTTTAAAAAATCTTTGTCTAATCATATATAAATAAATATCATATATGTATGTATGATTTTTAACCTCCCACCGCGAGTTGGATGCTTTGCAGCAGCCGGGTCACGGGGAGACTAAAGATGGAGGATGTCTCTGGCTACAGGTGTCTAAGAGTTAGGCGTTTCGCCAAATACCAATGAGGAACAGATCGATAGCTTAGCATTGTGTACTATCATGTATGTTTGTTTATTAAATCCTACATAGAGTATACCAATTGTTCATCTTGTTGTAAAACAACAATAGGTTACTATTGTAAGACCCTTTAGAACAACGTAATTAATTGCAATTGTGTTTTGTCCGGGTTTTAAATCACCAAGCTAACCAAGACATCCATATAAACCACTGAACTTATTTTTAATGATACAACTGAAACCGGCCTATTCTTTATACTAGTCACCGATGTAAAATTGTGCAGTCGTAAAAAGCAAAAGAATCTAAAATAGCTAACCTCGTTCCACACGTGGTAGTTCCAAACGGAGTCTCTAGTGAATTCTTCCAAGGTGTTCCCATTCTCGTCCTTTATAATGTCTATGGTCAAGCTGCCTTGGCTGTCGTGTGCTGCGTCGTACCCAGTCACTGGTCTGCATGGTATACCTAAAGCTCTGCAAACTGAAAATGAAATTATATCAATGATATTCCATTTAAACGCAACTTGTGAGGTTAAAATATGACTTAAAGCTTAGAGTTTGTTTATATGTACGCGCTTATCTCAGGAACTACTGCTTCGAATTAAAAATTTTGTGTTGGGTAGAATATATATCCAGGAAGGCTTTAGTCTATAAATCACGCTTCTACTAGAAGCGAAGAAACACTGAGAAATATGGAACAAATGAAAAAAAATATTAATGTTTGAGAGTTACCGTTGCATGCGCTCCAAAAACGATTTCAGATATACTTATATAACCGAGCTATAGCTTAAAAACGAGATATTTACTCACTAGTAGTCAGTACTCCGGCGTACACCCAACACTGTGCATATTTGACCGGTTTCTTCTTCTGATAATATCTCTGCAATATGGCCAGTGATCCGACCCATTTCAACGGATGTGTACCTCCGCTGTAATCACTTAAGTCTGTGCCCCAATTACCAAACAGCACACCGTTATCATCTTGCACATTTACTGCAGCAGAGAGAGCTCGAGCTGTTCTTATAGGATCACTTCTCGCACGGCCTTTAATCTGTGGATAAGATATGATATGGTAGACACATTAGAAAAACCGGAAGGTAATTCCATAATAGGTGTAATACATAAAATTCAACTTAATGGATATTAGTGTTTTAGATTAATTAGAGTCAAACGTAGAACCCCCATTTATTTTTTTATTATTAAGGTTATAACTTGATAACTAAGTCAGAGAGAGCCAGTCTGAGCTATCTACCCCTCTTTTTTTTTTTTTCCCCCTTTTTTTTCCCCCCCCACAACCCCCCCCCCCCCCCCCCCTTTTTTTTTTTTTTCCCCCCCCCCCCCCCCCCCCCCCCCCCCCCCCCCCCCCCCCCCTTTTTTTCCCCCCCCCCCCCCCCCCCCCCCCCCCCCCCCCCCCCCCCCTTCCTTTTTTTTTTTCCCCCCCCCCCCCCCCCCCCCCCCCCCCCCCCCCCCCCCCCCCCCCCCCCCCCCCCCCCCCCCCCCCCCCCCCCCCCCCCCCCCCCCCCCCCCCCCCCCCCCCCCCCCCCCCCCCCCCCCCCCCCCCCCCCCCCCCCCCCCCCCCCCCCCCCCCCCCCCCCCCCCCCCCCCCCCCCCCCCCCCCCCCCCCCCCCCCCCCCCCCCCCCCCCCCCCCCCCCCCCCCCCCCCCCCCCCCCTTCTTATATATATTTAGAAAAATGATAGATAAACATTGTTAAATGTTGATTATAGTATAAAACCATGTATTTTAACTTTCCAGATTATAAAAGATTTGAGATATACTATTAAATGTAGGGAGTGACTTTCTTTGCAATTTCGTATACACGGCGGGTAAAGACAAAACAGAAAAACAACAATTATAAAAATTATATAGTAGACAAAACTGCTAATTTATTACTAATAATACTAGAATTATATATAATTAATCGTTTAAAAAATGGAAGAAATTAAATAAACGAATAATACAAGTAATCAAACAAAACAAATAAATCTTACAAGTATCTGTGATAAGGGCATATGCTTATGTATCAAGGATGAAGGAAAAAAGTGCCCATGTATTAAATCAAACTTAATTAATTGAATGTACGGGTAATTAAAGCGATAATAACAATAACGCGTATATGACTCAAATCGACCGCTTAACACTTGATCCTTGATATCAGGTTATTTTAAGAAGTAAATTGCGTAGTAGGTAACATCAAGAAGTAGTTTTAGATGTGTAAAGTACTAATACGTCAATGAAAAATCTATTTAGATTGAAGGAATTGACAAAACGGGCGGGATTTGAACGAGCTCGCAAAGTGTTCCCTGCTGGCATATAACCAATTGAGTGTGTTTCAAACATTATCATCAAATTTCTAAAAACCATCACATGTCTCAGGCAATGTAATTTCAACCTTATATCTTAATGAAGAAGGTTCAATGTGTGCTTTACAGCTTAAGAAGTCATTGAAGGACTTATGAAAACTTTCATATTTTTCACATGACAACCGATATTAGGTTAAACGCATTTTACGAACAGACAGGACTTACGGCATCCACAGCATTCCGCTCTATATACTAACCAATTGAGCTATCGTGACGGGATCAAGTCCTGCCCGTGGCGTAATTTTTTTCAAACTAAAATCGATTTTTAATTTATGACAACTTAATTATTGTCAAATATGCTTACCTTTCCAATTTCTCTGACCAAATATAAAGCACAATCTAATATATCCTTTTCGTATTGTGCATAATTCCACGGGGTCGGCTTAATTCGATTGTGGACACCTCGGAACATAAGTCCACCGTCTTCCTGCACGTATTCTTCGCGATGGCTGTGACCTGCAGTAAAGGTCGTATGATCACAATTACGCTATAAAAATATATTTGCTCTGGTTTCAATGTTACTTTAATAGGCGCATACGCTTCAGTCAATAATATTTCGATAACTTTTTACATCTCCTTTTTAGCTACAATTTATACCTGAAACTTCTTTCTACGACAAGATTGAGATGGGTCTAATAAGGATTATAATTACTAAATGGAATAAGGTTATTATTTTTAATTAAGATTGTATTTAGGATGTATAAACATATTTAACAAGCTTGAATAAACAAGCACATATAATTTTATGTTATTTTCAATCCGTTGAAGTTTTTCAGATGTTGTTGAAAGAAGTTGGAAGAAATTAAAATAGTTCATGAGCTATTTAGTAGATACTTGGTTATTTCTTTGCATTTTATTATTCGTTTTATAATAGAGAAAGTGAGTGAAGAGATCAATTAAACGATGATATGTGATTTCAGCGATCGACCTTCATAGGTTTTGGATATTCGGCTATCTACAGACGGAAACCAAAACGCGAAGAAACTTCAAGGCTTTTTATCTGTGGACAGTGGTTCGTGGCCCGATGGAAATTCGACATCTTACCACCAATTTAACTACCATATTGCCAGACAAAGTCCAAAATATTAAAAAAAATATATAAAAATTGATTAGAAAACTGTTGGAGCAGGCGGGGATCGAATCCAAGAACAGTTTATTAATAGCCGCATATACTACCATTACAGCAACGGACCCGTCGTTATTATGAATTTACAACATTATTTGATTACCGCTTTCATAAAGTATTATAATAAATGTTTCGAGAAACTAACCTGGCATATAGACACTGTCGTTCAAGCACCAGGGATTAAAAAGTACATAAACTGGTAAAGGGTGGGTATAGCTGAGTGAACTGCCTCCGTTCAGTTTTGTATCTATATCCATGCGCCACGCAGCAACGATGCAGTCAGCTGAAGGCGTCACAGCCACGATCAGGTGGGAGTCCATCTGACCTTCGTACACTGCATTCCACGAACCCAGTGCCTCTGTACCTTTCTCTAACAACGGCACAGCTGCTGATGTATCATCAGACGGCCCACGCTTCTCGACATCTAAACAATGGAATAACATTATTTGCATCAGGATGTGATCTCCTACGAAGGTCTATTAAGTAAGTTACCCCAAGAATCCGTGGTTTCAGTATCCCACTAGAAAGCCCAGATGGCGCTAGTAACGCCTTCTGTCCCCAATCGACTGAAAAAATTGTCTTTACCCTTTACCTTTAATGAAAGAGATCGTATAACTTAAATAATAGAGGTGGACAGATGAGCATGGAGTTCCTCGTTGGTGTACTCGCTCAGCCTATAGCATCTAAACAAGATGCACACTCGACCGATGTTGGCTTTGGATATTCGGATATCCACAGATTGAAACCGAAACGTGATTAAACTTCACGGCTTTTTCATCTGTGGACGGCGGTTCGTGACCCGGACGGAATTTCGATACACCACCCAACAGTCGAACAGATTGATTTCAAAAATGTATATACTTATATTTCCGAAAATATATATACATTTAACCCAACAATTAAATTATTTCCGAAGTTGTTGGAGACTCGAATTTGAACTCTCTTGGTATCCCAAAGAAGAACCGAACCAAAGAACCTTTAAGCGACTATGGTTCTACGAAAAGTAGAAAACTTACCTCCGACATAAAATATAAAAGAAACAGCATCTCTCCGAGCATCGTACGGTCTGTTTAAGAGGATATCCAATTTAAAAGCTTGGCCTCGTCGGACAACGAGACACCTGTCAACATCTCTCGTCATAAGATTGAATTTGCTTGTATGATGATTCTCGCCGTTGCTCTCGATACAAAAGTCGATTCCCTGTACTGCAAGTACACCTTGCCGAGTTCCGTCGATAACATCTGAACAAACAAATATTAATAACATGAAAATAATTTATTTAAAAACAAGATAATATTTCTCTTATTTATTAGTATTATAAGAAGGATTTATCTACTCCCACGTCGTAATAATACCTATATGGTTGATTACATTATGGTAATTAATTAACGCTTTATAATTCACATTACTTATTTAAGGGTTCACGCCGGTTTTGTAAATATTCAAAAGTTTAAATAAATCAAGTTACCGGTTTAAAAGGCGATATATATTAGTTAGACTGATTTGAACATTATTTTAACTACGGCCCGACGTTTCGGATGCTTTGCCGTATATATCTTATTATAGAATAATATATCGCATTTTAAACCGTTAAAGTGTTTTATTTAAATGTGTACTCGCGTAGATAGACAATATTTTTTTATTCATATAATTATAAAATTAATTTTAAGACGTTCTTTAATAATCTTAAAACCTTTCTATCAATTGTTCTGTGCAAATCGTCATCGCTTTATATTTCGTGCTTATTTTTTGGAACACAGCCAACCTATTCATTAAAACGTTACGAAACCTATCTTAATATTTTATCAATACTTAAAATTACATTTATAAATGTCATGATCTCTATAAAGATAATACATACAACTAACAGACATACCTGGCTGAAATGGAATTATGATATATTTGTGACGTCGTCCGAAAAAGTGCCTCCACAAATTCTTAACGTACTCCATTTTTTTATTTAATAATAATTATGATAAATCATCACCTAGTCGCGTTATTCGGAATTCTAATCAATCGACATGGATATCGTTCTCGAGGCAACACACTGCCGGTCTAATTGGTTAGACAAACGAGCAATACTTCGTGAATGCCGTCATACACTGTGGACTCCCGCACAAGACTTGTCTATAATACTCCTCCGACCTGGGATGATGTCATGGAGCAAACAACGAGAAAAGCTTCACATTTGTAGTGACGAATTGACAGACCTTGGTATTCACTTCCTCTGAGAAAAATCCTAACTCAGCGATGAACAAACAAAACACATCCGTTTAAATAAAATATTAATATATTGAGTAGAACAAATAACATCAATCGTCAATGATTCTGTATCTTTATTTTGAATTGTGTTACGCCAAACTTAGATTTTTAATTTCGTTATTTTATATAAAAAGTTTAAGTTTTGACAAGTTCTTTGGTATACCACCGGTTAATAATCAACGGGTCGTTGATTCGATGCCCATCATGTTTAGTTTATATTTTTTCTTAAACATGTTAGACTTTCTTTGTGAAATCTGGATATAAAATGGATGGTAGGAATGTCGTAATCCCGTCCGGGTCACGAATCGGCAGCCACAGATGAAAAAGGCGTGATGTTTAATCACGTTTCGGTTTCAGTCCTTGGATATCCTAATATCAAAAGCCAAAATAGATCGACAGCGCATTGTGTTTAGATCCTACAGGCTGGAGTATTTCAACTACCATCAAGTGACCTCTGATTACCCCATACTTGTTTCTCCTCCTCTAACATTAAAAAGAAGTTAGAAACATTGTGAATAAAATAGCATAAAGCGATTTGTATTTTGAAAGTGTTCTGTATCTATAAATAAATATATTATGCCAAGATTCAATCACTTCTAGGAAATTCATAACAAACTGTCAAGAAATACAATTGAAGTGTAAAATATGAAACCGTCCTCATTTAAGTTATTTATGACTCGCTCGTCGTTTTCATTTGTGACTTGACTGACATCACCAGCCACTTCACCAGGATTCCAATAATTCCACATTTGTCAAGCTTGAACTTTAATAACGATCAGTTATTCTAGGACGTGATAATTAATAACACGTTTTGACCTCAAGTATTAAGGCGGTAGATTGATTTCAATTGAGTTAACTGAATTTGTTTAAGTGAGATTTTACAATTGGGTTGTAAAAATCGAATGTTCTTTATTATGATGACCGATGTGTGTGTGACCTTTCTGACCTGACCGAAGTGTTAAATACTGTACCTACTTTATTGTTTTAGATAGAGAAGATCAGAGAAGCATTGGGTCCACCTGATGTCGACCTTTTTATACTTCGGATATTCGGAAATCTATAAATTGAAATGCTATTATTGGCTTGTTTACGCGTGTACCTACCACCCATTTAATATCCAGATTTCCAGACGAACAATATATTTCGGAAAAAAACATAAACTGATCATTACATTGCTAACATTAGACGTCCTTCACTGTTCGTCCGACTGTGGCAATTCGCAGTTGTCAAATAATCATTTCTATACCTATAGTCTCTTTTTATCTCAAATATAAAGTAAACGTAGACAATGTCGCTCAGGCTAAGAACGGACAAATAAAAAAATCTATCGCAGGATTCTTTGTAATTAGATCTGTAAACCTATCTAAATCGTCTATATCTAGAACTACTAAAAATAACATTTGTAATACGTCAGGTTGTTATTACCGCTTTCAGTTGTCAAACATTGCCTTAAACTCCAGAGGCGCGAAGTTTAAATCCAGACGATTGGTTTTTTGTTCGGGGTACAAGACACCCAATTTTACCAAAAAAAACTTTGCGAGATCATCTAGTATAAGATAATGTAATTAATACTATATATTATAAATACTGTTTATAAGCTGAAGCCTGTTTAACATTCTAGTTAATTATAATTCTGTCTAGAAATGGCTATATCCATGACCCTATCTACATTTTCTAGTTGTATTGCAGATAAATGACTCTTTTGGTATTAATTACCCATGTGGGTGCACAGAGCCATATCTGACATACGACGACCTACCTTGGACTTAAGAGCGTAGGTTCTAAAACCATTATATGCATCAACCATCTTTTATTAGAGATCTTAAGCTGATATAATGCGCTTAGAATATTTAATACTTATTTTGAGTTGTTATAGATCACTGTACTGTTTTCTTAAATATCTACTTGCCTTGAGTGTTAAATAACAAAAGAAAAGTAATTTCTAGATGAAACACGCTGCGTACGTTCCTATTGAGAAACACACATTACATAGTAGGTTCAATTCCAGCCTGTGTTATTGATGTGTCAAATAATCAATTTATAGTTGCAATTTCGATGAGACTCGGGGCACAATCGGTTAGAGCAACAGCACGGAACGCTGAGGATGGCGGTTCAAGTCCTGATAGAGTGGTATTTTTTTTACAATTTATAATCGATTTTTAATTTTTTACATGTTGCAAATGATGGCTCTATGTAAATAGAAAATATAGTGCCATCATGTGTTACATATGAAAAATATTCAAGTTGTTTACGAGTATAAACATGGATACCTAAATATGTTGTTTTTGCACCATTCTGTATATTTTCTTTTCGTTTCAGCCGTTTTCTGTTCAATACTGGACAAAGTCTTCCAGTAAGATTAGTCTGTATATTTCAATCTATATTATCTGTCATCAAATATGTATGTATGCCGTAGTGCTGTTCGACCCGTGCCATAGTATAAGCTGGTTTACCTTGAGACTAACTATTGGTTCGCCGTCACTAAGAAATTATTTGTCAACATTTATAAATCAACTGTACGGTACTTCAAATAGATGCATTACTAGTATGTTTAATATAATATAATATTTTTGATTTAATATTGTATAATTCTATAATAACTATATTAATTAACATTAAATTAAATTCTTATAAAAATTTTTTATTACTCTATTACCTTTGATTCAAAATATTTTTCGAATTATAAGCTCTATTTATTTTTCAAATATCGATTTAGAAGTAAATATCTTAATAAGAATAATTAATTATTATCATATAAAATTTTTTAAAATTAGTTACATACTCTTTGAAAGGTTTAGACCGATAGTAGTATCAATTTTTAATGCAGGTATATTTTTTAATAATGATAAAGTGTTGTAAATTCTAATATTTTTTTTTTTTTAATAATCCATTAAAAATATATAGTTTAATATTTTATTCCTAATTTAAAAGTTACTTTTTCATTATTAATAATATTTTTTTTTTCAATGGTCGGGTATGTAATGATGTATAAACACATATTCTACGTATATACGTGTATAATACCTATTTCGTAAGAGTGATACAATAAATTACAATGGGACTTTGAAAAGTACAAATGAGCTATAAAAACAACTGTTGAGATCAATTAACTTCGTGATGTTTATGATTCTGGCTGTCCGTCTTTAATACGTTTTATTTTTTAAACTCCGCGTAAACCATTATCTATTACGTATTATGATGCTCAAAATAGACAAGAGAGTATTACTATGTATTTTTTACGAAAAGATATAGAACTTTAGTAATCATTAATCGTTATAAAATTGTATTATTAGAGTTTTGATTGACAGTTACTACTTACAAGTATAATAATATATAGAGTACTACGGATATAATAATTAATAACCATTTTAAAGTCAACACAACGGGTGTTAAGTAACGCGTTACGACTTGGTACAGACGCTTTTCAGCGTTGAACTTAAGTTATCACTTCTATAAGAAAACCAGAGATTTACTCAAATATATTTTTTACTATTTTGATACATTAAGAGTTTGACTGATCGTTTTTATTTGTGTAACTATGTTATGATTAAGTCATCGTCTGGTTTTGCTTGCTTCGTTAACTTTGAAGGATGGCAGAATCTATAAAAGGTAACGCACTAAAGATATGTTATCATCGTATTGACTTAAAAAAACTTCTGAAAAGTAATTATATACCTATTGCGCCAATAGAGAAAGGATTGTAAATTTCGACGCACACAATTGGTTGAGTAGATGTTAGTAGAGTCACACAGAGGGTCGTGGGTTTGTTTTCGATTTGAATAGATGTTTGCGCTGATTTGCTTAAATCCCTAAATTTCTATTTCTATACGCCTGATTTTTTCTCAGGATTTGAACCCAGGACCTCTCGCGCTAAAGTTAATGCTACACATATAAACGGCAACCCACAGATGCTGTATCATTTTTTGCTTGTATAGGTTTAAGTTTTTTATTATCTGTTTTTAAATTTACATAAATAAAAAATCTATCCTTGACCTACCGTTCGAGGTATCCAATCTAGGTGGTCGCGGCAAATCCTTAAGATCATATGACTCGACACTTCTCAAACCGCAGCAACCGCACTCGGAATTATAACACCTGGACAACTTGCTTTTCACCGCACCCATGCTGCCTCTGATCCTATGATCATAGGCCCTCGTATCACACTAACCAAATTCTTGATAACCGCTTAGATCATCCACTTTCAGTCCGCAAACGTTTGAACAGCTTGCCACTGTGTAAACAGACTGCTCTCAATTTAGAAGTTCATCGTTCGAATAAACAAAGACGTGAGCCACTTATGCGATATTAAAAATCCATTAAAATTATTTTCGATCGAACAGCGGCACGTGCGTCTTTTAGCGCGCAGTCAATACATCTGTGGTATTCTCAATGAGCCCTACCTATAACCCCGTTCGGAGCAGACGTGACCTCTTATCAGTGCAGAACTTGTGAAGAATTGGGATGCCCGTTGCCTACAGAACGCATCCCATTGACTCATAAAATTACGCAAAGGACTTACTCATTGACATCTATATTAGGTATTAAAATTGGTTAACCTAGTTATGTTTTTATAACAACGAAGCAAATGATGTATTTAAAAGATTTCACTTAAACACGGCAATAATTTATACCAAAATATAGAAAATTGTGCTTTTTATATTTTTTTGGTAAAGAAAGTTAATAAGCAGATTTTTTAAATAAAATCTAATGTCAAAACCAGACGTTAAAAGTCAAATGTTCAACGAATATAATGTAAAATTCTGTCTGTAAAATTAAAATATAAAGTTAATAGCTAATATAATAACTTGTATGGCACTTATATACCTAACCTTTGTAGGTTTTTGTTAGTTGGTAAAAAATTAACGATTTGTTCGTATATGTTAGACTCTTATTTATTACGATCTTCTTCACCTGTTGTAAATTATGTGATAAAACGGAATGTTTGATAACATGATTAAGTCGCACACACGATTATGTTAAATTTACTACGAGTGACATCATCAAATTATTCAATGGCATATTGTCGCGCGAAGGTCTCGTCACATTTTCCTTAAAAGCCATTTACGTGTAAGTTTAGTGAATGAGAGCTATTGATTTGTAATTTACTGGGAATAACAGGTCAGGTATGATTTACTTTTTTATATATAAATTAATCATGAATTAAGTGGGACCATGATCCTATAAACTCGGTGACCTTGAGAAAAATATACGCGTTTTGGCGTTAGTGTTTGAAGTTTCGTATATCCCAAGCCAAAGTAAGCACAATATTGCTTTCCTTCTGTCAATAAAATTGGTGTGCCATATCGTATGGATAATAAATTATTTTTTAATTAAACACTTTAACCGTTTAAAACGCGATACATATTAGTTAAAATTATTTTAACTACGGCCCGACGTTTCTCCTTGTGACCACGGCTACTGCAAAGACTCAGAAACGTCGGACCGTAGTTAAAATAATTTTCAAATAAGTTTCCCAATATATTATATCGCGTTTTAAGCCGTTAATGTGTTTTATACAAACATTTTTTATTCTTTTTAAATTATAGGAAACGGCAACAAATGCAAAAGTTTAGTTGCCATGGTGACAGTGAGAAGTAAAATTTAGCGTATAGGCAATAAGAAATTCCAAATTGAATGTACATTAATAACGAAGTATTTCTGTAGTGTTTAGCCTTCGCCAAAGCACGTTTTAGGCACACTTACTGTGTCTAAAGATATTCTGTTAAACACCAATCAAAAGCTCTAAAATTATGAAACATTCCACACTCGCATTCCGATTCAGTAATTTCATAATATTTCAGTAAGTGCATATATATACCATATGTTTAATTTTTTTAACTATTACCAAAGGGAAAGCAATAGGAACTGAGTTTTTATAACAAGTTTGTAAAATACATAAAATCACTGGGATTTCATACCAACATTATTAAAATTATATTAAATTGCAAATCATTTTCTGTTTAATACAATATCTATTTTTAAATTATGATTCAGAATGCAATCCGGACCGCCGTTTAGTCACTGGAAATAACCTAACTAGGTACTTTCTTGTATAATTTCTATATTTAGTATGTGTGATATAACAAACGAGGGTTTGTGATACCTATATACCCGTTTGTTTCCCTAAGTACCTACAATCAAAGTTATTTCATAGAATTTGAATACTGCTGATTTAAGTTATTTCATAGCCCTGTTTTATATCACTGGTTAGGTAACCTAAGTTCTACCTAACTGGTTTTATAACATTTGACATGAATTAATAAGCCAAATAATATAGGCGAAACTACTGCTCATATGCTTATTGGAAGTGAAGAATGTTCTTAACTAAAGGCAACTATGTAGTTGCTTTAAAGAATTCAATCGACTTTCCAGGCGAAAATCGACCTTCGATCAGATCAAATAAAAAATTACAAATTTTTGCAGTGATTTTTTATTCTTGAGATCTCAAAAACACACAACACCGTGACATTTTTTTTTTCATTTTCTAAGTAATATATAAAAGCAATTACTGAATAAAGAATATGTCTAACTTATCAACACAACTGTCTTAGCTATAAACATAACACCGACTTAAGTCATAAGCGTCTATAAAAATGGCACTTTAATTCGAAATTTCTTAACATTGTACCCATTCCCAAAAGTGCAAATGTGCATTTTTTTTGTGCAGTGTTTATTACTAACAGGGAATATGCATGTAATTTGAATATGATATAATCTTGTCTTCTATGAGATAATTTTCTTGGATATGGCCTAAAGACGCGTTGTTGGGTCCAGGTTGGATTTTATTTGTTATAACGTCTTATTTGCCTTTCTGCTTGTGGTGTATTAAGTTCTACTAATTTAAAGACATCAACAGACATAAAAATTATATGCATATTCAACAAAACGTTATCAAAGTCAAGCCAAGTCGTCATTTATCGTCCACATTATAACAAATTTTGTACAATCGACATGTTCACATCAAATTGTCTTTATAAGGGTCTCCCTTCCTTCTATACAAAAGTTTTGCTCTGGTATCACAAAGGACGTGTACGAGCAACCTACGTCGATGTGTACCGTGTGTGTCGCAGGGCCCAAAGAATTCGTCAGGGGTGACGTTTTGGGCCCCAGTGCTAGCTAGCCCTTCACATTCACGATAGCGCTACCGAAGATCTCGTCGATCTGTCTCGAAGAGAAGGTGGCTACGACGTGTATAGCTCCCTCTCGTTTTGGCAGAACCTTGTCCTGGTACGTGACGAGTTCTCCCGGCTTAACATCGCGGAAACGAGCCTGGAAACCATAATAATTACTCAGGTGTATTAAAGATTAGTCGCTGGCTTTTTCTGTATTGTGCATATTAAGGACTTGCACATTTCTTTTAAACTAATTTAATAAAATAATACGTACTTATATTATTCATTAAGACACGAAATGACGACGCGTTGCTTATTCTTTTAATAATAAAATTTAAACTACTGGTTCGTAATATTTACAAAGTTGTAAAAAAACATAATTACCTGGCGTGGTCGTTGTATCCCTGGGCCTTCAAATGTGAAATAGCAATCAGTTAAGTGGACAGCCAAGGGGTTCTGAAAGCTAAACACTAAAGTGCTCTCCTGTCCCAGACTAAGTTGCCTTGCCTAAAAAAATAAAATAGTAAATAGGCGTGGTTAAAAAGAATTTGTCGTTAGTTTGAGATTTACCTGTATTTGAAGCTTTGGTTTGTGCAACGGAAAATCATCTTCTTCAGACCACGCTTGGCGGGTTTGCTTAACGTAAGCCATAGCGTGAACTTTGATCATTGAGTGGTCGACTAGTTTATCCATATATTCCAGTGGTGTTACACGAAGTTTCAGTACTTCCCGCTGTCCTGCACGTACAATGAATTCCCCTTGAGCTCTCCTTAACCGTGATGCAATCGAACCAGTATAATAGCATGAAGACGCAGTTAGTATGCACAGTATCGTACGATCTTCGTCCGATTTATTCTAGAATCAGTATTATAAAAACATAAGGATTTTGATAGGAAAACACTATCACAATTTAAGAACTTATAAACTAACCTGAATATTCATGCAACAATCAAAAGGTTGGCCGTATGGCACTATTTCTATATCCATTAAGTCAAAGGCAACATCATCTTGATTTTGATTGGATGAATCGTGACTTTGTTGGAAGCGCTGAAATCCACGGCTGGAGGCGATCACGGAGAGTCGATCAGTTGCGGAGCCATTGGACGGTTTGTATTCTTGTGTTATTTCCATTAAATCGCTATCACCTTCTTCGTCTTCCACAGCCGGGTTTTTTGTAACTAGCTTGCGTCCAACCCTTATAAAATTAACAACGTAAATAAAATAATAATTATTATTATATACTTTTGATGTTCTTTACTTTTAAACTTACTGGTGCTGATTTGAAGCCATTTTAATAAAACCCCAATCGGAATCATCTTCTTCTTGAAAATGGCAAAGCTCTGAATTCAGTTCGGAATAAACGAATGCTGTATCATAATTAAATCCAACTTCCCCACGCCTAACCGCTTCGAGGCTGGCTGGTCCACATCGGTAAACTGAATCTGCCTCTTTCTGTGGTGTCGCGTCGATTACTTGCCAACCACCATACCCTAGTTATATAATTAATATTTTAGTTTAAGCTAATAAAAATAGTTATAGTTATAAAAGAAAAAAACATTTAATGCTTCCAATACATGCCTTGTGGGAGATCAGGTCTCTGCATCCAAACATCGTTCCAGGCATGAAAGTTCCAACAGGAGTCGTAGCAATCCTCAGCAGGTCCATTGGGTACTACATTACCTTCTTTATCAAAGAACTTATCTATTGTTAAGGTCCCATTAGTATCTTGGGCTGATACGTAATTTGTTACGGAACGACATGGAATACCTACAAACATTAATTTTATTCACATATAGCGTTTAGGTCTACCATTAAATACTAGAATGAAGAATATTGTACCTAGAGCTCTACAAATTGTAACGACTAATCCTGAAAATACCCAACATTGACCATAAGAAACAGATTGTCCACCATCAGTGAGGAAACGCTCAAGTATAGCGACAGAACCAGTCCAAGCATGAGGAGCAACGCCGTCCTTGTATTCACCATCGTATCGCCCCACCATAAGCCCATCATCGTCGCTATTGGCGTTGATCTTAAATATAGTAAGGATGTAAATAACAAATGAAGTCATCTTTGCATATAAAAATGTAACTAAGTAGTAGATATTATTTTTTTATAAAACAATTATAGATTATACTAACACGCTGCCCGTTGCATAGTGTAAATCACGAAACTTTCGTGAGTAGTAGTAGTAGATAGTATTCATAGTAGTTTAATAAATGAATCACTTTGAATAAATATATATTTACATTGCTATTTTCCACTTTTAGAGTACGTATTAGTGTTACCATTATTACTTACCATTGAAGAAATAGCTCGGCAAATTCGAATTGGGTTCCCGCGCTCTGAATGTTCCAGACCGCTGCGTTCTAATAAATATACAGAAGCTGGTAACACTACATCATCAAACTGTCCGAATATCCATTTACGGCCTATCGGCTGATGCCAAGTGCCGCACCACAGTTTTCCCTGGTCATTTAAAACATATTCCTTTCTCGATTCTTCGTTTTCCATGTAAACAGTATCGTCCCGACACCACGGGTTAAATATTATGTAAATGTCTTCATCACATTTGTAATCATGACGATTGTCTCGCTGTCCTAAACGACTTGTCTGCACCCAACAATTCCATAAGCCAACTGGGGCAGTCGGTGGAATGCTTACTTGAAATGTAATCGTGTTTCCATCCTGCCTGTGAATGTTAATATCCCACTTTTCAGATTCAGGTATGGAAGGAGTTAAATTTTGAACAGATCCTTGTTGAGAGCAACAGCTACGTCCATAAGTAGGTTGCTGGGGAGCAGCACTAAATCGATCAACTACTGGCCTTTCAATGGTTCCATGGGGACTAAGCGGACTAGGTTGTGCTGGTGGAACTGGGTCGTTACCAAAAGAACTTCTACGAACTGTATAGCTATTGGTCTCTCTAATACTGCTAACGGGACTCATTGATGCTGTAGTCCCTACGGCTGTTGTTGTAATTGTGCTCGCATCTTGCATTCGCGGCAGCCCTACACTCAGACCAATACCTGATCCTATGACGTCACGTGGATGATGAAATATATTTGGTTGAGGGGTCCATTGCACAGGTAAAACTATTCTTGTTCCTTTAGTTACACACGGCTTGGGACCTATAATATAATTGTAGAAATACTTATAAAAGATCCAAGCAGATACAAAAATAATAAAAAAAATTAAAAGTTGTCACTTACCACAGCAAAATATAATATGGATTACGTCCAGTTGCTTGTCCGATATCCTGTCAAAACGTACAGCGAACAGAAATTTTTGTCCCCTCCTAAGGACAGGATTCGGAAATAAGTTGTCATTTACTAAATCGTACTGTTCTGTGTGATGTTCTTTTGAATTGTCCCGAGAATAAAACTCTGTCAGTTCGACTTTAAGTGGCTGCTGCGAATAGTAGCTCTGCGATATCAACTCCATTACATCTTGACGGCGGCGACGTTCGTTCTGATCAGCTAATTTACAGATTAAATTGTGAGTGTACTGATTATTAGGAATATTTCTTGGCGCATGTTTCAATCCAGGCCGAGATTGTGCAGGCGGCCCCGGTCTTTGCATAGGCCAGCGTCGTGTTTGTCCAGGACGTTGGCAGAAACTGGATATATTATAATTAGCGGATAATCCAGGTACGTAGTTTGTTGGCATTCCACCTATAGTTATTTGCTGCTCACAATGACAGCTCAGCGTACTCAGTGTTGTAGCGAGTCCAGTTATTCCACCGAGGCCCATCCCAGTGATACTGGAAGTCATGCTCGACGACATTTTGTCTAAGCTTGGTTTTTCCACCGCTGCCGCCATTTTGCACTCAGATTTTGCTGTGAACTTAACTCTGGCATGGATCCAGAGCAATTCATGTGTTGTTTTAAAACTAGCCCTTTTATAGTAATTTACCCACCGCTAGAGTATCGTTTTTCACGAAAGCGCCACACTTGTTCTAAACAAAGTCCTTTTGTCTGCACTCGGTCAAATGTAGTGAACTCATTGTAAAATGATATCCTCGCTAAATTAAAATAGGAAGAGGGCTTTGTCTGTTCTTTTTCCTTTATAGTTAACCTAGCTGTGTCAGCGACTTCATCCACGTAGAATATTTTATTGTTTTGGGTATCCAATTTTTTTTATGCAAACACCCGTCGTTTTTGCAAGTTATTCTTAAAAGATAGACATATTATAGCGACGCGGACTTATTTTTAGTTCATACATATTTTTTGGGTATTTGAACTGTTTACAGCGTACCCCTCGGAAACCCATAATGATGTTTATAAATAGTTTTCCCAATGTTTGTCACATATCTCGCTGTATCTTCGCTCTTATTAGTCTCATGGCAATGTTTTATGGCCTTCCTCGATAAATGCTCAACACAACACTAACCAACACAAAAATAATTTTCCAACTCGAACCTTTAGTTCCTGAGATTAGCAAACAAACAAACTCTTCAGCTTTATATACTTACATATTAGTATAGATATATATGTAGATAAAAATAGAGTACTTTCAGAGTAAGATTTTCTTTAATTTATAAAAAGCTTATTACTTATCATAATATATTGAATGCTATATAACAGAAGAGTTTTGTCTGCTGAAATGATCTATTTCACGAGGTATTAGAAGAATGTGATCAGGGATTCTGTTCATAGGGCCGAACTCATGATCCCTAGCGCTTACGTAGCTTTAGCAGTAATAAAATTCTTCATCATCATTCAATATGTAAAAATATAGTCAAATAATGTTTATACTATCGAAATATATTTATAATCCTATACTTCCTACATATAGGTAGGTACATTGCTTTGCATTTGGTCAGTCTATATTAAAATTTTACTCTGTTTTACTTGTCTCTGATATTGGTTGCTAAGCAACCGACTTATCGATTATTTTGTGTGTAAATAAAAGCATACTAATTAAGATACTTACTTATTTTACGGTAATTTTTAGCAACATTTTAAAATAAACGACAAACTAAATGTCTTCCTTGTACCTACTTAATATCGTGACATTATAATTATGACCCTTTATAAATTATTTAGTTATAATGTGGAAGTTCAATATAAGAGTTATTTCTTGTCGAAAGCTATGCTCTTTACTTTGATAACATCAATTTTAAATGTTATCTTGCCTTTCCTTATAGCACATAGAAGCAGAGGTAATTACTATTATGCATAAATAATTATTTTTCGTACATTTCATTTAAGGATAATAACTAATAAGGTAAATTGCTGTTACAGGCTTTTGGTTAAATTCGCATTACTTTTATGAACAGCCGGCCGTTCGGCCAACTTTTGAATATTTGTTAGTAGGTGATACAGAAGATCCTTACCATACTGTTATTTGCGGTAGTGGCAATAACTTAACTAAAGAGTTTGAAAACCAATGCAGAGAAATTCAGGTCATTAATACGAAAATTTATTCTCTCTCTAGCCTTTGTTCTTAGTCATATATGGAACACTTATGAAAAAAACTTAATTTAAATTACAGCTACAAGAGTATGATCCAAATAACGATGGCAAAACGGATGTCATAAACTTTAAAATTAAACTTGATTTAGTCGAAAACCATACTATAACATCTATTATTCTAATTTTAGGCCTAGACTTTCATTTAATGGTAATTATATCTTTACATATACTTATTAATATCTTGTTGCCGTGTGGAATTAAGTTATGTCTAAAACTTTTATATTCTTATTTTCAGACTATTTGTCCTTTACAAATGCAAACCTTTGCGTTAGTCAGTAAAGAATTTAATAATCCTACTTCTGGAGTGAAATATAATGCCTACTTGGAATTAGTTCAAACGTCACATTTGTCTTGTTTAAGGCACCATCTCGATTCCAAGTACAACATATCACTTTTAGCCAACACAGATTTTTCCGAAGAACAGGCAATTGACATTATGATAAACAGTTATTTCATGAGAGAAGGTAAACTTTTACAAAATTATTCAAAGAATTTAAAAATGTATATAATACTTTAACATGGTAACTGTAGTGTTTTTATTGCGTTCTTTGTTTTTTAGTCACCACTCAGGTAAAGCCTTACTTTGTAAGAAGCCAACATGGATACACAGGAACAATGAAAATAGACTTATTCTTAAAGATACCCGAGATGAAGATATTATATACTCCCAGCTTTTTGCAGGAGGTTAAATGGGCTTGGCCGCAGTATCTTTCATTGGCTATAACATTCTATTGGATTTTTAACAGAATTAAAAGATTTGTTTTCAATAATCGCTTACTAATGGCATGGGAAATTATTCCATGGAAGAAGATACCGTAAGACATACATTTCCTTAAAATGTTACAAAAGCTACAGGTAGTTTAATACCTTTTTCAACATCATGTGCAAAATTAAGTTCCTTCAAATTAATATTGCGTTAATGTTTTGCCATCTCTCTCTTATAATGTTTTTAAAATGAATCTCGTATGTTTCTGGTTCTTGAGCCATATATACTGCTGATCAAGGAATTATAGAAAATACACAGTAGTAATATATACATTTTATTTACATTCTAATCATTTTTACACAACATTGGTTTTTACCTCCTACTGGGTAAGAGTTAAGCTTGGTAATTGTCCACCAAATTCAGCTTTGGTTTGGTCCAAATCAGTTCTGTTGTCTTCTATAATAAAGGTTTTACCGCTGTAGTCGTCAAGTTGCACCAGTAAGTACCGACACATATAATTTCCATAGTCATTCTGGAATTAAGAAATTAAAATTAATTTTTTTCAATTGCTTATATTTAATGAAAACATGCCGTTTTCTATAAAACTTATACCTTTTTTTATGTACATATATACTTAGTCCCTAATACAGATGTCTTAAAAGTGGTAAATAATCAAAAAAGTAACAAGACGGTAAAAAAGGAAGCAATATGCAATGCAAACAGGGATAACATTTTATGTTTAATTGCCACAGGTCAGAAACAAACTTTTAGATACAGATATCAATCTATAATAAATGATAACTCAATAGTAAAAAAAATACACGGTGTTAAATACTGTCTACAGTTTACTCGAGTAGTACACATTTAAATAAAACCCTAACGGTATCCCCATGACCACGGTTGCTGAAATGTTGGGCCGAAGTTAAAATCATTTTCAGTTAGGTTTAACTAATAAATGGCGTTTTAAACAGTTAAAGTATTTTATTTAAATACACAGTGTTTTTATATATTAACACTGTTTATTATGTGAATATTCTATATATATCATCTAAGTGGAAAGAACAAACCTGTTTCATGTCTAGCTCCACAATAGCCTTATTTCTTATTCCCTTAATATAGAATCTCATTCTCATATGCTTAACTCCATTTTTCTCATAGACAGCATGACTTACATGTGTTCTCCGCCTCCTTGTTGTTTCTTCACCATAGCCCTTAATTGGAGAGCCTAGAGCATCTTCCACTCTTGGATCCTAATATGGATTATATAAATAAATATGGTATCAATACTGAATTCATAATTTATCAAAAAAAGCATTAAGTGTTTACAGTTTCAGGTCTTATTGTATATTTTTTTAAAGATACAAAAAGGTTTAAATAAAGAAGTAGGAACAAATGAGTACCACATCCGAAATACTTACATTTTTGCATTTTTCCAAAGCTACTGAATATATACTATTAGGACTGTTGCTTGAAAACAGTTCTCTAAATACATAATAAAATATGACACCAGTTACTCCAACGCCAACCAATATAATTCCAGTGTAAGATACAGTCTTTGTCGCTTCCTTAACCTTTTCCCCTATAGGTCTAACATCAGTTGAAACATCAGCTCTCTCGCTGTTAGCCTGTGATTTTGTTAGACCATTACTTTTATTGCTTAAAAACCGGCGCGTGAAATTTATTTCAGTTGCGGTTGATCCATAAACCGATACAGCAAAGATTGAACTATTACAACGTAAGATTGGAATATTTCTAGATAATAGGTTCATATTTGATCATTTACTTTAAAATTAGTATTGTTTAAAAATAGATTTATTAGTTACAAGATACTTATATTTATCATATCAGCTTGTGGATGTCAAAAGTCATTATTTAAAGTCAAATATTACCCAGATATAAACATATTATAAAAGTCTTCATTACAGAGTATAGAAAAAATATAGAATATTTTCGTGACTCAAAATGGACGAGGCAAATATCTAACTAGCGCCTGATATGTCAAAATTGCGAACATTTACGGCACAGTTAATTTTATTCTAGCGGCTAGCCGAATCAATAACTGATCAATAGTCGATGTTTTCTCGAGCCATCAATTAAGCTAATCTACTTCTATAATAGTACATATTTAAAGAATATCCTAAGACTTATTACTTACTTACTATAAGGAAACAATTTAAGTCTATTAGAATCTCAAACAATTGATATTATTTCTTTATCTATAAACAAGAAACTGTTGTGGGCCCTTAATGTACTTTTTTATTATAATTTTACTTTGGGAAACTAAATCATATTCCTGAATCTCTGTAAGTATATGTTAAGTAACGGACCAAATTTTATGTTTCTACTTTTAATAACATTCAGTTAAATCTAAAAGAAGAGTCGTTCTTAGACAAACTTTGAAATATGCCACCAGAGGCGCGCGAGCACTCCTTGCTTTCACCACATATTTTTATTATTCATTAAATCAGAACAATATTTTGATAGAAAGAAATATTTCAGATATAAATAATACAGGATCTATTTCAATATGATAGTTAAGGTCATAGAAGTGATATTATACATAATACTATTATCATTTTCGTCATATTGTCAAGTGTCAAATATAATGAAGTAAATGTTAGTATTTTGTAAATTTATAGAGTATTGTCACTATTGTCAGTTGTGGTATTTTTAATTTTCTAATTTGTAAACGCCCGTGTAGGGCTTGTATGTTAAAGCTTAATTCTTTAAGATTTTAATATGTATTGGAAATTGTTTTGCTCCGCTGGCTATGTAATCGAGTAGTTCACCAAACAGAAAATTAGACGTTATTATTTTCTCGGATACATTGAAAGGTATTGTCAATAATTATTAAAATATTAAACACTGCACATATTGGTGAATTCTTATTATTTATCAAAGTACGTTGTTATTTTCTGAGACTTATACAACGTCGTATAAAACATTAAAAATAATACGTAAAGGACGGCATGTCTTCAAATTGAGCTTTAAGTATGTTCGAGAGCATAGTCAAGAAAATTGTAGTAAATTGAGACAAATAAACTAAGGAAGAAGATATTGTAAACAATGGATTGGATAATATCAGATGAGCTCGGCCTTACTGTTGGCCACCTAGTGGGGTGGGGGGCTGCTGGAGCAATGATTGTTGGGGGCATAGCACCATACATTCCACAATACAGACAAATAAAAAAGACTCAAGATGCAGAAGGGTTTTCTTTGTATGTTTGTTTAACTCTCCTCATAGCAAATACCTTAAGGATTCTATTTTGGTATGTACAAAAATATATTTTACTACACAATAGAATGTTCAATAAAGTATCATGTATGCTAATTGAAGCAAATTTCAGGTTTGGAAAAAGATATGAAATCCCACTTTTAATCCAAAGCATAGTAATGAACATAACAATGTTTATAATGATTCACCTTTGTGTAAATGTGCGTAAGAAAAATCAGATCATACGATCTCGTGAGAGAATATTTACAGGTTGGTTTGAATATTTTTATCTCTCGATACACTGTTCATAGGGGAAGACACTAATGTCTTAGTAAAGTTTATATAAAACTTACCACAAAAGACAATAAAATTTCTTGCTTTACAGTATTGTTTTGTATTAATGATGCACAAAAGTATTTTATTTATTTCCTTTCTTGATTTATCTATTTTTTATTTTTACACAAGCTTTTTCTTGTCCTATCCAGCTATATATTCTTTTCTATTTCGTTTGTTTTATCTTTTGTTTTTTTAATATTTTATGTTTTGTTTGGTGGTTGGGGTATTTGGTGAAATTAGGTGCAATATTCATGTTATATATACTGTTATGTTGTATAAATGGGTCAGCTCAACCAGATGAAACGGCTCGCTGGTTGGGCCAGCAGAGTGGCGTCACAGGTGGGGAGAAGCCTCGTCGCTTCTATGGTAAGTGACGGTTTTATGCTGTGTGAATGCATTTCAAGTGTCACATTCAACTTGTTCATTTGGCAAACATTTTTGTTGCAGCAACCCGTGATGTACACGCTTCTAACATTGGATTTATATAATGTCATGTTTTGGTATTTGTCATTTATACATTCATTATTTTGCCTCACATTTTATTTTTGGCATGTGTGTTGTTCTTTATTAAGGGAAATAGTGTAGTTGTGTAATAACCATGTGTTTTGAGGGGAAGTCGATTCAATGTAGTTATAAAATTAATGAAATTGTACTCCACCAAACTTAAACAAGCCTTCCTAATAGTTCAATGCTCTGATAAGATCCTTATATAACAAACATGTTTACACTATCTCATTGTGGTCAGAGCAATGACCAGGTCACTGTGTATTTATATTTTAATAATCTTATCACTTTGACACTAATATGCATGACATTTCCTACTAGAATTTTAAAAAGCTATTGAAATCAAAGCTATCTTGTAAGTTTTAAATTCATTAACATTGTTCTTGATATGAATTTCAGATATGGACAGAAAATATTTTTGGGCCTGGACAGACTTCCAGAGTTATGTAGACTGTATGTTGGTCTTCTCGGTGCTCGGAGCAGCTATAACATATCTGTTAATAGAAGTCGCGCCGTTTGTTGAATTTATTGGATTTCTTGCCCTATTCACTGAGGCAATGCTTGGTGCACCACAGATAGCTAAAAATTTTCAAACTAAAAGTACAGAAGGAATGAGGTAACAGCAATGACCTTATGGTTGTTCATATATTTATGATAGCTGTGCTAGCGATGTCATTCCCTTAGAATAGTTATTTAGAGCTTTAATTTTTTTTGCAAGTTTATACTGTCATGGACATATTTTTAGATCATTTAAAGAGAAATAATTCTTTCATAAATATTTTCTGGGTATCTAGAACCTTTTTCTTACAGCGCACGCCCTTATACATTAATAATTTTCCCTGTTCTGTATCTTCCCTCCTTATCGTGTGCCTTCCTCGATAGATGCTCTAACACAAAGGATTTCCAATTTGAACCAGTACTTCAATAGAACTCTATAATATTAGTATAGATGTACTACTAAGTAATTTTAATATTGCAGTAATGACTACAAAACGTTTCTTGAATGAATGGTTTACTGAAACATATGGATATATATTTTTTTTAATTTCCAGTGTTAGCATGGTTATCATGTGGACATGTGGTGATATCTTTAAGACTGTTTACTTTGTAATAAGAGAAGCCCCTACACAATTTTGGGTATGCGGCAGCCTTCAAGTTAGCTTGGATGTTGTAATTTTATTACAGGTTAGTATTGACACTAAGAGAAAAAAAAACTTCGTTAGTTTAAAAGAGCTCATGACTAACAAATACTAAAGTAAAGAAGAACGTGTATGCACTCATTGGTGTCTTGCAATTTATTAGTTTTCTTTATTAAACCTGCATTTTTATGTTTACCTCAGTAAAATTTTAAATCTTATAAATTTGGAGGACAGTTTTTACTAGTTTTATATTTCCTGCATAACTCCAAGTTACAAATAACATGGATTTAATTTATGGCGTTACTAATTTTAAAACTGAATCTTAAAACGAATCCTGCACAGAAGTCAAAAATAAGGTATCGATGGGACGTAAGCGGGCGCGGGGCGAGTGAACGTCATGTGAGCTAGTATTGATTGGTTCCCCAGTCGTGTTGTCTTTCTCAGACTTATACGATACTCCGCTTTCTTCTCCGCAATTTTATAACTTGAGTTATTTATAATTTCATGGTCCAAACTTGTTAATCTACAAGAGACAGTCACCGAAAATTTGCATAATTTTGACACAAATTATCAATTGTAAAATTCATTTTCGCCTAAGTTATGTACGCATTTTTATTTTCCTCCTTGTTGAAAATCGTGTATTTTGTTAATTGGCCACTCTAACTCTAGCAGCCTCATACAAGAATATTGTTTATTTAGACGTGTATTACCTTTGCAGGTCTGGTGGTATCGCCATAATACCGCTGCAGCACGTCGCCTCCGCCGTGGAGACTAGCAATGGACGGAGACAGACTTATAGCACTCGCTCAACGCCTTTCGTGTTTACTGGCCGCCTCTATGCCACATCTTCCAACCCTTATGACCGGTAGATACCTAGACTTGTTGTGACCGGATGATTCCAATTTATGTGCCAATATTTAAAGAACTACTACTATAACTTCTTATACACCCTTCATAAAATTGAGTCACTGCCCAATAATAAGACCTTAGTCCCAACAAATATTCCCTGCTTTCATTTACGATAGGGAATATAAAGTATTTTTATGAAAAAAGATTTTAAATCCCTGAGTCGTTCGTTCACTTGTTCATTCAAGTTTAATGCTTCCTGAAGTATTTTGATTACATGTTGATCTTTTTGATTTAAGGCTCTAAATTTTTTTATTAATTGATTAAAAAGCGGTGAAGATTAATCAAGTCAGATAACACTAGATGGGCCAGAGTTTAGTCTAGTCATCTGAAATTTTAAAAAGGTATCCCTGTGGTTGTTTCAGTTATTGTAAAACTCGGTTGCTAAATCCATTATATTGTGTATTTAATAAACGAAGAGTGAAAGGTAAATAGCAGTCAAGGGTCAGTAATAGCGCCAATTAAACAAGATTTGATGCATGAATTTGGATTTGCACTAGTCCCTTTTGCTATTACTCGCTGTAGAATATGAACATACTTAAAAAAATAAATAATATCTTAACACACCATTTTTACATATTTTATGTAAAATGTTTGGTGACTGGTTGTATAATATGTTTGATGTATCTGTAGTTCACGCTAGTATACAGAGGAAGCGAAAATATGATGAAACAAAAACGTCGAAGTGCTCGCGTTTCTACCCATTTATATTAAAGATAATATATATTAACTATGGTCTGACGCGTCGAGAATTTTAGCATTTGCGTTCGTCATACCTTCGTTGTATATATGCGGTGAGATTTAAACTATTTCCACTCGCTAATGGTGATATATTATCATTCTAACTAGTTTAAGTCTTAGGAAAATATTTCTCTGAGTCGTTTTAATAGAAAAGTAGATCTAATATTAGGTAGGTTGTAAAATTTAAAAGCTGTATTGGTGCTACCTATGGTAAACCAAGTACTTTTGAATTATGTTATTAAAATATATTTAGGGAAAATGTAATGTTTTAAATTGGGAACCAATGATGTACCAACAGCGTTTATTATGAATACTATATTTATCATATAAATATTATCCTAAAATTGTTACATATAGCACTTTATTGCATTTCGGATTAAAAGTCTTCTTCTTTACGACCCGTCGAAAATTTTATGGCACTACAAAATTTTAACTAGAATCACATTTTTAGCTATTTTGCATTTACATGGAGTTTTTAATCAACGTTTAATATAATCAGTACCATATCAGATATAATAAAATCTCTTTCGAATTTGAAATTGTAGTCTTTAAGATCAAATACAGATTTACTCCTGACCTTTAGGCACAGTCCATGTAAATTAGTACAAGAGTATACAATTTAATATTAATTCAGTATTACTAAGTATTTAAATAACTCAATTTAATATTTTCTGCAATGTAATAAAAGTAGCCTTTGAAATGTATTTTTCAGGGGTCTTATCATAGTATTTTAACAACTGTAATTAAAATGTTCAATAGACCATACCAATATTAAATCTAAGTAATTAAATTGTATCACCTCACAAAGTAGTGCCTGCGTACCTTAATACTCTGTTTATATTTAATTACGCCTTAATAAAAGTAAATTGTTATGTTCATCCAGTAGTTATTGTATAATATGCAGTGAAGGACTAATCATTACTAAACTAACACAAATTTATGATTTGATGACTAATAATAAATAAATATTTATTTCCCTGTGCACATATATGCCTTCATACTCTTGAACCTGCAGGGAAATCTCTGGTTTAAAGAAAGAAACATTTCTTTCTTCATACCTGCATCGCTTAGTACCTATGTTTATGTACAAAATGTAAGCTACTAACATCGCTACTACTATTAGTTTTACCCATGTACAAATATTCCTATGTATAATGTTAATTAATTATTAATTTAAATATGTAATAAAAGGGCTGTTTTGATTCCACGTCGTTTGTGACGTTTGTATATAAATTATATAAAAATGTGTTTTTATTACGACATCTATATAGAAATTATTCTTTATATTGTATATGATGTAGAAATTAGCGCAAAGATATTGAGAGAATATTATTATATGTAATAACATATCATGCATTTGATATGTATTTAATATTTATATAATCATTTTATAGTTGACTTGTACGAATCTTAACAATTGACTTCAATTATTGTAAAATCTTATTTAAGAAACGTACAGCTGTTGTGATTTTAGATGTAAACTTTTCGTATAAATAAAGTTGTTTGTTTAGAGGGTTTTGTTTCAGTTCCTTATATTGTGAAATAATCAGAGGATAGTTAGTTATTGGTACTTGGTCCAGTGGTTAATTGTTGGTAATGGGTTTGATTTCGTTCAAAATTATACGATCTAAGACCCCAGTAGAGATTCAATTTTTTCTAAACATTATCTTATTATAACATAATATATATATGTTATAAACGTCGCAAAATTTGGGTATCAAATTGCTGGTAGGAGTATCGAAATTCCACCCGCGTCATGAATATCCGTTAGAAAAACAGGTCAACAACAAATCTTTATTAGATATTAAAGGCCTGGAGCGTTTCACCGCCCACCAACATTCAACCTTATATTGTCTATCCTCTGTAATAAAAATATGTATCTACATTGTTTGGAGCTATCCATTAAGGTTTTGCGCCTCGGTACGTCCCACTGTTTACGTCAGTTAAAGGGATACTTTACTGATTATATATTATTATGGTACGGCAATGAAATTTGACCTCTTCGGCATTTGTAATAAGAGACTAGCACATTAGGGATGGCTGGATCGATGCTCCTAAGTTGATGCAGGAGAGGACGCCATCTGGTGGCGACGGACGAAATTGATATACCCTCAGTGCGCGGGTTTCTTTACCGCCGCTCGGGCGTATGCCGTGAAGCGCTCGATCTTCACAAATTATATGCAGCCGGAGATCAACATAAGGTACTTCGTTTTGACAAATATATAGTTCTAGGAGGTCTGTAGATTAATTAAATTTGTCCAAAGAACTGACGTACGATTCAATTTAATTCAAATTAGTATTGTTTAGGCGCTTCGCTTATCGTTTATACAGACAAGTCAAGTACCTATCCAAACAAATTTGCCATTAATTAGTCTTTATTTTTTGTAGTTAACGATGTGCTGTGCTAGTTTAAAAATAATTGTAACTATTATTGAAATAGTTTTTAATGGCCACCAATCAGTAATTACTTTAAGAAACATAAATATGTTACTTGTATGGAGTTACCACTAACCACTTAGTTAACAAATCTTATGTATAATTAATTAAGCCCGATAATAACATAATTGACGTTTTGACATTGCAACATCTGCCAACATTATCGTCAAACCCGTTAACATTTCATTATTGAATGGACCGCTACTTATAAAAATATAAAATTGAACTGTTACCAATAACTCATAAAAGAGAAAAGAGTTTTTACATTTATTATCAGGTACAAAGTCAAAAAATACAAACGTTGTCCCCTTCATTTTATAGTAGGGAAACGGTGTATTTCTCACTAAGTAGACATCTAGGGACATGGTTCACCGCTTGACCGCACTAAACGGCAGATAAAATGCTACAAGGATAACAGAATAAAAATAGAATAATGTTATAATTTATTACAGTACTTGAATTTTTCAATGCAGCGATTTTTCTATTTAACTATTAAAATACTGTAAAATGATAGTACGATTTTTAATATCAACATATTTCTTATGGTGTATTTCAATAAAATAACTTCAATAATACTTTTTTCTCCGTTTTTGGATCCATAGATAGGGCTGATCAGCTATCACCGGGCTGTGTATATAACGTGAAGTGATTATAGCTGGTATATTTCTTTTGCTGCTGTACAAATTAATAAAAAGTAAAATAAATAAACTTTAATTTGAAAGTTCTACCCGTGTGGTAAAAAAATTGATTGATGATTTTTTTTAGATGCCGAATCCTTCGCACACGAGCCTAACTCGTACTTGACTGGTTTATAGCCCACCAATGCTTAAGACCTACTCGAAGCCTTTACAATAAGACGTTGGCCGAGTTCTAATTCAACGACTGTAGTGTGATACTATACTATACGTAGTAATATCCTGTGGATCCAAGTGAGAAGACACGTGTTTATAACGATGTATATTCATAATAATATCATTTAGATACCCGTTCGTATGCGCAGCACGTGTTTATACGTCTGGACGCCTAGACTATGCGCGTGATTATATGATTCAATTTGATCTAATTGGTTGAAGGTACATTATATGGATTGAAATTAATTTAAGTTAAACTTTTATAAAACGGTGTTTAGTTAAAATCTTATTCACTATAATGTAATAAGTAAGTATGTTCTATAAACAAAATTGCTATGCTGATTTACTTTATTATTATCTATGGCAAATGTGAATTTAGGTTATAAATCCTTTTTATGTATTTCAAAATCAATTCATATGAAATATTCTTTGAATCGCTTGTTTACAAGCGAACAATGCAAAATGGCAATCCAATCCAATAATATTGGATACTAATCACGTTCAACCGTAATGCATAATGTTACTTAAGTCTAGTTTATTCTATGACATCCCTCAAAATAAATAAAAATAATTGAAATTACACGTTGGCTCGTATTTGTAAATTTACGGTTACAGCACTCTTAACCCTTTATTATATCTATATGTATCCTATCCTTTATTCAAAGAATAAACCCCACCGAGCTGTCAGCTGTGATGACCGGTCAAATAAAATTATTTGCATCACAGTCCCCAAGGGCAACATGTACTCACATATTCCTTTGTTAATGGTTAATAAGGATATAACAAAGGCATCTGCGTATCAATTGTTTTAATATTAAAAACATTTTTTAAATAAATATAAATCTCTACTCGATTAAGATGGCAAATATTATATTTTTTTTTCAACTCATCTTAAATAACATTTAATAAATGACGAAATCTTCACAAAGGTTTCATGTTTTTAATTTAGACCACAACTTATTATTGTTTTATATTTATCTTATACTTACTATCAACATACAGTCTCAGCCTGAGATACAAACAATTTGATCGAGACAAGACTTCTTACGCTGTAGACTTAATAGTAAAAAAATAAATTATTTTGATTAATACATATTTATTTTTAACAATTCTCGACGAATGACCGATCTGTGTCCAATATTTCAGGGCTAGCCGTTCATAGGACGGAGACACATTGTGTAACCGACTGTGCACTGTGACGTGTTTTCTATCAACATACCTGCCGATGGTTCATTCACTGGCGCGCGGAAGAGACGCCGAGGTGATGTGGTTACACACTTGATTGCGCGCGACGTGTTACATCGATAACCAGTCGGGAGCCACCGCCATTCTTGAGCCTGCCAAGTTTTCATTTCATCAGCAACACTCTCACTTCGCGAGTAGTCGCACGTACACCGTTCGTACGCCGCGAGACTCGTTATGCAACAAGCATTTCTTCAAAATAACTTGTAGACGTTTCGACAGATACAGTCGAAGGCGCAAATGTAAACAAACTACCAGTTCTATTATTCGTGGTCAATTTCTAAGTGAAACCCTGTGCTTTGTTATTGAAAATGACGTCGCGATCCAAAGAAAAGGTGGCAGCGGCGTTCAAGAAGTTGTTTCGGAGTTCAGAGAAGAGGGACAATGATGGAGCGGGTCCCAGTGGCTCTCCATCTCGGCGCGGATTATTCAGACGACACAGGTATGCGCAAGTTCATTAAAGCATCAAACAATTTATTTATTCATGAATTCTCTCGTTGCGATGAAAGTAGCATCATTCTGAACGTTTGAATATTTACCTTGAAAACAGAGCTGTTTTTCAAAGATAAAATTATCTTTGTTTTTAACTACGCTATTTTACTACGAAATAACCTAAATATGTAGTACAATAAAATTACGTGGTTACAATAGAATTTAACCCAATGCGGATTTAAGAAACCGTACAAGTAACATGTTACTTGAAGATACCTAGCCTTTGATATAGATAAGAATCTTCACTACTACTGTTTCCGGCTCTAGGGTGTACTCGTTTTTTTCGATATCTTTACCTAAGCTTATTCTTAGGGTTTATAATACACGAATACTGGTCACTACGAGTTCCATTGTACCCAATGGTAGTTAGCGTAATTACAACAGAAAGCAAACAATTCTACAATCATTGATCATTTAGATTCGGGTCAACATATCAGTTATTGCATTTGCATTCGCTGCACGGAAACTTTATCGATACAAGAATAATATTGTGTTTAAAGAAAATTAAACAAAGCGCTGTATAGATTGTTAACTTAAAACGCATGTGAGGTCTTCGTTCTGCAAACAATGTAGGGTTGTCCACTAAGGGTTTTTCTAAATGAATAGTTTGTATATTTCTATAATAGACGAATTAGTATCATACACATCGTCGTATCGTTTTCAGGCGTGTAGATTACCTACTAGTACCTGAAAATTTCTTCCTGGCGAATTGCAAGAACTCAATTCTGCTCGATAGCTCAGCTGGTTAATAGTTGCTACCATGGCTTGCACCATTCGATATTCACCTGGTTCGGATTATTTCTGGGGTCTTGTTATCATTTTCTGAATATGATCTATATCGTCAGTACTATAAGTATTAAACAACGATAGTGGTTGCTACCCTTGCTACAACACAAACAATGCGGAAAAGTTGTCCAAAAGTCATATTATATTGTGCATACATCTGCATTTTTGTACCTTATCAACCTCTTTGTGACGTGGAGTTCGTTTATGATTATTAAGGAAATAATGTAAAGAGATTGTAGAATCTTAATGTTCTTTGTTTGTATTAATTAATATTAGTTCCTTGAAGCTAGAGCCATCTACAGCGATCGATCTGAATGCTAACAATGTAATGTTATAAGTCGCACATACTTTCACATAAAATATATTTCTGTTACAAAACTTCATTCAGATACGTACGCAGAGAAGAAAAAAATGTACGGAACTCAGAATCTAAAGGTCAAACATTTTTATACGCGTAATAACTTGATAGACCTTTGGACACGTGTTCTACAAAGGTTCAACTTTAAAGAGAATTTTACCTTCGCTCTAGAGCTATACCTTTGACCAAGTAATGTAAATATGACATTATCTCTACACAGTAGAATCTCGCCGCATTAAAATGAGGTAGGAGTACCGAAAATCCGTCCGGGCCACGGATCCACGGGTTGAAAATCTTCTTGTTTGGATGTTGGCTGGGGTATTTATCCTACATCAAGCGAAACCCACCATAAAAAATTGACCGTCCACCTCTATCATAAAAAAAATAACGAAAATCAGCCGTGTGATTCCATTCTAAAGGAATGACATGAAGGTCGAGTGTCGACAGTAATCAGGGATCGAAATCATTTCATAACTTCGATTTAAATTTGCACGCTTTCTTAGTTCAGTCTAGAGACAATCGCACCTTATCAACAAATTAGCTATTTTTAATTTGCTGCCTAAAATATAAAAAGAACCAAAGCAAACACAACACTTTAATGGTTGACGCAATATATTTTTATTAGTTAAACTTATTCGAAAATTATTTTAACAACGGCCCAACGTTTAGGATGCTTTGCAGCAGCCGTGGTCAGGTAGTCTCCACGTAATATATTATTATACTAAATAAGTTTAACTAATTTAAATAAAACACTTTAACGGTTTAAAACGCGATATATTAGTTAAAAATCATTTTCAAATAAGTTTAACTAATATATCGCGTTTTAAACCGTTAAAGTGTTTTATTTTAATGTGCACACTCGCATAAACTACAGTATTTAATAATAATTTATTTAAATTTAATTGTTACAATAATCAGTATAATATAAAAGGATATACATGTAATGCATTGGTATTAAGTACATTTGCGTACATTCTACTTTCATTATTGGCATGTTCGGTTGCCGTTTGATAGATGTTATACAAAGCTCACACAAACTAGGATACAAGATAGCTACATCAATACTTACGTAGTTGCTATCAATTATTTATCAAGGTAAACTTCGATACCTTATGTATCTTTAAATGTACGTTAAGAAACGGCATTCCATCGCGATGATCTTTGGTAGCAATTTATTATTTTTATTGCAGACAAGATCTTTTAAACTTTATCTTTATGCACCTGTCCTATTAATTTATGATTTTCAAAGTTCAGTTTCAATGAACTGATTTCACTACATAATGACAAAGCTGGCTTCAGAACGCCAGAAGTACTGTGGTAAAACACATTTGAATTTAGAACTAAGATAATTCCAGTCTCGGTTGGGTAGGACAGAAAAGCCTGATCAATATGTGGCCTGTACTAAAATGCGATCTGTGAAACAGACAGAGTACTGTCACTTTTCGTTGGATCAAGAAGTAATATTGCCCCTAGGAAACATACAATGAGATTAATGTACTAAATAATTCGTAGAGAGACTGGTACCTTTGACCAAAATCGTATTGTGCCGTTATTCTGAGCTTCTACTTTACCATAAGCTCACTAACTTTATGTTTTTATAGAGACGGAGTCACTCCAGTAGAAACGGCAGCAAGTTTACCAGCGAGTCCAACTGGAAATTCTCATTCCAAAAAGAAGGCGGGTGCAGCTACTGATGTTCGGGAAAGGGCGGCTGCGGTGCGCACGCGCCGTCTTATGAAAGAGCTCAAGGAAATACAGCGTTCGCAAGAAAACCGACCAGATCCTATCTTTACGGTAAACACTAGATACCTATGTATATACGTACATATGTATTATTTATATTGCTACTGTTTCGGTTAACAATTAGACAACTACTTTGAGATAACTATGTTATGTTTGCACAAATTATAAATACAAATTATAAACAAACTCCTTAGCTTTATTAGGATTGATTTGTAAAAACATAAAACGGGTACACAAAAAAACATGTACATATTATTAATTGTTTACTATAGTTTATACAATTATTTACTAAGTCTTTTTTAATTTCAAAGGTGGAGTTGGTGAACGACAATTTATTTGAATGGCACGTACGTTTGCATCAAATCGATCCCGAGAGCGACTTAGCGGCAGATCTGCGGGAGCTGAGCATTTCCAATATTCTACTCCACCTTATTTTTCCTGAAAATTTCCCCTTTGCGCCTCCCTTTATGCGCGTTATCGAGCCACGGATAGAAAAAGGATTTGTTATGGAAGGTTAGCCAAATATTCAAGTAATAGGTTGAAAAAATCGACGATGATGTATATGACTCGGTAGCTTAGAGAGCTTAGTTAGAGAGTTTATTTTTGATTTATAAAGTTTCACGTATACATACTTTTTACTGAGAACAATTATTAATATAACATACATTTTATTAATTAAATACAGTAGCTTTATATTGTTCGTATCTATGAAAAGGCTTCCTTTATAAGATAATAATTCATAAAGGTGGAGCAATATGCATGGAGCTTTTAACACCACGAGGTTGGGCATCAGCCTACACAGTTGAAGCTATTGTGATGCAGTTTGCCGCGTCTGTAGTAAAAGGTCAAGGGAGGGTGGCGCGGACACCGCCTCGTTCTTCACGGGAGTTCACCAAGAGACGAGCGGAGGAAGCGTTCAGATCGCTAGTTAAAACTCACGACAAATACGGCTGGGTCACGCCGGCTCTGTCCGACGGTTGAAAAATGAACGTGGTATGTTCAAAGGCTGCTATTATTTTTATAAAATAAAATAAGAATGGAGTGATTGTAGAATCAAAGCTTGAATCCCGTTTTGTACTTTGAGACATTTCTAGGTCTGGTTTAATACTCAGTGCCGCTGAAACAATTGATAGTGTTTTTTTTGGATTTGAACCCTGGATTCTAAAGTGGCTTACAAAATGAGCCTATGGAGGTGGTAACATTGAGAGAGGTCTACCTACTCTAAAAGAATTACCTCAAATTAGACGTGATTATTTTTGGAATTGTTAATAAAAACATCTATTGTCTACTATTTGCATAATAATACGAGTGCACAATTTATTTTTACAGATACAGAAAAACAATGGCGCAAAAGGATCTCTCAGACTTTAACGGTAATTTGTGTTATTAAAAACACTTAGGACAGTGAAAAGTATTCCTGTAATTTTAAATTTCTTTTACATACCACATTACATATTTTACATATTATTGTGGTGATATAAAATTCATTCCAATGCCAGGTGGTAGAAATCTAGTGTATTCTTATTACTGAGTAAATATTATGCTGTGTGCCAAACCTGTAATGTAAAATGCTCAACGCCTATTATGATGCTATATATTGCTTAACACTTATAATGTATCTTCCCGTCTTCAGGATTTCTAGTATAAACTAAGCAACAAAATTAGAAGCACAAATCAAAATTTCCACCTTTCATTCTATAACATAGTATTTTAAAGTTATACAATATGATATAATATTTCCGTCCCAAAGTCATTTAAACCATTACACTATGACTGTGTATTTAATATCTATTATCTCTTTTATTTTAGTATAAATATGATTTCGATAAATATTAGTGCTCAAATTAACCATGGATATTAGTGTAACACTATGGCTTGTGGCAATATTTTAGTGTATAGAAGACAAATATAAGACATTGATGTTGTTTATTCAGTGAACCAAAGATTTATTTTTATGTAAATTTAAATTCAGTGTAAGATGTGTACACTAAATGTTATGAATGTAATAAATTACTTGCTCAAGTAACTTGTCTATTCTTAACCTTTTTAATAATATTCCTAATTACAGAGAGAAAGTAGAAACATGTTATTAATGGTTTTAAGTTTTAATGCAAGTGTGCCACGTTAAATACCATTTTTATATTTCACTTTATACAATAAAGATTAAATTAACATCATTACAACATGAGATGCCAGATCATTTGCCACCTCGTAAAGCCAATACCAAATGGAGAACTGAACCACCCTGAACTTTGTAGTCCTGGGCAGTTTTTTCATCATTCCTAAAATGAAATAATGCAGTTAGAACTTAAGTTTATGGCATTTATATTGTAATATAAGAGAATATATCAAGACATTACAAAACACTCTAATTCTCAAATGTCAAATTTTCTATAGTATATATGTTTCATAATATTAGCATATTTTGGAATTTGTCATATTTATATTAGGGGTTATTTAATATTTCTTACATTTGTTTGCCTGAAAATATCAACCGCTGTTGCTGAGGTGGAATGCCTTCTTTTTCCTCAACCCTCTCTTTGATCCGTTCCACTTTATCAGTCGGTTCAATGTCAATTTCTATTTCTTTACCGGTTAATGTCTATAAACAAGGTTAAGATTTTAACAGAAATTTCTCTAGGAGCATAACAGAAATAAGCATCGGTCATCTTACCTTTACTTTTATTAACATTTTGGTAAAAAATTATTTAAAAGCTGAAAATATTACTAAGGCTAATTATTTTTCTTAACGTTTTAGCAACAATAAAAGTTAAATAAATAATTAATTGATAACTGAACGCTAAAAAAATCTGCGGTATAATTTTCGCCTTGATAGTTGACAATTGACAAATGGCGACAGTAGAGATACGGATAACCTGTAATAAGCCTTTAAGGCTGTGCCAATCAACGATTGCCGTATCTGTGCCGTAATGCACTAAAATATTTAAATCTGTAGCCGTATTAAGATTGTAAATAAAATTCAAAACTTATTATTTAATATTTGTATTTTGTAATATTTGGTGTGAAATATTTTAACCTTCAATTTCCTAGATTTTATACAGAAAAATAATCCAGTTCAGATTCAGACAACAATTTATAATTTACATAATGGCGAATCTTGATAAAATATTTCAACAAATAGAAGATTTACTAATAATAAGTAAGTAGGGACTTAGATTTGTAGGAACCGAACTTCGACTATACAGGCATAATAAATTATTTCATTTGCTTCTGAAATTAATTACTATATTTGCAGGTGACGGATCAACGAACTTGTCAACATTATTAAAAGAAATTCTAAAAGAAACTAATAGTGATAAAAATTCGAATATGCAATTTAATTGTCTCCTGACATATATTCACAAAATAATCAAAGAAATTGATGAATTAGCTAATATTATTAATAACACCGACAGTGTTTTAATAAGTGTAAAGAATCAGAAAATATTGAGAACATGCTACCAAGTGATATGTTATTTTGGAATTTCGAACTGTTTAATACCTGGACTTGGCTTAACCTTATCAAGAAATAGTTCATCAGTTCAATTTGTATCGCAGATAGAATTAAATGACGATCAAAAGTATATTATATTGTGTGATTGTACTGATTTCTTCCAGCGTAGCTATAAAATCCCTGTATTGAAAAATATTGTCATAACTTTTCATTTATCAGACTATTTAGCAGCTCTTATACAACTTTCATTTGCTCCATTGAAGAAGCCAGGTGTGTTTAAGAATTACACTATGACAGAAGAAAAATACACCATCCTTAGCAAAGAGAGATGCAAGTATGTAGAAATATATGAGGATTTGGTGACTAATTGCTTCCAACCAATGTTAATGAAAGAATTATTGGTATTGCAAAATGTTAGTAAAATAGAAACCCCAACATTTGTTAACCGAGTTGTAGCAAGAGAAATGAGCAGACGTCTGATAGCTTCTGGTGGACTTATAAGCCTTATTAGATGTTTTTTGGAATGTTATAACATTGATACAGGAGTTGAGTGGAAAAAAATTGACATGATTTGTAAAATAATTTGTACCAAGCATGGAAATTCAACAGAAATGGAATACATAAGTAATATTTGCAACCAGTTAAATCAAATTTTCACTCTGAATAATATCAAATATCTATCTACTGCAGTGTCATGTTTATTCAGTTTATCTAATAAATATCCTAATGCTGAACCAATATCTGAGCTTCAAAAAGCAGTATGTTATCCATTTGCTTATAAGACAATAATTACCAAACATAGTTGTCCAGGAACTGTACTACTAACATCACAAGAAGTAGAACATAAAGTCATAATGTTATATGCATGTATGTTAACAAAGCTGGATTTACCATACAAACAATTGTCTTCAAATTTGAAAGTGCTCTTTGGTCTTACAATAAAATGTTCTAACAATGACACAAAAGCTAAACTTAATTATATAATATTTAAAATCATGGAATCTTTAGATAAAGACACTGTTTATAATATAACAAAAGATTTTTTACTTGAGGACACTAAAGCTGACCTACTTTATGTTAGTGTATATGAAAAGGAAGCCAATCTTATGTTGAAATGTACAAACAATGAGACAGTCTCTGGAGAACAGAAAATTACTTTATTAAAGGATATATTTAAAAATACAACAAGTACACACTTAAATGAAAGTTTGCTTGAAGGATTTTTCCAAATATTTGTGGATCTTAACATCGCCAGACAAAAGAAAAGTGACCATGCTCTGTTAACATTGGAAGATGATCCAAAGTTAATTAGTTCTAATGACGAAAGATATGGTCACATTCTTCTTTTGCTTACTGAAGTTTTATCAATGCCCAAAGCAGACAAAACTCTAAAACAAAATCACATGGTTATCATTGACTTCATAGAGAAACTACTGAAATTTGATAACAGAGATTCTAAAGACTGTATCACCGTTGCATTAGTTTTACTTAATACGGTGTTAGTAAACTCAAATAGAAAAGAGAGTATACAAGCAAGACTTGCTCATTTAATACCATTGATAAATAAGTTATCCAGAACTAATGGTGAAAACAATATTCTGTGTAAGGAAATATTATCACAAATTGAAACCAATGAGGTGCAGCAAACAGCGACAGCTTATAGCACAGCTTTATCAAATGTGTTCGATGGGTTACTCCCAGTACAGGCAAACGGTCTTATGGAGCTGACAAAACTTATCGAAGTAGGTGATCCGGAAACTTTATCTAAGAGACATTATGTTTTTTGTCTCTTTCAGGTAAGTCTATTGACATGAGATAGTTTTAGATACTGTCTATAGTTTACGCGAGTAGTACACATTTAAATAAAACACTTTAACGGTTTAAAACGCGTCTCCCCGTGACCACAGCTGCTGCAGAGCATCCGAAACGTCGGGCCGAAGTAAAAAATCATTTTCAAATAAGTTTAACTAATATATTGCGTTTTAAACCGTTAAAGTGTTTTATTTAAATGAGATAGTTTTCTTCAGAACATTTTTTAAGCAATTACAATTCAACTTTTGTTCACAGGAGCAACTTAAGCATTCAGATTCATATGTTTATTTGTCAGCTATTAACGGAATTGCAGCTCTAGCCGCCCACTGCACAGAAGATGTATTACAGATACTGTGTAAAGAATTCATTGAAGTATCCACTAAAAACTCGGCAGCTAAAGAAAACAATGTTGCCGAGTTAAGAATGAAAATTGGCGATGTTGTTGTTAAAGTGACTCGTAGGCTAGGTAAGTATTTGGTGACGCTTTAAAAAAGAAAGGAAGATTTTATCTTAAATTTAATTTAATGACAGTAGCAGGGCAAAAAACTCATTTACAATTTAAAAATCACAAAGAAAAAATAAAATAAAAAAAGAAATTCCAAAAAACATGAATAGTAAGCAAAAAATCGGATTTTTTTTCAAAAAATTTAACTACCTTAAAGGATCTAAGTCGACTTAACCAGTTACCTGCGTTTTGATCTTAAGTCAAAGTTAATTGACATTTTATTTTTCAGGTGACTTAGCGGTAATACATAAATCTCTTCTACTGAACACGTTTTTATGTGGCTGTCGAGATCACGACCCTTTAATAAGAACTTCAGCATTATCCAACCTGGCAGAAATAGTTCTAGTTTTACATTACAGGGTTGGAACAATCATATATGAGGTACGTTAAATTTTTCTAACGTCACTTTAAGTAGTTTATATGTATATTGATAAAAAGTAATGAAGTAGTGACTACTGTTCATTAAAGTTGTTACTTTTTAACTTGACACTGGCAAATACTTAATTCTTCTTGCCACAAATGAAAAAAAAAGTTGTTAATTCTTGTTCCAAAGTAATTATATATTTATATAAAAATCTATATTAGATTAATTTGTATGGACATATGTTAACCTAAGCATCTTTAATCTAACAATTTCTTCTTCTCTTTAATCTTTCGTTAATCTAACATCCCTCTCTCCTTTATCCAGTAAATTTGATACTAAATGTGTTTTGGAGTATCTAATAAGAAATAACTCATTTATATATGTTGAATCTTGAATATTTTTAAACAATTATGTTTCGTATAAATATTGCATGTAATATTATCCTATAATATAATGTGTTTATAGTTTTGGAATTTTAATATGTTTTACTCGTTTATATTTTCAGATACTCCACCATATTGAGAGTATAATCGAAACAGATAAAGCAATTGAATGTCGACGAGCTGCAGTTATGGTCTTATCCAGTCTTATAAAAGGCTTGGGTAGAGAAACTCTAATAGAATTAAAAGATAGCATTTTACCCGTATATAAAACATTAATAAAATTGTACAAAAATGATAATGAAGATTCCATAGTGAGACTTCATGCCCAAGTTGCGCTGGAAGAAATCAATGATATTGTTAAGGAATTTTTAAGTGTTGCCATACCTACAGATATAGAAATAGGCAAGCTAGATCAATCCATAAGGGAAATTAAATTTAAATAAAATGCTAATGTAAGTTTTTTTTATTATAATTTTGTGCTAGCTTAGATAATACAGAAGCTTAATAAATATTTGATCAATATCTACTTAAATTATTAATTGTAATATACTTTTCAGTCTTAATTAGTGCCTATTTACAGTTTATAACTTTAAAAATGAAGTCCTGTATTTCTCGACATTTCTGTATTATATAACGTTATAATATTATATTTTCAGTAACACCACTTGACACAAAGTTTAGTTGAAACAACAATGACTAAAGAAATATTTGGGTATCCTTCAAATAGAAAATAAATCTTTACATTTTAAATATGTATATCTTTTACACGTACAAGAGAGCTGATTGATAAGAATTCTTAGAAAAAAAAATTGTGCCAACTTATTTAAAAAATTCAGTGATTTTAAAAACCTCAAGCTTAACTATTGTGCATACAAACATAAGTAAACTTAGATTAGTTAAGCTTCAGAAGTGTTATCGCCTTGTTTCTTTACAACGTCCTCGTCCTTTTCAGACAAGGTTATTGAATACACAGAACTTTTATCTGAGAATCTATCTCTATTCCTTCCACTAAAAATACTACTGCGCGAAAGAGACGATATTGATGCGATAGACATGTCGTCTTTGTGAGCTTGTGGGAGCATTTTCCATACCAAAAGACCTAGGCCAACAAACGCCGTGACCACCAGAAACATAACTAGCGTTATTTCTCCAAACATGCCTGGAACAAAAATATTGTTGATAAAAGGATTTGATTTTCATGCAGATATTTTAATTGTCAATAAAGCAATCCCTACTAATATTTGACCGTCTTCATTACTGGATAATACGCTTTGCGTTAAGTGTTAGTTGTACTAGGATAAAAATCCCTAGTAAATAAAATACATAGAGGCCTAATCTATAATTTGCCTAAAAAATAGGTCGACGAGTGAAACACAGAGGAAACAGAATTTACTAATATGTCTGTGTTGAGACTATCTATACTAATATAAAAACGAGACTAACATACAAACAGAGTTGAATTAAAAAAAAGTTACCCGTAGTTATATTTGATGAAACACCTATAGCCGCACGTAAAACCGATTTCAGGACGTGGCATACGAGGTATATATATACAGTTATATCAGTAGTGTGTAGTGTGGCGGCGCGGATTTATTTATGAAAATAAATTTTATTAATAAATAGTATTTATTGAAAAATGTAGTATTTTATTTTTCATTATGACAAATTTAGTTCCGATCCAGTATGTTCTTTTCTGCACATTACTTTTACAAAATAATGGCGATGTTTCACATCTGCCCGGGGGCCCCCGGGGGGCCCAATTTTTTTTTTTGTTAGCTAGAGCATTTATCGGGTTCAAGACACCCAAAATTATGTATATAAGAATGATTCCCTTTAATATGATCTGAAAAAATTTTCGCGACTATATGTATATGTCTAATTCTCATGAAGTGTCATGAGCAGCTTAAATTTATAAAGATGTAGAGATTTAAATACTATCTATAGTTTACGCGAGTAGTACAAATTTAAATAAAACACTTTAACGGTTTAAAACGCGATATATTAAAGTTAAACTTATTTGAAAATGATTTTTAACTTCGCTAATATATCGCATTTTAAACCGTTAAAGTGTTTTATTTAAATGTAGAAATTTGCAAAATTAAATTTGGAGTCAACAACTATTCTAAAATCGCTGACACGGGTACCGGAAAGATCGGGATCTATTCTCAAAAAAACAATACAATACCATGAGTCAATTTTATAACTGGGTTAGATTGTATTAGATATTTATAACAGGGTAACAATATAAACATATTTATTATAGAACCTATTTTGTCTCGATGTGAATTAACCAAGTCTTACTCACTTTGCGTAGAATCGTCCTTACGGGCCTCCAAACGAGCAGGCTGAAGATTGTTGTTATCCAAATCGTTGAATGGTTCTACAGTGCCGAGCGGTCTCGCTTCGAGTAGAACATCCCCTGGGCTAGATTTGGGTAGATTTATGCCAGCTCGAACTGTTAACGTCTCAGGTTTGTATGAGCACAGCACGAGAAACCTAAAGCAATGATAAATTTGTATTTTTATTTAATATATTGATACAACTAGATTAACTATTGCACAAACTCTTACCGTCACCAAATCTATTGTGAAAAATTATTATAATATTATTTTATAGTCAAAGGCCTTCTAAATGCCCTTATTTGTTAACATATAATTATTAGTTATTTAAATACAAACCCTTATTTGAAAGAAGTAAATTTAAAAGTATGGTCATATTTTAATATCTCCACGATTTGAAAATAATTATAGAGATTTGAAGTGACATATTTTCTAAAGTCTAAATCGACGACGAGGTTTCAACGATGACAGAATTTGGAAATGATTTTACTGTTTTAAATTAAATTCCATTTCTAACGGAGACAAGTCCCAACCACCACATTCGTGACAATCTCTTTCGTCCATTAGACTTAGGTCCAGTCGAATTACGGTTTCAAACAACGGTAGACGACAATATACCGACCCTATTTAAAATATAGATCAAAATTGTTTAAATGTTGTTACGAGACGCGACAGGTATTCATATAAATTGTAAAACTAAACATCGATATTATTTGTACCTTCTTGTACTATGTGTCAGAATCGGAAGATTCTCTTGCACGATCACGTAAGTAGCTACAGTGGTTTCATTGACGTCTGAGCCGCATTCGTCGTGATGTATCCGAAGAATGTAGGCGTCTTGCGCGCTGTTCGGGTTGCCTTGTATGGAACAGCGCTCTGGGCCCCCGTCCGCTGCTTCTACGGCTATTCGTCCTCCGAAGTAGGGTCCAGTTGAAACCTCGACTTCGCTGGCGTGCGGTAAACATTGTGTGGCGCGTGCTGAAACTATTTTTTGTGTGTCTATAAACTCCGACGCTTAACGTCATATTCAATCTAGTTGACCTGTAAGATTGGGTGTTAGATTTTTTTTTTCTGTATGCATTAGGCATTTCATAGACTTAAACTTCGTATGACAAGAACTTCATTTTCAATTTTACGCATATTAGCATTAAGACAGAGGCGCTCAAGCACTACGAGTTATTAATAATAAAAGTTAAAAATCCTAGAAAATGTAAAACGTTTTTTATTCAATAGAAAGCGATGAATCTAGACACTTTACAAACACTTTCTATTTGACTTTCGGAGGCGAATAAAAAATTAGTATCGACATATGGAAATCCAGCACTATCGTCCTAGATAATATATAAATATTTACATACATATGCACAAGTAGCAGGTGTTTGTACTTATATACTAAATATGTAGAATAACTCTACAATTGGGTCTCTATTTCGAGAAAAAACAAATTAACCATAAAAGATTTTCGTGGAGGTCGTAAAGATAAAACGTGTCCTTTTTCCCTGATAACCTCTTAAAAACCGTCGCAGGTAAGAAATTGGATAAAATGGTCAACCGATATGGACTAATTATCATTATTTGGCCTACAATCGGTGTCCTTGATACAAAGTAAAAACCTCGAACAAGAAACCAGAAAAGAAAGAAAAAGTTTTTTTTTAATGAAGGTACGAAAAAAAATACTTACATCCTTTTGTAGGTACTATAATGATCTTAGACCCAATGGAAAGTGGGTCTGCCAAGTCTCTAGGATCACGCCTCACTGGTCTCACTTCGAAGGAGTAGGTGGTCGCCATTCGTAACCCGGTAATGTATGTGCTGAAGCTTCGACCACGATGTCCTATTGCTGGCTTCGATGTAGTGGTTATCAACCATCCTTCCGGTTCTTTCTTCTTCAGAATTTTCAACTACCTACATTTTTTATTTAACAAGTAAGTAGTAACGTTTATTAAACTTAATCGGTAAATAGGAAATCCTTAATATATATTTTTTTAATTATGTTTAATTGTAACACATTTTTTTTGGTCGGTATGGTATACCTTTATTTTAATAGGAATCTTAGGTGATTACGATATGAAGTTTATATAAAAGTAAAATGGCCTATATGACTTTTTATATTCGTTTAATTACTTCGAAACCTTTAATATTGTGCGCCCGTGTCGTAAAATTATAATTCAAGATTCAATTATAATATAAGATTTACAATTCGTTTAAAACACTGTTTATTAAATCAGTTTGGAACACACATGTATAGACGGAATTAAAAGTCACCACACTTTATAGTTTCGTCGCCGAGCGTAAAGGTGTATTTGAGAATCCCTAAGTTCAATGCATTGTGTTGGTCTTAACTCCAAACCTGGGATATTTATATTTTAGCAGGAGCTATTCATTATATAAAGATAACGTACTTTAGTTCTACACCGGTACTGTCCCCACGCCTGCAGCTCGCAATAGTGAATTTGGAAGGCCAACAATTTCCTCGTATCCTCGTCCGCCTGCCCATATTCCCACCTTAGTCTTACATCGCGAAAGTCTGGCTCACCGATGAGATGCAGTACTTCTAAAAATAACACCATCAAGCGAATCTAATAAAAGTATTTTTACATAAGGTAGGCCCTTGTAGTCAAATGGTTATATGCGTTGGCTAGCATTGCGTTAAGCGCGAGAGGTCTTAGGTTCGGATCCGGGATGTCTGCAGACTACTGACCTATAAAGAAAACCGATTAATGAAACACACACAGAAATATATTCTCCCCATGCCCCCACGGGGGGCAACAGAGTTTTAATTTTAATACTGATTATATCTGTGTAACGAAATTGATAAAGGATTAAGTGCTTTAGTTCCCGAGTTTGGATCATGGAAATATTGTTCTTTTTGATCGAAATATGGGAGAAGTCAGTTTTTCTTTATTTGTCTGTAGTAAATCAACGAAGCGGACGCTGAAATGTGTCCTACTTGTAGGAAAATCACACACAGAAATACGCTTTTTATTAAAGCTTTAGGTAAGTAGTTGAAGAAGCCCGAAGTTGCAAAAACATGAACATCTCATCAACGCATCTCCTAACCTGCGTCCAGGTCTTACTGGTTTCTATATGAGGCATTAAGATAAAACCATGAGCTATTTGTGACAAACTTGTTAATCTGGGCGTTTAACTACATGCTTAACAATTTTAATTCTTGGTACATAATGTTTATCTGCTCTTTTTCACTATAGCTTGTGCCATGCAAAATCGTGATTATAATAACAGTAAACCCACTGTTTAAAAAATAATTATTTTGAAAATTGCTTATTCTTCTTCTTACTTTACAAATCACTTCGTCATAATTATTCAGCTTAGACTAAGACTTCTTTCTGTGAGTTTCTAACAAGCACTGCAAAAATTTCGATAAATATTTAAATTACATTACATACTATACCAGCTGTGTCAGCGACTTCGTACGCGTAGAATAGTTATTTTAGGCATCCAAATTAGTTTTTACAAACGTCATCAACGCGTCCCGTCGTTCTTGCAAGTTAATATTAAAAGATAGACATATAGTTTCGTAGTTTTTTTTACATAATTTAAAGAGGAAATCACTCTTTCATATATATTTTTTGTTTTTTTTTAAACCGTTTTACGTACGCATTGGAAACCTACAGAGATAAGTAATTGTCCCCTTTTTTTCCACAATCCCCGCTGTTTCTTTGCACCTATTAGTCACAACGCGATATTTTATAACCTTCCTCGATAAATGCTCTAACAAACGCAAAAATAATTTTTGATCCACCAGTTGTTACTGAGATTAACGCAATCAAACAAACAAACGAACTCTTCAGCTCTATGTATTCTTATAGATATCTTAATTTCAGTTAAAGGTTTTTGTCCATTGTTCTACGTCACGATAAAATTGAAATAGGAACTAGATTTTATATAGCAAATAAATAATGTGGCAAGTAATAACCTACCTACCCAGATACAGTTTTACGATTTGTGGTTGTTGTTCGTGTTGGATGACCAAGCGTGACCTAGCGGCCAGTTCGCAACGACGAACGCCATGACTTATTTACTTTACCATAATTATTTTGCGCATGACAATACGACTAACGAATTACGAAATAATATTGACAATGTAGAACGCGCCTATTAGTTAAATAGATTTGCCTTGCAAATTATTATTTACAATTCTACCTCATTTGCCTTCACCTTTTTTATTTTAATTTGTAAGATACAGATAATAAATAAAAATGCGATTTTTATACAGATACTATTTACAGGTCTAATCTATTCTAAACTAAAAATTATCTGTTTCTATTAATTTCTAAACAGTGTTATTTATCTGTGTAAAATTACAGACAGACAGTATGTTGTAATGTTTAATTTCAGTGTGATTGTGTCGGGTGACTGACGCGAAACGATTCTACAAACAATAAAAGATTTTACGCGCATCGCACTTCCTGTGCGCATTATGAGGCCATCTGATTTTATATTGTCAGAGGACATAGCCCTTCGGTGCTAACCTGTATATCATTTACGTATTCGCATAACATACATTACAAATATCTAGATTCGCCGTGTTTTAAAATCTACCCTCTATTCTTTTTGGTGGGCACACATCTAACAAATTGGGATAATAATACAGTAACCAAAAAATAATTTCTATTTGAGTCCACCAAAACCAAATTATTGACGTTTCTTAGTTTTTAGAGAGATTAATAGAAGCCTAAAGCAGAGGGGCATAAATTTTATTGATTCAATGATAATTCAAAATATGCTAAAATAGCCGATAGCGCATATTGTGTAGATGTTATACATTAACTGGAGTATTTCACCTTGCACCAAGAACGCTAATTATCTGTTCTTCTCAGTCATAAAATATAGTTATTGTAATATCTAGTAAACACAATACGACAATATGACATATTTTTTATTTACAAAACATTATGCTGTCCAGTGACTACGGCTGCTGTATAACATTCGAAATCTCCGGCTGTAGTTTAAATCAAATTTACTAATATATTTTACGTATTAAACCGTTGTAAGTGTTTCATGCTCACCAGACAAGGAAACAGATAATATTTCTTATTTATATCTCTCTAAGTATTCACCTACATTGTTGAGTATGGTCAGTAATATTTATTGTTCGGTTCTTAGCTCTGTGTTTAGTTCTTTACATTGTCAAATGAATTTATCATCTACCTGGCTATTTCATGAATTGTCGGTCGCATGACCAAATCCAGCCACTATTTGAGGCCGCTTAAAAAGATGACGTTAAACGTTATAACATTTAGTACTCTGAAATTGGAAATAAACTATGTAAATCTCTCGTATTGTTAAGAGGTCCGTGCGTGTATAATCTCCATTTTTGCTGTATTCAATTAAAAATTGACCCACTGTCGACGCCACTTACAGACAAAACGTTTATTGTATTCGGGACGCGGTTGCAGATGCAATACTTAAATCTCTTTGTTACAACGTTACAAGCAAATTCGGCAAAACGAATTCAAAGTACCATAGATATTAAGTTAAAGGCGGTCAATAAAATTTTTTTGGATGAATCATGTCCATAGACAAAATGTGTGTCATAGTCTTTTTTGTATGTTCGAGCATATAATTGATCTAGTCTGTTTAAATAAAACACTTTAACGGTTTAAAACGCGATATATTAGTTAAACTTATTTGAAAATGATTTTTAACTTCGGCCCGACGTTTCGGATGCTTTGCAGCAGCCGTGGTCACGGGGAGACTAAAGATGGAGACCCATGTTTTATTTAAATGTGTACTACTCGCGTAAACTATAGACAGTATTTGATCTAGTCTGTCAAATGCAATTTCTTCAATTAGTTAATTTAATTTTTGGAAATAAATCTATAGATTTTACATATATGTAAGCTGAATGGAAGGCTTATACGTAAGCGATGTATAGATACGAACAATACTAAAACTGTTATTGATACAAGCAAAACTTAACTTAAGAATAAGTAATAGCGTATATGTATATGCGGGGATACACGGGGAGACCCGTGATCACGGCTGCTGCAAAGCATCCGAAACGTCGGGCCGAAGTTAAAAATCATTTTCAAATAAGTTTAACTAATGTATCGTGTTTTAAACCGTTAAAGTGTTTTATTTAAATGTGTACTACTCACGTAAACTATAGACAGCATATATATAATAACAGCTATAATGAATACAACCGAAAAGGTGCGAATCGGGAGCGCGGATACCACCGTCTAGATAAGAAAATTTTATTTTAGGTACATAATGTGTAATTATTTTTAGTTATAAGTTTATTGTATAGCTACAACACAAAGCATAGTCAGTATAGTTAAGTTTTTTCTCTTTGGCTACAGAATCCTAAAAAAATAGGAACAGTATTAATTTTATTAATTATTATTAAGACCTTATACAAAGTAAGAGATTAATATACTTAACTTATTAACATAAAATAACTATACATAGTCCGATTTTATCTAAAAAGTTATAATTAAAGAGATCCAAATCGATAAAATGTTAACCATACAATATCAGTTAGCGTGGGCTAGTACCATAAAACGAAAATGGCAAATTCAAAGAAGGTTAGAAAGCCGTTATGCATCGTGGATCTATATCAGATCTATCTATCTATATATGGTAGCCTTTATTACGATCTACATCCGAAGCAGAGATATGGGGATCAAAAGTTGAAGAAGGAAAGGAGGAAATTTGCCTTTCAGTTAGTAACTAAACATTTTTACAATAAAAACGGCCTGGGCATTACTTATTTTACGTTGCTTTTGGTAAATAATTGAAAGAGATTTAAGCTTACACAGAAAACGCACCTGAACGGTTTAAGAACGCGAACATATCATTAATTAATGTTCAACCACGATCTGTTGCTTTTACATACTTTCCGGCTACTTTGCTTACGTTATAAATTGTTATTAAATTAAAGAAAGTCTTACTCAAGCTACTATGTGTATCGACTAATGAAGCCTAAAATGTAATTATCAGCTAATTAAAGCAACAGCGCCTTGTCAAACACGTTAAGTGAAAGCTTAATTTCACACGTGACCCATATCAAATGGATCAACGAAAGTGAAACAAACGTTGCAACACCATGGCTTCACTCAAAATTTTAAAAGCTAAAAGCTTAGTTTCTATAAAGGTCTTTACAACGTCGCAAGCGAAACTGGCCAGACCGTTAGGGCATGCATAATTCTGAAAACGAAATGTTCCGTAGACATATTGACAACTCTATCGTACAATGTTGCTTTGTACACTTAAAGCGAAGCTATTATTACTTTTTAACACTTTAATTAACAGATTTTTTATATATATAGATAGAGGACGAGAGACAGGTTCATTGATAGGTATATAACACCTCATGTCCATGTTTCAGAAATAATATAAATTTATTAGGAATTTATTTAATAAAGTAAATAAATTTGATCCAATCCGGAGATCGAATCCCGACATTCCTCACAATACACAAATACACATAGAACTAGCGATCAAACTGTATATTATAGCAACAGAATTGTGTGTTTGTCTCATTTATAAATATTACCTACAATTGATTACACCGAGTACTATGAAAATAAAAATGGATAATCTACATAAGAATAACCTAAAAAAAACTTTAAATTTAAATAGTTATCATATTATTATTGTATTTAAATAAACCACTTAAACGGTTTAAAACGCGATATATATTAGTTAAACTAATTTGAAAATTATTTAAGTACGGCCCGACGTTGCCTATAGTTTAAAAGCAAGACAAAGTCGCGAGTATACACAATATTACACACATTGTTCGCATCAATCATCTGACCTATTGATACTTGATCGGTGTAGGTTAATCTCGCGTTTGATGACAGCGGAACCCCGTAAGTAGGACTGGTCACGGGTAATACAATCCATCACCTCGGTAACTGGGTGAGCTGTATCAGATATTAGGCCGTAGTCTACAGCTATTCTCGTTATCCAATTTTACGTCGATCGCCCTAGTCTCCAATAATAGTGTTATGGTCCGTAATGACTGATCCATACAACTGTGTATCCACAACCAATATGCTATAAAAGCGAAGTATATTATCTATATAAGGGTGCATTTTTTTTAAAATAAAAACTAAAGATTTAAAACGGGATATATATTAGTTAAACTTATTTGAATATTATTTTAACACCACTCGGATTTTAGCAGCCGTGGACACGGGGAGACTAAAGATGTAGAGTCTCTTTGACATCAAAGTTAAAAAACTACAGACGACAGACAGTTTAACTACATATTAAATAAAACAACATTTAACAGTTTAAAACACGGACTGTGTCTAGATTAATTCTTAACTACATCACGCGTTTTTGGATGCTTTACAGACTACTTGTGACCGTTAAATTTCACTAATCGATTATTTAAAGTAAATGTGATGATTTATGTTTTTTTATGAATTATGATACCCCCACGATATAATATCTAAACTATATATTCTATCAACCTATTTTGGCTTTGAATATTTAGTAAAGCCGAAACGCGAGTCACGGCTTTTTCGTCTGTAGACGGTGGTTCGTGACCCGGACAGAATTTTCATTTGTGGAAATTAAACCCACCGCCTGTTGATTACTTTTAGCCATACATTGCTACCATAAGGTAATTTATTTACTTTATACAAGAACAAAGTTATTATAAACAGTTATCCCAACTCCCGTTGAGATTCTAATCGTTAGCGCGGATTATTATAGCCTGAACATCTTAATGCAAAAGACATCAGATGCACTACAGCCGTGAAACTGTTCTTAGACGTGATTACATCTTGATGGTAAAAAGCGGAACAGAAGGTGTCGTGACGTTATAGATTGTGTAACAGTTACAAAGTCTCATATCATACAACCTTTATTCCTTCCATCTTGCAACTTATATAATAACTAGCTGTGCCCGCGACTTCGTCCGCGTGGAATAGTGAATTGGGGTAGAATTTTTAATTATTTAGGCTTTTTTTTAAATTTATGTAAGGGCGCATTTAAAGCAGCCAATCTATGGTAAGTGCTACTTTGCCGCAACACTCTCACCTCACATCATCCTCCTACTACCACTCCCACTCCTATTCCCAAAAAGCCAAAGAAGAAAGTTTCATTGTTCTAGCTTCAAAAACGACGAAGTTTCATACAAACTTTTATCCTCTGTTTCAACCCCTATCAACCCTTATTTGTCATTAAAAAGTCTACGTCTCAGGCTCTAAAATATCTGTGTACCAAATTTCATTTAAATCAGTTCAGTAGTTTCGGAGTTAAAGGACAGACAGACAGACAGAGTTACTTTTGCATTTATAATATTAGCATAGATTACAGTGGCGTGAGATAAGCAACGTAAGACTAGAATGGGAACACATGTTTTACTACACTGTAATTCGCGTTACGATAACAGGCGGGACTCGAACCGAAAGTCTTTTTGCTTCACCTTATACGGCTAAGCCCTTGGTGAATCATGAAAATATTAAATGCATTGAATATGATGACGTTTTTGGCTCACAAATAAAATTCTATATTTTTTGTTGCCATGCAAACCATGCGTAAAATGTTATTAAATTATTTGTAAATTAAATAACATTTTAGCAGTTTTACAATGAGTCGCGACTGCTCAAAAGCCTCCGAAATAACGACGCGTAGTTGAAGGGACATACTTCGCATTTAAACCGTTAGAAAAGTTTTATTTAATGTGTACTACCAGCGTAAACTACATGCACGCTACACACAGCATTTGTTAATTTATTGCAATTATTACGCTTTATAATTCCTTATCTTCCCTTTTAATTTTTAATTGTCTATGGATCTTCAAACCCAAATAATAATTAAAATTAAATTGAATAAGGTCTTAGTGCTCTTGGGTCAATTCAAACGAACTTGTTGACCGGTGGCATATTAAATTTCGAGGATGAGTGTACTTAAAAAACCATCAATGAACTCGTGCACAAAACAGTTTTTGTATTATTAAGTAGAAATTTTGTAATTTTGCAACCTATAAGTATAGTGTTGATATTTGAAGCCATAATCATATTTATTTATATCGTGTTTTTAGTAGGTATTCGTTGTGTTAGCGAAAAAAAACAAATTGTAAACAAAATTTAATTGCAGAACGGCGGTTCTTGAGACAGAAAGACAACGAAGTTTCAGTAAGAGGGGCCGATTTTTACGCTTTCAGTGCGCAAATCTAAAAAAGGCACTACAAATTATAACAAACATTTTCAAATTCACGCAAAATTAAAGTATATAAGTAATACTCATCCACTAAAAATATATTCTTTAACATTTTATCCAGTACCAAGAAAACCTACTGTTAACGAAATTTTGAAACCTTTCTGGAGGTCAAATGGAATGGAATTATACAAATAATTTAATTCATAAATATGTACAATTATTAAGGCCTTACCGTCGTCCGCGCCGATTTCGGCAATCGGCGAAACAAGTGTCGTTTGTAAAATTACTCCAAAAAATAAAATCTCCCGATAGCACATAGTGGATTTTTTATTGCATTTATTTATTCAAGAATATCAATCGAAACCCAGCGAATTTAATAATACAGCGTTCCGAGTAAAAGCATTCGACACACGAGATCGTTTCACCGCGGTCTCAGATAGACTACGTAACGTTCCTAACAAACATTCACAAACCACAAATATACAATTTACGTATGCAGTTACAATTGGCATACGTGCATACAATTTAGATCATATTTTTTGGCACAGTATTATCAAGCGGTGGCCGCCTTCGTGGCTTATTGGTTAAAAGTTGTAGCGCGAAAGAGGTAGGTTCAAATCCCAAAAAATTCAATCATGTGTTTTTGGTTTTTTATATTATTAGGATATTGACAGATTGAAATCAAAATTCGATTAAACTTGACGTCTTTTTATCTGATGACGGTGGTTCGTGACCCGGACGGAATTTCGATATTACTACCACCCATTTATTGTCCAGACGAAGTTTAACGCAGTGGGGATCGAACCCTCAACTCGTTGCTTATGAGCCAACTAATGCCATTGCAGCAATGAGATCTTAAAATTTAATTATCTTTTTAAACCTACGACTATGCTATATTTGTGGGATACAGCGTGATTCGGATTTAAGCAATAACTAAATTGCTTGTATAAATAAATGCGTTTTCATCCATCCAGGATCATAGTACACGTCAGGACATCTACGTCCTGACTGCCTTCATCTGGCTCCATAATTCGGTCTTTTATAAGCGAATAGAGTGCCGATTATTTGGCGCATGCGTTCCGCAACAGCGCGCGCATTTGCCAGCCGAGGGCTGAAGTCGAAACCCATAAAAAGTGTCGCTCATAAAATTATTATAAACAAACAACAGCAGAGTGTAAGACGAGAAGCCATGGGTAACCAATTCAGAAGTGTGGCCTTCATCACCTGCTTGAAAACTTTTCTTTTTGTGTTTAATTTTATGTTTTGGGTAAGATTTTTTCATTATACAACAGGTATTTCGTAGATACCTTTGATATCTATAAATTTTATTATTATAATTCACTAATAATAAAATTAAGATAGATAACTAATTGAAATTTTAGTACAGATTTATTTAATTAGATCCACATAACACTTATTGTATTTTTTAATTCAATGTTTTTATTTTGTTCACAGTTAGCCGGCCTCCTTATCTTGGTGATCGGTCTTTGGGCGGAATTCGACCTATATAAGTACATGGAGTTGTCCCCAGATTTTTCTGGAACAGCTCCACTTGTCGTCATTGGAGTATCTGGACTAAGTTTGATCATCAGCTCCATTGCATTTTCCTGCATCGTCAAAGGCCAACCGGTTCTTCTGTACATCGTAAGATTTTTGAAATATATAACTTAATTGATTAACCTTTGACCTTTCAGATCTACCAACCTAAGCGCAACAGTTTGCGATAGCTGCCTTCTTTGGTTTATACTTTAAACTTCTTTAGTATATTAAACAAAACTCGAATCTGTGATAGTTTGCGTGTGTACCAGTTCAGTAAATGTTTTTAAATTTAGTAATTTTTCGCCTTTAATAAAGTACATAGTAAACATAAAACAATATTCTTTTAATCTTTGAATGTTTAAATAACAATATTCTGTTTTCAGTATGGTGGATTCATGATTTGCATCTTTATGATGGAAGTTGGCATGTGTTCTTCGATTGTGTGCTTCAGGGACACCTTCGCACAAGGCTTATACGACGGGCTTACTCAGACGATCAAAAACTACGACTCCAAAAGGACAAATCTTGATATCGCTCAAACTCGAGTAAGATTCTAGCAACTCAATAAGACAACTTTTAACATTTCCTCACACTTTTTTTCGCACGCATTATTAATATTGCGCTAGCACATAATCCCTCGGTAACAAATAAACATACCAACAGTATAACTAAAAACTACCCTACCGTAGGTACCTAAAAAGATTATGAAATCGATATTTTCTAATAGCACACTAACCCCATAGTATAGTATAATAATTTTCATAGATGCATTGCTGCGGCGTTACAAATTACACGGACTGGATGAAGATGTCTCCCCAACGAGTGATCCCGACCTCCTGTTGCATTGATACCACGCACTGCGTTACCGCTAATTACAATGATGTTTACCAACGGGTATGAATTTGTTGTTTATTGCCTTTTTTCATTCTTTTTTATTAAACATCAAGTTTATTTTATTTAACAATATTTCAGGGCTGCTTCGAAGTGATAGCCGAGTACGTGAAGACCAACATGACAGTTATAGTGGCCGTCGCTGTCCTAACGTCCATCTTACCTTTGTTCGGTGCAGTCGTGGCCTGCTGCTTGGCAAACTATATTAGGAGCTCCCAATACGACGTGATTGCTTGAATGTATTATGGCGTAGATATCAAATACCAAACTGAATTCCAATAACTATCATCTTGAAATGTATACCTATCTCAATTTTATCTCTTGAACCTTAGTGTTGTGAATTAGTAATAGCGAAGACTATAGTCTTCGGTAGTGATAATAGCATCGTTTTAATTACATTTAAGTGTTTCTCGTCTGATTGTAATAGACTATATTGTTCAATTAAATTCCAGGTTCAGCAATTCTTGTTTTATTTATAACAAGTAGTTAGTGGCGCAATGAGTTATAAAGTGTCGCCTAGCATAACGTGACATAGGGCATTGCCGATCCTACAAATTGAGTAACATATCGATCAAGTGGCAGTTATACTGCAGGTTAATTTATACGAGGATCGGAGTGTTAGTCAACCATTTGCCTGTAAATAGAATCTATGAGTGAATACTGTCTATAGTTTACGCGAGTAGTACACATTTAAATAAAACACATTAACGGTTTAAAACGCGATATATTAGTTAAACTTATTTGAAAATGATTTTTAACTTCGGCCCGACGTTTCGGATGCTTTGCAGCAGCCGTGGTCACGGGGAGGCTAAAGGTGGAGGATGTCTCTGACGTCAAAGTAAAAGATTGCTACGCTAGCGCCATCTGTTCCGTCGAAGTTGGTATTTGGAGACACTGGCCGGGTCCTTACAGAATTGACTTACAGTGTCTTCGCGTCTATAAGTGAAACACAAAATTTTATTATCCCCATGTCTCATGGAGCAAAGGAAGATTTTTTTTATATTATTTTAGTAAGAATTTTACAGGATAGAATTGTATAAAAAAAGTAATGAATTTCCGTTTTTTTTTTAATTCATTTTGTGCTCTGTTCAATAAACCGAAAAATCTGGATAAAAGTGTACAATCACTTCTCCAATATCTCCAGTTCACAATTATGCAGTAAGTTCACAAAATGTAATCTTTATCTTCCTTAAAATATGACTATGTCTTTCTTATAGAAAAAGATATTGTGTAATCAAAATATTTTATTTTTGATTTCAAAATAAGTATGGACAAATAATCAAGTCCTTTAATATAACTCCTAAAGTAAACAATTAATCACTGTCAGAACTATTCTTGTCTTCTTTGGGTTCAACGGGTGCTTCTTGCTTATAATGCCTGTATTCCGGCTTTAATTCCCACATGTTCTTGTGGGGGTTCTTTAAATTATAATTGCATACTTCTTTTAATATTTCCTTTAAATACACAATAGGTTGTCTTGTAATCTGAAAATAATATAAAATAAATTATTGCATATTGTGTATATGAGACAAAATATTGTGCAAATATAAATTAGGTGTAAATTCTAATCACTAAAAACACTGGGTAATCATTTTTCAAATAAGTTCAATATATCGCTTTTTAAACTGTTAGTGTTTTATTTTAAATGTGTACTACTCGCGTAAACTATAGACAGTATACCTCTAATATATATACAAATTTTGTTGATTGTAGGTTTTCTTACTTGACGCATTTATAATTTGTTTTAATGTACTATTTTTTAATGTTAGTTACGAGAATACTTTAAAACTATGAAATTAGATATACCTTCTGCAAGTCTTTAATATTGTAATATTGGTGTTTCTCAAACGCTGCAAATAGCACATTGAGCACGGCTTCCTTGTCGTCACGGGCCTTTTTACCTTCTGCCTTCTTCTGTTCACGATATTCTCTCTGAAAATTTGTATAACAAATATTTGCGTTAATATAGACTTATACAAATATAGAACACTTTCTCAACTTCAGTTAACTTAGGGTAAATAAAACAATAAAAACAAACACCAGCTTGCTATTGGTGTACCCAATATAAAATAAGAATAAGTACAATAGTTAATTGATATTTCATGGTTATAGGATTCACAAACAATTTTTATGAAAGATAAAACAAAATTATTCAAAGAATAGTAGGATATCATTATTTATATCAATCACAAATTATGCATTAAAAAATAGCAAAAAGTCTCACAGTTTGTATGTTGACTATTGTTTGCAACAACTATGAAATAATAAATTCATAATCACAAAGATTGAATATCCTTATTGATACACAATTTTATTATTCTACACTTGAGGTGTATGTTTATACAAATAAAACTATCCTTACATTGTGTTTGTGTTCTGAAATAGGTTTGAAGTTGTGTACAATTTTATCTAGCTGTTGAACTTGTCTTTGAGGCAAAGATGCTTTTCTTATTGATTCAGACTTGAGTTTATAGTATATTGGGTCTGCAAAAGGTATACACTCCAGTTTTTGAACTATTCTTCCTTCCATATACAATTTCTCCGATTCAGGTATAACTGAGTCTGTTTGCATAGCTGTAAAAAGAAAAATAACTTTAATTTAGACTTGATTATAAAAGTTGCCTAAAATTTCATAATATGAGAAATGGAACATATGATTTCTTAATAGTATACCAAATGTAGCAAAAACACTTACGAACAACATGTGAAAAGACTCCAAGAGACATTCTAGTAACATTGGTTACATCAAGACGATGTTCTTTTGGTATACTCTGTTCTCCCGGTTCTTTAAGGCAAAGAACTCCCTCCGACAACGACAATTGCACTTGAGGCTTTTGACGAGCTACACGAGATATCTTTAATTTTCCTACTTCAATATCGCCGGGTGCTTTATCCCATTTTGTCGCGATATATTTTGGTACTTTCACTAGCCATACACCTCTGCCAGTATTCGATAAATCCAGCTCACGATCAACATGTGGTACCGCATTTGTATTACTCATATTTAAAAAACTTCTACTTCTTTGTCTTAGGCACTAAGACCTATGATTTTTATTGATTTTGCACGAAAGATCGAAAATTCTGAAAGAAAGTACTAACCATGTATTAAACAAAATGTACCTTCAAAATAAAAACACCATTCGCTTTGACGTGTTTGACGCATTCGTAGCATCCGTCAATTCGTAGAATGTAATAACAGATTACAGATAGAATATACGAGATGTAACCAATTCCATAAATATGTTCTAGAACTAGTTAATTGACAACTAAATCCTATGACTTCATAGTATATACTATAATAAAATAGCGTTTTTTAATTACATTTTTATAGCCATTTTTATTTTTATACAACACAGGGGCTTAAAATTGCTGGAGAAAAGGCTACATAGCGCATTTTGACTTCAATAATCATGAAATAAATGACAATAATTATCAAATAGATTTACAAACGCTAATAATTTATCACTATGTAACTTTTGTGTGTATATCTGCAGATATAACACTATGGTGAATGTGTTATATCTGTGCTAGAATCCTTCTCATAAAATAAGTACTCTCCACTCTGTAGTAGATACAAATTTAAATATTGGAAAATAATACAAATACAGCGACTCTTCGTACAATACTAATAGTGACAAATACTGTAAAATATTTATACAGTAACAACTAACAAACGTAATGTGTCTTTTTGTGGTTTTAAAATGCAGCAGTGAATAATTATTATACGCTGCTGCTATTTGTTTTGCTTTTACCTCAGTATTTACAGTTACGTGAATGAAGATTTCAATATGTTCGGATATAGCAAAGAAGCAGTTAGAGTGAAAGTCAAGGTACTTACCACATACCGTAGCGGTTCAAATTATCTTTCTTGTAGTGTAATATATTTTTAATTTTAACTCTAGAAATCAATACAAGTGATAAAAGAATAGTTTAATATTTTCTAATTGGTTTTCAGAAGTGTGAAGGAAAGCTACAACCAGAGTTACGAAAGTTTTCAGTAGACCCACAAATTACTTCATTGGAAGTATTACAAAGCATTTTAGTTAAAGCATTTGATATAAAATCAGACTTTACATTATCTTATAGAACTTTAGATGATGTTGGACAGGAGATCTATTTACCATTGCTATCTGATTGGGATTTGGATGCTGCATTTTTAAAGTATGTATACACACTATATTTTTCACACAAAAAAATACAAGGTTTTATTAAATTCTAGTCTACATTCAAAAGTTAGTGCAACACAATGGAAAATTCTTTGTCATTAAGTATAATGTATTCATTTATTAAGATTAAAAAATAACATTAAGTACTATCTAATTTTAATGATATAAATATTCATTTAAAACCCTTATTTCTAGGTCACATAATTTAGCTGTAACACAAAAGACAGAACCATGTGTGCAGTTAAAAGTGGATATGAAACCATTTGCAGAAGCTTCAGAAGATTGGGAACCCCCTGCAATCCCTTCAGGATCCATAAGTCAAAATATCAGGGAACCACCAGTACAGGTGCAGAATATGCCACAATCTGATAAGTCAGAATCACAAGTAGGGCTTCAAGGAATGATAATGAATCAGGTTAAACCATTCTATTTTGTCTTAGTTGTATAATATATGATTTATGTAAACCCGTTATTTTAATAAGAATATTATATAAAGAGTAAACTAATTAGTAGGGATTTACAGGTAGAAAAAACCTTCAATATGGTGTCAAGAGCTTTAAATTTGTATGAGGACCCAAATACCCCTCCAAGACCACCATTAAATGATGTAGAATTTAGATCATTCTTAGATCCAGTTGGTAGAATATACAATATTGCTAAATTAAAAGAAGTTATTTATTGTGGGGGAATAGAACCAAGTCTGAGGTAATTCCATGGATTATAATTTGACGCTTATTATAGATTTAGTTCTCTATCTTTGCATATCATTATATCTATGGATTTAACAGGAAAGTAGTCTGGAAACATATACTTAATGTATACCCTGAAGGCATGACTGGTAAGGAAAGAATGGATTATATTAAGAAAAAGGCTAATGAATATTATTCTTTGAAGACAAAATGGAAAGACTGCATTCAAAGTGGAAAGGTGAATGTGCTTTTTAGTATGTTAATATAAAGAACTCATTGCGCAAATCATAGGAAAACAACTATTGTTTAGGTTTGTCAGTGCAGAAATTAAATTTATCAGTAAAACAGATATAATGAGTAAGTACCCTGTACACAGGTGGTATTTCATGCACAATGTGTTTGTTTTTCAATTAACATAGTTTTCATATTACAAGCTGATTTACTATAAATACTTCAACTTTTAATATCATGTCTAATAGCATAATTTTTCATTCTCTATATAGTGCTTTTATTTTTACATTTCAGGTAAATGCTGACTTAGCTTATGTAACCAGCATGGTAAGAAAAGATGTCCTTCGAACTGATCGGCATCACAGTTTTTATGCTGGAAGTGATGACAACCAAAATATTGCTTCACTGTTTAATATTTTAACAACGTAAGTACCTAAATTATGTTGTTGCTATATAACATTTAGAAATGAAGTAAAGAATGAATGTATTTCAATGGAAAAAAATAATATATAGAAATTAAATTACAGGTATGCTCTCTACCATCCCACTGTAAGTTACTGTCAAGGTATGTCTGACCTAGCATCTCCACTGTTAGTGACTATGGGCGATGAAGCCCATGCATATATTTGTCTCTGTGCACTGATGACAAGATTATATACAAATTTTTTATTAGACGGAGAAGCTATGACTCTTAAGTTTTCACACTTATCAGAGTCACTTCAAGTGTATGACCCAGATTTTTACAATTATTTGAAATTACAACAAGCAGATGATCTTCTATTTTGCTATAGATGGCTGCTTTTGGAAATGAAACGTGAATTTGCCTTTGATGATGCTCTACGAATGTTAGAAGTGCTATGGGCATCCTTGCCGCTAAAGACAACTACTACAGAATTATTTCTCCTAGAAAAAGATTTTGATTCCACATTAAATGTTACTATTGATCCCCCTCCTCTTAGTCCATTAGTGAAAGCACCTAGAGAAAATGCATACACAAAAGTTTGTGCAATAAGAAGGCAAAGTTCTAGCTTTAGTATAGCAAATATAAAGGCACCAAAACTTTCAAACATTAAACTTAGCAACCTAAGTTTAGATGAAAATGCGGCAAGAAAGGCACTAAGTAATTCTTTTAAACGTGCGAAAGAATTTCAAAGTCTTGACGATGCTTCATTACATTTGAGAAGAACCAATCATCACAAAGAAAGAATAGAAGAAACAATTCACACAAAAGAAGTAAACAATGCTACTAACCAGATGGCAGACCTTAATGAGAAAGACAATGTTGAAGTTATAGAAGAGCTATCTATCACAGAGAACATGCACAATGGAACTAACCCAATGAACTCCAGTATAATAAAGGAAACCCCATTAGGCAGCCAGATTAGATTGCTTCGGGATAAAATTCTAGTACATAATAACAAATTTTTCTCATCATTAGACAAACTAGATGTATCTCTAGACATGGATAAACCAAAGGTAAAAATAATTAAAAACCTTAACGAGTTTTTGAATTTCACAACTGCTAAGCCTGATATTAAACCAGGTATTTGCTCAAACACAGAGATTGTAGAGGCTAAATATTCTAAAGTAGCCCCTATTTTACATTTACATGCATATGACATCACAGCTAAAATCAAAACTCAAAATGCAAGCAAATCAAACCTAGAACTGAATGATGGTAGTAGTCCTGATGATTCCCAGGAGTATTATCCTATGACAACTTCAATGACAAGAGAATTAAGACTGGAGTTGGAGCATTTGGATCGACAAGTATTTGGATCTTCATATGTTAATAGATGTAGTATAATATGTGATTCACCATCAGAATCTACGAGCACAGATGAAAAGCACTTAAAAGTGAATACTGAAATAAACAATAGAGACAAATTAGAACTTCAAAGTGATATAACAGAGTCTATGGAAACTTTTCAAAAGTCTCCAATTGTGGACACTATCAAAACTAACGCCCGAAGTGCCGAAGATATTTATTTATGGGAAAATCCTTTACATCGAAACGCTTCAACAACTCGCACAACTGCTAGCTGTCCTCAGACACCTGATGAACAAGCAGAGTTGGATTTCGATGGCGACACAGGAGAAATCTTTGAAGAACATTCTGGTAAAAAGTCAATAACCCCTATTAGATTATTAAGGAAAAACCATTCCTTAGAACCACAAGACTTAAATTTTAACCAACATTCCAATATACAATCAAATGAAACTGAATTTCTTAATCCTCTGGAATCTATGAACACACCAACTCTTATAAATGAAGATGTTAGTAATTTAAAATGTAATAAATTTTTTTCTAACATGTCGCAAGAACTGGAAAATGCAAAAAGAAATTGTGAGTCAATGCTCAGTGCACGCCAATCGAATTTACACAATGTAGCTTCAACCATAAATAACTTTCAAAAGAAATATGAAGTGTTTAAACCACCACCACAGAAAAATGCATTAAACATTAGTGGCGATACCCCAGTTAAAAATAGCATAAGCAATCTGCCATCACCGACTATATTTGGGGGTGGAAATCCATTTCTTATGTATCTATGTCTAACAGTATTATTGCAACATAGAGATTATGTAATGAGAAATCATATGGATTATAATGAACTAGCAATGCATTTTGATAAGATGGTAAGAAAACATAATGTTAACAGGGTATTGAATCAAGCAAGACAAATGTACGCTTTATATTTGAAGCAACACTCTCAAAAGACTGCTGATGTAACTACACAATAGTTGTTCTATATAATGTTTAAACTGAAGCTTCATGTTGTAATTTTTTACTTGTCTTGAGTTTACTAAGCTGACATAATTTCTATAAAATCAGTTTTCTCTTTAATGCATTTAGTTATAAAATACTCATTCACTTATGAGTTGAGTATCTAGTTAGAAGATGTGTAACATTATTTTCAAAAATATTAAAATGCAAAGTAATGTTACGATATTAGCTGTGATACTATGGTTTTTTCATAGAGTAAGTAAATATAAGTTTCACATTATTATTTATTGGAGTAGTTTGAGAAAACATATTATTTGCCTATACTACATGGATTGTACATATTAAATGCACAATAATTAACCCACTATATATTTACATAGATATAATTACTATTTCAATTATTCAGGCTGTATATTGTACGCGCTAGTCATGTTTTTAGAGTCGATCTCTATTATAAAATATACAATGTTTCAAAACATTTGCAAACATTTAAGAAAAGAACTTTCTTATCTTTTTCCGAGGAAGATTTTAAATTTCAAATCCATTGGATATTTCCTTTAGGCCTATTATTAGAATGATATTTTATTATTAATGTACTAATTAACATTCCTTAATCTAAAAATACATCTTTATGTACTTCAAATGACCTTGTTTTTATTGCCATATTCAAAAATTTTGAACAAAACATTAATTAGGTCAAGAACTATTAGTTATTGGGAACTATTTAAAGACATTATTTACATATTAGATTTTTGAAAGCATACTCTGACTATAGTTTATAGAAACAGGAGCTTTAATATGATTCCTTTATGAAATGTTCATTATTTAAAGTAACAATCATTTATGAAATTAGAAAAACAATAGTGCATTCACCAAAATTGGTTTAATTAGTTATTTTTACAGCAGCTTTTGATTCCACATAATTTGTGAGATGGTATCTCTTATTTTTAATCACTGACAAAGGATAGTTATCCGGCTTCTTATCTGGCATTATGCTTAATAAATCAGAAGACACTTAGTAATAACAAACTTACACACCATTCACTCAAGTGCACATAATGCATTCAGTCAAAAATGCAGTTTGGTTATGTACAAACTAGTTTAGTACCGTCGCATTCCAGGGGGTCCACGGCCTGGTCCACCTCGACCCATTCCCGGCGGAGCACCCATCATACCAGGGGGAGGTCCACCCATCATAGGACCCCCTCTCATTTGAGGAGGAGCTGACATTTGTCCTCTACCACCAGGGGCCATATGCTGTTGTGAAGGTCCTCCAACACCTCTTGCAGGGCCTTGAAGACCTGGTGGTGGACCTCCAAAGCCAGCACCTCGACCAGCAGCACGGCCTGCGCCTGGACCCCCAATTGCACCAGGCAATGGTACTCGGGGTAGACCTTCCTCAGGGGGCGGAGGTCCTTCAATTGTTAATGATACTATATTTTCGCCTCTCAATAATACGAAACCAAGCGTTCTTTTCTCTTCTCGGTCGGCGGTTTTGGCACTTTTTGATTTAATTTTTCTGAATTCTTCGCAATCTCCTAATATTAAATTCATATGTTTATCAAAAGCTTTGAAGGTTCCAATAAATGTACGAGAATCTTGTAATATTACTCGTACTCTGTAATTAATATGCTGTTGCATCTTATTATTCTTTCCGATAGTCTGAAATAAAGTTTAGGAACCATTGTTATTGTTAACGCATAAATAATAACACAACTGAATAATAAATGAAAAGGGCTACAAAGCTACTTAAAACTCTTACCATTTTGTCAACGGATTAATAAAGTAATCGCTGATGATAAATATATTTATGGCTTTTCCCGGAAAATCTTTACATAGAATCTATTATAAACAAATTTACCGGTCTGACATTTGGCGTAGCCGGTACATTTCAAACGTCAAAATGGCGTCTAAAAACAACAGGGTAGTGAATTTTGACTTAAACCACAGACTATAGTAGTCAATGCAAGTCTGTAAATCTAATTATAGTATCTTTTCTGTCCTTGGCATTTTCAGTAAACAAACAGACAATTTACATGAAATCGTGATTTTTTTCATTGAGTTTACATTGATTCGCACTAAAAACACTTTGGGACCCTGGATTATTATGGTATATATTATGGATATGGATAATGGATATATTATACTAAATTCATTGGGCAAAAACGACAAAATTATGCTAAATTAAATTAAAATCCTGTAAAATACTTTACGTATATGCACAGATTGAAATTTTTTTAGTTTAACCTTTACTTGAATGAGATGTTAGAAAAATCAACGATAATAGAAGGTAGAACTCGTTCGAAATCACTGAAAAGCGTTACAAACGTCTACACTCTATAAAAGGTCATCACTAGATATCTATGGTTTGAAATCGGCCATATTTCTTGTGGTCTTTTGCCAAGTTAGAAAAAATAACTATAGAATTCATAATATAAGTCAGTGATAAAACAAAACACTTCGGTTATTTTTTTTTAGATACAATATTATCTGAAATATATACTTTTCCACAGTACTTTAATAGCTGCACTACTAAAAATACTCGTATAATCATATAAAAATATGATTAATACATACTTGTGTCACTCGTTCTTTCGAAAAAAAACATTGTTATATGCTCCTATGAGCAGTGCCGCCTGCCACTGTTGAGGCCATAAGCAACAATAAATCGCAATAGCGATTAAACTGAGTTACGAAGCAAACAATCTAGTTCAGATCAGACCATTTATTGAGGATGGCTTTATGAGATCACGCTGCGACCAATAGCAGCAGAAAAAAGATATATTTTCTTTAAGAGTTTCCGTTGCGTGCCCTTCAGAAAACGGTTTGAGATACCCAAAAATATATATCGAACATTCCTTACGATTGAACGAACGACCTGTTTACACTCACCTCACAATAATAATATGATGGCGCCCAATGTTCATAGAATTAATTTGTCTTAGGTCGTAAAAATAGTCCCCTAGGATAAATTACTTAGTAATAGTTCATTTAAAATATGGCAGTAATAATACAAATGATTACTAGATTTATATTGATTTATTTGTTTAAAGCACATGACCTTACTGAAAAACTAAACGTCAATAGATAAGAATTTATTTTCTACATTTTTATAACTTTATAAATTGTACACAGCATTAAATAGATACCTCAAAATTACATGCAATACAGAATATAAACGTATTAAATAACAATATCGACGTATTGTACAAATATTATGCCTAAAACTTGGCCAAGTAACATAACCATACAAATATTATAGTCTAACTTAAACCTACTACTAAAACCATGCAGTCGAAAACAGCCTTTCAATTTAAATTAAGCATTATTGAACTAAAATTATAATTAATGTATTTATTACTTAAGTTTAGTATTGCTATGAAGTTTCCACTGCAGCGGGCGCAAATTGGATTACAGATGTGTGCCGAACCTGGGCAGATGTCGTTTCTTCAACGTGAGGAATAAATTTACGTTTTCGAGGTGGAAGAGAAGATGGGGCTAGAGTAAACTGCTGATAATCGACGGGGGCAGGTGGGGAAGGCGATGGGGTAGGCGCCAAGGGCAATAATGGGACGGAAGTGTGTAAAGTGGACGCTCCTATCGTGGCTGGAGGGGAAGGAGGTGAGCCAGGAGGCGTGGGCGGTAATTGTTGAAGTGCTGCTTCAACAATATCGCACATCATTTTCCCATTCAGTACAGGTTGAGTAATTTGGGGTGCAGGACCTTGCACTGAATCAGCGCCGTGTTCTTTGTAAATATGAGCTTCCATCTGCTTTTTGGTATTAAAGGTGCCATCACAAACTGTACACCTGTAGCATCGTTCGCCGAAATGTTGGAAACGATGAAGTTTCAGGACATGATTGTAGCCGAAATCCCGTAAGCAAATCTCGCAAGTGTACGGCCGCTCGCCTGTATGAGTACGCGAGTGTACTTTGAGCTGCTTCGAACATGTAAATCCTTTACCGCAACCAGGTGCAGGACATCTGTATGGTTTTTCACCAGTATGCGTTCGTAAATGTATTACCAACTGCCCAGACTGAATAAAAGTCTTATGACAATGCGGACATGCGTGGGGTCTCTCTCCAGTATGTATACGAGCGTGGCGGTGTAGCTTCCCAGAATGTTCGAAGGCCGCTCCGCAAACGCTGCATCTGTACGGTCTTTCTTTAGTATGAATTCGCCGATGAACCTGAAGATTTTCCTTTACACTGAACATTTTGTGGCAGTACTCGCACTCGAACGGTCTTTCACCGGTATGAGTACGATAATGGCGCACCAGACGAGCGGGCACTGCGAAAGTTTTATGACAAACATCACAGCGATGAGCGTCCGCAGCGGTACGATGCGAGCGAGTATGGGCTGTTAGAGCACTCCTGGTTGAGAGTGTCAAGCCGCATTCTCTACATTGATGGACGCGTTCTTCTTCACCTGCGAAAAAGCATTAAATAATATTCTTATTATAGATTCGTCTTTGGAAGATCGACAATTATTAAATAATAATACGTAAGAATGTTCTTATATTATGTACTATGTGTCCATAATGGTTGATGTTTATTATAGATTTTAAAGCTTCAGCACACTTAAAAGGATGCACAAGTGCGGGTCCAGAGGGAGGCGGTTCGGTGACGGGGCGGCGTTCGTAATAAAGCGAAGTGAATGTCCTCTGGTGGCACGTGGAGGCCCACCGCGGTTTCTACGCGATAAAACCGCGGTGCGCCTCCACGTGTATGGGCTAGCGACCTCGTATCCATACGCGTATGCACCCCTCGGCCCTTGCTTACCCTTTTGAGTCCTATAATTTCCCTATCTTTTGATTTAGTTCGTATGAAATTATAACAATGTACAATTAAAGAAATAATAATAAAAACTAGCCAACTACTTAATTGCATATTATTAATGAAAAAAGGACGCATTGAAGTTTTACAAAAATAAATATATAAAATATATAGAACGAGTATTATATACAAAAAAATTTTAATAATCGTTCAGGGAATCTCAAAACCCAAAAATACTACTGCACATTTTAATAAATAAAACACTTAATTTTTAAGATTCTATGATCTAAATACATAATTAAACAAATAAAAGCAATAATTTGTCATGATAAAAAAGCTGTTGCTCACCTATCATAATAAAAGTTAAATTTTATTATTATGGTACAGTCCAATGGCGTCAATGTTGGTGTAGGTTGTGCTCAAGTCTGAAGCGAACAAACACACGCGTTTCACTGATGACGGTCCACGGCCGAATGCGGAATTCGCGACTTCGAACCATGTCCTCAGTTCTCCTCTACGCTACCGGCTACACAGTACATACACAATATTATTTATAGTAGGTAGGTTTCAACGTAGCTAAGTATTTGTGCACAGCGTTTTTTTTATTCCATGTTATACAATATTAGATAACTATATCGAAAGATAATACGATGCTGATTTTTATCAAAAATAACTTTCGCGATTTAAAATCAATGGTACCATAGAGTAAATATTTTAATTAAGTAAACCGGCGCAGATTTTTTTTTTGGCTCGCAAACCTTACATATCTAGTATTATAAATAATAATGTCACATATTTTATCAATTGATACATATTACTAAAAATACGATAAAATGTTGTTAATATTGTAAGCGATAAAATTCGTATAATATTATTATGTTGATTGTAGACGACCGCGGTGCTGCGTTGAAGGTTGGAGAGGGGCAGCGGGTAGCGGGCGCGGCGACGACGGAAGGGGAACTCGAACACGAGGAGGCCCACCGTGGTTTCTTCGCGCGTGTGAACTCTCGGCTGCAGTGCGCTTGCGTGGCTGTCGGCCGACGCGTTTCCTCCCGCACTCTTGATGATTGTATTTTATTTGTCTAGAACCATTATTAAACACTTATTTCGAAAAACTCTTAATATTCATTTTACAGACGGAATTCTATCCCAGGAGGTTATATGATGTTTACGTACATATTATATTTAAGCTTTTATATAAGTATATAAATAAGTAATTATTGTATTTTAGTAAATGCATTAACATGTGGTACTTATTTTTTTTTTTGAAATTATTAGTTTCTTATTATGTTTATTCTTAGTAGCTGGGTAAGCTTTAAAGGTCAGTGGCTATTATGGTCATCGCACGTATTCTTTTCATCATTAGTTGGGTCTAGGAATGCAATGGATGCAACCGTTTTAAACTGGCATATGAAAGAACAAAAGTAACATTACAAAACACGAGTTAAGTTCACCGAAATCAAGTAGGTAGGAACTAGCCCGAAATAAAACAGCTCCTAATTGTATTTACTTTTTACTTGTTTTTAGCTTAAATAGTTGAATAAGAATAACATAATATCATGTAATGTATTCCAAGACTTAGTAAAGATTCCCCTTGGAGACCTATGCCGCACAGGATTTCGTAAACTCTTATGGAAAGAATAGATCATAGATGAGGATCAAATGAAAAAAAAAAACTAAAATTAGTGATTGCTGTATAGCTTGGTAATTTTTAAGGTATATATAATATGAATGTATCTTTTAAATATAAAAACTACAATTACGAAAATTAAGTTATTATATTTATTTCCTTGAATATATTTTCCTAATTAAGTAAAGATACAATAAACTTTCAAAGTGATAAATGGTGTTCTTCCTAAGATATCATTGTTTTTTTTTAATTTATTTTCGATTTTTAATTATTTGGTACCATCGTGTGCAATCATGTGTAAAAAATAGTAGAGTTTGAAGCTGAAATAATAATGTGTAAAAGACTAATTTCGTTCACGCTTGTCACAGTTTTTGTAAATGACGATATTTTATTACCCACTCAGGCTCCGAGTTTTTTTATCAGTCCGAAGTCCGAATTTAGATCCTAGTGTATGTTTTATTCCAAAACATAATTACTTTTAGTTAATGTAGTAAACTAGTTAGTTAGTCAGTTACTTATTGTAATTATAACTCTGATATTCGACTTGCGCTAAGTGGGAGATTTTGATTGAGGCAGGTCAGCATTTAGGTTTGCGATTAGCATGTGTTGTGTGATTTTGTGTACGCTGTTGTTTTATAGTTCGGATATGGACAATATCTTTAAATAAAACTGCTGTATGCTGCTATTGAAAACAAAGTAAAGCGCGGGGTGGGAGAGTGGACGAGTCGAGGGTGCAGGGCGGGACGGGCGGAGCGAAACGTCGACACGCGCTGCACGGTCACCGAACGGGCGAAACCGCGGTGAGTGAGGCCTCGCGGCGCGTGCGCCCGATTCAACCTTCCTCAACCCGACCGCAACTGACCCGCACCTAACCACGCCACGGACAAATGCTGCGTTGCTATCACCTTGGGTTCTTTGCGCGTGTAACTAGCAATATATTAGGTCTAACCGACAATCAATTATGTAATGTTAAAAAGGCACAACATATTTTACAATGTAAGAGCAAATTGAATATTTTTATTGTCTTGAACTCACGTTAATCAAAAATGTAGAAGGAAAAAATGTAAGTATTATGCGCGCATATTGTCTCGCACATCTTTGAAAATAATTTTTATTATATATAGATTCGAAAATTTTTTCACTTATTATTTCAATCTCCTTAGAACATTCGTGCCTCTGTAGATACCTAAAATGTATACAGCGAGTGGTTCAGAAGAGGGACAGCAAGAAAATATTTTCATTAATCATATCTGCCTCTCTGTTCATCGTTACGTACACGATGATTAGCTTAGGCTACATACTATTGGTATTTTTTACACAAAGATACAATCATATAAAGCAAAACATATCTATATTTCCCTCTTCCTCACCACACCCTCAAGCAGGATTACTTAAAACACAAATTTTGGCTAAATGACTAAGAATACATATATGTCCACAATTCTCATGCGACTTAATTAACTTTCTTCGGTACAAATAAAATTAAATATTTATTATAACGTTTTATTTATTCGACAGATTAAAATCGTTTTTAGTTGCCCGAAATATTCCTCTAAACATTATCTTTATTGAGAAGAGTTACATTTAAAGATAACTCCAATTAATCAGCATAGCAAAATATTTAAATTAATTATTAATTAATGTTAATAAGATTGAATATTTACACTTTCACTGTACCTAGCCTGTGATCTAAGGCAATATGCTTTCTAATGTCATTTCTGTGCTACATCTATGCACTGTAGATAATCTGTGGTCGGTGTCAACTGTCAGTCGGTGTTTGCGACTCGCAAATAGTCACAAATTAATTATTTTTTATTTAGCTTTTGAAATAGCAGTATTAAAGTAGGAATTTTAACTAATATAATAGTCCAATTAATAACACACAACTACAATTCATTAATGATCACTTATCTATGTAAAAGGGCAGCAAAATGGGAGGTGGCGATTTGGTAAGGAATAGTAGTAAAATTTATATAGCTGCTAACATTTTGTTGAAATTAAATTGTTTTTCTATTCTAAGAATTCTAAGAAATCATGGCATCCAAGTACAATGAAAAATCAGGAGCGTGTCTGGAAAGCCGAACAAGTTGCAGCTGAGGAAAAGAAAAGAATTCTTGAACTCCAACAGGAAAGAACACAAGAAAGAGATTGTCATGAGCTTAATGAGTTAGCTCGAAAGAACTTAACAGATGCATCAGATAGCCGTTTGGATTGGATGTATAAAGTAAGTTTTAAAAGTAGGTATAAGGTTCAGACCCTATATTTATAAATGATATTATTTCATGTGATATTAATATTAATTATAAATTTCGTAGAAGCCTGATAAAAATGTACAGCAGGAGGAATACCTTCTCGGCAGAGCTATTGATAAAAAATATGATGAAAAACCAAATTCTGAGCAGAATGAGATACCTGCCGTTTCACGCAGAGTAGTTGGATCTAGTATGATATCAGCATCTAATGACATTCAAGTTGATTTAGCAAGAAAGATAAGAGAAGATCCACTATTATTGGTAAAAGAGAGAGAAAGAGCAGCAAGGGCAGCGTTATTAAATAATCCTGTACAACGTAAAAAGCTAACGGAGCTTCTACGCAAAGAACAAGTATGATTTTTATTCATGTTATTTTATTTTAAAGTTTGTAGCAAAAGTATTATAAATTTGCAACAAATATAATAGCTATCAAAATTTAAATCTATTTAGCAAAGTAAATCCAGTGGAGTCTCAATAAATCACATTAAAACAGTAACCTTCACCTGCTTTTAAAAATTGCCATAGATCTAAACTATAAAATTGTAATATTTTATTAAATTTGGTTTGTAGAGCTAAACTAATATACAGTTTTAATTTATGTTTAAAAATATGTATTAAAACATTAACAAAATATATGTATATATTATAATAACTTACCTTATACATATATGAGTAAAATATCTATTGTTTATGATTTTAAAAATATACAACTGCTTTATTTAAATTGTTTGAGACTGAATCTATTCTATATTTTAAGATTGAAGTAATATAAAAAAAATGATTTAGGTATAATTCAGAGTAAAACGGTGTTCCAAGTGAAACATGTAAGACATCATTCTAAATCTGAGTCCAGAAGATTTGAGCTATAAATGTGCTCTTCATATAAAATAGTGTTTTGTTTGATATTATCCCATTCAATGAATTCCAGTTTTTTTTTGACTTACTGAAGATTTCAACTTAACATGTTTGGATTTATAAAGATTCCACTGTATTATAATTTCAACCTCACTATACATACAAATTAGCAAAATGGTTTTGTAATAATTTTGGTATTTTTTTATACTTCTAGGAACTGAAGGTACAGAAAGAGAAAAAGAAACACAAGAAAAAAGATAAAGATTTGGATAACATATTAGCAGCCAAATTAAATGCTTTAAGTTCAGACAAAGTGGATTTAGCTAAACTTCTCGAATCTGATAGTTCATGCTCTGAGGATGATTCCACAATAGAAAAAAAGACCAAGCAAAAAAAGAAAAAGAAAAGTAAAAAACACAAGAGGGAAAAATTAAGTGAAAAAGTCAATAAAAAAGATGAGAAATATTCCAACGATGAAGTATCTAACAACAGGTCTAATAAGCAAAGTGAAGATTATCGTCAGCATACTGGTAAACGTAAAAAAATTGAAGATGAAGAAAGTCACAGCAAGAAATCTAAAAAGGATTTAATTAATAAAAGTGATATATATGATGATCAACCAAAATATAAAACATATTATGAACGCGAGCATGGCAAAAATAGAGCAGAAAGTAGACGGTATAAGGAAGATAGTAAGGATCATAGCTACAATACTCATAAACAATCTGAATCAGATAACGAACGAAAAAGAGAACATAAGCCAAAAGTTGCTAGAAGTGAATACACTGAAAAAGAAAAGCAAAAAAAACCTCATAAATTGAGTGATGAGGAAAAAGCTGCTAGGTTGGCAGAAATGATGGCTGCTGGCACAAAACGAGAAATAGAGAGAGGTCGTCGTGTAGCAGAACAAAAAGCTGAAAATGAAGCCAATGAAAAAGAATCCAGGTCACGTATTCCCTCTCGAAATGAAGCTCGTGCATTACCCGAGTCACTGTCAAGTCGGATTCACTCCAACCGCCATTACATTCAAAGAAATGAGCGTCACATGAACGAAAATTTTGCCAGAAGGTGAGAGTATATAATAAAACGCCTTAATGTTTATTTTTTTACTTTTAATGTATTATACCTAGTAAGTCATTATGATATAAATATATTATGATTTTAAAACAACTTTGTTATTGATTTTAAATTATTCACGCTATGTAAAGACAGGATTTGTAGTGTTGGTTGGTTTTCAATCCAGAGGTATCTTCTCTTTGACAATCTGAAATTAGGAGATATATTTATATAAGAATAATTCGTAGCAGATAGAGCTGAGCTATTTCGCATCATCATTTCTTGTAGCAATGTAAGACCGTGACGAAAAACGAGTTTTTTTTTGAAGTTACTTAACAAATAGTTAAATATTTTACAGTCGAATACTATTATAGGAGAGTTAATAATACAATATTAAATAAAATCTTGTAATTAGTAATGTACCTCGGCGCACATTCCGGCGTATATAGGATCTGTGTCCCACGGACCTCTTTCAGGCAAAGGGAGGGCGCGCCGGCGAAGTTCTGCCACGAGTTCGCTCACCTCCATAATAGGTATCGGATCAAGTGTACGCGCCAATCCGGCCAAGTATTCCACGTAGTGCATCCTGTAAGAAGATATTGCGTAAACACACCTCGATCAGGCCTCGTTTGTAGACGCCTTCTAGAGAGCCGTAGGGACGCGGAGGTAGTCGCAAAGCAGCCCGCCGCACCACCGTTTCCAAATCGTCCACGCCCAAAATCGGCAAAGGCTCAATTTTCTTGTTACGCACCAATCGACTCAGATACTCCAAGTAATGGTTCCTGTAAACACATGCTCCACTCACCGCCGGGCACCTTTGTGATTTCTTTGCTCATTTGCCTATATTTCGTATCTCTACTATAAAATATATCTTAATCAAAGCCCGTAACGCTACCCTTTTTTATAGTCTTATTATGAATAAAGACATTTATGTATGATTTATATATTAAATGCTTTTTAGTCCAAGTTAATTTTTTAATGAAGTAGTAGCTAGATTATAGAAGTAGTTAATAAAGATTAAGCCCACAAAACACTAAGTATATCTTACTTGCATAGACCAGCATTGTTCGGCAGAACTTCAGTACCGCATGTGGTATCAACAAGTCCAGCTGGCGTTTCACGCTGTAACTGAATTGGACACCGTTTGTTGCCGCCTTGGGGTGCTTCGATTTCATACGCCACATTATTCATCTACCACGAAATAATCAGTGGTTATTTAAAGTGCGTATAACTTAGTATTCAATTATTCGTTTTAGAGAAAATAGTTTATCTTTATGCAAAGCTCTAGGTATATTAAGGAATAAATTTAATGTGCGTGTAATTTAAAGTTTGTTTATAAAAAAACTTGTTGTGTGTATGTTTTCGAACTATGATGATCGTTACGGAGATCGTTTAAGAAATTCCAAGATATAGGCTACGCTATTCTCTTAATAACAGATAAATCCTGTTTCGTAGTTTACTAGAAGATAAATACGTACATGTAGATACAGTTGAAGCTATAGAAATCATTATGAATTAATCGTCATTATGAATGTTTTACTTAAATTATCTTGTAAGTTACAAACGGTGACCGTAAATATAATAAATTATATACTATTCCATGAATTGTTACCAACCTGCAGAAGTGTTTGCAACTCGTGTGGCTCTTTATCACGCAAATAAAAAAGACAGTTGCGTGGATGATGAGCATGCAGGCCTAGCTTGGCGCAATATTCACTCAGGCCACAACGGGCGCCCATCATGAAAGGTTTACCGCAGCCGTAGCAGAATTCATATTTGCATTGTGTACACGTAAAATGCATACATCCACCCCTGAAAAAAATGCAATATTATTAGTATCTATGTGATATTGACACAAAATATGTTTAATTACTTTCCAAAAAAAAAAAAACTATTTTCAGTCTATATGTTTTAGCTTGTGTTCAGAATGATTGCTGAGCACCAATTTTCACTGTGTCTCATATCGAATAATAGTAAATACTTAATTATAAACATTGTGAAATAAAACTTAAGCAAATATGGTGCGTAAAAATGCTGCAAGCAAAACATTAATGGAGTTTCTGTGAGAACTGTTAAAAGTGGACTAAAAAGTGTAAAACATTGTCATGCCATGATAATTCTCTACATATTGATTTAGCCGTTCGGTGTCCACTGCTGGACATAGGCCTCTCCATAGACTTCCAGTACGACCGGTCGCAGGTCTCTACATATACCTAATACTAAATACCCTTGCTAGCATAAATATTCTTATTCTATTTTAGTTAAATGGATACACTTACCTGGAGAGAGAATACTTAAAATGACATCGAGGGCATTCCAGCCCGTTTTCTTTCAAATGTTGTTGGACCGCGGCTATTGATCGTTCGGGATCGTTATCTTCAAGCCAGCTTGCGTATTCTTCGCATGATATTCCATCATGATTTGTGGACCACTGTTAAAGTTAGAAGAGAGTTAGATATTAAAGGTAGGTACGCTGTGAGACAAACATTAACTCTCGTGGCTTGATGGTTGGGTTTGGCTACAAGATGGTTGCGCGGTTCGCGTCAGAGGGCTAACAGATATCAAACTTTTTTGGGATGATGTTGAGTTGAAGTAGCACTTACCGGTTTTCTGCATGTGGAACATGTTACCGATTTGCATTCTGGACATCGGAGTTTTCTTTGCTTCGGATGAACAAAAAATCCCGAGGAGCATTCAACGCACCACCGAAAATTTGGATCCCGAGCTAAAGTACGATCCCGCAACTGAAATAAAAGTTGAATTAAGCACCTAAATAAAAACATTGTAACTGAAATAAACTGCAGTAAAATATTCTATATACAAAATTTTAGTCTAGCTACTTGTGCACGCGACTTTGTCTGTGTAGAAGAGTTACTTATTTTTTATTGTAACTTTTCGACTCGCGACAGAAATAAGTATAAAAAAAACAAAGGTCCTGTCGTTCACGACTTCTAAGTTTTATTTAATTTATTGAGTTTTAACATTTTTACCTTACGTTGAAAAAGTTCATGAACGTCAAATTCAAGAAGAGTTTTGAGCAAAATATCCAAATGTGCGAAGTAATTAACCCAAGCGTCTTCATCTAAATTTTCTAATTCGGGTTCTTTACAATAAGCGCATACGCAATCAACGATGCTTCTTTCTGTTATCTGTACGGTAAAATAATGTCGGGCGCATTCTCGGCAACATCTATGAGAACATCGTAACATTGATACCATCTGAAAATACATTCATGTTTGTTACATAGTGACATCACGTTTTACTTGTCATCATTTTTTATAAATAAAATTAGTTAGCAATGTCTTAGGTTCATGTTAATTAAATTTAAATTATAAACTAATATATTTAAGAGTAACCACACACCCATACATACGGGAGGAGTTTTGAATAACTTTAAAATAATTTATAACTAGAACATATATGTTTTTAATATATTGAAAAGCCACGATATCATGAATACATTGCCGAGGGTTATAAATAACTTTAAGGTTTTTTATTTAAAACTCCAACCTCAACAAGGATATGAATAAAAATTATTATTAAAATATTTTAATTAATTTGTACTTTAAATTTTTTTTGATATACTAAATACTAACTTCATGTTCAGGGTAGTGGGCCGCACAAAGCTCACAATACTGATTCAAATACGCCAAAGCAGAGTTGAGATCTGTACATTCCAGAGAAGCAAGTAGAGCGGTTGCTACATCTGTTCCTTGCGCTATCAACTCCACAGCAATTCGAGCTTGGTCCCAGTTCTCTGTCGCTCCTTCCGCCAAAAGCATACGAGCTTGTCTCTAAAATAAGAAATACACTCTTCTTATGCACCAACTTAATTTAAACATTATATAAATTGTAAAAGGCACCTAATGGTTTTTCGGGCTGTTGTTCGGCGTCTGTGAGTAATGGTTCTCATTGTGGACAGCACCAAAAACCATAAAGTAAGCATTTTTTTCAACCAACCTCTGGGGATCCCTCTGGCAAGTTTACTTTAGTCAAATCAACTAATTGGCCCGATACACGTCGCAATGTTATTGGTGGAAGCGACTCTTGCTCCGGTGTAGGTGTAACTTCTTTTGGTGTTTTCGGGATTCTTATATCATTTTCGGATTCGCTATCGGTCCATTCATCTTCTGTTCGGCAAGTTTCACGAAAGAATTGTTCTTTTTCTTTAAACGGTTGTTTTGGTGGTGATTGCTGTTCAGACTGTGGAGGTAGAGGTGCCGCTTTTTTCTTGATAGTAGAAGTAGAAGGTATCACATCTATTGTATTACTAGATGATGATTTCTCTACATGTACGTCAGTTTTATTAAGGAATATTTGTGTTTGCAATTGCTTCACGTGTCCATTCTGCACGTTATTTAATTGTGCTTTTGGAGGAGCCGGAGCAGGGTACCGTTTGATTGATGTCCTTCTCACTGGTAATTTTGAAGTGATCAACTTTTGATTCTTATCTACCTTTTCTTTATGAACAATAGTGGTTTTAATTGGAACGGGTATACTTGACTTGCCCACAACATTTTGCTTAGGTTTAGTATCATTTTTTAAAGCACTTGTATCAATAACTGTATCTGGATTATCGCTAGCGCTATTTAATTCAACATTTCGATTTTCAAGGTCAAATTCATCATGTATTTTGCTGACATCGTTACTATTGCTACTAAGTTGATTATTTTTCAGTTCCTGGGGTGAAGCCAAAGTAATAACGGTAGTATTTATATTTTCTATATTAGTCACACTTTGTTTACTTTTGTTTAAAGTTTCAATGACTGTGCCGGTTTCCATGATTTTTGATTTTAATGGGAAGTCTTTGAGTTCGAATGTATTTTCTACAACAGCATTTAGTACGGGAAACTTCATTTCTGATATAATTGGTTTAATTGGTGTATCTATTTTAATGGTCATTATATTAATTGTTTCCCTGGCAGGTAAAAAAAGGCTTTCTTCATCTTTTACGTATTTTTTGGATATCTCAGAAATATTTTTTGTGAAATTGTTGTCATCTTTACTGCCATTATTTAATTGGTCATAAATTTCTTCGAAAGAATTTACTTCAGCATATAAATTACTATTAACAAAATCTTTTGAATCGAGACAGGGTACTTTCACATTATCAATGATAGTTTTACTGTCATGCTCGATGCCCAATGGCAAAGTAACATTGTCCTGCTCAGAAAGGGAATCAGGGTCTAAATAATCAATAGCTTCCTCGAATTTTTCGTTATCTTCTGAACTTGTTACTGAGTTAACTTTTTCGTGGAATACAATACCACTATTTTCCTCATTTTCACTTGATGTATCTTTTTCTTCAGACGTAACATCTTCTGTATTATTTTCGCAATCGGTGTCAGTGAAGTCATGTTCTATTGATGGCTCAGAACCACTAGAATGTGTATCACTTTGTTGGGAGTTATGAGATTTTATATCATAAGTTATCTCATCTTTCATTTGTTGTATCAATCTCTGCGTAGTATCTACTAAATCACTAAGGTTATTTGTTTTCAAATCTTGAATTTGATCTGCTTGTTTGTCATTATCTAAATGAAGATTGTCTTGTTTTATTTTATTGTTATTTTCAGAATTGAACTGGGTGTTCAGTACCCGTAAAGGTGTTGGATCTACAAGGGTAATGTTTTGTTCTACTTTGGATTCATTTAAACGGTGTGTATCCGCTATATTTGTAGAATACTCTCTTACGTTATTACTAGAAGTTGAAATTACATTACTTTGTTGTGAAATTCCATTTGGTTGTTGTACATGAGTATCTGTTTTTGTATGTTGCTGAAATTCTTTATTGTTTGGAATTTCAATTTTCGGTAATGGACTTAATTGCGATAGGGCATTGTAAGCATCAATAAAATCTTTTTCCGATTGCACTAAATCAATTATGTTTTCTATTTGTTTCGGATTTACTACATTTCTATTTTCTTGTTTCATTTTGTTTGTATTTTCCAAATTTATTTTTTTTGAAAGTAAACTTTCTTCAATCGTTGGAACACCAGCGAAGTCTAATATGAATTTTAAATTTTCTGCTATATTTTCATTATTGTCTTGTGTTGTATTATTATATTTCTTTTGGAGAATATATTTTTCATCAATATTAGTTGCATTGGCATTAAGATTTAACGGTAAATACATCCAATCATCATCTTGAAGATTGGTGATGGACTCCTCAAATTCATCTGAACTGTCGTTTGCTGAAATGTAAATGTGAAAATTATGATGATGTGCGTGATGACGTCGAGACTTTTATGCTACATTTTAATTATTTTTTCTTTTTCTTTTCATTACCGCGGTTGCGGTGTGGTTGGTCGGAGAAAGAAGGTGGTGCCCCTTCATCGTCGACTCCTATAGGGGAGCCCCATACGCGGCCACGTAATTTGCCTTCTTCACTGACTCCATATTCACCCGCCTAAGGGAAAGAGAGAAATTAAAAGAAAACATGAAATGAATTCCTTTTTGCAAATATAAAATTGGAGTTCTTTTACCTGTCTCCTATGTCGCTCTACACACTCTGTGACTGCGGGCCACATAGCTCCTCTATGTCTGGCCAAAGCAGCGCGAGCTTCAAGTTCTGATACTGTTACACCAGATGCAAGTCTAGCGGCAGCGGCTCTTACTCCTGCAACCAAACTTGGCCACCGTTCTCTTAGCCACGCAAGAGGTGCAACTGGGTTCTGAGCTAATGCTGCTTGCACTTCTGCCGCACTGAATCCTTGTCTCTCAGCTTCAGTCAAAAGACGTGCCAGTTCTAGACCTCGTTCTGCCTCACGTTTTGAAATGGCTAATGCTTCTAACGAGACCGCTCGATTATTCACAAGTGGTTCGGGAGATGGTGCCTTAAAACAATAGTTCGATATTATTGATATGTACGTCTCTTATTATGTTATTTATCTAGACTGTGGATCGGACTATAAAATATTTTCATAATTTCACTAATTTTGTCAATTATACATAAAAAACTATGTCTATTTGGTCGTTACATATTATGTACCTACCAAAAACTACAACGCCTATTTTTTGCTATAAATTATTGCAATATAATTTGAAATACCTCCGATCCATAAAGACTAGTGCGACGCGAGTTGCGGGTTCTCCGCAAATCCAAATGCGAGGCTCGCCGCGTGAGTCTATCAGAACGCTTCCGTTCGTTCTCGCTCCAGTCAGCCGCGCAAGGACTGCTTTCGCGCCACTCCCAACGACCCTCAGTAGTTCTGACACTGCGTTCGCTTTCCTGTGTTATAAAAAAAGCTCAAAGAGTTATGTATTTGGTACTGACCAGTTTTGAAACAAAGTGTCTGTTGTTTTGTTTCTTTGAACACTTATCAACACCATGTGCCTTAAAGTTTAGCTTGTATGTTTTCTTTTTAAGTACATATCTAAAATTCGTGTTATATATAAATAGGTAGGTTTACGTACCTAAAACTAATGTTAAGGTAGATTATTTACTTAGGACTTTGATGTTCTATAGTTGTAGCTTTTATAAAGTTAACAATGATTACTAAGAAAATAATCAAGTACCCTGGTATCGCTGGACAGTGAATGTCTGCTATGTGATCGTTCTCGTGTTTCATCTCTAAATCGACGTCGTGGCCTACTTCGCGCAGCGGATGCCGGCCGTTGCCAATTATTATTTGGTACTTCATACGTCTGAAATATTAATTACGAAATACAAAAATACAATAAAAAAGCTTTACTGTAATATATTTTACATTATTAATAATAAAGTTAAGCCTAATAAAGTTTTAATGAAGCAGGTGGGACCTCAGCATTCCGTGCTCTTGCGCTACCAATCGTATCAAAAGATCTGTCCTTGTCATCAATATATCCAATTTACATATATATAAATTTAAGTGTCATATAAAAAATAATATGTTTTAAATGCTGAATAACCGAAACTTGTCAAGTTAAATGCGGTTTACCTGAGTAGATATGCTCTGGGGTGGCGGTGACGTCCCAGTGTTAGCAACACTTGTTCGGCTACTTCTAGATTCCGGCCGAACGTCGATTTCTTCTTTTGCTGGATTTACTAATGTCTTCTTTTCAATCTCGTATTCTTTTACTATAGTTTTTGTTACAGGGACAGAACGGGGTGGGGAAGGTCCCACTGAAACACTATGTTTTTTTATCGGTTCTCGTTCTAGCGATGTTTTGTGAGGTGTTGGTGATTTCTTAACTTGCTGTTTCAAATCTTCTTGAATATCTTTTGGGGGCGAAGGTCCGACGGCTATATCGTGTCGTGTGTTTGCTGATTGGCTAGTATGTTCCTTTGTGGGAGTTTCCAAACGATTTATAGATTTTCTTACTGTATTTGTGTCTCTCGGCGGAGACGGTCCGCACGATGTCGAAATGCGTTCTTTTTCCTTTTGTCGGCTCTTATCTGCTAACAATCAAAGACAAAAGTATTTTATAAGCCAAACTAAAGTGGCCAAAAAAGTTATTTAAACGTTCAGAGTTTAAAGAAAGAAATTAAAAAACAGTACCCGATTCATGACGCATTTTTCGATTGATCATTGAACCATCTGTTTGCGATTTGTCAGTAACCCTTAAACTAGATATTCCATTGTTAAGACCAGCTATAGTTTTCGGTGTAACGGTCGGCGTCCGGCAACAGATGACACAAACCCTTACTTGAGGTTCATTAACGTATGTACAATGTTCACATTGCCATGTGGTACTCGGAGGGGGCGGCGCGGGTCCCAAATCACTTTCGTTCTCTCTCACATTATGTGTTTCTCTCTTTCTTTCTAACTTTTCCTCTCGACCGCTCGCTTCACTCTCTGAGTCTGCGTCACTGGAAGGTATGGATGGTGAAGGTGAGCGAGGCCTTGTCCTCCGTGATGCACGTGACCGCATGCTCAAAGCGGGAGAAGGTGCGCGTGAGTTTGCTCGAGATGGGGCTCTAGATGCAGCTCGACTTTCAGCTAAAATTATATAAATAAAAGTATACAACTAGAAATAATAATTGATTTAATTGCTAATAATAAAACCTCGCTGCGATTGTGTGAGTAGTGTTCACAATTTAACGAAGAGAATCTGATTTCCGGCGATTGTACGGGCGATATAGGGCATACCTCTACGATAAGGCTGAGGGGTCTGTGGCGCGTGCATGTGTGAGTGTGGTTGCAGTCGTTGGTTCTGCATTGGAGGCACACAACAAGTCTGCGCCCACTGCCCCTGCCCCCAGGAATGATCCAAGTTAGCGCAACTACCATATCGCCAGGGATTTGGTGCGCAGTGAGCGCAGCCGCCGCAAGCTGGTGCTCCTAACTCCATCACAGAAGCCCCGCGGCGCAATGGACGCCCCCAGTTCTGCGAAAGATTCTCATGCGCATCCCAATGTTCCATTTGTTGAGGTGGCAACTGAAAATATATAAAAATATAGAAGGATTAAGAACCTTAATTCTTAAATAGTCGTCTCTGAAAGAAAGAAAAGAGTATGCGAGTAACGATGCTTTTCTACAAAATATAATACTTAAAAGATTCGTTAATATAATTATTTTGGAATGGACTGACTAGTTGGTCAGCTGATTTGGTTTTAATAGTGATAATCTTAATATTGGTATAATATTGATTTTAACATTGCATAACGAGTTATTGATTCTAAAGCTTTAGAGAATACCTTAACTATCTTAGGATATATAAATTGGTTAATCAATGAAATTTAAATCCGCTGTTGCGTTGGCATTAATACGTAGGCTATATCTATAGAACTAAGAGAAAATATGTAGATTAAATATTTATAGCAGACACTTACAATACTTTGAGGTGGTACATTGTACCCGGGCAAGGAAGTACGTGGACGAGTCCACGGATTGAATCCTCCCATATTGCTAACTGGCTCAGGTATAGGTGCTTGAACAGCAGCAGAGAAATTCGGCGTCATTCGAGGTTGTGTATTCATATTTACGGGCATTTGAGTCACTGGTGGTCGCTGAGGTGCAAAAGTATGCGGTAAGGTAGCGGATGGAGTTGTATTATTCGAGACTCCGTGAAATACGTTAAGCGTAGCTCGTCTTTGATCTAATACTGGAGTCTTAGGGCTGGCTGTACTTCTATCACCACTTAACTGAAAAGAGGAATAAGTTTATTAGCAAAGTATATAACCAGAAATATTATTATTGACTTATGTTCCTTCGTACTTACAAAAAAGTGCATCAATCTTACATCAGGTCTGCCCATGACTAGACATGAGTTTATTTGTCTTTTCTTGTTTACATAAGTAATTAAATAAAAATTCTTAACCATTAACCAACCTTAACCATCTTAACCAAAAGCTATGTTACACAGGTACATAACATCCTAAGTCTCACGTAGAATGATTAAGATGTTGGAGTTAGCCTCGTCTTCCGCCTATTATTTCAAAAGAGTACTTCGCTTTTCAATTTATTATCATAACATCAACAATGTAAGTTAATAAAAAATACCTTATGTCTTCGTGGTGGTGGAACAGGTGGTGTTCCCTTCGGGGGTAGAGGTGGTCTTTCTTCTTTTAGCAATGATGGTGGGAGGGCCTAAAACAAGTAAATAACCTGTGACATTGTATTTGTTTTACGCACTTATGCAAATAAGCCATGTGTAAGCGCATCTATTTTATTGTTTGTATTCATACTAGCTTGGTTGGCAATGTGCCTGTATTTCGATGAAGCTTATTTATTTAGGGATATAGTCTATTAATTACCTAACCTACCTAAGTACATTCGTGTTGGATCATAATAATGAACGACACTATTCGCGCACCTGTCTTTCTGTTAGTTGACGATTCCCTTATCTTTTATTGTTATCTATAGGTTAAAAGTAACTAATAATATATACTTGTCGTTGATGATGCCTTCGCTTTGGATGCCTGTGATACATATCATCGCAAGAGGCACAGAGCGCGCGTCGCCCGCACTCTGTACATCGAACTCTTGCGCCGCCGCCCCCACATAAGCCACAAGATGTATCCATTGGGTGACCTGTATAATACTTTTATATTAAGCAAAAATACTAGTGGTGTTCCCAATATCTGATGAAATATAGGGCTGTACAGTAAATTTGGAGACTAAAAACATTCGTAAGTTTTAAAGCGATATTATTTATCCTACAAACAAATTACAAAAAACTATTAATGTTAGCATTCTGTATGTAAACAAATCTGCTAATATTCAGGAGGCTTATTTTCAGACCTGTAGGTGGTCTTGGCGGTGTTGGAGGTGGATGCTGAAGCTTTGCGTTGACATATTGTTCGGATGGGAACTCCACTACTTCGTAGTCCGGTTCGGGTTTCGCCACAGGGGCTCTGCCCGGTGATCGATGACCAATTGGAGTCCCAGGAATCGAAGCTCGCCCGCGACCTTTCAACATCTAGGAAAAAGAATAAAGACATCTTGAAGTTTTCAATGATCAAAAAAGAGAAAAACATCGTATATTTTAATATCTTTTCCGAAATTAAATGATTATTACATTTAAATGGGTAAAATACCTGATAGATATCCGCAACCAAGAAAAAAAATAAGTATCTATACTAACAACAAAGATAATAAATAAAGATCGAATTTAATTAAAAAGTGAAAAAAATAATAATTGTTTTTATTTTCTTTTTTATTGAAATATGATTTTGCGAACTACGTCTTACAGATATGTTATATCGTTTGCAAGCTAGAACGCAGCTGTGACCGGGATAGAGCTACGGGCGTTGCCATCTTTCGCGACCTACATGTTCGCGATATATCCCAAAATATCAAAATCATTTACCTACGAATTCATGTGATAATTTTCAGTTAATACAATTTTAATGACAAAAACTTACCTTTAATTAGTTATACCAGTTATTTCGACACTTAGAACCATCCGAATTGTACTACATAGTTGAACACACACAACATTATCGCGATCGTAATACGTGGACACTGCACACGCGGGGGTGGAAGGTCAGTTCCAACAGCAGATGAACTGAAGAGGAGCAGCTTAAGAGCAGATACACTGGTATCATCTAATCGTGCGCCCTAACCGGATAAAATTGAACGAGCGCGCGTGCTCTGCCGTCTCTCCATTCTCTATTTCTGTCCGTGGCCGCGTTGCCCTGATTCTACTAAAATTAAAATGCGCTGCTATTTCCGCACTCAACCTATTACGCCCTCTTGACCGTGTCAAACATCGCGAATTATAATTCTTACACTATCATTGTAACAAAAAACACGAGCAAAGTATATTTAATGCTTTTTACAGATATAATTTGTTGGTGTGGTGTGTATACATCGTCTTGTGCCTTTGTAGATGTATTATTTAAGAGAAAGAAGGACTAACAACTACGGATTCACTTTGCGGAAGTTCCTATGTACAAATTCCTAATTTCCGAAACCATAAATTCCAGTTCATAACGCGTAACTATTAGATATTTTATTCCTTTTCTTACCTATATTTTTCCACCTTGTTTTAATTTTAAAAAGCCTGTTTGCTTTGATCGCACTACCGATAAAGAAGGTCCAACCACAAATATTAAAAATGATAATTTTCAAATCTGATTGCAAATGTCATAATTGCCTATAAGTCCAATTTTGCCCTTCCTGTTCATTGGTATTGGTTCATTTAAGGAAGGGTTTGTTGTACATGGATTTGCTGTATAATTTTAAACAACATGGTTATTTCACGGCGGAATTGTATCATTTACTCGCTTCAAAGAAAATGGTGGGAAACGCGAAAGAGGTAACGGAGCTTCAAAATAAAATACAACTTTAAATGTTTTTTGTGTATAGAAAAGAGATTTATATCGTGTTTGTCTAATTTATTGTTTATTTTTGGAAATTAAAAACCGCTAAGTAGATTACGTTCTAATTTGCCTTTAATAACAACATTTGAAAAACTTCTACAATAAGGGATGGTTAATATACCGTAAAAATTATATATCTAATATTTTACATCATTTAGGTTTCCATAGTGCCATCTGCTTATAAGAAAGAAATGGAAATGTCAACATTGGATAGACTCCGATCCTTACAAGCTATACAAGTCAAAAACTATATTGATCCTGGAAGAAGCAAGACAGATAAAATTGTGCTATCGTTCTCGCCCAGTATAATTATATTTCAAAATTTTAAACCAAATGAAAAAATTGTAGCTAAATTCTCGGTGAAGAATATCAGCAAGGTACAGATTATGCAGTTTGTAGGTAACATAAAATTTGAGAAGAGTTATATTTTAAAATAAATTTGCAGGCTCCAACGTTCCTTAATATGGTGTTTAAGGAATCTTCATACTTCTTCATAAAACCCTGCGGAGGTCAGTTACTATCGCGACTGGCTCCAGGGATAAGTGTAACATTTGCAGTCACATTTCAGCCAGCTCAATATGAAGATTACACTCACAGAGTAACCTTTTACACGGAGGAAGATCAGTACATAGTACCATTAATTGGTAATTCATTTTCTTAATCTACTAGAAGCAATAAGCACGTTTTTTTACATGATTGTTTACCAGTATTTCAATGAACTACCCCAAGACTAGCTTTGGATTGTTATATTTTAACGGGTTGCTTAAAAGGAATCATTTTAAGCAAAGAATTAGTACATTTCGTTATTGTGTAGATATGAACAAGTAATAATAATACGATTTTTTGTATAAATAAATATGACTGGAAGAGAATTTTTTGGATATTTTATTATTTATGTAAAAAAAAAAAATTTTTATCAGCTAACTATTTTATTTATTTATTTAAAACGTCAGGCACGTTTAAACTGTTTTATTTAAATGCACGCACACACGCGTAAAATACAGTCAGTACATATTGCATATTTATTAATATTCTTTCAGCAATGGGACCAAGACCTATATTTGACTTCCCAGATAGTATTGTGGTACCAAAGACACCGCTCAAAATAGAAAGTAGTATCTTAGTAACAATTCATAATATTGGTATCATCCCCGGGGGATTCAGTTTGAATACGAAATGGTAACAAATAGTTATTTTTTATTCACTTGTAAATGCAATATAACCTATTTACCATGCCCTGTTTCTGTGATTTTTAGGTACCACTACAATTTTATGAGTTACTAGCTGTGTGAGCGACTTCGTCCGTGTAAAGCGTAATTTTAGGCATACAAATTTGTTTTTGCAAACCTAAAATCTAAGCAATCGAAACCAAATTTAATCTTTTAAACTTACGTTCCGTCGTTCTTGCTAGTTAAACTTAAAAGATGACATATACTTTTGTGGACATTTTTTTAGATATTTTAAAAGAGAAATTCTTCTTTCCTACATATTTTTTGGGTATCTTGATCCGTTTTCGCAGCGTACGCGTCTGAAACCCACCAATTTTTTTCTCCTCTAAATCACAACGCGATGTTTTATAACCTTTATCCTCGGTTAATGCCCTAATCAACACAATGATATTTTTTCAACTCGAACCAGTAGTTCCTGAGATTAACGCTTTCAAACATACAAACAAACTATCTCTTCAGCTTTATATATTAGAGTAGATAAATAAATTAACAGTATGTTTGTGCATCTGCAAATGTATTATCGTGTTACTTTTACAGCATTCGACCATGTTATAATTTAACTAGTTAATCAGAATTTTAATTTAATTGCAGTCCGTTCTCGGTTCACCCAAAATCAGTCTATTTGAATCCCAATCAGAGAGTCGACGTGAGAATCGCGTTGAAAACAATGCGCCTGGGCGATGCAAATAGTACATTAAATGTTATTTTTGAAACAGGTACTTTCAATGACTAAGTCCTTTGACATCGAATTGTTACGTGTTTTACCAATATTTAATTGCGCAGGAGAAAATTTTCATATCAAATTATCTGGATCAACTTACACTGTAAGTGTGGAACTGGAGAAGCAAGTCGTGAGATTCTTCGATACATACAATACTTTAGTACGACAGCAGACGTTTAAGATCACTAACAAATCGGACCATGAGTTAACATACATGTGTATGAAAAACGACTGTGTTTATTATGGTAAATATTGGCCTGATTTTTGACTTGTTGGTCAAATGGTAGCGAAGTAATCAAATATAGAGTTACCATCAGCGACACAAGTCGAAAGTCAAATTTTCTGAACATGTTAGACTTTGTGTGGAGAATCTGGTAATTGATGGAGGAATAACCTACATACGTTCACAGTAAGAGTAAAGCATAAAGATTTAAAGTGTTAATTGTTTGTACTTCCAAATATCTAAAGTCAAAATTGGTTGGCAGTACATCTTTTATAGATTTTATACTTATAGCTTGAGATCGCCTTCCATCAAGTAAACCCGACATCGGTCTGTCATTAAAAACATTATTGACTACAATCGAGTATCATTTTAAAATGGTCTATTTTTAGACTTCGAAGATAAAGTAAAATTAGCAACTGTCTTCTATAACCTGAAAGATACTGAAGCTGCAAAATGTGCCAACCTTGTGCATTACGATGTTTTGAGCAGCGATGAACATGAACGGGTTTACACGAGAATATTTTACGATGAGATTCAGGCTCTGGTTGCAGATGAATCCTTACAACATCAAAATATGCATTTTTCTATATCACCTATTGTAAGTAAAGAAATAAAGTGTTACTCCCAAATGTTAGTAATTAATACTATAGTAATTTTCGCATGTTGTTGCACATGATGGCACTATATAAACTTCGTTGAAAAAAATTCGACGATGACGTGTAGGACTCGGTAGCTCAATTGGTTAGAGCAACAGCACGCTGTGGATGCCGGTTCAAATCCTGCTCGAAGCGTAAAGTTTTTCAATTTATAATCGATTATAGTTAAACAATATTTATTCAAAAAACTATATTTATTCACACAGTTTGGTAAACTTTGGCCGAGGAAAGCGACTGAACTAACCATAACATTTTCTCCACAAGAAATTGGGGAATTTAGCACAATAGCGTATTTAGATATAGACGGGGTGAACGACCGCATTCCTCTAAGAATCGTTGGAACATCGCTGCCGCCTTTCATAAACTTAAATTTAGAGACGCTGGACATGGATTGTGTCTATATTAACAAAAAATATGATTATGAAATCGTTGCTTTGAATAGAGGTTAATAACTTTATTTATAATAAATAAAATAATAGTTTTTTTTTTATTTTTAGATAATTTAAAGAGGAATCATGCTTTTGTGCATATTTTTTGGGTATTATATATAGTATAACCATTTTCGCAGCGTACGCAATGGAAACCCAAGGATGATTTCTTCGCTCCTATTAGTCACACAGCCTTCCTCAATATGTGTTCTAACCAACACAAATAATTTTTCAATTCGAACCAGTAATTTCTGAGATTAGTGCGTTGAAACAAACAAACTCTTCAGTAATATATTTTATATAGATGGAATCTATTCCATCTAGTCATCAGTCTTGTATTCGAGACTCGAATACAAGACTCACCAATATGTAAAAAAAATACTTTATATAACGTGTGAAAATTACAATAATTTAAATTATGTTGTTTCTACCAAACAGGTCACATCAATGGCGTTGTAACATATAAAAACGTACCCCCTCTTTTTGGAAGCAAGATAACATGCACACCAGCAATGCACTGTTTACGCCCCGGAGAGAAAGATATATTTGTCGTTTCGTTTTGCAATTCGAATCAAGGGCCATTTTTTGAAGAAATTAACTTTGGTATCCACAATACAGATGTTATTTTAAAAGTCTATTTAAAGTGTGTTTTGTTTTATTATTGATATATTACTCTAATTTTATATGCTATAATATCGTCTCTTTTTAGGGGTGTTGTTATATATCCATCTTTGATGTTTAGTATCCCGTGTTTGGATTTCGGCATGGTTAGTTTAGGTGAGAATTTAGTTATTATGTAACAATAGAACTATTGCAATGGATTTAAATAAAACACTTTAACGGTTTAAACTCCCCCGAGTTCTGAGGTTGAGACTCCCCAGTCTCCCGTAACCACGGCTACTGCAAAGCATCCGAAACGTCGGGCCGTAGTTAAAATAATTGTTTCAAATAAGTTTAACTAATATGTATCGCGTTTTAAACCCTTAGAGTATTTTAATGCATACTATTCGCGACAACTGCAATGTTTAATATTGGTGATGAATTTTCTGCTTAAAACAGGAGTGCCAAAAACTATGGAATTAGAGGTAATAAACGAGTCGATAGTTGACGTAGATGCAAACGTAAAGATATCATCAGATGGCCCCGAAGTTAGCAGTATTACGTTAGATGATTATGCTGTGGCCAATACACCTAAGCCCATAGTTCCACAGTGGCCCAGAGAATTCAATATCATCCCCCAAAAAATTACGATCGGGCCGGAATCAAGAGTTTCTCTAAAGGTTAAAAAATGTCAATAATACTTTAATAAATTTATCGTAATAAAGAAAACGACGTAACAATTAAATTATTTGTAGATAACTTTAACAGCAAATTTGATACGAGCAAATCAGACATGCTTGGAATTAGAACTAGACAAATCGGATAGTCCACCTATAACTTTGCCTGTTACATTTAATGCTATGGTGCCTACGATTACGCCGGCAGCAGACATCAATCTTCGAGCTTGTTTCTTGGACTTTCCCTACAAATGTGACATTATAATAACGAGCAACGAATGTTGGGGTTACTTCACGTTGGAAGAATCGGAGGTCTTTAAAAAATACTACTTAGGTTATTGTTATTGTTTGTGAAATTCTCATAAATCCCTTATTTTTAGGAGGCTTCAACTTTAGAAGTTGACGTCACTATTAAAGAGGGTATGATTAAACCTAACACGTCGCTATGTTTACCAGTAACAATAAAAACAAATGTTTTGGGCGTTCAAGAATATTCTATATGGTATGGCGCTGCGAAAAAATATATTTTTATATTCTAATTTATTAAGAAAATCTTTAATTTAATATTTCAGCGTTAAATTATTTGGATTATCATCACCAGTTCAAATTTGTCATATAAATGGATGTGGAGTGCGACCTATAGTTACTTGCACACCGATAGCACTTCATTGGGGTCAAGTAAAACTATTAACAAAAACCCAGAAAATCCTGACGCTTTGCAATGATTCACCAGTTTTTGTTAACTTTAGGGCGTCGCTGGTTTGTGATTATATTTACATTTTTATACTTCGTAAGATAATGGGAAGTGTGATTGTTAAAATGAAAGTAAAACTTTTCAAACCAACAGTTAAATCGTGATAACAGGTGGCAAATCCACCCAACAGAAGGCTTCATAGAACCAGAATCAGAAACTGATTTATTACTGAGCTTGTATCTCATTGATGCTGATAGTTATACAAATAAAGCTGTAATTCAATTGGAGAGAGTCAAGGATATTGTAAGTCCTGTATATAGATTTTAATTATTTTTTATCGTATATAGGTTTTTATAATCGTATGTTTTTGTTCTAGTTGGTTCCTCTTTCCGCAACGGGTATAGGAACGAGTATTTTGGTTGGCGAACTAAGAGACAGAGTAATGCTCGGACGTCATTTTACTAAAATCCCCTTAAACTGTCAAGTGGTCATGGAAAATTGTGGTACACGGATGCATGCTTTAGAGTGGAGCGAGCATTACAAGGCACCAAAAACGAAACAACATTCCGCGTAAGTTAACGAAACATTCGCAAACTTTGCTAGTTGAGAACTAGCGTTGTTAAAATTATTCATTAAAATTTTAATTTTTTCAATTTCAATATTTTTAGTGGATTTTTCAATTTGGATCCAAAAGTTTTCAAAATGGCCGCTGGAGAAAAGTTAGAGTTGACGATAACGGGTTTATCGCATAAAGTTACTACCGTTAAAGAAATGTGGTACTTAGTGGGAAGTGTGGAGGGTATAAATAAAAAAGAGTTACTTCTTGAATGCCAAATTGTAGCCGAATTCGTGGATCCGAGGATAGAAATCTCGTCGAATTTAATTGAATTTCAGTATGATTACGGACCTTATAGTGAATTTTATAAATTAACAGGTTGGTTTGAGATGTGCAATCTTATATCTTTATATCATTTATTTTATAAGTTTGTTTAGTTATATTCTCTAAGTATAGTTCATATAGCTTTCATAAACAATATAAGACCAACTGTTGCACTCCATTTGCTGTGTGCATGTCTATGAAATGTGAAATATATTAAAAAATAGTAGGTATTTAAATAAAATACTTTAACGGTTTAAAACGCGATATATTAGTTAAAACCGTTAAAGTGTATTTAAATGTGTACTACTCGCGTAAACTATAGACAGTATTTAAATAGTAGGCAGTTTATACTTTTTATTTAGTTATAATTTATAATTCTTTACAGATATCGTCACGATAAAGAATGTATCTAAACTACCTTTAGACTTTGATATAAGTGTTAAACCACCTTTCGCAATTATTCAAAAACAAACGACATATAAAATACTGCCTCAGGAAGAAGATCTGTGTGGATGTATATGTTATAATGAGTCGGATTTAAATCTTCTCAACATGAGCGATAATGACCCTCAGCATTCGAAAACATTCATTGATTTTTTGACACTTAAACCAGTAGATCCATTAAGGAATGAACCACTTCATTTTTTTCAAGATATTAATAAAATCAAACTTGCATTTAACCTGACACATGCGATTGAAGAGAGATTAGAGGATCAAGAAGTAATGAAAATACAAATTTTATTCGATACAACTAAACATTTCTCATTAAAGTCACGAGTTTATTGTGATTTATTACGAATAAAATTCAAGGGACATAAAAATAAAGTAAGTATTAATTAATCATAAATATTTACTGCCATTAAAAACAAATACAATATTATTAATAATCGTTTGTAATTAATTATTTTTAGGATGCCATTAAGCTGATAGGAAAAATAAATTTTCCAAATATGTTTGTGTTATCACCAAGAATAGATTTCCAATGTGTACTGAATGGAAGTATTGAGAGCAGAACAATAAAGATTCAAAACGTGACTCCACTTCTCGTGTGTTACAGATTTAATTGGAAAAAATTCTCGATAGTGGAAACTAAAATGGTAAACCTATTATCATTGTTTAAAAATTTGTCGATTGGTTTTTTGTTACATAATTTTCTTTTTTGAATATAGCCAGAAATATCTAAACATGAGTTTAGTAAAGTCAGTGTCTATAAAGTTTCGACAAACGAAACAGAACCAAGTGGTAAGTTAATACAACATAATATGTATGTTCGTATTTTACAAATTTTATATCATTTATCACGGCACATTTCGCTTTAGGTGCGGAATTGCATGAAATATTAGCATGTCGTACTCCTGTTGGATCTGCGGCGGATAATATAGAACAAGAAAATATTACAAAAGATGTCCCAGTGATCAATAATGTTAATGAACCCGTTGAAATCTCTTTAATAGATGATGCTATTGAAGACGTCTATTTTAAAAAGTATAGTACAATGAAAACGATCACTCCGATGATAGATATAGATTATGAATCTGAATTTGAATGGACGTACAAATTTTCTAAAAAAGAAAGACCTAGCAACATATGCATTAATGATGTTTTGCAACTTACCCCACACCGAGGCCTACTTAAACCAAATGAAATACAGTTTGTGCACGTAATATTTAGACCAAAAGTTAATATGAATATACGTGCTACATTGGAGTGTGAGGTCCTCGGTGGGCCCCCGGAAGTTATATTAGTGACCGGCCAAAGTTCGGATTTAATATATAAAATTAATACTCAAAAAATTAATTTCAAAATAAGATCTTTCCATGAAAATGCATTTGAACAGTTGACATTATCAAATGTAGCGCAGTTGCCGTTTGAATACAAAACATATCTTAATGAACCAAAATTTGAAAATGACTTATATGGGACAATACTTAAAGTTATACCAGATGGTAAAGTACTAGAGCCAGAAGAACAGATTAACGTTAATATCGAAGTTAGACCTGGAGCGATGGGTTATTTTAGCAGTAGGTTTCTGTTAGAAGTGGGTCATCTACCATTTATATCGATTGATGTTTTTGGATGGGGTGTAATGCCGCAAGTGTACATATCATTACCTCGGCCGGAAATAGCTAAGGTATGAGTATTTCTTTAGATTTTCATGTGTAGAATTATAACGTTAATGTATTTCTCTCTCAATATTGTACATTGGTACACTTTCTAAAATAATTATTATTTGTGTTCAGCTTAATCCAGAATTTGGCTACCATGCAATCCCTACATTGACGGAAGAATATTTGGAGGCAATTAATGAAATATTTACGTATCGTCATCCCGATCACTTAAATTCGCCCCTTACTGACAAGTGTTTTGAAGATCCTATGTTTCATAAGGACTGGCACATATGTTCTTCTTGGGTATACTTAACAGTGTTATTATCTTTAGTCGATTATAACTTATAAAGTACATATATATTTAATTATTCAACAGGACGTTTATCCTTCTACTATGGATATTGAACTTGCGATTGAAAGAATGCTAGTAATCAATTATATACGTTTTCGTCCCGATATTTTGAGTGTATATACAACCACTACAAAAATGATACCAATACCTGGATTTCTAACGACACCATACGTTATTGATTACGGAGTTGTTATAACTGGAAGTTCGGTTAGTTTATCTAAAATGGTAACTCTATTTTCCTTTTCCAATGTTATGTTAATATACAATTTTTATAGGTCCATTGTTGTATAGATGTGATTAATTATGGGCCGATTGTTATTAAACTACATTTAGCTAAGGGGACGCATATTCCACCGTGGCTCAGTTTAAAGTTATGCGGTAAGCTAAATCCGGGTGAAACTGGAAAATTAGAAGCCACATTTTCACCAACTTCCAATGATTTTACGGAATTAGAGGAAAATGTTGAAACTTATTTTAATATCGACGTATGTTATCCTATTTCATTATAGCAGTACAACGTACCTATCTTCGGAAAAAGATATCTTTTCCTTATTACAGGTACCATATGGAGTGACTATTCCAGTAATAATTAGAGCATTATGTGCGGTACCCTATTTAATGTCTAATGTGAGGACAATTGATTTCGGCACAGTTAGATGCGGCGATAAAGTTATATACTCAATTCCCCTAAAAAACATGTAAGCCGACTAAAATCTCAATAAACCTCTCAAAAAATACATCGTGACTAATATATTTCTTACTGTATACTTTGGAACAGTGGAAGACCTACATGCATATGGTTTGTTGCTTTGAAATCTAAAACACCAGGACCAAACCCAATGACCGTACTTGATACTTCTGGAAAGTACGAACCCGGCGAAGGTGGATGGTTAAGTATAGCTTTTAAACCTGTTGTTGAGGTAAGGTATATTTATTACGTATAGAATATACACGTGACACTGAATGTAACTATTCTAAATGTATAATTTTTCAGTTGCCCTACGAAGGACTCCTAATTTTCAAATTTCACATGAACCCCAATAGAATGACGATTCCAGTAGTAGGACACGGTACTTTACCCCAAGTTCACATCATTGGGCCGAATGTTACTTTTCAGCCTACTCTACCTTGGGCGGAGACAACAGACATTTATTTCGGATTAACTAACCCATGTCCTTTCCCTATAGAGCTTATTATTGCACACAGTGACCAGTACGTAATTAAGTACGATATTCTCTACTAGAAATAAATCTGTATTGTAAACTTACACACAACTGCAGGCATTGGAAGGAAGAAGACGAAATATACCAGTTACTATATAAATATTACAATAAACCAGATGAGATGTTAGTGACGGCTATCAAACCAGGCGCTGGAATGCCACGTGAAATTTTAAATTTTTACATTGGGTTTAAAGAGCGGGTTAAAAAGTATGCATACTTTTGCGTGTCTTTAATTTCATATATATAAATAAATCATGAGCTAAATTTTTGTGTAAATTTTAGATCTTTGGAGGAAGAAGTGCAAATGTCGAAAGCATCATCAGTAAAACCACTAGCTTCTGCCAAGTATTTTTTTTAATATCATATATGTAAAACCCTTTTAACAAAATAGGGTACAGGTATAAATAAAACCTAAATGTTGCAGAAAAGCTAAATCTATTAAAGTACCAACATCGAAATCCGGAACAGCAAGAGATTTGAGCCCAAAAAAAATTCGCACTGAAGCTGAAATTATAAATGGTACGTTTCTTTCGAGAAATTTAAGTTTAAGCTAATGTGTAGCTCCGAGCATCTAAAAATTGCATTAAAATTAAAATACACAGAATAGCATGCGATTCACTTACAATATTTTTGTCTTTTGAGCTTTCTACGTGATATTTTACCTATAATTGTTATATTACCTTGTATAGCTATTTAACAAAATAATAAATTAACATTTTATTATTTTAATTAACATACCTAACAATTGAAACCCTTTTAATTTTGGTAGATTTAATGACTTCAATGAAGGCATCTAATATAGACCCTCTGAAGGAATGTATTGCTGCTCGCGAAAATACATCTACAGCCGATGTCCACAGTGACAATCACTCTAAGGGCATATTGATATTTTTTCACGGATCACCATGTGAGGGTATGAAATTATATCGACTAATACCTTTATATTTCTGGAATACGCTACTATTCGAACTACATCACTAATAAGGTTTTGGTTCAATAAACATTTTACATATAAAATTGTCAAGGTATTTTCGAAATTTTAGAAATCCAATGTCAAGAAATAGCGTATTCAACAGGAAAAGCACTGAAAATACCAACAATCAATGTTGATTTTTGTGTGGTCGAAGCCTTATGCATCAGCGATTGCTCGGCAAAAACCCATATACTAAATGCAATCAATGAAATGTTTGAGCTAACACATAGAAATAATAAAGGCGACGATGAAAAAGAACATGAAAGCGAAGGTATAAACTGTAATGTGTTTTATATCTCCATATGAATCTGTAGGAATTTTAGACTATAAATTATAAAATATAATTTGCGTTAAAATAACTTAATAGTTTAATTGAAGATTCCGTGGCCGTTCTATGTATTTTTTGTATAATTACAGATGTATTTGGAGAAACGGATGATGAATTTGATATAATTTGGAAAAAAATCGAATTCTTGGCTAATAGCAAAAATGTAGCGACACCGCGGTCTAAAGCAAGTGACAAAAAGAAGAAAAAATCTTCAACTTCATCTATTGCTTCCCATACAGCATTAGGCGCTATGGGATCGAGTACTATGTTCCAAATGGTCTGTCATATTTAAGGTGGATTCAATTAAGGATTTAAAACTTAGTACTTATTGATATTTTAGGACTTGACTACTGAGCTTCTTACCGATTACTTTAATCAACCAAAGTTTAACCTTGGATTCATAGTGGATACTTTAACAAGCGTCATCTTTAAAAGTCCTCAGACCGTTCTAACTACAGTGATAAGGTGTAAACGTAATATATGGAATTTACACTTGGTGCTTTGTCAATCTGATTTCGCAAGATGGGCGCAAAGTTACGAAGAAACTCAACGGGAACACGAATTAATAGACGAGTGAGTTAAGCACGTTTTAATTATGTCTTTATTTTAATATACCTACAATGTATTATTACGAGATCATTTCAGAAATTTAACAAAAGTGTATGATGACGACGAAATATCTGAGATAGTTAAAACATTTGAAGACATGGAAGAGGAGGATTTCGAAGATGCAATTCCGGAATTAAAATCCCTTTATATAACGTACGGTTTAGAGGACAGGCGACGGAGATTTTTTGAGAAAAAGGGGTAATTTCTATGCGTATTAGGGAGAGACTAGCCAAATTAACATAGTAATTACAAATTAACGTAAAAAAAATCACTGTGTATTGTCATAACCTTTCCGCTTTATACAATGAATTACTACCGTCAAGTATAGTTTATATTTATTTTATTATTATTATTTGTCTTCAGATTATCCGGTGACTATATTAAGCCAGAAAGAAGCGCCCGTGGTTAGTAATAGTTATATACTGGATAGGTATCAATCAGAATCCTAATGCAAAATTTTTTAAAATAATAGTGACGAAACGAAAGTTATTATAAGTAAAAATACGAATTTTCTTTTATTTCCTTCCTGTATGTTAAACTGTTTAGTTAAAATACTTTTTAATATGTTGTCTGCTAAAAACATGCAGATCGGAGCAGATCACTGTTAGTTATTGATAATGAATCAAAGAAAAAAATGAAGAAGGATGATGGCAAAGGTAAGCTAAACATTTTTTTGTAAAATATAACATTTTGATTAAGAGTTATAGAGCTTAAACGAAATCTTTTAGCAAAATTGACAAGTGAATACATTTTAATGAATACGAAATACAATGAATATGTAAAAAATACTTATGATACATTAATAAATATTGCAAACAACTGGATATTGGAAGAAGGTGACGTTGGATTTCCGTTATACGGTTTTAATGGACAAATCGTTGGTTCCTCTCACAAAAAGATGAAGAAGAAATCAGAAATCCAAATTCAGGTAAATGAAAATCTTATTTTTTTACTCTGTGTCGGTTTAAAACAATGTTGAAACGTTAAAACATTTAAATGACTAGCGATTAAATTTTACAGACTTCAGACATCAGCTTATGCGAAAGGGGCTTTCCATTGACCCTAATAAATTGCCCATGCGAACCATACAAGACAGCATTAGTAAATATGTTTTTAACATCAGAGTTAGTGAAAGAAGCTTTACGGGAAGACGTTATATACGATATTTTGAAAAGTCCAGTTAAAGTGAAGGAGTTCACGGTACTATTACCAAAAACTTTCCCAGTGATACAACACGAGGACCCACTGCGATGGCAATACTTAGACGAAGCACCGGTAATTTACCCTTTGAAACGAACTCCAAAATTAAGAGAATCATTGTTAATGTCTAAATGAGACACGTTTTCCTGGCTCACCACAGTTGCTGAAAAATTTCAAAATCGTCTGGTCATAAAATATCGTTCGCTAATTAACTTATTTTATTGTGTGCTAAACACAAATACAATCGATATAATAAATAAATATTTACAGATTAAGAAATGTGAATGCAATCCTTTGACTGACTTAAATCTCTTGGATGATACGACACAGGACAATGTGCTTAATATTCTCTCGAAATGGCATTGTACGTGTGGTAAGAAGGTATGTTATTAACAGATTAGTTTTCAATTCTGTTAAAAAGTAAATAAATCATTTCAGACTAAATGTTTGACATTAACTAGAGTATACACATACGTCCCGCCGGTGTTACGTAGATAAAATAAAATCTCAGTTCCCTCCGTGGGGCATGGGGCTTAATCAGGATTTCATGTGCATGACACGTGCTAGGCAACATAGTGAACATAATGTAAATACAAGAATGTTATATACATATTCTACAAAATTTTACTAATAAGGATGTTATCAGGTAACGTCTTCTCAAACATCAACTAGCGAAATACCATCGATGTCGATTGATAAAACTTCAGAGGACAACCCAGAAGTGTATCCCTTGCCGCTTAATAGTGTTAAATGCACAACAGGTTTGGTTATTGGTTTGGAATTTGTTACATATAATAATTCTATGGTTTTGTTCGAACTAGCTTCTTATAATGTCATAAGGACAAGTACTCGAATAGCAGTAACAATTTAGAATTAGAACTCTTAGGTTAACTACAGATATATATTTGTATAGTATTAAAGTAAGTGTTTGGCATTTCCGTTATACTAAAAATGTTATTAAGAAAGTACATCCTCGCCATATGTGTTTTTTATAAACTCTCCTCCGTCCTATCTACTGTACTCCCCTATTATAAAAAAAGAAATGTTTTTGTAACAGTCAAGCATGGGGTTCGCTTGATGGTAGGAGAAATACCTCAGCCATGTAACATCTAAACAAGAAGGCTTTGAATATTAGAAAATCCACAGACTGAAACCGGAACTTGATTAAACTTGTCTATTTTCTTAACGGTATTCGTGACGTAGTCCAATATGTTCCTTGATGTTGGACCCGGTGGGGATCTGTTAACATTCATACATTGCTACCATTACTTCACGAGCCTGTCAATGCTTCCAAAAATAAAAACGAAGGTTTCTTATTTCATAACATATATAAAAAATATATACAGAACGTGATCGTCGGATAGTGTTGCACCCAGGCGATCTCGTTAGATGCAAGTACTCGTTCAGTCCGCAACTGGAAGGAAATTATACCGTCAAACGATTCGTTGAAGTGAGCGGATGGCCAGCCTCGAGGGTAGATATTAATGTTTCGGGGATATGTGACTTGCCCAGGTCAGTCTTATTTTACATCAAAACTTTGTTTAGTAATAAAGGATATTAAAAACTAATTTGTGTAATACAGGCTGGATAGCCGACCGAAAAAAATGTTTGATAACTTTGTAAGGAGGACGGTAGAAGATAACGTTTACAAAGTCACCTATATTGATGATCAGAAGCTGTTTGAGTTCGGTCCCATCTTCGTTGGTGCTAATAGGTAAGTTATGTCATCGACTAATTACGTAAAAATTAAGGGTGCAAACGAAATTTGTTGGCTCGACACGAACAATTTTACTGCATGAGGCCACCACGATTTTATTTTATGTCTTAAGTTGTAGTTGGTAGAAATACACGTAATTTTAAAGTAGATAATATATACTCGTACAACATACTTGCATAAATTATGTTAATAGATCTTAAAAAACAATGTTCCAGAATATATGAAGAACAATATTCGTTAGAGCTACGAAATTCCTCTCTGATAACTGCGGATGTAGTAATTGAGTTTTTAGAAGATACGACTGTTTTTCAAATAGATAAAACCTTTATTATTTTAGACGTGAGTAAAGTAATGTTTTAATCTTAAGAAGAAATGTTTCTTTTTTGACTAGATAAGAAATGAATTTGGACGCATTCTAAATTTAATCAGGGTATTAACTAGAAAAATAAGTCTGAATCGAACTATGTATTATTTTTCAACTTAAATATTTTTCTATTTTTATATAATTAACGCTACTTTAATTACAGCCCGGGTGTCGAGATAAAGTGACAGTGTCGGCCGCACCGGCAGATTTAGGAGTTCACACCAGTGTTTTACTGTTTTGTGTGAAAGATAATCCTGAAATAGTATCCATTAAAATTTCTTGTAGCGGTGTTGTTCCTATTGTTGAGATTCTACCTTTAACTAAAGCTATCGGTTGGTAAAAAATCTTAATGAGTAACCCTTGCAAATAACCTTAAAATAAATTATTATCATTATATTCAGAATACGGCCGTCATTTACTGTATCGTAAAGAAGACGATCGATTTATTGTTAAGAACGATTCTATACTACCTGTTATGTGGAAGATACACAACCCTCAGGACTTTGTTGAAGATTTTATAATTGCTCAGACTTCGGGCATTGTACAGAGACAGGACAATCAAGTTGTTCCAATAACTTACATTGCTTGTAGGGTGGGGGTTATATCGCATAAGGCGCTCACAGTTGATGTAAATATACTCCTAGTATCAAAATCTAATTTTAAGCTTTACCATCATTATCAAATCTGTATCATTGTAATCATATGTGTATTTCCTTATTCTAAAACGAAATATTATCAGCCGAATTTGGTAGAACTTTTTGGTCCTAAGATCGAGGTTGCCCTAAATGTAAGCTACATTTACCGAAGATCGCGTATCAGGAGGTACATAAACGTAAACATTTTTGTATCCGACCAAGAATCGAACTCCTGACTTTACGTGCTGAACTTATACTACTAGAACAAAGGTGGCTCTCTTTACATCGTCCTAGATATATAATGGAAAAATTATTTTAAAACTAGATATATGATGCCGATGGGCGTGGAAATCCCATGATCGTCGACGTGTTATATTTGTCTGCGGAGTGTTATGATGTTCAAGTGGAGTGTGCCTACGAAAACCCCAGTGAAAATTTCCTCAACTATGGAAATGTCAAAGTCAATTCTACCGTTGTTCAAGAGATGTACCTTTTGAATCGAGGGAAATATAATATTTTTTACAAGTATGTTAAAATTATAATCCGAGAAAAACTGATTTTTAACTAGTAGGTGTAGGAAATTGGTTACAAAGGATAATTTTAACATTAAATAAACACTTACCTAAACTAATTTACTTTGTCATTTAAGGTTAAAAAAAGTGAAAAACTTCCCCGAGCCATCCCTGTTAAAATCTTTTGAGGCGATCCCGGAACATGGTGTAATACCTCCCACCTTGAAATTGGTGACCATCGAATTCGAATGCACACCCAGTACATCCATGAATTTAATAAACGTACCAGCATATATCTGCTCTTTACTGGATGGTAGCAAAAATCAAGTAGTTGTAGCCAAGTTTCCTGTTTGTGTTACCATTGCATCGTTTTATAACACGTGAGTACAACAGACAATGAGAAAACACTACCTTATCGAATAAGGAATCTAATTAAATATTATTTACAATTCCAGATTCACTTTATTCCCTCTGGGAGAACTAAATTTTCATATTATCCCTGTTGGCAGTGGGGTAATGAGAGAAGTAATATTAAATAACACTAGCAAGTGCCCTATAACTTACGAGATTATTTTACCCGAAAAATATCAGTTAGACCCTGATGCTCCACCTCCTTCAGCTAAATTAAAAGACAATAAGTTAGTGAGACTTTTTAAGGTATAATTTATTTGTGCCATATTAGTTAAGCGATACCTTAAAATAATGGATCAAAGGAAAGGGCAGTTGTGATTCTGATATTATCAGTTTATGTATATATTTTATACTAAGACTTATAATATGAATTCATAAGTTAAACGATTTGAATTTTCACGTGTACACAGTACTGTACTATGTATAAAAGCGACATATATTTTAAAGGGACTGAATAAAATGGAACTGACCTGAAAAATTCATAGAGATAATCATTCCGTGTTTTTTATAAAGACTTCAAAGGTCGTCAAAAGTTTCAAAGTATCTCTATAAATATGCTAAAAATGCGTCTTCTAACCGTGTTGTCGTAACGGGTTATAGTTTACAATTGGTTGCAGAATAAAAAACCCGCCTCTAAAATGTGGAAACTTTGTCATAATGAACGATGATAACCTCCTTGCTCCTGGAACGAGTAGAACTCTTCAAATACAGTTTATGGCGACAGCGGCAAAAACATTTGAAGAAACAATAAAATTTATTATAAGCGATACGTGTCCCGCTGAATCTTGCGGAGTTCCTCTTAAATTAGTTGGCACTGGAGCAATGCCCACATTGGACTTTTGGAATATAGAAACCACGTTTAGAGAACATTTAATAGTGAAAAGTCTCGCTGAATATAAAGTGCCAGAGGTATAAGGGTTTCATAAGGGTCTATAATAGATAGCACCCATATCCTAACATTTTTATATCCTTTTCAGTCATCACCGCATTGTGTGTTCGTTGAAGATTCTGTCACATTGTATTTCTATTGCGTCAATGTAAATACAACTTACACGGCTACTATAGATTTGTATAACAGCGGTTTAGTAGCGTCAGCCCTTACTATGAAGCTTCATTATCAGACTAATTCAAACGCACACATTTTCTCTTTAGACAAGTATGAAACACACATTGAGCCATTGTTGCACAAAAATTTAGGAATCGTTTTCAGTCCAAAAACTCTTGAAGTAAGTAATATTTTAGCTATACTTATATCGATTTCATATGTATACAACGTTTAATTAATATTTTAAAGCAATACAGAGCCGTACTGGAAATCAGGCTAAAGCTGTTGGATAACCAAGAAAAATCCTTTAGAGTTTGTTTGATCGGTGAAGGTGTAATACCAAGAATACGGTTGGTGTATCCTCAGTTACGTCATTATAAAATCGCATTATTGCAATTCCCAGTTACTTGTCTAGGCTCGATAAGTAAACAACAAATTCGTTTTAAAAATGTGAGCTCAGTAAAAACTGAAGTAAACGCCGAAGTTTTCTGTCCACATAAGGAGGAGAGACATATATTTTGGCTATCTTCATATCAAAGTGATCTATCCGAATATAGTAATAGGGGCAAGTATAATATGCGTATTAAAACTCATTGCAGTTCGTATTAAACATTAAGTTATACGAAACATTTTATCAACAGATATGACAATAACGTTAAAACAAATATTGTGTCCTAATGAAATTGCTACAATAAATATTCACTTTAATCCAATACGAAGAGGTAGAGTGTCATGCGACGTGAAGTTAACAATATCTGAAAATCCTTACGAGTTTTTTGTTGTAAGAAACAATTTCCGTAATATAAAATATATGTTGTTATTGTCCAATGTAATGTACTATCACATTTAAGTGAATTGAGAAATCTTTTGATCTCATTATTTGGTCAGGGCAATCATCTCGTTGAGAAGTTATTATCGAATAGTTATAAAAATTATTATTATTTCGTTAAGGTGCTGTGTGAAGGAGAAGCTTTCATGGAGGATGTTATTTTGTTAGGTCTTGAAATGCTCTCCATGGACTTGGACTTAGATGCATTTAAATCTGCAGAAGGGTGATTAAAGAGACTTTTCTATGATCTTAGGTTGGGTGGAAGACCTAAACATAAATATATTGCATATACATAATCTTGCAGCACTGTATCCACCGTCTCAACGTTAGATAGCCGTAAAAAGAGTAAAAGCGCGGCTGCCCCAAGAAAATCTAAAGTAGACACTAAAAGAAGCAAAAGAATGTCACAGGCATCAGTTAAACATAGCGATACTACTAGCAGCGTGGAACACTCATTACAAAAATATCTTCTTGACTTTGGTAACTTTTTAAAACGTATCTTAACTATCTAAAAAAGAAGAAAAACCTTGTATGAAAGCTTTATTAAATGTTTGAGTGTATTATACACATGACATCGGCATAAGTTTGGAAAAATTCAGCAGCAGCAATATCAACTATCAACGAAGACTTTTATTATTTTTCAGAAGGCTGCGAACTTTGTGCAATTAAAAAACGAACAATCGTAATGTTGAATAATTCAGAAAAGGTTTATAGATTCAAATTGGAAGAATCAGAGTTAATAGTTGTCAAGCCGTCGATTGGATACATATCGCCCGGCGAAGAGAAAGATATAGAAATTATTTTTTTCTCTCCAAAACCCGTTGTTTTGAAGAAAGTAGGTTGAACGGATGTTATGTTGACTTATTTTCTTTATATAATTTTAAAACGTTTTAATCTTCAGGAATGTTTACATGTTACGTTGATGGGTATTATTGATGAGTCATTGACCATGGACTTGAAAGGAACAACGTGGGATAATAGACAAAGTGTTACCGTATTCGATCATAATGCGTACGTTTCTTAATCCGATTATATATGCGATAAATCGTAGAAGAAATGAATATATTTTGTAACTTTTTTACAACTTATGTGTCATTTTAGTAATATAAGTGTTAATGAAAGATATCAAGCTATAATAGATGAGCAATTCCATATAACACCAGAAAATGCATTGGATATAATTCAAATGGTAATAGTGTACTCCGCTACAACAGAGTATACCAAATATACGTGTAACTTAAACGAAGAAAAAAATATGGAAGATACTTTTATATACCAAGTAAGTGTACTGAAAACACCTTAGTCTTGATTTTGTTAACAAAAATCTGCATTAAGTTACTTTGTTTGAACAGGTTAGAGACTTTAATTTTCAAGTTCAAAATATCAGTAAGGTTCCCATGAAAATTATGTGGAACTTTGTCATTGATGATGAATTCCCATCGAGGATTGATAAACGACTTTCTGGAACGGTAAACATTCATTGTAGAGTTATACTTGAGTATATATTTAATCTATTTATAGTTTAAGCCTTTGCATGTAGTATAAAACATATTATTTTGGACAGAAAACGATGCAAACAATTAACGAACAAGAAAATAGGACACTCAGAAACACGGAGTCCCGTGACGATAAAAATTTTGGTGATGAGAAAACACTAAAAGAGTTTATATATTTTTTATAATTTCAGACATTGCAAATATGCTATAATTCTGATTTTATATTTTAGAAGCAAGCAATGTCACTTTATTTAGCGAAAAGTCAGATCGAGATAGCGTTGATACGTGGTTCGAAGTCGACCTGCCATTTGTGATAGAACCATCCAAAGCATGTCTGAAACCTAATGAAAGTTGTAAATTTAAAGTAACATTTGCGCCCCTTGATGCATTCTTATATAAAGTAAGACTGAAAAGTGTTATAGGTATGTTTATTTCCTTTTAATTTTACACCTTTATAATATTTATAAGTAATAAGCATTGGTTATACATATCTTTATGGTTTTTTATATCAAATAAAACTAAGCGATTTTTAGCTGCTCCATTACTTAAATATGACTCTTATTATAATACAATATTTCACCTTCTCTGTTATTTTATTTACTTAATTTATGCAGATAATTTAGATCCATACGATCAGAATATATCATGCAAAATATCAGCGAAGTCACTAATTCCATATGTACACTTGGATATAGAGGAAAGCGATTTTTTGTCATCGGGAAGAAGAAAAGCCACAGTGGCTTTGCCATCGCACGTAACTGTACTAGAATTTAATGTTCTCGGCTCTGGGTGCTATAAAAAGTATGATAATAACTGTGTCTACTCATATTTCCCGATTGTAAGTTAATTTAGCAAAGTAATTTTAATAAATATCGTCTTACAACATCTTTAATTTACAGAGCCTTTAGTGTAATTAATCCTACAAATGAAGGGTACGAATTCATATTTGAAATGATTGTGGCTGAAAAGCCTGAATTGATTCCGATGCACTGCAACATGCTGAAGGGTTTTGTAGAGGGCGGAGCATCTTCGGAAGTGGAGTTTACGTTTTCCCCGACCGCACCAGGGGTATGTTAATGATTTTAATATTATTTATTTATAATTCACACGGGCTCGAAGTGGTTCCCATAAGACAGGCAGTGTTTAGTTTGGGATCACAATCTATAGATATAAGAACATATTATGTTTTTAGTATCGAATACTCTTCAGATATACTGAAAATTATTTTTTCTGAAAGTGTATACATATATAAGATAAAGAAAATAGACCAAATGGGTACAAATAAGAAGTATCTTCCCTTCTTAATTCCTTCGTATGTTACATTAGAGAAGATCTTTCTTATTTGTTGATGTGTATGATACTAAGTATTAAATTGTATAGAAAATAGTCTTAATAGATAAACGTGTGTATGGATATGTAAAATGTGTGTGTGTTAAATAAATAAATATATATTTATCAACATATTTTAGTTCCGCCTTAATTTAAGACGAAAAATTAAATTATAGCCCCATAACATCACCGCTGTACTAATTGTCTTACAATAACTATAAATTAATGGGTAAAATTATTATATACCGATTTTAGATATACGAGTCGCAATGGAAGTTCATTATCCCGGTCCATTCGATAGTAATGAATTTGCTTGTGGTTGGCATAGTACGAGAGCCAGACGTATCATTCGTGCCCACAATACTTTTGATTCGCAATTCCCTGGTCGGCTTCACAACGGAGAATATAGTCGTTTTAAAAAATAATGAGCGTGAACCGCTAAACTTCGAGTTTAAGGGAAACTCGCTGTGCAACGAATCTGGGAAGACACCGGTTATAGTGGAGCCTGAGAAGGGATACTTGAAGCCGCTATCAGAAACGGAAATAAAGTTAGTATTTTTTATTTTTAAGCATAAGACATTAAACTTTAACATTCAAGTATTAAGGTTGAAAATACATTGCGTGATGCATGTATCAAAATGTTAAAAATTCGACGATAGTGCAACAGCACGGAACGCTGACGATGCCATTTCAAGTCGTGTCCGAGTCGACTTTTTTTGTTTATTTTCGATTTTACTTTTCAAGTTTGTTAACTATTCAAAAGTTTAGATTTACTTAAAGCGAAGTAAATTGTATTATTTTGTTTTAATATTTCACAGAATTATTTACACACCTATACAAGACGGTCCGCTGTCATTCAAGATTTTCTGCAGCGTACAATATTTGATTAAAGTTCTAACTCTATGTGTGAACGCCCTGAGTCACTCTATAAAACCAAAAATAACTTATTATTTAATTGGTAATGAGCACGTACTCAACGCTGACGCCCTGACGAATATCCATCTTGATCAGGTATTGCTAAATATTAGGATTCCTTAGATGTTTAAATTAAACGTTTTAACGGTTTAAAATAATTCGTTAATCTTATTTGAAAATGATTTTTAACTTCGGCCCGACGGTGTCGAATGCTTTGCAGCAGCCGTGGTCACGGGTCTCCTAAATCTCAATCGTATCAAATAAGTTTAACTAATATATCGCGTTTTTAACCGTTAAAGTATATTATTTAAATGTGTACTACTCGCGTAAACTATAGACAGTATATCCTTAGGTGTTTTTAAAAGTTATAGTATTTATGTTTTCTTCTATTTATTGATTTTATTTTAGACGGCTTCAACGTATCAAAGGACAATACCGTTTACGATAAAAAACGATGGCTCATCGACATTTTATTTTGAATGGGAATACAGCTGTAGTGCTGTGAAAAAATATTTGCAAGTTAGCGTGGAGCCCAACAATGGACACGTTAGGCCCGCTGGAGAAGTTGTGTGCACCGTCTATTTTACATTGAAGCAAGTTCCTGTTCAGTCATTTCCTATGACCCTATCGGTAGTATTCAATATGTTATACAATATTCTTTAATTTATTACGTAGTACATGTTACTAGTTTCGAATAACACGTATTTGAGTTAATGTAATCAAATTATTAAAACATTGTGTGTTTAAAGATTTCTGATGGGCCAGAGTATAATATTTACCTTCACGCCGATATAGCCAAACCCGTATACCACTTTTCATGCATGGAGTATGATTTTGGAAAATGTATCGTCAACGCTCCGGATGCTACATACAAAAAGAATATAGCTTTTGAAAACGAAGACAAAGCCGCTACAACGTTCGTTATAATTTATTCATTATTTATGTATAACCGAATAAATCTTTCCATGGTAAGGAAATTACCATTTTTTTATTTTATTAAATGTTTCTTAATTTAGCCTGGATTTAAATTTTTCAAATATACCGGAGTTATTTGTTCACTACCGAGATGAAACACTGATAGAGCCAGGTCGACGTTTGAAGATATCGATTTATTTTCGACCAAAGCAGGTTAAAGAATATGAATTCAAATTGCATTTTTGGGTTAATTCTTTATGTGAAGAAATCATCACCATAAAAGGAGAAGGTAATAAGGCACTTACGTACTACTGTACAGTTACTTAGCATACATTCTGTATCTAGTAGATATTTAAGGGCAGTCAGAGGAGAGAAAAGCCTTTCTTCATACTATGTTTCTATATTGATAGACAATACAAATCAGTGTAGAATTTTGGTACAAAGGTGATATAATCGTACCTCTATATAACTTCCGTTTGTAGAAATAAGCTTTGTTGTAGGAGTGCCTTTGCTATTCGACCTGTATGAAGGTTGTCAAAAAAGTTTTGACCTGGGACCAGTCAAAGTAGGTCATAAAATCACGCGTCAAATTGAGGTGATGAATCATAGCAAAGTTCCAATCGAGGCTAGCTTCATATTCAGAGATACTTACGGTATTGTCGACGACGGCACCAAATCAGAGGGCACTAGTGTATGCTTAAGTCCTAGCGCCATCGTACCTTCCCCCGGTGAGGGTGAACCTTCGAGGTAAAGAATGTTAATAAATAATTCAATAGTAGTACTGTATTCTTTAAAAGAGATGTTTCATCTAAACAAATCATTTACCAGAGGGCGAATGTTACAATTGTACAAAGACAACAAAATAAATGAGCAAATAGAAATGGATGTACAAAATGCGTTAAGTTCTTTAAAAATAATACCCAATAAATGCACAATAAAACCGTATAGAAAAGTGCCCCTAAAAATTCAATTTAAACCAGTCGGTATGATAAGTGACCTCAATGTGCAGGTAAGATTGTCTATGTATATATAATTGATGAATTTTATCTAGTTTATTTCTGTATATTTTAAATTTTAACGCTTAACGTAGCAGCGGAAACCTCGGACGGTAATTGAAATAAATATATAGTAAGTTAACTAATATATTTCGCGTTTAAACCAGTAAAAAGTGTTTTATTTTAATACTGTGTATGGTGTGATGTGATTTCAGTTGAACATGAAAGTTTTTCATTTCGAGAGGCCACTAGTCCGATTAAGCGGCAGTGCGACCGGCATGAGTTTTTGCTTCAGCCAGAATTCGTTGCAATTTGGTCGTGTGAGGAAGCGGGGTTGCAAGATTCTTAAAGTAATGTTGCAAAATAAGGGTGACTTTGGTGCTAAGTAAGTTTACTACACGTAGACCTTAAAAATATATATATTTACTTGTTATATTCTTAAAAATTTAGGTAGTCCAAATTTCCGGTCCTTGTCATATGACCATGTATTACAATTAGTTTTTTTACATTGCTTAATTATGTTATTGCATTGGTGAATTTTTGTTATGTGTGCAGGGTGACTAATAATGAAACTATAATAGTCTATTTGTTAGATTATGGTTATCACGTATACAGTACTGTTACATACGTAGAGGATATCAACACACGTAACACGCTCTCCCTTCCAACCACCCCCCCACCCCCAAAATCCAAACCCCCCCCCAAAAACACCCCCTTTTTTGTTTTAAAATTTTTTTTTTTTTTTTTTTTTTTTTTTTTTTTTCCCCCCCCGGGGGGGAACCCCCCCCCCCCCCCCCCCCCCCCCCCGGGGGGGGGGGGGGGGGGTCCCCCCTCTCCCCTTTTTTTATAAAAAAAAAAAATTTTTTTTTTTTTTTTTTTTTTTTTTTTTTTTTTTTTAAAAACTTTAGGCTGTAATAAACGTGAAAATTATTTACTGCTTTGCTGATTTAATGCAATTATATAGCTAACTTATCCCCACTGAATAGTTCGCTCACCCCACAGATGTCGTTTCTCTCTTTCTTTTTTCTCGTTATTTTGAGTTGTACTTTAGTATTGTACGTATTGTTATCTTAAATATGTCAACTATTTGTTTTTATACCGTCATCTAAGTATAAGATAAATAATATATAAATATAAACTGAAAGGTGAATTGTTACAAGTTACGGCAATTTTCAGAGAAATCATTGTTTATTCATTGTAATAGGTATGTTAGTCGCGTGTCAATAATTGGATGCAAAAAACAAATGTGTTATTAATAAGTGCAATTTTACCAGATTCTGGTGGCAGCCCCTTAAATCCGACGAATTCAAAATATCGCCGATGCAAGGAAATATAGCTGCACGAACAAATGTGACTTTCACCATAACATTTAGACCCGTGGAGCACAATCCATTTATTAAAGTTTGGGTAAACTGGATACTTTTAATATGAATTTTAATTTGACACTTATTCCTAATAAAATAATATCCCCGCGTGGGAACAAAAAGATCAAAAATAGAAAAAATTTAAATGCACAAAAAGACCAAGAACTTCACTTATTACAAATTAAGCTGTGACCAGTAGCAGCTAAGAAATAGTAGGAAATATGAATACATACCGTAAAATATTCATCTTTGAGGGTTTCCATGGCGCGCATTCGCAGCGCGCAACGGAACCCAAAAAATATGTAGGAAAGAAGAATTCTCCCATGTCACCGACAACAGGTATATGTATGTGTATCAGTCAAGATTAATTTGCAAGAACGACGACACGCAAACGACGTCGTTAGTAAGAGCTAAAATTTATAAAGATGAGGAGGACGAAGTCGTGGCCACAGCTAGTTGTTATAAACGAGAAATATACATACATTGGGTACACTATACGTCGAATATTATGACACCAGTCATGGGATAAGACCTTACTATTAATTTCAAATATACCTAATATTCTACAGGCTAGTTGTAACATTGAAAACTATCCACCTTTGGAATTAGCTCTCTACGCAACGTGTGTTGATATTGGAAATATTCAAAACAAGACCCTGTACTTAGAATGTCCCGTGAGGGAAATTCATACTGAATATATTATTGTTACAAATCCGTAAGTTGGGTGAACGTTTGATGTAAATGTTATTAGTAAAGTGTTTTAGAAAGAAAAGTTTATTTGTTAGTATTATAGTTAATCGTTTATTTTTTAGTTCGGATGACATGTGGCTAGTGCTCTCGGAAGTGTCAGGTGGACCGTTCGAGACGCTCAAAGAATTCCATGTTGAACCCAACTCAACTTTTGAAATACCTGTTTATTTCAAACCCAAATCTATAGGCAAACATGAGGTACCAAAATTAATATTGAGAAAAGGTAATTGGACGTTAAACATGTAAAAACTCAGAAAATCCATTTTGCCAACAGGCTCAGGTGTTATTTTCGCCATTGGGAGAGAGTGCGCTATTCGTTACGTTAATTGGTGCAGCGACACATCCTAATCCTAACGGAACGATCAATATAACAGTCGATGCGAAGGACTATCATATGGAAGAATTATTTGTTTATAATATCACTGAGGTGGTTTTTTTCTAAATGTACATGCACTCCACAGTATATGCACTCCGTACAAAAATGCACTATATGAGTTGTTGACTTCGCTCGTGGTACTCTTCGCTTATTATTGTACCTCTACCAAAATATCATTTGAACACAATTAATACACTTTAAAAACGCGTATCGTTCTTTTCTGTAAAAACAATAGCGGATCACGAAACTTTAAGTGCTGAAAAGTCATTAGAGGATTCACTACTTGTGCACTTATCGAATACAACGGGGGAAAGATTAATTATGGGTCTTAGCTAACATAGGAAGTATACCTGAACAGTCCGTTAGATAATCCCTAAAAAGGATACCACGGCGCAACTCGAAACGTCTTAGCGGTCAAACTTAAAAGATAGACATTTATTTATATTTTACTTTTTTTATTTAATTTAATTTACATCACATGACATATACTATCCTAGACATTTTTTTTAAATCATTTAAAGAGCAATCATTCTTTCATATCTATTTTTGCTTAAAACTCCAATAGATGAATAATTTTGCCAGTTTTTTTCACGTTTCCCTCTTTTTCTTTGCTCCTATAAGTCGCAGCTTGAATTTTATAGCCTAAGCCGTCCTCGATAAATGATCTAACCAAAACAACAATATGTTTTAATTTGAACCGGTACTTCCTGATATTTAGCGCGTAAAAAAACTCTTTAGCTTTGTAATATTAGTATAGCTAGGAAATAATATCAATAGCCTCACTAAACACTTAAAACACGTACTTAACTTGTATTTCAGTTCCCAGAGTCGTATTCGGTATCAACAGAAATAGTTAAAATAATACCAGACAAATTTGAAGGGTATTATGAAATCAAGCATCCTGACACCATTAAGGTTTGGGGAGAAGCTGCTGCAACGTGTCGGTGGACGATAGTCTGTTACGAGGAGTGTGAATTACAAGCTAAGGTTTAATTTTTTCGTCTAACAAACCCTATTTCTTTTATAATAATAATAAGCCTTTTAAATGAAACACTTTAACGGTTTAAAACGCGATATATTAGTTAAACTTATTTGAAAATTAATTTTTAACTTCGACCCGACGTTTCGGATGCTTTGCAGCAGCCGTGGTCACGGAGAGACAAAGAAGGGACAGGGTAGGGAGATAAAGTGTTTTATTTAAATGTGTACTACCACATTTCTTTTACCAGTGGCATTTTTAAACATGATCTCGCAGGTGCTTTTCGTGAACGAGGAAACGCGCGAATATCAGTACTACAACATCATAGTCACTGTTAGTACGAGCAAGATAGTCGACACTTTGACGTTTACCTCGCGTGCACGCGAATCGGTTCAAAAGGAGATTACTATTAAGAATCCACTCTCATCCGACGCGGAATTCTTGATACAATCTGAAAAGCTTCATTGCTCTGACAAGCTTGTGGTAAACGGGAATTCGGAGGTTGGTACAGAATTTAAGTCTTTACAAAATGTTGATAACAATTCATAATTAATTAATAAAAATAAAAGTATGTTTAGTTGTTCCTTAGTCGAGTTAAATATTAATTTCTCTACTAACTTGCTGTTCAAATACTTAGGCGTACTAAATTTTTCAGGCTGTGCTAGTAATGACGTATGCCCCTCTTGTTGTCGGTGAATCTGAGGACTTCTTAGAAGTCAGTAACAATTTGATTGGATCCTACGTTTATGGCGTGGTGTTGAAATGTCTCCCGGCCAAAGAGAAATATTTGGAATTCACAACTCCTATAGGAACATCAGTGCCCTTACGTCTCAGAGTACACAATAAAACTGAGGGTAGAACGGAATTTATTGCAACGGTATGCGGAAACACTACGAAACTACTACTTTTTATTTGTATTTCATGTAAGTTTGAATGTCTAAAGTTTCTAAATAATTAATACTAATCTCATTTTAGGCGTCACATTCCTCAATACAACTCGAAAGAGAATATGTGTTAGGCCCATCGGAGAAAGGGAAATTCCTAGCTTGGTTTGAGCCGACTGAGCTTGGAGAGCAACATTGCAGAGTGTCCTTTCTTTCGGCCGTAGCGGGCGAATTTGTGTAAGATTTTATTAAGCTGTTTGAAACTGGCTCACTCATTTTTAACTACAATCCCAATTACAAGGAAAAAACAAGAGTTTTACTATTTACAGATTTAACATAAAAGGAGTTGCCTTAGCACCGAAACCACAAGGCCCTTATGAAGTAAAGGCGGGGGGATTTGCAACGATTACCTTTAAAAATATCTTTGAAGAAACGCGAATGTTCAAAATTAATGTTGACAGAGAAGACTTTTATGTTAAGACTTTATATGAACCCATCAAGTCTAAAAAGGTGACATTTATTTGTTTTTATACAATATCGTTCCCATAGGTTGTATAATGTTGTGAAGCTTACATCGAAAATAATGGAGGATCCATTAGTAGCATCATACTAATTTCGTGACCTGATGAAAACCTTTGAAACTGACACTATGGATTATACAGTTATTTCTTTTTTAGGATATTAAAATTCCCGTCTACCTCAATGAGAATCTGACACTGAGTCAAATGTCAAAAGATGGCCCCACGGGGTGCCTCACTATAGAGACTTACGAACCGGCCGAACCCAAAGTACAATGGACGTACTTCCTACACGGAGCCTTGTGACCACTTAATTAATTTAATCTCGAAATAAAATTTTATTGATTATGTTGTCTTTAACAAATTGTAACCAAGCACCCAGACTGTAAATCTAATATAAACACTAACACTATCTAACACAATATATGACTAACACAATAGCAAGTTTTGATTTGAATAAACTGCCATTGTGTGAAAGCCTTTTTACGTACAAAAAGCTTCCACGAGGTAAGTAGCAGGCAAAAGATATAGACGGATTCAACATAGTAAGATTTTAGTATATATTTATTTCCAATCTTTTACACTAAAATCTTCAACAACATCTTCAATTTCGGGGATATTATCATTTTGTATGTTTGCTATTGGTTTTTTGGATTTCTTTGTTTTCTTTTTCAACTTTTTAGTCTTAGCTTTTTCCTGCTCCTCGTCAATTTTGAAGTTATCATTATCTTCACTGTCTGATGGGAATAGAACCATTGGACCTTTCTTTTCTGGTGCTTCTTCATTTTCAGGGATCTTACGTCTCTTAATCATGGGTAATTCTCCAGCAATCTCATCATTCTTAGTTATTTTCTTTCTCTTCTGAATTTTGTTGATTTTGCTCCAGTTTTCATAGAATGTTATAAGAGGTGTACCTTTAGCTTTGATGTTAGCTTCCCACGCTGCTACCATTTTCTCTTCAGATAGAGAAAAGCTTACTTTAGATCTCTCATGTTCAATAAATTTTGCATTTTCTTCAATCTTATCCAGAAGCTGCTTCATTTTCTTAGTATAATTTGCAACTGGGCATGATTTAAGAAATTGTTTTATCTGTAATAAGAGTAACAAGATTATATGTTATTAAATGGACAAGGAAAAAGATACATCAATGTGAAAAAAAATTTATGTGCGTCTTGGGTGTACATACTACATTGTCTACACTACAAAATATTGCATATGTTTTACACAGACATAATATCATATGGGATATCAGGTTTCGTGTACCTTCATAACCCAACAATACAAGCATTGTGTCAAGATCTAGAGGTTATGTAAATTCAAACAGTTTATAAGTTTAGTGATTACCTGAAGAACAGCTAATAAAGTGATGTCCGGAAAAGCTATATAATGGGACTGATTAGCGCTGCACTCTAACAAAAGGGCGTAAACTCTGTCAATAACAGAATCTTTAAATCCATTCTCAGACAACTGCGACTTAGCTAAGCGAAGAATACAAGAAAAGTCTAAAGGTTTCATGGATACTTTCTTATGTTTTTTGCTAAAGTCATATGATGTCAATACCTAAAACATACATAATGTTAATTATACTTATTCTAAAATTTACCAATTTGGAAAAACTAAAACATACTTACATCTACCAAATATGGAAGTAGAGGTATAAAAGTATTAGTCTCCTTAGACAAATTCATCATAATCTCCGTGCAATGAAAGCGTAGAGGGTAGTACTGATGAGTCGGTACCAATTTTATAGTGTTAGTTATTATCATCACTAAAGGATAGAGTAATGGCTGTAATTGTGCCTTGTTTGAAGTCGCTGCTATCAAGTCGGCCCATAAATGTAAGGAATTAATAAATTGCCAATTATAGACAGCTTGTCTGTTCTCTACTTTTTGTACTACTATTGCATTTCTTAAATGTATAGCCAGTTGTCTTATGTACAGAAAAACATACTGATAGGAAACATTTAAATCTAGGGCAAACATTTCCACGAGAGATCGCCTCATAAAATTTATTCCTGGCCAAGTACTTGGGCTCACAAACTTGCTGTTTTTCACATATGTCATGTACATAACTTTTAAGACCAGATCTAGTAAAGCAGTCTGTTGATTCCGTGTTATCCTTAAAATACTTAAAAAGGCGAGGACCCTCACAGTCTCTTCTCCAGTAGACCATAGCGTAATTAGCTTCTTGAGTGCTAACTTAGACACTCTTGTGAAACATCCAATAAAAATTGACATCTGGTGCAAGTGTTTTAATAAAACAGTCAATATATTTACTGAGCTAACGCCACTTAGCAGTTTTAATAGATCTTTAAGATATGTCACTAGGGGTGCTTTTATTTTAGAAAAATTTTTACATTTCTGAGGATCTTTTCCAGCCTGTTCCAAACCCAAATAGTTCTTGAAAGCAGATGGTAAATGCAAAACACACATCTGTATAACAGCATTAAACACAGATGAGCCTAAAAAATAATTATAATAATAATATTGACATAACAATGGGGTTGGAAATCAGAGTGGTGATTTTCCATAAATTGGGATTTTCAATGTTTTTTGTCTCCTTAGAGGATATGCACAATATTGTAAGACTGAAAAAATCCCCAAAACATTGAACATTTGATTATTTTAACATAATTCTTAGTAAGACTAAATAAGGACAATACTTATAATTGATATATTGTACCTTCAACTTTATACTCTGCAGTTGATGAACCATCATCACTTGTTGCCCTCACCATTGCTGCATTAAAAACTTTAATGACAGTCACTAATGTTGTTCGCTTAACATTTCCTTCTGGATGTAGCTTGTTTTGCCATTGTGATACCATTTTAAGTGTTACTTTGCCACTGACTGGTTTTGCTGTTTCATCCTGAAATATTTATTGTATTGGTATATAATATTACCATTTACCAAGTTTTATAATAAGTCACGGAGCTGCAACCCACACTGTTTTACTATATTTTAGAAAATGAATATTGGATAACAAAGATAAAATAAATTTAATGCTTATTGTAATGAGGAATTTATGCTACTCTTGCCAGGTTGTGATTTAAATTTGAATAGCAATCATATAATAACCTCAAAATCACTTTCATCACTATCCATAGTGAGAGGACCGGGTAAATGCACTTTTTCTTGTTCATCATCATCCTTTTCCGAGTCTTCATCTCCCGTTTCGATGTCAAAATTAAGAAGGTTATCATCATTCTGTTCAAGAAATTGGTAAAAATCAGGATCTATTTTCTTTAGTTTTCCTAAGGATTCCTTGTGTTTTTCCGGGTTAAGCTCTTCATCTGAATCCACATCTGTAAAATTGCAACGTTAAAAATTAGATAGAATGCTTACCAAGAACAAACACAATAAAAACAATTCACATAACCTGCTTCCGTAGTTGGCTTCTTTTTCTCCGTTTTCATTTTGAAACTACCGATATTAAAATTTAAAAAAGAATTTCCTCCCGGTGGTTAAGCCTCAAGTGACTTGGTTTTTAAAAAGGTGCTGAAATTACGTATTTCTTAATATGCTCAAAACAAGCCGAATGTTAAACCACTTCGACCACGAGGATTTGACAGTTTGACACTAACAAATAACGTTTGACAACAGAGTGAACAGAATATGACATTGAGGGCCAGACAGAAAACTAGAATCCCTATTGATATATTTTTTAACATATTTTGTGTATATTAATAATTTTTTTACTTGTTTACATACTCCTAATTAATGAGCATAAATGACAGCAATCCATCTTTTTATTAACATGATCCTGAAATTATAATGATTAAGATAACATTGTGTTAGGATAGCTTACGTTCAAAACCTTATCTAGCATTTATTTTAAATATTATACAATAAAAGCTTTAAATTCATTTATATCAGAAACAAAAAATACTAAACAAGCTTAACGTCATTTAGTACAAGTTAAGCTGGAATCAAAACATGTAAGAGATTTAGTGCTACTTAACCGTGGTTTGGTACTACGTAACATAGTGTTGAAAAAGATTTAAAAATATTCTACGTTGTTTTTTATATCTTATATAAATATAAAAAAAGAACATTACGGACATATAAACGCTTGCATAATCTGTTAATTTCTAAATGTCCACTGGCAATGTTTCAAAAATAATATGGCAAGTCAGAAAAAACTTAAGATCACCTTTAACTTTCTAGAAACGAGAAAATTGAAAATTCTATATCTGTGAATTGTTGAACTGACTACACATAGAAAACTCATTCGAATTTTTAAGCTGCGAGAAATTATTTTGAATATTAACTTTTACATAAAATTATTATTTATTGCATATTTGTTACTATCATTCGTTACATGCAAATACTGTAACTCTTTTATTATTTGCAAATAGAATACCGGTAAGTTTATTTTATATTGTGGTAATTTTATCGTAGTAAATACATTCTATTCCTAAATCTCTAAGACATTCAGTATTAAATTATCCTTGCTATTTATTTACATAAGGTTGCATCATGTTATCTCGAATGTGCGTAGCAAGATCTGCCTTCAGCATAGGCCATACATTAAAAACACCAGTACCTCAAAAATTTGTCCCTAAGAATTATGTGGTGAGAAATTATGCCCGGGAACCTAGATCTCGTGTGGCCACTCGTTCTCAACCTACAGTGTGGGAAAGATTGATGGCACCAGCTGGCCCAAATGGTAAGATTATTTTGATAAATTAATATAGGCTCAAGGTAAAAATAAAGCTCTTAATTATCAAAGAAGTTAAATAAAATAAATAAAAATAATCATGTGGAAAAGATTAACTTAATTGAAGGCCATAGAGTTCATAAAAGTATCTTAAAAAGAATCAATCTATTATGTTTGTGCATCTAATTTTTGGTTTTATATAAAAAAATAATTTATCAAATGTATGTTACATAAACTGATGGAATCAAATGTTTTTATGTTTTTTTTAAAGCATATAGCTTAGGAAAAGGTGCATTAGCTGGAGCATCTGCAGTTGGTCTTGTAGCCCTTTGTTATTATGGTTCAGGTGTAAAACCAGGAACTTTACAAGAAGCGCAGTAAGTATTTTCATTGAACTTATTATATTTGAAGAGTATAATTTTTCACAAAACCTAAATGTTTCTTTACTTGTAGTTTATGGCCACAATATGTAAAGGATAGAATCAAAACTACATATGGATATATTGCGGGATCACTGATTTTGACAGCAGGAAGTGCTGTTACAGTGTTCAGAACACCTGCTTTGCTTAATTTGGTGGCTCGAAATGGATGGATGGTATGTTTACTGCTGAGAAGAATTAAATATTAAAAAATGACAAAAAGTACTACTTGTATCTATAAAAACATTTCAGTCGATAATTGCAACAATGGCTCTTATGATTGGTTCGGGCATGGTGGTTCGTGGAATGGAATATAAGCCCGGCTTTGGTGGCAAACAAATAGCATGGATGGTGCACACAGGTATAATGGGAGCAGTTATAGCACCAATTTGTTTTCTCGGTGGACCACTGCTTATGCGCGCTGCTTGGTAATTGAAATTATTTTATTTTCATTAAAAAGTTTAACATGCCATAACCCAGCCTTATTCTTATTGTATTTCTATTTCAGGTATACTGCTGGTGTAGTAGGTGGTTTAAGCACAATAGCTGTGTGTGCCCCTTCAGGTGAATTTCTAAACATGCGCGCACCATTAGCCATGGGTCTTGGAGCTGTGTTTGCTGCATCTCTTGCAAGCATGTTTTTACCACCAACTACCGCCCTTGGAGCAGGTACAACAAAATCAAAAATCTAAGTTATTACTAAACAAATGACTATTTAAAAACTCACATACTCAACTTTTCTTTAGTTTTCGGTTACTTTTTGGACTTCAAATCTTTTGATGTTATGATTTTTTTTTCAGGTTTATATTCCCTTAGTCTGTATGGAGGGCTGGTCGTATTTGGTGGATTCTTGCTTTATGATACACAGGCGATAATCAAGCGCGCTGAGATGCATCCAATGTATGGTTTCCAGCCCTATGATCCCATTAACTCGTAAGTTTTATTTTAAATACAAATAGTTCTAATAAAAAAGGATTAATTAATTACTTTAATTCGTGCCAAGTGTATATTCACTCGATTTTATAATCTGATTTATTTTTCAGGGCTATTTCAGTTTACTTAGATGTCTTGAACATTTTCATGCGAATCGCCATGATACTATCAGGTGCTGGTGGTAATAAGAGAAAATAAAGCTTTATTGTTTTCATATGTATTATTTGAAAAAAGTTTACTTTATCTCACTAGTAAATTTTTAGTGTCCTAGAGAGTAAAAGATTTATTAGAAGCTTTTGTGATATTTTGTTAAAAGTAAGCTGTCTACATAGGTTTTAGTGGTCGGAGTCATAAATTAAAAGTATTGAAGTTAAGAATAAATTATGCCGTTTTATTTAAATAAGGCTACAATGTTTAATGTGTTTATAAAATAAACAAGAATGTTGTAGAATAGACAGTATTTTATTTTAAATGCAAATAGCAATGAAAGCTGTTGTATATAAATGAGCTTGATGTAAACAAACCAGTAGGACTTCACGGTAATTTTTAGAGCTACGACACGACACGCTGTATCTTCAGTGCCATCTACTTATTATAATTTTTAAAATACTACTTCAATGAATATAGGTAAGTCATGATCAATGGCAGTACCCACAAGTGGGATGACACCGCTTTCCGTCAACACCACAGCGACATCCACCACTCGTATCGCCTTTGCCCCCCGGACCCCAACGTCGTCCTTTAGTTACCCAACATATTTCTGTTTTACAAGCCGAACACTTTATCCAGTCGCAACCCCACTTCTTTGTAATGATAGCACGGCATTCTGGACATTCGAGAGCTTCGCCGCGAGAAATTAATGATTTGAATAAGGCTTGTGTTCCTTCGTCCATGTCCCCGGCTGCTTTATCTTTTGTTTCGGATAATTTTCTTTGGTACTCCTTACAAGTCTCTCCATCATGAACTATCTAAAAAGGAATAATAGAAAAATCAAAGATTTTTCTACGATGCTGTTTGCGGCTTATTTTACGCGAGATTTATGTCGCGTACCCTCGAACGTATACTTCATTAAAAACGGTTACGAAACGGTCATTTTAAAATTAATGAATTTAAGTAAGTTTTACACTTGAAAAAATTACCTGACAAGGAATACAATTTTTCTTTTTACAAACAGGGCAGGGAAACATCCTTACTCCAGTTTCGCAAAACGTCCAGCCCGAGCAGTCGGGTGTGCGACAATGGAACGCATTTCGTGTGCCACTTTCGGCCGCGGCTAAACTACGAGCTAGCCATTTTTCATATTCATTATTAGACAACAATGCCCGTATTTCCCGGTCTTGTAAGACACCAGAACAGCCTATTGCAGGGCAATACACTGTTGCTTCTTCACAATGGCGCACAACATCACAGACACATTCCTTACAAAAAGAGTGGAGACATTCTCGAAGAACTACTCCATTTCCAGTTGCACAGACTTCCATGCATATCGGGCACTCTAAATTTTCCGTGGTAAATATTAGAGCCTGTTGCTCTAGCTTTATTAACTCTTTGTAGAATTCACCTGCGTTCTCTTCTCTTGCATTGATAGCCTCCGATTTTAAAGAATCCTCATTATTAAGGTTTTCTGAAAGTATAAAACTATTAGGTCGATAGTATATTAGAAAATATTATTATTATTAAACCTATTTACCAGATTCAACTAAGCACAAATAAAATGGGGAATTAAAGGCATCTTCGGCAATTGCAGTGACTGGCAAATTGTCGTCTGTGCAAAGTGTTTTGCCAATAATCCAACGCTGCAAGTTAATGGCTATCCTTAATGAGTTAGCTGCTTCTAGTTTTAAGTCTGCCACTGTAGAATGTCGTGAAATATTTAACCGGAATGGTCCTCGAGCAGCTAATTTATCTTCTATCCACACTTCGATGCTACAGAAAAATAGTAAAAATTACGCAATAATAATGTATATAGGTATTATAACGCCTAGTTTATTTAACCCTTCGTTAATTAAATAAAACTATAATACGTTCCTTAACACGAAGATTAGGGACGATTTAATCGTATTTTAAATAATAAGTATACTCAATTGAATCAACAACAACAATATTTAATACATTCAGTAACTAGGTACACTCAGTAAGTGAAAAGTTTTCGAACATAAAAAAATCTAAAAATACAATTAAATCATTACAATTAAAAATATACATACCGTAAGAACTACATCTATATATATATATACTAATTACATCTATATAGATGAGATTAATAAATAATCGTTACATAGAGCAAAGCTGGATTTTATTTCTTTACAGAAATGAGGAAAATAGAGGAGATAATTGGCTCTATACAGTTTAGGTACTTACGATACATTATCGTTGATAGATGCGTCTGGTCCTTTGCTTCTTTGTAAGTTTTCTGTTGTACAATCGTTAACTTCACTTGCGTTTTTGTTTAATTGTGTTGTTTTGATTTTCACTTCTGTTGAAGGTATCATATTTTGGGCTGCTACAATTGTATTATTTCCTGGTAAGAGTCCTGACGTTGATGGACCCGCCAAAATTTGGGAGGAAAAAGAAATGACGGAACAAGAAAGTCGCAGCTTAGCTAACATAGCAGCGGCTTCAGCTGCTGCCTTTTCATCACCTTTAGCTATCGAAAATTCAAGTTGATTTACTAACTCGCGTCGCTTTTCGATATTGTTATTGCTCAGACCTTTTTGAACGTCTGCTTTTCGTAAAATCTTTTCTTTTTCTTCAATGGATTTCTTTATTATTTGTGAAACTACTACTGGACTTAATGTAAGTTTCTTCGAAGATGGACTGACAGACTTTATTTCTTGGTCATCTTTACTTTTTTGTAAAATTATATCATTTTCAATAACTTTATTTGGAACACAAGTTTCTTTGTTTGCACTTGTATCTTTTGTATTATCAGTTTTATTTGTTCCAGCAATATTTTTCAATACATTTCTATCGTTGCCTTTTTTAATAAGTAAATCATCTTTTTTCTTGGGCTCATAAATGGGATTTAGCAAAGACGATATGCTTAAAGGTTTTTGATGGTTACTATTGTAGGAGTTCAAAATTTTACTATTCTTTGACTCTCCGTTGTTGTTAACGTTCCTATTACGGTTTTGTGATTCGTGATCTTCTTTAATGTGTTTCTGAATATTTGAAATGCCTGGTGTTTCGGTTTTCAATTTGCCCCGGTGGCTGGTTAATGTGGCAGATTGGGGTTTTATATGACTAGTTGTTAAAATTGCTCTAATAACCGTATCTGGCGTGTCCGTTGGAGTAGAGATATTTTTTAATTTTACGTTTTTGAGCTCTTCATCATCTTTCGTTGCTGTTTCGCTGTTCGTGCATCCAATGCGCAAAGTCGGAGTTTCAGAGGAAGATGATGCTTTGTTTGGAAGAGAATCTTTCATTTCTTTAAGCATTTCTTTTAATTTATTTTTATCATTAGGTGACTGTGTAGAAATAGTAGTTCCTTTTGAATTCGTTTGTGAAGCTTTCACACTTATTAGCCAGGGACGATCTTGTTCTCTTTCTTTACATGCACAATACGAGCATACTTTATTTGTCATATCGTATCGTCTAAAACATTTAGTACACATCCACATCATATTAGAACTTAGTATTTTTCGTTCTTTTATAATATTATTTAAATCGTTTTCAGTTTCACTATTATAACGGTTTAATAGTTTATTATTTTCTATAATTTCAGCCGCTTGCTTGTCTAGCTCACTTATACTCGGAAGTAACTTTATATGAGAAATATCGATAGCTGAATGTCTCTTTTTGTGTTCGAATATTTGTTTTAGAAAACCCCTTTCTTTCTTACCCCTTGGTTCTTTGGATTGATTATTTTCAGTGTTATCTTCTAAAGACGATTGAACATCGACATCTTTTAGAGCAGTAACAAATAACTCGTGCGTATTTTCTTTATTCTCCGTAATCAAATTCAATGGTGGCTTAGGGGCTGGTCGTTTTCTTTTGTAATTACGAGGTAAAGAGGTTGTAACTAAAATCGGTGGAGGTGGCGCTCGTCGTTTTCCCGGCACATATGCCACACGACGTTGCAAACATTCACTAGCTGCTCTTCGACATCTGACTTGATTGTTGCCTGATGATTCACTTGCGTCTGTATAATGTGGTAAACTAAATCTGTCGTATCCAGCACTCTCGTCCCTCCAAAGGCCGTACTTCCTGTGTAAAGTCACGCCATGCTCTCTTTTACGACGTAAATTTCTTTCAAGAACTCTTTTCTTATATGAATCGGTTGGCGAATTTACAGGAAGGAATAAACGAGGCTGAGAGTTAGGGTAATAAACAGGAGGCAAGAAGTCGAAGCTAGTTGCAGTTCGATCTGAGCCTACACTAGATATACTTTCAGTTGATGACGAGTCTTCTGTTCGTCGAAGCCATGAAAATAATGTCCATAGACCTCCAGAATGAGGACGAGGGCGGGTTCCCTCCACTTGTACGTTACAACTCATCACCCCTAAAAATTAATCCTTTGTAAATATTCTACTTGAAACTACTTATACTGATCTCGAAAAAACAAAAATGTTTTTTGTTTGTTCTTCTTACGCTTCTAACTTGTAATCGACAAAGTATAAAGAAACGGAAAGTAAACATATTATTCCGAAAATAAAATTATTAAAATAATACCACAGCAGAAAAATATAATATAGGGTTTACTTACGAAGTGTAGTAATGTGAAAAGTCAAGAAGGTCAAAAGCCAAAACTAGATCATTGTGATTAGCCTCAATGAGGCATCTGCTTGAAGAATCTTTTAAAACGTAACTTTCCGACTTACATTTCGTAAAAATGGATAATACTGAGTTACACTTAAGCATATATCATATATTTCTTTCCTAGACCTTTAGTCTTGTGGTGAAACAGGTAATATTTTGTACGCAGAAATATTAACAGTAGAACAAAGCAATATGGACACAGTCGCACCGAGGCAAGCACCGCGACTCACTCCGCTCGCTTGGCTAAATTTAGCAGGTCTTTGCGATTCCACTTGCTATTTCTATTTCGTTCACGAACGTGTGACCTCCATTAGTTTGGGCAAATTATACTTTACTATACTCTTCGACGTATCATTCATAAGATATATCTTATAATATAATGTTCAGTCACAGTGCATAAGACCACACATTGAAGAAAATAATAATAAAAAATTGGCGCACGCTGGGCGTTGAACGAATTACTCTAAATTAAGAAATTAAATCATATTGCTGCGATGGCTGACTCAAAGGTACAAAGTGCAATGACGTAGGCCTAAGATAATCTGCAAACTTTGTCTTGAAAAGGATTTTTTTATTTAAATAAATTCGAAGAATAATTCATGAAGATAGACACGGTATTTAAGAATTAAAACTGAGGATTACAACGCGAGGAGGGATAAAAAAAGTCGAAAGGATAATCATTGCTCTTCTGAAAACTTTATTTAACACCAAACAAAAAATTCGAAACAAGTCTAAACAACAAACGCTATGATTAACTATGTTCTATCTGATGTGATTTTTTTATTTTCTCTAAATGCAGTTCTGTTGAGTTTTGAATTATGAGTAAGGATGCCGCCACACGTGCGGTTAGTTCCACTTGATTGAGCTCGTGAGCCCAAGGTACACGTCCCCAACGTTGCAGCTGTAAAAAATTGGTATTATAAAAATACAACCTAAGTATCCACCCAATTAACCTTCATGTAACAATTTTCAAATTTTTGTTTGCCTTTTATAACTAAATACACAACTATACCTATTTTTAAAAGATTTAATAGCTTATCACTGCAGTCTAGTTTCAGTCTACATATTTGTATTGTGCACTGGTCTCTTGTTTGTGGCAATAAGATGCTATATACAAAAGCTATATGACAATGAAAAACATGTTCATTTGTTCTGAAATTAAAGCACACATCCAAACCAACAAGAATATTTCACCTGGTATTCTTCTTCTAGTCTAGCAAGCATAACCGCCTCTTTTGCCTGTATAAATTTGTCAACACAAGCCAGCATCAATATGGGGGATTTCAAAGCCTCGACTCCAAAGTTCATAGCTTAAATAAAAAATATTATGATTAGAATAAAAAACATTGCAATGTGAACAACCTTTGTTTCCAACTTGAAAAATAGTTTGTGAGAGGATAAGTACATTTATAAAAAGAAGCTCTAAGCACGACTTAAAAATAAGAATACTTATTTTTAAGTCGTGCAATATGCAAGAAGCGTAAAGTGCACTTGGTAAAGCATATATATACTAAATACTGTCTATAGTTTACGCGAGTAGTACACATTTAAATAAAACACTTTAACGGTTTAAAACGCGATATATTAGTTAAACTTATTTGAAAATGATTTTTAACTTCGGCCTGACGTTTTGGATGGATTGGATTGGATAACGAATATATCGCATTTTAAACCGTTAAAGTATCATATATATACTAGTTCTTCTTTAAATATACTAAAATTGAAAAACTATTAAACCTTAATGCTATGAAACAATTTCATTGCGAACAACATAGATAATTTAAATTTTATGCAATGTTTAAAATTTTTATATAATTTATGGTTTAATATTTTACCATTTAAGGCTGGGAAATCATATGAAAGAAAATGTCTGGCTAAGACAGCTCTTGTTTCTGTACTGACAGGGGGAGGCTGTAGATCCTTTGACACCTCTTGTCTTACACCAAATCGCTTTTCAAACCAATCCAACAATGGTCCCCATTTTTCTTCTTGAAGAAGCTGTAATTCTTTTTCCTCCTAAAATAAATTTATATATTATAGATAGTTTATACATGTTTTGCTGCAATATTTTATAGGTATGTTATTAATTCTATATCTCTAATTTCAACATGTGAATATTATAATTCTATAGTATTTATATGTTGATGGACATGCAAGCTTAATTATACACTTCTGTCAAGTACAAAAAAAACTTACATCAGAAAAGAAAAGAATTGTGTCCGTAGAAAAGTATTCCAGTAAATGGATAGCAATGTCATGTTTAGTTAACTTTCCTGGATTATCCAAAGCTGTATTGCACAATGCTGTCTAAAAAATTTGTTATTAGTTATGGAGAAACAGGTAGTGATAATTCATATAAAAATATTTAAAATACCAAATGCATTGTAGGCTGTGCAATTATGTCCTGTTGTGCATCCCATTCTGCAGCTACGGCACGAGCTAGACCTTCTGTATCTACATTAAATACTTGACCATTTGGGGTCTTCAGTTTGCGATGGTCTAAAATAACTTCCCATTTGTTTTCATTCTGCACAATGTCAGTCCTGGTATAGAACCGCTTTTTGGTTGCTTTAACAGTTAGGAAATATAGTAAACATCTTTTACATTTTCAAGACACTAGACTAATTAAAAAAATATTAACCATAACACCTGACTTTTCTTAAATCTCCCCTTAAGGAGGAAAGCAAGAACCTTCTCTGCAATTGGGTGGACAACATCTCTATTTTTTTTACATAATATAATATATAATATTTAAAATACTCTTAGACTTAACTTTGGCAGCTTAGATTTGTCTAAGATTTATCTATGTTTCAGTGATACCAACGGTCACTGAGCCAAGTAATACAGAATTAAAAAAAAAAGTTACATTTGATTTCTATTAAATTTCTAGCAGAAATTTTTTTTCATCTATTTAAAATAATTTAGTAGTTAGTAGGTTTAGCTTTAATATGTTTCACTAAACGTAAGTTTTACTGAGTCTGTGCTGTTTACCTTATTTTACGATAGTCTATGCTGTTGTGATTTGTGAAAATACTCCAAGCTATAGAAACTTGTAGCCATTACGTATTATTTAGAATCTTTTTTACGTTCCGAGCACATATTTGTTTAGTGTTATTTATTTCATTTTAATCCAAAATTCAAAGTTTTTACGATGTCTGATATGGATTTTGACGTCTAGCATCGAAAAGTGTTAGTGTTTTAAAAAGACAACAAGTGACGTGCCATTGTGTACAATACACAGTAAAACATCTAAAAACACTTTCTAGCTCGTTTAGCTATTCAAATACCAAACTTCTACTCTTATTTGTAATGTACCCGCATTCTATCAGCGCGGAAGAAGAAAAGAAGTCGAACTTGATACCGAGTGTAAATCTCCTTCACTCCAAAAGAAAAGGAATATTCATACACCCGTCTGCTATGTACAGAAGTAGTGCACCGTGCACGAATATACAACTACCCTTTATAACGAAAAGTTTGTGTGGTTAAAGGATTCAATAAAACACATTGAAGATGAAACTTTTGCAGAGCGGTCGTTTAGAGGCACTAAGCAGTGCATTGTCCATATTAAATGGAGACAGCGCTGTACAAGGCCGTGTAGAGAGCTACAGCTGTAAAATGGCTGGTGGTGAGAAAGCCTTCTACAAAAGGTTTACTGCAGCTGGAGAGACTACTCACAGTCTGCAGGCATTGTCCCCACCTGAAAGCGCTTCTTATAGGTGGGCTTTTGTGTCTTGAAAACCCTTTTTGATATTTGCTAAAGTTTTTATTAAAATATTGAAAGACATAAAGAAACTTTTTATTGATTTACAGTCGGAGTCTTTCTGGTGATGAAGAGGGTATCCTGTGTGATACTATATCTCGGAAAACTTTATTTTACTTGATAGCTACTCTGAATGCTGCCTTCCCTGACTATGACTTTTCAATGGCGAAGGTAAATTTTGTTTGATTTAAAATATTTACACAATTTCATGGTTGTCACTTATCAGTATGTAGTTAGTTACTTATTCATAATATCACATCTGGGTACATTTACATAATTCCATTTACTTTATTTTCCTAACTAGGGTTAACTTAGATAATGTCAGTTATTTCATTCCATAGTTTCAATTTTCTTTTTGTCAAATAAGGTGTCCTATTTACAGAAATTGTTTAAAGATTATAACATTATAATACTATTAAGATAATCATCATAATGCTTGAAATTTATTTTATTTGATGAAGTTTACAAACATGTAATCTTTAAGGAACATATTATATATATGCACACCAAAATTTAAAAATGTAGTTGACTCTAAAACTTAATACACAATATTATATTATATTTTTTTCTATGCTCAATTATATGTGCGATAGTTTAAAAAAAAATAGATAATGAATTTCAATTCAGAGCTCCGAGTTCAGTGCTGAACCTTCTCTAACATGGGTGCAAAGTGGAGTTGATGCAGCTCTATCAGCAGTAGGTGGAATTCGCTGGAGACAGCTGAAACCAGCTGTTTGGTCTGCTATTGATGAAGAGATTCAGCTATCAGACTGTAGAATATACAGCTACAACCCTGACTTAGCCAGTGATCCTTTTGGAGAACCTGGTTGCCTCTGGACATTCAACTTTTTCTTTTACAATATGAAGCTGAAACGTATTGTTTTCTTCACTTGCAGAGCCATGAGGTGAGCATATTATCTACATATAATTATTTGAGATAATTCAGATTTCTTGAATATTTGAAAATCTTTAAATCCATAAAAGGCACCATAAGAGGAGTATTTAACAAATTTTCTATTTTTCAGCCCTGTGTGTGCAGATTCTGGAGTTGATTTTGCAATGGATGAAGATGAAGAATATGACTAAGTTGTCATTTATTGTCACTAATAGTTTTTATCATGAAATTGTTGATATTATATTCTATATAATTCAAAACCACCTCATAGATAGAGTAATTATAGATATTAATATCTCTATTACATATGTTAGGTGTAGTATGTCTATTTGTCATTGACTAATCAATAATTTAATTTTTTAAGAACACAATGTGTAATAGCCATAAAGTATATTTTGTTTCTTATTCTAATTGGGGTGAAGGCACTTGTAAGTCACTATCTAATATTTTATTATTTAAAAGATCTCTGCAACATGCACAAATTAATATAAAAATATCTCATATACTTTCACATAAGACAATCCCAAATATGTTGGTTTAGTTTTTACTAATCTTATAGTTAGGCTCATCTGCGTTTGGTAGGAGAGATGCGAGGGTAGTTTAGATAATAATTAGAACGTCTTATTTGATGAGCACAGCACACTTAATACTACATGTTAGGTACAAATCTGATACACATAAAAGTAATTAATATTAATTATTACCTTTAACCATTCTTTTTATAGTCTTGCATGGAAGAGTAGAAAGAAACAAAACAAGAAATTATTTTTTATACATTTTAAATATGTATTTAGTAAGTGTTGTATTGTCTTCAATAATATTTTGTAGTTCCGCCTATGTCATTAGGCGTTGTAATTGTATAGAAATAAATATAATATTTCCCTAGGACAACAAATTGATTTTTTTTTTAAGTAAAACGAAAGTTTATTTTTAAAAAATATAATTAAACAATCAAAATATAATATCTTTATAGAACTATACAACAGTGAAAAGGGGACTCTTAATATAAAAAAGTATAATAATAAGTTCTTACCTATAGTCACATAAACTATGTACATTGCGCGATTCCTTTATTTACAATGGAATATTATTAAATTAAAAATATACTTCTATAACTAAAAATATTACCTTAAATGATTTATCGTCATGATTTTCATATAACGCACTAATGCAAGTCATTAATTATTACATTTTGTGTTTAAACAACTACATGTTTAGGCCACTACTGTTACCACGCCTTTCGCATTCTATATTTATTTTGATTTGTAAACAGTAGGTATAAGCATCTGCCATCCCTTAACCAAATTGATTATGTATATACTTAAACTATTTAAATTCATAACATAAACCGATACTATACCTAGTTTCCAATTTTTGTCAAAAAATTGATTTTATTTTCCCTCTTAAAGATCTGAACAGCGAACGAGTTTGTAACCGGTAATATAGCCTCAACTTAAAAACGTAATATATAATTTTGATTATATTGCACTAGCGTTCTGTTTGCATTGAACTATGTATTTCTTTGTCTGCGAAGTTTTTAAACATTAGTTACGCGAAGAGTACAGACAATATGCGCGACATCTATTATATATACCATCAGAATTGTAGTTTACGGTCTCTTGTCAGAAAGGGGCGTGTTCTGTTGGCTGGCAATATCCGCGTCAGCAGGTGTGCCAGAAGCGGGGGGTGCGCTTGGCGTCAAAGCTTCTTCCTCGGAGGAGCGCAACTTAGCGCGCGGTCGCCAGGCATCTAGAAGAGCCTCCACGCGTTCGTCGGTAGGACCCCACCTTGCGAACCCAGCTGTGTTCTGCAACCACACGACCACGGTGCCGCCACCCCACCGAAAGTATACCTCGTTCCTAAAATTAATTAGTTTTAAATTGTTAACAATCAATTTAATGGTGGTCGGGTTGGAATTTTTATTATTTCAACGTGAACTTGCGTAACCTCCTGTTTATTTTGATGACTTAAATACGTTAATGTTTTCATCTCACCTATATGTTCTAAGATTAAAACGTTTAATAATCTCAAATTTAAATTTTGCTTAAAACTTACTTTGGAAGCACATGTTGGTAACCATGGCGATACTCGTGTTCGAACGCAGGAATAACTACCTGTAATTAATGCTTATTTAATATACCTCGTATTTTAAAAAGGTATTTTGTCTGTAATTTTCCACTAATCTAAGTTCTGGTCATTGTCAAGGTCTATCAGGTACTAGTTGTTTAATGAATTGTCTCAATCAATTTCTAGAATCATCATCAATCAAAATAATTGTTTAGTTCAGTTAACGAATATATAATGAGACTTTTCATTGACGTCGCAATGAATGAGAAATTTTCCTTACCTGTTTTCGTTTAAAATGACTCGCTTGCAGTTTGTGTAGTGCGTGCGTTTGGCGGTCTGGCCACTCAGGAAGAAGGACTACAAAGCTAAGTGGCTCTGCGGAGTCCTGGAGTAGACGCTCCATATGCCTTAAAGCCGCTTCCAGTAGCTCTTCACAGTAAGGCGGATGCGCTACCATTGACCCAGACACTGGGCGCAGCTCAAGGAATGGACTAAATGTTAAACACAATTAATAAATCTTTAGCACTAAAGTAATTCCTAAATTAATAAAATGATTATGTTTAAAGCGTGTTGCGTGTGTAGGTATGAGTTTCCAATTGATAGTTTATATTAAAGTAATATACTGTGCCTAACTTTCTCCAACATATATAATCCAAATACTTATAGGACTAACCCCCGCGAGCCAAAGTAGGAATCCGTGTCTGCAAAGGCGGAGCAGTACTGCCGGAAGTAACAGTCGAGCGGGCTGGCGAAGCACTCAAATGTAACTCCAAAGCACCGATGGAGGCACTCGAGTACCGGCACCGGTGCAGACATCTGCGCGAGATGCGCGTCACCACCGCCAGCGCCCACCCAAGCAGCATAACGCCGCAGCAGGCACCAGACACGCGACAAGAACAGTTCAAACTTCTTGTCATCGAAACAACTGAATCGGTACAGGTGCTCCTGTAATTACAAACCGATAGCTGAAAGAATGCATGTGAGTCGATAGAAGAAAATTTAAACACCAATATTTTTTTAGTTTTTGTTATATTATGATAATTCTAATCAATAATTATATTTATCCTTGCTAAATATTTACCAATTTCTGTAGGTATGCAGCATTAAGAACTTGTGTTTCTCCAAGATAACGTAATAACACCTGGTCCCTATCTAAGAAGTGTTCCACCAATGGTGGTCGTGGAGCTGGCAATGCAAACTGCACTGGATAGCACCAGACTTTACGTAATGCAGCTTGTTGCAAAGGCGCTTGCATCTCCTGGAGAACAGGTATAAAAAAATACAACATTCTACTATATATATGTAATGTTTTTCAATGTAGGATGTTCTATGAAGGAAACATCTTGGTTTTTAATCTCTGAAGTATTTACTTTATTTAAAAATTTTATATTATTAAGTCACTAGTACCAAGTTATATGACATATAAATAAAATAATGAATTGAAAAACATATTTTTAAAAACTGTGAATTTAGGTTTAGATTATATTTTTTATTTTCAGCCAATAAAAGGTATTTTTCTCCAACATTTTTCATATCATAGAGCAGGGCAAAGAAGTATAAGAAATCTAATTCTGGAAACAATAATTGAATACTTTGCATTACCTGAATGCCATTTTCTTTTAAGAGTATGCTGTGCTTTTCTCGTATTTTTCTTGCATATTCAGCAGATAAATGATATATTTTTAAGCAAATTCCTTCAACAGAAGCTTTTGCCGTCTCTGCCAAGTGCGGTTGACACTGTCTCTAAAATGTTGGTTAAAATTTTTTATAGTTGACACACATAACTATATTCTATGTAGTTTACGCGAGTAGTACACATTTAAATAAAACACTTTAACGGTTTAAAACGCGATATCAGTTAAAATTATTTAACAGTCATGGTCACGGGAACACTAAAGATGGAGGGTATCTCTGATGTCAAAATTAAGTTTTAAAGTTATAATATTTTAAATTGTGTTTGAGTATAATATATGTGTGTATACCCGTAAATGAGCCAAACGGTCCTGAAAATCATCATAAGTAGCACCAACAGTGCGCCGAAGCCACTGAAATGTATCCTCTGCATTCCATTTAACAACTTTCCGACTTTCTGGAGAGGCATTTCTTGACTCAATCATTTTCTTAGCTGCTTCAGCATAACGAGACAATTGTTTTCTGGCATCACCAGTAAACTTAGGGTGAGTTAACTTAATAGGTATATCATTCATAATTTCCTCATACATTGATCTTGATATTTCTGGGAAACAATGACTGGGTAGTAGAGGATCTGATCCACCTTGGTCATTCACCTTTCTCTCCATTAACCAACGATTAAATGAATCTTTTGGAGCATCTATACTCTCTCTTGTGTGACAAAGTTCTTGGTAACATTGTCTTAACTTGTTAGCCAAAGTGAACCTAAAGCCTTCAATTTCAGGGTGAGGGTGGGGACATATAGTAGGCGGACGTTCATATATCACAACATTAGTTGACACCTCAATGTCCCAAGGACCTGCTAGGACAAACTTTTTTGGTGGTGGACCATTATCCTCAGATGGTCGACGTTTACTTGCACTAGGGGTCATACTACCGGCAAGGGGAGGACCCGTATGACAGATTCCAAGAGGATCTGTTATAGGATCAAAGTCTCTTTTTACTGCTGGTAATTCCCACATAGACTCCCCAGATACTTTATTCCAAAAATAAGGCCTATTCTCTCTCTTTGACCAAAATTTTCGCCATCCTTGTTGCATAAGTTCAGGATGCAGATCAGCAGCAAGATGGGGTGCCAGAGGAGCTGGCGCTCCTGGTGTTTGGGGAGTATCTGCACTACCACCCGGAGAAGATTGAATTTCCGGGGAGGAGTCACTTTGATTTGTAGCATTTTCCCAGGATCCAGGAACGACTTTGTCACGAACATCATTCATATCGGTGATATTTTTTTAATTCAATATATTTGTGAAGTCGACGTTTTAGTAATAAATACTAACAGGCAAATATATTGTTATAACTTTTTCCTAATAGCATTCAAATAGCGCAAATATTTTTGTTAGAATACATGGCGATGTTACCGCCAAGATTGCTAAAACCGTAAAACACATTAACATTAGTGAAAGTCATGATAAAATATATTTAAATAATGACGGAACACATTTTCCGAATGATTTCAACAAAAATACACTCAAAATATACCAAAAATAAAGAATATCGAACGTTTCATCAAAAAACTTGGTATGCGTAGCTCCCCAAGCACTACGATGCACAGATTAATAAACATTTATTTATAAATACAGCTAAACGCAAACCAACAGATATAACATATAATGCCTAGATAATATAAAAGATAGCATATATTGGCAACAATCTATACTCTGTGACTTGTGGAATGTTTTGTGGGCGAAAATTGTGGGATTATTCTTTACGTCTGTGTTATTCTACATTTTGAATAATTAATAGATTGTTTGTTAAGTTTTAACTATTAATTGTACATTATGCCTGAATAGTATAGGGAAATAGAAAGTATTTATTTCCGTTTGAATAAGGATTATTATTATGGCAGAAATAAAATTCTTAGATATAGAATCTATAAACGGCCCTAACACTTATAACGAAAGAAGAATACATGTTTTGAATGTGCCTGCCCTAAGTTATAGTGACTTTTTTAGTAAATATATGTTCACCAATAGTCCCTGTGTTATAAAAAATGTTTGCGAAGAATGGAGAGCATTCAAAGATTGGGCTTCTAGTGAGAAGATAAACTGGGACTTTTTCATAGAAAATTATGGTGACTTTGAAGCACCTGTAGCAGATTGTAACAAACTTGACTTTAATGCTCAATGTAAATCTAACATGAGAGTAAAAGAATTTATGGAATATTTAAAATTGGATGAGAAAGAACATCTTCTATATCTTAAGGATTGGCATTTAAAAGCAATGTTAAAAAAAGTAAATTCACCAGAAAACTTTTACAAAGTTCCTGAGTATTTTGCATCTGACTGGTTAAATGAATATGCTGAAGATAAAAAAGAAGATGACTTTCAATTTGTTTATATTGGGGCAAAAGATACATGGTAATCAAATATAACATACAAATCAAAGTTATTACTATTATTTGTGGTTTATTTAAGAATACCTTATATTTTTGCAGGACACCATTACATGCAGATGTATACTCTTCCTACAGCTGGTCTGTCAACATATTTGGCAAGAAAAAGTGGATTTTGTTTCCCCCTGGCGAAGAAGACAATCTTAGAGATTCACTAAGAAATTTGCCTATTTTATTTAAAAGTGAAAAATTTGGGTGTATTCAATATTTTGAAGTTATTCAAGAAAAGGGAGATGCCATATTTGTTCCATCAGGATGGCATCACCAAGTATTTAATCTACAGGATACAATTTCAATTAACCACAATTTTATCAATGCTTGTAATATAGATATAGTGTGGATGGCTCTGCAAAAAAACTTGACAGATGTAGAAAAAGAAATTGAAGAATTTAAGGACAGCCCTGATTATCTAAATCAGTGTCAAATTATTTTAAAATCATTATTTGGTATGGACTTCTACTCCTTTATTGATCTAATTGCCCATATAGCTGAAAAGAGATTGAAGCAACTTCAAGGTGTAAATTTTACAGTTTTTAATTCATATCAATTTGGGAACAAACATATAAAATTTGATTTACAAACTTTGTATAAAATATTTAACTCAATAGAAAACCATATTTTATTTAAAAATAAATTCTTAAAACTATCCCCCAACCATTTGGAACTGAAAAAGGAAATTTCTCTTGTAATAAAGAATAGTTAAATTACAATTTTGATTTTTCTGTGGCATAAACACAACCTTTGTTTATTAATTCATGAATATCAGTCTTGGAATAACCAAGTTCAGTTAAAATTTCAGATGTGTGTTGTCCATGTTTTGGTGGTGCCTCCTTCCCAGTAGCTACTGGCAATGTTCTAGAGAACTTAGGTGCAGGTTCGGGTGCTATATTGTTATTATGGTCTATATAAAAAGATTTCCTTGATGCATTACACTGATTTTTATCTACTTCATCGAAATAAACCACTGGTGTTACACATGCATCTAGCTTATCAAAAATCACAGTCCATTCTTCTTGTGTCTTAGTTAAAAATACATCTTGAAACTTTCTCTGACACATTTCTTGGTCTGCACCTTGATAGTAAACATCTTCGGATAATTGCAAGCCCTTTATGAAGTTTGAATAAAATAATGGCTCAAGTGCGCCAACGGCCATAAATTTTCCATCTTTAGTTTTATATGTATTATAAAAAGCCACTCCGCCATCAAGTATATTTTTTCCAGGATCTTGACTAAAAATGGGCAAGGATCTGGATTTAAAAAGCCAATTTGCCACATAAGCTGCACCTTCAGTCATACTTAAATCTATTACTTGTCCCTTTCCAGACATAGTTCTTTCAAAGAGAGCCAGGACTATACCTAGTGCAGTAAGTAAACTTCCCCCTGCAAAGTCGGCAAGAAGGTTTAATGGTGGGAAAGGAGGCTGTTCCTTTCTTGTGAGCATTGATAAAACACCAGATATTCCTGCATAATTAATATCATGTCCTGGTTTATCTTTATAATATCCAGTTTGACCATATCCTGATAATCTTGCATATATCAAGCGGCTATTTTCTTTCATTAGAGTATTTGGACCTAGGCCATTTTTTTCCAGAACTCCAGGGCGATATGTGTCTATAAAGACATCCGTAGAAGCACATAATTTCTTTATAATATCCACGCCTTCATTAGATTTTAAATTGACTGATAACATTTTTTTACCACTAGACATTACATCAAATGGCGGTGGATCCAACTGAATGAAAAAATTTGAACATTGTTATTATGAAATGATACCTGAGTTACGTTACGAATTTTATAATACAGAATAAGTTTATATGTTGATACCATCAACCACATAATATTATGATAAATAAAACTTTAATGTAGAACATTACCTTATGAACAACCGTTACTGTAGCACCAAAATCAGCTAAAATAGTTCCACAAACTGGGCCAGGTGCTAATCCTATCATTTCTATAACTTTTACGCCTTTTAAAGCCATGTTTAAACAAAATTTCTGTACTTTTGATCTTTGATACCTGCCTGTAATAATTATCATACATACATAATAACACATAAGTCATACTCAAAAATAAATAAAAAATTTCTTTATTGTTATAGTGTCGTCCAATCAAAAGAACATATTATTTAATCAGGCGTACAATCGATTGAAGGCAACCCCCAGTATTATTATATTATATTGTTATCAAAGATTATAATTGTTATAGCAAAAACTCAAAATTTGACTGAAATTGTATAAATAATAATAAAATATTCATGATCATGATATAAAGTAAAAGTATCGTAAACCACTTATAATTTGAAAACTAGAAAGTAACTTTCGAATTTAGAGCGTACAATATTAAGAACGTATACAAAGGACAATTTTAAATACCACGTCTGTGGCGTCTCCCACAGACTAGGCCATCGTATCGTCATGTTTACGAGGCACATTTCCATTGGTCAAGGCAAATAAGACCCTATGTTATGAAACAAAAAAATATCGAATCAAATTTGGACGAATTGACTTAACGTAAGCCGCTGTTGTCGGTCGCTTACAAGCTGTCAAAGTCTGATCAGTAAAATGTGATGTTCCCCTGTTTAATTTATCTTCTATAAAAATGTGTTCATGCGCTGTTATATACGGATTAGAAAATACTAAAACAAAGTTTTAAGTGGTTACAAATATATTAATACTGTCCGTAACTCATTGAACAATGCTTTTTAATTTTGCTTATTTGAGTGTGCTGTTGTTTCTATCAACAGTATTGTTGGTGACAGCCGGTCGGGATTTCTATCAGATACTTGGTGTAACTCGTTCGGCAACTACAAACGATATCAAAAAAGCTTATAGAAAATTAGCTAAAGCCTTACATCCAGATAAAAATCAAGATGATCCCGATGCTTCACAAAAATTTCAAGATCTCGGAGCCGCTTACGAGGCCCTATCAGACCCTGAGAAGAGGGAACTTTACGATAGATGCGGAGAGGATTGCCTTAAAAAAGATGGAATGATGAATAATAACGACCCCTTCGCGTCTTTCTTTGGGGATTTTGGATTTCACTTTGGTGGTGAGTCTCAACATCATGAAACACCAAGAGGGGCGGACGTTATCATGGAATTAAGTGTTACCTTAGAAGAACTATACAATGGAAACTTCATTGAGGTGAGGTTACATACGGATACAAATTCAGCCACATTCCACACTTATTTTATGTTGTCATAATCAATATCTTATTTTTCCAGATTACTCGTAATAAACCTGTAATAAAACCTGCCTCTGGAACTCGCAAATGTAATTGTAGACAGGAGATGGTTACCAGGAATTTAGGACCTGGTCGTTTCCAAATGATGCAACAAACTGTGTGTGATGAATGTCCTAATATTAAGTTAGTCAACGAAGAAAGAGTTTTAGAAATTGAGGTTAGTGCTGAATACACCAAATTAAAGTACTGAGAAGTTATACAAATAATGCACACACAATAATTCATTCATTTAGAGATATTAAATAGTTGCTTTGTTAATTCTTCTTAAGTTCTAAGAAGAAAATGTCTTCAATCATGTCATAATGTATGTTTTCAGGTAGAAGTAGGAGCTCCCGATAATCACAAAACCAGACTGAGAGGAGAAGGCGAACCCCACATGGATGGAGAGCCAGGAGACCTTGTTATAGTTTTCCATACAGAAAGACATCAACATTTTACTAGACGTGGTGATGATCTATACACAAATGTCACTATATCATTACAGGTTAGTTTGTTCTTACTAAAGGAATGAAAAGTGATAAGTTCTAGTACAACACCTTTTAATAATATAATAACCTGTTACAGCACTATTTAAATGATAATAATATGAAAATTAAAGTATACATCTAATTCTTACTCAGTGATTGTAATATTTCATATACAGGATGCTCTGACTGGTTTCACATTGGAGTTAAAACACCTTGATGGTCATAAAGTGACAGTGTCAAGGGACAAAGTCACATGGGCTGGAGCAAGAGTTCGGAAGAAGGGTGAAGGCATGCCAAACTTTGAAAATAATAATTTACATGGAAACCTATATGTTACCTTTGACATTGAATTTCCAAAACAAGATTTCACTGATGAAGAGAAAGAAGGTAATATTGACATTGAATGTCGTTGAAATAATAAAACATTGTTTTTTAAAAGTTATATTTATCCGTAATCAACAATTATATTTATGTTTCAGCTTTGCGAAAAATACTTAAACAGACACCAAATAACAAAGTATATAATGGACTCTAGTGAAGTTAACTAAATTAATTTATTTAAGTTATAGTGATTTTCTAGTGTGATTATATGAATATGTGAGCAGACATTTGCTTATGATGACATTATGATTTTTATATAATAAATTGGTGTTCACTATATAAGCTTGTCTTTTTTACAAAAAATAAAATAAAGTGTTAAAAGATAACATGATTAGTAACAATAATAGAGTAACAAATATATAATATGTCTTTCTTGCTAGGTAGATCCTAGCAAGAAAGACATATTATCAAAAATTTTGGGAAATATTCATTTAATCTAGAGATTAAATGAATATTTCCCAAAATTTTTGATTACACTTACTGAATTCATCTCTTTTTTTATTATCTAAGCAATAAGACAGGATTCATGATCAGTTGGAGCAGCAGCTGCTAGATGCGGCGCGGCTGCCGCTTGTAGAACGCTATTCACTACTGCTCTCGCTAAGTAACCAAGAGTAACTGTTGCGGCTGCCCCCGCCAACGAGCAATCGGAAAGAGGCTTACCGCTATCCTATAAAGAAATACTTTAATTAAGCAATGAAAGACACTAAAATAAATTTAAAATCTATACTAATACAGAAAGCTGAAGAGCTCGTTTGTTTGTTTGAACGCGCTAATATCAGGAACTGGTTCGAATAGAAAAATTGTTTTTGTGTTGGGTAGAACATTTATCGAAGAAGGCCTGTAAAACTTCGACCTGTGACTTGTAGAGAGAAGATACAGCGAGAAATGTGACAAAAATTGGGAAAATTATTTATCATAATGGATTTACTCGGCGTACGCTGCAAAAACGGTTCAAGATATCCAAAAAATATGTATGAGAGAATGATTCCTCTTTAACTGATCTAAATAAAAGTCCGACGCTATAAGATTATCGCGAAGGGACGCGACCGAAGACGTGGGTAAAAACGAATTTGACGCCCAAAATAACTATTCTACGCGAACGAAGTCGCTGGCACAGCTAGTAATTAATATATTTCATGTCTTGAAGGAGTTTTATTTAGGCTTTCAATTATTACTATATACTCCGTGGGCTTGTAAATGGAATTGTTTTAGTTTTTTGATTTATTCTCAACAATAGATTACAATAAGGCTACTTAAATACTGTCTATAGTTTACGCGAGTAGTACACATTTAAATAAAACACTTTAACGGTTTAAAACGCGATATATTAGTTAAACTTATTTGGAAATGATTTTTAACTTCGGCCCGACGTTTCGGATGCTTTGCAGCAGCCGTGGTCAATAAATATATCGCGTTTTAAACCGTTAAAGTGTTTTATTTAAATAAGGCTACTTTCTTTTAACATTCAACGGTTTAAGTAACAACAACACAAATTACCCGGACTTCTTTCAGTGTAGATAGAATATAATATTATGTAACAACCTAGAATTAACTATTTATTATACCAGACAATTTAGAAGTTACCTTTGCATAGGTAGAGTGGGCGTCATCTAGGAGCTTATCAAGATCAAGCGGTTGTTGTAGATAGAGTTCAGGATTACGACGCAGTATAGTGGCAAGTATACACAGTAGTTCCACGCAAAGCTGCCGTCGGCCCGCCGACGAGATACGCACTAAAGCCTCCTCTACCAAGAGTGCAAACGACAGTTCCGAACGTGACATATTCACCAGGGTCGGCTGAGCTGGAATCGCGTGGCCCTGAAAAAATATATTCATTTATTTATGTACACTGAAAATCTATTGGATATCTATAATAATATATAAAGCTAAAGAGTTTGTTTGAACGCGCTAATCTCAGAAACTACTAGTTCGAATTGAAAAATTATTTTTGTGTTGTATAGATCGTTTATCGAGGAAGGCTATAAAATAGGAAGGCCTGTAAAATATCGCGTTGTGACTGGTAGGAGCTGAGAAACAGCGGGAATGTGGTAAAAAATGGGGAAAATTGTTCATTTATGTGGGTTTCCAATGCGCATGCTTCTAAAACGGTTCAAGATACCCAAAAAAAAATATTCCTCTTTAAATGATCTTAAAAAATCTCTTAAGCTTAACCTGAAATAACGTCGGGCTAACAGATTAAGTTTATAAAGATGAAAAACAAATTTTGATGCCCAAACTCTCATTAAACGCGGACAAAGTCGCTGACAGACCTAATAAGTATGGACAATGAAAACGGCTAGTTAAAAACTTCTATCGATTATAGTTTATGATATGATCATTACGTCAAAAGTAAAGATAATCAATGGCGATAACTCACTTGTACAATAATACCTTGCGGAGTCCTCAGGAGAATATCCCATACTTGTACGTAGAAATGTTTTGGGACGCGACAAAGACATCCTTCCAGTTGGCGGCGTTGCAAGGGAGACAGCCTGCAGAGGAATAAAATTGTTAGTACAGGCTATATGTATAATGAGTTTACATTAAATACTATCTGTAGTTTTTGTAAATAGAAAACTTAAATAAAACACTTTACCCCTTTAAAACACAATTTACCTATGTTAGTAAAACTTATTCGAAAATTATTTTAATTGCGGTCCGATGTTACGATTTCTTTACGGGACGAACCCCCATACCACAATAAAATTACATCTATCATAAATACATATTGATAAAACTTCGCCATAGTAGGAAAAATTTAATTACATCGATACTTTAAAAACTGGTGACTTACCCCCTTTCTTCAGCCCAATCGGAAACGGTGAGCACTCTTTGTAACAGAGTACGCAACTTGTACGGCGATAGACTCTCCAGAGTCGCGTCCGCCTTTTTCTCGGAAGGAAACAGCTCGAGGTAAATTCGGATCGCTTCCAACACCCAGCCTACACGAATCTTCAGGATACCACGGAACATATCAGGATTGGTGCCAATTAAACGCCCGCAGTACAACACAATTTCCTGTTTATATATATAACATTAACAAAATGAACCAATACAGAAAGGAAAAAAAAATATTAAAATATAAGCTATATAAGCACAGACTCTATAGATAGCTAGTAAATGCAAACACTTGACATTTACTCTTTAGACAGCTTTTTAGTTATTGACGGTATTACCACACTGCATCGAAGACATTAAAAGCAATGTTAAAGTTACGGCTACTGCAACGAATAAACTATTCGTATGAAAAAATTGTTTATATGGTAATACGTACTACACGTATGACTTAGTTCTGCGACGTGAGTTTTACATGGGCAGCGACAAAATTACAGTAGATGAGATCAAAGAACTAAACATGTAATAGATAATAAGAATTTGAGGGAAGAAGAATTGTTAAACATTTTCAATTTCAAACGTACTTGTTGCAACACAGCACCGATAACATCATAGGGTTGAATGGTAGAATACATGACGGACTGGATTTCACCCGGTGTCATTGGCTTGTCGAAAACTGTCTCCTTTTGACCGATAACTCCCACCGTTAACTGTAACAACATATTTTTTTAAATAATACACTTTAACAATAGTTATATTCACTAGTGCTTGTTTGTTGCTGTAATGTTGCCGAGAAAAGATTAAGACTGAGTTGACGTTAAGATTAGCAGTGAGGTTGCTTATTGCTTTTTTGTCTAGTAATAATATTTATATGTGTGTATGTGTATAATGTTTGCAATGAAATTTTACCGAGATATAGACGAAATGTTAGGAAATTTGTAGTAATCCTAATTGGATTATACTCGTATCTTTGAGAAAAGAATTAGTCCTTCTTCATCAAGTTTATTATAAGAGAAAAAATAATAATCGGGTACATACCTGTTTCCCGTTCACGAGTACAGTGGTAATAAAAGGGCTGATAGAATCCACAGTGTGATTGAGTAGAGACGAACAGTAGCGCACTGCCCGCCAGTGTCGTAGTACACCGGCACTGTGGTACAGGCTCTTTAGGGATTCCAATGCACTGACACCATTCACCTGTGCAAAAAAAATATCTGAATGTTGCATCCAGACACCATACATTCTTATGGAGGTAAATGCTGCAGTTCTTTTTTCTAATATAGAGGAGGACAGACCAGCATGGGGTTCCCTTGATGGGAGGTGAAATACTCCAACCCAACATCTAAGCAAGTTCTGCCGAACACATCGATTTCAAACTACGCGGTTAAATTCTATCTAGACCTGTAAATGTAACGTAGGTTATGCGTCCATAAAAGTTAAGGTATATATCAGACAGTAAACATTTAGTTCGCGGTGTGTTTACTTCTATGCTGTGTTATGTAGCACAAATATCTATACAAAATGGGGCACGATGCAAATATTTAATTTTATTACTATTTTTCATTTATTTTTGTTTTGTTCCATTTTATACATGGTATAAAAACTGTGCAGCGGTTTATTTATACCACGGATCACTCGTTACCATATAACTTTTAAAATAAATGCAACTATATAACTATTACTTAAATTAACACAACATAGCGAACATTATTAAAATATTAAATTTTCTTTACCTCATACATAGGTCCTTCTCTATCCATGAGTATTCCCCACAACTGGCTCTGGGCGAAGATATTCTCGGTGGAGCGCAAAGCATCTACCACGTCTGAGGTGGGTCTGTGTTTGAACGACTCGTAGTTTAGGTCTTGTTCTCGGTAGGTAAGCGTTCGGGGCACGTCAGTTAAAGACTGGTAACCGATGTAGTCGTGCTGCAGCTGCTTGAACTGCGTGAACATCTCAGACGGGAATTCACCCTGGCTCATGAAGTCTAAGTGCTCTGGAAGTTATCAATTTACTTTGCTCATCTCAAACTATTACTTAAATTTAGTAAAACGATTGTTCATAAACATTTTTAAAATTAACTAGTTGTGATATAACTAGATTTTGGGTTTGTAGAAACAAACAAACCAGAATTATAATATTAGTATAGAACTTATCGATTATTATTGCATAGCCATGTGCTTTTCATAATTATTATTTTCGATTGTATTTAATGTTACATACAATTAATACATGTTAATACAATGTACGTTAATACAATAAACAATTTACCTATACAAGAGCTGGATATGAGATTCTGTAATCGCCCCAGACGCACCTTAACTCCATCGCAGTGGCCCTTTTTGAGCATAGCGAATAGGTCTAACATCTGCTTGAAGTGGGGGTCTCGCATATGCTCCTCGCGGACTAAAAGGCATACCGTCGGACGTCCCGATAAACGCCAATATCTGTGTTTATGCAAAATACCAAGTTATTGACGGAAAATGTTTAAAACTATTATATGTTAACAGTATTTCATTACAACTATTTGTAAATTTGTTATTACATAAACATAAAGCTAAGTAAGCATACATTAATTGTAGCAGTCACTTTTTTAAACATTTGTTACGTGACACCAAACGTTCCTAATTGGTCGGGCTTATGATGACGTCACTTGCTTATAAGCGGTGCTATAAACCACCGTGTTTTCTAGTGTTAAAATAGTTTTATTTTCTGCATGAGTAAATAAATAAAAAAATATTCATTTTATTACTTCAATCACTGTTAGAATGTAAATGTTTGGTATAATGGCCAATATAAAGTCCGGACGGCACGTCACCAGCCGTATTGCAGCGTTATTTCGCAAATTTAAGGTTTAGGCGAGCAATTTTAATTTGATATATTTCAGCAAATATGTATTAGAATTCAAAAATACTATTTTTCTGGGGTTCATTCACATGTATTTTAAATTTAAATTTTAAAAATCAGTCAAATAGTTACAATAAAATAACACCACTTAAATATTCGAATTTCGTTATTATAAGAAACTACATCTGTAAATTATTGTGATATAGATTACGTGCAAACAAAATAAGAACGAGTGCGTACTTCCCAACAAATTGTAACTCAGTTTTGATGTCATCGATTAGCAGAGCCATGTCTCGATAAAGGTAGAATTCGGAAACTTCGAATATTAGCGGATAACACAGTACTGTCATGCCACACACTCTATAAATCTGAAATAAAACATTATTTATTATTACATAAGAACATAGCATTCATTGAATCACTTATAAATTACAAAAGACACAAGCGCGTTTATTTTTTATTTTTTTTAATAAGTACCAAGCCAAAGACGATATACATAATTATCGTTGTTTATAAATTAAATACTTTCAATAATTAGTTGTAATGAAATTCAATAAGAATATCTGCTTAAGACCTAAAATAAGTATTTTTGTTCAGTCGATTCAGATTTTTAACTTAAGACATTTTAACCTGTAGGTTAGTATTATATTGCATAATGTTCGTTTACAAACGAAATCCACCGGTGAGACAGACGTAAAAATATGTCTGTTTTATGCCCCAAATAGGTGAAGAAAATTTTCAGGCATACACACGTACAATTGTTAATAAGTAAATATGTGTAAAAATAAGTCAGTACTAATTACAAAACTCACTTTGCTTGTGCCCAAAGATCCCACCGGTCGGATAGGGCGACCAGTGAGTTTCAATTTATTACAGACGCCCAGTTCACGATAGACGTGTACCAATTGAGTTGAGCTGCACACCTAAAACAGCATGAAAGAGATCTTATTATACCTAATATCTAACTTCAGGGACAAAGAAGCACCGGACAGAAACAAAGGACAGACAAGTACAGAATTCACATATCGGAAGGCGATATGTCTAATTTAGATGTCAAACTTATTTTCATTGAATATCGTGTACTGCGAATAAGATTTAAAAAACCTTCAACGGTTTAAAACGCGAAATATGTATATTAGTTAAATTGCCATGGGTCTCCCCTGAGCACGGCTGCTGCAAAGCATAACACATGTAAAGCAAACCGCAGTTAAAATAATTTGTTAACAAATAAAATTAATATATGTCGCGTTTTAAAGCGTTAAAACTATTATACTGTGTTAAATGTGTACTACTCGTGGTAACAGACAGTATTTAATATTGAAGATGACTTTGAAATATTAAACTATACAATTTTATACAACTAGCGACAAAATGTACGGCTTAAATAGTTCAAACCAGTTCAGAACTGTGTTATGTGCTCTTTTGAGTGGTTCCAAAAGCCAATTAGAAACTGTAACACTAAACCTGCACAGGTTCAACTTCATGTGGGGTCTGCGTCTGTATGCCATACGTCCCCATCATTGCTTGAAGTCGCATCGACTCCGCTATCAGCACAACTTGTACCACGAGATCTGTTGCTATACCCTGAAATACCATAAGTTATTTACACACATAAAAAAGCAGCAGTAACATGTTTACTTGTTTGAAAGTCCCATTTTTACCACGAACAAATAAAACATTTTTTTAAATTGACCAACTGTTAACCCCGACCTTAGTATATGTAGTTGTGAAAATAGACAACAGACCAATGACGATAAGTAAAATTGTATCTGTACATATTTCCAATTACTCGAAATATTTTTTTTATGTTAAACTCATTATACTTACGAACGTAGGCTTAGCCTTTTATAGAAGCGTGAAAAGAAAAGAAAATATTAGTATATTAGGACAGAGAAAATATTAAAATTAATTTTATATTTACATTTTTAAAACTTGAATCTATGCTTTATTGCCTACTGTGTTATATGATTCACGGAGTTGTATTTTGAAGTAAGAAGGTCTTTACAATATTTAGACCAAAGTTGAAACCCATGATCTCTTGTGATACAAAGCAAACGCGCTTTGCCACTAGACCGCAGGGGAAGTTACAAGTACTGTATTTGCCTGTTAGTGTAATCTGTAAAATGGCAGGTATTAGGTATGCAACAAAGACCAATTACCTGAAAAGCAGAATATCTACCGGCGCGGCGTGGCCGGTTATAAGAAGGGAGGTACCGTCTTATTGGGTCCAACTCGTTGACGTGCAACAGACCGCCAGTAAGAAGCTGCGCAAGCACAAACAACGACTGCGCCCATAAGAATAAACCGCCCGTATCTAGGTACAGGCAAATAACATAAAACATTAGACACTTATAGATGGTACAAATAGACTCAATTTAACCAGAAATATTTTTTAGGAAGAGTTAAGCATTAATCAACTTTCTTTATCAATGTAATTGATTCTTGGTCAAATTGGCCCACATAAAAGCTTAAGTGGTTTTTATTTACAACAAAGATAAATAAACTAGCGGTTAATAGGATGTTAAAAGAATGCCGTCGACATAAAAAAAAACAGATCTAATGTGACTATTGATCAAAAGAAAGAAGCGTATTCACTAAAACAATAATTATAGATTGAAGAGGAAGTAGCTGCAGGAGAAAAGACGCAAATTCAAGGTGTTGTGCAACAAAAAGCAGTGCTGTAAGAAATAGCATAAAAAGAAAGAATTAAGTCACAAAGAAGAAGAACGTTTTTGACTCATAATAACAAAAACAGTTTTTAGAGGAAGACAATAAATAAAGAAAAAGTGTGGTGCAGATAAAGCCGTGCTGTAAAAATCAAAAGAGCCATGAATCTAAACTTCTCATTTTTTACCTTTATTTTCATTGTCTCCAGGCTGGTCTGAAAGCATGTTAAAGTATATAACTTTATTCAATATTTGTATAATGTTGTATATATTTGAAAACTTTGCGCGAGAGGCGCATGTATCAATTAGTTGAAAAAAATCTACGATGAGGTCTAGGACTCGGTAGCTTAATTGGTTGAGCAACAGCGCTAAACGCCGGTTTAAGTCCTGCCCTAGTCCAAATTTTTTTCAATTTGTTCCGGATTTTGTAAATTATGCTGTATAGATTCAATTAAGGAATGTCCCGAGAGTTATAAGGCTTTATTATTCTTCTGTGATACTAAATAATAAAATGGATATAAATAGTACGTATACATACGTTTTAAGTTACATTTATATGAACAAAATTATTATTATTAATACTAAACGTTTTGTTTTGATGTCTTTTACCTAATATCTCTCTCTTTGTTTGTTTAATATTTTAATTTGCTAGTATTATTTGGAAATTCATGATATACATACTTGCCGGTAGACGTCGCACAGAGTACGGCTCGCTGCGTTCATTTTCGATACCTTCACGTGGTACATAGTAATACCAAGGTATAACTGGATCTACAAAATATTAACTTTTATGCATTAACATACCACGCCTCCGTACAAATAACGATGTTTAATTTTGTCTAACCCCCATATTCATCCATATAAATTCTCGACTTCAAAAGCTTCTGATACTCTTCTACTTGTTCTGGTAAAGTTCGGAATACTCCATCGATTATCATCATAACATAGAAAAGGGGCCACTCCGATTCAATCCCATCAAATTCCTTAAGTTCTCCTTCATTATAGTACCGTCTGTTAGGATCTTCAAGTGCGCACTTATATCCATCTCGACTGAATCTTTTGAACCCGTATTTGCCTTTCAAACGATTCAAAAGGTTCGTTTTTGTTAACTGAACTAGGAGATCTTCATGTGTAGCGAAGGCTGGGAAAGATATTGTAGGCAAGAGAGCTGCATCCACACCCTAAAATACGACAGGATAAGGTATTGTATAGTTTTAATTATTTTTGATATACAGAAAGGTAAAAGTAATTACTTGTTCCGTAAAAATAAAATATGATATGGCCTGTGCAATACTTTTACATACATGCCCGCGATAGATGTGCAAAAAAATTAAATCTGGACAAGAATTTTAATTCAAATCCAAACTTTAGTAATTGCATGCCCAATAGACTATTTGTTAAAAAAATAGACCTTGGAGCTGGACTCTCGAGGCAGCATGGTCTCGAATATACTTCTATTTCTGTTATGAGCATCAATGTCAACATACACAACACTCCATGATGCTCCTTTATCGCCGAACAAGTTACATCCGTTAATAGCTTCCAAAGCTGCTTTTGCCATACCTAAAAAAATACACAATATCGATACAGTTTAACAAAGAAAGTTGGTTTTATTTATATAAGGAGCTGTGGGGGTGAAATGGTTTAAAATGGGGACTGATCACAATAAGAAATAAAACACATACCAATAGACGAGGCATGTATTTCTGGGGTTCCATCGTTATATTTTGAGCCTCTTTCCCACATGCCATAATCTGGTGTTCTGTATGCCCTCTCCACATAATATACTAAGTTTTGTACAAATGCTACTTCATCCTGCCAAAAAAAAATATCCTAAAAGTCTTGGTCAACATAATTAGTCACTATGTTTCACAAATAGACTTCGAGATTCTTAAACATTAGAAAAATTTATAGATTAATACAATTAAAGCAAAGTGTGGATAATGTATGTAATAAGATAAAATTGATATCTATAATACCTGAGTGTAAATAATCTGTAGGCCAGATGTAATCATTTGTACAAGGAAGAGTAAGTATAAAGACACCACATCGATCTGTAAGTGATGATACTCGCTATCGTCAAGCACTGGTTCCCCTGTGGTAAGGTGGAACTTGACATGAAGTGCATGTGCTGCACTCTGTCTTGTCTTGAATGCTTCCACTCTTGATGCTTGCTTTATCCAACATTCTAATATACCTCTCATACATTTCACAGTGCTCTGCCCAAGTTCATGTGATTTGCCACGATCATCATCTATACGTCTGAAATTAAAACAACTTTTTTATTTTTCTATACAGTCCTTTACCCATAAATTGTGCATAGGACTGACACTAAGTTTGTGGCACAAATTAATTTACAAGTAAGCATATAATAACCAACAGAATATTTTTTTTACAAGTTTCAAACTTAGGAACAATTCTACTTATTTAAATGCTCAGTAGCATATTTATAACAAAGCTTAAAAGTTATATATGCCCATATTTAACTTCTACCACAATTTGATATGTATTAGCTTAGTTCACATTATTCATAAAATAAATACCTGTAAGCTTGGTATAAACCCCATACTGCTGACGCACAGTATATACTATCTCTAACACTTGCAGTATGTAGGTCTGAAGACAGTACTGGGAATAAACCAGTGATGGGACTTTGAAATCTTAATAATTGTCTTTTAACTGAAAGAGAAAATTAAAATTAAAAAATCGTTGATATAAGAGTCTCTAATAATTTAAGGAATTATGTTGAAGATGTTTATGTTTGCATCAATGTATAAGTGTGGCTGAATTAAACTCAGAAAATTATTCTATTATATATTATATATTTATTCTATTAAAAATATACAGCTCAAAAACCAAAGTAGTAGTAACTTTTTGTATTTTAAAATGCTGTAAATAAGCAATCAAAAAAAAGATAATGCAGTCTTTCTTAAAAAAATGTTTTCAGTCACAAAAACTAATCAGTTTTAAAATATTAAATGATAACGAGATATGTAGCTCTTCAAATACCTATAGCATAATAAATATCCAATTGCCTAACAGTGTCTTCATAGTTAGCTATCTTTAAAAACTGTTGAGCATTAATATCATCTATACTCCCTTGACGAATCATTAGGTCTGGATTACCCTGAAATAATAATAAAAACTATTATTATTATTTATATGCAGTATATATTATTATTACTAGTATCATTTGTAATATTAAAAACAATAACACTTTTTCTTCATTGACAAAAACCACATTTTATGACATGGTACAAAATTTATTTTTAAGTATATTAATATTACTATAAAAAATATATACATACAACAAATATCAGCAAGTGTTTAAAAGTAAATAATGCTATAAAGTTATTATTTTGCAAAAGTTATAATTTGTTCCAAATCATTTACTTTATTAATAGCATACTATATTAAGAGAATTCTTAAACATTGAAGATAAAAATTCCTCAATTAAACTAGTACTTAGTGCACTTATTAATTATTAAACTAGTGATGTACGCGACTTTTGACATAAGTCAAATCGTCAATAAATACTTTTCTTAGTACCCCACATCTGTAGAAAATCTGTGGTTTATAATTTTCATTATAATTATACGTCATAGTCGAACTTATATTGTTTTTGATAAACAATACTGTGAAGTATAAACACAAGTAATTTACTGTTATAAAACATTTTTTCCTAAATCCTTTAAAATTTATCTCGTTTAAAAATATATATTCAAATGTAGTGAGTAATATTTAAAAGACACATCAAGGTGAGTAATATTTCTGTTGTCCACTTAAGCTACGTTAGATTTTTCTTTATGCTGAAGACTTTTCTTATTATAAGGGCTATAATGAATCATGAAGGGCACCAGGAACTCGACAGCACCAGCAACAAGGAGTCTCAGGTTCAAATATTTTACATGATTTCCTCAGTCTGGTGTTCTTGCTACAATGTGATATTACTAATCAGCATCAGAAACCACGCATGTTAACCATTGGCAGTCCTATACTAACATATTAATTGATTAAATTTTCTAAACTGATTTATGATTTTTTGGATGTTCGTTACATGAGGGTATGATATGGTATAAATTCTAATTTGTATTTGTAACATTTGTTTTCCAAATTTACTTTCTGAATGGGTATTGTATGTTTTATTATTATTAAGGAAACACCTGTCTATGTGTTAGTAATTATCAACATGAAATGTCACATTTTATTCAAAAGAATATGACATATAATATGTGTGGATGTAAATTGCCATTTTGAATCATTTGTGTTTTGTGTTTTTTATGTTGTTGAATTTGATATTGACATCTATTTATCATGGGTGTCTGTACATTTTCTCATATAAAATTATTTTTCAGCTAGACCTTTTCAGTTTAATCGGGGGTAGTTGGCCACCAGCACCTAGAGGACCAGAAAGACCAGAATATGGAACAGTACCCAGAACACCTAGAAGAAATATGCAGCGTACATCACACAATGAGAGAGTAAAATCTGTTAATCTCCTGAATCATATAGCTTCAGATAAACGAAAGAAACCTATAAACAGCTCTCCGCTTAGTGATAAAACTAACCAACCTAAAATGGTTCATGAAGCTAAGAAAATTGAAACTGGGGTCTTAGTAGGTATGTTTTATACAAAGTACTTGATATAATAACTGAATATACTTATATAAATTTATATTCTAAAATATATCTTATTTAACATATATAATAATGGGAATAAGTATGCTGTAAATAAGAACTTATAACTTAGTCACAAACATAATATTATGATCCATGCCTATTTGTATACATATAGTCTATTAATAATAGATATACAAAACGCAGTTGTAGAAATGCAATAAATCGATACCAATTAACAGCTAGTCAGATAATCTAAATTGAATATTTATTTTCTTACCATTTCAAATCACATATTGCACTTTTAACATATAAATAACAAATAAAACCTAAGCTGTAACAGTAACATTTTGCAGCCTATAGAACACTAACAGATTAACAGAGCATGAACTAAATAAACATCCCATTTTAGCTCTCCTATTTTCTAAATTTAGCGCACGCGGGTGATCAGCCGTCGATAGTCAGTTGTTTATAACAACGCGTTATGTCGCACAAGTACTATCTAAAAGAACTGTCTATTGACGAAATTCCACTATGTGTGCTTCAGTATGAAACCAGTAAATGATTTTTTTTTAATACCAAATAGTACTTTACAGTTTTTATCTTGAATTAAATAAATTCCAAATGGTTTACAAATAAAAAATGGTCTATACATATATAGACCATTTGTTATTTGTAATCCCACAACAAACTTTTAGATGTGTGCAGCATTGAAACTCCTGAAGAATTATATGATACACCTTCACTCGGATCACCTAAAGCCATTGATCACGTGAGACTTCAGGAGAAGCAGAAAACTATACAATTGCCTCTACATTTGCAAGAAGATATTGGTGTTGGTTCACTGGTTGAAGTGGCAACGGATGTAAACCAGCATTATTATGGTGTTGTTAGGTGGATTGGTGTTATAGATGGTAAGTCCACTTAACATATACTTTTTTGTCAGTTCCTTAACCATTCACAATTTTGAAATCCTATTTGTGGTTCTTTGGTAAAGTAAGCATTAGACATTTGAAAACATTAATATTTTCACATGTTATGGCACATGAAGGTACTATATAATTTTTTAAAATCGATTTAAAAAAAAAGCATTAGACATTCAACTCAACCTGTAAACAAATATAAAAAGAAGCTAATTAAGTAATAGTATTAGTAAGTAGTACACATTTAAAGAATAATTTTAACGGTTTAAGACGCGATATATATTAGTCTATCAGTCTTCCCATCATCGACCATGGCTGCTGCAAAGCATACGAAACGTCGGGCCCTTATTTTAAAATAATTTTCAAACAAGTGTAACTAATATATCTCCCGTTTCAAACCGTTAGTGTTTTTTTTTAAAGTAAAACGTTTTTTAGATACAGCAACGGCAGGCGTAGAACTGGAACAAAACGTATGTGGTCTAACAGACGGCACGCGCAATGGACAGCGTCTATTCACTTGTGCTTCGGGCCGTGCCCTGTTTGTCCCGCTTGCGTTGTGCCGTCGTGATGCACGCTTCAGAGACACTCCACCGCCAGAGCGGGCTCATTTTCAAGACGATGATAATTTTGACCAGGTACTCATTTATGTGGGATCCGATCAGATTCCCGCTGTGATTTGGATCTTTTTTATTGAAAAGTATTTATTTCTCAATCAGATTAAATACCAAAAATAATCAATCTGATTATGAACGAAAACAATTATTTTCTACTCACGCGGGTAGTTTCATATACGAATGGGGTTTAAATTGATTTAATTTAATATTATTATTTTTTGCTTCTTCTTATGAACTATATTATTTTTTAGCCCGACTGTCCAGTCGTACCAGGAGTAGTTCCACCACTAAATTTATTGGGAGAATTAGCTGGCAAAAACCGGGGGATTCAGGGACATCATAACTCTTGTTACCTCGACGCTACATTGTTTGCGATGTTCACATTCACTAGTGTTTTTGACGCCCTGCTGTATCGACCTCCGGAACCTGAGGTAATTTAACCATAAAAATTATAATTCAAGCTCCAACTTCTTATCACGGTATCTCATAAAGACTGGTGCCAGATGCACAGTGGATTCCTAGTCATAGAGCCCCGTTTTACCTTTAACCCTGAATATATTTCTCTATCTAGGATTCCCCTCATTATGGAGAGGTTCAGCGCGTTCTCCGTGAGGAGATAGTCAATCCATTACGTCGTCATGGGTACGTACGCGCAGATCGAGTTATGAAACTGCGAACGTTACTTGAACGACTCTCTGATGTACCTGGCCTTACGTCTGAAGAAAAGGTATAGGAACATATTTAATTTAAAAAAAAACATGCCTCATTGATTTCGTATAAATAAAACCTTTAACAGGACCCGGAGGAGTTTCTAAATGGCCTTGTGGCACAACTATTGCGGGCAGAACCCTTCTTAAAATTATCTTCTGGACAGGAGTCTTATTGCTATCAGCTATTTGTTGAGAAAGACGAGCGTATGACCTTGCCGAGCGTCCAACAGCTATTGGAACAATCATTTGCCACATCTGGTGTTAAGTTGAGCGAGGTAATAATTAAAAATAACATTTCAAGCATATAAAAGTTAAATAATACATACATATGTTGAAAGAACAATTTGACCTTGACAGGTTCCTGCTGCCTTGATAATACAAATGCCAAGGTTTGGAAAGAATTACAAGCTCTATCAAAGAGTTTTACCATCGCCCCTACTTGATGTAACGGATCTTATTGAAGGACGTAAGACATTATTACAAATCTTAAAATTAAATACAGTCCGTAGTTTACGCGAGTATTAGACACATAAATAAAACCCTTAACGGTTTTAACCGGAAAATATTGTTAAACTTTTTTGAACTTTTTATATGTCGAATTATAAAACCGTTATTGTATTTTATATAAATACAAATCTTTTAGTTAAAAGCAGATCTGCAATGACAAACTACAGATTTTTTTTTAATAAGAAATACAATTTATGTCATTAAATATCTCACATCAACCTTTTGTCCCTTGCCCGAGCGAAACTATTATGATTCCGGGAATTCAACCTAGGAACTATTGGAGTGCTATGTGGTTTTTAAACTGTTCTCCTGTTAATGCTGCCATCAGTACCACGTCAGTGTGCGGTTTGTGGCGTGTTGGCGCGCTGGGAGTGTACCGCGTGTGCGGGCGGCGGTACTCTTGATACGGGAGCGGGTGCCCTTTGCACCACTTGTCTGCGGCTTGCGCATGCAACTCGTCCGCAACATAAGGTATCCTCGAGATTCTATCCTTATTAAAAAAATACAAAGCAACTTTATGAAAAAGTTTCCCAGTGTAATCATTAAAAACTAATTTTGAGAAAAGCAGAATGTTTAGCTCTGTACAGCCGTGTATAGAATAAATAATTATCCATTGGATAAAAACGTCCTCTCGGCCGAACACTATTTAGGTACTCTCTTATAAAGATATTTCTTCTAGGCAACACCTTTAGTTATATGTGAAGAATACCTTAACATACTGGAATCATGTCCGGTCCCTCGCGTTTATATGGAATTGTTTGCTGTATTGTGCATAGAGACAAGTCATTATGTCGCATTCGTGAAAACTGGAGTCGCGCATGATGCTCCCTGGTGCTTTTTCGATTCTATGGCGGATAGAAAAGGTAAGTAGTAATTCATGATTACTACATTTCCTTTTACAGTTTAGTAAGAATGATTTAGTTACGAAAAAAAAAGTATTTTTATTTTTGTATACTAATATATAAACCTGAAGAGTTTGTTTCTTTGGACGCGCTAATGGCAGGACTAGTGGTTAGACTTGAAAAATAATGTTTGTGTTTGTTAGAGCATTTATCGAGGAAGGCTTTATTACCCTACTGTGGCTAATAATAGGAGCAAAGAAACAGCAGGAAATGTAAAAAAAAATTTTGGGGAAAACTGAAATGAAAAATCCTACTCCATTCCTCTTTAAATGATCTAATACATGTCTGCGACAGCATATGTCTATCTTTTAAGATTTACTTTCAAGAACGGCGGGTCGTGACAGACGTCGTGGGTAACAGCTAAAGAAGAGGTTTGCAAAACCAAATTTGGATGCACTAAATAATTATTCTTCGCGGGCGAAAACGCTGACACAGCTAGTAGTAAATAAAAATATAGTTCTAGCATAATATGATCCTATGCTAATATATTTAAATCATTAATATGTTTTCGTAGGCGAACGAAACGGCTATAACATACCAGAAATAGTGGAGATCGAGGAACTAGCGGGATGGCTAAGCGACGAAGGCGGTCGCGCATTAAACGCAGCTGCACCCCTCGACCGGCAATTACCCGCGCCCGCCAAGAGATTGCTGGCGGACGCCTATATGTGCTTCTATAGAAGCCCAGATGTCGCAATGTATAGATAATCCCTTATAGATATCGTTGTTAACCCCTCACATAGAAGCCGAGGACGATGTATACAAAACTATGTAAAAATAGTGAAGAGGTTAAAATAATATGTGTAAAACAGTCCTGGCTTTAAAATAGGAATTTAAAAAAGTAACTACTATCTATAGTTTACGCGAGTAGTACATATTTAAATAAAACACTAACGGTTTAAAACTAATATCGTGTTTTAAAGCGTTAAAGTGCTCTGTGTTTTATTTAAATTTAAAAAAAGTAGCATAAAATTAAAAATTTCTTTGTAATTTATGACTAAGCATTATTTACTTCTCTTGTTTTAAAAAGCAGAAAAATGTGCAATGATGTATTCGTGACAAAGTGCATTTATTTATTTTCATAAATAATAACGATTCACAAATCAAACTCTGAGATGTAAGTATATAGGTATATATATATTTAGAGTACAATAGTACAGTATTAAAATATTATTTCATTTCTAAAACTCGTTTCTATCTTAACTTATATAGTTATAAATACGTTTTAAATTGTCAACAAAACAGCAAAAATATTTTATTTGATCCGTGAGATGGCCACTACAACAATTTTAAAATGTACTCAATGGTTTGAAATAAACAATACATTATGTTTGTTCTCAAACGGGCTAAATAACCCGTACTATCCAGCTACTTCAAAAGAGTTTTCTGATTTCCCTTTCCTTTAAAAAAGATCAAACTCTCAAAAAAAAAAACTATCTAGGTAAACTTTCTAATAATCGAGGTAATACGATTTTAGAAGTTACAGTTCATCATGACTATTCCCTTTTGCACAATTACAAGGAAATGTGTCCTGTGGCACATGTGTCATATTAGCTTCTACAGTAATTTCTTCATCAAGTTTCCGGCTCCATTCCTGAAATAAAGTGAGTTCGAAAAATTTTGTAAATTGTGAAAAAATTAAATGACAATTGACGTTCATTCATATATAACACCATATTCGATAAAATCTTAAATATGAGTACCCCTTGTTATAGACAATAAACTGTTAAAAACTACCCACTTCGCTCATGAGGTCAATCCACCTCAGATTGGAGGCAGATACGAAAATATTTGTGTACTTACTGAAAGTAAAACAACATGATAGCAAATAATATGATGTGGAAGCAAATTTTCGTTCGCAAAGTTTTTTGCGTTTTTGGCAATCGTGTGAGCTTCATCATCATGGTCTCTTGACCATTTTATCTTTTCTGTTAAATCATTAAGATCTCTGGCCACAGGTACGTAATGTTTCCAAGGTTTCAGTTGCCGATAGAAATGTTCATAGTATGGGGATTCTTGTTTCAAAACCATACCTCCACCAGCTAAAAGGTAAGGTAGTCTGTATGCAGCTACTGTCCCATCTATGTTGATTTGATACTTGTACTGAAAAGAAAACGATAATTTATTGTTTATAAAAAAGTGAAATTTCGTTTCCCCTCATGGGACATAGGGCGAACACACATCTGTGTCCGTTTCACTGATCGGTTTTATTTACAAGCAAGTAGTTGATCAGACTTTTGTGCCCTGCCCGACCGAAACAATTTACTGTTTCCTTGAGATTCGAACCCAGGACCTCTCGCGCTTAACGCGTTAACACGTTTAACCATTTAGCTACAAAGGCGTTCAAAAATATATATATATGAATATTAAATAACATACATGTAAATCATAGAAGTTATAATAACAACTCACTTCAAAAAACTTGAAGAATGATAACATAAGAATTAAGAACAACTCACTTCAAAAAACTTGAAGAATGATATATGTGGTAATTTTGGTCCATACTCTTCTTCTTTATTACGAAAGAAGAAAAAGTTTGTTAAAGATGCATTCAGTAAGTCTGGATTGGCTCTAGCAATGTCTATTAGCTTTAATCGTTCTTCACGTGAATCGCGACCTCGCCAAAACGCACGAGGTTCCCTTTTAGTCCATTTTCTATCTACATTTCCTTGAACTGATAGAATATCCAATGTTACCCTAGAACATACAATTACAATTTTATATATATTTATATAAGCTATATTTTTCATATTTATATAAGCTATATTCTTTATAATAATATCATATGTATAAAAGTTACCTGCCCATGTTTTCTAAACTTGATTCAGTGATGTCGTAAGTTGGCATTACAATATCAAGAGATTCATCACTTCCACACCAGGAAAAAATGGGAAGTATATCAGAGCCCTTTCTAGTCAGGGGCCAATCACCTAGATTGATAACCAGCTCTATATCCGGTATAAGGACTTTTCTCAGTATAGATAACAAAATATTGTCAGCAAACATGTTAAAACCAATATGTTTCCCATAACACTTTCTATATAATTCATTACTCTTAACTACATAGTGGCAAAAACTGGTACTTTCAGGATTGTGATATTTTTTAATTATTTTAGTTATTTGCCTTTTTATTTTGACTTGTTCAAAGGGCCTAAGGTCATCATTGATTTGATCATAAGACAATGGACATTCATTATTCTGTAACCATACATTTAAATCTGGTTCTGGGCAAACACATTGATCTTGTTTGATGGGTCCTAAAATAAGTAAAAAGTAGTTCAAATCTCTAAAAAGGTACATTTCATAAATTATTTGCATTACCTTCAAAAGTGATAGGTGATTGCTGTATATGTTTATTCTTGTAATAAATATTAATGGAAAGTGATGAACATTCCTCATACAACTTGTATCGAACTATAAATGTGCCGTCTTTTCTATCTAGAACATTGGACCATATACGGCAATGAGATTTTTTAAAAGCTGTTCCTGTTATTTCTACCGCTACACTTTGACCTAAATCATTTGTGTACCTAAATGAAAACATTATTAATGATTATTTAAAGATTTTCAGTATCTATTTTTATAAAATAAATATATTTTACACTTACGTGTCCTCATTTATATTAGTAAAGTTAACGAAAAAATATCGTGCCGGTAATACTACTTTGTGGGGTTGTAAGCCAGGACCGTAAACATTAATATTTTCTGCATAGCCATGAACAATAATACTTATAATTATCGACAGAACTTTATATTTAATTTTTATTATCATTTTCATTTTCCGCTTTTGTTTATATAAAATAAGTTAAACTGCTAAGGTTATTCAAATATTTACATACTTAATTTCCAAGAATATGACACTCTTACTTATTTGTTTATTTTGATTATCGTCAGCTGTGATATGTCAGTTGCCAGCTGTCAACCATAGAGAACTTGTGTTCCCTTCTAGAATGATTAATTTTAAATGTCCTAATCGTATTCGATGTTTTTTTTATTATTTATAACATACTACATGACACGTGTAAGAAATAAACAAAACAAACATGAAAGTTCTTGCGATATTTATTGAAGAGTAAAATACCTCGATCATTTTCTACGTATATCTCTAATACAAACTATCGATTTTAACTATGAAATAAATGATAATCGGTCACACGATTATATATTACCAACCCGACGGTCAACACTATTGTCAACTATTATTTTTATTTGATTTTCATCAGTATATAACTATTCGAGACTAATATATTAAAGAAAAACAGCTATTAAAGGAATAGAGCCACAAAAAAACTATAAACTTTTTTGGATAACTTGGATTCTTTAAGACATGGCGACGTCTAATTTATTATTATTGTGTAATTCCTTTAACAAATTGAGGTTAGAATTTATAAATATATATTATTTTATGCGCACACACTCAGTTTATGGTTTTCGTGCAATAATTTTGCTTTGATTAATTATTATGTAAAATAGTTTAGTATTGTAGCTCTAATCCATGGAAAACCTTACAGTGTGAGCAATGTAGTAAAGAGGTGCTGTCACTATCGGCCGCCAAGATATCGACCACCTTACTGGTTCATGCCCAAAGAAAGAGTTGTAAGTATTTTTTTCTATCTAAGATAAGAGTTAACTTTACTCATTTAAATCATTTAATTAGATATCACAATTCAATTTATGTTTATTACCCCAGGTAAGTGAAGATATGTTAACTCAAGAGAACCGAGATTTTCTTGCAGAAGTAAAACAGGATAAACATAATTTCCAACATTCATTAGAATCACCATTGACAAATGTAGACACGCCCCAGACTACAGAATGGACACAAAGTACCAGAAGAGTAGGAGTTATAGCCCGAAAAATTGGAAATTATCCACTATGGACAAAGGATGGAAAAAAATTTCAAACAACTTTACTGCAGGTAAAAGTAACATATCTTTTTTTATGTTTTTGTGTGCTTGTTCCTTTTTAACAACATACTTGAATTTAAAAGTAATATTAACCATCCTAAATGTAATTACCTTTTTTTAGGTATCAGACAATCACGTCATAAAATATATACCACCAGATGAGTTCAACCCAATGAAGTCAAAGAAAATGAAAAAGGAACCATGGAAAGAAAAGAGAACTTTAGGTTGCTTGCTGGTAGGTGCTGAATCAATAGACCCTAGTACAGTGACCAAAGATTATTGTGGCATGTTTACGAAGGTTGGGATGTTACCAAAGAGACACCTCTGTAGATTCATGGTGTCACCTAATGCACAGTTGCCAACTGGAACTCCATTGTATGCTACTCATTTCAGAGTAGGTGATTGTGTTGATATTCGCGCAAAAACGTAAGTATTTTATGATTCAAATATTTTATTGGTATACATCTTGGTTGCCATAAAACATTTGATTTCTCTTAGTGGTTTTTTATAAGGTAGGCAAAGTAAGTAAAATTGTATCTTTATTGTGTTACATTTTTTAACTATAATTACATACTATTTGTCAATTTTAGAATTGATCGAGGATTTCAAGGTGTTATGAAGAGATGGGGTTTCAAAGGAATGCCTGCATCACATGGTGTGACAAAAACGCATAGGAGACCTGGAAACATTGGGGGTGGGGGTGAAAAAGCAAGAGTTTGGCCGGGCACTAAAATGCCTGGTCACATGGGAAATAGGTATACACTCTCTTACAGACATCTAGAAAAGATTATTTCAAACCTAAAATTTCTGTATACCTAATACTGAACATTCTTTTAGTTGGAGAATTATCAGAGGAGTAAAAATACTGCGGATTAATCCAGAACATAATGTGTTGTGGATGTTAGGTGTTGCCATTCCTGGAGAAACAGGTGCAATGTGCTACTTATATGATACTGTCTTGCCTCTTAAAAAGCTCAAGACTCCACCACCATTCCCAACCCAGCTAAACTCTCTTGAAATTCCTCAGGAGTATTATGATGATTGTATTCATCAGTTTGAACAGCCTACAATAACATTTGAAGAATCATAAAAAATGTAATAAAACTGTTTAAATGTGTAAAAAGTTAATTTTATTTACCTGTACTTATAATCAATCCATAATTAAAAATAGTATAGAAATTGTATAGTTGTAAACACAAAAATCATAATATTAGTAAAAAGATAAAAATTAAAACATTCAGCTTATATTAGTAAATTAAGTTACTAAATAATTAAAAACTTATTAAATGGGGAACCCATTACTGTTGATTAGGGGGTTGGAAGCTATAACCTTGATACGGTTGAGCTCCTGTAGGAGGTGGAGCTCTAGCATATGGATAGGGTGAAGGAGGATATTGACTTGGGGGATAGCCCTGTTGATAAGCATGAGGTGGGTAAGCACCCCCTGTAGGTGGGTAATTTTGTGGATTTTGTGGGTATGATGATTGTGGCATTGGAGCTGTGGAGACAGGAGGTGCAGGACTACCAGGCTGAGAAGATGGATTTGAGTATGGAGGCTGTGATGCTGGTGGGTAGGGGGAAGGTTGACCAGAAGGGGGATATTGTTGTCCAGGAGGTGCACTCTGGGGTGGTCCTGAAGGAACTGTTGATGGGGCATTGTTTCCATGGGAACTTGAGTTGAATGTGGGTGACTGTGCAGATGGAGATCCATAACCAGTGCTAGGAGGATTTTGTGATGTGTATCCCCCTGATGGAGGTTGCGGGGATCTATTTGGTTGTGAAACCGGAGTGGACCCATAACCTGAAGTGGGAGTTGTATTTTGGAAAGATTGTGTTTGATAAGGTTGAGGTTGAGATGTAGTTGTATTGTATGTGTTAACACCAGCATTTGGATAGTTAGCACCAGACTGAGGTGGTGGGTACGCTGAACTACCAGTGTAGCCAGGTTGGCTAGGACCTCTTACTGGGTAAGATCCAGGAGCTGCCGGATTACCTGGAGGTGGAGCATAAGGTTGCTGAGCTGAAGAAGGAGGATAACCTGGGCCTGGATGAGTAGATGGTGGATAATTATTAGGGGCTGTAGTAATAGGTGGACCATATGTAGAGTTAGGAGGATATCCTTGAGGTTGTTGTGGCGGGTTGGGGGGTCCATAGTTTTGACCAGGAGGTCCATAGCCTGCTTGGGGTGGATAAGCTCCTTGGTACTGTCCTTGATACTGATTCTGTGGATACGGTCTTGGGCCATATGACTGTGTAGGCCTTGTTGCTGATGTAGAAGCTCCTGCAGGGGGACGATAAGGCTGTTGAGGTGAACCAGGAACTTCACCACCACCAGGAGATGGATTTATTCCACTTTGTGGCACATTTCCAGTTTGTGCAAGTTGATGAGGTGGCTAAAAGTTTTAATTAGAGCTTTAATTAAATATGATTCTATAGTGAGTTAGACGGAACTAAATTAAGAGAAATGCGTACCGGTAAAATTTGTTGTATGTTCTGATTTGCATCAGCTACAGAAGCCAAGTAAACTAAATTTCTATGAAGTACTTGTTGATATTGATGACATTCCATTAGCTGTCCCTTCGCTTGATACTCCTGAATAGTTTGAATTAAATGAGCATTTTCATCCAACATTTTTTGGATTTGTGCTGGGCTCAAAGGAGGCCGGTTGCCGCGCGGAGCAAATGCTACAGACATGTTATCTTCTATTAAACTTTAAATTTAATAACTAAAATTTCATTCTCTGCTTTAAAAATCGCTTAATACACAATTTCAATCACAAACACTGTTACAACCCCATTCTGCACCCATCCCTTTTTATTCACTTTTCATTGGCTATTATCGCACCTTTATAAATTACAACAAAGCTTTATCACAGATGTGATAGAACATTACAGAGTGTGAGCGTACTATGACACTTCCTACGTATTGATAGAATTTCTATAACAGATCCACAGAGCAACGTGTTGTAGGAATATATTTTCTATATAACATGTTGATGATCGATTTTGACACCGATTTTAACATCGATTTTGATATATTTTACCTGTGGTTTGTATAACTTCACTTGTATATTCCATCTTTAACTGTGGGTTGTTGGGTTGTAATTTCAATTCTGCTATTTCATTTCGTAGTTCATACATTTTTGCAAGTTTGAATTTGAACGCTGTATATTTTTACTAATATAAACAATAGTAGTAATCTAAAATGGCATCAGTTTTACTTCCGGAAGTTTCGGCGCCTGGTTTTTCTTTCGAAAACTGCCAGCGGCAAGTATTGCTACTAATTAACTAGTCATATTTATATTGTGTACTTATAACTACCGAACTTCACGATGTTATAATTATTTATTTTGATATTTCAGAAATGCCTTCCTCGAACATAAAGGATTCCCTGCACCGAAAGCCACAAAAACGGGAACAACAATTGTTGGAATAATTTATGCAGATGGAGTTATTCTAGGCGCAGATACTCGAGCTACAGAGAATACTGTAGTGTCTGATAAAAACTGCCAAAAAATTCACTATTTAGCAGCTAACATGTACTGCTGTGGAGCTGGAACTGCAGCTGATACAGAGATGACAACTCAAACAGTAGCTTCTCAGTTAGAGCTGCAACGCTTGCACACTGGCCGTACAGTACCAGTAGAGACAGCATCTACACTTTTAAAACGCATGCTGTTCCGCTACCAGGGTCATATTGGAGCTGCTCTAGTGCTTGGTGGTGTTGATCGTTCAGGACCACATATCTATTGCATTTATCCTCATGGTTCAGTTGACAAACTACCATATGCCACTATGGGTAATTTTAATATGTACTTTCATTCTTGTTTGTTAGTGGTATTCAAGCAAGAATTTTCATGAATACCTTTCGAGATGTCTAAAATTTGTTAACACTAATAATGACTTTGTGTTTGTTTAATTTCTGGCTACCAAATCATCACTATTTAAGAATAGAATGAATATATAATAGAACATTGGTATTAAAATGGTACCCTGTTTCATTGATAGGTTCTGGATCTTTAGCTGCAATGGCTGTATTTGAATCACGTTGGAAACCCAACATGACTGAGGAAGAAGGAAAGAAGCTTGTAAGAGATGCTATAGCTGCTGGAATTTTCAATGATTTAGGATCAGGTTCGAATGTTGACCTGTGTGTCATTCGCAATTCAGGTCCAGCTCAATATCTTAGAACGTATGAAGAGGCCAACGTTAAGGTAAGAAAGCTATGGCTTCAACTACTTTTTAAACAATAGAATAATAATGAACTTTTCATAGGTCAGTTATTAAGATATTACATTTAAATAAAATTCCGTAACAGATTAAAACGCGATATATATTTGTTAATTTTCAAAAAGTTTCACTAATATATATCGCGTTTTAATCCGATAAGTGCTTTAGTTAAATGTGTACTACTCGCGTAAACTACAGATTATTATTATTTTCTTTCGGGGAGACCTGTGGTAGGACGGGTGATCAGTCCACGTTATCAGCTGACCACTTCACCCAGACTTCAAACTTTCAAACTACAGATAGTATTTAATATTTGCAGGGCAAAAAGCAAGGATCATACAGATATACCCCAGGTACAACAGCTGTATTGAAAACAAAGGTGATACCACTGGAAGTTGAATCAGTGTCTGTTCAACAAGTTCAACCAATGGAAGTGGAGCCCTCTCCCAGCCGTCGCTAATAAATTTCAGATTTTCCAAAACTTATAGATTTTTTTATTGTCAAGTACATATATCTGTAAAGTGCAGAAAGGTATTGGGATGTTTACACGTTTTCCTTTTATAATATAATCTTCAAACTCTAGGACCTACTATTTTTTTTATTACGTCTTATTCTTATGGAATAATGATATAAATAAAAGACAGTTTTTTTTATCAAAATAAAAATCTTTAAAACACTCAAGAGATTCTTATGGCGTAAATGTACTTAAATATTTATATAAATAAATTAGTAGAAAATTTCAACAAGTATTTGACGGACACTTATTTCTATGGGCAGGCCTGTAAAATGTCAAAGCTAAACGTGAAGATAAGTCCCACAGCCAATCTATCTATTTGTAGGGGAAAAGAAAGCTAAAATACGATCTACAGGGCTATCCCGATCACTAGTTTAACTTAAGAAATAAGCAACACCCAGTAGATATGAGTGCGAGTGCGTAGAATGATTAGAAGCTAACATTAAATCATACATAATAGATCGAGGACAAAAAACTTATCAATTCCAGTTAAATAATTATGAACTGTTAAGACAAATAACACAACTCTAGAATTTTTTTACTAGATGGCTAGTCTTATCAAAATGGCTATCCTTTTCGGAATGTAATATCAGTAGAAACTGTCCCTTCCCGCAGAAAACGCTCTAAAGTACGGTCCATAGTTTACGCGGGTAGTACACATTTAAATAAAACACTAACGGTTTAAATCGCGGTATACTGGAGTGCCGTGGTCACGTCTGCTGCAAAGTATACGAAACGTCGGCCCGAAGTTAATATATTGCGTTTAAACCGTGTGTTAAAAAGTGTTTTATTTAAAACGTTTTAAAGATTAAAGGAGATAAACATTAGAAATAATTAAAATTGTCATAACTACATTTTATATTAGTTGGACGGAAATATCAATGGAAAACATGACCGTTATTTTCAGCTTACGCATTTTACAAAAGATTTTAATTCTTTTTATGTAAAATAAAATCCCAAGTGTCTTTCCATCTAAGACTCATAAGATCGGATTCAGTCAAATCAGTGTTACCATAGTTTAAAACACAGAATTTTTTAAAAGTAAGTACGACGTACGCGAGCCAAACGACAACAAAGAAAGTAAAAATATGAGTGAGTGCCTTTGTTCTTTCCCGCATATGTAAAATAAATATAACATGATCAACAACAAACGACAAAAGAAGAATTTTAAAAATATAAGCTGGTAAGTAGTGATGTAAGAACAAAGTTCTATCCATAAAAAAGAAGGGCAAATAATTAAGCCAGTAGCCCAGAAAGAAAATAAAGCCTGCGTCATAGAATTTCTTTGAAACGATAGGACTTAGGTCGCTGATGTTTCTTCTCATGCGTATAGCATATACCGCGAGCAATGTTCCATATATGAACACAGAGAGGGTTCCAGCATACCAGGTCACTAAGTTTCCAATGAGATGTACTTGTGCCTGTAAACAGAGAACAACATAAGGAAGCTTTCTAATAAAATATATTAGCTTAACTCCTTTTTTTCTCAATTCTGAAAATCTACTTACATTAGAATGTGGAGAAAGCCAATAAGCTATGGAGCGGTGCAGCACAGGCCAATCTAGTGGCTCACTAGCAAACATATGGCCTAGTGGTGCATCTCCTGAGTGAGACCACATCTTGTATTGCAACTCCCAAAATTTTGCCCAAAAAGATAGGTGTGTTGCTGCTGTTGGGATCATTTCCGCAGCCACTAATTCCCGTTCTCGCTCCTTCTTGTCTTCAGCTGCAATAAATTGCTCAATATATATATCTAATGCTTTACAGCGGTAGTACATTGTAGGGACTTCAGTATCCTCTTGTGAGCTATATAAGATCATATAGTTTTTGCAAATAATTTTGGACAGTTCTACATGACACACACTGTGGTTTTATAAGTACTAGATAGTAAAAATATTTATATTCATACTAACATTTAGAATATCTATGTTCTTCAACATTCCACACAGTGTCCTGGTGGGTAACAACTTTATCGGCGACAACTTCATGCTGATGAAAGCCCCAAGCTGGTAGCTGTCGACCACTATATCGTAAAGCCGAGCCAGAATCGACGTGGATCAGCCTAACTAGTGATCTAATGCTGTCCCAAGTATCTAAGTCTGTTGCACGGTTCACTATCTCAACCCGCCACAAATTTTGTGCTGGCATTGAAACATTGTAATTGATATAACAGGATACCTCCTACAAAAGATTCCACATGTTTAATACTAAAGTCACATTCATTCCTACCTTTTTCTACAAATATACCCGTGGCAAATACAAATAAAGAAAAATTATACACATTACATATTTTCAAAAGTCAGAAACATTATTTGAAAACATACCTGAGATTGGGGGGACACAGGTGCTGCAACATCATGAGAATTTAAGGCTCTAGTAGTCAAACCATGTACTAACTGAACTACTTCTCCATGTTTTATAGCATCTGGTGGAGAAGAGACAGTCAGTGATGACTCATCCGGCCTCTTTACTATCCACCAGTTATTTACATCCTTGAAGCTATAACAGCTGACTTGTTGCTGGTGTGATGATCCGCGACCATCTGCATACTTTACAGGGTATACGTGTGCGTGGGAGTGCAACCAACAAGTGCGCCCATGGGAATGTCTACACAAAGCCTAGCATTAATGGACCAGAAAAACAATGTAACAGTAAAAATCCTTTACATCTAGGACATCTATCTTACCTTAATGTAATCTGAGAGCCATGGGCAACATGCAAGGGTTGCCCTCTGGTAATACTTGCTAAACCACCTTCCAATGATGCCTGAAAGGCACTTGTCATTACACTGTCATGTGGTCCCGCTTTCGGAAGTAGTGCTAAGTGAACATAGAAAACTCCAACATACAGGCTCCAAGGTATTATGATTAAAATCATACCTCTCCAAACTATTGAGAAAGTCAGTCGTAAAACAGATTTCACCTCATTTATTCTTAACCACATTTGACGACCCACTAAGAAGATTCCCAAGAAATATGTGTACAGCCCCGAGTATTTTACTCTGTAGAAAAAATATAATTATTATTATCATATTACATAGGCAAAAGACACTAAATTTATTACAAGTATTAAATAACTCACGAGAAACAACAACCAAGGGATATGGCACCAAAACAAAGCCACACCACGGATAACCAGCTAGTATTACGCGTGCTTTTAAGAATACATAGAATGCCCCAAAGTCCAAACAATATTTGTATACTTTCTAGCAGTATAAATCTTGACTGTGTTAAAAAAGAATTTTCTGTAACAAGAGACACAAAAAAATCATATGTATGTGAAATTATTGTATAGTATTAAATTTTTGTATGGAGGTTTAGTGCATAAGTTTACCAAATAGGACTAATAGTGCAGCTAAAGCAGCAGTCCATGGATGTAAAGAGACTACTTGCATAAGTTGATATATAACTCCTATTAAGAGGCTTCCACAAATAGCAGGCACCATGCGTAAGGCGGTTACGGGGACATGTTCTGAATATGGTGTCCCAATTCTATCAAAGGTAAAATTGCCATCATAACCAGCTAGTTTACCAGCCCAGTATAGTAATTGTTTGCCCAATGGAGGATGAGCATCAAAGAAAAATACTCCTTTTGTATAAAGTGACACATATCTTCCATAATGTAACTCATCAAAACTGAAAAAATAAGACACCTGAGTCAACACATATTCATACACTTAATTTTGTATGACATAGTAACCTACTTTTCTTTCTTAATGGACAAATACATTGACTTACACAATATAATGTGGGTTTGCTAAATTGTACAATCTAGTAGCAAAACCTAGAATCACAATAATTATAAAAACAACATCGACCTCAACTTTTAGTGAACATGGCTCTCTTAAGAAATTATTTTCTTTATGGTCTTCATGTTTAGATTCTAGGTTGTCTTTTTCCGCAGGAGCTCCATCACCCTGCAATACAACAAAAAATACTGGGATAATAAGACACCAACCCAAATTCATGCAATAAACTACATAATACTATACAAAATAAAATAAATAATAGTATAATTAATATTTTATGATATTCTAATGATGAATAAATATTTTCAAGTGCAGGACACAAATTAAATGCTTATGCTTACCACTTCTCTTTTAGTAAGTTTTAAAGATTTTTCAGAATCTAAGCTTTCGCTCACGTCGGATACTTTTTTCTTACATTTTCGTTTTCTTAGCGTTTGTAAAGGTTCCATAATTCAAATTACTTAATTTTCCATTAAAAAAAATCACCTGTAAGAATTAATGTGTTTCTTGATCTGTAATTATTTTAGACTAAATAACTGTATTTTTGTTTTAGGTCCGATAGGAATTACAGAAGTAAAAAAGTCAAAACAATATTGATGTCACCTCCATGTCATTATTTAAACAAGTGTGGTATGTGAATTGAGTCTGTACCACAGGTGTACACTGTACTAAACTCTGTGGTAATATCCAGGCGTCGTAAGCTTTAAACCCAGAGGTGGGCGATTATTAATGATCGGCATAATCGATTTATTTTGTATTACTAATGTTGGTAATCGATTATAGGATTAGTAACTAATTTGTTTTCATAATCGAATGATGTTACTAATTACTAATACTAATCGTGCACTCCTTGACTTTAGATGTTTTAACAATAAGAGATACTTTTATATACTGGTGTAGTTTGTTTTGTTTACTACGATATTGTGAGAAGTAGCGCTTTTCACCTTTTAGTGGATTTATCATATTTAAAAAGGTAGTTGACCGACCTTTTAGTTCTGTGTAAATATGACTTTTAGTTTTAAATAACCTTTTAATAAATACATGTTCATTTCCTTCATGTATGACTGGACAATTTTGTATTAAAAAAAAATCTAAACAGAGATTTAATAACCTATGAATCTTTGTATTTAATACAAGAAATATTATTAATCATTAACCGTTTTATTGACGGGAACGGTGTAATTGGCGGCCCGGGCCACCAGTGGGTTCGGATGCGTCGCGGCTTTTTTAAAGAAACGTTCGGACGTTTCCTTGAAGTACCGACTGAGGGTCGGCAATTCGAGATCGGCGTGAAGATTTGCATTCCGCACGCACCAGATGGCTCCAGTAGCGGTTCGAGTGAACCGATTCTGAAGCACCTGGAGCCTGTGGAGTGTGCTAGGCGAAGGCGAACGCGACGCTGGAGTAGGCGAGGTTCGTTTTGTAGAGCGTGACTTTGTGTCTGAGGGACAGTTTGCTACGCGCGCAAATCATCAAATCAATAACCTACTCATAACGAAGCAAAAAGACGTTGACCGACTTCCGAACGTGTTTTCTTAGTCCAAATATAAAGCAACGATTAATTTAAAAGCGTCGGGATGCGTCTTATTTTTATAATGCATAGAAGCCGCATATAATCGTAACAAGAGATCTATAAAGTAGAATAACTATTAACTAATGAGAATATAATACAGTGGACGTTTATTTTACACTTTGTTTTGATATTTAATTAGCATTTTCAATTATTGTCTGTAGTTTACTGTATAGATTCATATTTAAAAAAAATATGCTGTTAAGGTAACGGAGACACTTTTAAGAGGATATTGGTATTAACAAGAAAACCTGAAGTAAACTTACAAATGCAATATAAGTAATGAATATATTATTTTGTAATCTGAGTCAGTATTATAGACTATACACTATTAAATTTTAATTAGGCAATCTGTGCTAACAGGCAAAATCTTGTTGACAATTTTTCAAATTATCATTAAAGTCATCATTAAAGGATTTATTCCTCAGTGTTTATTATCAAACGTTTTAATATTTCATAAATATCTTATACGCAGAAATTCAGAAAGTTCAAGTATTATGTCTCTACTGCCAGATAATTTAGTTAAAGAGTCTACACCTATGCAATGTCCCGTATGTGATCGACAATTTTCAAAAACGGTTATAGAATCTCATGTGAACAAATGCATCTTCTTGAATAGTAAAAATGAAAATAATTTAAAAAGACCTAACCGACCTGAGGAAAACGTTACTTCACATAAGCTGAAAAGAGTAAAAGTAGATCCAACATCGTCAACGACAACTACAAAGGTACCTTATATGTTATCTTAAAAGTATGAAATCAGTCATTATATGCAATTCCTAGGAAAAGTATGTAATTCCTAAAATAGCACAGAAATGTGTTAAATATATATATTAGAGACATTTACTAGGAATTTCTAATTTTCCTAAATAGCAATTGTACAGTACAATTGAACAGTAAAATTTTTGAGATATCACTTGAGTTTTGGTTAAAACCGAAGATGGTAGCAACAATTGTTTATGACCAGAACATTAAAATAATTGTAATTGTAGTAACCTGAATGGGGTTGTCTCAACAACTGCTTAAATATATACTCTTGTTTTCATGTTAACAACATGTTTTATTACATAAAGCTGTATTTGTATACATTGTCTAATACAATTTGAAAATTGTGTACAATTTCTAGGAATTGAACATGTTTGCTAGGACAAAAATATTGAAGTTAGGTTTGTAGTCATACTATTCCCTACAATTTCCTTATACATTTCCAGTAATATTATTTTTTGTAAATATTTATATACAATAAAACAAGTAGAGGAAAATGCCAAATAGATGAAAGTAACATTACATTTATTAATCAAGTTCAAGAAAATGTTTTTTTCAAATTTCAGATTATGCCTATTGAGAAATCAGAATTAAATTCTGATATGATATCGCAAAATTCAAACCAAAGCATTCCACTGGCAGAGCTTATGAGGCCATATCTAATAGAAGATATAATTGGCCATAAAGAAACTTTTGGTGTTGGTTCTATTCTGCATTCAATGTTTACAACCAATAAAATACCAAATATGATATTGTGGGGTCCCCCAGGATGTGGAAAGGTAATTAATTACAAAGTTGATGAAATTTTTGTGTTAATTTATATATCCTAAATTCGGTGCTTTGTAGACTTCTCTTGGCAATGTAATAGCAAATGTTTGTAAGAAAGAAAGCCATTTACGGTTTGTAAAATTATCTGCGACTACAGTTGGAATCAATGACGTTAAAGAGGTTGTAAAAGTTGCAAAAAATGAAGCTCAGTTTAAAAGGCACACGGTTCTCTTTATGGATGAGATTCATAGGTATAGATTTTTGTATTATATGCCTAGATTATTTTTAGTGATAGCTTGAAGTTGAATAACACAAAATGTAAAAACATGACTTGAAAATAGCATCTTAAATTAATTTCAGATTTAATAAACTACAACAAGATACATTTTTAACACATGTAGAAAATGGCACAATAACTTTAGTTGGAGCAACAACAGAAAACCCATCTTTTAGTTTGAATAATGCTCTTTTAAGTAGATGCAGAGTTGTTGTCTTGGAAAAACTCACTGTTGAAGATGTTGAATGTATTTTAGAGAGGGCTATTCATAAAAGCAATATTGCTATTATAATAGATAAAATTGATGATTCAGAAGAATTAAAGAAAAATAAGTAAATATAACATTTTATACAGACTGTTTTGTTTAAATAACAAGACATGACAAGTACAATGGGCTTGCAAAGTATCAGAGTTAAAGTAACATAAACTGAAATAAACTTTGCAAAAATCATATTGTGTGCACCATTCTGAGAAAAGTCTAATCATTTATATATCTTTTAAAGGTACTTAGCTTTTTGAACTAGTCTGTCTTGTATAATCATATTAAATGAATAAAATTTTACTTATCTATTTTATATTTTTAATTATCAGTTAATGAAATAATATAATTATAAAAACCAGTAAATTTTATTTTAAAAAGATATTTTATAGAAAAAGCATCTATAAAATGGCTGGCGGAGATAAGTGATGGAGATGCCCGAATCGCACTTGGAGCTCTGGAACTTGTTTTTAATTCTAAATGTGATCCATGTCAGTCGTCTGTGATTACTCTGGAAGAATTGAAAAGTGGAATAAAGGTAATATATATCAATATTATGCTAGCTTATTTTATTACGTGTATATCTAAAGTCTTCTCTCTTGTTGTTTGCCCATTTAAAGTGAGCCAAGCAAATCCAAGAAAAAATTTTAAATACATAATTTTTACGTAACAGAGAACACATATTATGTACGATCGAAAAGGAGAGGAACATTACAATATAATTTCTGCTATCCAAAAATCTATTCGGGCAAGTGATGATAACGCAGCGTTATACTGGACCACACGAGCTTTACACAGCGGAGAAGATCCTCTGTTTATAGCCAGACGACTTATAAGAACGGCATGCGAAGACATTGGTTACTTGATTTCTCAACTATTTTGTATCCATAGATAATGTAGTATTATTTTTTATATTACTTATAAAGAATAATGAAAATCGATAAACACAAAAACAAACAAACAAACAAGAACAAAATGTAAATCTTTTCGTATTCTTATTAAACTCTGAAAGCTATTAAATTCTACCGTTTGTGGGTGATGAGATTATTTTCGTAATGTAATAAATTGGTTTAGGTACCCCCATGGGGCATGAGACGAACGATAAGTTCCATATACAGGCAAGTAGTTGATCAGACTTCTGTGCCCTACCCGACCGGAACAATTTACGGTCTCCCCGGCATTCGAACCCAGAACCTCTCGGTATCGAAATGCTAGGCGACATGTTTAACTATTTAGCTACAGAGGCGGTACAAAAATATTGTAGCTAACTGCAAAAGTCTGTTTTATACTTTAAGGGTTGGCCGATCCCAATGCAGTTGTTGAAGCTGTAGCATGTTTACATGGATGTCAACACATAGGAATGCCAGAGTCTGATGTATTGTTGGCTCAATGTGCTGTCCGATTAGCTCGTGCGCCAAAAAGTCCAGAAGTCTATCATGCTATGAAGAGAGTTCAACAGTCTCTATCTGCTGCTAAAGGACCACTACCAACAGTTCCTTTGCCTTTGCGCAACGCGCCAACTAAACTTATGAAAGAACTAGGTACCCTTTACATAATGATCAATGACATTACTTTAGGGTCCCCCTTGTAAGTCCAAATCTTCATATTCTAATGAAAGGATTAGGATAACTTCCATATTTTTTTTTAAATTTCAGGCTACGCTAAAGGATACAACACGCGCCACCGAAACTGTTCGGGAATAAATTATATGCCAGAAGGTTTAGAAAACGTAAATTTTTTCATCGATTCAATAAACAGTGATACCTAATGAAAAGGATAGTTCAAGTTCACCATATAAATATATATTTTATTGTAGTGCTCAACTAAGTAAGACACATTTCAATGTCATTATTTTTTTATTAAGATAATCTCATTTCACAATTTTTTGACATTGGTATAAATTTACTATTTACAAATTGTAGATATTATTGTAATGCAACAATAACTACAAAACTGTACTGTCTAATAAAAACACTTGTTATTTTTCTAAATTAAAGTTTATGTTATAAAAATAAAGAAACATTACATTATTTCTTAGTTTACCTTTACTGCTGCACATTGTGCAAGAAATACTTCATAGAATACCCTATTTCTAGTCAGCATTAATGCCATTTGATAAAATGAATTAATTGCTTTAGATGTAACAGTACAAAATAAGAATAAAAATCTATTGCTTATGAACATGTAATATGAATGATATCTAATTAATAAGATATTTACAAAACTTCATGCACATAATTACTCAATCATATCCCATTTTTACCTAAATAAGTCACTATCACTAAACTAATTAAAATGAGATACAAAAAACCAAACCTTGATTTTTGTACAGTACTTCTTACTAAATAATTATACCATAAAGGTACAGGCAACTAAACTCTCATTGTCTAAAATAAATTAGAATCAGACTTCTAATTTGGAGCCTAATGACAGGAACAACCTTTAATAATTTTATTTATCATTTTTACACAATTTGTTTTTCATGTCAAATAAAATAAATAATTTCAACTACAAAAACAATGTATAGAGTGGAACGTTTGTAGAAACTAAAAAAAATAGCTAATGCTAAATTGATGAAATTTAGAAGACATAGTCCGGCCCGGCCATGTCAATAGCCCATCGGAATTTATCACGTTGTGTTTTGTTGTATATCTTCTCGATAGGCACGCCATGTTTTTTGCACCTGAATTAAAAGAAAAGATATTTTTAAATTACAAGAAGAAAATTATTGTAAAATCATAGATTATTCTTATTTGACATTTACCAAGAAACTGAAATACGAGGATCAAGATAATTGAGTTTAGAAGTGCCAAGAGCAATAGTTTTATTTTCATCTCGGTCTGTCTCTTGCAACTCTAGTTTTTTCAGTTGTTCTTTGAGACGCTCCAAAGCTTTCTTTTTTTTATCACAATTTAGTTTTTCCTTTACTGAGCCTCTTTTTGCTGCTTTGGTTGCTTCCCTCAGTTCTTCTTCAGCTTCATCAACCTGATCTCTTTTAGCTTGTATCTTCTCTTTTAGTGCTTCCATAGACTTAGAATGACCTGCAACAAATTGTATATAAATTTACTTTTTGTAACCTAAAACAAGATCACATATTTTTAAACAATATTTACCTTTTGGAACAGCGCGTTGATGGTTACATAAAATAGCAACAGCACGGTTAGCTCTGTTGTATGCTAAAATCTTTTCTGGAACCGAGGCATCTGGATCTGTCAATTCCTCTAGCTGCCTTTGCAAAGTGATTGAAGCATTGTAAGTACGGAACACTTTAGCAGTTAATCCTGGCATTAAGTCTTTCAAATGTTCATTAAGTGTTTGAGTATTTAATCTATCAAACAGATCATCACTACCTTTTTTATTTTCCATAAAAAGTTCCAGATTTTTAAATACTCTTTTTTCTACTGGCACTTCATTATAGTATCTAATAGAATCTTTACCCAGGAAATCAAACACAACAACATATTCCTTACCATCTTTTTCTTTGTGTAATTCAATGTGCTCAACTCTGAGAGAACAACAACCAACAGTATCAGCTTGGTCATCATCTTTTTCATTACCAGCCCTTAAAGCAAGTCGATCAATAAAATAAAGAGCAACTGCCCTCTGCCGTACACGCATTTCTTTTGCTTTCCAATCTAGTCGATATTGATCACGTATCTTATCAATGCATTTATGTAATTTACGAGCTATTTCATATTTCTGCCAATCTTTTTCACCCTTAAGTTTTGAACTTGGGTTTAACATTACATACTTTGATTGACCCTGAACATTCTCTGTCCAAGAGGCTAACCATGTGACAGTGTTATCATGTCGAACTTCTTTCCACTTATGTCCAGAAGGTGGTTTAGGAATTTTGCTGTCCTTTGAACAATTTATCAAAACATCTTCAGGCATAACCCTTCTTTTTAACATTCCCATTTTAGGATGCTCACCACGGCCCCTAAATAAGCCTGGAGGTTCAATTCTAAAATTACCTATTTTTTCTTTATGCCCATCAATTACACAAAATCCATATTCCTTTTGTATTTCTTCATTTTTGGCTTTTAATGCAGCCTTTTCTTCCTTCGTACGGTTTTTATTCTTTTCAGATTGACTAAGAAAATATGCTTGCATTTCCTTAAAGTCACACTTAGAGAGATCTTTAATAATTTTTGCTTCTTCAGATGTCATGACCTTGCGCCAATCATTGAAAAAATTATTGTTAAATGTTGATTTTGTGGTGTAATCGTGGTCGAGCATACGAGCGTAAAATCCCGCAACTTCCTCGCAATCCTGAGAAAGTCTCATTTCTTTTCCATCATAACGAAATTTCACGTTTGCAGGTAATGGTTCGTAAGGCGGTGCAAATAGTGGACCTTTATGTTCAAGATAGCGCCATTTAGTTCCATCATCGTTTTTCTGTTCTTCCCACCTAAAAAAAATTAATTTATCATCATTTCGTAATTACACACACATATATATATATCTTGAAAAAGTCTCTAATACTTTATTCTTGCAGATCGTAATTTTCTAATAATAGGACTTTTATTTACATGAAAATGCGTTCTTATTATGTATTTAAAGTCATATAACCTTACTATTACACTATTAAACATAGCTATTGATTAATAACTTAACCTAAATTCTATGTCACATGTCAATTAGTGTTGTCAAAATGCAACCTGGTTCTGTGGAACATTGATGCCTATAAACGCCATCTATGGAGTATATTTGTAATGATATGATAAGATGAATCCGTACTATTATAAATGCGAAAGTAACTGTCTGCCTGTCTGTTACTCTTTCACGCCAAAACTATTGAACGGATTTAATGAAATTTGGTAGACAGATGGTTTAGACCCTGAGAAAGAAGATAGGTTTTTATTGCGAATAGGGGTTGTAAGGGGTTAAAAGTTTGTATGGAATTTCGTGGTTTTTGAAGCTAGAACAATGAAACTTTCTTCTTTGGCTTTTTGGAAATAGGAGTGGGAGTGATGTAAGGTGAGAGTGTTGCGGCAAAGTAGCACTTACAGCATAGATTGGCTGCGACAAATGCGCAATTACATAAATTAATAAACAGCCTAAATAATTAAAAATTCTACCCCAAGTCACTATTCTACGCGAACGAAATCGCGCGCACAGCTAGAATACTTATTAAGCCAATATATAAATAACAAATTTACCATTTCCAAACCTCTTGTTCTTCCTCTTTTCCATTTTTCTTCCTTTTAGTAGGACTGCGATTATCTTCAGATTCCGTCTTTTCAACTTTTCGTTTTTCTGCTTTTTTCTTCTTTTTTTTGGGTATTTCTTCCTCCTCATCATCTTCATATTCACTTGGTTCTAAAAAAAATATGATAAAAATAGAAAATGTGTACTGGAATTTATATTGTGTTTGGTTTTGGCCATATTGAATTAGAGACTTATCAGAATTCAGTACAACTTACCTCGTTTTACTTTCTTTTTAGATTTTTTTCGTTGCAGCAGTGGTACATCCGCTTCTTGTTCATCATCACTAGGAGCGCGTTTCTTGATTGCTTTTCTCTCAGTCTTAAAACAAAAAACCAGAACATTTACTAATAATTTTTTTAACATAATATGTAAAATACTTGCATAGAATTTCATTAGTGCTAAAAAAAAAGCCTAGAAAATTGCTCCAAAAATTTTGCTCTAGGATAATAGGATGACAGACAAATTCAAGTATTACGTAAAAATACATAGTTTTTATAGTTGAAATTTAATCCCATCTTACACATGTCATTCAATTGCATAAATGTTTTCACCATAACTTAATACTTTTCCATTACCTACAATGGAAAAGTATTGATTTTTTTTAAATAAAACGTCCACCTGTAAAAGCTTACCAATGGTATTTCTTGCTCACAGTCACTATCATCATCCATTGGCAGTTCAGATAAAGGCTCATCTTTAAATTGTGATAGGGAGTAGTCACATGACGATACAGTTGTGTTCACACCAGCATATCCATCTTCACTCTCTTCTTTATACTCTTGCTTGATGACGTGACATGCATCGATCTTAATGAATCAAGGGAAGAGTAAAAAACTTCATATAATATATTTAGAAACATTTTTTTACAGAACTTACATTTTATATGCAAATATTTGACTTGATAATGAGTGAGAGTGATATTTTTAAAAGGTTTCAAATTGTAACTTAATTTCTGAGATGTTTTCAGCTCTTTAACTACTATAACTAGCCTACATACCTGCAAAGGATCCTTCATAGGAGTATCTTGAGAATCTGAATCAGATTTGATTTTATTGGATCTTTCACCACTAGTCTTGTCCTTGTGTTTATTTGAACTATTGGGAAAAAAATACAAGTGTTAATAAAATAATACATACTTATAATGTTAAATTGAAGTGAATAAATTAAAATTGATTTTAGATTAAATTATTTTATGACAAGGTCGGTATGAAATAGTAGCTCAAAATTGACTTGGAAATAAAATTTCTGGGAAATTGGGACAATGTATTAACCAAATTGTCAGGGGACTAAGATTAAGACAATTTCTTTGCCATAATCTAGGTAACAAAGGTTTTAATGTATAAATTAAAATTGTATGTTTAGTATTACTGTTGTTGTTTGGTACATGGAACTAATAATAATATGATGTGATTATTAAATTTATTAAAAAGGATTACTGCTAGTATGACTTTCACAAATACTGCAAAATTTGGTTATCTTTACTCTACTACTACTACATTCCATAACCATACAACCTCCCTTTTTCATAATTTTGATAGTCTTACAATACCTGTGCCTATCTTTGTCTTTAGAGCTAGAGTGTTTATCACTTCTGTGTTTCTCCTTATCACTCTTATGGCGGTCATGATCTCTGTTCCTATCCCTGTCCTTAGATTTCTGATCTTTGGATGAATGCTCCTTATCCCTTTTCTTATCACCCCCATCACTAGATTTGTGCCTGTCCTGATCATTCTTTTCCTTGTCTTTATAACTACGCTCCTTCGGTTTGTCTTTGTCGTTCCTATGCTTTTCCCGATCATTGCGGTCTTTATCTTTATCTGAACGTTCCTTATGTTTGTCTCTATGCTCTTTATCGCGTTCTTTGTCTTTGCTTGATGATTTATGTGAACTACTATGATTCTTACTGCTTGAATGTTTGTCTTTATCTCTGAAATAATGCAAAGATGTGATAAGACTTAGCTCCAAAGATTGAAAAACTTAAAAAATATGGTACATAACCTACAAAACTATATTACTTACATGTTACCCGCTAAAGTGAAATATTTTGTATAAATATTAAAACAATCTCTGAATTCTAGAACCTACCTACTTGAGCTGCTGCTGTGTTTCGAAGAGCTCTTGTGGTCGCGATCCTTGTCACGGTGCTTATCCTTGCTTGAAGATTTGTGACTATTTTTGTGCTTCTCCGAACTGCTGTAACCGTTGTGTATTCCATTCACGTGTTCATTTTTATTACCATTTACTTTACCCTGCAGAAAAGTCAGACTTGTATTATAAGTACTATACAAGTGAGAAATTTATATTTTTCTTCAGAAAAAGCCACTTAACAAAGTAATTTATTTAAACAGTCTTATTTTATTAACATCGTCAAGCATAGCTTGGCTTCTATTCAATGTGCGAATTGTTGAGTACGGGTAGACGCCATATTGGGACTTAGAAAATTTTCGCTTTGTCGCTTGCACCAGTATATATGATTGAAGGAACGATTTATAGACATAAAAATGGGAGAAACGGGTAACCACAAAAATCTTAATGTAATTTAATACTTACAGAGGCACAATCATTATCACTGGTAGGATTTTCGACACTCATTTTGCCTACGTATACACCGTTTGTTCGAGATCAAAATTACATGAGGCCGGCGGACTCAAGCCGCGAGGCACAAATTCTGTCTAGCTCGCTGCTCGATGATCGGGATTCGCTGCTCCGCATTCGACGGATAGTTATGCAGAACGCATGCGCGTTGAATGCTTTCGCATTTAGGAACAACTTCAGTTTGCAAGTTTGATACTATTGTAGCGGTGTTTTAAGTGTGCTTAGTCCAAATTTAAGTAATCTGTGCCGATTACTTAAATATTTTACATACTATTTAGATTATATTTTTATTATAGGTATGTTTAATACCATCTGTCAAGGGATGGATCAACCGATCATCGACCGATTACATTACTGCATATTCAAATTATATATATAATTAAAAGTAAAATCGTTATCAACAAACAACATAAACGTTGTTGAGTTTTCCTGCAAACACTCAATTAGTGTTTTCCAATGAGTGCTATGTTTAAAACGAAATGTAAAAGAAAATATTTTATATTAAATAAAAAAAGGTATTACAAATTTAGAATGAGAATTTCTTGTAATAAAACTTATTTTTGTATGGATCATATTGTGTAAATAAAAAATCTGTGTTAAAAAATTTAGTAATTAAGATAATAATATTATGATACCTTGCAATCGTTGTATACTTTGAATAATAAAAAAAATATGTTAATTTCACCCCCCATTAATGCCGACAAAATCAATTATTCTTTATTATGACTCTTTCTTAGTAACCTCCTTTTTTAAAACAATTTTTTATTTTTCTTTGTTAACATTGTCTTGGTAGATGTAAATAATGCAGTCTGTAAATGTCAGTCAACGCTTTCAAATGCTACTTGAGTGTCAGTGCAGTGCTGTGGTGAAGTGTGGAAGACTCGACAGTCTTCAATACAATACAACAACTAGCCAATAGTAGTAATAAGTATTTGTTTAGTTTTTAAAAGTACCTTTCTACTAATTACGAGTGCGTATTGTTTATAGACTAAATTTGAATAAAGCATAAAAGTTAGAAAAAAATATATTGAATACATCGAGCTTCTTTAAAATACAAAACTTTTCTAGCCTTTTTTTTCATAGCGTCAAGTTTTTAAAGTTTATCGTAATTTTTTTGCTTAAGCCTAACGTGTTCTTTATTTTTTAGGACGAACAATGAGCAATTTAGAAGAAGCAAATGAAATATGTAAAAAGGCAGAGGATAATCACGCCTCTGTAGTTGCAGCACATTATAATGACTTAAAGGAAAAAGGTTTAAGAGAAAGATTTAATTCGCCTATATATTATCTTAGAAACTTCAATAATTGGGTTAAAAGCGTTCTCATTCAAGAGTACATAAATAAAATTCGAGATAAGGATTATGGTAGACCAATTAAAGTGCTTGACATTTGCTGTGGAAAAGGAGGTGACTTGAGCAAATGGCAAAGAGGTCGCGCGAATCATGTCATATTTGCAGATATAGCTGAAGTCTCTGTTCAGCAATGCAAATCCAGATTTGATAAAATGTATGGGAACAAGTTTACTGCTCAGTTCATTGCAGCTGATTGTACTAAAGAAAATCTTCGTGATAAATATACTGACCCCTCAATTAAATTTGACATAGTTAGTTGTCAATTTGGATTGCATTACAGTTTTGAAAGTTTAAGGCAAGTAAGACAAATGCTTAAAAATTCTACCGAATGCCTTAAAGTTGGTGGTTACTTTTTTGGAACAATACCTAATGCTTATGAAATTGTGTCTCGAGCTAAGAAGTCATCTAATAGTGAATTTGGAAATAGAATATATAATATAAAGTTGTTATTTGATCCCAAAGATGGCTATCCATTATTTGGTGCTAAATATGACTTTCATTTAGAGGGAGTAGTTGATTGCCCTGAATTTTTAGTAAATTTTGACCTATTTAGAAAGTTAGCTAGTGAGTATGGACTTGAATTAGTGTATAAGACAGCTTTAGCAGATTTCTATAATGAATTCAGTATGATTAAGGAATACAAGCATCTGCTGCATAAAATAATGTGTTTTGAAACTTATCCTTCTCCACCGGGTCAACAACTCCTAGGTGAACCATCAGAATATGAACATGCTAAGTCATTTTTGGACAACTCTGAAGGTAGAAATGAACGTGACAGACTTGGAACTATGAGCCAATGTGAATGGGATGTAGCAAGTATGTTATTTTACTATTCCATGTCTTTTTGGATGCATATTATCCAGCAAGTCTAAGTAATTTCTTTTATGCCCAACCATTAACAATATTTTTTCTGTTTTAGCTGTTTATATGGCATTTGTGTTTAAGAAATGCAAGACACCAAATAGTGAATGAAGAAAGAGAAATAAGATGTAAAGCTCTTTTTTAACAATATGCATAATATTCTAATATATAATTTAAAACTTTACTGAAGTATGTTGGACTGCATCTGGAAATCTGGATATTAAAGCAGTGGTAGTAATATCGAAATCTAGCATTATCCGCCATCCACAGATGAAAAAGCCATCATGTTGGTCTTTTTTGGTTTCAGTCTGTGGATTTCTGAATATCGAAAGCCAAAATGAACTTGCAATAGTGGATCTTGTTTAGATGTATATCATCCTGTATTGTTGGGGTATTTCACCTAGCGTAAAGTCAACCCTATTATTATTTTCTATCGGGGACACCCTTGGCAGGACGGGTGATCAAGTCAACCCTATGCTAGTGTGTCCTTCGCTATCATAAATTATACAGATATACCAAAAATTGTAAGTAAAATACTCGCAGTTGTATTGTATAAAATATTATTGGTATTATTATTGTGCATATTTGCTATGTCTGTATTTTTTTTTTATCATATTTTATAGTAAAGTCAAAAAACAAAAATAAAGTACTTATAACACCAATTTTTTATTAGCAACCTAATGTCATCGCCCTGTTATGTGATATTGTCTATAGTAGACCTCACCAAGAAGGCTAGGCTAGGTAAGGCTCGTTGATTTCCTCGATCACCAGCAAAATCTTTTATTTTAATGTAATACAGGTAAGAAGTAAAAGTACGAAAGTATTTGAATGACCGTTATTTTATGTATTATCAAAAGCTACTTTTTTTCTAGATTGTGTAATTTTAGAAAGACCGGCTTAGGCGAATAGACTGTAACTATAAATATTTTTTAATCGACTTTAGCTTTTTACTAAAAATATGTTATCCATTAAAAGTTTGCAATCCACATATTATTTATGAAAACTTTCCTATATGTAGCGGTTCTCTCAATTATAAAGGACCGACTCGTGGCCCAAACCCTAAGGAACTAGCTAGCCGTGAAACACGATATAATTAATTATGTAATAATTACTGCTGAAATATACTGATGTTATGAGACTATTTTTGTGACGTTTTACCGAAGAATTGTTGTTTGGTTTTATTGTTCAATTTAGCCTTTATTCAGTTACCCACTTTTGAACCTTATATGATTCTACTCTTAATTCTACTTTATTTTAACTAAATTGGATCTGTCAAAAATTATGTGATGTAAAATTATGGTTATATATATATACATATGTATAACAATAATTAATACACACATTATTTTTGAAATTTAAGATCAATATTATAGACCTATAGCAACGCGGGGGAGAACGGTGCGGGGGCTTTGCGCCGTTACAATACGTGGTGCGTGCGCGACGGCTGCTGTGCCACGAAGCGGACGTGCTTCACTCAGTTTGTGCGCGAAAGTCGTTACCTGCGTCATATTATCGTCGTTTCACACGCGAAACACTGTCAAGCTGGAATGGTTAAAATAAATAGACATATTGAACGAAATAATGCATTTTATTAATAAAAAACGTTACGTTTAGATGCACTAAAAGATTTTGTTTTATAACCTTGTATTGTGAGAAAGTGTGTGACGTCAAGACGGCTGGTGGAATCATATGTTTAATACGGATGCAGTGATGGAATGCGGTGTGTTATTGTGTCGATAATGCCATGATATGATAGCTCTTTACCTGAATTGGACCTGAAGTAGCGCCACACGGGCGCTAATTCTTTGCGGGAACATGTGTAGAAAAAGATGAGCCAGGATGCTGAGAGCTTGGTAATATCATTTTTACAGCAGTCTTAATAATAAAACTAAAAATTATGGACCACGGGCTTTAATTTTAAGGATACAGGTATTGTGCGGCCAATATTTAACGACACCCACCGTCCCACGGTCAAGACGAATGACGAAATCGGTATTTGCAAAACGTCTAGAAGGTCAGATATTGTACATTTTGTGATGACAACGAACAGTAAAGATATTATAATATTATGCCTTCATAACTTAGAGATACTTTTTTGAACATCTATGTGTCAATCTAAATACGTTTTTTTTGCGACCCTTACTACAATTCTTGACCTAGCTAAAGTTCGATTTCTTATTGCAGTCTAATATTAACTTGATAATAATAGTGAAATACAAAAGTATTAGACGTGGTGGATAGCAGCATTGTGCGTGAGTAGGTTAATACACTGCATTTTTCCTTAGAAAGTAGAAGTGAACGGGCGTCCCGCGTCGGGTACAGACCTTCGACACTCGTCATGTTAGTACTGTGAATCAAATATATTCGGTCTGCAAGTATATATTCTGCATTTGCAGTTCTTAATATCACATTGCATGTAATTTTATCCGAAAATAAAATACACAAATTTCTTTTAAATTGTCTACGTTCATTTTGAAGTGTTTGACGGGTTTACAGGCCGTTCATCTGTGTATCTACTTATTATGAGCCACAAAGACCCTTATCAATTTATTACATTTTTCTATTAAATTCTTTAAAGCTTGCAAAAGTTTCGGGAAGTGGCCATCTAGGTATGGATTTATCTAGTTATGAAATATAGCTTGTGATAAATTGCATATATTTTTTATTGTTGTTATGCAAAAACTCAACCTAAAAACAATTATCATTTTTAAGTTGATATCATAATGGCTTTTCATAAATTAAAAATCAATTTTCGAATGAAAAGAATCGATGATAATGGCGGGTCTGAACCGTCACCTACATCCGTGCTGTTGGTGGTTCTACTGTCTCTACTAGATAAAGTTAATCAAAAGTTGGAAACGTACGAAGTGCTTAGATATCCCAAACAAATCTACTGGGGTACATGTTTATCTGTATATAATTTAATGATATTTCTACATACTATTACTATTTTCGGTGTTTTTTTTATAATTAGATTATAGAGAAAGTCAGATAGATGACAATCGTGGGGTAAAGGGTAGTGAAATACTAACAACCTATTATGGCTTATGATATTCGCAAATCTATAGAGTTAAACCAATATTGTAATAATGTTATGCAACTAGATACATTTTTTTTTGATGTAGTACAACCAATTTTTACTAATTTACGAGGAATTGATTTCGTCATAATATGCGAAAATACAGAAAAAGTAGAGTAGACTTGTCTTGACAATAACATGGTCACCGTTATGAGTAGTTCCCATTTTTTAATTAATAATACAGACTTTTTGTGATATAAAAGAAAAAGTGTAGTTAAATTTACGAGGAATTGATTGCGTCATAATATGCGAAAATACAGAAAAAGTAGAGTGTTCTCTCAACATTAAACTATTCTTGTGCAGTATAAACTATGGTTTTTATTTAATCCAACACTCATGATGCAGCATTTTTGTGATGCACTGTGTATTGTGTGCAGTTCAACTGAGCAGCTGACAGCTGTCGTTATCGTACCTTCTCAAGCGGCCTCCGATTCTCAGCTCGATTCGCGTCATACGGAACGCGCTGTGCGCAGAGTGCGGAAGGCTCTGTAATCGCTTTGACATTTTATTTTGCGGTGGTTACATTTTTATTTGTAACTGAGACACATTAGTATCTTTGATAGCCTAAATGAGTAACGATTTAGTGAGGTATTCGTTAACGAAAAGGATAGCTTTGTCCACACAGTGTTAGTTTCAGTAGTGTTCGTCCTTTATGAAATAATCATGTGATATGAGTGATGTGTGATGAGATCTTTGTTATCGCGATCGAGTCAATGCCAAGTTTGGATTTGTTTTCCAATCGTATGTTTATTATTTGTAAACTATAGTTACATCAAGCCCTTATATCCTAAAGTGGGGGGTAATGAATTTGTATCTAAATCTTATTGCCATACATAGAGACTTGTTTATTTCCTGTGTTTAAAGTAAAATTAATACATAATGATACTAATTTTTTAATGACCTCCCAACATAGGGGTTTATTATTGGCCGCGTCGTTAAGGTATAGATATATAATAAAATAGCGTTCCGAGCTAATTTTTATTACTTCTTGTTTTCACTGATAACTTACAATTCACTTAATTCAAAAAAACAAAACATAAAAGAATTAGGAAGAAATCTTTCACGTACACCAGGTGCCATGCATGTCTTGAACACCTGTCGTGTGTCTGCTTCTTTTGGTCCATGGAATCACCTGTTTTTATATTGAAAACTTCAAATAAAGCAAGAAACCTCAGTTGTCAAGCAATATACTAATAAAAAAAATGTATAATTACGCAAGATATTAAATCGTTTAGATATATTTAATATACACGTGAAAGGTGTCTGACAAAAATGCCTTATTGGGTACAGTAATTTAGTTTGCTGGCAAATAAGTATATAGATAGGTATTAGTTTTAGTTACGGTAACTTGATCTGTTAGTCATCTCTTTCAAAGCAACGCTTCTAAATAAGTAAAGTAGGTAAACTACCAAATATGATTTGTAATTAATTGAATGATAATCAACGTCTAGCAATATTTAAATACTAGTATGGACATAAAGTTAGTAGTAGTCGTAGTCGTAATTGAATACCTAAAATTTATGACAGAGAAGTTCAGATATAAATGGGGTTTATTAATACCTCAACCAAAAATACTACTAAGTTATTGACTAAATAGAACTATTTATAATTATATATATAATTTTTTAATAATTAGGACGTCAAAACGTTTCCTAACTTGACTTGACTCGATGCTGTGCTGTATCTTTAGTAGTATACCAAAAGTATGAGTGGGGAAAGCACCGATGATATAACATTAGTCCCCGGTGGATGAACGATGCTGGTGCGGGGGGTGCACGGGGGGGCGAACTTCGACAATCGTTGTCAGAGAAGACCAAGGCTCTGGCTGCAAAGTGCCATGCCTTCAGGTCGCCGGCGCGCGACCATCGTGGAACCGAGCGCCGTCGCACCAGGATTCGCAAGTCACAGACGAGGTGGTACGTCAAGGTTAGTTGCGATCCCGGGTATTCAGCCATATACTAGCGTCTGATCAAAGCATTGGCTGTCTCTATAGCACGCGTGTGATTGCGTGGCGTAAAATACCCATTTTGGTATATATTACGAAAATATATATTTTTTGCAAATATTCATATACTATATAGTCACTGTATTTAACGACAAACTCTCTTAAGCGTCGAAATTGATTGGCTTTGGTTGGTTTAGCTTGTTTTTAATACAATGTTTCTTCTCTCCATTTAACGACAACTCTCTATAACGCCATAAAATGCACAGTCCCTTCAGTGTCGCTATATAGAGTTTACACTGTATATGTTAATTTAAACGTAAAATACTCATGGACATGAACATTTTTACACCTGAATCGCCGTCGCCATTTTATATAAAAATGTCCCCACATTTAGCAATTTTCAAAGCAAATAAATATCTTAGTTTAAGTAGTATGATTAGCTATCAGTTTTATATGATATTTGGTACAGTTCAGGATGCGCTACTCTTGTTATTGATTAAACTCAGAGACTTAGGTCGATGACCTACGACACTGCCAAGCACTGCTATTTTATTACTGCAGTACCTTATAAGGCTATAACTAAGTAAGTAGTATATATATATAATAATGGTGACAACAAAACTGATGACATAAAATAGACGTTACTGATTTTTTATTATTTATTAATAAGAGCTTAAACACTTATCACCATCATCCATATCCATACCTAAAAGTTTTTACTTTAAAATAACAAAGGTAGGGCTTGTCGTCAACGAAGCGCATCCGTCATGCTTGCCTGCACTTATATCAGGTAGGTACGAGGAACATACACATTGCTAGTCGTCCTTAGAGTTGACTTTAACTTAAAAGAGAGTATCAGGGGTTCGACGTTACACTTCTGGGACTTTATGTATCACTTCGGTGACAGAAAAAGAAATAATCTATACGCATAAGCCTAGAAATGACGTTATTGAAGTAATGTGAACAAAGACTGATAACGTAGCTCGTAGGTAGGTCCTACACGTTTGCCATATCACTTAGAAACGTGTAGGCGACTGCCGATGTCTGGCGACTGGCGGAAATATATCTACTTACTACCACATAGTTGTCAGTTGAAAGTAGCGTGTAGACTGTAGACATCTACTCTATTTTTAGATCTACTCATCTACCTGCAAACGGTATTCAACGGTCGATCAATATATCGTGCCCTAAAGGGCACTGAATAAGTTGAATGTCAAAATGTGTGACATTTTTGAAATATTTTTTGTATAATTTTGTTCTTTAATAAATAAATTGCTAGAAAGCACGGATAAAAAGTTTATGAAATGTATTTACTTACTTATATACATATATACGTTTCTTTAAGAAATATTATCCTTGTAGCGGTCTTGGTAGCTTTTTGTATAAATGACTTATTACATTTTATTTTCCTTGAACAATTATGTTCAAACCCTTAGAAAGTTTAAGCCGTTGTCATAGCGACATAATGGCTACAGAAAAGTCACACACACAGGCTATAGAAAACTAAAAGAACCTTTTTTACAATAATATCCTACTTATGTTCTATTCCATCTGAAAATACGTATGTATACCTGTTTCTGGTCATTATAAAAGGAAATCTTTGTTACACACGTAACTTTTACATTGTTCGTGGGGTCATTAGAGGTCAGCGGAGTCAGACTACGTCGTCGCAAAGGTTGCTGGCGTTATATTAAGACAAGAGTTTTTTTAATCAATCTGCCTAAATAAATATAGTTTACAGTAAGATTTTGTATTGTTATAAAAATAATTGAACAACTACTGCGTATTTTTTATAATTTTCGCCTTCGAATTCTTATCTATTTCGCATTGTATTACACGTATTCGGAAACCAGGTCTTCAACTGGTAATAAGGTCGTTTCTGTAGTTTCACTGTGAATAACAAACCCGCATTGTTTTGATCGCTTTTCTTTTAAACATCACCTGTTGTTCTATAAGGTATTGTTAGCTTTGTATTGATTAGTAAATTGTAACTTGAAAGTGTCGGAAACACGCGATCGACTCGTTATGCAAGAGCACCAGTAGTATCCAATGTTGCATAATATTATATTTTAGGTGGATTGCTTCATTATCGTTCGCGACTTTCTTTGCTTGGAATTCGTTGTGAAAATGGCGGAATTTCCGTCTCTATTAAAGACCTTTGAGAAACTATCCGTTGTTAATCAATAAAAAGGAAAGGACTGCTCAATATAAAGTTAAGTTTTTTGATGGAAAAATATTTTCTCTTGAAATATTTGATCGATTCGGTCCAGGTGATTAAATAAAACGATCGAATTCCCGTGATATCTTTAGAACATCAGAGAACGTCTAAATAGCCATCTAATACGTATTGCATAAAAATACGCCCTACGTTGTTTTCGTCAACAAAAACGTAACTCATATAAGTTATGACTAAGTAGCGCCGATGAATGACTACTGAATCACTATTTGTTTACCGCAGTACTTAGCTCATGTACCATTTTAATTCAATTAACACACAGACACGTCAGTGACGTGCTCTATCGGGGTTTTTCACGCGATCTCTCCGGCTCTTCACGAGAGAGCAGTCTTCATGTGACTGCGACAGCTACCATACTACCTCTATGTAGTACAAAATTTTAAGTAAACAATGCGGTACGGTGTATTATAGTGTATGTAATAAACAAATAATATATAAATTCCTTTAACAAGTCTTAAAAGGATTTTAATCATTCAATTGGCATATGTGACATTTTTATTCGTTGTGCAATTTTAAATTAGAATGTGTTTTGAAGTTCAACATAATATTGGTAATACAATTCTTATTGGGTAAAGTGTACAGTGGTGGTGCGTTAAAGCCAAAGGTGATGAAATAAGTGAGCGACGAAGGTACGCCGAAGGAAACTCGCTAAGCCGGATATTATCTTCTGGAAGTGTGTCACGCGCCTCCGATTTCACCGTCACGCACGAAGATTCGTGTCCAACGCTCGATACAATTAGATTTTTTTAGATTTGCATACACGAGTACCTTCATATTGTTTTGCGAGACACGTAAAAGTGAGAGCGCGATGCACAGCCGAGATAAGTGACGTAGTCCGTGACGACATGGGCCATGTGGAGGATTTGCGGTGTTAGTAAAGTGGAGTCCGTACTGTTCTCTGACGTAGATGACGATTATGTAAGAATGTTTAATTGTTCTGATCTTTATATTCTACCCTCGTCTCTACTATGCATTATTAATATAATTGCTAGGCGTAATGCAAGTTGCAATCATTCGTGCTACCTTTAATGATTACTATTGTATCTGATATGTAATACCTTTATATTATACAATTTCTCCAATCTGCATATCATTGTTTTTCGGGCTGTTAGGCCGACGTGAGCGAAATGATTCTGCGAAATCGAAGAGTTAACATCTCCTGATTATGGCGTCCACACGTGATGGCGAAACGTCGAGAACCTCTTCTTCGCTCACGTCGGTCGAACAGCTCGAAAAACAATGATATGCTGAACGATGGCTGTAAAAGCCTTACACAATTTATCTCCAATCCGTTTTAATAAATGGAAATAAGTGGTTTTGTGAAACTACTAATCAAATTCAGCTATCTTTAGTATGTGAATATTCAATACAAATATGTTGTATAGAATTCACAATATCGGTATATTTATTGTATTACGGTGTAACGAGTACCAGTTATAAAGAAAAATAAAAAATAACAAAAGTCGTCTTTTTTCAGCAGCCAACATGGCGGTTATGGGGGGAGGAACGAGTAGATGGCGCTATCTACACAGTATATTTGAAGAAGGTGCGTTACCATCGGCCTACGCGCTGCGCTTCCAGTGTGAGTGAAATTTTTAATAAGTCATTATTTAAGGGTAATCCCCACTCTTCATATTCATGTGTCCCGGGTCCGAGTTCTTCATTTTTTATATTTTTTTCATACATATTATTTAATTATTTCTTGACGGCAACATAATTAAGTGTTTATAAATATTTATACTTTTTGACGAATTTTATTCACAACATTTTCCCCTTTACAGCTTGAATTGTCTCAACTCAGCTATTGTTCTTATAGCATATACATAAGTAACGTTTTTCGCAGTCTACCTTTAAAACATACCTAAAATGTAAATTGACTCAGTTAACATTGTGTGAGTCAGCCAACTTTGATATCATTGTTAATTATTCATACATTGTTCCTCATGGTTATACCTAAAATAAGAAAACCATGAGGTAATCTCCACTGTAATTAAATATGTATACATATAGGTAAAACCTACTTTGTTTTTGGTAATTTATACCAAATCAATATTATAGACGTGGGTATTTTTTTAAATATAGAGCTTGGGATTCACTTGAAGGGAGGTAAAATATCCCAGCCATATAACATTTAAACAAGATGTCGACCTATTTTGGCTTAGGATATTCGGAAATCCACAGACAAACCAAAGCATTTTCATCTGTGGACGGTGCTTCGTGACCCGAATTACCATATTATTACCACCCATTTAATCTTGATTGCCAGACGAACTCCAACATGTTTCAGAAAATTATGAATAAGAAACATGTTGGACCTGGGGGGATCGAGCTTTACCCGTCATATTTAGGACCACATCAGATTAGCAATATTTCTGATAATCTATGAAACAAGATTCTTACAACAATCTTATTTAATATTATGTCCGTAGCAAAGCTATAAGTAAAACAAATATATGTGTTACAGGAATCCGATGATGAAATCTCCCATCTAGAGTGGGAGACGGTTCGTGTGAGGTTTGTGAAGGCAGGAACCGTTGAGAGGCTCGTAGAGGCACTAGCTACCGACGATGGCGAGCTTGAATCCACATACGTCAACGTTTTCCTCGCAACGTATAGGTATCTATATATAGTTTACTAGCTGTGTCAGCGATATTCCCCGCGTAGTAAAGTTATTTGTGCTTAAAAATTCGTTTGTCTTCTTTATAAATGTAAGGTGTTACCCACGACGTTGATCGCGTCCCGATGTTATTGCAAGTTAATTTTAGAAGATGGAGATCGTTATTAAGGAATCATTTTTGCATACACATTTTTGGGATTCTTGAACCGTTTTCGCAGCGAAAAAAAAAAACAATTCGAACCATAATGTCTGAGATAAGCGCGTTTAAACAATCAAAATCTTCAGCTTTATATATTAGTATAAATTATTTAGTGATTGTAAGTTCCCAAGGCATCGCAAAATCTTTTAGTTGCTACGAAATATGCAATATATTTTTTTGATGATTTAGTATTCGCTTTAAGATATTATTAAAATGTATTTTAATCGCTTTAGATCATTCGCGGAGTGTAGTAAGGTGCTCGACCTGTTACTGCGGCGATATGAAGCCCTCGCCGCTGAAGACGTACTTTCTACTGGGACAGATAATTCGCTCCAACACAGAAAGTAAACAACATTCTCTACTTACTGCTATAAGCGCTATAGAGGTTTGGGATGCGGTTTCAGTAGTCATAATATGACCCCTGTTGATACATTTTTCGTATATACGATATGTGATATATCGTATATACTTTGAATTAACAATAATGATAGTTGAAAATTTGTTTTTTTACAATTTTTTACGGTTTAAAGCGCGAATTATATTTATTAACTTACATATTTACAATTTACTTAAACTCCCACCAGACGAAACGACACGTAACGTTTAAACCGTTAAACGCGTTTTATTTAAATTTCAGCTATAGATAATACTTATATGTATATTACTTCAATACCCCTGCCGTTTGCAGTATTGAAAAAAATTGTCGTCACTAGATTTGAGAATCGTTGTAGATACTTGTTAAACGCAATATATACTTTTAAGGACTCTTGTGGCGTGTCTACATGTTTGGCTGGACACCTACCCGGAGGACTTTCGACAACCCCCTCATCATCCGGCGCTACAGCAGCTCCTCACCTTCACCCAAATATATTTACCTGGATCGGAACTTCATTCGAAGGTTGTTAATATTTTCGAATTAAAATTTATTGTTATTATTTGTTGATCTCCATCACTTATTTTTATGCGTTTTATTTTCAGGTGTTGCAGAAGCTAGCAGTATTTAGTGCGGAACGAAATGGTAGCGGAGTTAGTGGTGGCGTTTGCCTCGCCCCGGGCATGCGATTGCCTGCCCATCACACTAGCACCTACCGCCTTCCACATGTACCCCACCGACATTTTGCTGAACAGTTAACGAGAATGGATATGGAATTATTTAAAAAATTAGTCCCTCACCAATGTCTCGGCGCTGTGTGGTCACGACGAGACAAAGATCGATCGCATGATGCCGCCACAGTTTTGGCAACAGTTAATCAGTTTAATGCTGTTTCTTTTAGAGTAATATCAACAGTTTTAGTAGAACCCAACCTTAAGCCGATTGAGCGTGCAGACATTCTCGCCACATGGTTAGATATTGCAAGGGAGTTAAGGGTGCTCAAAAACTTTTCGTCCCTTAAGGCCATAATTTCAGGACTACAAAGTAATTCTGTGTATAGGTTAAGAAAAACATGGGCTCTTTTAAACAAAGAAAAAGCGGAACTATTTGAAGAAATGGCTCGTATTTTTAGTGAAGACAACAACCGCTGGGCGCAAAGAGAATTATTGATGCGAGAAGGAACAGCTAAATTTGCAGATACAGTCGGAGAGAACGACCGACAATTACAAAAACTTCTCCACGAACGGGGTTCGCCGGGAGTAAGCCACGGCACCATACCTTATTTAGGCACCTTTTTAACAGATCTTACAATGATTGACACGGCAATCCCAGACACGGTTGCGGATGGTCTAATTAATTTTGATAAAAGACGAAAAGAATTCGAAGTCCTGGCTCAGATTAAGTTATTACAGGGTGCTGCAAATGCATATCATTTACAACCTGATCCCATGTTCGATAGATGGTTTGATTCCGTTATTGTTCTAGATGACAGAGAAGCCTATCAACTTTCGTGTCAAATAGAACCCCAAACGAATCCACCGAAAGAGAGGCGCTCGAAAAAGCCCAATGACACCAGCAACCTTAGTCACAGAAAGAACGACTCAATCGCAAGTACAAGTTCGAGCAATAGTTCTCAATTTTACTGTGAAACAGATGGCGTTGCGAATACGTGGAAGCGAGATAGCTTGGAGCGCCGTTCTTCACCTACTAGGTTATCCCACGGTTCCTCCTCATCGTCGATACCGTCCTTGGACATCTCTCTGTCTAGTGCCAATAGTGGGCAAAAGCAAGCGAATGGAAAATCTGTCGCCAACAGCCCAGCTCACGCGAACACTCTGAACGGTCCCGATTTTTACATAATTCGCGTTACTTACGAATCTGACAGCGTCGAAACAGAAGGCGTCGTTTTATACAAGTCAATCATGTTGAGTAACAATGAACGAACGCCCCAAGTGATTCGTAATGCAATGCTCAAATTGAATCTAGATGGTGATCCTGATAGTTACACCTTAGCACAAGTTTTGCCGGAAAGAGGTTAGTTATATTACTTATTTATATACCTAATACTTTATTGCACAACACACACAAAAGTGTTAATAACACAAAACCTTAAGAATAAAACTGAGAAAATCAATAACATAACATGTATACTTGCGCCGGGGTTTTTGCTATCGAGGAATCTTTTCCGGAAAATCCAAAGCAATAAGTAATTTATTTTAATGTCACATTATGATCACATTCAAAACATGTTTATTTTTAATTGCAGAAATGGTACTTCCAGCCAACGCCAACGTCTATTACGCTGTCAACACTGCGTACAATTTGAATTTTATTTTAAGGCCGCGAAAAATTGATCAGACTGATGTAGTTTTAAACGGTAAAGCAAAAAACAAGCGTGCTTGACTGTGCCTACACGCTTTAGGCTGCCTCTAGCGTAACTCTATTTAATGCATAGTTTTTGCCTTAGTAACATGTTTCTTTGTCATCATTTATATGTTACGATAAGATAAAGATTTTCTTTGAACTACAAAAGGAGTCATGTTGATTCCTTAAGATTTTTTGATATTATCATAATTGGAAATTATCAAATGATTTGAGTGTAAAAACGATAAATAACTAACAAAATAATTAACTTAATATTTTTAGGTATTATCCCCCTTCTGTCCATTTGTGTAATTTAGTCCCAAACAATTGATTGGTCTTTGTTAATTGTCAAGTCACAAATATGTGTTTGACGTAATTAGAAAATGTTGTTTGGCCAATGGTTCTTATATTTTGACAAACTTATGCATTTTATTAAAATATTAAACTGGTATACAAGTAATATGCTTATACACTCGCCTTCTTTGAACAAGTATTCTCTTGCGTGTAGTTAATCTTAGTAAATTATATATGCATTTCTACTTATAAGATACAAAAATTAGTATTCCTTTTTTTAGATCCAGATTATGTGCTTCATAAGCCATAAGAAATGTACTTAACTAGGTATTATGTAAATTATGTGCTATACAAGTAGAAATTGTTATGAATGCCACCAATATTATAATAAGGTTTTATTTATAATTATGTATAGATAGAAATAATGTTTTGTAAAATAATCCAATATTTGTATATAAGGAAACTTTGCGGATAAGAATCTCATTTCAATGACAAATAGAGAATAAACATAGTAATAATGTTACTAATATGGAGCCAAAGGCATATTTTCATGTCTACTGCAAGGTGCTGTCATTGTATAATATTAAAAAGCTTTAAAATTAAAATGAAAAACCGAATTTGATGGTAACAATTATTATTAATAAACTATAATACAACTATACTAAAATACTCTTTTATACTACAGTAACGTGAAATAAATAAATGATCGAATCACTCCCGATACGACCTTCAAATGCATTTGCAGTTCTATGTGCCTACCAATTTGTAAATTTAGTTTTTGTGATAGTTGTTTACAAGTATACTCAAAAATAAAGACTTTAGTAAACTTTACATAAAACTTTTATGAAACTGAACTGTTTAACGTGTTTTGTAAATAGTTGGGAATATGTGTAGATATTTTAGTAACTGTCAACACTTTTGTTGTGTCCATAACGCGTTGTATATCTGTAATAAACGTTATCAACTATTTTTCCTTTTTTATTCTCCAACTGAAAATATGTTGCCCTAAGCTCAGATTTAATGGTGAAAAGGGAACACAATTAATATTTTATAACTTTATAAATTGTACAGACAAACTATTCTATATTATAAGTAGATTCTGTGCCTTCAAGCCCCGTTACACACTTCTTAGTCTTACACCCCAACTTTGCATTATTTTAAAGGCTTCAGATTATATTGATTCTGTTTTTATTTTAATATATTGAAAAATTGAAGTGTCTCTTTTGGGACGAATGAGACTTAATTTTTTGTTAATAAAGAGATACATTAGGTTAGAACCTTGAAGTTTATTTCATAATCAACTGTTCGTAGATAAAGACTACGATCTCGTGGGTTAAGCCGTCTTAAACATGAACCTCATTCATTAGGCTTCAATGACCATCTACATAATATTATTAAGTTATAATATCAATTTTCATAAAATATGTCAAAACACGCCCACAGACGGGTAAACTGTAAAATGTTTATTGATTTCTGAAAGACGAAAGCCAAAATAGGCTGACAACTGAACAGATGTTACAAGGCTGGGATATTTCATCTTCCATCGTGTGAACGATGCTTTTCTATATTTCTCTCACATACAAAAGCGGTTTCGAGCCTTCTTTAATGCCCCTTGCTAGAGACGTAAATTTTAAAGCTAATCAAAGTTACTCTCCCCGTCCTTATATTAACTCAATCAATAAAGTCTAAAAATGTAAAAATGAAAGGACTGACCAAATATATCTATAAGTACGTATACTTTTGAACTTAACATATTACATTTCAAAACTTAGGGCCAATTCGTGCTTCTGTGATCAGTCTATTGTTTGTTTTGTGTGTGTATTAGGTACACTATTTGAATAAAACTATTAAATAAAACATATCAAAAATATATAAGTAAGTAAACTAGCTGACCTAGCAAACGTTGTTTCGCCATATAATTTTTTTCCAGAGAGATATGTAGCGCTATGATCGATGAGGACATAAAAATAAAGCAACAAAAATGAAATTATTGACACCGTTAGACGTCTAGGGGGAATAACTTAATTAAATAGTAACCAATTCTCTGAGCAACTGAATATGTATTAATACGTTAATTTTATATATTAGATAAGAGGCTGCTAGAGGCAGAGTGGCGTTATACCAAAAAACACGATTTTCAATAAGCAGGAAAATAAAAATGAGCAATTATCTTAGGCGAAGATGAATTTATACTATTATTTGTGTAAGAATTATGTTAACAATTTTCCGTCACTGCGCGCTTATAGATTAACATTTTTAGACTATGAAAATATAATAACGTCAAGTCATAAAATTGCAGTTAGGCTACTCTGCCTCTAGAGGCCTCATAAATTCGTAGACCTACTTTAGTTCACTTCCTATCAAAATCAACTCAAAAATATTAATAAAAAACTAGAAAGATAGTTTGCATTCATACTCCATTCCCGATTGCGATATGAAAAGTATTAGTCTAAGCTTATCAAAGTTACCGGATAATAAGCTGAAAGAGCAGGACATTAGCATCCGGATGTTTCGTGGCGCATCACGTCTGTGCCATCGGCCCCAATGGCAGCGGCTCGGCTGAAATTTTCATGGCCAACTTATCGAGCGCACTGAGAAAACCGCACCCGCGCAGTCGCGCATCATCGCCTGCCCTAGAACCTCACCTCGCTCGTTCAGAGGATCTCGCCCATAATAACACCACGCGCGCTCACATCGTCGCCGCCCTCAGTTTCCCTGAAACTTCAGTGTTGATTGCGTGTAATGTGCTTTCCTATGACTGTAACATAACTAGGACAGATGTGCAAAAACTCGTGGTTCCTTCCCTTGTAAAAATGCAGTGTCGTAAAAACGCGCGCAAAATGATATAGTAAGGTAAGAATTGTGACCAGTCCTTTCTTCTGTTAATCGTTTCATTAATGACCAAGGTTAGATTTACGTTTCATTGTAGCTGACGTAGCTAATGACAACGTAGTCATCGGAAGTACATAAATTTAATTGACGGAAGCTTGAAATTTTAATCACATAAATTATCATGTGCCCAAAATACATATAATAATTTTGGTAGTAGTAAGAAGCTTTAAGTAGGAGTGGCCGATGTCTACGGTGAAGCTCTACGATCGCTGCAATCTGATTATGGCACACCCAATGTAATCCAAGACTATCTTTGATATTTTGCTCTCACTATCATATGACGAAAAGCTGTTATCAATTAAAAGCGTTACTTCGGCGTCGCAAAATCAAATTAAAAACAATGTAACTTTTACAACTGATTTTTATTAACTGTCGCATATTACCTACAATTAACCGAGTCCGTCGTTTAAATGCAATACACGGTGAGTATGTATTAATTGTTAGAAAATGTAGCATAAACTTAAAATAAGGGGTCGTTTTACTTCTACGTAAAAATTAACAGTGAATCGTAACTTATATCGTGATATGAAATCGCGTGACGAAGGGGGCGCACGCGACGAGAAAAACAATGCAATAATTTACTTCACAGTTATTTTCATCGATCCTTAATAATTACTGTAATACATAGGGTTTCTTTAGTAAACACTTATTCATTCAATTAATACTATGTTAAATAAAGTAGTACAAAAGGATATAATGCTGTGTTAATATATGGTAATGGTATGTAGAGGAACATAGGTATTATAGGCATTATTGGCATTAATAATTATCAGAAGAACCTTTGTCTTGGAAAAACACTGATATTCCTAAAAAATCTGATTTGAAAAATCTGATTTACTGTAAAAAGAAACAAGGAAATTGCTTTTGAATAAAGCACGGCGGGCTTCTAAAAAGCGTCCAGAACGTAATTAAAAAAAAGTTAATATAATTCACGTTTTAAACCGTTAAAAGTGTTACACCGCCGCTCTCTTAAACTACAGACGTTACATTTACTCCTAAAAGTATTCATTGAATTTCATTACATTTTAATGTATTTTTATTGATCTTATTTGGTTAGCATAATAGGGGAATCGTCGGAAAGCCGCCGTAAAACAGTAAAATTATTACTGCTGGGACGAACAATAAAACCAAATGATGGATTTTATGACCCCGGTATAGTCCTTCACATTTAAACCGAAAGAGACCAAATTCGGTTCATATTGATTCTAAATTCAATTTTCTTTGTTGTCGAAGATATTTAATTAGTCAACATTTATGCAAAGTTTTGTTCTTTATTTAAGGTTCCGGTTGCGTAATTTGTAAGGTTTCTCTATTTTAATTCAAGTTAAATATAGTAATAAACAATGTGTACTACTTCACACACTAGCTTTCGCCCATGACTATATATATATCTGCGAGGGTAAGTGTTAGCATCATGTTAGTTTTTGCTTACTTACTATACTAATATATAAAGCTGAAGAGTTTGTTCGTTTGTTTGAACGAGCTTATCTCAGGAACTACGGGTTGGAATTGAAAATTTTTTGTTGGTTAGAACATATACCGATGAAGGCTATAGGCTATAAAACATCGCGATGTGACTAATAGGAGCGAAGATACAGCGAGAAATGTGAACAAAACGGGAGAAATTCTTCATCTGTGTAGGTTTCAGATGCGTACGCTGCGAAAACGGTTCAACATACCTAAACATTGTATATGAAAGAATGATTTCCCTTTAAATGATCTAAAAAAAAGTCCGCGACGCTTAACGATTCGCAGATGAAGTCGCTGGCACAGCTAGTAAAATATAAGTGTTAAGTATATTATATTACAGTACAGGTGGACAGCAGTTGACTTAAAGTTATTTTTAAATGATGGTAACTTTATTGGTCAGAACTATCCGTGTAGTAGGTACGTTGGTAGATAAGCATATAAAAACCCATGGATAAGATTCACCTTTATCATAATTGTCAAAAAGACGAAGATCCGTACGTGTATTTTACATGAAATAAGAGTAAAATCAACTTTATATATATAGAATAGCTTCGTGTGCGCAAATCACGTCGCGTGTTCAAAGTCCTTAAAATATTTCCGCTTAGATTCGTCGTTTTATTAACCTAAACCTTAATGTTTCTAATCAAAAATCAAAATTGGTTTGTATAAAATACAGATTAAATATAATACTGTTTCGCTATAGATAACGATTCCTAGTAATCAATACACCAGAATGAATCGATGATCAGCAAATACTGTTGTTTGAAATACCCACAGTTTTTTTTAGAATGCATTCATGAATTGAAGTGTTTTAAGCGCTCCATTTAGGGCATTCATGCTGGGCCTTAAGACGCCAGTTTGAAGCCGTTACAAAAGCCTCGAAGCTCTTTGATCTTCTTTGAAAATCACCGTCGCGTCCGCGTCGTCCAAGTGGAAATGATGCGAAATATATAAGAACTATGTGTGTAGCAGTTGATTATTTTTGTTTACCTGGGTGCCTAAATTTGTCTCATTTTACAATTTTAACATAAAATAAAATATACTTTATTCTCTTTAAAATTTTAAAAAATATTTAGATTCGTCAAAAATTGTCTGTTCGTTTGTTCGTCGTGATTCTACAGAGGTTCAAAAGAGCAACATAACTGAGGAGAACACCCAAGAAACTCAGTCCGCCTTTTTTAATATATTGTTGTGGATTTAACTAATTCATATTACTACCAGGCGGTCTTGTCATTAAAGAAATCATCAATTCATGCAAATTTTTAATTTTTAATTTTGGTTTAATTATAAAAAAACACGTTCGTTTGGACACAACCACGATAAGATGTAAATAACAAAGAAGAAAAGTCTATTATAAAAATATTCGTTTTCTCCTATGAGCTTCTGTGTTGTAACAATAAAAAGAAGATGATCTGATATTAATTCACGATCGTTCATGTAATTTAAAACTAAAATTTTTAATCACAATTACGATATTACTCTACAAAAGAACTCAAAAAAATTACTAAATAAATTACTTAAGTACATACAAAACGAATCGAAACGGTCTTCAAACGTATTAGGTAGTATATATATCGAGGTAATTGCTAATGCAGGTTATTCTCATTTTGCTTATTACATTCAAGACAAGCACGCAGCAAGAATTCTCTAATAAAATTCGACACCCAGTTTCACCCGTGTTCCAGTGGCCTACATTTTCGCCCTTGAACCGCTCCCCACTCTCTTGTTCCCATGACGTCACAAAACCCTTTACAAGTTTCATAGAACTAATGTTATTTTAACTCACCCGCTACTTTATAGTTCTCATCAAAACATTTATTTAAAATAAAATGTATATGTTTATGATAAAATTGTATAAAAACACGGCAAAATAACATGTGATATGGCATTCGTCGGTTAAATACTGGATATAGTTTACGCAAGTAGTACACATTTAAATAAAACACTTTAACGGTTTAAAACGCGACATATTAGTTAAACATATTTGAAAATGATCGGAACAGATGGCGCTAGCGTAGCAATTTTAACTTTGACGTCAGAGACATCCTCCATCTTTAGTCAGAAACATCAAATAAGTTTAACTAATATATCCCGTTTTAAACCGTTTCAGTGTTTTATTTAAACATTTTCCGATTGTTAAGCTCTTCAACCGATGATTTTTTGTGAGAGACTTCGAAAGTCGTTCTTCTCTTCACTCTCTTGTTTAATTCTTGGTGAAATTTAGTTTAGAAGAATTTTAATAACTTATTAAAAAATTGTGCATAAACTTAACTATACAAATACTTGTCTCAGTAAAAGTTTAGTCATTAGCTTTACTGGTGAAATTGACACAAATATGAAAATGTTTGTTTGAGATTAGCGAGGCAACTCAGAGCACATGGGCACTCGGGCCATGGGCACTTGGATTTAATTGGTACTGCAATTATATACTAAAAGACAAGAATGACCCATTTTAAACTTTATTTAAATCTGTTGCTTGTTTTTTTATATTTATTATAATGCGTATTAATTTACTTAACATAAGTAATATTTTGGGAACATTTACACATTTGAGTAATAAAATTTCTTAAAGCTTGCAGTAAGCGATTCATTTCGTCTTATTAACAAGAAATACTGTTAACGTTAGCATATATAAATGATGCCTTGACATATGTATTATATTATGAGTATCCCGTATAAACTAAACTGTATTTAATACCCAGTTTAAAATAAGACTGAGTTTGTGTTCATTTGACGCATATTGAACACTCACAGTTATTGTTTGTAATTCTTATTACTTATATTATACAGATAAATACAAGCAGTTACTATTTGTCACACACAGTTCCCGATGCGAATAACCGCAGTGCGGAATTTTTATTTGGGAGTGTCCGACTTGTATGACAAAGAAGGATCCCTTATTTCCTATTTGCACTGTAATCAGCCTACGTTTTCTATACGCTTATATATAACTATACCAAATGCTGATTCATTTAGGGGCGATGTCACATTTTTTTAATAAAATTGCTTTTAGTTAAGTATAAGAAGATCTTTTTTATCGATTCGTTTTTTAGTAATTGATTACTACTTATATTAATCTGTATTTCTAACTTTTATTGATATTTTATTTAAATACTTTCAATAACATATTTGAAAGAAAACAGCGAAATAAAATCTTATTTGTTTCTAGAGCGTTTGCGTTTTCTTTGTTCGTACATTCAAAAATTAGGTTCATTTTACGCAAGTCTTACTAAACATTCGAATATGGGCAAGAGTCCAAGAGATATAAGATTCGTAGTACAAATTGTTCGGTAATAACAGAGCCGATAGTCCGCATTCTTAGGTAATTTAGCAGCGCTCGAAACACCTGGGCGCGGCTCCTCCAGATTTATGACTCGAGTGGAGTTTTTCGTTTTCACCCTATTAGGGCCTATATACAGTGGCGCCGATCAGTATGTAATCATTAATTATAAAAACATATCATAAATATTTGTATATGTTTGAATAATTATAATAATCATTAAGCAATGTTTATACATCTTTAATCTCTTTAAAACATTGTAAAGAGTATTTTATTAACATTTGATAGCTAATTTGTTTTAATAATTATTGCCCTATAAATTTAAATTAACTATATTTAATTGTTTTTTTTATGAACAATGCTTAATTTGATTTGTATCTAACTAGTGACGCCATCTGTAGTCAGTTTTTGTAACCTTTAAGAGAATGAAGTTCATTTATATATAATTATTTGGAGTTATATAAAATTCATAATAATATGAATATTTAACTATATTTTAAGATTTTATAAAGTTATTTCAATTATTTTGTTTTAAAGGAAGCTGTGATTGCAGTAACCGTAGCCTATAATTATAAATATCCGATTAATTATAAAATACAGCTCCGTCTATTCTTATACGTGCGTTTTCATTATGATGGACTCAGAAGACGAAACCGCCGATGCCGACGTAAATCATAAAAACAGTTATGAAAGTATAAACATTTAAATTTATTTTTTAGTATTCATGTTATAGTTATAGTTTCAGCCGTTTGGTGTCCGCTGTAGGACATAGGCCTCCCCCATAGGCACATCTAGTAGCGGTCGTTCGCTAGTTGAATCCAGTATTAATGTAATATTAATTTGTCACTGTTTCTATTTATATCTTCAAAAAAGGCCAGTGCGCCAGTCCAACACCGTTAAAGTGTTTTATTTAAATGTGTACTACTCGCGTAAACTATAGACAGTATTTAGTTTCTTTGATTGTTTGTTTGAACCCGTTGTTCAAAAAAACAAAATCTACAGCTTCCTAATATTAGTATAGATAGGGAACACTATGTGAAAATCGTATTTTTTGTTGCAGAAGAAGCCGTGGCCCCCGGCATGAGGTCGGGGGAGGGCGAAGGCTCGGAGCTGGCTGAGTTCGGCACCCGCTGGCCGCCTCCCTACACGCAGCTGCAGGGCTACGGCTGGCGCTCCGCTACGCCTCAGCATCCGCCTGCGCACCACCTCGCGAGACATTCTCGATCACAACAGGTGATTCAATTATCCTAATTGTCTTAGTATTAAAATATCCTAGTTTAAAAAAATCTCGATGGGTTTGTATAGTAATAATATCTGGCGTATTATTATTGTTACTGCATACACACTAAAATTTAATACTTCACATCTTATTATTCGTAAAATGCTATGAAAACTTCACGTATTTAAACGTGCACATATAAATTTAACATCAATTTAGATTGAAAAAAATCGATGATCACGTGTAGGACACGGTAACTCAATAGTATTCATCATATAACATGATTATTGAAAATGATAGTATGTATATCATTAAATAAAAAAATTAAAAATGCTTAATAGGGGGTTATTGGCGTGGTCATGGTAGTAGTAGCTTATATGAAATGTTGGATACGCGCAGTGGTTGCAGGATAATCGGCACACTAGCTATGAGGCGGAAGATGCGCGGGTCCGGACACGCGGTGGAGTTTATTACTCCCCACCAGGAACCTCTTACACTATTGTAGAACGACCGGCCTCTTCCCACGGGCATCACCCCGCCTACTCTCATCATTATCCAGGCAAGCTGTCAAGGGCACAATATGTCGGCTCTACGACGTTGGCCAACAGTGCAGGTAATTAAGGGGAAGAATACTTTTTTTAATGATAGAGGATGGGATTCACTTCACTGTAGGTGAAATAGGCCTTTAGCATATAAACAAGATGCGCTGTCGGCCTATTTTGATTTACAGAGTAGTAACACCGAAGAGCAAAAGGCATATAAATCAATAATCCAATTTGTAATATTCTAGTCTCTAGCAGTAGACTCGTTCACGGCTCAACGCTTTGACCGATTGTGGTATATTGCTTTTCTGACTTTATCTCTTTACTAGCTGTTACTGTGACTCTGTTAGCAGCGTAGTTATTTGGGCATCAAAATCTGTTTTTAAATGCTCCTCATCTTTTTCAATTCTAACTGTTGTCCAAAACGTCGTTTTTGCAAGTTAATCTTAAAAGATAGAATTATACCTACTGTCGCAGATATTTTTTAGAGACATTCATTCATACACATTTTGGGTATCTTGAAACGTTTTCGCAGCGCGCCTTACGAAAACCTTCGATGGTGAAAGTTTTTCCCGTTTTTTGCACATTTCCAACTATTTCTTCGCTCTGATTGGTCCATGCGTAGTTTTATTGCTTGCTTAGATAAAGCAGTAAGTTGTACACATGCTACTTTTTCGCCTGACCAAACATTAAAAAAAAAAAAATCAATCAAGTTAATATGGGTCACGTCACGTAGCTTTTATAATAAATTGTGAATTTTTAGCAGGTGCAACAAGTTTACGAAATAGTACCAATCACCTGAGTGCAGCGAACGGCAAGAAGAGGCCAATATCTCCGGAGCAAGTGCTGAGGTTGTTTGGTCAGGGCGGGGCGGCCGCGCTCGGGAAGGCTTTGCCGCCTTCTCACCCGCCCGCGCCACTTCCAGCTCCACTTCCTGCTGCACTGCCGACACGTAGACATTCACCAGCGAGCAGTCCTAGTAGTACTACGCATCATGTGAGAAATTTTCTTTTATATTTTTATCTAGATGCAAAAATCTTATTTATATTAGTGTTACATACCAAAAATTAACGCACGAAAAAAGGCGTACATAAAAAATGTACGAGCGACCTCATCGCATGCCACCGTCACCTTTCAGGGCATCTAAGATTAAATGAAACGGAATGTTTCAATAAGTACATCGATAGAAATTGAAAATCGAATTGTTTTAAGCGGGATTTGAACCAGTTTTAACATTGTTCCGTGCTGTTGCTCTAACCAATTGAGATCAAGCGCAGAGCAGAGAACAGATAGACAGAGGCAAATAATAAAATCAAATTCTGTTGAAATAATAAAACTGAAACTCGCCTTGTGGCAATGTCCAAGGCAAAGGAATGTCCTAGAACCAGAATTAGAGATTATTTAGGGTCAGTAGCCAAGAGCGAGTTCGCTTATTTCATATATATATAGGCAATTTTATTCTTATTCAATTTTTTTCTACAGTATTAAAAGTACTGGGTAGTTATGGCTCTTTACGTTACTTTAGTCATTATAAATATTTCTTTCAATAAATGTAATATTTAAAGTAGTGAGAAAAGCGTAAATTGTGGGCGACTTGGTGGGGGCGTCGGGGGTTTTCAGATGCGTGAATAATTCCGAGCGGGCGGTTAGTCGATATTTCGTGTTGCCTCATTCACGAATACTGCTGTAAACGTTTAAGAAATAAATGGATATGACTTGGGGTTATTACTGCAGTTAGAAGAGGGATGAAATATAAGCGCAGGTTGTAATAAGCATATAGAAAAGAGTATACTCAGCCTTCTTGTACGTTGAAACTCTTTCTAACGTATATGACGTCATATAAGGGAATATACAAAATTAATAAACCTTTTCATATTTGAAATAGTAACAGAAGAAGTACAAATAATCTGTGTTCACTGAAAACTTAAATGTCCTAGCGTTACACCATCCAACAAAGAAACAATCTCGAACTGTTCTGGCTTTGAACATTTGGGCTCATTTGCATTCACAGAATAAAAAACGTACCCAGTACACATTTTAACGCGTCGGCCATAGTTAAAATAAGTAAACTAATATGTATGCTTTACATTTTCAACCGTTAAACTTGTTTTATTTAAAGAACAATGGTCAATACCCGACGAACATGTGTTGTGTCAAAAAGACCGTTATTTTTTTCTATGAAATATTAATAATAACACATAACCAGCTTTGTAATCTGCTTGTTCAGAACGTATCTTTAGAGAACGTTTATAACATGCAATAAACGATCATCATTCATATATTCTGATATTGTATGTTGGATTTTTAATTTGGCCATTGTTCTTTTATTTATTTTTTACGGTTATCGTAAATGCAATGTACATATGACTTAGCAAGATTCTTCCAGAAATAATACTACACTTGAGGTAACATACGATAGGTAGACAGGCGTGTCCACACACGCTTACTATTAGGGTCACAATTGATTTTATAGTTACTGTCAGTTATTCAAGCGGGGTGGTGACACGAGCTCTAGTTCTTTGTTTACAATATATTATTTATGTAGAATTATAGCATAATTTTGCCAAGTATTAGGTCTAAAAACAAGTGATCGATGTTCGGAAGCACGAGTGACGTACTGTGAAGAGCCGAAGCTATTTTTAGTGCGTAATGTGTTCACTTATTGAGCGGTTTAGTGAACTGAAGTCTTACATTTGGTTTTCAAATTGGATTCCAACGAGAATTATGAGGTAATTTTCACATTACATATTATATTCAGAGTGACAGAGTGTTATAAATCCAATTAAATTTCGCTCAAGTACACACTTCAGGTACCGTTTGGAATCTTCTTTGATCTTATTAGATGGTTCTATTGATTAGTTGTGCAATTGAGTACTAACACTAGATTTATAGTAGAACAGGCTGACCAAAAACGCTGTTATGCATATTAAGAATTAAAAAAAAACATATAATCGTTTCTCGTGAGTTAATCTGAATGATAGACAATATGTACTGTCGCGGGCAGTTTTAATTTTTCATATATATATGTACACTCTTAGGCTTCTCGAATCGTTTTCACAGAGCACACTAAGGAAGCCTTCGAAGATGAATAAATTTCCCGTTTTCCCGCCTCACGACTTCCTCGATAAATAATTCAATAGACACAAAAATATTTTTTCAATTCGAAGCACTAGTTCCTGAGATTAGCGCGTTCAAAAAAACAAACAAACTCTTCAGATTTATTATTAGTATGGATCGCCTTTGTATTGCCCCGCATTGCGTTAAGCGTGAAAGGTCCTGGTTTAGAGTTATGACACGTGCAACGAGAACAAAACTTCAAAACTAAACTAAGATTTAGGGCATTAGGATATCTGTGTATTTTATGATAAAGAAATTAAAATAAACACTTAACGCTTTAAAATGCAAAATATACTAGTTACCTTATTTTTAATTAATTTTAAACTACGGCCCGACCTTACGGATGCTTTGCAGCAGCCAGATTCACGGGGAAGTCGTTAAAAGTTTCTATTTAAATGTATACTACTTGTGTACATACAATACTTGATAAAGAAATGTTGTACGCCCTTAGTCAGCCCCGTCTACATGTTTATACGTTTTTTTTCGTAGGCCATCTACCGAGGGGCAGAGCGGGAGAGGCCCTACTCCTCGGGCGGTGCTCCGCCACCACCAGCGGAGCCCACCACGCGGACCGTTACTATGTGCAGAGATCCTGCTGACTCACATGGTTTCGGTATATGCGTGAAGGGAGGGAAGGAAGCAGGTAAGCTTCTAAAAACCCAGCCAAGTGCGATGTGAATTCTCCCACATGGGGTTTCGTACCTTTATTAAAAATATATATATATTTTAGATAAAAATACTTAGTATAAGATTTTTAAAATAAATTATTGTTCATTTGAACACGTAAAGTTATTATTTAAAACATAACTTATAAATCGGATATATTTGTTTATTATTTAGTACTCCATTCAATATATTTTTTTTTAGTTGTTCCAATCTGTCAACTTCACTAGTGCAATTATTATGGTTCATGGCTTATGTGCGGACGGCGAAATAATTGTAATAGGGTCCTGTTACCCTTTGGGTACAGAACCATAAAGAATGCGTGGCCTATCATAGACATCAAAGCACGTATATACCTCCTCCCTAGTACCATAGATTCTTCCATAATTGTGATACTGAATAACTATTACTTAATTTTTGTAAATACAAATACAACTAAGGTACAAATGTACCTCATTTGTATTTGTATCCTTCATCACAATATTATGAAATAGTAATTCCAATAGTTATAACAGACAACGGTTTGGTTTATCGATTCATATATAAATAGAACATGGAGCGGTCAAACAAAGCGATCCGATTGATCAAAGGCATTTCACCAGCTAATCTCATCCGATCTATGTGTTTTATTTCGTTTTTATTCTAGTATTATTACGTTATTTTTGTTTTTTGCTTTAATAAGATTAAGTCTTAGTTTAGCATATTATATATTGGTTCATGATAAGTTTAAAAATTATTTAATAGGATAAACGACGGGCTCGTCCAATGGTGATAATCAATGAATGGGTTGTGGATTCGATCCCCACTAGGTGCAACATGTTCCTAATTTTTCTGAAACATGTTGGACTTCGTCCGAAAATCTGGATATCGGATGTGTGGTAGGAATATCGAAATACCGAGAAAGTCGTGAAAAATCTGAACTGAGTTTCGGTTTCAGTCTGTGGATTTCCGAATATCCAAAGCTAAAAGGTTGACAGCGCATCTTGTGTAAATGCTATAGACTAAGCTGATGTATATATATATATATATATATATATCACCTACCTTCAAGTGAACGCAACTACTATTATATACATTTTAAAAGTACAGTTTATAAAACTTACAATGGAAAAAATTTATAAACGTTATTACTTTTGTAACCTATACAAAAGCGTGTTCGCCATTTGCCCCATGTCTCTGATGAAATGCAGATATAAATTATTCAGGTGTTGGAGTGTATATATCTCGAGTAGAAGAAGGGTCCGTTGCGGAACGAGCGGGACTCCGACCCGGCGATTCCATTCTTCAGGTTAACGGGACCCCGTTCTCGGGAATTTCACACGAAGATGCACTTAAGGTACACCACTTTTAGATTACTAAAGGTTACACTTAAATTGACTACTTAGATACAATTTCACTATAAATAGAAATAACGCACGTTCGAATAGAAGTATCTTATAGGTTGACAAATCTAAATAGAAATTGTAGAGTTAATTTTCCGTATTACTGTCATTACTACTAAGTGAATTGGATCTTGATTTTATAACAATAGCTTAAGACAATGTAATCCATCTTTACATTAAAAGGCTAAGGACTAGGATAGTTATATAAAAAAGAGTAAATTTTACATAAGTTAGATACTGTCTATAGTTTACGCGAGTAGTACACATTTAAATAAAACACTTTAACGGTTTAAAACGCGATATATTAGTTAAACTTATTTGAAAATGATTTTTAACTTCGGCCCGACGTTTCGGATGCTTTGCAGCAGCCGTGGTCACGGGGAGACATAATAAGTAAAGCAATAAGTTTAACTAATATATCGCGTTTTAAACCGTTAAAGTGTTTTATTTAAATTTACATAAGTTTCTTATGCCATATATAATATTATTCAAAGTAAGTTTTAACCTTTCACGGTTTTCATTCCCTGGCCTAAAATAATTTGTTCGTATGTAGCAATCTTGAAACATTGAATATTAGAATTCAATAGGTGTTAGTCACGATATGCAACCGTAGGAAGTAAATTTTTGATCATATGGATTTACATTTTGAAGTAAAAGTAGGTAACTTCGCTTCATCGTGTGTTATTTTTAGTTTTTTTATATATCTATTATATATCAATATAATGTCATTGAAACAAAGTTTACTGCGAAGTATTAAAGTTGCTTGTAACGCGAATTATATTAATGTTACTAAGCGTGGTTAAATACACTTTAACGGTTTAAAACGCGATATATTAGTTAAACTTATTTGAAAATGATTTTTAACTTCGACCAGACGTTTTGGATGCTTTGCAGCAGCCGTGGTCACGGGGATCTTTTCAAATAAGTTTAACTAATATATCGCGTTTTAAACCGTTGAAGTGTTTTATTTAAATGTGTACTACTCGCGTAAACTATAGACAGTAAGTAAGCGTGCTTAGTTAAAAATAAATTGATTACTTGTTTGCGATTGAAATTGGAAAAGAAACAATCCACATAAAAAAAAGTGATTGCTACACTTTGCTACAGTATACCGTAGAGGGCCTACGATGCGTAATAGCGGAACACAATATGTTGTTCAAAATTCCAGTTAAATGGTAGCCGAATAATGACTAATATTTCTTTAACACCAATAAATTTAATGTATGTTTACTACAACATACTTTGGTATACTAAAGTTTTAAGACATTATACTTTAATTATGATTTTTACTCAGTGAATTTCTTTTATTCACCATTTACTAGATATGTGTTATGAGTAAAAAGAAACTCATATAAGATGAGTAACGATATTATTTGTTTTAGATGCTCAAATCATGTCGTCAATTAACGATGGTGGTGAGAACAGCTGGTGCGCTTGTCGGGCGAGCGTCGTGTTCCTGGATGGACCGATATGGACGGCCAGCCTCACCTCCGCCTCTCAAGCCTCCTCGCTCTGCCAGCAAGGATCGATCGATACGCAGGGTAACAGAAATGGATCACGATTTTAACTCACAGAATGCTTTGATATACGTAGCGATATTACGCTACTTCTGCCTTTGTTTCATGTAACCATTTTTATTTTTTAAGCAGATGGCACTGTTTTGTGAAAGCCTTAACTAACTGTTTAGATTTAACAGTAATGAGATTCTTTAATAATTTTAATAAGTAACGATGAAACAGTCCCTAAAAATTTATTCCATATTCATAGGATTACAAGTTGCGTAAGTTAGTTGTATTTGAAGTTACCTTTTTGCATTCACGAAAAATAAAAGATGGTACGTCATTTGCTAATCCCCAATAATAGCTACACATTAGAAGTTCGAGCGAGAGCAAAAAAGCCTCTTAACGCCTTGTAAGCCAGCAATTGGGTCACAGCTCCCTCGGGATTTCGATTATGTACATTTTGTGGAACGATTTTTAAGATCTTTCAGCGTTTCTATAAATGGGCGTGCACTTCACGCGTGTGATTATTATAAGTACAATTTTTTTTATTGTCTTGGTAAAACATCTTAAAAAAATAGTTTTGTTAATATTAAAGTATATAAAACACTTTAACGGTTTAAAAGGCGATATATTAGTTAAACTTATTTGACAATGATTTTTAACTTCGGCCCAACGTTTCGGATGCTTTACATGAGCAGCCGTGTCTTCCCGTGACCACGGCTTAACTAATATATCGCGTTTTAAACCGTTAAATGTTTTATTTAAATGTGTACTACTCGCGTAAACTATAGACAGTATTTAATATTAAAGTAGTTAAATTCGGTGATAAATAGTTATATACACAATTTAGGGACATTTAATTAAATAAGTAGGTACTTGTAATTAAATATAATTGATCAGTGAATAATGCAAAAATGAGTCTAAACCCCATATAGTGCTACGGGATTTCACTTTTAACACAATTCCGACAGACTTAACAGATTATAACTATTAGATATTAAATCTAAGCTGGTACAAAGCACATTGTTGGCTTCTCACAATAGACTGCTGTAATCCGACCGCTATGTTCTGGTGATCCATCGTAATGCGACCCACACTGCAATTAGTTTAAGTAATAACTGTACTAAACCACTGCCACGTAATAAAATGTAGTCGACGTATATGTTATAACGTTAACATAGGCTTACTATACTCAGCTAGTCTTATCAAATAAACAATTAGATTCACAGACTCGCTTAACAAAGGAGAATTATCGTAATTGAAACAGCACAGATTAAAAATCAAGTAAAGATATACATTCCTTTTCCTTACAAAATATCTAGACCATAAATTGTGTTTCTTTTTTTTTAAGAAAAATAGAGACACTGGCCAATTGATTTAATGGCTGGCGACGTTAATTGCATATAAATATCTCTTCTTGTCCATAAACTATTCAATGAGTACTAAAATAAACGACATTATTAATATAAAAAAAATGTTATATAGGTGGATCTTTGCATCGAACCAGGACAGTCACTAGGTCTAATGATCAGAGGTGGCTTGGAGTACAACCTTGGAATATACATCACGGGTGTCGATAAGGATTCAGTGGCTGATAGAGCGGGGCTTATGGTGCGTACAAACATATATATAATGTATACGGATTGCTGCCAACAAATTATCATATATTTTCTTATTGTAGATATTATTACCCAAAACCAAAATAAATGGATACGAATCTTATCTATAGACATCGAATTTTTAATTTTCTAATTCATATGGTTAGTTTTTACAAACACCATTTTTGCTATTAGGTTGGTGACCAAATATTAGAAGTAAACGGTCAATCGTTCGTTGACGTGACCCACGATGAGGCAGTCGCACAACTGAAGTACCATAAACGGATGTCATTGCTGGTGAGGGATGTGGGCAAAGTACCTCACGCGTGCACGGCTTACGGAGAAAGAGAAGCTGCACCGCGGTAAGCCTAACAAAGTTAAAATTACGAAGCTTAGGCATAGCATTGTATTACAAATTTGCAAATACAAAGAGTAGGTAAAAAGGAAATAATACAAACAAATAACCCCTCAGAACGCCAAAGGGTTTATTCAATTTTTTCTGTTTATTCGGATATGTCCTGTCTTCCATTGCGCTCCTTTTATCCTTGCTTTCACTATCGTACGAAGTAATATCGATTTCATTTTATTCTCAAACACTTTTGTATTCTAAAATTATATTTTGACGGGTCTCGTTGGCCCAATGGTATCAATGTATGGTTTATAACCAACGAGTCGTGGGTTCGTAGTTCCACCAAGTCCAGCATGTTTCTAATTTTTCAATTTATCTGCAAGAAGTTGGACTTCATCTGGAAATCTGGATATTAAATGGATGGTAGGAATATCCATATTCCGTCCGGGTCACGAACCACCGACCACAGATGAAAAAGCCGTGAAGTGTATCACTTTCTGGTTTCAGTTTGAGGATTTGGATCTTGTTTAGGTGTTACATGGCTTCGGTACTCACCTACCATCAACCTCGATGCTTATCTGTCCTTCTCTATATTAAAAAAAAGTCTGAGACCCACCGTCTACGTCTACTAGAATCTACGGACTCTAATAGAAATCTAAGTTTGTTAACAGTGAAAAATATTCGAAAATCAAATGTATCTTTATTAATTAATTATTCAAGTACGCTTTGTATACAGAATAAGTGGTTGGGGTAGGCGAAGAGGTGCAGCGGCTGTCGCCGTTGAACAAAAAGCCAAATCGCTCTTACCTCAAAGTGATCTTCCTGCGATGGCGTATTATATGGAAGAATATGCAGCAAGAAGACTTACGCCTGACTCATTTCTCACCGTATTGAGAGACCTCCTCGACACGCCACAAAAGGTAACACATTACATAAAAAAGTAATTAGACTATGTGACTATTATTGTAGTATGATAGGTTTATATAATTATAGTAGGAAGAAAGAACTGTCTAATTCTTGATAACAGTTTGTTAGGAAGTAGCGACCACCTACGAGTCTATTATTGATAGAAAAAGTTGTCTATTGTCGTTTGCAACTATCTTACCTATTTCCGAATCTTCTATTGCAATGGTTGAGTAAATGAGATGAATAATCGATACTTTGCAGTACTCGCTTCTGACTGAAATCCGCGAGTTTTTGTTACCCGAAGACCGGCCGAGGTTTGATGAATTGGTATACAGGAGAGACGAACCGCCACCAGAACACCACTTAAAGGTATACCAACACTCACCACATCACAGTCACCAACATAAGGTATACAGACATTATTAAAATACTTGGATTTTGTCGTAGACGCTCAATACCTTAAAACCTATGTAATACTTTTCCATTAATAGTAATAATTGTGAAAGTGTAATCGTTTTTATACCAATGTTAGCTAACCACAACCTATGTACCATATAATCCTTGTCGCAATATGCCTCGATCCTTGTTTACGTAAACACTTTAGTCTTAAAATATTTACTGAACATGTAGATCAATATACTGTAAACTATTTATAATACTTTACGTATATTATAGTGACATGCTAAATGATATAAAACTTTGTTTCATTTCTTTAAACTTTAAAGTTTAGATGTCCAAGTAAGAATGAATAGTGATAACTTAATTGGCAAGATTTCGTCTTGCCAGAGCCAGCAGCTTGAAACTCTTCGTAGCATTTTGATATTTACGTAGTTAGAGATGTTTAAAGTGATATCACTCAATACATAATTTAGTAGCTGTGAGCTCTACTCACAAAGCAAAACCGACTTCCCCACTTAGATGGAGATAGATCGTGAATCGGCCTTTTTCTTTGAATTCCATTACAATAATAATAATAATATCATCCTTATTACATCTTCTCGTTATCTTGACTGTGGGTAAACCGTTGGCTCACTTTAGGATGAATGGGTTCACACTTGGATAGGAATACAAAAATAGCCGAAAAGATAAGTACGATGCACTTGTCAAATATATTAAAACGTAGGTTGCGCAAAACTTTCAATGCATAGCACCCACTTCTACGCAGGCAGATTGCACATTGCACAATGTATGATTTAGGTCACAAATTTCTTGTGTCATGAGAATAAAGATTAGTTGAGTTGAGATTGAATTTATTTTTCGTAGCGCGGTGGAGAACGGCACATGCTGCCTTCATCAACTATGCATGATCTACACGATCCGGTGAGTGCTTGTATAAATACACCGTTATGTGTTTTGCATGCCTGTGTCTTGTTCAATGACCACAAATATCTCTTCCGGTGTCCCAAAGCGCTGTTCCAGACTGGTACTATACTTTACATATTTGTGGTCATGTAATATGATAAACATGAGACGATTTGGTCATTAGTTTTCGCTATAAACGTTTGTATTTACTAAATTACAAAATGATTGTGTCATGTTTAATAAAATTAGCCTAGTTATAGCCTCTATAATATAAATATTACCAAATAGTATATGTCATAGAGTATTATCATGTATTTATGGCAAGCCTTGTCGTTTTTATGTGTTACGTTAGCTTTTCTGTTACACTAGGAAAATTCTATCGTATGTGAATCGTTACAGAATATGAAAAAAATATTGGCAAATTAATTAATGAGTAAATAATATTGGGAAGCACATTGGGGCTTATATTCGTACTATTCGAACATGAACATACTTCGCATGACCACTAACACACTACGAATCGTGTAATTCCCAATAACTTGTAAATATGAAATGGTCAGGTGAGGTGTAGTATATTGTTGTAGGAGGTGCCGCCGGAAGTACCTCTAGTGGTGGACCATCGCTCGCCCTCTGAGGACTCCGGCTTGGGTCTTCCGCCCCACGACGCCTACAGGTACAGGCACCATCTTGTATAACGTAACCTCTTCTTCCTTACATTAGCTAATTTGAAAAATGTCTATTAGCCGAAAATTACTTCAGCATACGTCTCGCTACTCTACTAAACGATGCAAAAACCTTTTAAATCAGCGTCGATTAATATAAAGTCGGATTTAGTTATTAAAATGGCCAAGGCCGTGTGTTGAAAAGTATCCTCTTTATCTCTAGGTTAATTAACAATAGGTTCAAGTACGTTTGATAGGTTACTTGCTAGACAATTTGAACTAAATCCGTGGAAGCTACAATAGTCTATAACAAACTTACAAATTAAATATGACGTCTAGGCTTACGTTCTCGCTGTTTGCGTTGATTAGGTTTACCATAAAATATTCGATTTTTCGGAGCTAGGGGTAGATATAAGGGCAGTTAGAATTTTATAAGCGGATTATGACGAGAGATGTTATGTGGGCCAGGAGCGGGCGTAGTTGGAGGGCGACGGACGCGCCACCTATGGACGACGACCTGGAGCCTCCACACGAGGTGATTTTGCCAGAATTACCTTCTACTTCCACTTAACATTCTATCCACTATCACTTTTTACACTCTTGCTACCAGTGTCCTGGGTGTCACCCGCTGACATTCTACTATACCATTCCCTTACTCGCTTGCCGCTTCGTATCCAAATCTTCATTCTTAACATGTGTCGTTCGTTAGATGAGAATGAACTGAATCAATCGTGGTTGATCTTTGACAAAATGAACTAGTTCGTTCGATCCGTTTAATATTTTAAATTGGTTGTCATATTCCAAAGTTTGGTCTTAAGTTGTCCAGATTATTGATTTCGAACTGTAACTTATTCACTAACTTTGTTATGACACACTCATTGAATGCACGAGTCATTTTGATCGATTCGGACAAGGAAGGATCGAGCTCTTTTGGATCGTTCAATCGCGAACGACACATACATCTTCTATCTCTATAGTACAAAATAGTGAATATGCTCCATCTAGGATTTAATCACACGGAGTGACACTTCGGCACTAGCACTGAGTTTTATCATTCACTGTATTTGCATGAATTAATAACGGCTAGCTTTAGAATTTCACAAGTTCACGACTTTGGCCGTTATTTCCATATTAAGAGCGATCGCCGTCGCTAAATAATAATTGGTGGGGTAAATCTGGCAAAATTATTGATTATAGGAATGAAGTGGTCTCGAATGAATATAGAGAACAGAAAATATCGGTAATAGCGGCCACTTTCCTCTCTTTCGGCTAATTTTTATTTAAAGTAGGTACTTAGGTCTGAATGAATGAGTAGGCAACTTTGAAATTAGAGTTAACTTTTCCGTTATAAGACAAACTTATTACGTACTTGTATTTTTTTTACTTTTATTATACCTGTGACTTTAATAAACATAATTATTGGTGCTATTATTATTTTTTTTTCATATGACACACTATTTAAAAAATATATAATGTCGGCTCGTTGGTCTAGGGGTATGATTCTCGCTTCGGGTGCGAGAGGTCCCGGGTTCAAATCCCGGACGAGCCCGAGGTCAATTTTTACTTCGATCTTTCTCAATAAATATAACACAACTTTCCTCGTTATTGCCAAAGATATGATTAATGACGGTTTAAAACCCGGTAAACCCGTTTTTTTTGTGTTTTTACACAATAATTATTAAGTTTGGAATTATTTTTTTATTATTCATTGATAGGAGGTGAAATACCCCAGCCATATAACATATAACAAGATGCGCGGCCTACTGATTATGGTTTTTGGATATTCGGAAATCCAAAGACTGAAACTGAAACGCGATTAAAGTTTACGGCTTTTTTATCAGTGAACGGTGGTTCGTGACCCTGATGGAATTTCTATATTCATACCCATTTAATATTTGTTTATTCTTACTGCCCAAAAATTAATAATGATACAGAATAAAAACTTATATAATAGAATGGAGTGCAATGGCCGGATAATATCCAGATTTCCAATATCTTTCAGAAGAATAGTGGACCTGGTGGGGATCAACCCTTTCATAATTAGCTATACATTGCTACCATTACACTAACAAGTCCGTCAAAATAATAATAGTGTTTTACAGCTATAAAATAACGATTCTCAAATTAATTTTGTTAATAGCTTGAACTTTGAAAATATACCGAAAGAAGTGCTATGAATCGTGGTTCTCTTTTCAATTTTCAGTGTCCCCAACGCGGAAAAAAGAAGTCGCAATTCAAGATTTAATTAATGTCTTATTTTAGTTTTTGTAAGCAGAATTGATGCAGCTACGTCTGTAATTATTTTACTTTGTTGCATTAGAAGCATGGTAAATTGAAATAAAACAAACTTTATCACTTCTGCGTGCTAAACGAAGTCTTTGTTATAATAATTTTAATAAGGAAGATGTTTTCACAGAAACAAAATCGTTTACGTTCTATATTCAAAGTCGTTTGAGCCCTTTGATAATCTGTGAAAGAAAGATGAAAATTCGTATTTCTCCAATTTTGTGATTTATCTTCTTATTCTTTGAGCTAACAGAAGTAGAACAATACGTGATGAAAAATGTAGTTTATGAAAATGCAACCACATGACATAGTTTGGTTGTTTAGCTCAAAAGAGTTCTTGTTTCGAATGAAACTCTTGTGTTATGACGTCATGACAAAGGACATGTTCTTGACTAAAGACCCGCAGAAATAGCACCCGTATTTTACTTCCACGTTTATCAAATATTTAAATAAAACACTTCAACGGTTTAAAACGCGAAATATATTAGTTAAACTTATTTAAAATTTATCTTAAATACGTGTGGAAGGTATCACTAATGTCAAAGTCAAAACTGCTACGCTAGCGCCATCTGTTCCCTCGTAATTTGTATTTGGTGAAACTGTCTGGCTAAATGGTTTGATAAATAGATGACGATGATGAACATGGCAGTGATTTTTTGAAGTAAATTTGCCAATTATGTACAATGAAGTTAAACTTGCATAAAAATAAGCCTTAATTATTTTAGTTAGGCATAGACAAAAAGGGATTGCGTTATCTTACAACAATAGTTTTTACGAGTACACATTATCGAAAATATAAGTAGCTTTACGTTAGTTTAGTTGAATTTAAAAAATCCTATAACGAATATTAAGAATTATTCTGTATATATTACGTTATCTGTTTCACTGATTGAATTGTTACAGGCAAGTTGTACATCCGAAAAAATATATATATTTCCTGGGTTTCGAACTCAGGACTTTGGCGCTTGTAAGCAATGAGCGACAGAGGCGGCCATTGCGGACGTAATGAGATCGGGAAAAATATGTATGTGAGTTTTAGACACTTAAATAGATGAAGCCACACGAACTAGTAGGAAGCTTTTAACAAAATTAACTCTGCTTGCACGTAAATCTGCGGCGATGACGTCAAGTGAGGCAAATCCCGTCATAAGCAGACGTTATCTTGATAATAAATCGGTGTATCCATCTTGTGTGTCATACGGATTGTGTGCCGCGGCATACCTATGTGATTAGTTGATGAATTTCGTAAGAAATGTTTTGCTGTTTAACGAAGAAAATGATTATTTTTGTGTGTGTCGTACAATTCAACTTAACAACTTTACATTCTTAGGAATAACTTGATATATCTCGCATTAACAAAGAACATAATTTAAATAAATCACTTTAACGGTTTAAAACGATATATATTAGTTAAAGTTATTTGAAAACCGACTCGAATCGATCGAATAGACGTTTAGGATACTTTGCAGCAGCCGTGGTCACAGGGAGACTAATATATATCGCGTTTTAAACCGTTAAAGTGTTTTATTTAAATGTGTACTACGTACGTAAACTACAGACAGCATTTAACGAAAATAATTTCAATTTTCGGCGTACCTATAATGAGCTAAAATTTGTTCATTATTTAGGAACCTATTTTACCAATCAGTAATGATATTAAGAAATTTAACGAACGTTTATTTTTATCTTAATTTCGTGTTTCTTCTTCTTTCTATTACCTTCCATTTAAACGCAGTAGATGTCATTAATCCCTATGACTTGATTCGTATTTTTATATATAAAAGGTTTTCATGTAAGTTCAGAGACGAATATTTATCTGAGTGGAGGCTGAAAGATACACCGTGGAGGGATGTTTAGTAAGGGGCGGGTATTTGTTGATGTCGACCGTCAGTGTACGATTTGCCCGCCGGGGGTGTAGACGGCATGTCGCGCCGTCGCCGCCGTGTCGCTTTCCGCGACTACATACCCATGGACTTGAAGGCCATGGCAAAGGTATTAGGCTCTTTTCAGATCACGCTATAATATAACAGCTATAGCTCAACCATATCGCACAACACAAGCTAAAAACACGGAACGCTGTGCATGTCGGTTCATATCCCTCGCGTGTTGTAATTTTTTTTCTATCTAAATAGAGTTTAACCTAGTAATATATAGAATAGTTTAGTGTACGGGTATATAATAATAAAGCCTCATAGTATCGTTATGATATTATGGCGCAGTCTGAAAAGAGTTTTATCTAGAATAATATTGATAGGTTCCTTTAATCAAGGATCATGTGCCTTTTACGACCGCCTCTGGAGCTAAATGGTTAAACGTGTTGCCTAGCATTGCGTTAAGCGCGAGAGATCCTGGGTTCGAAACCCGGCGAAACAGTAAATTGTTTCGGCCGGGCAGGGCACAGAAGTCTGATCAACTACTTGCAAGTGAATTACGTACTTTGACGATAGGGTGGTGAAATCGCTGCAACTTTTTCTATACATATGTGAGCTTAGTTGGCAGAACCAGAAAGACATATGATGGAATAATTTTCTAACCATAAAACGTCGCGTAACGTGTTTAAAATGAATGTTAGATATCATATTATGTGGAATTTAACACGAAAATGCTTAGTTATTATTAACGATGTCATTTCAACTGTTTATTTATATAGAACTTCTTCTTCTTTCTTTGCATAATATAAAACAACTAATTTTTATGATTGCCCTTATTAACTTTGTGGACTTCTCGCTTTCAAGTTTTATTTTCAAAGCCAGTAAATTCCGAAGAACCCTTCAATATGCAAGCGCCTAAACAAAATAGAATAGCAAAGTCACAGTTTGCAAAACAAAGTTATGAAAATAAACTTCATTACATCTCCACAAAGTTTCTCCTAGCTTTAGAAAATAATTATGCAATACAACATTTTTATCATACTGTTTCAAAAAATTTAAATTAAAGTCAAATTCTCTACTATATGTTAAGAACGGAAATCTCTGCTTCATCAAGAGAACTGCGACAATAGGAAATTGAAACAATTCTATTAAATGGGTTTTCCTCCATAGAAGAGACGGTTTGACTTTCAATTTGAAATTCAAATCTAACCATTTTCAAAAAGAGTTCATTGAAGTATGAATATAAAAACTACCCCTTGAATAGGGTCAAGGGTCTCTTTATACCCTTTCGCGACGCTATTTGTGGAATGTTTCTATTTTTTACTGAATCTGGGTTGTATTGCGCACTTAATATTCTAAATTGTGAGCTAATTAAATCATTGAATAGATAGCCTGACCTTAAATCTTCAAGTCATACTTCAATAAGTTTAATATTACTCTCTTGAAATAATAAATTGTATCACGATAAGTGTAGTCAGCGGGATTGTGAAACGATACATGTTAATAACGAATGTTATTCGTTTTATTTCAAGACATGTCTTATCTTCTATTAGACCGTTCGAAGGGTAGGCAACGCAGTGCTTTTAAATAATGACACTTATAACAGAACGTGTCGGCAATACTTCCTTGGATCGCTGCCAATATGCACTCAAGTAATATGCTATACGACTCTGTATTTATCACGTTTACTAGCCTACTCAAAATTAAAGAGACCGTTAACTTTAATGACATAATGTGAATTCAAACAGGTGGTCTCCGATATTAAACTATTTGTAGAACACCCAAAATAATTATATATGCCACTGTACCTGCTATAAGCAAGTATCGTATGTATCTTCTGTTCTATTCTTCAACTTACTTTACTTGTTTCGGTAAATTTACAGCACACATTGTAGACATCATTCTAGTCAGTTGTACACGAATACAAATGGGGAATCGATGTTCACGTTTTGATTAACTATCTCAATTTGCTTGGCTGTCGAATTCACGTCTATCGTGATAGGTCCTTGCTTTTTTATGTTTCCTGCTTGCGATGTGCTTTGCATGTACTGTCGTTGGTTGATGATTTTCAATTAGGTTATTGTGTGTTGATTGCTTTTTAAATGGATTTGTTTTCCTGCAGGAGTATGAGGAAGAAGGTCGGAGGTCGAGGCGACATTCGTCACCATGTAACTCACGAGAAGGTAGCACCACGGCGTTACATACGCAACGCTACGATGATGCTGTAAGTATTGTATATTTCTATTTATTTAAAACTGATCTAAAATTTATAGTTCAAAGAGATTTATGTATATTAAACCATTTAAGGTGATCTTTCTTCACCGCTTAATTAATGTTTTTCAGCGGAAATTGTGTATCTGTTTGACTGTACAAAACTGGACGTATTGTTCAGATTATGTTTTCTCAGAATAGAATGATGTCATGTCTTACTTTGAAAAATAGTTGTCGTATAACTGTGTACATCTTTTCCTTTGGGGCTAAGCTATAAATAAAACATTTCAATGATTTGAATAAACGATAGTGATTATGATTCCAAACAATATTAAATAATGTAGGTAACCTAGAAGTATGTTAATCCGAGCTGAGTTGTAATCCAACCTTCTGTATTAAGTTACAAACGACAATGACTCAGATATCGGTGTCATGAAAATAGGAACAATTGTGTCGAAATACAAGCTTAGTTTCGAAATATTGAAAAACATCGACAATCTTTTTTATTTATTTGAGTAGGTCGCTTGCATATTTAATTGGAGAATAAAAGGCACATTATAATTCATCGATCCATATTTATTTTACCACTGAGTGTCATGTTTTAATTATAACTTAACCTAAATTCAGTCTAATCTAGTTGTAAAATCAACATTAGAATTAAATTGTATGCTATGTATTTACAGAGTATTGGAAGCGTCTAAAATCTATTTACCTAAACCTATATCCTAACCCTCCGAAATTTTAAATAACCTCTATTATCAAGTATTTTTGTGTAAATAAGTAAAGTGAATTTACATACCGAATGTCAATTGCATTTTGTTTTATCAAATCATAGTGAATTTAGTCACGTAACGCATACAACAAAATGTATTTATTCAAGTTGAAATTCTTGCTTGTAATTAATCTATAATTGCTTTTAAAATATATACCAAGAGATTTTACCAAATGGATGCGAAGGAAACTTATCGAAGTCTACCATTAAATACGTAAAGGTTAATCATATATCTAGGTCATAGTTTCTCTTGTAAGGATCGCCTCAATTCTTCTGTAGCTTTTGCTATATCTTTGTTCACGTGATGCCTTCCTTTACCACTTAAGTCTGAACGTTCATCCAAGTAGTCTTTTGGAGGTTCCGCGGGGTACTTGCTAGCGAATTTCGGCCGCGGAATCTTCACGCGTTTGACATCACCCAACCAACTTTCCATTCTGCTGATTTTGAGTTTGCAGAAATCTTCTGTAAATAGAAATAATCCTTATTCAAAATAGACGTGCAAAAAAAATATATACATTTTATTATAAAGGCCAAACTATGATTACCATTTAAAGAAATGAAATGTAATTTTAAGCTTGACAAAGAACAATATACACTGTCTTTAACAATTCGTAACTGTGATTCATAAATACAATCGTAAGATACAATTATATGCTTAACCGACGATTAAACAATAACTACGCACGATTGACTTTCTCTAGCGAAAGTGTGTCTAAGTGCGATTTATTTTAATGCTTTCAAAAATCTCGTTTTTTCATTTCTAATTACGACATTATATACGTTACGTTACATTATAAAGGGTTTTATTAGGGTTTAGTAAGGTAACCTTTTACTTCATGAAATTTTTAATAATTTATAACTACCACAGATTATAATAAATTTATATGAGCTGTTAAGATTCGCGCCCATAGTCATAGTATAGACTGACATGTAAACAATGATAATTATTATTCCATAGCACAGATTATAACATTGTCGCATTGTCGTGATGAATGAATCAAATTGTAAATGCACAGATAAAAAATGTGTAAAGCCCGTGCGTAAATAAACCTCCCGTAATAAAAAAAGGCGAGATTGCACCTAGTTGAAATGTAGCGCGGTCGCGAATGCCTTCCAGCACAATGAGGTCTCTCCATTGTGTTGTTTCCGGCTTGTTTTCATAAATACGAGACAACCCACACTTTCAATTAACATCAAATTCATGTACCGGGGACATCTTATTGTTATTATAAATGATACTTAATTATACTTCTTGTGTACACATTGTTCGGTCATATTATATTGTCAGTTAATGTCTGTCACATAAATAGATGTTATTCTTTTGAAAGAAACACGAAGGACTTCGTAATCGAGTTCTACGGTAATAAAGATTGTCTTTTCGTTTTCAAATATTCTTATGGTGACGAAATTCTAGAGGGCTATGGAATAATCGAGCTGTAATGATTCGTTTGTATAGTTTGACTATAAAACACGAATTACAGACGCAGTGAAATTTAGAAAATAAATATTTAAGGCCTTTAGGGATCTTTGTAAAGAAAAATAGTTATTCAGTTATATTATTTATTTTATATAATAAATAATTTATTTAGTTTTAGTTTTAGTTTTAGTTTTTGTTCAACTAAAATCCAGCGAGCAAAGTTCTCGGATAATCGATCTTTTACTATACATTATATATTTAACAAGCATGAGTCAACTCAAACACAGGATATGCGGTTGAAACTGCACTCAGCTCGAGATAATGTCGTAATCGGTCTGTGAAAGCGGGTGGTTACTGGTTAGCGAGTTAAGGAGTTCACACACTTTCAAGTTAATTTGAGTCAATCTTATATACATAAGCATAAAGTCGATGTTACGAGAATATCTTATTACTATCCAAATCCTTCACTTGGGTTCACTATTACTGTATAATTTATATCGTTTTAGGTTGGCTTTGGTAAGTGAAAGTTACTTGCCTTTGTTTAGGGTCAAACTGGTTTTATTACGCGAGGATAAAGCACATGGAAAGATTTATAATGTGGTGGGATTAAACTCGCCGAACTGCATAACTTTTACTCGTGAAACAATACTGGTTTTTTGTTTACTTTCAATACGAGATGTGGACCCTGAACAGCAAACAAATGAACTTGCCCAATTTTTTTCTCTGGGATATTAAAGAGTATTAAAAAATATTTTATTTATGAGATGAGATCCTTTATTTATTATAGTATAATACCGAATTTAAATTTCTATTTAGATTATAATTAAGGACGCGGGTGGGAGTTCAAACGACATCCACAGCGTTACGCTGCTGCTTTAATCAATGGAGTTACCGTGTCCATATTGTGCATAGTCAAATCTAAAAAGATTTTTAATTTATGTAATGCCATCATGTGAAAGTATTAAAGTTATTCAAACGAATTATACTTAGTTAAATGTTGGTTAATTTTTCAAATAAATGATCGTTTTACTAAACGATTACCTCAATAGATTGCATATTTAACAGGCTCATTAGAGTATTGGCGTAGATCGGCAGATATTAAGTCAACAACGTGCTAGCTATGCTTTCTCTGCAACAGCCAATCAGTGGGTAGATTCGAATTTAACGCTATTTTCATATTGAATATCTTGTAGTGCGTTACACTTGAAAACACTGTTGGAATTAAATGCGCTGGGTTAAAATGGAATGAAAATTGTGAAATATCGCTTTGTTTTTCTTATTAAAGTAGCTACTTTTTAAAAGATTTACTAAATAATTCGGGTGATTGACGATAGCTTAGCTTAGCTCTAGAAGTTAAAAAAAGCATAATCCTATATATACTGCATTAAGGTCTAAAATTAAATTAAACGCTCGTGACGTTTTGAAACGCGAAGTAAATGGAGCAACATGGAACAAATAAAAATAAGATTCTGCAAGTAAAACCGGATGTTTGGCAAACTCCCCTGTAGGGAGGAAATTTGAAAATAGATGAAATTCATTCCCAACCTTCTATCGGTTTCCCATTGGACAAGAATAAAAAAATAACAATAATATTTCGCGTTTTCAACCGTTAAAAGTGTTTTTTCTTATTTGTACTGCTTGCGTAAACTACAGAGAATATTGTATTAAGGTAGTAATAAAGTTGACTGTATAGAAAAATCGTGACAGTGTTGCTAATGGCACTCACACGTGACATCGTAAATAATATCCAATTAAGTCTTTACTACTTCTAACTTTCACCGTAACGCCGTAACGTAACTTTTGCTCTTGTTAATCTGACGGAAGTAATAGATAGATTTATTTCTTTGTTCAATTTATTTAATAGTATTTCACGAAACGGTTGACCGCCCCTGCAGGCCAATAGTTAAACGTTTGATCGGAGTGGTATTGCACATTTTACGAAACGGTTCACCATGTTTAACTTTAGTACTAACGTAATAAATACTAAGGTAGTTTTTTAATCACACAAAAAGATCTAGTATGGCCGCCATTACAGGCGGAAAGAAAAACAATTACTTAAATCAGATTATTTATACAATAACTGTACTTTCAATGTAAGTTTGGAGTATTAAATATTGTTTTCTTTGTTAGAATTAGGGCAGTATACTTTTGTGATTACCAAATTATGTTTCCCAAGGATTCTAACTTTGCACTCATTGTTAGGCAATGCGTTTTAACCGATGATACAAGGAGGTTTTAATATAAACAGCCTCACAAACGCTCGTGCAAGTCAGCAACGGCAGATTGGACCAACGATATCTTAAAGTTTCTCTACTCGACAACAATAATAATAAAGATCGCTACTTCACCTTAAGAAACCTGGGTCACGATTACATCCTTGATTTTACAGAGACATTTTAGCATTGAACTCAGTCAAACAATATAATACAAGTACTACGACAAATTATAATACAACAAATTAGAATTATTTTTAATTTAATTTAACTTCATCGTAATTTTTCGGGCCATAGTAAAATAAGTGAACGTATATATTTCGCGTTTGTAAATATTAAAAGTGTTTTATTTAAATGTGTACTACTCGCATAAACTCCAAACAATATGTAAAAAAGACAATACATAAATTGTAACAATTTAAATTTCATGCTTTATTTACTTAAACTAAGTACCTTATACTTGTGCAGTCTTACGAGATCTAAAGTAAATTTTTAATTAAACATAAAATCAAATTACTTTTAGTTTTACTATAGGGGTTTATATAACAATCATAACGTAACTCATTCTTTGATAAAATAATAGGGATACACGAATGTTTATATAATCAAGATAAACGTTTGACAAATTTGTTAACAATACACATTTGGCGATAGATAAAATGCCAAGTTATATCGTATGTTACTGGGAGTGCTCCAGGAACTTGGTGATCCAATCCAGCTGAGAGAAAATTGTCTAAGTCGGAAATTGAGTTCTAAAGCACATCTGCAGTTGCATTTATATATTGACTTATATATACATACATACTAGCTGTGTCAGCCACTTCGTCCGCGAAAATCATTATTTTGGGCATTCAGATTCGTTTTTGAAATTCCCATCAACTTTATAAACTTAAGCTACCCACGACGTCGGGCGTGTCCCTTCCCGTCGTTCTTGCAAGTTAATGTTAAAAGATAGACATATAGCGTCGCGGACTTTTTTTAGATCATTTAAAGAGGAATTATTCTGTCATACATATTTTTTGGGTATCTTGCTCCATTTATGCGTGATGTTTTATAGCCTTCCTCGATAAATGCTCTAACCAACACAAAAAAATTCAATTCGAACACGTCGTTACTAAAATTAACGCGTCCAAACATACAAACTCTTTAGCTTTATATATTTGTATAAATATTAAGTCAAGAGTCCGATATCAAAAAGTTTAAATGCTTAAAATCTATTTTTTTGTTAAAAAACATATTATTGCATTGTCGAGATTTGAACCCATGATCACAGCGTTGCGAGCTATTGCACTTGCATAGCATAGAACATTGTAAATTTGCTATTAAAAAGCTACATGTGATATATAACAATGTTGAGTTTAAATATATTTTAACCGTTTAACGCATGCAAAAACAATGTACACTTGTCTCAACATAACTCCCCTAGGTTCGCAGATTAATATCCCCGTTATATTATGTGGTCATAATGAGCATGCCTCACATATCTGCCCCATATGCGGCACCCACTAGCCTCTTCACATTGTTCTTTATTGCTTGCTGCTAATACGGACCTACTTTCTAGAAAATTGCCTTCATCACAGACCTTACTGTTTCTTACCATCTTTAAGAAATAGTTACATAGTAGATATAATATTTATAAGGGTTACAATCTAAAGACGGAACAATGTAAATACTGTCTATAGTTTACGAGAGTAAAACATATTTAAATAAAACACTTTAACAGTTTAAAACGCGATATATATTAGTTAAACTTATTTGAAAATTATTTTTAACTACGGGCCGACGTTTCGGATGCTTTGCAGCAGCCGTGCAAATGCAAAATACTGACTAATCTAGATCACTTTATATATTGTTGCACACGATGGCATCATATAAATTTAAAAGTGTGGAAATAACATTTACATAGCGCGAGAATTGTATCAACGAGTTGAAGAAATTAGGATGACGTGTGCGACACGGTAGCACAATTGGTTAAATCAGCACAGAACGCCGTGGATGCCCCACTTGTGTCGCAATTTTATCCCATCTAAATAGATTTTTGATTTATATTCTGTGTTGTATAACCTGTACCTAACGAAATGTACGGCATAAGTCAGAATTTGAAATCGTTCATGAAACATTTATGATATATGACTCGCTAATGGAAATATTGTTAATAAAATCGTGTGCGGTCTATTATGGTGTATAATAAAGCGGTTAACGGCCGGGATAAATAACATAGCGGGACAGCGGCATCAAAACAGCGCCGCTTTTGTATGTGTTTTCATATATTTGGTCGTTAATCGGTAAGATCAAGTTCAAGACTAAGGCTTTAATATTGGATGTTTTTATTGTGTATCTTCTTATCGTTTCACGAAACAGTAAGATTCTTTTATTTTCAATTCATTCATTCAATTGTTTCTCATTTTCAAACTCATTATGAAGTATTAATATTTTTGAAAGTAATGAACCGTTTAAACCTTTTTTTTATGATAACTTATTTCATTCTAGATCCGTAAGTAGTGTCTGCCAATAGATATTAGAATGTTTCTTTTGTTGTGTCCAAATTTGTTGAAACAGAATAGACAAAGCATTGCCTCATATTAAAAAGACAATTCCTTAAAAAGAAAAGTATGATTGATGCTTTTTTGTTCATAACCGTATTGTTTTGTATCCAACAAAAAGCGCGACACGTGACCATTACTTAAAATCAACAAAAAACAAAGAACGTACCTACCCACATTACAAATATGTATTCTTGAATCTCTTATCTTACAAGACATAAAAGTACGTATAAAAAGAACTTGTCAGGTGGATAATAAGGCACGAGAACAGCCAAATGAGTACAGTCCGAAATTTAAAGTACTGGCCTTAAGTTTTTCTACCACCGGCAGGATAATTTCGTTGAGATTGCTAAAAGATGCAAATAATAAGGACAATGTAACACATTAACCTCGTTCGGTACTCACCTCTCACGGCAATCCTATGCGATCACTGTCTATTTGTAAACAAATTGCTTGTATGAGAAATGTAATACGTGCACTCCACAAAGCGTTTTGATCAAGACTGGTGGATGTGGTACGGCGTGCTTGTGCGACCTCAGAATCATGCACGAGCTCGGTTCAAGTCTCAACAGTCCAATTCTGCTATAAACTGTACCATTTGGTATTCTACTAACACAATGACGGCCACTACTAAACAGTGTCGGCTTTACAGTCGATTGACGCTTAGTAGTATACCGCTTATTTCATTAGCGCGAGTGCCTCTCTAGTTTGTTCTTTCAGTTAAATCCGTAAAAAAAAATAGATTTAATTTGAAACTTTGCTAATCTCGGTGTTATATTTTTGTAAACACTGATCATTTCATCAATTTCTCATAATGTACACATAAATAAAATGTTAGATAGCGAATATTTCTACTAAATTTCATCATGATTGTAATGAAACTAATTTAATTAATTAACTAATAATCTAATGACTCTGTGGATCCTTGATTAATATATACTTATATAGATAAACCTACACAACATTTCTACTAAAAGATGTAAGAAAGACACTAATGAAATCTAACCTAAAATTGTGCCAGTAAAATATATAACGGCTTCGAGGAGCATTTTCACGATAAAGACAAAACATATTAGTTTTTATCTCCATCGGTTCTCACGGCAGTAACATCTGCTGGAACTGGATAAACCGGAAATCTTAAAGCACGAAATTTCTTTAATGGTGCTTTTAATTTTTGTTTTATGTAACTATTAAATGATAAATAATTAAAATCATATCATCATAGTGTCATAAAAAATTTAAGTATTGGAACGCGCTTCATTATATTAAACCACTAGCTGTGCCAGCGACTTTGTCCGCGAGAATCGTTATTTTGGGCATCCAATTAGTTTTTGCATAACGTCATCTTTATAAACTTAGCTGTTAGCCGCGACGTCAATCGCGTCCCTTCCCGTCGTTCTTGCAAGTTAATCTTAAAAGATGGACATATACCTTTTTTAGATCATTTAAATGGGAATCATTCTTTCGTACACAATTTTTAGGTATCTTGAACCGTCTTCGCAGCGTACGTATCTGAAACCTACAGAGATGAAGAACTTCCCCCGTTTTGTTCACATTTCTCGCTGTATCTTCGCTCCTATTAGTCACATCGCAATAGCCTATAGCCTTTCTTGATAAATGCTTTAACCAACACAAAAATATTTTTTCCCGATCCCGATCGAACCCGTACTTCCTGAGATTAGCGCGTTCAAACAAACAAACTCTTCAGCTTTATATGTATATTATGATAGATTTTTGTTGAGAGCGAATTCAATAATTAAATAAGCAGAGTGTATTGCAATATCTGGCAATCAGCATTACTGTATTTGGCTGGAATATTTCATCATAACTGTTTGATTAATTAACAATACACTAGCTTTCAGACGCGACTCCTCTGCGTTGTTTCGAATTTTGACATCACTTTTATCGTGTTTATGATTATATTTGTAATTGAATAACAAATATAAAATTTAATCCCAGCTCAACAAATGACTGAAACATTTGTTTATCAACGCAATAAAACAAAATTTGATTCACCAAAAGTCATTGCGGGTGATACAACAATTTTAAAGGATCTGATTTCAATAATCTGGTTAGAAATCTATGCTTCCTCAATTTAAAGCTAAAAGTCCCTGTAGTATTTTCAAAGATTAGAGATACAGACAGACAAGACCACTTATATTTCTCAAAACATTTTATCTATATAGTCTCTATTTTTGTGGTACCTGCATTTATTGACACTGTTAAACATACGAACAAGCCATCGCTATTCCTATTTATATATTGTTTTAAAATACTTATTAAAACTAACGGTAGTTGATCAAAGATATGAAAGCTTTCATCTATCTAAGAACTAATGCTTAAATGACTGGGTGTTCTCTTGAAACAACGTTATTTGAAGCAGGTTTTCGTGGGAATAACGGCGCGCAGAATTTTAATTTTGCTCCGTTATAATGTATCTTTGATCTAAGCTTATGCATTTGATTTAAAAAGGATTTTTGAGCCTAAAATTGAAAACGATTTCGTACATTTTTAATCGATACTAACAAGAATGTGTGGTGTATGTGTCAATATCTATCCCCGTTAAAAGGGATTAAAAGCATAAAAGGTTCATAAGTGTACTTGGTGAACAAATATTTCATTTGGTTTGACGTCATAATTAACGAGGTACCTTAACTTACCTTACTTAAAACAATTTTCATTTCATGCGCCTTATTATGGTAACATCAAAGGACCAGGTACGTATAAAATAAATAAGACTAAATGATGTTTTAATTTAGATATTTTAGTGCTAGGATTTGCGTTAGCCGTTAACGTCACCGTAATTATATATCATTTAGGTATACATAAAGTATCAATAACTTATTTTTCACGTACAACATTTGCTCTAAAAATCTGTAATTTTCATGCATGGTGTTTCGGGGTTTAAACGCGGTAGAGGGTCTCTTTAAAATCTTATCGCAAATGGGAGCGGGTTGCGCCATTTATGTGAGAAAAGACTGAGAGATTCAGACGCTGAGTGAGTGTGATGTTTCAGTGCGGCTACCTCGAAGGGCTGCGCTCATCACTCGGTGGCTGGACGCAGAAAGTTAAATCATGGTACTGGGGACGACCTCTAGTAAGTGGCCCGGCCTTCCACCGTCGGAACAATCAGCGATCTGTCCTAGCACATTGACGACTCTTGCACGATATCTATAAAAAACCCTTTTTCAAAATTCTCGCTTAAAATTCGGACAATTGCTTGATGTTAGAAACATTATTTTACACTTTTTTTAATGTTGCACATGTTTTGTCGATAATTTCAATTATTTTCGTTCGATTAAACGTAGTCTTACAGCACATTTTTTTATTTTCACTACGGTAACTATTATTAGGTCGGTTCTGTTAGACCGTAGAAGTTATTGAGATTATCAGCTACTTTATTCATAATGCATGATGATTTTGGCTTTGACATAATCGTGTTAAATCGGTATTGCATCTATGAATAAAAATGTATAGTTACATTAAATGACGCGTTAACTATCAATACTTTAATTATTGCATGTGCTAAAAGCGATTTTCGTTGATTTTGTTTAATCGATTACAAAGTCTAAATTTTATGTTTGTTAAATTTAATTTGCTGACCAATTATCATTTTCTGAATCGGCTCTATACCTACCAAATGCTAAATAGTGACATAAACGAAGTCCAAACAAGAACAAACCGACACTTAATAAAAAAATTGTACCACGCCACCGAGTGATCGAAAAGCATGATTCTATGAGCTCACATCTCACGTTCAGCTTTTCAGATAATATAACGGATCATTACATTACCTCCTGAAAAGCACGAAACCGTTGTATATCTTACTTAGATGGAATACTAAGCCGCTGATCTGCCCTCCCATCCAGTGTCACACTGTCCTTTATATTTAGAGCACACCATTGTATTTAGAGGCTGACCAAATCTTGCTGTTAGAGTAGAGTATGTTGTACATAGTCTAATAGTTTAGGAGGCTACTATTGAATAAGTACGTGTATTAATAGCTTAATTGTTTATTAGGAACTAGCACACAAATTATCGCGAAGTTTCGATATGAAGGAAGACGGCGGCACTTTATTGGACGAACGAGGTGGAATAAGAAGACATCAATCAATGCAGAGGCTACAGCACGGCGATGGACAGAGTGACGAAAATCGTTCTGCGAGAGTGGTCCCCGACCATCATGGAAACCTACATATTACTGTTAAGAAGACGAAGCCCATTCTTGGTATTGCTATCGAAGGAGGAGCAAACACAAAACATCCGCTACCAAGAATAATTAATATTCATGTAAGCATTTCCAGGAGTAAAAATAAAAATTTAATATATATATAGCTCCTAAAGCTACAGATAAATTTTACTTCATATATTAATTTTTTCTTATCCCTTTGAAAACCAAGAAGTTTTATTTTTCATTTTAAGTGAAAGTACTCGTTTTTGTCTTAGGAGCATGGTTCAGCGTATGAAGCTGGAGGCCTAGAAGTGGGACAGCTCATTCTGGCGGTGGATGGGCAGCGAGTAGACGGCATGCAACATCAAGAAGTTGCCCGACTTATTGCAGAGTCTTTTGCACAGAGAGATAAGCCGGTTTGTATATTTTCGTATTCATAAATATCAATTTCTTCACATAATAACACATTCAAAACAACGGGCTTGTATAGCTACAAAACCGAGTACCTATGACATCTACAACCCGAATTTAGCTCGCGTGTAAAGAGTAGGTTCAAAAGACTCTTATGGTACAAATTCCAAAACTTACTATTAAGATTTTACCGATCATTATAGACGATGTATATATCAGTGAGATCCTGCTATAACTTTTCTTAATAATTTTCAGGAGATCGAGTTCCTAGTAGTGGAAGCAAAGAAATCAAATTTAGAACCGAAGCCAACAGCACTAATATTTTTGGAGGCCTAACATCTACTGTCCCTCCCCGCCAGCGATCCACCGGCCGCGCAGGGCAACGCGATGCTGGGGGTCGACCTCACCGCACACACCACGGAATAGCCAACTCCAACCTGCGCTGTCACATGCTCTTTTAAACGATACGATTAGGCGCCTGCGTCTTTTTATGTAGCAAATGTAATGTCGGTAACTATGTCGGAGCCCGAAGTTTCATTCGGGTCATCAGAGACGTCTGTTTCGCGACAATGCCTACAGAAACACTTCAGGCGCAAATCCGTTAAACGTTTGTTCTACGACTCAACCGAATGGTGTACCTACGATATAGAAGTCACTCAACGGCTGTAATGAGAACAATATTACGCAGGTTTCCACAGGCTATACAAAATTAATGGCACAGGGGAGGCGGATTCAAATGTCTGTTCTCAAATTCTAAAATTACTCATAATGCACTCTGCCCAACGATTCGTTTCTTCGTGGAACGCCCCATTTACCACCGGGATCTTGTGGGTAGAAAAATTTTGGAAATCGTTTTCTAGAGAGTAGGAATTAAAAAGTTTACCAGTTGATAATGACTGAATTTTATAACAATGTTCTACTTTTAATGAAAATCATAAATTTAACTCAATTATTTTGTACGTTCACAACATACTAGTGATCACAAATAGATCTCTTTGGTAGAAGGCATTCATTAAATAGAACTAGCAATTTCAAGGAGGAGTAGTTTTGCTAAAATAGTTTGGCATGGTGCTATGAGTAACGATCATCGTACTTATCAACTTTAAAGATTCGATCGCTTCGTAGATTTCAGTAAAGTTAGTTCAAAGCTTAATTGATTTTCGCCACTGTCATGAGTCATTTGCGTCATCCATGTGCCATTTAGGTTTGCATCACCTATTTCAACTAAATACTAACACGCGGGTCATCTCATCTCAGATCGTTGTATCGAAGGTAGATTGTAGATTGTATCAGAGCATTATCATGTGGCCAGTAGCAGACTAGAGCTTACAGCATGCGGCGCTAACTAAGCAAGCTGTACCAACAACGACAATATTTTGATCTGACATCATCAAAATACGACTGATACATTATTATTTTATAATTAATGTTTCGTTTAAAACGTGAATACTTATAAGTACGACAATTATTTCTGTTCGTCTTGAAATCAATCCAGTTTGCTTAGAATAGAAAATCGATTGAAGCGCCCGACCATTCCACAAGTTGAGCGGTGAGTTAAGGAGGTTCTGGCGGAGAGGGATTTCGCCCACTCTTGTTTAATGTAAAGTAGCTATAATTGATGTGTGCAATATAATCTGATTTTGTGTAAGTTGTTAGTTTTACGGCAGTAGACGTATTCAGATCCCTGTATCAGATCGATACATCATAATCGGTAGATTTCAATAAATGTGAGAATATGTTAGTTCGCCATTACAAAGTGTTATGCAAAATGCAAGTATCCTGAACAATATTGTATGGCACGTAAGTCTGTTTGTTGCATTTAGACGTAATTGGTGCAAAATAAATATCAGTCAATGTCGTTGTCGCTGAAAGCTTAATCCTTTTACATATTTTGTAGATAGTCTCCACGAACCCCCATACTTATCCTATATTTTAAAATCTATTTCTAGTTTCGCGAGTGGTACACATTAAATGGAACTTTATTAACTGTTTAAAATGCTAACTAATATCGTTAATAACCCACGACCTGGCGTTTCGAAGCATTCTGCTTATCTATTTAGCAACTTTGATGACACGTATCGTAGTTAAATCAAGTAACGAATTCAGTTTGCATTTTTAACCCTTAAAAATGTTTACACGTTTAATGTGTAATGCCTTCATGTAAAAAATATAGTTCATTTAAAAACCCACTTTTTCACTATGTAAATGTATGTGCCCGGTCGTAAAATGTAAATATTCGCATTTATATAACATTAGTGCGCCCGTTTGGTAATATTTAAGCTGTAAATATGTGAAATTGGATATTTTTTTTAACTCATTGATGGTAAATACGTCACGTTAGTGCCAAAAGTATACAACCTATAAACTATAAATAACACTTGTACAAAGTTACTAACTAGAGGTTATTGTTTTATCAAATGAATAAAGCTCGCTTAATTATGAGATACGCTTTTTAATATTAGTCTCTGAAAAATATGTATATTAAAAAAAACTTATGACAACGGCGTAGGTATATTCATTTGTTTATAAGCTATCTGTATAAGCAATTATAAATATTATTAATAAAATGCATATTTATTATTTAAAAAATAATCTGTGTGCTTTCATAATGACGAAAATAATGATAAAATGATCGCGTTCGATTTCTGTATGAAAATGTGTTTATATTTTGTCTTGGACGGTTCCTGCTATGACACTAATTTGAAACTAAGATATATAATTAATTCATTACGAATAAATCTAATTCTATTGTAGAAAATGTTTTAGCTTACAAAATTTAAGGAGAACTTTATATCTCGCATGTTTTTCTGTTGCATTTGAGTATTATAATTACACAGATAAAAATATTGAAATTGATACCTTGTGTATGTATTGTTTTCAAAAAGATGTATAAACTGTAAGTACGCAAATGTTTGTATGTTTGTTTGTATTGGAGCATTACATTTACTATTAGATTAATTTCTATATGTATACCTACTATTTGCGACTTGTGTCAATTCGTTTAACTAAGCAATGTTTAAAAATACATACGTTAGCACCTATTTGATAGAGAATATTGTATTAGCCCGAAACATAAGTGTGAATGACGTGTTTTATGTTAGAAGTGAATTCGCTACCCAAAAGTGCAGATTATAATTAATTTTGTCTTACGTCACTTGCACAAGATGTTATAATGACGCTGCCTTAACCGTTGTGCTAGGTATTACTTAATCATTAATATATAATTACGAAGCGATTATTTAATTAGATCAAAGTGATTATATTAAACTCTATTTATTCGTACGGACCTATATAAGCTGTTTAAAAGAGGATTTTTTGTACTTTGAGTTCTCATCTTTACCAGCTCAGCAAACTCCTATGATCTCTTCTATACCGTCCATTTATTTTTTCTTCGTTTTTAAAATATGATAAATGCAAAAATGGCGAGGACTACTCAATACATACAGATATACAATTTAACATAATTAATAAATACTTAACTATTCTTCACGCTGGTATTAGGTTGGGAGGATCTATATTGTAGTTCGTTGTTAAGTTTGCCGTTGATAACAAAATATATTGTTACCTAGATAATTTTTGTTTCATTTATAAAAGCCGAATCCAAATAAAACTCTTTAAATGTTTTACAGCGCAAAACATACAAGCTACAGAAACTTTGAAGAACCCACGTTGCAAATTATCTAAAAATACTCTCTGTATAAATACTCTCTGTAGTTTACGCGAGTAGAACACATTTAAATAAAACTGCTTCTACAGTTTAAAACGCGATATATATTAGTTAAACTTATTTGAAAATTATTTTAAAAACGGCCCGAAGTTTCGGATGCTTTGCAGCAGCCGTGGTCACGGTTAATCATTTTACACGGTAAAGGGTTTTATTTAAACGTCAAGTATTGGGTAAAAATAAATTAGGCCTAGCACATGGCATTTCTATGTATTAAAAAAATGCCGTGTGTTAGAGACGTTTGACAGCGTCACAGGTGTTTCATTTAATGAATGATTTTGTTATTAATTTATTTGCTGTAGAATTTGGTAAACTATACTTAATTTCTAATGTATTTTCTAAAACGATAAGAGCCTTTGACTTAAAATTGCTAAAAGATAAATGTCATCTTTCTGAAATAAGTAATAATATCCCATTGTTCTTAGAGTTCGTATTAATTGAATCGATTCTTATGTGAATACTTCCTATCAGTTGTTTTCACTTCACATTCGATTTAATTTTACAATAATTATCTTCACGAAAATGCCCTGACATCTTTCATCTTTATCGAAATGTAAACATTTTTTATAACCTCCGTGTAATACACAGAAAGTTAAAACTTTCCACACATTTTTTTTTTCTACAAACAACGATTTTTCCTGCTAAATCTCTGCAAAAAAATGTTTATCCTATACTACTCCTCTATTAGTAGTAACTACTGTACTATTTAATATTAAAAATCGAAGCCAGACAGACGGGCGTCGTAACGCGTGACGCTACGAAACTCTTTATCCTTAGAGTTAACATTTTAAAATAACAAAATAAATCTCGACTACACGCTTATTGTGATTGTCTTGATTGTTTCGTAATGCGCATTGGCCACTTAGCCATTTTATTGCTGCTGTGCCGCCAGTCTGTCTACAATAACGTTAGAATAGTCAATGTTGCGTCAGCCAAATTCTGTTTACCGTTTTTTTAGCTGCCCAAATGCGTGCGCTTGCATCTGTGCTCCCATCTATTTTTATTTGTTTATTTATTTCAAAGTGGATAGTTTAGATCTTTAATTATATTTTATTGCATATTGTTTGTCTATAAATAATTGACAGTTACAATGGATTGAGTAAGTAACCAATAGATGGCACTGCTATCCATCTATGTAAAAAGCATGATGGTCCCCGTGACTGACGTTCTCCTACTGTTCCTCTTAAATTGTATATCACAATGTAATAAAACAATAACTTCAGCCACAGCAACGCGTGGCCGGGTCTGCTAATAAGATACAAAATATATTGAAGTATACTTAAGTGCGTAATTAAATGAAATGAAAAGTCTAAATCATTTTGATGTGTTAAATTTGGCTTTTTAATTTATGAAATTTGGAGGAAACATGAATTGAATTGTTTTTTTAAAACAATTTTGTGTTAATGCATGATTATAATGGACCATTCCATAGGGGGAAAAGAACTAAGACGACAATTAAAACATTTAACAAAGGGAATACAGTGTGTCGGAGATGTTCGTAGTTTTTTAATCTCAATTCATATCATGTTTATACTTATACAAGCTATCATGCTATAAGGATATTATAACACTTAATTCAAACGATGGTTTGGTAAACACATCGTTCATCTGTTTCCTCCCGAGTAAATCACTATCGCATTTTACATATCATTAATTAAAATTTGTTATAGGATAATAGGATTATTAACTTGGTACAGGCCCTGTGAACCGTGATAGTCGCATACGCAACAGCTGTCCTTGAATATTTTAGTGTCCGAACTCGCATTGTTCATATCCATTTGCTGTCAGTATGCTCCAGTTTTTTCTGCAGAATTTGAGACGTAAAGCGAAAACTCAATAATAGATAAATAATTCACGTGTAATTTCGTGGATCGCATGAATCAGTAATTTTTTGATGTTTCGATTGCAGTCGATTATCCATTAAAGTAAAGATTCCAATCTATTGAATTTCTGTATGTCGTATTTAAATTACTCGCAGATTATAAAATAGTTTCGCTCTTAGTAAAAACTTATTTTATTTTTTTTTTAAATAAAACACTTTAACGGTTTAAAACGCGATATATTAGTTAAACTTATTTGAAAATGATTTTTAACTTCGGCCCGACGTTTCGGATGCTTTGCAGCAGCCGTGGTCACGGGGAGACTAAAGTTTAACTAATATATCGCGTTTTAAACCGTTAAAGTGTTTTATTTAAATGTGTACTACTCGCGTAAACTATATACAGTATTTAACTTATTTTATTACTATCTATTTTGTTTGATTAGTACCAATTGACCTACTACCTAGAATAACTTAATATAAGTTATTACTCTATTGGTGTAGGTCCTCCAGGTAAAGCATAAAGATTTATTTTCAATCTAAAACTCACCTATTGAAGACTAAATAGGATATTTTATCATTGATCTAATAAATTCTAAATAGCACTTATACACTGGGGTCACAATGTTAAACTTATCCGGTTCCATCCGGCCAAGTATCTATCAGTTCAACTCATAATACAAAGATAATATGGCGAATATAGGGAGCCCTATGAACTTTAAAGTTAAAAAAAATGTTTAAATAAACCACTTTAACGGTTTAAAACGCGATATATTAGATCCCAATAAACAGCATACCGGCAAACGCGAAGACACCGTTAGTCAATTCTGCAAGTCTGGTGGCCGATGGAACAGATTCCGCTAGCGTAGCAATTTTTTACTTTGACGTCAGAGACATCCTCCATCTTTTGTCTCAGGGCCGAAGTTAAAAATCATTTTCAAATAAGTTTAACTAATATATCGCGTTTTAAACCGTTAAAGTGTTTTATTTAAATGTGTACTACTCGCGTAAACTATAGACAGTATTTAAAAAAAATGCCCTATTGTATTTCTCCTTAATTTCATTTACGACGATACGATACTTTTATATACGTCGTTCAACTTTTTATTCAAGTGAAGTGGGAAAGCCCGTTTCCCGTCGTGGTGCATATGGCGAACACATCTCTGTGTCCGTTTCACTGATTCCTTCTTTTAACAATTGTATGTTTCCCTGGGTTTCGAACCCAGGACCTCTCGCGCTTAACGCAATGCTAGATGGCGTTTAACCATTTGGCTATAGAGGGGGTCACTTTTTTACTAGGTTATACATAGGTTACATAATTATTGTTAACGTGTAGAAATTATGAAAAAGTTTAATTTTGAATACATGGATTTTTGGCGTCTAAACAACATTGCGTGAACTAATTATCGTTCAGGAGGGATCGTTTAACATAATATATTGTAAGTGATATAAACTAAGCACACATTTAAAAACTGCCAAATTTGTTACTTCGGTGTAACATGGAAAAATATCTACAGTACATACATAAACTGTGATTATGGTACAAATTATTTAAAATAAATAAAAAAATCTTACCTGTTATTACTAATTAAATTATTATCAATAAAAATCTGTCAAACGTAAGCCGACTAGTCTGAGAATAGAAGGTACATACGCCTCTACCCTTTTTACGTCAAAAGCTTTAATTACTTATACAAGAAACTAAAAATTCCCACGACGTCACCCATCCACTTATAAAAACAAATTTGTTATTTATCAATGACGTCTAATTCGGAAGTAACATAGTATATTTAATAATATTTTGATGTAAACGTATTGAGTTGTTTTGATATCATCATAGTGAACTATGATAAACAGAATCGTCTATTAATTATCCTTTATTGAAACTGTCTATAATGTATGTCAAAGCGTCCAATCGCCAAATACGTCATATTTTTGTTGTTTTTTGGTTTTCTGATAATTAATGTTGCTCTACTATGTCATTGTGCGTATGTAATTTCGAATACGATTAAAAATTCCCCCTCCATGACTGATTTTTCTGAAATATGTCGTTGAACTAGAAATCTTAAACTAGTTATACTTGTATAGTATGATATAAAAATATGTATCTTATACACAGGTAGTACCTACAGAAATAATGCGAAATTTTTTACAAATATTACATCACATTATGTAAAACAATCTTTATCGTACATTCCGGAAATCGAATTCGTCTCCTTTGACAAATTTAATATTAATTGCTTATTTAGATTCTATTGCATAAAGATTTTCAAAATAAGAAATAAGTTACTCAATTAAATTAAGTTTATAAATAACCTGAGGACCTGCAACGTTTATTTAGTTTGAATTCGAGGTCACCTCGTGCCCAAGAATACCGTTAGGTATGCTTTTCGAATACCCAAAAATAAATTCAAGCTCTAAAAATAACCTGATGCATATTGGGTTTCTAAATATAGAATAACTTTCAATGCTGTAAGAAGCCAGTATAAAGATATTACTTTAATATTAACGTTCCGTATACATAATTATCGATTAGATTATATTTATTTCTTAATATCAAACATTGTCTGTATATTTTTTTATCTAAATAAAATACTAGTGCTTTTGTGAGGTACTTTCAACATTGTTATTTTTTGATAGAACTAATCTTTACTATTTAGTTCTAAGAAGGATCTAAATCACTCTGTATTTAATAACAATATTTTATGTATTATCATTCTAATATTACGCGAGTTCATTCAACGTTGTAAATACGTCATCGCGTTCGACCAAACAGCCTGAATAGCGATGACAACAAAACTCGTTTTATAGAATAACAAATTGTAATAGCAGTTTGTTTTAGCACTTAAGTACATAAGTGCTAAAACAAAATCATATTAAAATATCTAGATCTAGATAATTGCATTTCGTATTAGCTCATAAAACGTTATCTACTCTGCGCATGTCTATAGTATATAATATGTAATAAATCCATTAAAATTTTGAACATTTACCTACATTTTCATCTTTTAACTTCGACGCGAAAATGTGCAGAGTATTTAAATAAAACACTTTAACGGTTTAAAACACAAAATAAGTAAGAAGTTCGGTTCAATATTTTGATTCTAATGATTTGATTCGGCTATTCGTTACATCATCCTGTTTTGTCCACGTGATATGTGTAGCCATAATAACAATGAAGGTTGTTTTTGCAATTCATCGCCTTTTAAAATAGTTTAATAGTTTTCTAACCACTGCTTCAAATAATTCTTCTTTATCGTACTATGCTAATTAGCGATTACCGAACCATCTCTTATATGTATACAATACATAATATCACACGTATCGTAAAGTATGACTCTACTCTACTATGGCTAGGTAGTTTTTCTCAAATATAAGTGTTCTGAAAAATTAGAATAATAATAATAATAAAAATTACATTTTAATATTAACCTAGCTTAATAAAATTATAAGAGAAGAAGATTTTTTAACAATATCTACTGCTAAATCTAGAGAGCAACGACACGGTAAGGTCATGTCATGGATTCGAGTCCCTATCCATTTTTTTCAATTAAAAATATTTGAAATACATAGAAATGAAATAAAAACGAATATGCTGATGTGTAGAATCGTGTGGCATGACGCCAAAATCACGGAGAAGCCGCACGCGCCGCTCGCAAGATAAGCTAACAGTTACATCAGATCGCTTTTGGCGGCGCGTGCTCAACCACCTATAAAACTACCGGCTCCGATACCCGCAACTCATTCACCAATTGAATGTGATAGATAACAAGTCAATATTAGTTTGTGGCAATGATCTACGCTCTCATGCATTTAACTGATCTAATTAATTCAAATCTCGATTGCGAACAGTGGTGGCACAGTGATAATTTATGTGACAGTCATTCGCCTATCTTCGAGCATCAACACAGATAATATTTACTGATTGACGGGTAAATATTTTTGTTTTGCTTTAAAGACTAAGTAAATTTCAGTTAGTAACTAGTCATAATTTCATTCGAGAAATTTTTAGTTATACCTAAATATTTTCTATACCTACTGTTCAAAATATATACTGGTGACCTTTTTATCTTTGGGTTATTTTGCTTAAATTATATTACGTCAATAATTGTTCGCGATCCTCAGTCCATTATGATAAAGACGCTTATTAAAATTGCGATAGCCGAATAAAAAACAACGAAATTCACTTTGTTCTCACACAATAAAGGAAAAGAGAAAGTAATTAGTAATATTAATTACTTTAGCTGATACATTTATTATTATTCAGCAGCAAGTGCAGTTCGTCGGTTATTTTTTATTAATTACGTCAGTCCAAGTTCAATACAAAACTGCATGAATTGTTCATTCTATCACTACAATTTCCAATTAATTTGTTTCAGTATTGCCGCTCGCAGAGAGAATAATATATATTAAGATTTTAATCTAAATATTGCTATACACGAGGACTGCCAAAATGACTTCTGTCCAAGCACTCCAATTGAACTTATCGAAGCCCCTCCCGATAACTCAAGATTCTAATGATTTTGACATGATGGCGCTGACGAAGGCCGCCTTGAGGTTTGTCAATCCGTGGTCTGTAGCGGTGAAATCTGAATGGACTCTTAAGGAAAAGATTGAACCCGGCGCACCAGAAGCGAAAGATCGTATAATATCTCTAGCGGAAGTTTCTTCCCACGATACTCCCGATGACTGCTGGGTTGTGATTTATGATAGAGTGTATGACATATCGAGCTTTCTTGATGAGGTAAGAATTTGTAAAATTCAATTGTTCTATACAAAAGGAAACATAATTTTATGCAAACAGTTCAGAATTTGATGGGCTCCTTAGTCTTGTAACAGCAATGTAGGGCTAATAACTAACGGGGCGTGGGTTCGATCCCCACCGCGGCCAACATGTTGCTAATTTTTCAATTTGTAATTTTTATGAATCATGTCGGACTTCTTCTGGAAATCGAGATATTGAATGGGTGGTAGGAATGTCGAAATTCCATCAATTACGAATCACCGTCCACAGATGAAAAAGTCGTGAAGTTTAATCGCGTTTTAGTCTGTGGATTTCCGAATATCCAAAGCCAAAATAGGTCGACGGTGCATCTTTCCTATATGTTATATGGTTGGGGTATTTTGCCTTCCATCCAGTGAATTCTATGCTTATCTGTCTTCCTCCATTAAAGATGTAATATTAACAAAGTTTCGTTTCCTCTATAGCACCCTGGTGGCGCCGATATAATGCTTGAGTACGCTGGACGTGACGCCAGCACCGCCTTCCGCAGTTCAGGACATACGAAATCCGCCACTAAAGCCCTAGAGAGGTTTCTCGTTGGAGAGCTACCGATGCAGGAACGAATGTACAGACGCCCCGGGGGCATGCGCCTCAGCGACATTCCAGAGTGAAAAATATTCGCACTGCATTAATTGTATTATAATTTACTAGTATCGCAGCGACTTCGTCCGCGTAGAATAGTTCTTTTGGACATCCAAATTTGTTTTTGCTAACCTTATCTTTATAAATTTAAGCTGTTACGACGTCGGTCGTGTCCCGTCGTTCTTGCAAGTTAAGCTTAAAATATAGACCGTAATATAGAACCGTTTTCGCCGGCTACGAATTGGAAATCCTCTAAGATGCATAATTTTCCGTTTCCACATTTTCACTCCTGAGTCACATTGCGACGTGTTATAGCCTATAGCATTCTTACCAACGCAAAAATGATTTTTCAATTCGAACCCGTAGTTTCTGAACGCGCTAACGTTCAAACATACAAACTCTTCAGCTTTATATATTAGTATAGATGTGTAAGCCCGACTTTGTTTTTAAGCGCTTTCAGATAAAACATTCGCTAGTTGCTAAGCAGTAAATACGATACCAGTGTAATAACCTTTCCTAAATTATTATTAGCGTTTAAGTTTACCTCGTTTATTGCAGTGACATAAAATTATTGATAAGCGTTTTAAGTATTACCTATAGCTGAAGAACAAAGCCTTAGAAAGGCGATTAAATGTAATTAGCATGTTTATTAATAATTAATTTGTATAGATGACACTAACGGAATATAAAAGGGTGTTATTTAAAAAAATGTGTAAGGCTTTCACGGCCATCGTTCAGCTTATCATTGTTTTTCCATCTGTTCAACATCTCCTGATGATGCCGTCCGCTTGTGACGGCGAAACGTCGAGAACCTATTCTCGTTTACGTCGGCCGAACAGCCCGAAAAACAACGATAAGAAAAATTCTTGTTGTGTTTAATTTTTATTTAAATGCTACCATATGTTTATGCATTTACCTACTTATCGTTTAGAACTAAGGGCTCGCAGTATTAATAAGTATCTGTTTATTTCTGTTTGATACATTTAAGTATATGGCAAAAGTTCCTATTATAATTGTTCGGCAATACATTTTAATAAAGTCTTTTTAAACCTTTTTTCTTTGTTTCTTATAACCCCAAACATTGTCTTATTGGAGCAAACTCATCAATGCAATTAGACGAAGGAAATAAAAATTAGGCAAGTGTCATCAGATATTTTATTGATATTTGCTTCTGTATTTATAAAAGACTTAAAAAAGAGAATTCGTGTTATTGAAACTTTGTTCATATATAAATGTCCTTAAAATGTCGATCCTTTGCTTGCTTTTGAAACTAATTATTCATACTTTCTTGTCAGATCTGAAAATAAGAAACAGTAACTAAATCGTAGAAAATGTTTTATTTCATTAGCCACAAAGGAAAGAGACAGATGGATTATAAATAATATAGCACAGTAGTACCGAAAAATTCAAGGAAAATTATCTATTTTAATTTAGATATAAAACATGAAAGAACCAAGGAAGATTTTTTATTAAAACTTCATATGTTATCCGTTTGATGCGCCCTAAGTCTCTAAGAAACAAAAATACGAATAATAAAACAATTTAGTGTATTGTTTTTGCTCTTTTGTAATATTAACGTTAAAAAATGATAAATAGTGTGAGTCAGTAAAAATTATTACTTGGAACGCTTAGATATATAATACTAATCTTGTAAATGACCTCACGTTGTAGACAATGATAACTGATAAACAGTCATAACATTTTAAATAAGATACCCAAACTTCACTTATTAGACTTGGAACAATTTATTATAACATACCTACATCTACGCAGATAAGCCTGAAAATTATTTAATTACGTTCAAGCGGATTGTTAACATCTTATACTCTACATTGAAATATATAAATCACCCAAGTTTAAGTACGTTAACGCTACGGTCTCCTATAAACACCGTATAAAGCGCTACTATAGAAATCGTTGTTGTCTCAAAGGTCCCCGTTGACGTTTAAAAAAAACCCGTAGACACACTTGTCACGCTGTGATCGGCCGGCCCCGAAACCACAATCGCAGGCAATTGTTCCGCGTACCACTCACCCGGGTGAGCATTCGACCAGTTCTTCAAGCTCCAACCCACATTGCGGTGGTCAAATTCGAGGCCCCCCCCGGGCATTCTTGGTCTACCCGTGTTTGCAGCCAAACAGCAATACATGAAATATTCCATAAAAAAAATTAAGCTCTGAAGTTTTGTGGACGCTTTTTTAGGTATTTTATTTGATAAGATCGTTAACGTTAAATTTGAAGCGAGTTTCACCATTTTTGTAAAGGAGTTACTAGACGTCGTCTTTTATACTTTCTGTGTTCATCTACTACTAATACGTACTAATCGGGATCGATCCGGAATTTGTGAGGCGGTATAATATGCTATACACGGCTCTAACATAAGACCGCAGCCTTAGTAGCATAAACGTTCAACAATATAGTTAATTGACCTTTTTATTATACGTCAGGTATAAACACTTCAATTACATGTGTTTTAGATAATTATATAGTGTTACTAGGTTCCAGGATGATATCAAATTCAGTCAAAACAATAATAATATCGCAATAAAACTGTTTACAAATTTTGCACAGCAGTATGTAAAATTTTGCCAAGCCAAGCTGCAGACACGGGCACTAAACATCAGACGGGTGTTTCCTACTTTGCCTTTGTCTTCGACAGAGGAGGCATGTATAATGCCCCATAACATGTTATTAATAATACGCTGTCAAGATTTTTGGGTTTCAAATTTGCACATTACATGTTGGACTATCAACATTTAATCTATTTAATTTAATAGTTACTATATATATATTTTTTTTTTTTTTTTTTTTTTTTTTTTTTTTTTTTTTTTTTTTTTAGTTAAGTGAAATCCCGTTTCTCCCCGTGGAGCATAATGCGGATACATTTCTATGTCCGTTTCACTAATTGCGATCAGGTATTTTTAAAGAATATATTTAAAAAAATGTTAATCGTTCAAGATTGTTTTAAAATCAATTATAATTAACTACTGCTCGCGTTCACTGCACTGATGTTGAAAATTTTGATTTTGTTACTAATTTAAATATACCTTGAAACGATACATAAAAATATATGTCGTCCGTGACATAGGCAAAATTCAGGTTATTAAATTCCACTAAACATTGGTTTAACTTGGTCAATTATTCCATTTATTCATACTTCACGACCTTTTAGATTTGTTAAATAATTACACAAGGAAAATGTGATAACTAATTGTAATACACTTCATAGATAACCAACATAAAATTATGTTAAAACAGACATAAATATATAACTTTTTTTATGACAGAGGAAGAAAGATTGCTTGTAAAGCTTGGGGGACTTATGGAAGGTGAAATAGATAAACGACAGCAGGCTGAAACCGACTAACACTTTACGGCTTTTCTTTATACGGACGGAAGGAATTTGAGGCTCCTATCATTAGAATATAATTTATTATAAATTATTCAGAAAACTAGAAAATGTATTTTAGAAACATGTTGGACGGGGTGACCCATGGCCGCAATCATATTAAGTGTATAGGATTGAGAATATCAAATATATAAAATGATTCAGATCCATAAAAGGTAAGTTCGTAGCGTCAAAGGACATAGGGTATATTTCTGCAATTGTCACCTACTTATAATTGCTAACTCATAACCAGATAATAACAGTATATCCGTTTATGGAACATGCAACTCACAGATGTCTGTAAGACCTCGACGTTATAAAGTAGCGTAAGTAGACGGCTAGAATAAGAACTAGCAGCACGGCCGTGACCTGAATCGTCGACTCGCGCGGCAACTCGCACTTGGCCACCTTTACCTCGTCTGGGGTTACTGCCAGCTGAAATATGAGCTCGTCTGTTTACAACCGCAATCTTGAGACCAGATGTAACCTCGGTATAGACTTTGAAATTAAAGATCACATAGCCTTGGTCATGTAATTACTGTATATAACGGTAACGTTGAAATTTGTGTGTAATAGAAAAATGTTTGAAAAGGAAGAGATGTTTTATGTTTTATGTTCCTCAACAAAACTTAATACGTTCGTGTTCATTGCGTTACTATTAGAAAATTTAACATCCGTAATAGACTACAAATCTTACCAAATAATACTTAGGGTCCAATCGATTTCTCCATGAAAATGATGGTACGGTGTACTCCACGAACTCTATCTTATGGTCAGGTCTGGGGACAAAACTATGCCGAACAATACAGCTGTTATGCGTATGAGCCCCGAAAGCCGCTCGGGGTAACAACATCTCTATCAAATATTCTGTCGATTCCTTCGACAAGCAATCCCATCGTTCTTCGAAAAGGACATTTCTTCGGGGCAAAGGGGCCGCGTCTGGTTCTGTACAAATAGTATCTGACTCCCTGTAGAGAGGGTAGTGCTAAAAGAGAATCAATTAATCATGAACGCAAAAAAGTAAGTTTTTTGTAATATGACAAAATTTGCCAAATGACATTTATCTACTTATTGCCTAAGTTTTAACTAAATTTCATAAAGCAATAAAAAAGGAAACTGCGGGTAAAATAACGATAAACCTTCCTTCAACTCAATTCAAGTATAATATTTAGCACATTTTTATTTCCGTATCAATTATTTTTGGGCGCTTAAATGTCATATTGCATTATTATTATTCGTTATGTATTCGTAAAATTTTGCAATAAAATTGCGCAATATTAACCAATCCTATTACTAAAATTCATCTTTACATAACATAGGTATGTATTGTCCAATCAATATGTACGTATTTGTCTAAGACCAATATCTCCCAACTATACAAATGTTATAAAGGTGTTAATCTAATAATTAAATAATGGTTCCAATTGAAAAAATATTTTTGTTTTGGACGGACTATTTATAGGAGAAGGGCTATATAACATCACGCTGCAACCAAAATAAATTGGGAAATCTTTGAGGGCTTCGATTCAAGTACGAAGATGCGAAAACGGTTCAAGTACGTTTGAAAACGTTATTATCGTTTACATATTATTGCACATGAAGGCACTATATAATTTAAAAATCTAAAATAAATTGAAAAAAAAAAATTTTTTTTTGACTCGGGCAGGACTTGAACCGGCATTGTCAGCGTTCTGCTGTATTTTTTTTTAAATTTATTTTCGATTTTTAAATTATACGGTTCAAGTAACCAAAAAAAAAGTATGAAAGAATGATTCCTATGATCTTTATATTATCTAAAGATATATGAGTAATCAAATTTAGTTAACATAAGTAATTAATAATTTTTGCCATTATTTTGTATCAACATAACAATATTAGTCTTGCAAACAAGACAATGTTTATTGGATCAGTCTATGTACTTATATAAGACTCGTGTTCTACGAACGAAGGGTCCACCCGTACTGATATTGTGATAGAGTAATACTAACAATTAAATATATCAAGATTAATAAGTAACTAACTCTCTAATGAATTTTTTTATGTGGCCACCTATAAAATGGAAAGTTAATTAATGAAACGTTTTACTACTCACTTGCATGAATATTGGTCTACTATAATATGGCAACTTAGTCTTTCCTTTGCATAATGTCGAACCACTGCTGCATTTTAGGGTATCTAAAAAGAACATTATAATTCACAGCCAACTAAGTAAGATGAAGAAGGCGATAAAAAAACTGAAACTGAGTCAAGAGTGCTAGGTGAAAGCGATAACATTCATAAAATCCTTGTTGCCCTTATGACATGCTCAAAAATATAGTGTGGATCCTGGCACGTCCTAGAACCAAAAATTTCTTATGTTTTATGCGGGCTTCAAGCACCTAATATATTTTATTAGCCAAAAAATAACCCAACCATTGAATAAACTTGTGCCATAATAAAAAAGTGAACTTTGCAGGTTTAATTAACCTGCAAATTTATTAATTAACCTTATTTTGGCTGAACAGGTAAAAATTACTATACCTGCAATTCTTTCAAGTTCTGAAATTGCTCTAGAACACAGTGAACACCCATCACCTTCCATAGCCATAGAATTAATGAGCACAAAATGATTTCCTCTAACACTCACCAACTTAACGGGAGGTGCATCGAGTTTGACTTCAAATCTATTTGCTGTATGTGGGGTGATCCTAGAGACAACACAAACTTGATACAAATTTGCTTATTCTAGAAACAACATAATAAAGGTAAGTCAAGTTATCAAGAAGTAGAATCACTTCTTGTGAAACTTACTTATAATGAAAACCAATATCGTGATTACCAGCTACTATATACATGGTAGTGTCTTTTGGTGTTGTAAACAATTTGTAGAATCTTTCAATGTAGTCATTAAATTCCTTTTGTGAACACCATTTACCCTCATCAAATAAATCACCTAAAAAAGAAAGCTTACATGGATTCTACGGACATACAAGTATCTAGTTTGGAATGTATTAAGTCTCAATTTCACTGTTGGCACAAAGTAAGCCTTGAACTTTTTTTTTGCTATATTAAATATTTAAAACTACAAAAGACCAGCTAAATTAAACAGCTAGCTATGCATTGTTCAGAGTATCTTTATACTCAGTAATTTATTTGTTTTTAAACAGTTAAGTAATACTTAGAAGTCCTCAGCATTACCTATAGTTGTATACACAGTGTATACAACTAAAGGTAATGCTGAGGAATGTGATATATTGTTCATAGAAGGTAAAGTAAGGATAGAAAAGATAATTATCAGTATTATGGTTTAAATACGGCACTAACGCAGCTGTCAAAGTATATTCCAATTTAATATATTTACGTTTATTGTTTACCTAAAATAAATACTAATTCAGGCCTGTGCAATGTCATTGCTGTTTGAAATGCACGATGCATTTGCCACTCTCGTCGCTCTTTGTCCAGCCAGTGACCATTTTTGGAACCTAAAAGGTGAATATCAGCCAGAACCATAGCCTGGACTGGTTCAACGTTCCTAATTGGCTTTTTGTCTAATGTTGGCCAGCGACACTGAAATTGTTTAATAATTGATTTCAGATTGAACTATAAATTAAATATATACTTCTTGTGATAAGGTAATAAAACTCACTTGTAGTTGGGTAACATAGTAAATTAGATATTCACAGTAAACATATATAAGAACTATGCCCAGGAGCAATCGAACTAATGTTTTAAAAATAAGAACATAAATACGTCGTTTGAAAAACATAAGGTTCATGATTAGGCATTCAGAATCTCATCTCATTTTTTTTACAACACGTATGTAAATGATAGCTCTAGAGATTTTTCAGTGAGATTCAGTATTTTGTTATTAAACTCTACACCTTCATTAATAATTGTGTTCTTAAAGTGATTTTCGAAATCACCGCTTCTTTTCTTACTCATATGTGCTCATAAGTCATCTTAACTTTCAGTTTCAAAAATAATGACAGTAGACAGCCTTTGTGAGCTGACACAAATGTCAGCTCACAATGACACATTCTATAATCACTTTATACTGTCAAATTGGTAATGTCTGCTGTAGAAAAACGGAATATCGGAATAATTTTCCTTCATTTTATCTAGTTCTACCGAACGAGTAACAATTAACATAAATAAGTAACTTTTCATGGATTTTATAAGCTTTTTAAGGCCGTGACGTGATTAGGTCATAGTAACGAGTAACACAATGTTTCCATGGTCTTAAACCTCTTCAAAGGTTTAAAAAAATTTTTTTTTTTTTGGGGGTTTAAAAAAAAAAAACCCTTTCCGGAATTTTTATACCTTTTTAAAAAAAAAAAAAAAACCAATATTAAAAAAAAAAAAAAAAAAATTTTTTTTTTTTTTTTTTTTTTTTGGCTGGGGCCAAACCCCCCCCGGGGGGGGGGGGGTTTTTTTTTTTTTTTTTTTTTTTTTTTTGTTTTTTTTTTTTTTTTTTTTTTTTTTTTTTTTTTTTTTTTTTTTTTTTTTTTAATGGGGGGGGGGGGGGGTTTTTTATTACGTATCACCAATGGGGGAGGGGGGAGGGGGGTTCAAAAAATTCTAAAAAAAAGATCACGTGATTAACGGACAACCCCTTAGATTATTATCTACAACTATACATTCCCATAACATAAAAACACAATTAAACAACAAGATATCATTTTTATTTATCATTAACAAAGATCAGGAAAGAATCTAGATAGTTATAACTACAGGTACCTACAGTTATATAATGTTTAAAAAACGGAGAAGAGAAAATGAGACACTTCTTAAGTTTCCTACACACATATCGATACAATTATATAAAGCCCTAAACATATTGTATATCTTTAAAACAATACTTGGCTATTATTTACACTTGACCTATTATCACATTTATAGTACGAGGAATTAAACCTACTCCTATTTATTCTACCTACAATTAATTTTATAAATAAATTACCTAAATGTTATAAACAGTAACAGTATAGTTTGAGATTATAGTTATCTATACAATGGCTTTGATATCCATATAAATTAAGGCGACTGATCGTGCCAATTAGACTCCAACGAGTCCCATAATCACGTACTGTAGATTCAAACACAGCCCCTCCCGGACTCGTACGAAGAACAACCATATATTCTCTCCAACTAACTTCACTGTCCTCTTCAGTTCCGGCTTCCAATTCTGTCGCATCAACAATTTCTGTTATATTTAAAACAGAACATAGTTTATAATTGTGAACAAGGTTATTAATTTCCTTTAGAATATAATTTGCCGCAAGTAAAGCCTCAACGCTTTCAGTAGATATTTTCCGTTCACGGTGGCAGGTACACCAGTGGTCATCAATGTCGGCAATTGAACAAGTACGGTTACCTGGTAAAGGCAAAAATAAGCTAATAGCACGTTCTCTCCAGTATGATTTCTGACTTCTCGATTTAATATTTGAATTTTCTATATTGGATAGATCTATAAGATCATTTAGTGTAGTGTATAAATTAAACGGAGTAGTCAATCTTTGGCGGTTTAATTTAAGATTACTATACGCTTCATTATATTTCTTTTTAAACGAGTCTGGTACTAATATATGCACAAACGGGAGACGCTCTTCTAGTCGCCCTTGTTTGGTGGCTCTTATATTTCCCCACCTAATACCGTGGTCGCTTACCAGAAATATAATGGTGTCTTCTAAAACCTTTTGATGATCGAGGTTCTTAAAAAACTGTTCATAAAAAAAGTCCATTAGCATCGGGTAATTTAGATAGTCGTGGCTCATGGTAACTTCCCAAAAGAAACCAAAAAGTCTAGACGAACGCATTTTTATCAAAAGGTTTTCAATATAATCTAACAGCACTCTATAAAAATATTTATTGTTCATGCACAATAATGAGTTAAAATCCTTGTTATTCCCAACATTTTTTTCGGCTTCTCGTATGAACGTACGCAAATAATAATCGGTTGGGTTTCTGGCAAATCCACCTCTTAAATAATTAAATGTGCCCAAGCTAGCGCTGTCTTCGCCGAGAGCTGTATAATATCCAGCTTCCTTGTACCAATCCCAAATAAATGGGCAGTTATCAAAAAAAGTATATTTTGGATTGGGAACACAAGTTTTCTTTAGTTCAGATTCTCTTATACCTAGCAACATGGGTATCAGATTGGGAAAAGTATTGTCTCCAACTTTGTTGTAACCTTTTAATTCAATGGCGCCTTTTCTTGTTAAAAAATTTAAAGTTTTGGGCATTGTACGGTAAAAATTTAACCGCGATACTGCATCTATTCCTAAAATAATAACGTTGTATGAAGTCTTATTTTTTCGTGCGTTTACAGCACTATCCCACGACAATTCTTTATTTACAACAAACAGATAGTATTGCTGATACAAGATTCTCGCTCTAGTATAACACACTACGTGAACGAATTCATCGTTTGCTTCTATGATGGCTTTAAAATGTTTACATTTACGGTATTCTACGCGATCGTCTATTTTAGCAGAGTGGATATCCTTCACTGACGATGGGCGATAAAAAGATCGGTAGCAACACAGAAAACTATCATCGCTTACATTATAATGCATTACATTCTCCTTCTTGATCCAAATATGAGTTGTGTTATTTTCGAGAAAAGGAGACTTTGAATTCAAACATGATTTGACACTTTCCGGATATTTTACGAATTCTTTTATGCCGGCATCGAGGGGATGCAGAGCCGGGATGCTGCATCCCTCTGTTCGTATTGTATAACTGTCCTGAACGAATGTTTCATATAACGTATCCAAATGAGGGGCGGTAGCGTAGTTACTGAGGTACATAAGATTGGTATAGCCGTTGGAATATGTTAATAATATAGTACTCGCGAAAACCGTAGTTAGAAGAAACAGATAACGCAACCGCACAGGCGCCAGGCCCAACATTCTGTACCCGTGAGTGTCTTGAGTTGTACTGTAAAGAAACAAAATTATTACATTCGTTTGTCAAGATAGCGTTAGTGGAAAATCAAATTAGTAATGGATAAAGCTTGTCAATTGTGGGGATTATGTAGATATTGTTAAGTAAGGACGTGTTACTATTTGTTTGAGAAGGCTACATTTTTCGATTTTTAGTTAAAGAAAAAACTATATACTGTAGTTATATTTTACCTCTTCAAATTCTATCTGTCCCTACTGTCTAGGAATATTGCATCTATTATTACCGACCATAACTATTTCTGTTTGCTTTGACTTTTTAAGATCTTTATCTATATTTTCACAAATATCCCTATAAATTAATAAGAAATATTTTTTTTGTGCTTAGAGTAATAGGCTACTTTTATTAGTAAGTTTGCGATCTTTACGCTCGTTTGATTATGTAATTGATTTATGATTTCACAGTAAGTAAAACAATAAATTTCGCGACTTAATGCCAATTTCCACTACAAGACACTTAACACACAGAATCATTACCTTTTCTATATCTATACTAATGTATAAAGCTAAAGAGTTTGTTTGTTTGAACGCGCTAATCTCAAGAAGTACGTTTACAAATTGAAATTATTTTTGAGTCGGTTGAGGAATATTATAGGCACATAATACATATAACACATTGTGATGTGACTAATAGGAGCGAAGATACAGCGAGAAATGTGAACAAACCGAGGGTAATTTTTCGTCTCTGTAAGTTTCAGATGCGTACGCTGCGAAAACGGTTCAAGATACCTAAAAATTGTCTATGAAAGAATGATTCCCCTCTAAATAATCTAAAAAAAGTCCCTGAAGCGATATGTCTATGTTTTAAGATTTACTTGCAAGAACGACGGGAATGGACGCGATCGACTTTGTGGCTAACAGCTGAAGTTTATAAATATGACGGGGTTTGCAAAAACTTAACCCAAAATAACGATTCTCGCGGACGAAGTCGCTGGCACAGCTAGTCATAAATATATGCTACGTTATTTTTTATACATTATCTAAATAAATAATAAACATGTAAAAAAAGCACTGATACATTTCTGCGTCGGGTAATTTCGAAAACAAGAAACATATTGGAGTGACGGCGAGTTTCTTGCCGCTTCTTCTCGTGCGTTGGTTCTTCTTTGTTTGCTTAATAACTGACATTATAATCTATAATATATTTTTCGCTTTTAACTTAAATTTAATTTTTATAATAACAACAATTGACTAAACCTACAGCTAGAAGCAAAAACGAAATCAGTATATAAATGAGAAACAATATTATTATTTCAACTTTATTCATTTTTACAATGTCAACAAACCCGTATGCATTAAGTACATAACACCATAATATTCTTAAACTCATGTCATTATTATATTGTTTATGTTTCAACGAAAACTATTACAGCAACAAACAATTTTGTCTGGGACGTGAATCACATTTAATATACGTTTATAATAAACCACATATTAACCTATATATTTAACAAAGAAGTCAAGCGGTATATGGCCATTTTCGTTGTAAAATTAGATTTTAATAAATAAAGTACTAGGTAATTTTTATATCGTCTATTATTATACGCCCCTATATTTTGTATGTACCTTCTAATAGGTAAATTATCTACACGTAACGATCTACTAATTTTTTAAACACTGAACCTAGATTGTTTTCGTCTAGACTTAACCTATATTACTAAAAAGTATAAACAGCACCGAACTATTACGTAAGTTTTAAAAGTAATTATTTTTACCTAAGTGTTTCCAATCATTATACAGCCTTAATTCCGTAAGCATATTTATTATACACCTGTTAGCAAATACAAGGGGCCTGGCCCAGCGTAGAAAAAAATAACTAACGTAATACAAAAAGTAAGTAGTAAGTTTGGCACATAGTATTTAGTATTATTTTTAACGAATTGAAGACATTTTACAATATATTGACTAGACAATAAAATTATATAAATAACCACACAATTATAATAAGAAATAAATGTCGATCTTTTCTGATTTCGCAACAAATTGCTGATATAGCACTTGTGTAATATTTCTTAAAACATAAATAATATATTTTCGTAATAGGATCGTATCACAGACGAAGTTTTAGGCATCGGTGTTAGGCTTGACCTATGAAGAAAGGTTACAACTGACAGTAACAGTACAGTTTAAGCTGATAATTATGTTCACATTTACTCTGATCTCCATAGAGATTCAATCTACTGACAGTTCCGGTTAATGACCAGTTGTTGTTGTTACGTCGCAAAGTAGCCTCGAATACTCCACCACCGGGTGAGACCCGCATCACAATAAGAAACTCGCGCCAACCAACCTCCTTATTGTTTGGCTTTCCTACAATCATTTCCGTTACTTCTATAATCTCTAATAACTTAAGCCGTGCGCACTTAGCGTTTTTGCTCACTAATTCATTTATATGTGTTATCAAATACTGGGCGCCTTCGCGACCTTCACTACTTTTGGGGGACAGCTTAATTCCTCGGTTGCAAGTGCACCAGTGATCCTCAATTCCAGCCAAGGCGCAGGTACGATTTTTGGGAATCGGTAAAAAGAGACTTATACTTCTATTATCGTCGTAAGAGGCTGAAGTTCTCGTTTTAATATTTGTATCCTGTATTGAATCTAGGTTGACGAGATCCACTAGTGTCGCGTGTATATCAAACGGTGTAGTTAAACGATGACTATTAAGGTTTATGTTTTTATAAGCCATTGGATAATTTTCCTTGAATGAAGGCGGTAGCAGAATGTGGATGAACGGTAGACGCTCCTCCAATCTTCCCTGTTTGGTAAATCGAATGTCACCCCATCTGATGCCGTGATCACTTAATAATATAAGTATGGTATTCTCCAAATAGCCTGAATCGTCGAGGGAATTTAAAAATCTCTCATAACTGTCATCCATCAACATAGGATAATTTAAATAATCGTGACTCATTGTGACTTCCCAAAAGAATCCAAATAACTTTAGCTTCTTCAAAGCGTTAGTTAAGTTTTCAATATAATTCAGGAGGACGTTATAGAAGTAAACGTTTCCCATACAAATGTATGAATTAAAATCTCGATTATTGCCGGAATACTTTTCAGCTTCGTGCATAAACGTGTGTAAATAGTAGTCGGTAGGACTGTGAATAAACCCGACTTTTTCAAAATTGAATGTACCTAAACTTGAACTATCCTCGCCGAAGGCAGTATAATATCCCGCATCTTTGAATGAATTCCATATAAAAGGGCAATAATCAAAAGTAGACTTAGCATTTGGCCAACAAGTATTTTTCAAGTCTTGTTCTCGAATACCCAAGAGCATGGGGATTAAGTTTGGAAACGTATTGTCACCCACTTTATTGTAACCCAATAGCTCTACTGCGCCTCTCTGTTTTAAGTAAGACAACGTCCTCGGCATAGTCCTGTGAAAATTCAGTCTTGAAATGGCGTCAACGCCCATAATGATAACATTATAATATGAGAGGCCTTCTTTGACATCCTGAACATTTAGAAGAGGCTTTTTAGGTGTAAAAGCAAAAAACTTTTCATAGACAGTGGTGTACTCATACGTACAGGAGACTTTGACAAACTCGTTGGTGACTTCGATATAGCTCGAGAACTCCACGCATTCGTTATACGTAACTCTATCGTCAATATCGGCGGAAGAGACGTCATCGACGGCGAGTGGCCGATAAAAAGACTTGTAACAACAACTTACGTTCGAAGTTTCGCTCAAGTTGAAAAAACGAAAGCTTTTCGGATTAATCCAAATGTGTGTACGGTTATTTTTTAGAAACAAAGTGTTTACTTTCTCGCATTGTTTAACATGTTTGGGTTTATCTATGAATTTTCGAATGCTTTCATCGAATGGTTGTAACCCAGGTATAGTGCATCCTTCAGTTTTGATCGTATAACTCCCGCCAGAATATACGAAATTGGCTGGATACGAGTTCAGGGATGCTCTCACGATATTATTATCTTCGTTTAGAAATAAAATGATCGGACTGTTTGTCAACATGAACAGAATGAAACTGCTTCCAATTAAGAGAAGTATTACAATCACATAACGGAAGCGTATAGATGTTTTTTTGTTATGGACTGCGTGGATTTTCATGAACACCATTCTGAAAATAGTAAATATGAAATTATAAAAAAGCTACATTCAAATAAACCATGTTAGTGAAAATCTAAAACAATAAGTTGCAACTCGTGTATAGTTTCAGAAAGCACTTAAAGATAGAGGAAGTGTAAGCTATACAAGATAAATAGATGGAACTTACATTGTGCTTATATCATTTTAGTATCCAAAGATAAAAACTCACTATATCATCCCAGCGATATAATTAACGTGACGCAGTTATAGCAGATAACTGTGCATCGATGAAAAGCACAAGAAACACAGAATGTAAAGACATTATTTTAAATGTTACATATTGAGATAAACAGAGGCAGGGGTACCGATCGGTCGATGTACATATTTGTTATTTTTGAGGTGCAATGACAGTTCAGCGCGAGAACCTTGCAGTATCTGAGAATTGGACCAGAGGCTGAGGAGGGCATGCGCAGTAAAGACCAATAATCCTAGTGGATTTCTATTTTACGGACCCGTTTATACTTTCACTTGGTAAGAATGTATAGTAACGTCAAGAAAAAAATAATAATGGCACTTTTATTACATTCAGAACTTTAATAAATTTCTAAAACCATCTAATAAGTGCATTAAACTAATATAGTAGCTTTTGTTTAAATTAAGAACACACGATTTAGATTAAAAAAATAGTTGAACATTTTCGATGCTGACTTGTAAGATACGGTAACTCAATTGGTTAGAGCAATAAACACGAAACGCGGTGGATATCTTAAATACTTATAATTTTAATTATTTTGCACATGACCCATCATCAAATATTAAAGTTTCCAAGCTTTGTTGACTTCAATAAACCATATAAACGACATAAATAGGTACTTGTAATATAATTATGTGCTTAGTAAATAACAAGTGAATAAAAACATGTCATTAATTGTGACACCCATAAAAATAACTATGACATTTATAATGATTTTAAATCCGTTTATGTAATCCGGGATTTATCCTGCACTGAAATAAGCATTAATCTGTATTGATTTCTAATCTTATTATAGTATTATTGTATAGTGTACATCTATAAAGAACAGTTTAGTTAAATATTTATATCTTCACAAATAATTTGAGTATCTTTTTGTAGCTGGCAAGTAAATATAATAAAAACAATGCAACTTTTTAACCGCCCAAGTCACGACTCGCAAGACGTCACCTCGCTAAACACGAAATCTTCAAGCAAGGGCGTCACTAAACTGTGTATAAATTATGTTACTAGTGACATGCAATATATTAACATAATTATATAAAGAAAAATATTTCTCAAAACATCTAACTATTTAATTAAATATTAATTCTACTCTTTCGCTCGTTCACATCTTTTTGATTTAGTTTGGTATTATTTAATTATATAGACCTACAAAAAGAATAAATGAATAAATCAAAAAAAATATCTGTACCTAATATAAAACATCCCCCGCAATCGTTCCAAGTAATAAACGTCACGTAAGCCGGTCGTAGCCAACATGCAATGGTACACTTTGAAAGCCAAACATAGCAGAGATTTTTCTCGCTACTAATAGTCCCTTATCAGCTTGTTAAAAAAAATAATCAGGTGACCGTATCGATACTGTGCCATTTTGTATGAAAAGTCATTGTGCCATTGTTACTCAATAATACGTTGTTTGTTTCTTTGTTTTAACGTTTAACGTTGTTACCATAAGTGTCAGAATTTTATTTCTTTTATTATAAAAATGTGAAAAATCGTATCTTCAATCTTATCTCAAGCGTCTCAGCACGCTACAGTGCCTTTTGCGGCATTTCTCCTTTTCAAACATGCTTCGCTTTATTATAAACACATATTATTTTACACTATCTATTTATATCCTACTTATCTATTCATAACCACGTTTTCTTGCAAATCAAAGTTACATAAAACACTTTTATCTATCTCCCATCATATAAAATAAGTGAATGATATAGCCATGGAGCTTAGTTGGAAAATTACAATTTTATTTCATAACTAGTTGTTTCAGCGACTTCATTCGCGTAGAATAGTTATTTTGGGCATCCAAATTCGTTTTGACACATCCCTTCATCTTTATAAACTTAAGCTGTTACCCACGACGTCGTTCTTGCAAGTTAATTTTAAAAGATAGACATATAGCGTAAAAGGAATCATTCTTTCATACATGTTTTTGGGTTTCTTGAACCGGTTTTGCAACGTACGCCTCGGAAACCCATAATTTTCCCAATTTTTCTCACATTTCTCTTTGTAGCTTCGCTTGTATTAGTCACAGGGCAATGTTTTTTATATTTATAGCTTTCTTCGATAAATTCTCTAACCAACGCTAAAATATTTTTTTCAATTCCAACCGGTAATTCCTGAGATTAGCGTGTTCAAACAAACAAACTACTCAGCTTTAAATATTAGTATAGATTTCCACAGCAAAAGTTTCTAGCATTTCATAAAACTGGTGTGAAGTCACGAGCTTTACCATGCAACTTATCCGTACAGTAATTACAGTCTATTTAACGATTTTATGAAGTCGCTAAAGTCTTAGAATACAAAGTGCATGTACCTATACATATAAAAGCATATTTTACCAGAAAAATTAGCATAAATAATAATATGTGTGGACACCGAGCGTGAACATGTCACAAAGGAATTGCATGCCGCTTGAAGAACGAAGGTCGGGTGGGCACATACCGGTCACGGCTTTTATTTTTATTAAGTAGATGAAATAAACAAAACTTTACCTACTTAAAACGTTGTAAATCATTCGAAGCATCAGGTCTTATTTGAAAGTAAATTCACTAATATATAGCGTTTCAAACCGCTAATAGTGTTTCATTTCAACACTTTTTATATAAACACCGGCGTTTACTACAGAAAATAATAGAATATAATAATAATCATAAACCATTTAATTTAAGTATTATTAAAGACAATTAAAGAGTCATTGTTCTGTTCCTTGCGAAGCATAACTGTGTAGATTAATTACGTAAAATTAACGTAATACGAAAAAAAATGCATTTAAGCTCCAACAAAATTAATTTACTAGAAGTAATTTTTTAGCAGTTTTAAATTTATTAGAAGTAATTTTTTCGAATCAACGATTCAATTAACTTTACAATTTCAGCTGAAATGTATTTTAGAAAACAGTAATGTTAAAAATTTTCTAATAACCGAGTAAATGTATTGCTCGCATGGTGCCCTCCCCAATACGCTTGGATGTTTAAATTTATTACACTCGTAGGAATTATAGGGGGAAATAGGGGAAGATACGCATGCGCCAACTTCCCATAATGTATCCGCTTGATGAAGTGAATTTCTATTACTTTTTGCGCTAACTGACTGTTTTTCGAAGCTTTTAAAGCCTTTTATAAACAATTTGCCTGTTACAAGATATGAATGAGGACCACGTCGTTCTATCTCGAGGTTAGTTCACTTGTTAGGTTAGTGGATGTGTTGAAAATCGATAATTTAATAACATAACCTATGCTAATATTGATGAGTCGAGTTTGGGTCTCTAGGCAATTGCAAACTTAAGAGCTATTTTCATTTTAGGTCCTGGCCCTACTATTCCTGATCCTGATTCCATGGCCGGGACCCTCCGTGTTCAAAATAACTTGCTCTCGTGACAAGTCCAAAATCGTGAGAAAAATTATCCAAAGCAAATGGCTACCAGTTTTAGAGAGGTTTCAGGTAATTAAGACAATAATAACATGTTATTAGAATGTAAGCTTTCCAATATATTATTGGATATTGGACCTCGTAACGATCTACATTGTAAATTTTGTTTGGTGCTTATTTATTTTCAGGTGAAATTACCACTGGAATGCCCATTCCATCCGGCGCGAGATATCTTCGCACCACAACATGCCGCGAAGTTACAGCACCGCTCCTCCCAGTGGACGTGTGCTTTTTGCGGGAAATCATTTTACGAGGAGAGACACCTTGACACTCATTTCGACCAGCGACATAAGAATCATATTAACAAAGTATGGCCACTCAAATTAGACAAAAATATAAATCTAGTGACATTTGTTTGTCTCTACGGTATATTAGGACACAAACAATAATCTCTGAAATAATTTAAGGAACCAACCGTAAGCACTACTTGCACTTGGACGATAAATATTAACATTTGTTTATGTTACACAGGCTGAAGATGCTGTTTGTCTTGAGGACTATTGTGATATAATGCGATGTCAAGTTCTAATCGCGCACGGCTTGTTAAGCGACGGCGCAGTGCCCACTACGGACGTAGAAGTGTGGCAGGATCTAGAATCAGCTCGTAAAGCTCTCGCTCCGGCTGCTACTAGAAGTATTGCTAAAGTCCCGATGAGGCGACGGCAAAGGGCTCGCGCGCCAATACCTGTACCTGATTGCCCTCGGGCAGAACCCGATGCTGAAGAACATGGTTTGTATCTTTTACTGTATTTCGAATATGGAAAAGTACCTACTGCACGTTATATTTGTTGTTATTACTGCTGCAATGTCTAGATTTCCTTTTTTTGACTTGCCAAAATCTCTTGAGATACAGATAAAAAGTCATATAAACATTCTCGTATTGAAAACTTTAATATTTTTTATATTTAATGGCACAATATTGATTAAAAATCGAGTTTAGATTGAATTGAGCTACCGTCTTTTACACGTCATCATCGATTTTTTAAATATAACATGTGAAAATTATTAAATTTTTTAAACGTTAAACTCTATAGCTTTAACACTTGCCTAATATTATATGTTTCTATATGTTGAAATTACAATTCGCGAGAGGTGAAAGTATCAATAGATTAAAAAAAAACAATAATTCATTCTCGAATTGGTAAGTTGACTGACTGCCAAAGTTTCCTTAAGAAACTTAGAAGAATTTGAGCAGATGAAGTTACAAACACAGCTAGATTAACAATAAGGCATTTGATTTTCTTATGTTATCCATATCTTAATTAGTTATGTTATGTTGAAAAGACCACATAGAAAACGGCGAAAAGAAAAAAGAAGAGAACGATGGCGATACGAATCAAACGGCAGAACTGTGCGACGCTGATACTGTTGAGTCATCGCTACCTCCAGACAGCCGTCAAAGGCGGCTCGCCGATCTACAAGCAGAACGAGCAGCCTGTGACCCTGGCAAGCTTCAAGGCCTGAAGGTTAGCTGATTACGTTGAATACGTTTATTGGCCTCTACACACATACTTAACTACAAAAGTAAATATTAAAATATTAAAAACAAAAATAGATAAGGATGGCAATCAGTACAAGTATCAGCTGTGCTGCTGAATGCTTGTCACACTGACGCGAGTATAGTAGAAGAAGGGTGATGTTTAAAAGATGAAATGATATAATTACGTCTAAGATTATACGGCGCATACACACACATAATCATACTCTTTCAACTAGACCGAGTTAGACATTTGCTTTCCAAGGAGGTCCAGTTTAAAATTTCTAAGAGTTCCAAGAGGCGGAGGCAGGTCGTTCCTCAAAATTTAACTAATCCTATGTTATTAACAGGTTCGCTGCGAGAGAATTGTACATTCATGTATTGCTACTCTTTTGCTGCACGTCACACAACCACAGTTTACAGAACTAGAAGGTAATACATACATTATATTCAAGATGAGTTATAGATTACTATATTTATTATATTCTTCTGTGGCCTAGATCTACAATAGTCTATACCAATATATACAGCTGAAGAGTTTGTTTGTTTGAACGCGCGAATGTCAGAAACTTCTGGTTCGACTTGTATCTTTGTTTGGATAGAGCATTTATCGAGGAAGGCTTTATGCAATAAAACATCACGATGCGACTAATTGGAGCAAAGATACAGGGGGAAATGTGTAAAAACCGGGGAAAATTATTTATATGTAATTATTTGCGTAATATTATTATGAATATGACTTTCAGACGAGATGCAACGAGCTGTATGTTGGTACTTGAGTTGTGATCGCTATTGGGAAGACACGACGCCGGCTGCGCGGGCGTTCCCTTGGCCTCTACTTATTGCTCTGGCTACCGGTTTAGCACTTGCGTTATGTATGTGCTACTACATAATTTGGATAGTTTTCGAGTGAGTATTTACAATCTAACATGCCTGCAAAAAGTATAGTAGGTACACATTTAAAAGGTAACTATAACAACAGTGTTTTCAATGAGGAAAAGGTAATTTTTGAATTGGCTTACAAAAACTTTGAATATTTGAAAATATTTTTCACATGTTTTGCTCTTGATGGCATTAAATAAATAAATATATAAATTAATAATCGATTTTAGATTGACAAAATTTTACGACACTGGCAGGACTTAAACTGGTATCTATAGCGTTCCATGTGACGAAGAAGAGGAAAATGTTTGAATTGCAAGAATTTATGTAATATAGTTAAATGCACGGGAGTGTTTAAGCTTAAAAAAGTCCAGGAGATGTCGACAAGCGACATCCCCAATTGTGGTAGTTCTTTCCGACGAAAAAGGATAATTGGAACTCAAAAAAATTAGTTACCGAAAATTTAGGATTGCAAGGTGAGGGTAAATTAAAACTTTGAACCACCCAACTCTTTTCTCTATGGAGGCAAAATCCACTCCTAGACTGGATTGTGTAAATATGTTTGGTGTAAGAAAGGAGTGATAAGAGTTAAAAGAGAGGAAGGAGACAGAACCTTTATCGTGCGATCAGAAAAACATAGAAAAAATAATTTGTGAATATAGTGAACTGAACTGTATAGAGAAGGAAGACGAGGAGTAAGTTATTATTTATATTATAATTTTACGCATTTATTACGTTAATTAAGATGGATTCAACTAATAATGTAAGTTACGAAACAACGGCAAACTCATGGAATGAATTTATACACACGCTACCCACAAGAAAGCAAGCCCTAATAACACTTCACGTTAATATAAGATCTATTATAAAAAACTTTGCTCAACTGGAATACATAGTAAATAGTAGCAAAGTCGTTATCAGCATAATCGCTTTAACCGAGGTGAATATATCGAGCGAATGTGTCAACATGTTCCAGCTAAAAAACTATGAGATGTACCACGAACTGCGCGATGGGAGAAGAGGTGGTGGTGTCATCCTATACGCCCATAAAAGTCTAAACTTTATCAGAATCCCTACGACAACCTTTAGTTTCGAATGTATCTCCGGCATTGTGACCCAGTCAAACAAATATAAAGTAAACGTGTGTGCAGTGTACAGACCACCGAACCTAAGCAAACAGTTATTCATATCCGAATTAAGCAGCGTTATACCTGTATGTGCACAAAAAAATAATTATATTTTACTAGGTGATATGAACTTAAACTTATTGTGTAAAACGAATAGCTACGTAAGTAATTACTTAAATAAACTAAGCGAATTAGGCTTCCATCAGGGAATTAGTCAACCTACGCGTGTTGAGTTAACAAATAACCGAGCTACGAGCACTGATCGATCACATCTTTATACGCGAATATAATAACTCAAAACCAATTCACACCGTGGTCGTAAAGAATACGCTGGCCGATCACTACATAACCGGTTTAGCGATAACAGAGATCGAGCGAGACAGTGCGCAATGCAAAAAGATACGTAGACTCGATAGTAATAAGGTTAAAGCTCTATTGCGGGAGGTTGACTGGTCTCCTGCCTTAAATTATAATTGTGCAAATGATGTACTGAACTTTATTATTTGTAAATTTAACAAAATTTATGATAAATGTTATACCACCGAAACAAATAACTGTAGAAAACGGAACATGACTTGTAATTGGGCGAATGAAAGAATGTTATCTATGTGCTCTAAAAGGGATGAGCTACGTGCCATATGGCAGAGTGACATAAATAATAGTGCTAATCATCTACTTTACAATAAATATAGAAACAAAACTAATAAATATATAAATAAATTAAAAAATAAAAGCATTAAAAAAGAGATAAGTGTAAATTTTAAAAATTCTAAAAAAGTGTGGAATATAATAAATTCACTATGTGGTAAAATAACCCGCACAATTGATGACATTTTAACAAAACATTTCCAGAATAATAGTGTTAGTGAGATAGCTAATAACTTTGCCTACGGATTTGCACAAAAACGTAAATAACATTAAGTACGCTCAACACGATATCTTAACGAAGAGACATATGTCACTCAGCCGTGTCTCACCATGAGACTAAAAAAAGCAAATAGCGAAATTGTCGAAACGATTATCAAGACACTAAACCGAAGAAAAAGTCCTGGGTTCGACGGTGTGCGGGTCTCTGATGTGAAAAGATATTGCGTCCACATAAGCCCTGTATTAGCACACTTAATAAACTTGTGTATTACGCAAAGAACTTACCCGGACAAATTAAAGATAGGTGTTATCAGGCCGATACATAAAAAAGGAACATATAAAGACGTCAATAATTATAGACCGATTACTATATTGTCAACCATAGATAAAATTTTAGAAAAATATCTAGGTAAAGAAATAGAAAACTTTTTGGAGAATAATAAAATAATTAATGAATATCAGTTTGGCTTTCAGAAAAATAAAAATACAAGCCAGTTGCTGTCTAAATTTAGTAATGAAATTAACTCACACATTAATAGTAAAAAACATGTAATTGCAATTTTTATAGACTTCTCGAAGGCTTTTGAAACTTTAAATTTTTCCACACTATATAAAAAAGTCGCTCAAAGTGGTATTCAGGGTCCTCTGCTTGACCTCCTGAAAAATTACCACACTGACAGGAAAACTACAGTCAAAGTAGAAAACGCCTACAGTAAGTTTATAGCAACCACAATGGGCTCAGCCCAGGGTTCCGTGGTAGGGCCAACCGAATACCTGCTCTACTGTAACGATATGTGCAATGTCATAGAGGGGGGTTCCGTATACCAATTTGCCGACGACACATGTATTCTGGTAGCCGACACAAGTGTCGGTAGGGCGCAAAAACATATGCAATGGAACTTCGACAGGGTATGTGCGTGGGCGCACGACATGGGACTAGTCATTAATTATGATAAAACAAAACTAATGCATATACATTCCTCACGGCTGTCGTATGACCTGGTCCCATGCGTGCGATCTCACTCACATCAATGTCTCCATACGCAGAACGACAGCAGCGGCCAATGTAAGTGCCCTATTCTGGAATCTGTTGCCCAGCATACCTACCTAGGCCTTAAAATAGACAACAGATTTACTTGGAAACCGCATGTCACGTTTGTTTGTGAAAAGTTAAGAGCTATATTGTGTAAATTAAGTCTGCTTAAGTCCAAACTAAAATATTCGACTTTAAGGCTTATATATAATGCGCTAGCCGATTCAGTAATCGGGTATGGACTCAGCAGCTACGGGAGGACCTACAAGACCTACCTGAATAGCATTTACAGGATACAGATCAAAATATTAAAGACGATAGCACCGAGGGTCTATAAAAATTGCAATAGTAAACATGAGCTATTTGAAAAATGCAAAGTAATGCATATCTTCAATAAATTTAAATTTTTTTATTTATGCGAAGAAATAGGGTATATCCAGGAATTAGAAGTTAAGAAAAGACCTGATAATTTAAGACCCCTCGATTATTTGCCTAGATATGTTCTGCCCCCTTTTAACAATGCTTACGGAAAGCGCACACGCACTTATTTATTGCCCTTGCTTCTGAACGAGTTAGATGAACACACGCACAATAAACTAGTAAAAGATCCGGGAAGAAGCAAGGCAATTCTTAAGCCGTTTTATATCTAGTTTTATATTTAGTTTTATATTTAGTTTTATATTTAGTTAATAATGTTATATTGTTTGCCTTTTTTTGTATTGTTAATTTTTTAAGTTAATTTTAGTTAAAATAAGTTAATATTGGAGTATATATGACCCGAGCAGAAGATAAGAAACCGTTATAACGGTTTAAAAAAAAAAATGTTTTTTAAATTGTATTATATATTAGTGTTGGTGTACAAAAAAAAAAAAAAAAAAAAATGTTTTTTTCAATGTAAAATCGATTTTTATTTAACATATGAATAACTTATAATTATAACTTATAAAATAGATGGCGGTAGCGTAGCAGTTTCGATTCTATTATTAGGTATGGTATAAAATGCACCAATGATCTAAATTCTTCTTATGCACGTACCTCATTTACCTATTAAGCAAAAAAATATATTTAGGTAGTAGAAAATGCGCAATGTTATATTTTTTAAAGCTCTGAGGAAGGCAGCATAGCCGGCAGTGCGTCGGTTTCCATGACAACACACTCGTCACCAACTCGCGGTGATCGACTCGGAGGTGAAGATGCGATGCTAGATGATGAACACGATGATCATTACATATTCGTGAGCTACCCGCCGGAACTCAAGCGAAGGCTTCTTGAAAGGTACGCACAGAACATCACTCTCATCATACTTTGCCCTTTTATAAGACAAAGCCGCGTCGATTAAAAGGTTATTATTTATTTATTCTACTTTGTAATACAGATTGGTATAATATATACAAGTTCAATGCAAGCTAGAAGTAATATGTTGAAAATAGTTTATTTCTTCATTATAAGTTTAAGACTAACAAAACTAAACTACACTAAATATAAGTAAATAGTTAATAAAATATTTTAAAAAATATATTTAATTGTAACCTAATAAAAACCTGCTTGGATCTTGTAATGTGTGGTGTATATTTTTTGTTTGAGTAGATTATAGCTGTATTATAGTTAATGTTACCAATGAAATGACTAATCAATTGGTGTTATTGTTGTTTTAGCTGCTACAATAGAACGACTCGTCTTTGAGAAAACAGCTCATCCTTTCACGTCGTGCATGGTTTTAGCTAATGTCGAGGTTTACATAGTAATTAGTAAAACAAAGACAGTCTGATGTAGCCAAATGTATATTTTAATCATATTCTGTGCCTTCTATCGTTTCTTCATAGTTTTTCGTTCTTTACTGATGATTAATGGAACAATTTCGTAAAAAACTATTTTGACTTTGACTTTGAGTGATCTGAAAACAGTATTTCCGGCTTAATTCATCGATATATTCAGTGTTGCAATGTGATATCGGGGATCAAAGAAGGAACAGATTATGATTAAAGAAAATTCGCCTCCACTACTATTCTATAGTATAGCGTCACTGAGTTTATCGTTTGTGAATTCTAACTAGACGTAGTTTGCTTAAAAATGGTGCCTATTTTGTATTAACATTAAGGAAAGCGTGGTAGAGTAGGAGAGCAGTTTAGTAGAATTATTATTTTGATACTTTTACTAGTCGTGACTTCTAATAATAGTTAAAAAGCGTTTTTATCTCTGTACATAAGCGATAATTTATCATAATTAATGTCTCTTGTTTTATTGGCTTATCGACAATGTTTTCGTCTTTGCGGCACGATAAAATTAACACTAAAATAATCAATATATTAAATCTGTTCTTATTTACGAATGTTATCTTGTTCCTGATTATTTTAAGCCATGTTTGATTAAATTTATTGCAATTGTAGTATTACAACCGAATCTATTTTTTTATTAATTTATCAGTAAACTTTAATTGTTTTATTATGTTTAGGTAAAATTTAAACTTATCACGCACATCATTTGAAGGAGTTGTGTTTTGTTTAGTTAGTTGTTAAAAGACAGTGAATTTTTTTTAGGACGGAACTATATGTAATGTTATTCTTAAACTTCAGAAGAGGTTTAAAGTATAGGTAACGAGCAATATCTATGGTCATACGTTGTACTTATGCACAAAATCATTAATCACTCATAATTATTTAATGAATTTTTGTCATTAAGAAATTTCATTGTGAAAGCTTCAATGAGACTGAAGAACTCATTTAGGTTAGTGTTTAATATTAAGAACTTTAAATGTAACATACTCAGTGCACAATTGATTTATTGAAAATGTAAATTATCAAGTTTGTTAAATAAAGATTTAATGAGGTAATGTTTATTCTCATTTACAGTCTTAGAATTTACAATAATAAAATCAACATGATACAAACAATATTGTTAAAAAATCTATACATACATAATCTTTGTCAAAAGCTCTTATGGTTTGGATATGTTTTGCGATTTAAGTAAAACACTATAACGGTTTAAAACGCGATGTATATTAGTTAAAATAATTTGAAAATTATAAATACCAAGTTCGACGAAATAGGTGGCGGTAGCGTACAGATTTTACTTTGATGTCAGAGACACCCTCCACCTTTAGTTTTTAGGCCACAGCGGCTGCAAAGCATCCGAAACGACTAATAATTTCGAAATAAGTTTAACTAATACATATATATCGCGTTTTAAACAGTTAAAGTGTTTTATTTAAATGTGTACTACTCGCGTAAACTATATGTTAACTGCATGATTAATTAAGATTTCATAAAACATTTGTTTTTAAACACAGCCAGTTTAAAAACTAATGTTCCCTTCAAGATTTTTTCCATGGTTATTACCATGATACAATATATTACCATTATATAATATAGCCAAAACTTAATCGTTTTTGAAATTTATTACTCTGTACATATGTCTTAATTTAGGAACGACGTAAGGGCAGTGTACATTTATACATACTTAACACCTTTCCATACTGAGTTGGCTTCCATCACGCACTTGCAACCGCATCCTGTCGGACAAGTGTCATGTTGCGTAAACCTACAAAAGCGGTGTGGTTATTTTTTTTTATAATTACATACACTAATTTTAAGACTATTTTATAATGAAAGAAGCCTGGGTCGAACGCAAATCTGTGTCGGTTTAATGGATCAATTTTTATTTACAGGCAAGTAGTACAGAAACAATTTATTGTTTCTCTGGAGTCCGAACCTAGGACCTCTGATCCTTAACACAATGCTAAGCAACACCTTTAACTATTTAGCTACAGAGGCGATCATTAATTAAGCGGTTTTATAATGATTTATATAAAAATTATATATTAATGAAAATTTAAAGTTCAATCATTAATAAATCCATATAGAGTTTTTTTCTAATCTCCATCTGCCATAATATAAAGCATAGTTAACATACCATTTGAGCATATGTTGCGCATGGCCAGCATGCGTGCACAACGCGCATGCGACGGCCAGACCGCGAACGCCGCGTGCGCAAACCGCGCAGGTCAGCGCAGGCCGTCGACACGCCCCACACGACGCGTTGCGAGTGCCCCGCCCACAACGAGAGCACTCCCATCGCGCATCCCCTTCGTACTCGGTATCGCATTTCCCACGTACAAGCTTCATAACCTGTCATCAAAGTATATTAATTATTTATATATAAGATAGAAAATAAACAACAAAAAACCAAACATAAACTATCGCAAAACTATCAAAAGATCGACATGACAGTGTTGGCCTTTGCATTAAGTCGATGGACTCGTTGGTGTAATGGTAGCAATGTATACCTAATAATAATCAACTGGCCGTGGGTTTGACCCCACATATGACTCTTCTGGAACATGTTTTACTTCGTCTGGAAATTTGGGTATCCAATAGGTGGAATATTGAAATTCCATCCGTGTCATGAACCATCTTCCACAAGAAAAGCCGTGTAATTTGATCGCGTTTCAGTTTAAGTCTGTGGATATCCTAATATCCAAAGCAAATTAGGCCGACAGCACATCTTGTTTAGTTGTTATGTGACTGGGATATTTCACCTACTATCAAGTGGAACCCCTGATTGTCAGAAAATATTAAGAATACATAATATATGACGATATAAGTTCGAACGCGTCCATTAGTTGAGCCTGGTAGTTTTTTTACTTACTAGTTTTATTGCTGTGCGCTTAAGGCGTTTATAGTACAAGATCTTTTTACAAACCTCCGTTCTCTTATATAGAAGCTGCCATCGATGTAAAACATCCGCGTACGCCCTCTTAAAACAATGATATAGGTGCACTGTTGCTTCGTCTAGTACACAAGCAGATCGATCAGATTTTAAAAGCGAATAGTCGGTATTCAGGTTCTCCGCTTCGGAACACGAGTTACTGCGTATGATTATTGGTAACGTCCATCCATCCGCACTTATTTCACTGTATTGGTTAACTGTATTGTACGGAGATGTGTTGTTACCCTGGAATTATTTTTTAATCTAGTTATCTACCGGTAAACGAATTAAGACTTTTTTCCAGACTAAATAAAGGTCTGGAAATTTTTATTTGACACATTTGTGTTACCTATTTAAGTGGTTCTATACTTTACATCTTATTATGTTATCGTTATCAATTGAGACAATATAATTTTACTTAAACACGATGTTTAGATTAGCGGTTTAAAACGAAAAATGTATTAGTCAACTTATTTACAATTTATTTTCATGCCCCGACTTTTCGGATGCTTCGCAGTAGTTCATGTAGGTCATGGTGGTAGTAAATAGTAAATAATTAAACTAATACATTTCGCGTTGTAAAACGTAAAAAAAATATTTAAATGTTTACAACTTGCGTAAACTACAGACAGTATTCAAATACGATGTACACATGTGGCACTAATAATAATAATAGTAATAATTTGTAACTAACGGGTAACATACACAACTGGACGTGCTAATGGTGGACTGTGAACTTGAGTTTTCCGAATCATTAAAAACGGAGAAGGCGCACGTCAACATGGCAGCCGTCTGCAGATCCGACGATTTGGCGTAGTGGGATACTCTGTAACATTTATTATTTATTTTATTGTTAATTGTTTTGACATATTTTTGTGTGGAAAAAGGCCAATTATTTATGATTAAAAATTAATAGTTTTTCTACAATTATCTATACTAATATTATAAGTTTAAAAGTTTGTTTGCTTGAACGCGCTATTCTGGGGAACCACTGGTTCGAATTCATTTTGTGTTGGTTCGTCCATATATCGTGGAAGGCTTAGGCTATGAAACAGTAGAAAAAGTGGAAAAAAACGGGGAAATTTATTCATTCCGAGTTTCACGTTGAATGCGCTTGGTTTGAGGTAACGAAAAAATATATGTTAAAGAATTATTCCTCTTCATGTAATCTTAAAAAGTTTACGATATATGCTATGTCTTAAATTTAAGATTAACTCTGTAGAACCTTTTTATGGTAAACAAATTTAGTCGAAATACTTCATATGGTAAAAAATGTGTGCCAAATCAAATATTTATGACATATACTGTAAACTCAATAGTTCTATAAATAAGGGATCCTTAAAGAAAATTATCTTTTTTATTACAAACGTTTCTTGGTCTGTTTCTATGATTAAAAGGACTATTCATACTCACAAAGCTTGAATGAGATTACAGCACAGCGGATGTCCAGCCCAACCCATGCTCTCTTCACTGGACATGAGATGGTCAACGGACTGAGCCCCCAAAGAGCGAGCCGCCAGCGCAGCCAAACCCCAAGCGTGCGAGACTTCACTATCTCCCTCTTCCGCCAACAACCTGGCGTTTCGTTCGCACATGTCTAAAATAAGTTTTTACCGTCTGTTATACTAGTTTACTTCCATTAGAATTACAAGTTAATTATTTATCTTCCCATTTTTTCTCACTTTGTAAATCTGATTATTGCATATTTCTTTTTACTTTTGGATTAAAATACAAGACATATAGAACCACAAAAAATGGCTTTATATTCTTATATTACCTTTAATACCTAAAATAATAACTTATTTGCCTGGGATTCCAACTACATACATACACACAATCTCTTAAGAAACTTAATCTAGAAATATTTGATAAGCAATTAAAACCTTTTGTTTATTTGGAGTAAGTAAAAGGAGAAAAACAAGACATGAAGACAATGGATTTAATCTGAAATGTTTTTTTTGTACTTTCAAATTGTAAATTAAAAACCGATTTTAGATATGAAAAAAAATACGACACTGGCGGGACTTGAACCGGCATCCACAACGTTCCGCGCTGATGCTCTAACCAATTAAGCTACCGTGTCCTACACGTCATCGTAGAATTTCAACCTGCACCTCCCGCGCAATGTAATGTCAACCTTAGCATTTGCGTATTAAGTTATTACTTACCAACCGGATTGGAAGCATCAATGATATACTTTTCAGCCAAGGTCCTGCTAATCGGAAACAGCGCATCAGCGGCATACAATACGACTCGTGGCGATGCGAGACCAGATATGCTGTGCCGGCTACGCATGCTCCCTGTCCGCCGACTTTGAGCTTTCTGAAGAAAGAGGAATTTTACTTTATACCTTTATACACATTAAATCGAAACCTTTAAAATTAAAGACTTTAAACGTTTAAAACTTGATATATATTAAAATTTCGCCAAATATCAACTACGACGGAACAGATGACGCTAGCGTAGAAGTTTTTACTTTGACATTAGAGACACCGTCGGTTTTAAGCCTCCCCGTGACCACGGCTGCTGCGTCCAAAACCACAGGCCGTAGTTAAAATTATTTTTAAATAAATTTAACTATCACGTTTTAAACCGTTAAAGTGTTTTATTTAAATATGTACTACTCGCGTAAACTACACAATGTAGTGGTTTTATGACCGAAAATCCAAATAGATAAGACTCACCCAACGATCTTGGAAATAGAATGTTGTGATGGAATTTGAAGCATGTCTGTGATGTAACTGTGGGAATCCAGAAGCATTAGTCGGAGAAGGCGTAGTGGTTGCATGTGGAGAAACTGAAGTATACCCCGACCCGAATAGCCCTGGCATCAAGGATAATGATGACATAGATCTTGGAGTGCCGGTCTCGTGCTTTAGTGAAAATCTTCTCGCATTCGCTGGTCTATTAAAAACAACTAAAGTGCTAACGCCACACCACTTTGCACTGCATGTACGAGGAAATGGAATGCAGGAGTCACCAGCATTTTCGCTTTCAGACTGACTACGCTGACTGGATTTCATTGAATCAGAATCATCGCTCGACTTAACTGGAATCTGAAAAATACAACTTATTACACATATTACATTAAATCGAAAATTATACATTCAAGATTTTTAGCGAAAGTATGGTTTTGTTTATAAACGTTGGTTTGCTAAAATTAAAAATAGTAAATTTCAGGTGATATTGTATAATGCATTGGATAAAAATCTATTCAGAAAAAATTATATGAAATGTCATTCAGCTTTGAAATTTTAAATGTGAAATCATTTTGTACCTCATCAATAGATGTCGCTAGTGTTTTCAAACAGTGTAACAGACATCTATGGCCCTCTTTTTTCTTACGGTATGCAGTTCTGTTGATTGATTGTAATATTTTTATTGTAGTCGGACTATCCACATTCGTTCCAGACAGCCAAGAGAACTTTGGAATAGTTTGTTCTGTTACGTTTCTTGGAAAAGTAACTTGTAAATTGGCTGTATAACCATTGCGTTCAGAGTGTATTTGACATGTCCTTGTTTCAATATTCATATCAGTCACTTCAATATTCGCCATTTCTCTTATTGATTCAAATTCTTCATCTATTGAGGTAGTTGTTTTGTGTACAATTTTATTCTGCAATATAAAATATGTATAATTACAAATTTCATTAACGATGTATCAACTTATCAAAACTTTTTAAAATATACCATTAGAATTTCCTGACCCTTACTATCATTTCCTGTCAAGTCATTCATTGAATTAATAACAGATGTATAACTCCCTGTAAGGCAAACACATTTAATAAATGTATTTTTCTATAATTATTATATAAATTATATATGTAAAATTTTATTACTTACCATCACTAATGTTATCATAATCACTATCTGAATCAACCGGTAGGAAATGAGAGCACATTTTTAAAAGTGTTGGATGCATGGTCCATATTCTAAGAGTCTGATCTCTGCCCCAAGTAATTAATTGATAATTGGAAGGAAGAGTGTTGGGTCTCCAAACCATGGTTTGCACAGTATCTGTGTGGCCAGCTAATCGATGAGTTAAAGTACCTTCTATCCAAATACCAATAACTCCCGCCTGTTCAACTCTAGGTAATCCACCCCAACCCACACCTATAGTTAAAAGACCACTACCAAATGGTGTGTATATTGCTCTCCAAACAGGAAAATTAGTCATAATAACATTTTCCGGTCTTCTGGCATTATTTATATCAAAATATTTTATACTTCCATCATGGCTAGATGTGACCAATTGATATTCATGGTGAGGACTCCAGTCTACACCGTGGATTTTACAAAGATGTGCAGAGATGTAATGTAAAGGTGCAGAATTCTTACGATAGTCCCAAATTTTAATATCACCATCATGAGCAGTTGCAACAATATGTGAGGCTACTTTATTCCACTGCACTTGTGAAGCTCCAGCTAAAAATATATTGTCTTTAGATCCTGATTTCTTACATTTCATTATACAGCATACATAAAAATAATTTTTAGATTCTGCAATTTTAGGATGACTACAATACAGAAGTTTATGAAATAAGATGCAATGTTATAAAGGTGTGGATTAAATAATTAACTAACCAACAGCACTTAAAGAAACAACAGGTTTTCTTGAATCTCTTAAATCCCATAAGTGTGTGAATGTATCTATTGAACAGGTGGCTATTAAATTGTGGTCTTGTCTGTGAAAATGTGTATCACTCACAACCCGAGTGTGGCCTTTCAGTGAACATATACATGTTAGGTCATTGCCTGCCCTCCATTCATATACATCCACTCGCTGATTACTCTAAAAAAGAATACATAAAACTAATCAACACTTTAGTAATAAAAAAAAGTTTGGCTTTATAAATTATACTAACAGCTATTGCACACAATTTTTGACCAGGATATGTTTGGCACCATTCAGCACCCGCAGCGTCATACTTGCTTTGGCGAGGATATTTTTTTATAATATCGCCAGTGTCATCATCAATACTCAGCTGTTTAATAGCTAGCCATCTCCGACCCGCTAAGAGAACATTATTTCCCGAATAGTCCACGGACATAGCCGTGGCCTGCAATTCTCGATATTCCCATTTCATTGTCTCGGAGCTCCAGTGCACAGACATTTTCAGATATATTACATAAACTACATAGCCAATTGTTATAATGAGAACATATTTCCAAACATTTAATGTTTCGTTAATAATCACTCACTTTATCAACAAGCACTAGTGTTTAGCTTAACCTATTATCAACACCAAATCAACACATACATCCCTCAGCCCCCAACAATGGGAGTTTTATGTATACAAACATTGACAAAGCGTTCATTTGACACTTGACATTCTGTCAAATTAATTATCTTGTTTTTGTTATAATCAATCTGTGGAACAACTTGAAGGATTTTTTTTATGACGGCAGAAAATTTGATCGAAATATTTTTTTACTTGTTTATCGCTAGTTCAACTTTCAATAATGTGTATTAATATTCTCAAGTAATTATTTAAAAAAATGGCTATATCCATAAGACTCTTGTGTAGAAATCATCGTTTTTTCCAAAACACTATTAGAACGGTAGAATGGAGTAGAAAAAAAGAATTTCCTTTAAGGATATTACCTAGGGAGATTTGTTATCATAAGGGTCTCCTACAGAAGCCTTTATCAGTAGGAAACGACTTCGGACTATGCTCGATTCGCTTACGACTATGTTCTACACAGAGCGGTAATGACAATACAAAATCATCGCAACCGGATGATCAGAAAAAACCGGGTCTCATACAACGGTTTAAGCAGATGTATAGAGATTATTGGTATGTACTTGTACCTGTACATATGGCTACATCAGCTGTTTGGCTTGGTGGATTCTACTATGCAGTAAGGAGGTATTAAGTTGTCAAAAAAGATTTATTTACAACATGTCAACATGCTTTTACTGTTTTTTTGTGTTTGCAGTGGTGTGGATGCAGTGAGCCTTCTAGAATCAATTGGTGTTAGTGAAAAACTAATGGAACCATTGAAACAATCTGGTGCTGGTTACTTTGCCTTTACATTTGCTTTGTATAAGGCGGCAACACCTTTGAGATATGCTGTAACTTTAGGTTGAAATCAATTTTATAAAAATTAATTCATCATTAACAACCTATTTATAGATTTTTATATTTAACATTTATTTATAGGTGGTACAACTTATGCCATTAATAAATTAACCGCAATAGGATGGATAAAACCTGTGCCCTCACGAGAGCGTATCAAAGAGATGTTGCAGGAGAAAAAAGATAACATACAAGACAAGTTCAATGAAAGTAAGCAACATTACCAGGTACAAATGAAAGAAAAACAAACTCAGGTAATAGATGAAATGAGACGGTATAAATCAGAGATGCGTAACATGAAGAGCAAGATTAAGAAAATGTAATGTGGACAAAGTTATTATTTATTTTGTGGCCTGGCCAAAATGTATATATCTAGCATATTTATATCTGAATAAAATATCACTTGGAGTATGTATATTTATTGCCTTCAAATATACTTAATAATTAAAATGGCTCTTCATACTTCATAGCTGGGTGAAATTAGCATCATTAAATTGTCATTATCAAAATGTACAGATATATTTTATAATAACATATTTAAGTACTATGAATAAGACAGCACATAACTGGAATGTTTTATTATGGCAATATTATTTCTTCTTACATTAAAATAAATAATATAGAAGTATTACATTATGAACCAGGTGTGCTGCCAAATGAACATAAAAATAATAAATGCATTAACTTTGCAAGTAATTAAAAGTTGTGACTTTTGTATTTGTTTTACACAAAAAAAAAACCCTGTATTTATTCCCTATTGAATGTAGTTGCGCAAACGATAAAATTTGTCATCAGTAAACAGATGCCATAAACCTACCAAAATTAACAATATTATAAGAGTTGGAAAGTATCTGATTGTGTGTGTATTTTTTAATTATAAAATTTGTGAAACATTTGCGCAGCTTCATTCATTTATTATTAAAAGTCTTATTGATAATTCCAGTATATGGAATATAACCATTTTTATGGATGTACCATAAGTTATCACAAAGCATTATAGGCAAACACCATTGCTGACCTAACAAAATCACAATTAAATATTGCAATATTCGTAAGTTATAACAAAACTTGTAAATTGCAATTCTTAATAATAATATTTACTTATCAATAACATTCAATTCCTACTTCAACATATGATTACTCTAACACAGTGTTTCTTAAACTTAATGCCGTCACGGACCACTAACTGAATTCAAAAACCTCTACGGACCCCTGTCAAAGAATATTTTAATTTAATTAGTGCAATGTCACTAGCACACAGAGAGGGAAAATTCTGTAATTTATACCAAAACCCTCACTAACCCGTCTGCCAAGCGTGGTGAGTATGGCAATTACCCCTCACGTATTGGGGGAGGCCCGTGCCCCAGTAGTGGGGACGTCAATGGGCTGATGATGATGAGCTGCTGTGGACCCCACTTTAAGAAACCCTGCTCTAACAGTAATATTAAGCATTTATATGTCATTAATAATTATTCCTAAAAGTTAAAACTAAACAAATTTGAGGCCAACTATAATTTAAAGGCCTTAGTTAAGGTTTGAATACAGTCTAACTACAAGAACAAGAGTAATAAAATAAGTTTAACTCAGTATAAAAATGCGCCTACAGGTATTTACATTATTCCATATAAACTTTGTTCAGACTTGTTAACCTACTGTGACAATGGATATGTTATATAAACATCAAAAGAAGCTCATAGCTCATTGTTTTTTTAACTTAACACTTGTCACAATTCATTTATCTAAGAAATGTCATGGTCATGCATTAAATAATTTTACTTTTTGTGCTACATAATTCAATGTAGTTTTGTTGTCGCTTTTTCGCATAAGATTTTCACCTAGAAATAATTTGAAATTTTAACAGTCATCATAACAAATCTCGATTTTCAATACTACATATATTTCAAACGCCTATCTTTTAGCTCTACCTATTTAACTCGTTTAGCGTTTCGTATTACATAAAATAAATAAATTGGAAAACTTATAAAATTGCCAAAGTAAGTTCTAAATCAACCCATATACTGGTAGGAAGCTGGTGAGAGATGGGGAGCAGTCGTAACGCCCGGCCCAGAGGCGGCGCCTATAGTTGCCAAGTGACAGGCACGGCACATTAGTTTACCTGAAAGATAAACAAATTAAAAGTGGTTTGTAAATTACAAAAATTATGAATGAATTGGTATCATGTTTGGATCATAAGCCCTTACCAGCTAGAGGATAACATCTTTTATCTGGCTCGTCGGTAAGCTGCATGCCACAAACACAGCACATATAGCAATCCACATGGAAATCTCGATCCATCGACACCACACGCACAGTTTCATCTGTTCCTTCTACTGGGGTTATGCCTGTGAAATATTTAAATTTATTTAAAATTCTGTAGTAGATATTAGTAGCATTTAAATAAATAGAAATATGCAACAAGTCTAAATCCTTACCTTTTCCACAACTGGCACATTTAGGAGCAAACATTCGGTGATAATCATTGACACAATATATTTTATTGTCAACATCAACTGTAAAGGGCACTCCATCAAGGCATTCATTGCAAATACAGCACCGAAAGCAACCTGGATGATATGACTTGCCCATAGCTTGCAGTATCTGAAATTTATGGAACAGTTACTAATACAGAATTAAAACATAGGGACAATCAATCCTTCTCAAATCTAAAACCTTATAAATAAAAACACATAGAACAAAATACATACCATTTCCATTATAAGATGACCACATATTGCACATTTCTCAGCGGTTTGTTGAAAGCCAGAATACTAAAACAAAAGTTTTTATATAAAAAAAAACTCATCTGCCGTCTTCATACTTGTTATAAATACAATAAAAATTCAAGTACCAGATAGTCTTCTTCACAGTACACTTTTCCATGTACATTGTAGAAAGCTTTTCCCCTTAGAGCTCGTCCACAAGAGCAGCAAATGAAGCAGTTGGTGTGATAAAGATTTCCCATTGCCTGACATGCCTGACCAGCCCCAGTTACTCCTGCACCACATGTGTGACATATACCTGTAAGATTTATTTAGAAGTTATTAAATGTTTTCTATTTATTTATAGGTGAAATGTTATATTTTTGTCTTCTATTTGAATTTTCTCTTGGAAAAAATCGTTTTAAACTTTTTATGCTCTCATTTTATTATTATGATTTTGTATAAACTATTACCAAAATACTCCCCCTCCTCATCTTGCCGCTCCATTTCTTCTTCTAGTTGCCTTGTCATCTCTTCTATTTTCCTTTGAGCTTCACTAGGGCCTGGCGGACGAGGTGGAGTGATACTATAGGGTAACAGGGTTTTGCCTCGACCGCCTGAACCTCTCGATCCACCAGATACCTGAGACACTGAACTAGGAGTTGGACTTGGAGCAGGTGACTGGGATGGGGAACACATTGATGTACGGGTGCATGTTAAATTTCTTGAGCCCACTGATTCTGTTAATGACACATTGTCCCTACTTGCAGCTGCTACAGCAGATGGTGCTGTTCCCCCTGTCATACAGACATAATCTGATCCATTTGTGTCATCAACAATTTGCATTCTAGCTGTCTGGATTTTAACTGCAGGGTTATAACCATTAGCCACAGCTGGCTTTATTTTACCAAGCCCATTACCCAGTAATGGCTTAGGGTGGAAAAATTTTGGTGCTGCTACAGCAGTTTGAACTTCTGTAGCAATGTTAGCTTTTGGCCTTTGAGCACTTGGTGCTATAGATGCATAAATAGCAGCAGATGGAACATTGGTAACTTTATCATCAAAAGTTACAGTATTATTATTCTTTAATAGAGTACTAACATCAGTGTACTTAGGTGGTGCGGATTTCATTATGGTATAATCTCCACTAGAAGTGTCCTGAGTTGAATTGTATGGAGGTGGTGGAGGAACTTTGTCTATTTTTCCTTTATCATTTGATATGTTTTTATTTGTGTTTGGGACTTGTGGTCCTGGAGTAGAACTATGCTGTATGAAATGTTGATTAAGTTTTGGTTGTGATTTGAAGTCAATTTTTTTGTCATTTTCAGAGCAAAGCATGTTCTCATAAACTACTGGTTTAGGTTTTGTATTGACAGGCACTTGAGGCTGAGCTTTGCTATATCTAGTATCGTAGTATCCTTCTGGTGCAACTGGAGGTGATTGCTGGTAGAGCTGATGATAGAACGGTGGCTGTGGCAATTGTTGCTCACCGTAATAGTCGATGTTTTCGTACACAGGTGGAGGGTACGACGTAGTAGTATTACCGGGAATTTCATACAGATCTTCAGTTTGGTAACTGAGAGACCTTTGAGATATCGATTCAATGGAGTGAGTAGGGCTAGGCGGCAGAGCTGTGGTGTTGATATCACGTTTGTTTATAGATGCTATAGTTTCGACCCGTTTGGGTGTAGCGTATTTGGATGCAGCTATGACATTAGATCGTTCATAGAAACTGTAGTCCTGGCGATTAATAGGATGTTTATTATCTAAAGTAAAACTTTCGATCGCGCCTACAGGCCTGTTTTTTGTCTGCGCTGTTAAGTTAGATGTCATTGCACTGTGCGCCTGCTCCGTTTCATTTTCGTCTTTGTTTGTTATGTTTAAATCTTGCAGTCCCATAACACACCTTTGTTCCTCAGTATTATTTCTTCTTGAAAAATCCATTGTTATTACTTAATAAATTCGTATGTGATCAGTGAAGATCACAATCAAACACAAAAACTTAAGATGAATGATTCATAGTTCTTGAAAGAATCTTCATACAATCGAAACTTAATCACAAATTGTTAACTATGTTTCAGAAAGCAATAACAAATAGTTTTTAAACACATGCAAAACATACAACAATGATTTTAGAATAATATTATACGAAAGATTCTGTGGATCCTAGTTTAACTTTATTTTATTGAATTATATTTATAATCTGTCGTGACTCTACTCCAGAGTACATACAACTTATATTATCTGTTAAATATACAGATCAATAAAAATATAAGAAACTTTAATGACCACAGACTTAACCGCTGCATGGTGGACCGGCAACCATCGCCATTTTGGTTTTTGTAAGGTGATGGTTTTGGCTGCGAGTGATTTTTCAGTTTATGTTATTAAATATCATAACAATTTATACAATTGAATAGTAAAACACAATCTCAAAGTGTTTTACAATGTATGATACTGAAGATGATCAATACGAGGAGGAGGATGTGGAAGAAATATCCTCGGAGTTATGGCAGGAGGCTTGCTGGATTGTTATTAATGCGTATTTCGATGAAAAAGGTCTTGTAAGACAACAATTAGACAGCTTTGATGAGTTTATTCAAATGTCTGTACAAAGGATTGTTGAAGATTCTCCACCCATAGAGCTTCAAGCGGAAGCGCAACATTCCTCTGGTGAAATAGAAGTGCCACCTAAGTATCATCTGAAGTTTGACCAGATATATTTGTCAAAACCAACCCACTGGGAAAAAGATGGAGCACCTTCACCTATGATGCCTAATGAAGCGCGTCTACGTAATTTAACATATTCAGCTCCCTTATATGTTGATATAACCAAAACAATTGTAAAAGAAAACGAAGATCCCATTGAAACTCAACATCAGAAAACCTTTATTGGTAAAATACCCATTATGTTAAGGTCTACATATTGTTTACTGAGCAATCTTACTGACAGAGACTTAACTGAACTTAATGAATGCCCATTAGATCCAGGAGGTTATTTTATAATTAACGGCTCAGAAAAAGTATTAATTGCTCAAGAGAAAATGGCAACAAATACTGTTTATGTATTCAGCATGAAAGATGGTAAATATGCATATAAAACTGAGATACGCTCCTGTCTAGAACATAGCTCTAGACCAACATCAACATTATGGGTCAATATGATGGCTCGAGGTGGACAAAGCATCAAGAAGTCCGCTATTGGGCAAAGAATAGTTGCTATTGTTCCTTACATCAAGCAAGAAATTCCTATCATGATAGTATTTAGAGCTCTTGGGTTTGTAGCTGATAGAGATATTTTAGAACATATTATATATGATTTTGATGATCCTGAAATGATGGAAATGGTAAAACCGTCCTTGGATGAAGCTTTTGTAATTCAAGAACAGAATGTAGCTCTTAACTTTATTGGAGCTAGAGGAGCCAGGCCTGGTGTAACTAAAGAGAGGCGTATAAAGTATGCAAGAGAAATCTTACAAAAAGAAATGCTACCCCATGTTGGAGTGTCAGACTTCTGTGAGACAAAGAAGGCTTACTTCTTGGGATATATGGTACACAGATTACTTCTTGCTGCTCTGGGTCGTCGTGAGTTAGATGACAGAGATCATTATGGGAACAAAAGATTAGATCTAGCTGGACCTTTACTAGCTTTTCTTTTCCGAGGTCTATTTAAAAATTTGCTTAAAGAAGTAAGGATGTATGCACAAAAGTTTATTGATAAAGGTAAAGATTTCAATCTTGAGTTGGCTATTAAAACAAAAATTATAACTGATGGGTTGAGATATTCTCTTGCGACTGGTAATTGGGGTGATCAGAAAAAGGCCCATCAAGCGAGGGCAGGTGTTTCTCAGGTATTGAATCGTTTGACTTTTGCATCAACCCTTTCACACTTGAGACGTGTTAACTCACCTATTGGACGTGATGGAAAGTTAGCTAAACCTCGCCAACTTCATAATACTTTGTGGGGAATGATCTGTCCAGCCGAAACACCTGAAGGTGCAGCTGTAGGTCTGGTGAAAAATTTAGCACTTATGGCTTATATTTCTGTTGGAAGCCAGCCATCACCTATTTTAGAGTTCTTGGAAGAATGGTCTATGGAAAATTTGGAAGAAATAGCACCTTCAGCAATTGCTGATGCAACAAAGATATTTGTAAACGGTTGTTGGGTAGGTATACATAGAGATCCTGAACAATTAATGGCAACATTGAGAAAGCTTAGACGTCAAATGGATATAATTGTGTCTGAAGTAAGTATGATACGCGATATTCGTGACCGAGAAATTAGAATCTACACAGATGCTGGAAGAATATGTCGCCCATTGTTAATTGTTGAAAATGGCGCACTGTTGCTAAAGAAAAAGCATATTGATCAACTAAAGGAGAGGGATTATAACAATTATGGGTGGCAAAACTTAGTAGCAAGTGGTGTTGTTGAATATATTGATACATTGGAAGAAGAGACAGTTATGATTGCCATGAGTCCTGATGACCTGGCGCAAGTAAAAGAATATGCTTATTGTACCACCTATACACATTGTGAAATTCATCCAGCAATGATTTTAGGAGTTTGTGCATCAATTATTCCATTCCCAGATCATAACCAGAGTCCGAGAAACACTTACCAGAGTGCTATGGGTAAGCAGGCTATGGGAGTTTATATTACTAACTTCCATGTTAGAATGGACACTCTGGCACATGTTCTTTATTACCCTCATAAACCATTAGTAACAACACGTTCCATGGAATATTTGCGCTTCCGTGAATTACCAGCTGGTATCAATTCCATTGTAGCTATTTTGTGTTACACGGGTTACAATCAAGAAGACAGTGTTATTCTTAATGCATCAGCTGTTGAAAGAGGATTCTTTAGATCCGTTTTCTATCGGTCTTATAAGGACTCGGAATCTAAAAGAATTGGAGATCAAGAAGAACAATTTGAAAAACCTACAAGGCAAACTTGTCAAGGTATGAGAAATGCCTTATATGACAAGCTGGATGACGATGGTATTATCGCCCCTGGTATAAGAGTTTCAGGAGACGATGTAGTTATTGGAAAAACTATAACGTTACCAGAGAACGATGACGAGCTTGAAGGCACGACAAAGCGCTTCTCAAAAAGAGACGCCTCAACATTTTTGCGTAACAGTGAAACTGGTATTGTCGACCAGGTAATGCTTACTTTGAACAGTGAAGGATATAAGTTCTGCAAAATCAGAGTGAGGTCAGTGCGCATACCACAAATCGGCGACAAATTTGCGTCACGCCACGGTCAAAAGGGCACTTGCGGGATTCAGTACAGGCAAGAAGATATGCCTTTTACCTGCGAAGGATTAACTCCTGATATCATTATCAATCCTCACGCTATCCCATCCCGTATGACAATTGGTCACTTGATTGAATGTATTCAAGGTAAAGTTTCATCAAACAAAGGGGAGATAGGTGATGCAACACCATTTAATGATGCTGTAAATGTGCAAAAAATATCTTCCTTGCTGCAAGAATATGGCTATCATCTGCGTGGTAATGAAGTCATGTATAATGGTCATACTGGTAGAAAGATTAATGCCCAAGTTTTCTTAGGCCCAACATATTACCAGCGTCTGAAACACATGGTGGATGATAAAATTCACTCAAGAGCCAGGGGACCAGTACAAATTTTGGTGAGACAACCTATGGAAGGTAGAGCAAGAGATGGTGGCCTCCGATTCGGAGAAATGGAGCGGGATTGTCAAATCGCTCACGGTGCGGCACAATTTTTAAGAGAGCGACTTTTTGAAGTCTCCGATCCTTACCGAATTCATGTTTGCAATTTTTGTGGTTTAATAGCCATTGCAAATCTAAGAAATAATACATTTGAATGTAAAGGATGCAAAAATAAAACCCAGATTTCGCAAATTAGGCTTCCTTATGCTGCAAAACTGTTATTCCAAGAATTGATGTCTATGAATATAGCTCCAAGACTTATGGTAGTAAATTAACAGTAGCCTTTAAGGATAACATCAACATTTTGAAACATTTGTATTAATTTCAATAAATATAATTCAACATTTATAAAGACTTTTATTTTATAAAACCACAACATTAAATGCAGCTTAATTACAAAGAATATTACAATAAAAAGGTACAATATTGAACTTGCTCTTTAAAATAACTAATGACATCACACATTTGCAATATGATTAAATAGATTTTATCACATTTAACAAAGAATTGAGGTAAGTAAAACATCAATATGTAAGCAGGTACTTAACTATAAATATACAAAAAAAAAACAAATTATTGTTGTAAATAGAAATATTTTAAAGGAATATATAAGTAAACCGAAAATTTTTAATCATTAGGTTGTTATACAATTATAACTTACTCGAGTGCCAAAATCAATTTAGTTTTCCAACCTTTCCTTTATCCTAAACGTAACTTGGTCTGTTAAAATTCAAGCACCAATAAATAATTAGCTATACAACGCTTTCGTATCATCTTATCGTGAATAATTGTGAACCAATTATTCGTACCAATGTAAATTGCAGACTAGTACATAATATGTAAATCTGTTGTACTACAATTAATATTAACTAAAAGTATTGTACCTAATACACAAAATTAATGAGAGACATTGAAAAAATTTTTTGCACTATCATTAACTTAGTAAAGTTGATTTGCCTATAAATAGAGTTTCGTTATAAAGTTAAGCGAAATCGATATAAAAGTGTCCTGCATAGTAGGTATATTATCAAATGTTAAAAAGAGTACTTATTAAATTGTCCGCTTTTCCCAAAATGGCTTAAAAGTGGACGCCATGACTTAATGGCATACATGTAAATGCATCTTATTGCCTGGGTTCAGTCAACTCCACGCCTTTTGAATGACTTCAAAAGGCAGTATTCGTCCCATAAAGTATAAAAGTGGAAACTTTAGTTCGGTGCTGGGAGCGCCCTCTGTTCCTGACTGTCTTCTTCGCGTGGTCGGCTCCATTTGATCATAGTTTCCGGCGATCGATACAAGAACACAAGTTTAGCGAATAGATCTTCTTCCAATGTCAACTCGAGGGCCTCGCGTACCTTTGAAATAGAGTTAAGTCAGTATCAATCTACATACACAGTAAGTAGATATTGACTTAGATACTAACTAAATATACATATTAAAATAGAATAACAAACATTTCTATTTTTTTTATGATATGAGGAAAAGTTTTGGGGATCAAATCCATTTCCCGTTGATTATTATCCATACAATGTTACTGTTACACCCGTCCCCGTCAAAAATCAACTTATCACCTTGTGTGAATTAAAATTTTTGTTAGTAAATAAAAGTAAATGTTCATTGTATTAAAAAAAAACAGATGTGCCTAAGCACGTTTATGTCTAAGTAATAAAGTAAAATTACCAGATATATGTCCAAACAGAGTTGAAGGACCCGGTCGACATTAGGTAGATCGTCAAACATTATCTTGGTGTAGATTCCAGAGAAGAATCCGCGCAGCACTCGCGAAGCGAGAAACACGAACGTGGTATAAAGCCCAATGATACTAAAACAATTAATTCAATTTAAAAGAAGTTTTGTAAAGATTTTGACAATTTTTAAACCAAATGCCTTCTTTTTAAGCCCAATAATATTGCCAAATCTTCGCAGCTTAATTGTAAATCGCCCTTAGCGCAACAGAACCTTCTGTCCTTTAGGTTCCAGACAAACATTTCTTCGTTTTCATTTATCACTACACCAAGGACATTACTATTACATTAGTCAAAATGACACAGAAAATTTAAATAACTTGCTAAGCTCACTAAACGCTTGCGACTGAATAAGTGCCGATTAGATTTATTAAAAGGTTATAAACTTGTAGGTTGTTTTATAACTTACCCGCCACCCGATATAAAGTTAAGTGTCTCTGGGAATAGCTTGTCGTTAAATGTGTACATCACAAGCATATCGCAGTTGTTCATAGGGATCGACGCCAGCGGGTCCTGAAACACACACCGTTTTTCGTTTAAGTAAAACGCCAAAACCTTTCTATTCCTCTATGCTTATACATCATACATTGCGTAGTAATGTGTTACGGGTATAAAGCCTTGTTTTGAATCCCAGGGAAGCAATAGCATAGCAGTTTCATCTACTATTGGTTTGTAACTACAATCAGACAGGCAAACGGTACTTAATTAAGCCTGTAAAAGCAATTGGAAATTACCCTTTCTTCGCAAGCTTCATGCACCCGCCAGTAACTGGCGTTTCTATCTCTCTCTAATCGTAGTTTGACGTTTCTGTAATATCTTGCGTCATCGCTATCTGTAATTTTTAAGATCAAATCAGTCAAATTAAATTAAGGGAATTAATTTGAAATTGATTATTGTAGGGCAAAATATTGGAATAAAATATTTGTAGAGAAATAACGATTTTAGCGAAATTAATATAACACAATTTTACACTTAACTAAAATGAAACGGGGTCTATATAAAATGCCTATCTACATACTTTTATTTTTATATTATTAGCACTATTCCTTGTCCAATATAACATGATACATTTTACACGTTACGCTCTTGAAGTATTGAAATTTTGTGGGTCCAGTCATTCTATATTTTCTAAGTACTTTAACGACAGGTATAGCCCATAAAAAAAAGTTGTCCCATAATTAAATACCCGAATAGTATTCTTTTCATAAATGTAATATTGAAATTGGAAATAATCGATAATTGCTGCCTTGAATACATGAATAATAATCAAATATAAACGAAGATTAGGAGAACTAATAACCCTACCGTCTAAACCAATCGGAGGCATTAATTGGAAAGATGGCTTCGATGTCCCTTTGTTGAAAACCTTCACGAACTTCGGGAACAAATGTTTCACGTTCAACCTTTTAAAAGGGTAATAAGAACAATTAATTTCATACTCTTTATTAAAATAAGAAAGAAATTGTCTGTGGTGGAATCACTGTTTAAATTTATATTTACAAGAGAAACTTCTCGTATTATAAACCCGAAGCCTGAGAATCCTGGGACAACGGGACAACGTCAGGCTCGTTGACCTAATGGTAGCAATGTATGGCAAATTAAGGCCGAGGTGCATCCCTTACATGTTTGATCTTAGTTTGGAAATTTGAAAATTAAATGTGTGGTAGGAATGTTTGAAATTCCGTCCGAGTCACGAACTACCGTTCACAGAAGAAAAAGCCTTGAAGTTTAGTCTCAATTCGGTTCTGATTTTTCGAATATACACACAAAAAATAAGTCAAGATATCATAAGGCTGGGTTATTTCACCCCCGATCAAGTAAACCCCTTGCTTGTCAGCAAAATCAATGAATGCAAAGAAGTTGATCATTTAGTTATATATAAATCTGTTTGACTCACAGAGGACCCAGAAACATAACAGCTTCAAGTTTCATTAGAGGGAAAAGGGTTTAATTTCTTAAAGCATTAAAAAAACATGAAACAAAACATTATATACCAAACGTTTGGTGAAGCTGTGCCTGCTAACAGGTTGAGTAGAGTATCTCTCTCCGGGTTCCTCTTTCCGTCGATGAACGCGTCCAGGGGTACTTCTCGGTTGTTCTCGATTGTCGGCGGGTTTTGAGGGTTATTACTCGGGTGAGTGATAACGTACGTGAATTTCACTGATAGAGATGAATCTGTAAAAAAGCATTACCCAACCATAACTGTTATGTATTCTTTATATTTTCCGGTGTTCGCTGTTTTTTGTATGATAATATCAAAATCTTCATTGCCGTTAATTTTTAACTCGTAAATATTGTTGAACTTGTTTCATGTTACAAAGATTATAATGTTTAAGTACAATTTATATTAATATTATCTCAAAAGTTTGTTTGTTTGAATACACTACTCTCAGAAACTACTGGTTCAAAATGATTTTTTTTATTGTACATATTGTATAGATTAATGAGAAAGGTTTTAGGCTATATAACATCACGCTGCGACTAATAGGAACCAAGACACAGGGGGAAATGTCGTCAAACGTGGAACTATATCCATTTTTAAGGGCTTACGGTGCGAAAACGGTTTAAGAAGTCAAACAATTTAGTATGAAAAAATGATTGCTCCTTAAATGATCTAAAAAATATCTTTTAACTGACACGACGGGTTAACGACTTTGTGGGTAACAGCTATAATAAATAAAGCTTAGGAGGTTGTATGCAAAACTAGATTTTAATGTCCAAAAGAACTATAGCTGGCGGAGTCGCGGGAACATCTAGCCATAAACGCAAGAGGTAAAAAAACTTACTAGAAAGCGCTTCGCGTTCCAATCGGTCGAGTTCTGGTGGAGAAATGTTCCAGACTGCGGTCGAATTGGGATTAATTGTGATGACAGCAACATCGTTGTACATGTAGTTTGACAGGAACGTTTGAGCTGTGCGGTCGCGCGCGTACATATTGCTCAGTTGAGTGTAGTCCTGCTCTGTGTAACTAAATAGTGATCTGATTAACATCTATGAAGAGGTAAACAAGTAAAATACAATTATAGTAATACCATACATTAATTATAAAAGAGCAGAAGTCAACAAGAATAAGAAAAAACATGCAATCAATTTAAACAATGTTTATCCTCACAGCTCCCCGAGACAAAGCAAACGGCATTTCTTCCGAAGTAATCCGAAGCTTAGAAATACCAACCAACGCATTCAACTTACACATCAATGTTGTGGGATTGTGCCGACATTTGATAGACAGGAAGAAAGGGTCCAATTCGAATTTTCACAGTTACATCGGTCGGAGGATTTGGTTCACCCACCTAAAAGATAAAAAAATCACATAAAGTAAAGTTGTATTAATAACTTAAATCGTAGCTAAATCCTATTTCCCTAAATTGAAATATATAGGACAGGCACAATAATATATACTATATTTGAATACTCACAGAATTACCAAAAGCGAAGAAAACCAAAGGGAACCAAATGATGGCGATGACGAAGGCCAAGACTCCACCCCCCAGCAAATATTTGGATGTGGTTGACTTCTTGACACCGCGAGGTTGGGGGAATTCATCTTCGACGTAACGCGAACACTAAATAAATAAATAAATAGAAAATGCCTATAAGTACTAAAATAGCATAATAATTGATGAAATTTTTGTGTTTCCCGATTAAGATTCTAATGTAGAGAATCTAGGACTTTTTCTTGATGGGACATCTTTAATTCATTTGCACAAAATCTTATGAAAAAAAAAATGTTGAACACTTTTAATTACAATAACTAATGAGAATTAAACACCTTGAAAGGCATCAAGAATATGGTTTTTTTTTGTGTAATTTAATTATAGTTTAGCAAAAAAGAAAGAAAAACTCGTCCTTTGTTCATTGACCGAGCTTTAATTCTCTTAAATATCAATTTTAGATAAAAGCTTAAATTCTACGAAACAAAAACTGAGTTTACTTTAAGTAGAAAGACGCTGGCAAAAATATCCTCCATCTTAAGCCAATCCATGAGAGTCATTGAAGTGTCCGTCCAGATCCAGTCCATGAGCGTGCGCAGTTCGAAGAGGAAAGGCACTGCCATGAACCTATAAAATCGTTACGTAATAATTCAGCTATGACGACTATAACGCAAGGGGGTCGTGTTTATTTTTAATCAGGTTTCACTGTAATTAATAAGTTTCCATCATACCCTCTGAAGCAAATCATGTTGAGGAATCTATATGATTTGCACAAAAAGTTTCCAATTATCCGACGAGGATAGCCGCACCGGATCTGATATGCCGATAGCAAGAGGTAGATGCTCTTCATCATGTACCAAAGTGGAGGCGGTAGAAGTGTATTGAATGTTCTGAAAGGAAATTGTGCACAATATAATTTGACTAAAAGTTTTTATTCAGATTATTTTTAAAGCTTTTTAAATTAAGGCTGCTAGATTGATAAAAAATAATAAAGTTAAAATAAACGTTTGACGAACTTTTCCTAACGACATCTAACCTTTGTAAAAGTTAGCAACCTATATTTAAGTTATATGTAGCTCATGTAACTGGTTGAACAAAACAATTTCGAACAGTTTAAGATAACCAGCGTATACTAGTAATTTAAGTTGCACTTTTAGAAGAAACACTTTTAACAGTTTAAAACGCGATATGTCTAATTTAAACTTATTTACAAATTATTAACATGTTTTTGTCTCATACATTTCGCGTTTTAAATCGTTAAAAGTGTTTTAATTAAATGTGTACTATTCGAGTAAACTACACAAAAGACTGAATGAACAAAACGTCAAACCCTAGTTTACATTCAACCTGTTTCAAATTATTTTGGTTAATTCCTACATTTATATATGATTAACTATATTGTCAACATACCTTTCAGTTATAAACGGCAGGACGAAGAACATCCATATATGAACGCCGATGATAAGCGCGTATTGGAATAGTATTTTGCCCAGCATGAACTTGCGCAGATAGAGGGCGCGGTCGATGATAATCAGCGCGAATTGCAGGATCAACATCACCAGAAACGGAATCGGGACTTTGTTCTCTTCGAAGTAGGTTTGAACTCCGCCGTCACCTTGATGCGTCTGAGTAAATGTACTAATGTATTGCACTTTTAAAGGAACACACATCCAAATATTAATAATATTAACTATATTATTTTACTAAAACAAAGTTTGATTGATTTTTATGAGAAACCGTGGTCTTGTTATTTCCACCACTTTCACATGGCTTAAAGGTATTTTTATACATAAAGGATATATTTATTAAAAGTACAGTTTTCGCAATTTTTTCAATAACATAAAGTGCCGTCAAAATCAGCTAGGCTAACAATTTTTTCTGGGAGCTTTGGAGTGGTACAAACGTGTTTCCAGGGCTCACTCAAAAGCTCGTAGCGGGCTGGTGGTATGATTAGTGGTTCTGGTCGGCTATTGTCTCCGAGGAGGTTGTAATGCCAAACTTCCCACGCGGGAAGTCATTTAAAAAAAGGCTGCTATTACTACAATTTTTAACAAAAACAAAATTACAATAATTATTTTAAAAAATACAGTGTATGTACTCACTCCAAAAGCGGCGAAACCAAATATGACTACAAGGAAGTTGAAGAAGTCACAGAGGAACATGTAGGCGTAGACATCAGCCGTCACGCGCGCACCCGGTGCCAACATACGCTCGAAGAAGCACTGTGTCGGACGCAGGTATCGCTTAAACCTAAAAACATCCATCCGGATTACGAACCACCGTTTAATCGCGTTTCAGTCTGTGGATATCCGAATATCCAAAGCCAAAATAGGTCAACATCTAGCTTAGATGTTAAATGGCTGGAGTGTATCACCTACCATGAATTGAAACCCATGTCATGCCCTTCTCAATCATAAAAAAAAACATTGTACAAGAGCAGTTGTATAGGCTTATTATCTAAGTATTATATTAAAAAAGGAGAAATTTGAAACTTACGACAGCATCATGACAGTAGGAAAGTGTTGATACGATTCCTCGATTGTTGTATTTACGGCGATGATCGGTTCCTTATCGTCATTTACTCTAAAAAATAGACATTCCAATATAGGTGAAATTTATTTTAAATACAACTAATACACTTTATTATTCATGGAATAACAAACTTACGTGTATTCATCTGAATATCTTTCTTTAGATGGGCCTGCCTCATCTTCAACAGGTGCTAGGTCAGTGCTTCTTTGTAAGATGCCGTTTGAACCGGTATCTTGTTCTCTGTAACATAGATTTTGTTTTGGTCCAAACCTTGAAAATTAAGAACGTATAGTAGTGAAGTAAGTTTACACATTACGGTTACAATGTCTTTATATCTGAGTGGCTTTAGTCGTGTAGAGTCTATTAATCTATTTGTACATAAAGTATGACAACCATATTAAGCCCTATAGGGGGATATAAAATAATTTAAGTATTACATCTATTCATATAAACCACCTAATCGACTTTTAACTAACTACGAGTATATGTATATTATATTACTATTGCGTTATAAAATGTAATAAAAAAAACGTTGAATGATAGTATTGTAACTAATTTAGGTACTTTAGATATTAGTACTTAAAATCAGGAAATACAATACAATTACAAGACAGCATCGATAATTACTAAAAGAGTGTACCCCCCGTGATCAGGGCTACTGTACAGAATCGAAACTTCAGGCAGTATTTGAAATTAATAAAAAATAAGTTACAAATATATTTCACGTTTTAAACAGTTAAAGGTGTTTTATTTAAATATGTAAACTACAGACAATACTTAACAGAAACTAGCTTAACTCTTTACGATTAACGATGTCTCAATCATCGACTACATAAGTACGAATAAAACGAATGCAATTACGTAATCATTGGCGTGTCGACCGAAGACCTCAACATGGCTAGTGTTAGCCTTTTCCCCGAGCCTCTGTCTGTCCGTACACACACATAGTTTATTCTCAGTCTAATTTTACATCGCCTTATATATTAGTCAAAATCCGTACAGTATAAAATTTTACTGTACCAAAAAAACTAATTGTTATTTATAATAAACTCGTTTTTATACACGGGTTATTATTACATTTAATGAACATAGTTTTACATAACAACACCTTATCGCCTTCTACCAGTTCGGTTCCATGTTTCGTAGGTAACACATGTTCGCAAAATGTTAACGTAACGGTTTTATTTTTAATAAAAATGATATGCCATGGTTCTTTTTTTGAATCTTAAAACCGCCCAAAAACCTGGGGTGGATTTTTGGTTCCTTAATGGTTGTTCCGAATCTTATTCGAGATATTATAAGAGTAATTTGATCATCAACATAAGGATTCATATCGGATAACAAAACTCACGGAACAATCTTCTCATGCAACTTTATATACTTCTTTCCCACTTCGGCGCCACGCCCCTCGACCAGCATTTGCGTGTCTTCCGCAGTGAGTGGATACTCGGTGTCTTCCTGTAATTCCGTATCAGGGGACGACTCTTTCCAAAGACCTAGTGACTTTAACATAAACCTGGAAGAAGTATAATATAATATTATATAATATAATAAATTTTGATGTTCTCTAAGAGATGTGGGCTTTTTGGTCAAAGAGTTGAAGGGGAATACCTAAATATTTGTTTACAATTTTGATGAAATAACACGTTCTATCCTAAAGATATATAGAATTTTGACTGGCATAAGTAAGACGGTGTCATAACGGTACGGTCTATCGTCTCGCTTGTCGTTACAGTAGTTTTCGTCCTTTCTCACTCAAGAGTTTCCCCCAATTATTAATAAATCGATAATTTTCTATACACCCTGCTAATTTTTTCTAGTTTTTCTTACTTTACACCCGGAGTAGCTATAGCTATTGTGTTGTATTCGCCATCTTATGGTCCTGTAAGGGTTAAATCTCTTGTTTGTGTTATTAATAGAAACATATTGGACATACCTATGCAGGAATATAATGAGCAGTAGTAGCAAGTCGTAGAGTGCGTAATTGTACTTTCGTTCGATACCGATAATTCGTGGAGCAGTGAAAGGCATGTTTGCCGGTATCGCCTTCTGATTCCACGGCAGTATTTCGAATTGAAACATACTCTTTATTAAAACGATCACCTGAAATAATAAATATGTATTTTAGTTTTTTTATAGTAATAAATAAAAGACTGTTATGGTACCATAGACAATACTTATACTAGTGAACGCTAATAATGGCGACATTCGTTGATTCTTAGTTTGCAATAAAACTGTAAATTTATCAATCATACAATAACTAAAGTTTAATAAAATTTAACTGACCTCGGTATAAGCGATAAGGGTGACCCAAAATGTTTTGGTTGGTCGAGGTATTGTCAAAGTTCCCCAAAGGAAAACCATTAACGGAAGTGGAATCGAGAGTATTGTAGCAGATTGTATCTGTAACAAATTCAATTTTGTTAGTCAAAATGCCGTTCAGACTACTGGATACATATTTTTACGACACCATTATCCACATATAATAATGAAAAACATCCCTTTTTGGCAGGGATTGACAACATTTTTAAATGGATTGTTTAACCAAAAGAAAAAACCAACGAAATTGTATGTTTTACCTGGTTAATAAACACCATAATGTAACACACAATATCCGTGTGTGCCAATATGGCGAACCAGAGGGCGTAGCAGAGATGGACAAACGCCGACTTATCTTGTTTGAACATCGAATCATCTTGTTCTTCCAAAGTTGTGAGGTCCTTACTGTAAGAAGGTATTTATGTATACAAACTCAAATTGTCGAACGCCAGGGATAAGAAATTAAAATAAATGACAGAGTAAGTAACTTAAAAAAGTACACTTTATACTGATATAGTGGATAAAAGCGCATCTTTCGTCATTTGATAAAGGAGATTAAAGCAATATAGTAAGTTTGATTTTTATATACATTAAAAATAATGATAACAAAATTGACACCAGTTGATTGACAACAACGATATAAATATTATGTACACAGATTTAAAACATAATTATGCAATATTTACCTGAACACCAACAAATATATTATACAATATACTATTTTAATACAAAATTGATAAAAAAAACCAGGCAGCAAGCGACGACAAAGAACTTCGAATAGGAAATGTACTATATACGACCAATTAGTGTTAAATAAGAATATATGTATTTATTTAACTGAAAATTTTAAGCGTGTTTGAACTCTTATTAACACAACAGGTGGCGTTGTACGTAAAGTACATTTTCCATGAAGTATAACATCTGTGAACCTTTCAGTGGTCTGTAAGCTAAATGCGCTCTCATGTTCTGATGTATCGTCGTCAATGGTGGATTCGGAGCTCGAAGAGAGTGGGGTGTCGCGGCGCGAGGGGACCGGGCTAGGATGGATATCCAAGCCCCTCTCCATACTTGGCGCGAGGATGCGTATCTCCGGAACGCTTATTTGGCTTAATTTACGACTGGAATATACAGCGCTACTTTGAGTTGCTACTTTTTGTTACATATTTCACAAAAAATCAGCTAATATTAAAAATAAATGTTAATTATAACATGATATGAATTATAAACCATACAAACCATAAATCCTCCGCAGGCGCTTGCAAATGATTACTAGAATTTTCCAAATCACTATAATGCAGCGTGCAAAAATAAACTACTGCTTCAACTAAATCTAGTACTAACTTTACTACATCTAACACAAGCATAACTAACGCTAGCGTCTAAGATCTAAGCAGATACGACTAGAACGGGGCCAATACAACTAGAACATTAAGTTTATTAACTGTTTGTAGTTTAGGCGAGTAGAAAACATTTTAACTGTTTTAAACGCGATATATTTTAGTTAAATTTGTTTGAAAATTATTTTTAACTACGGCCCGCGTTTCGAATTTTCAAACAAGTTTTAAACCGTAAAAGTGTGTTATTTAACTAGACCATTTTTAAAATATTTTTTTTGTAACATCTTTATTGAAAACTTTTAAGCGATTGGCCCTGTTAGGAATTATGCTAGACACATTTTAACTGGTACTAACTTATGTAAGACGGCGTCCGGCATTGGTTCCCAAATCATCTGTGAACCTTCTCTCAATCCAATACCGAAGCCTTCTTTTTCCTGGAAACAATGTCACATAGTTTATTTCATTTTAACGCAAAAATAAGCAACGTAAGTCTTCCACTGTTATGTAAGTAGGTAACATAGCTGAATATTTGTTCTTTTACACTCATAAGTATTGTGTGTAAGTTACGCGAGTGGTACATATTAAATAAGACATTAAAAGGCGAACTATGGATTCCCCGTGTTATAAATCAATTAACTAATTTGTTTCGCGTTTTAAAGCTTCAAACGTGTCTTTTTATTCCTAAGATAAAAGCTGTTTCATTAACTAGATTTCTTTACTTTGAGTATCTTCTTCTCGACGGATAGGGTTCTTGAAACATAACGGTAGTCGCGTGAGTACTTCATGAGGTGCCTTGTCACTGACACTAGTAAACTGGCTATGAATGCTCCGGCTGTGTCGATGTACCCTTTCAATTTATCCATCCAGGTCTCGCTTTCTGGAAACGCAAATTATTTTTTACAATCGTACCAGGTCGACTACTGACGAGAGCTATTTGTGAGACGAAAAATTGTCCTTTCTTGAGAGCACCTCTTCTGTACGAGTCTAATGTTATCTGTCATTTTAAATACAGTACAAACGAAGTCATATGGATTTACATGTATCTTCGCTGACTAGTGTATTGTGTATGTGAAGTAAAAAATAGTTTAATAGTCAAGTTAACAAATTATCTGTAATTTTAAGTCTATCTTACCAGGTGGAGGAGCAAATTCATCTAAATCTGAGGATGGCCCGGGTCGGGCCATTGTTGCGTCGTCATCTCTTCTTACATCTCCCCGGGACGATAATGGCCGAATCTATAGTTCATAGTTATTATTAACAAAAAAACAGATTGTGTTAGTAGTACATAATCGAATGATATCAATATTGATTGATTTGTTTATCTAAAAGGTAAAGGCTTCCAAACATGTTTTATGTAAAAAAAGAAAAATGAAATATTATGTGTTTATAAATTTTGGAAAAAAAGACTTTAAATTAAATAAATAATATATTTCTTAAAGCGTGCTAAAACAAAAATCCACCAAAAGCTTTAAGCATATGAAAGGGCGAAAATATTAACCAACATATAATATATGTATATACCACGTAAATATTATGTACCGTATCTAATATATATCGTAATACGACGAATTTCTTTCAGATTATATATTTTAAATATTTACGTACTTTATAAAAGACAAATGTAAAACACGGAACAAGCCAAAAATAAACAAGGAATAGACATTTTATTTTATTGAAATTTGTTCAACATAAGAACTTAATTGCTTGATTACGGTAAGTCAAAAACATTACAGAATGTATTTAAGTAATTTAGAAAAAGGTTTACCTCATCTGGATAGGATACGGGGTGCGCAGGATAAGAGGTTCTTCTAAGGTCCCTGAGTACGGGGGCGGACGAGCGTCTGAGAGACACCGCCCGCCGCAAATCCGTCTTTATCACCGTCGACAGCAACTATCATACCAACACCCACAATGCTCTTGCGCACATGCATACACAAACTCTTGGCACTCCGTATTCTTACAAGATCTTAGATATGGCAATAATGCAGTATGCAATGATACAAGTACCACGAAGTTGTGTATGCATTTGTTTTTAACAGACGCACGTTTTGTTAGTCACTGTAAGCTCTATTTTAGCTAAAATCAATATCTTATGTATTCATGCACATATTATGGGAATGACGAAATCTAATCATTCAATTGTACATAAAATATCTAATGGGAAATAATAGATTTACCATGCGATGACTAAGAATTCCCACTTTATTGACTAAAGTATTTAAAACCATCACCACAATGAAATACCATTTTACCATCACCAAATGTCGCATATAAGTTGTACTTATACTGGTCCTTACCTTGCCGAAACCCATCTCTTTTGGAGCGTCTTCGTCGGAACTTGATTCGTCATCTTTCAGGTGAATATCGGTGTCGTCAAACTCATCGAACATGTAGTAATCTCCGGACCTCACAGCTGTATACAAATGACATCGTTCAGTACAAGGCTAGAGAAAAAATTCTCTAATAAAGCTTGAAGCCAAAGCGATTTACAATTTCAGTTATTTAGCGATTTTAAAACCAATTATAATACATAATTTTTTATATAGTCTTGGTACTTATTTTTATATAATATAAAACAAATTACTTGTCACATGCCTCAAGATTCATTTAATACGATCATACAACTCGATTTACAAATTTTTATTTATGCAAAAACTACATTATTTTGATAATATTTACAGTGAAATTGGGCTTTACTATAATGTAATAATACACATATATGTTATTAAAAATATAAATATTATGAAATAAATTTCATAGGACACACGATGGCATAAGAAGGAACACTGAACACCATGCAAACAATAATTCGTGCAAGAAAACAACCCCATCCAAAAAGTAGTCTTCCCCAAATAAAAGCGTACTATTTACAAATTCCCATAAGTAAGTAGTAGTAAGTAACCCCACGAGCAACTTGCCTAAATATCACCTCTAACTTGTAAGCTGCAAACACAACATGTTAGTAACGCAAAGACAATGTTAGGCGATGTAAATTCGGAGACACAACATTACCCTTCTGGTGGCTGGACGGCGGCTTGTACTGTGGCCTGTCGCGAGCTACGAACAAAGATATAACTGAACGACATTCTCACACCGGGAAAAGCTAAGCGGTATTAGCCTTGGGTCTTCAAGACAACATGTTAACATTGACCCAACCTAGAACGTGTTATTTACATAAGCGCTGTCATGAAAATTATTTAAGGGCTGTCCATTATTGGACGGTTTCGTATAATCGTTAAAATGATTTGTTAAGGACGGCGATACCCCTTCCAAATAGGTTTGTAGACACGACTGTATACACATGTGTCCAACTGTACCTTCGTGTCGCTTTGTGAATAACCGTTGCCTAGAAGACCCGCCATGGCTACCTAGAGTACATAAGAACATTTAGGAAGTAATAACGACAACAATAATTGCTTTACATTATTTACGTGATTGCTAGTGTATTTCCAGTCGCAGTGATGAGTACGAGTAATTCATAGTTACACGTATGATGAGAATTCGGTTCGGCGCGGCTGGACTGAGAAATTATGGAAGTACGCTGAAGAACGCTCGGACTCGCGACGGTGTGACGGCGACGGATCGGTGGGGGGGAAAAGACCGGATATGATTCCTCGGGACTCTGTGCCCTTGGTAGGAGCTCGGAAGACGGCGGTGATTCAAATGATATCCGTCTCGGCTCTAGATAAGAATCGAGAGATACAGTCATCAATGCGGATGAAGGCGAAGGAGGCCCTGGCGGTACGGGGGGCATGGGGATTGCAGGTAATGGCAAGGGTGGGGGGGAAGGAGTCGGTGGGAGGTTGTGTCGCGGAGACGGTGTTCGTGGTGTATGGAAACCGCGTGGGGATCGTGGGCTATCGGGGGTATGGAAGCCGCGCACCGTCGCGTCAGATTCTCCGCGTTCGAGCGGAACCCGATCTGTCTCTTCTCCTTCCGTCTCTTCGTCTTCTTCTGAGTGTAGCATGATAATATAACAACACTAGTCAAATATCGCTAGTTACATTATAACTTAGTTATCCAAAATCAAATATTTATATATCACATTTATTAAAATTACCACGGCTACATATGCACTATTTTGTTTTTGATATTTTTTTAAAGTTATTATCTTAAGTGATAGACATAAAAAGTGCATAGATACCAGTAAACCATGTTTTTGAATATAATTTACCTGCGTCGTGGTGTTCCGGTTCTTTAGACATGACACCTTGTATTTTTTTCTGATTGGCTTTAATTCTCTCCATTTTCACTTTGATTTTCTCCAATATTTTCACCTCTTGCTCTTCCTGCACGTGCATTTGCTTTTGTCGCAATTCTTCGATTAGCTCTGCACCTCTAATACAGAAACAAACGATCGACAATGTATGTTTGTGTAAACAATGTATGTGTACTTAGTACATAATTATAGTTAGGTAATACTAGTCTTACCTGGAAGCTAGGACAGTAGTCGCTTTGCTTTCATCAATAACACGGTAGAAATAATAGCTATGGAAAAGTCTTCTTTGAAGGATAAGGAATGCAAAACACACTCCATCCCACGCTAATCCAATGTCTTCTTGTGGTACAGAACAGGCAGAATCCTGAAATATATCATATTATATTTCTCCGACATTCGACACACGAGAGGGCGCTTAACACAATGCAAGTTATAACCTTATCGTAGTGCATCTTCAGAAAGCGCGCTATGTTTCCACCAGCAAACTTGTCAACGCATCCAATACCCAGTAACTGCACGAGCCAGCACGCGTTATCCTGCATCACCCGACTAAACATGCAACCGGGAATTTGGAGTACCGCCTTTACCACAACGACACATACATTGTAACGTACTAGCCAAGACCACCTGGAAACATTTTAAACAAATTGAGGTCATGCTTACAGATAAGATATTTTGTTAATACGAAAACTGAGCTAGAGAACTTTTGTTATCAAATAAAAAATAGACCAGAATTAAAATTGATTTACCATTGCAGTATAGCCTCTTTCGGTCGCAAGTAGAAGTCGGTTCCTTGCCACAAGAATATAAAGGAACCGATGAGGTATCCCATAGAGAATAGATTCACACGATTGGTGCCAGTCATGAACATAATAGCAAGCGTTACCCATAACATTCCCAGGAACACCATCCGTTTGATTACGTCGAGCCATGTTCTGGAATAATGTGTTTTTTTTTTTTCAAATTAGTTTGGAGCAAAAGATTAAAAAGAACAAAATCTCTCTGAACAATATATGCGCGAGACTCAAACCAGATAAAGAGGGCGTATTATGCATATGCTTTGTGACTGAGCTATCATGCCTACGTTTCAACCTCAACTAAAAACTTGTTATAAAGACAACCTTACCCCACGTAGTCCAGAAAATCAGGAATAGGGTTGACAAAGTCCGGCGTCTCCCAGTCCTTTCCTATATCTTCACTGTTAGATCCACCTGGATAATTGTCGCCATGAGTCCTCTCTAAGCGGAAGACTTTAAGCTGCCGTGAGGCAAACATTAGCAGGAAGAAGTCAAAGATAAGTTTAACGGCGTGCGGTGGTTCAGCTGTGTAAGGGAGAAACAGCCAATTTCGAACATGTTTCATTTGCTGAAAGAAGAATCGAGGTTACATTACATAGTAGCTAGAAAAAGGGTTTGAATTTTGGGCCGGGCTTTTTTCTTAATTCTTGGACTTGGATTTAAAAAAAAAAGCCATTACCAGCACAGAGTTAGAAAGTAAGAAGTGCTATTAGTACTTAGCAGACAACGTTAAACAAAGATTTTTGGCATAAATGGGCTTGCAGTATAGTGAGTAAAATCTTAAAGACCGAGAGGAGAACGAAACGCGACAAGTCATGTCACTAGTTGACATTCATTAGGACGTCCTTTTATAAACTTACCTGGTCGTCACCTGCCCAAGGATACTGAATACAGAATTGTGGCATGAACCCCACTGCCAGCATATATTGTAGTGGTACTAGTAGCGTGATAAGTGCGGTGAAGGCGGGCCATAGATTCGCTAGTTGTTTCCGGCGTAACGAAACAAGAGCCAACAACCATCCCGAATAAATCACTGCGTATAAATCCATACGTGACCCGATAACGCCCATTAAACATATCAATGTTATCTGAAAACATGAACACCGTATTCGTAAGGAAATTATATTCGAGTCCTCTTGATTTATATTTGTTGCGTTTTAGAATCTTACCTCGACGCCAAATTTGTAGAAGCCATAGTTGAATAAGTACTTTATGTAATGTATTAAATCTTTGTCCGCGTCATTTCGAGTTATGTCGGGGAACATTAGTTTTTCTCTTATGTTTGGCAGCAAGCCAGATTCTCTGAAAAAAAACCACACTAGCTTTAAGAATAAAAATAAAATGTGTAAGACCGTCAACGCTTTGGCTCGTCAATAAAAGTCGGTTAACAATGATAAATATTGCAAAAACGAAAGATTTGTAGGCAACTAAATATTCAAGAAGATGTATATTGTTCCTTATACCATTTTTTATATTGTTGATAACCCACAAAGAACTAAATAGATATTTATTGACTTTTACGGGCAGACATTAAATACAACAGGATACATTCGTCTGTTAACGGATATTTAAATGTATAATTAGTACCTGCGCGATTGCTGTCTGTACGTAACCAAAGAATAGACAGTAAAACAGGCTATGAGGGCGATATATCCCCTTAGAAGATATGCTAGTCTCTTGTTCGCCGTTGCCTTAAGGAAACCAATCCATTCGGCATTGTTGTATGTTGTTGTATTCATCGTGCTGTTATCTCCTTCCTGTAAATTATATACAAATTGTAATTACGCGATTAACACGTTGTAGTACACACTGTAAATAAAAACAGATTTAACAGTTTAAAGAAGAAAACGTATTAGTTAACTTAGTTAAAATTTATTTTAACGACGACACAACGTTTCCGCCCATGACCACGACGGCAAAGCACCCGGAACGTCGGATTATAGTAATAATAATTGTAAAAATGTTAACTTATCCGTTTCGGGTTCTGAATAGTTAAAAGTGTGAAAAACTTATATTCATTGTTAATATTGGGAAAAATAACTTACCATTGTACAGTTAACGTCAAAGAATGAATGTTGTATGTACTCAATTTGGTAGACCATCTTGGCCATAAGATATACGCTTATCAGCGTCGATATGACGAGCATACAGAAACGTTGCTTCCTTGAACTCAGCAAAAGTGCCGGAGCTATAATTAACATTATGGGCACATGCATTGCGCAGACCTGAAAAAAGTATAAAATATATATTTTTTTTATGTACTTATACTTACTTATAACTGGTTCATGGCTCAGTAGGAAAACACAAATGATGCAAAAAGTAACTAAAATATGTCTCAATGTTGCGCCATCTTATAAGTCAGAGTTTATTATAAATTATAAATACATAATTAAAGTAAAGCTCGAACTAATTTTGTATTTTTGTATTGTTAGAAATGTTTGTATTTATAATAGAGTTGACGAGTATTTCGTGCGTAAATAAATGTGTTAAACCTTGACATCTTAAATTAAAAGCTTAGAGAATTTAATTAAATATAGTTTTAAAAATACATTCGTAGAATAAGCTTTATAGTTGAGAGTTTAATATGAAAAGACTAGAGAAAGATTAAAATATCTTAGTAGAAAATGGATTATAATATTTAGAACTCACATTGAAGACGCAGAGCAGCATTAGTGCAATAAAGAGAATCTTGATAAGGTGAATATCGAGAAATATGAAAGCCTTGTCGATCCACCAAGAGAGGATGTGCCGTAATTTTCCAAGGGTGGCAATCACCCACGGGCGAAACTTGATGGAGCCGCGTTCCGTTACGGTCGGTGCGTACGAGCGCGATGTTTTTCTAACATAAGAAAAAAAAGGTATAGGTATTATGCCGTTTACATTTTTTTTTTAATAAAAACGTATAAGTAAAGCTTAAATATATGGTTAATCTAAACACATCAACTTATTTTTTAAGTAAATATTGAACAAAAGTTATAGATTACTATTCTACACTATTTGCAATAATTCTTCAAACCGAACGAATCGTTAATAAACTATAAAAAAAACAATTTCGTTTTTTGTCTCGGACCGTTTACTAACGTTATAAGAAGGGTATGGTGCAATAAATGTTAAACCTATAAGTAAGGACCTTATAAGTAACACGGGTTCACACATGAAGCCTAGTTACCATTAGTATTTATCCCTTATTTACTTCAAATGATACTCTACTTATGACACAAAATAGGATATTTGAATTAGACATTGTTGAAAAAGGTTCTAGTTTGCATTACCTATGCAAAGAACGTCTGGCAGCAGTGCGTAACGAAGAGGTGCCTATTGACTGTTCAGCTTCCGTGTCGCTTGGAGAATTCGTTTCACGTAATTCCCGTTCATCTTCTAATGGCAAAGCCGGCACCTATAACAAATGACAAATAGCACATGAGTCAAATGTCTGTTTAAAAATCTCAATACAGTTTAACTAGCCTATTTGATTGAAAACTTCAATATTTTTCACATTTCATTGCAATATGATGGCATTTCAATTAAAAATCGATTTTAGATTGAAAATTATCATAACAGACAGGCCTTAAACCATCCACAGCGTTCACACACACAGAGTAACAGCCCGGACAGCTGTAGATACCGGTTCAAGTCTGTGTCGTAAATTTTCTCTTGACTTTTAGTCTTTCTTCGCTAAAATTATGGCAAATGGCACTGTTTTAGATTTCCGAAGATTGCAAGTCATTATAAGCCGACAGCGCACCTTATTGAGATGATATATGTTGTAGGTATATTACCTTTCATCAAGTGAATTGCACGCTTGCCTGTGCTCAAAAAATCGCTGAGTATTATGAAGTTTTGAAACTTCTGCTAAATAAGGAAACATATACTTACATCATCTTTCGTAGTCGATGGACCAGCATTGCTCGGGCGACTAGAATCAACTTGAACCAAACTATTGTTCCTGTAATTTTAATCGTATTTAAGTTTTGTTGCTATTAAAATCGTAAAACTATTACTTGTACTGAAATTTCTTATGGTTCTTTATTAACCATAAATTAAAAATGCAGTTTTCAATCTGCTACAGATAGCGTAAAGAAATACGAAGGGTTATTGCGGGTTCGAGTCTCGTCTATGTTTCTGTATATGTACAAAAACAAGAAAAAAGTATTTACCTTGTATTCGGATCCGAAAGAGCCATGAAATCTTTATGAAAGTAATGTACTTGCATTATTGTAATAATTAAGAATAAAGTAGGCGTCAACAGTTTTACGAATAAATCCGCTGGGTGATATGTGTCTAGGCCAAGATCGTGTTGCCTGAAAAAAAATAATAGTATCGGTCATGTACACTAATGAAAGTAAGATATGAAAACTTAGACTAAAACTTACAGTCGTTCGTTAATTAGAAGATATGTCTCTATCATTTTCGAAAAGTTATCGAACTGGTATATGTATATTAATATCAAATTTATCATCGAGTATATAATCAACGTTATCCAAAATATGTACATTAGTTTTCGCCACCAGTACCAACTTATCTGAAAATAATTTACAATTTAAAATGTATGCATTAACCGAAGTTTACATAAGTAACGTAATTTTAAACAGCACTATAAATTTTAAAAAATCTATATAAATACGAACAAAAGTTACAAAAACGTGCGGACCTTGAACCAGCATTCACAGTGATCCGAACTGGTCCGGCTTTAATCAATTGAGGTATTGTGTCAATTGATTTTTTTAATTGTGAAAATAAAGATTTCGAATGTAAACGTCACTACTACTTTTTTATAAACCTATTAGTTCGTGAAATGCAAAAAATAAATAGTTTTCCTTCCTTAGCCAGGCTAAACTTATAGTATGATGTCATATAGTATAGATAGTACTAAAAATAATTCAAATGATTAAAATTTTTTAATCACTGGCGACACCGATTTAAAAGTTACAATTTTAATAAATACCATTTCTTAGAACAAATTCAGTCTTACGCCGGTACTGCAATACTTACTTGGAACATAAGTATAAAACCAAGGAATAGGAACATGTAAATGATGCGGAATATGGTCATCCGCTCGCCAGTGATGCCGATTACGAAAAGCATGATCACGACCACGTAGATCCAATAGCGTGCGCATATTGCCCGGAGCCATTCACCAAACGCTCGCAAAAGGCGTGAACGACTTTCTTCTTCTCGTTCCCCCTCAAGCGCTGAAAAACACAATGCTTCATTATGTTAGATTCACGTAGAGTTTTAGTAGGTGGAAAAATATAATAATGTGATATTAAGTATAATGCCTTGCTTAAACCGTGTCTATAAGTAAAACTATTAAAAAACCATAAATAGTGCGAAGTAAAATTAATAAGTAAATTGTGTGAGGCTTTCACGGCTATCGTTCAGCATATCCTTCTTGCTCACGTAGGCCGAACAGCCCGAAAAATAATAAAATGATGAATATTAATAAGTGGGTCTTATTTATATCGTTATAAAATCAAATTACTTAGATGTTGATATTAAAAAAATAATAATTAAAAATTTTGAATTTATATCCAATTATCAATTTACCACCAGCAAGACCTGTGTCGTCAGAATTCAGAAAAAAATATTATATATTAATAAGATGTATGGAAATTCTTAAGTTCTAAACTAAAATTCGTACCGCTAGCAGCTGTTGAGACAGTGAGCTGTAAAGGCGCAGCTATATCCGAAATGACGGAGGACTGGCGTCTCTGACGAATCTCCTGTATGCGCTGGCGCAACGTCACCCAGAACATACACGTGAATATGGATTTTATCAGAAGTGGGACACACGGCTCACCGTCAGTTCGTCCCAAGCCTATTTGACGGAGATTGACTTCCTAGAAAAGATAATTATATTTCAATACAAATCGAATTTACCTTTATGCCAGTGCCAACACGTCAAAAATATTAATATTTTCAAATTCTAACTTGGTGTTTCCTTTTTTGATCACCTTTGTAGGATATGCTTAAATGTTTCTCAATTAATCAACTCACCGTTATATTTGATGGTAATTCATATTCGTACAAATCCATGCCATATATGTATTGAGCCAAGAGTAATAACATGGCATAAACTACTAATATCGGACTGGTTTTCAACATGAAAGACCTTTGATCCTGGCATAGCCACACTATGTTTGCCCACATCAAAAACACGAAAGTTAGCCACGAATGAAACATAATACTCCACGCCATCATTGTAATAGTTGTCGCAATATACGACGACCTAAAAAATAGAATAAGGAATTATTAAGTATAATTTATAAATTCTATAAATTGATAAAAGAAATTTATAATAATCTAGCAATTTGGTAGCTAAAAAGACATCTTATGCAACTAAACGTTAAACAAGACAACGTTATTCTCCAGTAGAAATAGACTGAGTTAAAAATATATACTATTACCTTACAAGAACTTGGAAGAAGTCAATAATAGCTGCCACTATATCATCCATCAAGGTTGGTTGTTCGATTTCTAAAACTGATTCTGTAATCGTAGTAAATACACAATAACGTTACTATAATTACAAAAAAAGGAAATGACCTAAACAAAACGTTCATAAGAATATTAGAGAGGTACCTATTGATTTTTTCCTGTACTAAAAGATAGACTTGTATCTAAAGTAGATCTTACGATTATCAACCTGATTGTGAATGAAATTTAATTCCTGAGTGATTTGAAATACCAATCCAGATTTGAAATATCAATACCAGGTCACCCTCTACCACCTCCTCCTTAAAGTTTTCTTGAAGCGTCTCTTATTTTTAATAATGATGGCAGGCATAAATTACAAATAAAATCTCACCTTCATCTGGGACCACAACCGATCCAGTTGAGTCTTGATGCAGCTGTCGAGATACTGACCCAGATCGGACACTAGACCACCTCTTGCTCGGACTTACAGTTTTGATTAACTAGCAATACAACTTATATTATAACCACAAATTAAGTCAGTTGAAAAAAAATCTTCTTTTATACATTTTTAGTATAAGAAAATCTGGCCAAGCAATTTGTATTTTTCACTTATGATAAAGTGATATTTACATGTAGCTAATATAAAAGTAGCTACGATTAGTTAATGGTCTTTCATTCAAATAATATTTGTGTACTGAAAAGACGTTTTTTCTTCTTTGGATATCTTTATACATATTTAAACTTTATCGCTTAAACTCCTATTGATTGTAGTTTGTCATTACTATGTGTTTCAAGAAGTGAAAATATAGCTAACATGCATCTAGAAACATTTAATCATACAAGGTTAATACATAAACAACAATTATATATTATTTACAAATGATGCTAGAATGATCGTAGTAATAAAGCAATGCAAGCCAAGAGCCATTTTACTTAAATGACGTTTCGAGCCCCAGTAAAAATAGTGACACAAAAATAATCTATTCAAATACTTTTATCATCTGCCATATTTATCTAAAACATATTTTACTTAAGAATGTATACATTCTTTATTTAATTAATTATCCGCGATATATTCAATATGCGAACTTTTTGGTACTTAAAGCTCTTTAGAACTGAGATATTCAGCATAACAGCACTCAGCATATCAACATAATAACTATAGATGCTAAAAGTATTTTGCAAGCAATCAGCCTTAATTAAATAAAAATTAATACCCACAGGAGTAGTTTCACTGGTGTCACCGCGCAGTGCTTTGGAATTTATGTACGAAAATACAACCTACAAAAGAATGAAAAATAGACAGCAAAACAAAATACATACTCAAAAGAACAATGCCAGAAAATAAAGTTATTGTACAAGGTTAGTAAAAGCGGTCATGCCTTGCTTTAGTGCTTTTACAACGACCTATTAAGTGCGCTATACTGTGATTCATAATCTACTCTATATCTACAACATACGACATGTGAGACTACAATGTAATAAATCTACTAATAGTGAATCTAGAATTTGCAATCAAGAACAATTACAAAATCCACTATCTGTACTTTTAAATATAACATACACCTGTGCATATAGATTGGAAAAAGTAATGTGGGCATTCTACGGCAATCTTACTCGAACTTTATTAGTAGCGCTCCTCCATTTATCCTTAGGAGCGTATCGACTGGCGCGGTGGAAGGAAACACCACGCAACAGTGACCCGTTCACCTTCCCCGCTTCTACACCAGTTAAAGCACTCTTTTTCTTCGCCTATACGCCCCATTAGTATTCATTAGTTTTATTGTGAAGAGCCCTACGTTTGTGATACTATTTCAAATGCACCGCCATAGCACCTAAGCTCGAAATTAATAATGTAATCGAACTACAGAGGCAATCTATGCAAGTGTTAACTGCCACATCCGTTCCAAGTACTCTATCGAAGCGCATAACTATTAGTCGGATAACTAGATCGAAAAATTAATAAACTCGAGTCATAACAGAAGATAAAACAACATACCTTAGGTTTAAAGAGCTCTCTAGATTCCAAAGCGAGAAAGAAATATGAAAAGAGTATGACTAGAGGACTCGCTAGCGTTGCCCACCTGTGGTCTACTGTGACTTCGTAAATGAAGCTCGTAGAAGAATTCGTACTATTGATTACAACTAGCTTTGTGAGGCCGAAATATCTGAAATAGACAATTTATAATTCAATGTCTAATACTATAAAGCGATATTTTTATTTGGTAACTATGTAACCGCTGCGACAAAGATCTGTAACAATAGTATTCCAAGAACCGTCTGGAATTATTCAGTTTGAGATTTAAATGCGTCTGCTGCAACATTAATTAAAGTTAAATGAAAACCATATGTTGAAGTTGAAGCTCCCAAGGAATAAATAACTAGCAAATAATAATGTTGTTAGTACTACCAACGTAATAAACGATCTTTCAGTTTTCCAAAACTTTAAAATACAATTCTCACCTGGCCATATCCATATCAGGTGGATATATTTCAGTCAGCCACGAACATTGATAGACAAGGAGCACACCAATGTGTATAGCCATTATGGCCATAACACAGCGGCTGATGACTGCGAACCCTCGCTCTAAAGGTCGACCCAGCGCCCAGGAGGTGGCGGCACCCATAAATACCAAGAAGTAAATCCCCGACGTTATACTCGGCCGCATTATACCGGAGAACATTATGAGGAACAGCGCTGCGTACTTTCCTATAAAAGGAAACAATTGAGAAAAAAGAGTGTGTGATGTAGTGTTAAAATAGAAATACATATAAAATTGAACGAGAAATCTTCAGTGCAGTGCATATATACGAATAACTATAATATCCTGCCAAGTGCGAGTCTACCAGGTTCATAGCAGTAGGCCTGTACACAATTTTCATTAAAAAAAATAAACTATAAGAAAGATTATCAAAACTATGACATTAAAATAAAACACTAACGGTTTAAAACGATATATATATTGATTAAACTTATTTTACCTTTAAAACAAATTTACTCAACTTATATCGAGTTTTAAACCGTTAACGTGTTTTATTTAAATGTGCACTACATGCATAATCTACAGATAGTATAAAATTATAATATATATTAAATATTGTGATTTTGATAAACATTCCTATACCTGCACTGGTGAGAAGGGGATATTGCTGATGTTTCGAACTTTTCCTCTCCACTTCCTCCGTAGGAGATCCAACGAGGAGTTTGCGTACCATTAGATAAACTGATAACGACACTCCTGTCATCAACAACTGAAATTTGAACAGATTAAGAGCGATTAAATTAAGGCAAAAACAAATATTGTAAGTTTTATATATGAATGTAAAAGTTATGTACCTAAGTATGTATAACTCGTATTATTTAGTCCGTATAAATTGTAGAAGGTTGCAGAACGTAAGAAAGGAGAGCTCTAATTTATTGCATATTTTTTTATGATAGAGGTGGCCAGAGAAGCATTGGCTTCATTTGATGGAACGTGAAATACTCCAGCCATATGACATCCGTTTGGTTTTTTGGAAAAAAATATCTTAAATTTCAATAGTGGTACCTCAGGAGCCAAATAGTGCACAGCCATGAGAGGTTCTATGCCAGCGTACGATACTAGGCCGAGGTTCAATCCAATTTCTTCCAGAAGAGGGTATTCGTTCAAGATAGAGCCGTAACTGCCATAAGCCGCTAAAGCGCTGTGCCACGCTGCGTGAGTTAACAGGAGGAGAACGGACACAACGATGTTCAGAAAGAGATATTTCCCACGCCATCCTGAAATGTTTAATATTAACTAATTAATAATTCACAAACTGTTTTTTCCTTATACCGCAAAAACTCTTTACAGAAGAAATCAAAAAACAAAAGAAGGGCATAATACAGGTCAACCATTTTTTTTTCAGTGTAAGATAGACATGGCAATAGCTAGATAGACGTCTTATATACGAAAGCTTACAAAATCTAATTATAAATATTATCAGCAAAGCATTTGGTACTTCAGGCATCACAGCTTCAAATATTAAACATTGTCTCATGCAGTAGTTTATGCTTACAATGTACACGGATGACAGACATGATTCAAAGAATAAGTGTGGAGTCCCATTTTCCCCGGTGAGGGAAAAACCGGGGCAAACACATTACTGTGTCCGGTTTATTTATCAATTTTATATAGGTACAGTAAGTGACTTCTGCGCTCCGCTTGACCAAAACAATTGAAGTTTCTCGAAATTCAAATGACGAACTGCATCGCCTTTAACCATTGACCTATAGAGGTTCCACTAAAGTACTTGCCTTTAAATGTCTTCGAATCAGGTACTCGAGGGAAAGGTGCTATTAAGTAGAGTAGGAGATATATAAATGAGAGGCCGAACGGTCGTAGTGCTATACCTGGAAAAACAATACTTGAGTAATCTTATCAGGGCAATCAAAACGGTCAAAAATCAAAATGCAGAAAGTGCATGCACATATATTTATAACATAAACAATATAATGATTAACACATTTGTTTATAATATTCTACATGTTGCATATTCAACAGAAATATAATTATAAACTATATTGCCAGTAGGTAAGAATTTACTTCAAGATAAGAATGAGTTTTAATGATTATTATGAACGAAAACAAATCTTCAGGTCATAGACAAATCTAACATATTGAAATGAAATTCCGTTTCCTCTACGTACCGTATAGAGTAAAAGATAATAATCAAGGCCATGGGTTCGATCCCGACCGGTTCCAACATGTATTTAATTTTTCTGTTACATTTTTCTAAATATGTTGGACTTCCAGACGAAGTCCGGAAATCTGGGTATCAAATGTGTGGTAGGAATATAGAAATTCAAATGAAAAGCCGTGAAGCTTAATTGCGTTTCGCTTTCAGTCAGTGGATTTCCGATTGAACAAAGCAAAAATAGGCCGATAGCGCTTGTTTAGATGCTATAGGCTGGGTATATCACCTACCATCCAGTGAACTCCGTGCTTGTCTGTCATTCTCTATCATTCGATAAAAAAAAGCAAAATTAGTTAATTACTTCGGAGCCCTGTCCGACTGGAACTATTTTATTAGCGCTTACTTCTCAATAAAGGTATTTTAAAGTAACGTATATCGCCGCGTACGATATCGTTTAGATGCAAACGTTGTCCCTATTTCAAAATAACTTTGTTACTTCAATCGTTTCTAGTTATAAATCCGTAACCCGAAAATCTTCGTTAGGTTAATTACGATAGTAATCAGATAAGTCGCTGAATTAATGTAGTACCGATCGGATCGTATCGTAAATCGAGCTCTGTACCAACTCACTATATCGTAGTGTTTTCTTCTATCATTTCATTTCAATGATATAACAAACGGTTGGCTTCTGCCCGCGGTCAAAAAAATGTCACGCTAACATTTCACAACACGGAAAGCGTATAAGCATCGCTATATGCCTCGACCTATTTTCCGCAATCTGGAACCCACCGACCTACCTTTTATTGGCATTATTTTCTTTCAGCACCAAACTGATGTGATACTACCCGTAATAGTCCTACATCATATTGTACAGTTGAGGTTCATGCCTTTTGCGAATATGAAGGTTACTGAGATAAACTTAGGGCATATTTTTTTATATGCATGGTGGTTTTTATTGCCTTAGTAGGAACAATATCTATAGTTCAGTTTAATTTACGAGAGTAGTAAACATTTAAATAAAACACTTTTAAAGGTTCTAAACGCGAAATGTATTGATACATTTCGGATGCTTAGCAGCACCCGTAGTCACGGAGAGATCAAATGTAAATATTTTTAAATGAGTTCAACTAATACATTTCGCGTTTTAAGCCATTAAAAGTGTTTCCTTTTTTAATCTAGTCGTATTTTTATAAGCTATCAAATGCGTCTTCAGTTAAAAAGTTTTATTTAAATTAAATTAAATTTTTAAATGGTTTCTTAATCAATCCAAAGTTTTTAAATTTTTTTTTTGTGATTTTATATGTTATTTTGAAATCGAAATTTGTTGTTATTATTAGTACACAACATTAAGAAATTGTAATTTGCTGTGTAATTATGTGAACATCGTATGGTGTTTAGACAATTTTAAACAATGGAAATCAGTTCCAATGACTGAACGCAGACAGACACGACGATTTTTAAGTAGGCGTCTTGAATTGAATTTAGTGTTGTAGAGATAATATTATTCGAGAGTAACACGGGAACTTGCTTTAAACTGGACGGGAAAATGTATTTTTTTATAGTTTGTTTTGGTCTACTTATGCGTGCGAATTACAGCTTCTATCCCATACATTTAACTGCTCAATGTTTTTTTTTCTTTCAATCAAAATTCAATACCGCTAGGGAAAGTGAAGTAAATAACAAATTTTATGAATAGGCTTTGCAAAAAACAAAATTGCACATCTTTGTGAAAAAATTTGTTAAATACCAATGCTGTAAAAAAACTCTAAAGGCCATGGAATCACGGGTTTCTGCTTCTGATTATAAAAGAGATACAGGATTTTAATGAAGATTGTCGGTTATAACAGGTCGTTTAAACCCGTTAAATGTCCGATAACAATTTAAATTATTATATAAATGGATACATTTAAATCATGGAACTGCATAAATCGTCTTCATGAACAACAAAAAATAAACCTAAAGACTGAGTGAGATTAACAAACAAACTTGGCCAAGTTTACGTTACATTTACCGAAATAGAAAATAAATAGGATTTATAATACGAACTTCCAGCCACTATTATAAACACCGTCTTGCACTTGTATATTTAAACTCTCAGGATTCTATTGAAATAGTGCTGTACCGGCCTTTTGGATATATTCCACTGTCATTCAGTGTAATAATTTTTATTACGTTATACAATGTTAATCTATCTTGTATTGAATAACATAGAAATAAAAACCCGTAAGACATCGTTATAGTTAGTTACAATTTAAGTAACTTTTTGGTAAATACTGTCTATAGTTTACGCGAGTAGTACACATTTAAATAAAACACTTTAACGATTTAAAACGCGATATATCGCGTATTAGTAACTAATATATCGCGTTTAAACCGTTAGTGTTTTAAATAAACTTTTTGGTATATATCAAGTCAAACATCGTTCGAATCATTATAAATTATCAGAGGATACAAATTTAAAATTACACAAAATGACACAGGCGGCACTCGAACCGACTACCAAAAGTTTACTATGCTCTTGAATTTCTCGATAGAGTACTGAGGTTTAGAGCGTAATGAGCTTAAAAATAAAAAGTACAGTAACACAAAAACATGACTAATCTCATTACGAATTATAGGTAATGTGTTATGTTGGCGCTAACTACAATGATTGTACAATAAGAACAAGTTCGACAGAACGATGAGATCATAATGTCAGTTCAACCAGTTGAACTACGCTATGACCTTGTGAATCAGACGTGATAAGGCAAACTGGCCAAATACGATACCAAAACCGGCGCGGCCATATAAGAAAACGCATTGCAAATTAAATCTCTATTAACTAAGTATAAAACAGTAATGTGTCAGTCTATCCAACGCCGACTAAAGTAAATGAAAGTCCTTACTTAAATATGTTTGTACTATCCAATTAATGTAACTGGTTATTCCCATTTTAATTGTTTTATAATAAATAAATATTAAATATCCTTACTTATAAATATTAAATAAAAAATAATAGTAAAGATAAACGAATAAAGACAAACTTAAAATAATAGTGTAGATTATATTCTAGAAGTTTCCTGTAGATTTATGGATGATTAAGATAGTATCTTCTAGAAGAAATAAAATGGAATAGTTTACAGGTGAGAGAACGCCATGGATCTAATTAGAACAATACAGCTTCGCGTGACAGTAGTCACTGAGGTGTTCATTACTTAGAAAGCTCTAGTATTTAATTAATTTCAACTAATTCCCGTCGCTGTTAAAATGCTTACATCATGCATTTGATTATTAAGATTGCGTGACTTTTTTGTACACACATGTACGGAAATTTGTTTTTGCAACTCTATAAATTTAAGCTGGTAGCCTACTCTGCTCCCGACGATCCTTTAGGAATCATTCTATCATATATTTTATTTTTTATTAGTACCTTGGACCGTTTACGCAGCGTACGCAAAGGAAACCCACAAAGATGAATAATTATATATATATCCTTCCTCGGTATATGCTCTAACACAAAAATAATTCTTTAATTCGGTCCAGTAGTTCCTGCGATTAGCTCTTCCGAATGATATATTAGTATAATGAAGCCTGTTTCCCCCACGTGGGGCATGGGGCGAACACATTTCTGTGTCCGTTTCACTGATCCGTTCTTTTAACGGGCAAGTAGTTGATCAGACTTCTGTGCCCTGCTCGAGCGTATGCTTCCCTAGGATTCAAACCCAGGTCCTCTCGCGCTTATTACAATGCTAAGCAATACGTTTAACCATTTGGCTACAGAGGCGGTCATATTTGTTTAGAGTATACATTATTAAATACGTTAAAAATATCTACAATCACAGATATTCTTACATGAAACTTGGTGCACGTTCTTATTACTATCCTCAATGATGTACCTACTATAAGCTAGCCCAATTCCTCATTTTCTTTTAGCAATCAGTCTAAAATAAGCGTACAGTTGTAAATTCTATTTTAACGTTATTATTACGAAGCATTTTTACCCAAGTGTGTACTTCTCTCATTGTTTATGTAATAAAGATGAAAGCTCCCATTACACAATGGAAACGCCCATAGAATATCAGGTGGGTAACTATAATACGTAATATAACCACGACAGGTTTTATTGCAATAGTCTTCCATTAGTTAAGTAAACTAACTTGGTTCCCTCTAGCATCTCTAGTCTCTACCATGAACAAAGTGCAATGCATTATACATATATAGAAATACATCGTTGTTTTGTTAGCATCTTTAACATGTATAGTGAGAAATCATATTGGCACAGATTCATCAAACTAGGTACTTTTTTCTATTACATTCTTTAAACATCTCGTAAATTGTGTGGAATCAATCTATAAGCTACTACTGAATCGATTGTAAATTTTATAGCGATAGCTATTTTTATTCAAGTTTAATGACGTGTTCTTCTGTTTCGCGAAGGTAAAACAAAAACAGTAATTTGTAATATCTCAATTAAGATTTCCGTAGTTTCTAGAAGTCAAATTCACTGTTAGTAAATAGGAATCGAGGTTGATGTAGCCACAATTCCAGTAATTGTTTTAGGTCAAACTACCCCTCTCGCCACATGGCATGGTAGGACGCACCCAAAAAGACGCACCTTGGATATACGTGTATAATATTATATTGTTCCCGCAATGCGACATTATCTACCGTTAATAGAAAAAATAAGATTAAATGTGTTTTGGAATCTGGCTTAATTTAAATAAAACACTACAACGGTTTAAAGCGCGATATATTATTTGATATATAACTAACTAATATATCGCGTTTTAAACCGTTAAAGTGTTTTATTTAAATGTGTACTACTCGCGTAAACTATAGATAGTATTTAATCTCGCTTAATACTTTCAAATTGTTTATTAATGTAATTTTCTTGAGAGGAGCTATCAGGCGATAACGAAACAAGATTCTTACAAGACACATACACACTTAATTCTACCAAATATACAAAAATATTTTTAGTGGATTAGCCAATTATTAATTTGCCGGGATGTGACGTAATATTTTTGGGCGTTAAAATTTAACAACCAAAAAATTTGAGTGAGACAATGGTGAAATAGCTATGTAAGGATCCATATCTACTACTTATTTGCACAAAAACTACAGAGCTTTAAATTTTATTTGTCTCACGTGAAAGCGTAGAAAAAATTAACCTGTTATAGATTCTAAATTAGGCAAACAAAATTTGTGACGAAGTTAGCATAGACGTCGTGAAAACTTGCCGGGAGTTACAAACTGTGTTTGGAGACTCATATGAATGCGTGGAATGAAATCTATTTTTAAATTTATAGCAGAAACAGTAACCTACATATGCATTTGAAATGAAACAATATTTATAATTATGGATTCAATGATATGGTTAGACATACAATATCTTTCTTTCATATATTTAATAATAATAATTAGTTATATATATTTTAAAAAATTGGTAAAAGAGTATTTTACAAAAAACATTACTCACTTAATAAAAGAGCAGCTGGCAGTAGTAGGCGTACTAGGAGTAAGGATAAGATATATTTATGCATGTTGATATATGAATCTGAAAAGATTTAAAATTCTATTGTAATTATTTAGATATTTAGTGCTACTTCAGCTTTTCACAAGACTAGGACTTAACAGATACATCATTAGTTAATATTCTAGAAGATTTAATGTGTAATATTATATTGTTTTATAAAAATGTAATAATATTAAGCAGTGAACAGTTAAAAGTTACCACTATGGTGAACATAAATATTTTCATTAAAATACTATCCAGTCCTAGGTATTTAAGTATCTATAAAAAACCAATGGATAAACCCTTAGAATATGAATAAAGGTAATCTTAACTTAATGCTGTTAGTTATGTTCCTTGAGTTGAATAAGTTAAGCATAAAAAATAAAAAAGTTTATTTTTGTTTCAGTATATTAAAAATATAATAAACTGATAAGTTAAATATTTTATTATACTACATATATCGACGTTAATTTTACTTCAAGATTTTACGTATTTAACAATGCAATCATAATTAAAAATAGGTCTTACTTCCATACGTACCTCTTATTTTTGTTTAGAAAATATAGCCGAAGTATATTTTGAATACACTTTACACTTGGAACTTATACTCATTATTAAACAGTTTTTTTTCGCGTGAAAATACTATGTTTTAATAACATTTTATAGAATGCATTTAATTATAATTTGTTTTTTATATCATATATATAATTCAAGTAGAGTTTTAAAAACACGACTTTTCAAATCACAATAATATGTATTCACAAATCACAATCAACACATGACACACTTGACAGAAATCTCTACGTTTTTTGACTGCTATATTGCGTTGACATTTATAAAGTAGTGATGTACTGTTAAAAATAATAATATCATTCTTTTGTCATAGTCAAGTCATGCCAAATCAAATTGTTCTATTTCATACTACATTCCTAATTTCATAGAAATTGTTTTGTTTTTATATTTATTTTTCTATAATTTCTTCGTTATACGATCTACTTATTAAAAACAAAACCAAACATCACAAAAAACATGTTACTGTATTGTGTTTTTATTCATTATATCGAATAAACTATCAATGATTAAACTAAAGCAATTTTTTATCTATCACTCTGACCATAGACATCATAGAGATATGCATATAACTATATAAGACACATCACTAAATTTATTTTTATTGCGAATTAATGGCGTAGCCAGGTGAGTTTTCTTGTTTATTTCTTATTTGACCGTGTTCTATAGTTTTCAATTGTTTTATCTTTATGTACAACTTTGAGTAAAACATAACATCTTTCAAAAAGTCAAAATTTTTTCACTAATCCTTTTAAACAAAAAGAAAATACAATTTTACGAGTAATGAACACGTATTGGATTTGTACCGAATTTATTTGCTAGGATCATAGTCATCACTTTCACTTTTCACGCTTTTTGCACGATAATAGTGGTTTCAGTTTGTAGATTGCAACAAACTGAAGTCGTTATGGATGAGTGAGTTTCCCATTTTTACAATAGCTATGTTCCTGTTCATTGTTTCATTAGCTATGAATAAATTATGGCAAGGTTACCTGCAAACTATTTCATTATGCATTTTTGTATCAATCATTACATCGATAATATAGTTACGTTCTTATAACATTCTAATTAGATTTTACTATGCAGCACCATGTCGACTCTAACGAAAATGACCCGCACAGTCAAAAAACTGGAAGTACCTAGACCCTTGAAATCAACAACTAGTTCTGCCCACAACCGTAACTCAGTAGTAGATGTCAAAATAAATTCTGGTAAGTACCACAAAGAACAAAATAGTCCAGTTGAATACAACAAATATATCTCTTCCTTTGTTTCCAGTTGATGATTTAATAGTACTAACTGAGGGAGTGGCATACCAGATGATGCAGGGCCAATTTGATAGGTCTCTACAAAGTAGTATTTCTACGATGTACTCTAACTTAAAGCTTTATGGAGCTCAGCTTGAGGGCGTATATAAAGAGTTCTTAGATAGGTATGTTACAAAAAACAATTGTTGACAACAGCCTTAATCTCAAATATTAACCTCTTCTTATTAATAGGTACTTTGTTCTCTTCCGTAATGGATCACAAGATGAAAGGCTTGATAAGAAAAGCCGGCTCCATTTGCTTGAGTTAATTGAGTTAAGAGCAAAACACTGGCAGGGGTCTGATTATATGAGCCAATACTACAGACACCGTGGTACACATGCTGAGGTAAGATTCAGAATCACAAATCTTAGAAATATACATGTAATATATTGCTTAATACACAATAATGACATCTTGTTATAATATGCTTTGATCTGTTTTATTATTTTTATATTGATATCGTCTCAAAAGCCTCTTAATTTTCTGATCACTTCACAACCAGCCACTATTAGTGCCAACAATGGAAGGAGCAGGTTCAGGTGGTTCGGTCTCCCCAACGCTGGCTACGCCCACCGAGCCACCTGCAATGCTAGCGCCTGGAGAAGTGATTAAGCCCTCTGGAAAGTTTCCCAAGCCAACTAAGATTCCTGGAAAAAACTACTCTAAAGATGAGGTTGTCATAAGGAATGCGGATTCTGGAAAAGGTAATGACAGATGTATGGTTAATCCCAACCAATTTAAAAACCATGTGATTATAAATATAGATTTATATGACTAGAAAAGATTTTTTTTATATTAAATGTATGTGGAAAAGTGTTATGTAAAGGTATGCATGTCTCTGAGTGCCGCATGCATTTCTAGTATTATCCTTTTTTAAGTTTTAGTTTTGCATGGTATTGATGTATTAGGTTTTAAAGAGTCATCCATGTCAATCGAAATATTTACATATTTGCATGTAGCAGTATGTTGTGGGATTTTTTATTATTATTAATATGTAAGTGTTTATACTAAGTCATGTTATCTTATAGGAATCTATTTTACAACCATTGGGTTATATTTATTGATATATCGTTCTATACAACAGTTATAATATAATTTGTTACTATTAGCTTATTATCGGGTTTTATTATCAAGATGTAAACAGATTGGAGTTCTATGAATGTGTCTGAAGTGACGTTTTGGGTTTCCAGTGATGGGTATCAAGGGCAGACGGGTGCACATGATCGAGGAGCTAAGTGATACGATTATATCATTTCAGAGAGGTATGAATGCACGGTGGACGGCCTGATGAAAGCTTAGCATGGTGTGCTGGAAATGTCTATTTATACTTCTAACATGGGAACTCTTGCTTTCAGGATTGGCTTATTTCAATCAACTAAAAAAAAATATATGTCCTACAATGTTGTAACCCTTAGACTTGTATTATTTTTTTAACATTTTGTTTATATTGACAATAACCCATATGATTAAAGCATAATTAACAAAAGAATCATATAAATGTACATAATTTAAGTGCCCCATAATATCATAATATCGACACATTAAGCTTTGAGCAATTCAAAATGTTAATCATACTAACAATTGCAATTGAATTCTTGAATTAAGTTTGAAATCTTACATATTATTTTATATTTCCAGTAAGCCCAGGAGCAAAGGAACGTTTGGTACAAATCACTGGACCGAATGAGGAGAATGTTAAGTATGTATATTTTGGAATAATACTGTTCCTACTTCTTTTAACAAAAATTTTAAATAATTTTAAATAGAAAATAACATTTCTAGACCATATGATTTGATCAAAAATTAAAATCATTGAATGACTATTAATTGCACATTCTTACAAACAACTAATAATATTTATAATATACATATAATTTTCTTAATTTCAACAATGAATATGAATACATAAAATATACGATTTATATTAAATTGAAATGTATATTTAGTAAATTTAAATCAGTTTACGGTATCGTTTTAAGCGAACACGCCGACGCTTCAGTGGTTATTAAACTGGAATGCGTCCATGAGTCATGAATACACATGAACCTTTATAAGGATGCGGCGATTTCACGATTATTAGAATCGCATTATAGTTATCGTACAATTTAACTAAGCACTTCTGTAACATTTATACGATGTCAAAAGAATTGCTTCATACTGTTTGGTATTATGGGGGACATTCTTTTAATATAAATATTATCCTGTATAAATCTTGTATGTGGGTGCAGACAAGCAAGGGTTATCACTTGATAGATGTAGACCAATAGGTTTATAAGATGAAATGTAATATAATATTTAATTTACAAGCTTTGTACGTTAAAAATGTATATATTAAAATCTAAATGTGGATTTAATCATGCATTATGTAATATGTGATGATTGGTGTAAACATAACCATCTAGCCTGTCAGATCCTAATATGATCTTTTACATCCGCGTAATGCTTAAAATCTTTTCTCGACAGCCATGCGAAGCACTTGATTGGTGACACAATAAGACGTAACGCGTCTCCGGTTCGCCTGGAAGGGGCATTAGAGGGCACCCTCGGAGCCTCGCGCGCTTCACTCGACTCGAACGGTTCCGACGAACCAGTCCGCCTGAGAGAGGTACTCAACTGTAAAATGCTCATTCTTATCGAAATAGGTCAAATGTCTACTACTGACATTTGATAACTTATTCGCAAAAAATTACAATTTTTTTTTTGATTTTGCATTATAAAGTAAGAATATATTAAATTGAAAGTCTATTTTATATTGAATATATTGGATGACACTAATGGGACGTACATTAAATCTTCTCCGTTAAATCTAGAAAACTACAAATCTTCTTTTGTTATGCTGTAATACTTTCGTTCTAAAATAAAATTTAGCCTCAATAAAACACCCTTCACATCTCTAAGCTTCAGGTTTTCAAAATATCTTAACAAAAAGCACTTTACTATTAAATATTATTCATAGATCTGATTAAATGTGGGAAAGTTATTGCAATTGCAGAAATCTCCACACAACAACAGGGCCCTGCTTCACAGTTTCTCTACGAACGATGCGGCTCTGGGCGAGTACAAGTACACTGTGACATTTGGCGAACATTCCATTAAGATCACTGGAGATAATTTGGATATTGTTAAGGTACCTTTGAAATTCAATATTCCCCTACTTTTAATGGCAATTTGGAGAGTAAGAGACAAGTCGCATTTGTGCAGATGTTTGGACTGAAAGTAATATGAGCAGTTCTGATGATAAATGGTAGTAGTAGCTGTAGTTTACGCAAGTAGTACACATTGGAATGAAACACTTTAACGGTTTAAAACGCGATATATATTAGTTAAACTTTTTTGAAAATTATTTTACTTATGGCCCAACGTTTTGTATGCTTTGCAGAAGTCGTGGTCAAAAGAAAAAAAAATCCATATAAATATATCGCATTACTGCGTTGGTGGTTATTCTTTTTATAATTTGAGAAGTCAAATTATTATTTTCAGACAGCAAAGCTGGTGTTAGATGAGTACTTCGAGAGTGCCGGGGCCCTGGAGGCTATGGGAGCTGGATCTGGTGACTTCTTCACCCTGTCGCAGCGGCCCAATGCAGCTCTATTGCTTCAAGACGATACCGCTCTGAACGGAAATGACGACGACGATGTATTCGCAACTTCCGCCCAAGACAACCAGCCAGGTAAGGGATATAAGCCAACTAAAAGAAGAGAGCTGGAGAAATCGTGACAAAAAGCACCCTAAAGGTTGCTTCTAAGTATATAATTTCATAAATTATGGCGTGTATACGACGTCATCCGTTGCAGTTGTTTTTTTTTTGGTTTCAAATTCGATGTCAGTTTCCATTTTATATTTACTGATTACTGAAGTTTTCTTACTAACAAAATTTTCGTCCTATATAAATAATCACACTGTAAATTTCAGTGAATTTATAATGTAGTATGAATTATGTCGATTTGCCAAGTCAATGAGCCAGAAAATAGATTGGTTTTATGCATGTAAGTTTTAAGAGTGAAGCTTTTTAAAGGTTTTTATTTAAGCTATACTAACCTGCCGAAAGCATGTAAGTTCTTAAAAAGTCCCACTTTTTAATTAATACCAGAAAGGTAGAGATCTCTTATTATCGACTGACTAAGCGTGTATGGAGTGTAAATGTAATTCTCGGAGTTGGTTTTTCATATCACGTATCCACCGTATGTCTCCATCTGTATATTTAAAGAACATGTAATGTATATTTAATTTAAATAGTATATATTCTCATACATCGATCCACGGGCAGAGAGTGTTCATATATTATTTCCATAGAAATAAACTAAATTAGCTTATTTGTATCATTGTACCCCGTGGCATCGAGTGTGCCTATTAACCTTAATATCATTGGGGTATACCGAGTGGGTTGTGCGTTCTGCAGGCGAGAGTGAAGCGGTGCCTCGTCGCCCGCGCTTTTCCCGGGCCACATCTACCGACAAAAATAAAGGTAAGTTCTACAGACACGACCGATAACACCTTAGGCTTTTGTACCAAGTCCGCAAGCCTAAAATGTGAACAAAACACTCAACTGAATGTCTTATTTGTTCGTGATAATTTTAACGTTTGTAATAATACCACCGTACTCTGTCTACACAAATTTCAAAACACCCTGCAGAATATTGCGGTAATGAAACCAGTAAGTAAAAATATAGGTGTCGCTCATCTCCTGTTCGTTTGGCCTTGCCTGACAAGCTGTTGCGTGTTTCCATACTGATTTTGTCTCACGTCTGTTGCTCAAATTGTTGAATAATACTTTAGCATGTATGCAACGTATGTACGCATTATCAATATTGTATTTTAAGTAGTATACATTTTTCTTTCCATAATAACCTTAGCATGTTAAATTATTTATGTATAATGCAGAAGTCAGTCAACACTGAGAACCAACTTATTTATCTACCCCGCTTTACAATTGTAACAGGAAATGTAGACCAACTATTTTCCACGGAACACTGAAGTGTCAAAAAGGTTAAGTGTTTTGACATTTCACTGTCGATTCAATGTTACAAATTGCTTAGATAATCTGTGACTTGACCTTTTCGGCAACGGTGCGTCCGCGGCCGTTTCGGTAGCGGTTTTAACACAAGCTGATAGTGTATGCGGTATTCAGGTACGGCGGGAACGAGACAAATATACACTTACGAGACGCTGGTGCAATACGCGGACTCGCCGCTGAGCAAGTTGCCGCCGGCCGGCCTGGCGTCCTTCCCGCCAGATCTCGCGCGCAAGGTAACTCTTGCCACGCCCCGCCACTATCGCCCCCCCGTTCCACCTGCCCCGGCCCCCGCGCGCATTGTGCCCTTTCGCGTGTGGCCTCCCATGCACCACCCCAATTACCTCGCAGCACTGCTTTGCCGTAACTTCTATTAAGCGTGACGATCGGCTTTGAAATTGCGGGACGCGATCGTGCTTCGGTTCTGTCTCAATTTTGTCCATATTTCGTTCAAAATGCAGACCTGTGTTGCGATGTCCTCGTTGCACCGAACGTATCACGATCGCGCGCCGCCGCTTCGGCTGCGTGTCGAACCCTTTCCTTTCTCAGCCGCAGTATGGTGCCGCCTAGCGACTCCGCCCTTAACCCCTCTCCTCGCTACGCCTTCGGTGCTGCAGCCGCTGAATCACCACCGGCTCGTGTTCTATGCAACAAATAAATGTACACACCATAAATATTTGAATACAGCAGTGGCAATTATTTAAGAATTTGTTGAGCAAATGTTTGAATAATTATTCGATTTCAATTTATATTGAGTCTGTAATGTTTGGATCGAGTTTACTAGCTTCTCTTTATGCAGCTTAGATTAACTGGTCACTAGGCAATGTAATTTTTGAATATTATGGTGAGTGCATTATGTGAATGCTTCTCTGCACGTAATAACAACTGCTTGACTTCTACGAGAACGTAGGTCTTAACACGTTTAGGTTAGAAATCTCAGTTATGTACTAATAAAAAATATATTAAGATAGACAACTTTGAAGGCTGTGGTAAAGGCTAGTCCTACTGCTAAGAATATCTTAAATTATAAGCATCTTTAAGAACTAAGGTACTATTATCCTAAGAATGAACCTGTTAGGAGTGTGACGTAAGTTAAATACTGACCAAAAAATTATCTTTAAGTGTTGATTAGTAAATGTATACCTGTATATTAATGTTAATAACATTATGATCTCACTAGTATTTCCTTATGACCTAGTTTAAATTCCCTAGAAGGACTGATTTAGTGACAAATCTTTTATTGAGAAGTATTAGATTCTATATTCTGTGTTGATTATTACTGTTGATATTGTATGCCCAGTGTTTTGAATGTACTAATGCACTGAATGTTTCAATATTCACGCTGCGTGGACAGAATGGATATTCGAGAGGGGTTCAATACAGGTAGAGGGCTCACTTGAATATATCCCGACGTGTTTACTATTGAATGTAATGCTTATATTTTGTTTACGTTGTGTTAACATTTCGCTTGTGTTTTATAAATTACCAGTGTTTATAATTCTATTTTCTTCTCATTGTCTGTTATTTCGAATATAAAAGTTTAAAAATGCACCCGTTTTTGCTTATTTCGCTTCCTCATTGTTAACCATAACATCAAGCACACGACATATGTTCACTCTTCGCCTAACAAGACGATCGCTAAAAGCTTGCATTGCTTGCAAAGTAATATAACATCTCGTTATTACTTGGCGCTTTTCTGAATGGAACCACATCTTTTCATTAACATTATCCAGTTGCAAGGTAAAAGTCATGCTATTTTGATTTTATTAACGTACTAAGGATGTTTTAAATGTATTTGGAAAATCATCAACAGAGTTGCCTGGAGTTTGACAGTGCCAGTTATTTGAAGAAGGTTCGCGCCGCGGTCGCTATCACCCTCGCAGCAGTAGACGCGCCAGACTCACCTGAACCAGAATAATGACTTATTGTGCCGCTCCCACGTACTAGCACCAGCACCCGCATTGTTATACGCACCTGAAACAGCTCACGAACGTGCGCGAGCGTCGTACACCAAACGAAAGCGATTTGCTATTCCAAACAATTTCTATTGTATCATTAGATACGTGTTTGCTTTCTAGTTGGGTTGTCTTAGTTCTGTTGCTTTTGACTCTCACTCGCTTATAATATACCTTCTAATTTAGCGGATGTATATTTACTCACTAAAAGTATTAGCTCACCAAAATATTTATCGTTGACTGTGTAGTCATTACGTATTTAGTTTATAGAATATTTTTTACAAATTGTGTGTGGTTCTACTAAGTTGTGATACTGACGCAAAGCATTATTGCGTTGTTAAAAATTCTTCGTCCGCATCGTATGATCTCTACATAATATTCTCAGTACTAAATATGTTGTACTAATGTGACGTGCCTTTAAAGAGATCTTAACTTCACTTTATTCTATAGCAGAAATGCGACTGTTCTTTTAGCATGGTATTGTTGTATATACTCTGGAGGAACATGAGTTTCTATGATGATTCCATTTATATTAAGAAGGATGCGTGCATTTCTTTGTGTGTTTGTATAACTATTCATAATCAAATTTGTATCTAATGTCTAGTCCTAACGCGTGGTAGTCTATTCTCACTGTCCTAAACGTTTGTTTGAAGGTCCTGGTCTAAGAGACATACTTTTTGTCTTAATGAATTGGCAGCTATTTTTGTCAATAGTTTTTGCTGATGACCGTAATACCGTAGGTATTTAAAGAGTTATTTAACAAAAAAATATATTTACAAAGAGTTATATTTATCCAATTATTCATTTAAAATCCGATTTATATTTTAAAAGGCAAAATATTTTAAGACTGTTACTACATTATATTGATTTGTTTATAACGTTACATGTTTGATTATTATAAGCTTTATATTACGTATATTTGTTTTACACACTCATTTATTTCGTCGTTAAAATGTTGCTTCATTCATATCCATTGCAGTCATAATTCAAGCACGGATTTCTGATATTTAGAAGCGATAAAAAATATAAAAAAATATTGGTGCTCATCAGGAGAAATATATTTTAGTTTTATTATATTTGTTTAAAGTTTGTTTTGTTCATTACTAAATTATGAAAATTAATAATATACTATAGTTTACAATATGGTTTGTTTTATTAACGTTACCCCGAAGCCAAGGACATCCTCGGCATACGTCATAGAGCGTCTGGTAACACCGTACTTGGTAACACTTCAACGATTGAGACAAGAAATAATTTTTTTTTTCTTAAGAGTAAATGATATTTATTGAATTATTACATGTCAATAATACTTGAAATACTATCAATACTAATATTAAATTTACAAAAAGTGAAGCTAGTTTAAAAGAGAAAATGTCATAAATAAACTATTTACAAAATATGATGCTGCGCAACAGTGTCAATAAATTAACATAATTTAAATTATACTTAGATTATAGCCGGAATAAAAATGGCACATTGACTGTTCTATTATTTTACACAATTAAAATAAATGCATTAAAATAGTGTATTGGAGTTTGACTATCTACAATTGATCATAATTATAAATACATCGAGTAGAGGCTTATTACTTGGGCAAGATGTATTTTACCGCAATTTACCTGTTTTTTTTGTTGTATAGCGATTTTGATACTTGTAAATATCTAATCCAGTAACAGTTTACTACCAGTGCTAGCACAGGGACGACAATAGGAATGTAACGTGCTGTTAAAGATAATAAATGCGCTAAACTCCTCAAAAACAACCAGAATAAAGCTGTAACTCCGAGCTCAATCAAAGCAGTTGTGTCCAGCACTACGACGAACTCACGAGACTAATGTCACTTAAGCTTAATATTAATTTCTTTCCGATAACTTGTCGGTGATACTTGCTGCTCTTGTCCTCGCATGGTTCATGATGTCTGATGCAAGGTCATCCACTGTCGTGTATCGTGACTTTTGAAAACTGAACAAGTCCGAAATGAAACCGACAATTTCGGATTGAAATGATTCACAAACGTCTTTTAGACGTTCCCGAGGCCCGAGGAAGCCCCAGACTAGGACTGGTAACAGGTGTTCCGATATTGAATAGAAGTGAGCCATAAAACCGTCAGGGTGCTGTAGGTAACGCCGCTTGGCTTTGATAACCGACCATACTGCTGTTGTGAGAGCCTGGAAAGAAAATAGTCCAAAATTATTTGTTTTATTATAGAAAGGCCTAATTTAAAGAATTCGTCCTTTGCTACTTAAGTCCATTTTACTTATATATATATATATATATATATATAACAAGATAGGGACAAAAATAGGTTGATCCCCACCGGGTGAATTTTATTACGTTTCAGTTTCAGTCTGAGGATTTCCGACTATCCAACGCCAAAATAGGTCGACAGCGTACCCGTTTAGATGGTAGGCATTTCACCTACGATCCACCCCATGATTGTCTGTACATCTCTATCATAAAGAAATAATTATATTTTAATTGGGCGGAACTTTTAAATCTTATGAGCTAACACACACACTTCGTGAAACATTTTATAGTTACGAATATTTAACTTACGGTTTCTTTAAATCCATCTGAGAGCCAACGATTTCGTACAACAGCTAATACAGAAGCTGGTGGTGCCGCTAAGTCTTCGAATGCGTCCAGCAAGATATAGTCTAATACCACGTCATAGAACGTGAGTACCTTTATAAACAAAAGATTAAATTAATTTATAGGAAGCCTTTTATGTGTCATTGCGACGTTTTTATTAAGAGTAGCGCTCTAACCTTAACTCCTTTACTGGTGAGTTCACTTTCAATAACTGTCCAGTTTGCGGGGTCTATCGCCCATGTCACCATCTCCTCATATGCAACCAGAAATTCTTTCGGCTCCTTTAAAATACAATTAGATTCGTATAACAAAGTTAGTAGAAATTTATTACATCTACGCTGATACGATACATGAACGCTGAGACGATGCCGGTTCAAGTCCTGCCCGAGGGGAAATTTTTTTTAAATCATTTTCGATTTTTAAATTTTATACAGTGACTTCATATGCAATGTAAAAAATAAACATGTAACAAATAATAAAGTTTTCAAACATTTATTACATCTTTCAAAATAAAAATTTCTTAATATGTTTCCATAGACATCGTGCAGATAGAGTCCCTAGTCCCCACACTAGAGCAAGCGTGGGTAACGACTCTTCCAAGTTACAAACAATAGATATCTTAAAGCTAACTTATGTTTTATTATTTGTTGAAATTACTTAGTGTCTATTGTGATACATGCCAGAATGAGTGGATATTTGCATGTTGTACGTATGAAGTGAGGGGAATGTTATGTATATATGTTGATAGAAATGCTATGCTATTGCATACATGTTTTTATTTTCCCTGTTGACATTTGACTGTAATTTTGTTTTTTCTTTCTACTGCAAAGGTTGTCTGAAAGAAATCGCCATAGGCGATAAGACAAACATGTTTATTTGTATGTATTATATAAGTATGTTCTACTTCGGTGTAAATATGTTTGTGCAATAAAGAGTTTTTTATTATTATTCTTACCTTGTCTGCAAAAAGTAGCAAATCAGTTAGGACCTGCCGACCAGCATCAATGAACCAAGCCCACGCTTCAACCTCACGGAAGACAGCGCGGAACGCAACACGCAGGCAGTGCAACTTGCACAAGAACTCCGAATCGGAACTGCATTGCAATACATCCGTGCGAAGTGTTCTAGAAATAAAAAAAAATGAACATGCAAAAAACATTAGTATAAACGATTATTGTCCTTACGTTCTAAGAAAGGTATGATAAACATGAAGACGCTACGTATAACGAAATATTAGATTTAGGTACGTTCTTAATAAATTTTTATCAAGTCTATTTTCCCTTGACCTTGACCTAATACCGTCCGTCCTTTGAACTATTTGTAGGTGTGTTAATGACCAAATGCATCGGTTCGCTAAGACGCGAAAGGAGGAGAACCCTTTACATTTAAAATAAATATGAATCAAGGACCCACAAACCTATATGGTATTCCAGTTTCCAGCTGTTTGAGTGCCATTTGATATAATTCTAAATTTTCGATTTCCGGTAGAGATTCCGTTAGATCATCGAAATCCCTCAGATCGGCTACCTGGAAAATTATTTATTACTCTAAGACGGTAACCTCTACGTTGTATTGTATGTTCCTCGAATATGAAACCTCACCAACCAGAGACTCACAAAACCGTATTTTGTAGATATTTCAATGCTTACTTGGTCCTCAGCAGAGGCGAATGACTCAGCACTGGAGTGGTGTTCTTTCCGCGTATGCTCAGACCCAGTGTGTGCAGTATGTGTAGATAAAAGCCTCACTCTACCCAATGAGCCTTCGCCGCCCCCGCTCTCGGATCGAAATAAAACCGATCGCTGGTCAAGGAACAATAATTCGCACCGCTCCTGCAATATTTCTTTCATTTAGAACCACGAATTGTATATGCAAGTATGTATAGTTGATTATATTGTACGACGCTCAAAATTTGAGGCGTCGTTACGAAGGGCTTGAAACCGATTAAGCGGTTTTATTTAAGTTTAGTAATGTCGCGATTACACAATACTAAATGTTAGACAAACCTGTAATAAATATGCATTCTGAAGTAATTCTTGTATTTCTCTACAAAACTCTGCTTCTTCGGGTGACGTCAGCGCTAGAGTACCAGCTCCCCCGCCCCGCGCATTTACCGAAAATGCAGCCAATGCGTCCTCCCAATAGTTAATACTTGTCTCTAATGCTTCCATTCCTGTTAAAATAAACTCTTCAATCAATACTTTTCTACAAAAGCAATGGAGTTCAATGATTAATAAATCAATAAATGTAATAACATAATATATTGACATTTTAATAACCCTACAAATTTGGTGGTGACAGATTTTTTTCACCGTTATTCCATTTTGATACTAAAATGTTGTTATATACCTCTCATTATCTTGAAATTAAAATTTCAATCTCTTAATATATTCAATAAAAAACAAATAATGTTTAAATAATTTATATTTTTTACAAAATAAAATGCCTCCTTATCTACAATTGAATAAACTGGAACCAAAAAAAGTTTTTTTTTTAAATCTTCATTCACATATATTGAGATCTGTATTGTAACAATTACTTTTCTACGAGATAAATAATAATAAGATTAATCTTTGCTATCTTATGTATACAACTTCCTTCAATACTTCTTTATCGCTGCTAATATGATGTATTACTTCTTGTAGACCATTGCTAAGGCCCTGTATATTTTGTGCAAGAGCACTCAAAGTGTTTGTCAATTTTTGATCCAGTGCGACACGCCTCTCTTCTTGATTACGTAGTGTAGAAGCTATTGACTGCAGTGCATCTGCCATTTTCTCTTGCGATGATATTCTACGCTCTTCTAATTCTAAAGCCCACTGAGGTGGAGGTGTATTATCTCGAGACAATTCTATGTTATATTTACTTTCCCCAGCAAGAGTACCTCTTTCTGGCAATGCATTGTCATCTGAAAAATAATTTTAAATTAAAAAAAGGGTAGAGTAATGGTATGCTGGGTCTATTATTCGACAAGTATTAATGCACTTAAACATACAATAACAAATGTTTACCTAAACTTTTAGAGCTATCAATACTCGAATACTTTAAATGATCCATGTCATCCTCATTATTTATAACTATTTCTGTATCTGAGTAAACATTTTCATAATTTAGTTCAGTATTATCATTATCATCTTGAATTGAAGATGTGACTGCATTACTAATACCATCGGATTTTTTTGCAGTTAGCTCCAAGAGTCTTATTTCTAAATTGTTTAGTGTGACAACGCAAGGAGTTTCAGAGTTGTTTAAATTAGCTTTCCAGAATTGAGTCCTCTTTGCTTTCTTTCTACATTTTGAAGACCATTCTGTCCAATACTGCGAATAAAATAAGAAAAAGCATTAAGTAACCACAAAGTTTATTATATTTTATCAACCACATATGGTAGAACATTTAACATTTGACCCATACTTCATACTTATATCATTCACATACACTTCATAGAAATATCACTATTAGACTAAAATAGTTAATTTATTAATTTAAACATAAAAAAATAATATTTACGCGTCTCCATTTCTCAGCTGACTTTATAGTTCCTGATTTTACGGAATTCAATTTCTTTGCTATAGCTGACCATTTTTGGTGTGATATTCTTGAACTATGAGGTGAAAATTTGGTGGGCCTGGATATCAGATCTTTATTGGACTCCATAAAATCTAATAGTATTTCTAGTTGCTCCCTAGTAATTTTACGTGGAGGAGCCATCTAAAATAATAAACATGTATTTGTTAACACTAATAGTTTGTCACTGAATAATATGCCAAAATCAGAGCTTAGTTACCTTGCTGTAAACAAAAAAACGTTGTCCAATATTTACGCACTTATATGTTCATTTACTTTTTCGTAAACAAATTATAATTAATAATAATATAAAATACCAATGCAAAAGGCAACATGTATGTTTAAATGACAATGTAAATTGTAAACTTCAAATATGACTAGCTGTCATAGGTGAAGTAAGGATAACTGTCAACTCTCATTGCCATTTCCAAAGATCTGCTAATGTCGTGATAATAAATTATTGTTCTTTTTATTCTATATTTTGGACCAATGGCATTAAGAAACAAACACGATAATAAAAAATATTTTTTTAAATTTGTATAAATTTTGTCCACACTTGTATTTAGACAGAGCTAAAAGAAATAAATATTTAAAATATAGACATACATTATGTGACAGATGACACAGAACACGACAGATAAAAATTAAAATACTCTAAATAACTAAATACACTAAAATCAGAAGGAATTAGTACATTTCCTATTAGTAGGACAAAATAACTGAAAAAGGATCAACGAGACAAAACGAAGATTTCATAATTAATTCAATAATATTTGATTAATTAATGTTCCATTAATTGCACGAATTAATAAGTTTTACAGCTCCACATACACATAGTTTACGCGCGCTTTGATTCCGATAAAGGGCTAGTAAACATATTAATACGACCCAATATTTCAACACTAGAGGTACTACGTGACTATATATGAAAGTTCTTATGTTATAATTGTATTTGCTAATCTACAGAGAAGTTAAGTGTAATAAAACAATTGCGTAGTTCAGTAAATAAATAGTGGAAGGTGCGTCAGACGCTTTGATGTCAGCTTATAGCCTACACGGACATACCTACCTTTATTAATTAAAGAAAGGTATTTTAGATGATCTATTTAAATAATTGTATTTACTATTCATAGGGTTATCAAACAAAAAAATAAATTTGATTAAATTACCAAAATGTTGTATCAATGCACCAACAATACGGTGGTGCTGGTATTAGTCTGTAAATATGTATATCATTAAATTGAAGGTCGTAGGTAAGAGTCAAGATTAAAGAAGACATAATAATTTAAATTCATATGATAGCCGACACCGAGGAACGTTTTGCTTACCTTAAATTTATATAAGCCGTTTATTGTTTATTTAAATGTTAATATATATATATTCATACGTAAAAAAAAATTCCTTAACGGATTCTTCGTAGTAATTTTTGCGTTTTACATGTGACATTTAAAAATACCTTCGGTTTAGCGATATAATGATAAACGAAAAACATAACAATTCAGTTTGGCCATGATAGTATTCTGTAGCGTTTTGTTAGTTAGACAATACATGAAATAACGCAAATTGGTCATGAATATTTAATAGAGATAGTAAGCAGACAACAACACAATAGCATAAAAAACATAAATTAAATAAAAAATACTACTATACTAAATTCATTTTTTTTTTCTAATTATTCGTATAGCTCAGTGGTCTTATACGCGAGCCCTACCGTTTACCGAATGGTGAATACCGGGTACTCAATTACCAGGAGGGACGAGGCCGCGCGGGGATCCGGCTCGCTCCGTCAGTCTACCAGAGGCTCCGCATTGCGACGGTGTTCTCTCGCTAATTTTATGATCTTTACTCTTTCCCCGTAAGATCATTGTGGATATAAGCCAAGTAGTTTGCTATTAGTGTTCCAATATTTCAGTGCTGTGCGTATGTGAGGAATTTTATTAGAAGCTTTAGAATCGAATCGAATTGCGTTAATAAATAACGCTTTTTATGCGACTACAGGTAAGAAATATTATAAAAGGCGGAAAACACGGTGAAAATGTTTTGGTATTTTAAAAATGATAGAGATAATTCTTACTTTTTGTATCTTGTAAACGCTAGTTGAGACAATAAAGTTAAATATTGAAGAAAAAAATAAATGCACTATTTATTCTACTTTACCAGCACAATTATTATGGAGCGGCCTGGGTTCAATTTGAAATTTACGCGGACCTCCTAACACGTTTCCTTTAAACCGGTTTACTCCATATAGGTAATACGTTGTTTAGACGCTAGACTTATGCAATGCCCGTAAAAATGTGTCTATTTATTTTATTACCGTATTGTAATAATACTATAACAGTACATAACATTTATATTAATACACATTTAAAAAAATATGATAGGGTAAATTTTCGCTAGAGTCATATGAAAAACATAGTTTATCCCTACGAACATCTGTCAACAAAGATTCGGGAATATACATTGTCAGCGACAGCTGCACATCGCTCCACGTGCTAAATGTACTATTATATTAGGCAAGCACTATTCTATATCAAACCAAACAAAAGTACTAATTTGAAAATATAAAAACCATATATAGATAAATTAATACGAGAAACTAGGCACGAAAAGAGAAAATCAAAATTGCCTGAACAAATAAATTGCTCATCATTTGAAATCGAAGTAAACAATTGAACAATCTACGATTAAAAATACGGAGCTAATAATATTACTTATCAGATATTGACTTTCACAATTCTGCAATTGTCGAGATCAAATCGGTCAATCAAAAGCTTTATTTGTAACAGTGATAATATTAGGCCGTCGTCGCGTCGCACCACAGGTCACTCGGCGTCGTGGTATCGATCTGTTAGCTCACGTCATACGCATCAGGAATTTGTTCATAATTTTATTATGAACAATGCCTGCTATATTTTATATTAACACCTATTATATTATTCTCATTTTAAGAATGCAAGCTTCTGTTTACCGTTGGACGTACGTGCATTAAAAAGTCCTTAAGTTTGACAATAATTGACTAAGAAAGGTTTCTTAAAGAGAGGAAGTAAGACAAGCATGGAGACACTTGATGAAAGGTGAAAACAGTGCGGTCAAACGCTCGATATTTTTCAGCTATTTCTTATATTCTGAAATCCACAGACTGAAACCGAAATGCGATTAAACTTCACGGCAAAATGAGCTCCACTTTCCATAATTCCATAATTGTAAATTTCATTCTGTACACTTTATATATATCTCTTATAATTCTAAAGACATACGTTAGTAGTCGTAAGATGATGATGGACAAAGTGCGACTACGCATCTTGCCGCTGCCGATGATCATTTCCTTTTCCTTGATCAAACTAATGATAGCTAATAATTGACAAAGTAGATGTACCGATTAAGTCTAATAAGACGCCGAAAGTTCGTTCACCATTGTAAGTTTTACTTGTTGCATAGTAAATTTATAGCTAAGACCTTATAACCAATTTTTACTTTCAATTCTAGAAATTGAACTTAAATGTTTAATAATTAACGATGTTTAATAAATTTTAAATTAATACGCGTCTTGAGGGCATTGAAATATTCTGAAACGTAATAAATAGGGGTGGGCAACGTTACCGACTGGAAAATTGTGGCAATTTCAAAGCTCCCTTTTCCATCGTAAACTTCATAGCGAGGACTGCTACTTCTGAAATGTTACCAGGTCAATGCCTATAGACTAATGTATAATATAGGCAAGTCTAATTATAATATATAAATCAAACCTTTTTAAAATTGTTTATTGTTTTATAATGTATAAATATACAATAAACAAAGGTAGTCGCTAACGATTATATTGTTGATATATGAATCTATTTTTAACAGCTAGACGCTTTAATAGATTTTTCTGTCAGGTTGTTAGTTTTTTTTATTTATAGGCTGAATTGAGGCTATATTTTCAACAACGATCGATTTTATTATAGTCTGATTTCATTTGGTATATTTTAAAATGAAGAAACGTTGTTTTGACAAATTAATGTCGCACTCGGTCTATGATAAGATGACGTCACAATGCTAACGAAGGGTTAAGGGTTCAGTCTAGAAGTGGTTTTGATAAGGGACTAAATGGGGCCGATTCTCTTATTCGTATGCAAGCACCAGCGTACATTGGGAATGCGATCGATACGCGCCCGCGCGACGAAACCCTCGCGCGTCGCTTCGCGAATTAAGCAAGGCCCAAGATTTGCCAACCGTGCCCGCAAGAACTAAACAAATTATAAATAACATTATGTTTTAGAAACATGTTAAACAAAGTAAACGTTCTCTCCCGCATATTGTTTCAGTATTAAGAAATACTCATATCGAAAAAAAAATTATATATTTTAGTTTTAGATAGAAGCATATATTATAGAACAATATTATTTATTTTATCATCTGTAGGTAAGTTGCATTTAATGAAAATTGTATTCAAATTTATTAATGATTATGACGCTCGATATTTATTTTACCAATTAATAATACGTACGATGCTTACCAAGAAATGTGATTTGATTTCTCGTTTCCTGATATCCGGTTGGTGACATCATCTACGAAACTGGAAAATAACTTTTTTATCACAAGCAAAGCATTGTGCGACCGTCGTATCTCGGTCTGTGACCGCTTGGCCCTGATCTTGCTAAATAGGATAGCTTCAACTTCATCGTCGTAAAAGGAACCATTCTTAACTATATTATATAACCGCACTTCTTGGTTTTCATTTTTAAAACTAAAACTTGTTTCATTGCTTGTATTGACTCACAGTAAGTAATTTTGGTAAGAGGACAAAATAAAGATTTAACTATAGACTTAAGACTAAAAAGTCAACAGTAGTGACGACTTAGAAGACCATGACTAAGTTCAACGTCTTTCAAAGTTTCAAGCCTTGGGCAATCCTGACATGACCTTGCTGAGAACCTGTTTCAAAGCGAAGGTTAAGTAATGTAATAGTTTCACTTACTTCATATACACTCATCTTTATAAATAACTTGTCGATTAAGGAGTCTCAAAAGATTTCTTATATATGCATAATATGAACCGTTGACATTTGGGTTCGGTGACAACTAAATAATCCAATTGTAAACCAATCAAAGCATAATTAACCGAATTATTATCATATTAAATAATTACATAAAACGCGAACTTAAACAATCGTATTTACCTTTTTAAATAGATTTATTAACGCGTTGTACCTGTCTCGTACTATTCACATCGCGTTACGTACGGTAATACAAAGTTGTCTATCACGGCAGTTTTGCCAAAGGTTCAGGCAATATCAGCTGGTTATTCGTCTATTATAGTTTTTGCTACCCAACGGTTGCTCCCTAGTTAAACGACCTTTGGTCCGAACAATGATTAGGAAGAGGGGATCGCAATGCAGCTGCTCTTTTCTTTAGATATTCTGACAAATCTTAATGCATTCTTGTTACGTTTTTTAAGCTAAGTCTTAAGTTAACACCACTGGCAATAATAATTTGGCAAAGCGAACATTATAAACATTTCTTTATTTTACAATCGGGCATCTGAAACACCTTAAAATAGTAAAAACCGTTATGAAATCTTAAAAGCTGAAACTGAAACATTAAAATGTTCTTATTTACACAGTATAACTCTTTTTTATTCGTCACTATTAAAACCAGCAAAGCCACGAGTCAATTACACTACAGTACAAATTAAAAAAAACGCCACGTGTGCTACAGTTACAAAAAATGCGACGGATTCATTTCGTTTGTGAGATTCATGCTCAATATTCGTGTACGAATCGAGAGGTGAAGAGTGTTCATGGCCACTGGAACAATCGATTTACCTGAATCCACAAATCGGGTTACACGTAGGGCTGCGTTGTTATTCGGCTACACCCAACTAAATCTTTTTTTGTTATACAGCGATATTTTAAACTAAATTTGCTTTACTAGGAACTAATGATACGGTCAAACTATATAATATAGGAACATTCAGTTTCAAGTAGGTTCATGTTCTGCTAACAGCCTATTAAAAATTTATTGTTATATAATAGGTATACCTAGTATGGAAGCTCAGGGCCAACTACTCAGTAGAGACAAAGATATGTTACGAGTATTTACATCTGTTACGGTAGAATATTATTTATTTACGTACTCGTATTATCTAAAGAGCTCTAAACCTCCTGATATAAGAAAAGTTGAACTAATTACTCACATAAAATACTACACTAACCAACGCTTATTACGGGCACAGAGGAAATTAAATGAACGGCCGCGGAGACATTCTTGATGCGCGATGCCATACAAAAATAACATTTGTTTTAGATTTCATTGGGTGCTCAATGGAGATTAGAATGTATTTTTAACAATCTCGGAAAACCTGCAAACAATACTACTGCAAAACACGAAGTAGAACTGGGACGCTGTATTTGGGACAGAAAATATATGGTTCAAAATAGTAGTGACAGTAGATACACAAGCAGAAAATTTAAAAACAGCGTTGTTTTCTACATACAACCGATTACTTCTGGTACTACTTTACTTAGTGATTAGCACGATAATAATGATAAAGTTCCTCTTTTTATGGTCGAATTGCGCGTGCACACCCACGTAGCAACTGTCATATAATTAATTAAAAGTTCAGAATAATTAACAGGATGTTAAGAAAATATCTTCTTATGATCATATTTACTGACTCCGAAATCCTTTGCTTTATGACAAATTCGTTTATCACTGTATAAATCCTTGTGATGGGTGGTACCGATAGATCTGAATTTAATGGCTATGTCAATGAGGAGGGATGGGTTTTTAAAAGGATACCGAGCACAAAGAACCCGCAGAGTTACAAATATCGCCGGCTATAATTTAATATCCGTTCAAAAATCTCATTCCCTAAGTAATACAATTGCCTACGGTATCCGATATCCTACGTTTTCAGATATTCGAGTTTGGATATTCCCTTTAAAGTGAATAAGTGAAAGCGACGTTTCGCTGACTGTGCCATGTGATCTAAGACAAATTGCAGAACCTTATAAGCCTCAATTGGCCCGCTATCGAGTAAAAGCTACCTGGTACCTACGTCGTGGATTTAGTTTTTCTAAGACATCCGCATGAAATGTTTCCGTGAACTGATGGAGCTTACCTATGTAGAGTGCATACGACAAGTTTTTCATCGAAGATTACATTCCTATCGTAGGAACATTAGAAAATTATTGTACCTTTGAGGTTTTTTCTTTAGTTAGAAAGTATAGTTTAATGCAATAAAGAACATGAATAGTAAATGATCTTTTATATTAAAATATGCTATAGAAGCTTGCATAGTGACGCAATAATGTAAACCGTATTAATAGTACAACAAGGTTAATTCGATAATTCAGTCCGAATAATGCTTATAATAATCATAATTGTAATATTCATTATTATTATAACAATCATCCCAAAAGTTAAAAAAGGTGGTAAACAATCCGGAAGCCTTAGTAATTTGCACTGTTACACTTCCGCCAGGTCTACCTGTTTTGAGGTCGAAGGGCCGCTTTTAACGGTCAACGCGTTGCGGAACCATTGATATCATTTTCTAATTAGCTAAACATTTCATAGCTATTGTACTGAATTTAGATACTATAGCTATATTTATTTCTATATTGGAGGAGTTAAATATGACGTTTAGCTATATATTCAAGTAGAACAACTGTGTCTAAGTAAATTGTATAGTTTATGATTATTTAGATATACTAAGATATTATTAAAAAACAATAGAAACCGGGAGAAAACTTATAATTCCGTTAGAAAATCTGAAGACAAAGGAAATGGATAAAAGTATGATAGATTTTTAAAATAACTATACGTTTGGCGTGCTATTTGAAAAAGATTGAATTCCGAACAGAATAATAAAATACCTCAGAGCCAACGGGAACCAAACAAGGGATTCCTTGGAGACAAAGGAGCATAACTGGCTGTTGGCAGAGTATTGAAGCATACAATGCGCCAGTAACGGGACAAGGCACTAATTATTGTGATGTGAGCCAAGCTCTTCCGTTATTCGTCGCTATGTTCCCGAGAGAAGAAACGTGCCTCAGACCCGCAATGCACTGTCGTAACGGCTCAAGTTCAATAATCTCTCTTATACGTTTTTATGACTCCCGATTTCGGCTGTGCTATGAACGTTTTCAAATAAAATTATGGAAGCTTTTAAGAATTAAAAGCTTATTTATATTAGCAGAAATGTACGTGTCTCCAGCCAAAATTTATATAATAAAATGTTATACGATAAAATATTGGAGGCCGTTTTTGTCCAGATAATTTTAAAATTCGACGCATATATTTTATCAGTTTTACGTGCTTTATGAGCGTTAATAAGAACTTAATTATTAATTACTAATATTATATAGGAAGGATGAGTGGATATACTACAAGTTATACTTAAATATCCTGTTAGACTACTGTTAACAAATTCACGTACCGAGGAGTGAATTTTGGGTAAACGGCGCAACGTGTGTAACATTTAAATCATATCGCTTAGGTTATCTAGTCACGCGTCCAAGACAGCACGTACGTTTTATGGTATCATTAAAATTTGCATTAGTACAAGAAGTAATCGCTTATTAAGAAGCTGTGACTAGCTAACACGATAAGAATGTCTCATGCTTAGCTGAAATTGTAGCAAAAGGCGATAAAAAACGTTTTATTTACGTACGAGGTGAAGTGGCAAATAACTAAAGAGGGCTGTTTATGAAGACGGAATGCAGGAACTAGAACCGCTGCTAGCCAGCGACATCTTCACAGGAGACGTGCTAAGTGCTACCAACCCTTCACTCGCGCTACCGCAAGAGCCGCCTACTAGGCTAAAGAGTGCTTATCTTCAGTCCGCAGACATGTTTCCGTACAAACATTTCACATACCTCCTTAATGCGTGTGTTCAAAGAAAATTGTAATGTGAGTCAACACTTGAACTGGATCTTTAAAATAATTTATTATTACCATCTCTAAAACCGTATAAACTCGTCCACTTGAACTAAAAGCTAGGTACCGGCTCAGTTAAAAGCAATAAACTCTACTCTTTATTGTTATTCCGGGCATAATCGTTATTATTACTTCAAAACATGACATGGCAATCTTTTTACGTGCTACTACTTTTTTGTAGGAGTTCAACGACTTTTCCCGAGGAGAGCAAAATATCTCGATAGAAATTAGAAATCGTAACGTAGTGCGAAATATAGTAATCAGAACATCATAAAATACTGATCGGGGAAACCTAATATTAGCGATCAAATTGCCGTCTTACATTCGGTATAGGTATAGTGTGTCATTGCATTTGTGACTTCCGTAAATGCATGCATCACCTGTTTGCCCTACAACCTTATTGTGAAACAACAAAATATTGCAACTATTTTAATAAATTCAAAGTACTAATAAGATACAATTAGCTTTGTACGCTTGCAGGTACTCGATAGTAATTACAAACTGTGTTACGCAAGTCATATAATTAAATGGCGGATAAAATGGACTCTAACTCGTAGAACCTTGATTCTATGTAATCATTCCGCGTTAATCTCCGAGCAATCTCAAAGGAATTCTTACAAAAACTATACTGAAGTTAAAATAAACGCGTGCCACTCGATCCGTGAGGGACCAACTACATTTTTAGGTTCTTTTAGAGGCACACAAAACATTTTTCAATACTGAGTCACTGTTGTATTTTACGCAAGAGGTACACAAAACTCTATGTTTTGCATAATTTGCAGTAGCTCTGTTCACGGGGTCCCAAACGAAAATAATTTTACAATTATATTTTGCGTTAAACAGTTCTACTTAACAAACTTGCTTTGCCCATCAAGGAGGTCTGAAATCTGAACATGCCGGAAGAATAAACACACGTTTACTACGCGGTCCCCGGGGGAGTATAAGATATAATTACGACGTTGCGTCATTATCAATTTTATTTGCGTTGCTCTCTTGAGAATGAAGTACGAAGAAGATGGACTGGTGGACGGTGACTCATCACAATGGCGAGTACATCGACCTGCCCTCACGACTCGGCACCGTTATCATTTAGACTGCACATTTTTTTGTACCTAACCAAGATATTCGACGCGTATTCCTTAAAACGTTACCTTCCAAGGCGAGTACGCAAGCTAAAATAAAAAAGCCTTTCCCTACATACACTGAACATTATTGATTGAATCCTAACAATGTTGATTCACGGGATGAGTGACGTCATACTAGATGAGTGTACTCGGTTTGCTAAATTGATCGCAATAATAATAATGTAATCGGGAGAACTGCATGTTGATTCATTATTCCATAAATAAAACAGACATAGCTGGATGTAAATGCTCGTAAGTAGGCGCCCCTTATTTGTCATTTGTTAGCAATCATGTAGATGTCACATTATACACAGATTTTTAAAAACTCTTAATTCTTGAAATAATTAAACTAAAAATCAGAAAAAATCGTTATGAGCTCCGTATAACAACAACAATTTATAATTTTATTTATAACTAGAATAGAATCATAGTTGTTACAATAGTATAGCTTAAAATATAATTTAAAACAATATATTACTGATCTAAATTACTGTATTAAATTGAATAAAATCGATGATTCGTCGGACTTAACCGGCATCCCTAGCATTTCGCACTGGATCTAAATTAGGAAATTAAATTTAAAATCTATTTTTAGTTTTTTTATTATTTCATAAAATTATAATTGTAGAAGGACGCGTGTTATTGAATGTTATTTATAGAACCTTAACATGTTTAAATTAAGGTAGACTGTTAAGTTTACAAGCTTCAAATAGACACGTTATATATAATGATAATCTAATTGGGTTATACGTTGGATTATAAGACTTCCTCAGAACTAGACTTACGAACCCAAAACACATTTACATTTTCTTCGTCCTTTACCAGAACCCAGTCAGCAATAAATAAGTAATGTACCCCAAACGATCGATCGAGGAGGGGTGTTTTAGTACACAGGATGTATGACGTCACCTGAAGCTAAGTTGTGAAAGTTGGAAAATGCATTATTCGGTTTAAAAAGTACATCGTTACCAAAGTAACAGTAACGCTGTCGATAAAATGACTTCCTACATCTATTTGTCCATTTATAAATAGTATTTCGTTATACAAAGGGGTAACAACGAATAAGCATAAATGTCGACGGTAATTGTTAACAAATAACACGCACGTGTCTATAAAAAGGGTTGAAAATTATAATTCAAATAATCATTTACGAATGAACTACGAAACGGCTACTTGTTGAATTATAATATAATTGCTCTTCATATTTTAGCGAACTAATTATTTGAAACGCTGAGTTATATAATTATACTCGAAACTTATATTTTGTATACCCGAAACTCTTAAATTTATTATTATTAGCCTGCTTAGCAAAACGCGTGCGGGGCGTCGCCATGGCAACTGAAATACTTCTCCGCTTATTTGAAATCAGTAACGAAGTACCTTCTTTTGTAAATTTACTACGTTAAAAGTACTTCAGTATGTAAGTAGATAATTTTACACGTCAAAAGATATAACAAATAGTTTATATAAAAAGTAAAAAAGCAAACACAATTTTACAAGAACACGTAAAATGAGAAATCATAACAATATAATATTCGAAAGTACGGTCCTCGGCCCTCTCTCCAACTCGACGATCTGAAATAATAACTGCGTCGGACAAAGGGCTAGGAAATTCTGTCGGCAATTTGAGATTTGACACGCAGTAGGGTTTATATTAGTACTTTATCTTGATTCAAATGTCACTCGTAGATGTGGCTAACACCTGTTACCGTTTGTTGTTATAATGCATTTCCTATTTCGAGTTAGTCAAAGGAATAACATGACTTGGCGTACTCTTGGTTTTACGGTTCTCTTTGGCAAAACCAAGAATTTTCCACAGAGGTAAATCGATACGATGCACTTAGCTTAGTTAACCCCTGTCAGTCCGCCTCGCCGATTCCTTTTGCGTTATTGGAAGACCCGAGTTAAATTCGCTTGGTCTCTCGCTTGCGTTAACTGAACAATTTTATACGAAAGCTTTGAGCTATGCAATTGGCATTACAGTTTTAATTGTCGTTAATATGAACATATACTCAATATTAATCAAATATCGTTGCGTGTTATGTGGACCGTGGATCATATTAGAACTTCGTGGACCAGTCCCATAGACGTACTGGGTTCGAATCCTGGGAAAACGAAAGTTTCTATAACGCAGGGCACGAAGCCTGAGAGCTGAGTCTTGTCTGTAATACTTCTAATTGTCTTAAATAAAATAGACCACTATTTCAAACATAAATAAGTGTAATATGCGAATCAGTTTAAATACTTCTATTTACAAAAGATTCCTTCACAGAAGTGCTTTTAAGTAATGAACTTCTTATAAACGGAGCAAAACACTTATAACCCGAGTTCTTGTGTACAAAGAAGCTGATATCCAGTTTCTAAGTGCTCATTGTAACAGCTCACAATGGAACCGTTGCCGTGGCGAAGGCCGGTCTACCTCTGCATAACGACTGCATTATCACATACACTCCTGCTGTGTCCATTTCTCGAGTCAATTCGGACTCAAATTTTCTTACGCTATTTTGCGGTTTCAATATTTTGACGTATCTGAACTTTTATACTTTACTAGCTCTGTCAGCGACTTGTACTCGAATGGTCGTTTTGGGCATCCAAATTTGTTTTTGCAAACCTCTACATTTTTATAAATTTAAGCTGCCCACGTCATCGGTCGCGTCCCTTCGCTCGCGAACCGTCGAAAAAGTCTTAAGAGATATACATATAGTGTCGCGGACATTTTTTCAGATTATTTAAAGAGGAATCATTCCTCTATGCACAATTTTTGGGTGTCTTGAACCGTTTTCGCAGCGTACGCATCTAAAACCCAAAGAAACATTCCCCGGTTTTGTCTTAATTTCCCGCTTTTTTTTTTATTGTGACAGCGAAATGCCTAAACATGTCTCCCGTAATGCGTAGTTCTTGAGATTAGCGCGTTCAAACAAACAGACACTTTAGCCTTATATATTAGTATAGATAGATTTTAAAAATATGCAAGAGTTCTCTATATAATATAAAAACAAATCAAAACGCGTCTCAGTAATAATAAAACTATGTACCTACTAATTTCATTATTATAAGTAAGCAAGAAACTTCCAATGGTTCGAATGGTTGTTATAATTGTCATATTATACGTTAAAGACTTTAACCACATTAAACGTTTAAACGTCGCCGCCCGCCGCCTGGTTTCCTGACCGCAAAGTATATATTTATATTAAAGCATAGAACACGATCAATTAAAATAAGAAAAATTAGTCTGTCAATAAAAATAGTATGACAGACAAGCTCGATTCACTTGATGCGAGGTGGAATAACCCTTGCCATATAACATCTAAATGCATTGTCGACCTTGCTTTGGATATTCGGAAATCGCCTGAAACCGAAACGCGATTAAACTTGACGGCTTTTCCATTTTCCATTCCATTTGCTTCGTGATCCGGAAGGAATATTGATATTCCCATCAACCATTTAACATTCAGTATCCAGACTAAGTGCAATACGTTTCAAAAATATTATAAATTAATCAAATGTTGAGCCCTGTGCGGATCGAATCCACAATCCGTTGATTATTTATTAGCCATACATTGCTACCTACATTAAATAGTCCACCAATGATGTTCTTGTAGCGAGTAGTACAAAAATAAAATAATTTAACTACGCGACACATTTCAGTTAAATTTGTAAACTTTGAATAAATATTTGTTAAAGTAAACATTATTTTATTTCGTCTACTTTTTCTTTTCAGAAACCAACAGAGCCGATTTGATAGAGCAGGAACGCTGGATCTGTATACATTTGGCGTTTAAGGTAACGCTTCTTATATTTTCGTAAAATATGAAATTGGTTCGAAATACAAATATATATCTGTCATAGCAAGTAGTTAGACAATCTATTGATGCTATGTACACGAAAGCAAGGATTCGGATGTATCTGGTCACGAGAGCCCAAGAAAAAATAGCGAGGCCAATTAAATGATAAATGGTTACGTAAATGTGGGACAGCATGTCGTCACTGTTAGTATCACAAGTGCTGCTATTATCGGCAATCAGACGATCGACCTTGCAGCTCGTTGTCGCGCAAATCGTGGGGAGCTTGATTGTCATCCTCCATTCCGGCATCCGCCTTACGTGCATTCTGATTATATAATACGCAAATGTGAGACGCGTGTCCCACCGATGACGTAAAGGTTATCTTTAGTTCGTGTTGGTAATAATTCCACTAAACACTATTATTATAAACTCAACGCCACATCCGCGTAGTGCGATTTTGGGCGTCAAATTTGTTTTTGCTAACCCCATAACTCTATAAATTTAAGCCGCTACTCACGCCTTCGTCAGCGTCCCGTCGTTCTTGCAAGTTACATTTTTAAAGATTAATACTGTCGTGGAGGGTTTTTTAGATCATGTAAAGAGTAATTATTTTATCATACATATTTTGGTGACGGAGACTGCGGTAAAAACAATAGTGACGTAGGGACTTGGTTTGGACTCTTCGGAGACAATAGTTGACCAGAACCACTTAACACACCACCAACCTGCAACGGTGCTTTCGAGAGAGTCCTGGATACACGTTTGTACGACTCTAAAGCTCCTAATTTGCCGTCTAATATTTCTCATATCCTAACATCCCTTGCAGAGATAGGGGTGGAGAATTTTGTGATCAACATTTTATGTGAACTGATCCCCGACCCGGCCTGGTTTGAGGTAAAAGCGGATTAAATATTTATTCTAAACAAACAGTGTTTTATCTCGAAAATCTGAAAACGTCACGGGCTGAGGTTCCGAAGATAATTAATTGTTGGTGTGATTGCAAATGTTTATTCATAGCGATCACATCGACCAACCGGACGGATTCATGGTCTCTACCCAAACTAACGGTGAATGGTAACAAGCGTGATATGCCACCATAGTAAAAGTTACAATATAAATTATTTACTTTATCCTTTAAAATTTATCACCTTGATGGATTGGCTTTGCGGTATCTGCAGTCTGAGGACTAAGAACCATCGCGTGATCCATGGCAGTCGGATTATATTATACTTAAGTATTGCCTGTAGTTCACGCGAGTGGTACGGATTAAATTGAACGGTTTAAAACACGAAATTAGTTAATTGCTCTATACCTAGCCGTAGAAACTTTTATAGGCAATTCGAAAGAATAGTGGTAGTGATTTTATGGAGTAATACCATACAAAATATATAGTAGAAAAAAAAATCGATTATAGAACCAGCAACATATTATAGCGCAATATAGTGCAATAATGTGCAATAACACGTGAAAATATTAAAATTCATAGATATAAAAATTCGTTATATTCATACTTAGATATTACGAGTTAGGTACAATCGATTTGTTTTTTGCGACAGCGATTCTCGTGCTATATGCATGCGTTATTATCAATTTAGAAATAAATAGGGCATAATTCCCACGATGTTGGCTAGTTATGTGTTTCGCGCTAGTGCGTACGCAGCGCAGCGGTCCGCGACATAATGCATATTACGCAAACTTTACGACAACATACAGAAATGTTGAATTGTCTGGTAAAAATTTGCACAAATTTAACAGTTAATGTGCAAATAAGAGTATCGCCTCCGTAGCGAAATGGTTCAACGGTTGCCTAGCATTGCGTTTAGCGCGAGAGGTCCTGGGTTCGAATCCCGGGAAAACAATAGATTGTTTTGGTCGGGCAGAGCACAGAAGTCTGATCAACTACTTGCCGACTACTAACTACTAACTAAAACAACCGATCCTTGAAACGAAGACAAAGATGTGTTCACCCCCACACCCCACGAGGGGAAAATAAATTTCATTATGCAAATAAGAATTTATTTGGCTTTGCAACGTTTGTTTAAAATCATAATTGTTTGTCTATTGCATAGATAGGAACAAATAAAACTCATATGCCTATAATCTATGGCATACAATCTTCCAGTCAGTAATATTAGCTGGTGAAAGCTATTATTCTAAAGATGCTATCACCTACAAGTAATTGCGTTTATGTACATAACCCATCTCATCCGAGGCATTATAGAGAGTATTATTATAAATCCAGGTCAGCTATGCGCTAGGACAGTTACATGACTATAATACAGATTGTTACAGCGCAATAAAATACAATAAAAGGTACCATATAAAGAAAAGTGAATTTTAAAACAAAAGCGAAAATCAAAACGGAGAATGACTAAATATATAGGTTAGTCTACAGCTCTAGAATCTAGATTGTAGAGCCTACAGGGTCAAAGGGAGTCATTAAATTAACTCGATTGTCTAGGCACTCTAAAGTTGCCCCCACTAGTTATAAGCAAGCTAAACATAATATCTGGGTTAAAAGCCCGGCTGTGTCCAACAGGGACTAGCGACAAACGAAGCTTTTAATTACTTACATTTCACGTGGATATACTGTCTATACTAATATTATAAAGCTGAAAATTTGTTTGTTTGAACGCGCTAATTTCAGGAACCACTGGTTCGAATTGAAAAATTATTTTTGCATTGGTTAAAACATCAATCAAACTGCAATCAATAGAAGCAAAGAAACAGTGGGAAATGTGGAACAAGATAATAATCCTTTTAAATGATCTAAAAATGTCCGCGACAGCATATTATGTCTACCCTTTAAGAATTATTTGCAAGAACGATGGGAAGCGAGGTCGTCGTAGGTAACAGCTATTTGTTATAAAGATGACTTGGAGATTTGCAAAAACAAATTTTAATGTCCTAAATTCCACGCGGACGAAGTCGCTGACACAGCTACTTTTATAATAAATAAGAAAAAATATTTTTAACAAAATTATGCAGAGCAACAGCGCAAAACACTGACGTTGCCGGTTCAAGTTCTGCCCGAGTCGAAATTTTTTTCAATTTATTTTCGATTTTTAATTTAAAACTGTGATTATATATTTATAAGAACCGAATATTCTATTTTAGTAAAGTCATATTTATAATACAGGTTAATTAGGTCTTAAAAAAAAGGTCTTATTAACGTACTAATTTCAGCAAAGGCCTAAACTAAATACGTAGAATTAGGACGGATATTAATATTTCATCTGAAAATCAAATATGGAATGCCTTGTACGTATATCACTGTTTTGTCTTAGTTAATTAGTGTGACTGATTAGTCTTTGTGTGGCTGAACGGTGTGTTGATGCACGGCGTAGAGTTCACAATGACATGTCTGTAACCGAATATACCCCATCTGTCACCTGGAGTACTGCGTGTGGAGTGAAGTGATTCATTTCTATGAACAATGAGAAGTTCTGACTGTTAGATGTCATAAAGTTTTCTGCGCATAAGTAACTGTACAGCTATACTAATATATGACTTGAAATACATATCTAAACCTGCTAATCTGATGGATGAACGAGGGGTCTAATAAAATGAATGTTGATAACCAATTAAAATAACACGTTTTAATACATGTGATATAGCGTAGGTAGAGCCGTGGGGCGCCTGTAGTATTTACAAAAACGTCGCATTCGTTCCCCTAGTTTTATATTAGGCAATGCACAATTTTTACCTAGTTCGTTAAATGAAGAGTCGAGTGGAATGGGGAGGTAACCAACAAGAGATTTCCTTCTTTTATTAAAACGATGTTCCCCTCATGCACCGAGCGTTAGACAAGTGTCTGCCGCCGTAGACCATAGTTTTAGAAATTCGAGTCATAAAAATACATAGTCTGCTGTTTCTTGTACTTCAGTAAGTTATTCAAGTTCAACATTTTACCGTATGTAATTAATACTTAGTGCGTATAAGCACCTGTCTGACCTAATTTCCTTCCGTTGAGCACGTGTGATTCAAATGAACTCTGCAGGGAATATGCTGGTTTTTACTTGTTGCAATGTAATCCGATTGCTCATATGCCTGGTGAGTTCATGACGTCACAATGTCATGTCGTCAGACAGTAGGTATTACAGAGATATGTATTTATGTTTCCCTCCTGGAACATTATAGGTATAATGAAAATCAGTAGCGCGCAGCGATCTTTTATTACAATAATTCGTTTCACGTTTTAACGGTTCTATTATTGTAAACACAAGATAAACAAAGTGCAAAATATTACTAATGTTATATACGAACCAGCAATAACCATCAATTGTATTGCTTTTAAAATAGTAAAACATCGATTCTTTTAAAAGCTTGCACGGGAGGTAAAGGGCGGGCCGCCCTGCACTAGTCGATAACCATTAGTCTACTCGTAATACAGTACTTTGAAATGTTAGATAACATGTACATTGTACATGTTTACCTATTGCTAAAACACATTGGTGATTAAAATCACATTAATACAATCGAGGTAACGTAAGATTATAAAACAAGTTGTCTAGTGTCGAATTAAAATGTCAATAAAGCCAACGTTTAAGGTGACTTGTACATTTAATCTTGCGATTAAATTTAAGCAGTCTTGATAGATAATGTTTATTTTGTAAGATTAACGTATTAGCGCCTCGTTGTAGTATATAAAACCCTGTATTTGTTATTCGTATCGAAATGTTTGCAGAGTAAGGGTATATATTTAAAATATACTGTATAGATTCTGCGCGTTCGAGTTTCAACCCTCTTGATTTACGACACGAAGTTAGGGTAGATAGGTTATTGCATTGCAATTTTTCCTTAGTTGCTATACTAAAGTACCAATTCAACAGTCTACCAGTACTGAGAATAATGAGGGCAACTATATAATTACAGTATAAATACCGTACGGTGCGTTCATAAGATATCTGTTATATATATGAACTAAATATAGTACATACATAATATATTACCTATTGCTTTTTTGTGTTCTATATTCAAATTTTGTAATATAAAGTTACGTTTAAATAAAACACTTTAACGGTTTACAACGCGATATATAAGTTAAACTAATTTAATATCGATTCTCTAAGTCTCCCGTTACCAGTGTTTTATTTAAATTGTAACGTCGCCGATTAAAAACTACAAAAAGTTTAACTAAAGTAACGATTATACAAAGTAACGATTTTTGGTCTAATGTACCTAATTATTTTTATTATTGTCCACAGGTCGCAATCATGAAGAGAAGTAAAAGTGATAAGAGTAGTATGTGGGTCATATTACTAGCAACTACTTTAGCCGTCCCAGTACTGGGTGATGCTGGAGTCGGTTTATTCAACGCAAGATTAAAACAAATTGTCACATCCAGTACACTAAAATGGGCCACATTAAAGAAGGAAGTTATGGACAACTATGTTATTGGTGCCCACGACGAGATAGGTAACATTTCTTACTTACTTTATAAATTTGCCTTATAGATCTTTCTTTGCAGCTCTATTAACCTTAGCGTTATTTTTTAGCTGCGCCTATATACCTTTGCCGAACAAGACACGAAGGTGACATGTTACTTGGACAGCTGAGACCAAATTATAACTCATGCGCAGTTTCTACGACCAAAAGTTATGATATATTCGAGGTTTTGGAAAACATTGAAAACGCCTCATTAATAATATGGAAACCGTGGTACAAGTTTAATGCGAAACCGAGCGGTGCCGTTGCCGTAGATTCGTCGCTAGACTCCACCTTCGTAGGCCGGATTAAAGCTAACGGCGAGGTCACACATAACATCGGGAGAATTAATTACGAAAGCACTGTCGGAGAACTTATTTCATTCGACGACGAGAATAATGAATTAGTAGAAGATAATGGTGAAATATTAATAGAAGTGGAACCGGTCAGTTATAAGTTGGAAAATGTAGAACTCGATTTAGTGACGCAACACATACGACAAACCGATCCACAAGTATTCGAAGAGAGGGTTTTAAGAAACGATGATGACGTCGCTGCTACAGTTACCACCGAAATCGAATATAAATTTAATTACAGTCTCTCTTGGGGTCACGGACACGGCATTGCCATCGGTCTCAACACGACCATAGAAATGAGCGACGGAACAGAATTCCCGCAAATCGAATGGGCTAATCCATATAAAGACGAGAAGAAGGAGCTATACAAAATAGAAATATTTTTGGAGCCCGGAACCGCTTGCAACGTTACGTTTAGGGGAAATAATACCGTTCGTGATGTACAATATACCGCCAAATTGACAACATTTTATAAAGACAATGTCGCGCGATCGAGGCCAATAAGAGGTGAACGAATCGAAAATACAGTTGAAGTTGAGGCTCTTTACGGTGTAGTCTATTATACCGTTAATAATACCCTGGTTCCAACTACTACAACCACAACTACAACAACGACGACGACGACTACAACGACCACGGTTATCCCACCCTTACCACCATCAGTAGAAAAGAATGATATCGGCATGATCATGGACAGTAATAGTATATTAGACGAGAGTAGTGAGGAAATTGTAAAAGGGTCTCAAGAAAAAGAAGATAACATTAACAGATCGGTTGTGGGAGGTTTGGGAAGTAATCCCAACAGTGGTAACAAGGTTTTAGTTACATTGCTTATGCCTTTCATTGGATTGTCACTCACATTGTTTTAGAGTAAAGCTTGACATTGTATTGTAAAAAGTAATCGAGATGTTCTATACTATTGCTTAAATATGATAGAAATGTGTATTACAAATTTTTAAGTACCCATACCTAACCTTCGTAAATAATGTACCAGTTATTAAAACTGAATGTACATAGTATATAATAGACCATACTACGATATTCTAAATACATTCCTGATAAACTTTTTCCATTCCATTGTTACTAAAAGAGCCAAACACGAGTACGCATGTAAATATATCTTGTAAATATATAGTTAATTAATATAATGAATATGTCGCAGAGCGGCTGTACAAAGGATGCTAGAGATCGCGATCATTATGTTTGTTCATTCGTTACCAACACCATGCTTTTGATTGCGTTAGAGGAGAATATTCATTTTATAATACTAAAAAGTTATATTACGCAAATAAATTAACTATTTAGCATTTATTACGAAAGAAAATTATTTAGATGCCCAAAACATAACTACATTTATTATTTAATTTTGAATTATTATTACAAATATAGCTGAATGCTGATGTCTATGTTAAGAATGCCTAAACATACCCAATCGCATTTACAGATTAAATTGTTACGATAGAAACATGACATATTTTCTTAATACATATTTATACTTCGTAATTGTAGCGGCGTTAGGATTTTATTTATTTTTCTTTTCTATATAAAAATAACAACTAATTTATGATATCAAATTGAATAAGTATCAACAATTTTAATAAAACAAAATAAATCATATTTTTACGACGACATTTAAATTCACGAAAATATGGTTTTGCAACGTAGCTTAGCAATTATTGTGTATGTGTAAAAGATGAATAATATTTTTGTATGGGCGAATAGCGTAATCATTTATCTATAAAAATCATTTCATATTGAACATTCTTTTGGCCTACGCTTAATACCACTGTCAGTATTGCGCCGAAAATCTTCATATATGTAGTATTATAATACATCTAATTAGACTAGGATCAGAATCTCATCAATTTATTGTAGAAAATAATCATTATCCCACCTAGAGTTTATTCCTAAGTGTTTAGAATTATTGATTATATTGTACCTATGTCTTTGATGTTATTCAAGTTCAATTTTTTCTATCTTACTTCCCTAAATCTCGTTGTATTATATAATTGATTGAAAATTATATTAATTGATAATAACGTAAGAGCTTCTATTAGATAATCATTTTTGTGGGAATTTGCTTCTTTCTACCTTAGATAGAAAACTGTCGTTAATTTAATATCTGTTAATACTGTGTAAGTAGATATATTCTATAAAGAACTTATGACATCTATATTGTTTTGCGAAGCATAATTATTGTGATGTTCAATGTCAGTTTTGTTTTCAATCATTAAAGTGTAACTGATACTTATGCCTTTGATTACAACTCTACATAATGTTTAATAAAAAATTTACTTATCCTCGATTGATCTTAAGGGATTTTCAAGTTAGTTGTGGAGTAGTGCTATACACAGAAGTAAATACTTAATTAAAGAAAAAAAATACACGCACAGTGAGTTTTTGGCCCATTCCACACTTACTAAAATGTATGTCGTAGTTTTAATAATGTATGCCACCATACCGAAATATTTGTATTTACATCTAACGTAGTTTTGGTTTAATACCCAAATATTGAAATAATCCAATAAGTTAGAAACTCACGTAATAAAGTTTGAAATATTATTTTTCACATGTTAAAGGGTCGCGCTCGTTTCAATACAAATTAATAACTACATATATTGAGATAAATGCCCAGAAGGCTCTGATAGACTATGTAGGTAGAAAAAACAAAAAGGAGAGACAAATAAACAATTCCTGTAGACTAGCGAAGCCATCATTTGACTTATACATACCTATACGCTTAAGATATTCAAAGCTCTAGGCCATATAAGCCATCTTTTCATGAAAGTGTTCAGTTTCCCGAGGACACGTTTTAGCTTAGGCCAGCTCAAAAGAGTCTCTTTAATTATTCCTCGCATATGAAGGGACAATTTTTCAAAAGGGCTTACTCACTCACCCGAGATTTCTTTTTCTATTTCCTCTTTCGCAATCAAGAGAACCCTTCTTACTCCCCTTGCGTTTTTTTGCGGGAAAGATGGTTGCAATCATTACTAGTACAATTAAACGTAATTAAATTTAATTTAAAATTATATACACTCTCCAAAATAATTAAAAAACATAAAAAAGTTTGGGCTCGTCCGGGATTTGAACCCGGGACCTCTCGCACCCTAAGCGAAAATCATACCCCTAGACCAACGAGCCAGATACAAGAATAATTCAATAAAGAATATATTTTTGGCGAAATACTTTCAATATACAATCAATGTAATAATGATGTTATAAGCATATTTTCTGGTTTAAACGGATTGTTAGTATACAATTTTAAACCGTTGTCTTTTTTTTCGTATTACAAGGCTCCTACAATAATTAGGTATCAGAAATATTGTTTACAATTAAATATTTTATCTCATCTAGTTATTAAAAATAAATAAAAAAATAAGTTAAAAAGTTTGTTCTATAAAAATAGAATAAAAACAAGACCGGGCTCGTCCGGGATTTGAACCCGGGACCTCTCGCACCCAAAGCGAGAATCATACCCCTAGACCAACGAGCCACATGTAAGGTTAGTTAATTTAGTGATATGTAGGTATATGTATGAAATTTCTCTGTATTTGAACAAATATATAAAAACCGAGAAGTACAACGTAAGCTACGAATTAGAACTCGTATATCCTCATCATTTCTGACAATTGTAATAGGCTAAATTCCAAGGAGCATGTTAAATACAATTACAGTTTTTCGCACTTCTAGAACAATACGGATAGGAAAATAGTGAATTAAGTTCATACATATTAAACTCACTCATTAATTAAGGTAATAGTAAGTAATGGCTATTCTTAGAAAAGTTATTTAAAATTGAATAATTTAAAACAAAAATACGGTATTGTAAATATTGCAATAACGCGATATTAAAGAACACAAAATATTGTGTAATTTTTTTTAATATATCGCATTTGATTTCAAACATAACTCAAAACTTGGTGTAAGCGATATCTGTTATTTAAACGTAGTACTAAATTCACTTAAAGAATATTTGTTTATCTTAGTATAACTACTCAACAATAGATGGCGCTGTAAAAAATGTTTCATAGAATTCTAAATGTATGCAACATTATCGTAAAATTATCAGAAATTTTAATTTTATAAATAGATAAAATATTGAACACTCTGCCTGACATTTTATGGCATGTATTAAACGTTAATATTTAAATACTGCACTGAACATTGATACTTACCCATTACCCCTAACTGCTGAGGTGAAAGTGGAGCAGCATCTCCACCACCAGAACCAATTGATCCAGAGGCCATTGAGAGCCTCTCACTAAATCCTAAGGGACTACTTCGACCACCACTGCTAGCCACAGATCCCATACCTTTGAGTTGAATGAAATTAATTAGTTATGAAGTACAGGGGTAAGTACAAAGATTATGTTTTTGGTGTTTAAATTCACCTCCATTAGGACTTCTCATTCTAGATAAACGTTTGTTTATAGCTCTTTGGATTCTAGGATTAAGAATGGGTTTCACTCTTTTTCTTGCTAAATATCTAGATAGCACTCCGACAACAATTGCACTAGTACCGGCTACTCCAATACTCCACAGGATCACCTGAAACAAGTTTCTGTTGTAATAAAAATTGTTGATTACTAGAAATATTTAAAAAGAAGTCTAACATTTTTACTAATTTGAATTTTACTAAATTTTAATAAAGTTATGCATATAGCATAATGTCTTTAATAAAAATACAAGGCAAATAAATAATATATGTGTAGGTTAGCAACTTCCAAAATGTTACCTTTTGAGAAGTAGTTAGTTGGATCCTGAATGACAATGCTTGCTGGAACTGCTTAATTTTGTCCAGCAATGGACTAACTTGTATTATATGCTGCATAATGATTGTACTACTTATTTACAATCAAGGTCTAACCTTGTACTAAAGTCCACTCTTGTAATATATGTGTCTTTTTATTATTAAAATGTGAATAAGGTTATATTTAAATGTTTTGTCTTAACACAAATTGGAGATAGCACTTAAACTACAACTGAAGTATAATTTATGGTTCAATATGTTTTTAATTTAAAAAAACATTGTACTATTTAAAAATTACACAATCACCTTAAAAACGCATTTTTGTGAATAATTGTAACTGACAATACTAACAATTGTTTATTCTGTTTACTTAAATTTCCCGGACATACTACAGACGTATAAAACATTAAAGATTATATAAATTAATAATCGTGTGTGGATTAAACAGACTATAATTTTTTACGTCTGTGTTCATTATCGATTTTGAAAAATTAGTGGTGAATCTGTGTATTTCATTTCTATGATCTATCGAAAAGCAAAGCGCCAGTTTAATCCAAAGGTGCATTTTGTGAAAAACACCGCTTTAACCACATATTTCATGTTTGATTGACTAGCAAGCTTTCGTAGAAAACTTTTACGACCTCAATATGCCAGTTTTAGATGGGAAGGAAATTGAAATCTTCTTTGTAAGTAGAAATAGTGTTATTATTGTTGAAACGCTATGTTTTCAATATACAAATTAGGTTGTATTTCATTCCAATTAAATAGAACAAAATCCTTAATTACTTTTGTCGTAAAACAGTTTTGTAAATACTTCTTTCAATTTTACAGAGTGAAGAAGACTTACCATATGAAGAAGAAATTTTAAGAAACCCCTTCTCGGTAAAACATTGGCTTAGATATATAGAGCATAAAAAAGGAGCCCCTAAACATGAAATAAATCTTATTTATGAACGAGCTCTCAAAGAATTACCTGGTTCTTTTAAACTTTGGTATAATTATCTTAAGCTTAGGAGATCTCAAATACGAGGAAAATGTATTATAGATCCATCATATGAAGATGTAAATAATTGTTTTGAAAGATCTTTAGTTTTTATGCATAAAATGCCAAGAATTTGGATGGATTATTGCACTTTCTTAACAGATCAATACAAAATAACTGCCACTAGAAAAGTTTTTGATAGTGCTCTACGAGCTTTACCTATAACTCAGCATCATAGGATCTGGCCACTATACTTAAAATTTTTAAAGAAACATGACATTCCAGAGACTGCTGTACGTGTCTTTAGAAGATACCTTAAGCTTTGTCCAGAAGACACAGAAGAATATATAGATTACTTAATATCTATAGATAAACTAGATGAAGCTGCAGTAAAGTTAGCTCAAATTGTAAACAATGAAAACTTCCAGTCTAAGCATGGGAAATCTAATCATCAGCTTTGGAATGAACTGTGTGAACTTATATCTAAAAATCCTGATAAAATTCATACGTTAAATGTTGATGCTATTATTAGAGGAGGGTTGAGACGTTACACTGATCAGTTGGGTCATTTGTGGAATTCTTTAGCTGACTATTATGTTAGGAGTGGACTTTTTGAAAGAGCTAGAGATATTTATGAAGAAGCTATACAAACTGTAACAACTGTGCGTGACTTTACTCAAGTATTTGATGCCTATGCTCAATTTGAAGAGCTTAGTCTAAGTAAAAAAATGGAAGAGATTGCAAAGAAGTCCAGCCCTAGTGAAGATGAAGATATTGATTTAGAGTTAAGACTTGCAAGATTTGAGTATCTAATGGAGAGGAGATTGCTTTTACTTAACTCCGTTTTATTAAGACAAAATCCACATAATGTTGCCGAATGGCACAAGAGAGTGAAGTTATATGAGAAAAAACCTCATGAAATAATTGATACATACACAGAAGCAGTTCAAACTGTAGATCCGAAATTGGCAGTTGGCAAACTGCACACACTCTGGGTTGGTTTTGCAAAATTTTATGAAAGTAATGATCAAATTGAAGATGCACGAATGATTTTTGAAAAATCAACTCAAGTTAACTATGTGAAAGTCGATGACTTGGCCTCAGTATGGTGTGAATGGGCTGAAATGGAAATAAGACATGAGAACTATGAGGAAGCGTTAAAATTAATGCAGAGAGCCACTGTACTGCCAAGCAGAAAGGTTGCATATCATGATGAAAATGAAACTGTACAAATGAGATTATATAAATCCTTAAAGGTGTGGTCAATGTATGCTGATTTAGAAGAAAGTTTTGGTACTTACAAATCATGTAAAGCTGTTTATGACCACATAATTGACTTGAAAATAGCTACGCCACAAATAATTATAAACTATGGTCTCTTTCTAGAGGAGCATAACTACTTTGAAGAAGCATTTAGGGCCTATGAAAAAGGCATTGCGCTTTTTAAATGGCCTAATGTATATGACATATGGAATACTTATTTGACTAAATTCCTGAATAGGTATGGGGGTACCAAACTAGAAAGAGAGAGAGATTTATTTGAACAATGTTTAGAACACTGCCCACCTAAATTTGCAAAGTCAATATTTTTATTGTATGCTAAGTTAGAAGAGGAGCATGGCTTAGCACGACATGCAATGTCAGTATATGAGCGTGCCACAACTGCAGTACTTCCTGGGGAAATGTTTGAAATGTTCAACATCTATATTAAGAAAGCTGCTGAAATTTATGGAGTTCCAAAGACGCGACAAATATACGAAAAAGCGATCGAGTCTTTGTCAGAAGACCATTCGAGAGAAATGTGCGTTCGTTTTGCAGAAATGGAGACACGACTTGGCGAAATTGACAGAGCGAGGGCAATATATGCTCATTGTAGCCAAATGTGTGATCCAAGAATTACAGCTGACTTTTGGAATACATGGAAAGAGTTTGAAGTAAGACACGGAAATGAAGATACTATGCGTGAAATGCTTAGAATAAAGAGAAGTGTTCAAGCAACATATAATACACAGGTCAACATGATGTCTGCTCAAATGTTAAGTTCTGCTGCTCAAGCTGCTGGTACCATATCCGACTTGGCACCAGGAATGAAGGATGGCATGCGGATGTTAGAAGCTAAAGCAGCAGAAATGGCTGTTCAAAATAAAGGCAATATTATGTTTGTTAGAGGAGAAACCCAAGGTCTTAAGGATAGTTCTGATAAGGTTGTAAATCCCGATGAAATTGATATTGACGAAGATGAAGACTCTGATAACAAAGAGGAGGATGAAGATGACAATGAAATAGCCCCTGTTGAAAAGAAAGAAATACCAGCTGCAGTATTTGGAAGTCTCATGGCTGAATAATATATTTTTAATCAAATAACCACTGTAGATTTTTTTATTGATATATTTAAGCAAAAATTTACAATAACTCTGGTAACAAGCTGGTGAATCTATAACATGTTAGTAGGTTTTTTGTTAATTACATCAATAATCAAGATGATAAGTTTTTTACATGTAATTTTTGATAGTTCAAGCAATAATTTCTATATTACATGCCTTGGTGTTGTTATAAAATGTAGAGAATTTGAATACAGATTTAACTGTTCGGTATTATTTGCTTTATTTATGTCATTATGAACACCACCAAACATAATCAATTCTCCGTTGCCCTTAACTAAAGAATACATAACTAGCTCCTCAGGTGCACCACTCATTTCACCTAATCGTGGGCACAACCAAGATACATAATTCATTGAATTTCCATTAACCACAGTAGAAATATCTAATACATGCATAGTCAATGTATTTCTTTTTATCTTCTTTATAGTTGGTTCTTTTTGGTCATTCTGACCTTGCAAGTTTCTTGCTTCTAACCTATTTTCTAAATGAGCAATTTGTCTTTGATTAATGAAATTGTTTTCTGGTGGTGTATTATTTTGAGTAGAATCACACGCAAATGCAGCCATTCTATATTTATTAGCCTCTTGTAATTGACGGACAATTTTCAATCCTTTGTTCTGAAATTAAATACTTGTCTTAAGTACAGTTTAATTGTTTTAACTTAACAAGTTGAAAATATTCTTTAATCCTGCTTTATCATTTAAAATATGATTACCATTTCTGAATTAAAAAAATAAAATAAAATATTTATCCCATACGTAATATGAGATTTTCAATTAAGAGGAAAATAAAAATGGAAAAATGAATTTGTAGTATTATTTGTGTACAAATCATGTTAACAATTTTTGTCCATTGATATCTTGTAGACAACATTTTTAGACCATAACTAAAGTCTTAAAATTGCAGTTAGGCTACTCTGCCTCTAGCGGCCTCATGTATAAGAAATTGACGAAAATAATACGAAACTAAAAAAATTTTTGAAGAGACATACCTTTTCTTTAATTTTTCTTAAAGTTGCATCATTTTTCATTAATCCAATACTACCAGGTTCTTGACTAGAACTTGCAATTTGAATATTATTATTAGACTTTTGATCATTTATATTATGATTGTTACTAGGACCGGGTACCGGTTCTGTATGGTTTGCTCTGTTTATTGGCTGTCTTGGCAGCACACCTCGTCGGCCATTAATATTATGATCTTTGTCTAAGGGCCTTTGCATACTCTGTTCAACACGGACAGCAACTGGTGCACCTTCAGGTCTGTTAAAATTTACTAGTCTCACAGCAGAAGTGACCATTGGCTTAGCTGTATTCCACCCTATTCTACTTCTACTTAAACTTACTACTTTATCTCCGACTTTACAGGCAGGGTTACACCAAATATTTGCAGATGCCCATTCTTTATTCCTAACAGCTATTTCTTTCCAAGTCCAAGTTGGCCCTTTCATAGTTAATATCCAACAGTCACTATAAACAAATCTGTTGTGAAGTGTTTGAACTCCTCCTAACAACATCAATCTATCATCATCCAATTTGATCATAGACTGTGCATATCGAGGAGACGGCCTAGGCTTAGTAGTTGCCTGTTTCCTCCATGTAAGTGTTGTTATATTAAATACCCATACATCATTAGAACATTGAATTTGAAAATTTTGTACAGCTGACATTATTAAACCGCCAAAAACTACCATTTCATCACCTCTAATGCATGCTGAATGTCCTGCCATTGGAGGAGGGGCATTTGTAGCACTTATAAGTATCCATTTATTAGTATCAACACAGTAGAAATGGACATCATTAAACATAGTAACATTTTGATAGTATTGCGATAAGGAAGGATAGGTCCAACCCCCAAAAACGATTAACCAATCCTTATAATATACCATTGTAGTATAAGCTTTTGGTACAGGGTATGTGCCAGTTGCTAAAGGTCGTATCCACTGTCTTTGCGATAAATCAAATCTCCATAAATCATTGAATGAAGTAGCATTAGTAGTACAACCTCCAAATATATACATACTATTTTCTAATATACAAGCGGCGTGTGAGAATCTTTTGGTGATGCTAGGAACAATTTCAGTTGAAACAAAAATTTTCCATACAATGTCAAACTCTCCTATGGCCTTTATTAATTTCATTGTTGTTTTTCTAGAAACATCTGAAAATTAATGTGATATATAATAAATGTGTACTGTGCAGACGCCATTTAAGAATTTAGGTATCTATTAGTAGGCAATATTTTATTTTGTCCTACTCAATTTTTTATTTTGCTCCTATCAAATAAGAACACAATTATAATATGTACTAACTGTGAGCACAATGACACCATCGCTTGCAGACAGTCATACAATTTTGTAAATCTTTGTAAGGTGGTAAAAACCCCAAGATGAATTCAAGAACTTCATCAGGTAGATCTTCGATTCCAATTTGTAGAGTCTGCGACTTTAAAGTTTCATGAATTATTATATCCATTTTGGGATTAAATTATTTCACCGATTCAGATTTCAGAATTTTAAATATAAATATTTTTTCGTTGAACATTATATTTATAATAATCTCGTAACGACATTAAGGAATAAGTCCACTTGGTACCTATTGTTTGTTTTACAATGTTTTTGACTTTTTGTATGTTTATTTTCAAATTTGAATTATCTCTGTGACAATTTTGTGTAGTGACACGACAGGAGTATATAAATTAATGTAATAAATATTAAGTCTATGCATAATATATAAATCCCTAGTAGTAAAAAACAAACACTAAATATACATCGAATAATAATAATATGAAAATAAGATATATTATGTAGTTTTTTTTTAAATATTTTTTTAATAAAACTTGAGTTTCGCGACTGGCTATATGGTAAGCATTGAAGGATCACAATATATTCCTTCAAAAACTAAACACCTTCTATGGTTTCGTCATATTCACAACAACTTTAAGTTACGGATTCCATGCTTTAATTTTATATTCAATAATTATTTTAACACTACAATTCTGAAAAAAATTGGCTAAACGGCAAACATAAAATCCCTACCTTACTACATCTGTGTTCAACGACTTAAACATGACTTTATACTTTATTTGAGTCTACTCTATGCTCAAACCTTAATAATCTATACATCAGGCTATTAAATATTAATAAAATTATAATAATAATAATCTATACATATCTATCATATTGTTAATATAAATGAGCAGTTTGCATTTATTGTTATGCTTTTTATTAAAAACAGAATATTCTAAATTAGGCACGTTTTCGTTTGAACTTATTCATTACTGTTAAAAGTAGTGCCCTGTGATGAATCTATGTACTCAATGTGCCGATGTTGTTTTTAAGACTGATGTTGCTCTTTTATTATAATGTCAAAACAAGGAAAGAGAAAAATCACCGTGGAATTGCCGAAAACTAAAGATTTGTCCAATAGACCAAGTGTTTTTGAGCGCCTTGGTACTAAAAAATCGAGCTCTAGTGGAAAAAAAGTAGCAGATTACTGTCGACAATGGGCTCAACATGGTAGTTGCGCCTATGGTAAGAGTTGTAAATTTGCTTCGACACATACTTTAATAAGTCCTTCAAAACAAAGAGCAGCAAATAAGGATGTTGACCAGAAGCGGCTAAATAAAGATGACGCTAAAAACAGATTGCATTCAACCGTTGTGGTAAGGACTGGACGAAGTCCTGATGCAGAGATAGATAATTGGGACCAAAATGACCTTGAATATGCTGACACAGATGTCCTTGAGAAAAGAAGGCAGCAATTGCAGCGTGAACTAGAAATACAACTAAAAATGGACTCTGGTAAAGACATGGGTAAAGAAAAGAAAAAAGTTGTATCAAGTTCATCATCATCGAGAAGTTCTAGTTCCTCTAGTGCATCATCATCATCATCTGATGGCAGCTCGACTTCTTCCTCCTCTAGCAGGTAATCTTTAAAATGTATAACAGAGGCTTTTGTTAATATGTAACCAATTAAATTAGAAAAACTACACTACGAATTCTGTTTCTACTATAATGATTTATTATTTAAAAAGTGTAGTACGAGTATGCAAATTTTTATCTAATATTGTACAGTCAATCCTTAAAGTTACAATACCGTCTATTTTATTTATTTTGTCTGCAGTTTTTACAGGCTTTTAAATAATATGTTTAAAACGTGAGAGTGAGAATAGTTAACCTATTTTAACTACAGCCTGATGTTTTAAGAAAGTAAAAATTTCAGAACCCTTCCTAAGACTAACACTTGTTTTGATCAGGCATATGCATGTTGCCGTTTTAATTGTTTATACTAAATAAATAATATTAACCATGCCCAACCGCAACTTCACCACAACCTCTCATACTTAAGACAATGCTTAGTAATTGCATGTATTAAGTATTAACATATTAAACCACAGCAGGTGTGAGAGTCAGTGTCAATAATATTTATAATTATTTGGTGCACCGATGTTGTTAATAATGGAAGAATTACTAGATATTGATCGCTGTTTCAGGCTTTGCCTTATTTTTGTATACGGTATTGATTGTTGTGTTTTTAAATTTTGCTTTTGTATTGTTAAACAAGATTCTTACAATATTTATTTGCACATTGCTTCTATTATAAGTATTAAGTAAGACATAATGAAAAGGTCATATCTCATTTTGACAAAATATGTAGTGCAAAAATGTAATTTGGTAAACAATTAGCTCAAATTTCTTGTTTTAATATTCAAAGGGATGCTAAGAAAAAGGCTAAAAAAGCAAAATTAAAAAGAAATTCAAGTTCCTCATCTGAAGGTGATGTTCCTGCAAAGAAAAAGTTACTAAAAACAGATTCTGCAAAAAGGGATAAATTAGAAACTAAAAAGGGTGTTGGCAAGAAAGATGATAGATTGTCAAAAAAGTCAGACAGCCAAAATAAAAAGAAGTCTCTTGCAAAAGCTTTAGTTAAAAAGTCTTTGTCACCACCTAAAAAGTCAGGAGGTACTCCTCCAATAACATCGAAGAGTTTAATATCTAAAACATCTTCAAAAAACATAAAATCTCCTCGGCGAGATAGAAACAGAAGTATATCACCTTCGCATTCAACAAGAGATCGAGAAAAAGAAAGGGATCGTGGGAAAGATAAGGAAAAGGAACGTGATAAAGACAAAGAACGTAGAGCACGTAGCAGATCAGCGAAAAAAGGAAGATCAAGATCGCCACGTCGACATGGATCTCACACTAGAGATATAAGACGTAAAGATAGTTCTGAAAGAAGTAGACCTGTATCTCCAAAAAAACAGACAAGAAGGGAAGGTAGTTCAGATAGGCATAAAAAAAGATCAACAAGTAGAGACCGCGATCGTCGGAGATCTACAGAAAGAAAGAAGGAAAAATATGAAGATAAAGATAGACATGACAGAAAGGACAGAGGTCGGGATCGCAAACAAGACAATAAAAGAGATGATAAGCGCAGAGGTCGGGAAAGAGGCCTTGCTAAAGATAAAGGTTTAGAGAAACCAAATAAACCCATGCAGAGATTACTTCCACGTCCGGAGGAACGACTTGCTGCTCTTGCTGCTATATCCAATAAAGCAGCAGATAGTGATAAAAATTCGAGAAGCACAAAGGAGGCCCAGGAATCGCACCCTGAAAGGGGGCGCACGAAACAGGATAGAATTGAAAGAGATAGATCTGTTAAGCGCGATAGAATAGAAAGCTTGGATCGAGAGCAAGGTGACTATGATATTGAACGACAATACGAACGTGATCGTAGTATAGATCGTTACGACAGAATGGATAATCGTTATGGTAGCATTCCTAGAGATGGGGAAAGGTCACCTGGGTATATTCAAGGAAGAGACAGACATTATGATCCGGGATATGACATGCCTGGACCTTCGAGAGGATATCCAGAAGATGACGACAGATTGTATAGTGAAACTTTGGCAGATCGAGCTGGAGATATGGGTAAGATTGAGATACAATCAACTCAGTTTATTTTAATAAATTTGCTGATACATTAAGAAAAACGTTAAATTTTTATTATTTATTACTACAACTTTAAACACGAATTCACATTGTGCAATTTAAGGATATGATGATCGACGTCCTCTTCGTGATCATTCTTGGGAAAGACGGTCCGGTTCTTTGGACCGAGAGCGGGGTTACATGCACCATAAAGACTGGGATAATGATGATTATCGCGGTTCTGGAGACTGGGGTAGAGATCGTCACTGGCCCATGCACGATGCTCAGGTATTTAAAAATGGCAAAACAAAAGGTATCTCGTTCGATTGCTTTTTATGAGTCAGTCTCGCTTTATTTCCTCGTAGGCTTATTATTACAAGAATTTATACTGGAATGAGCCCATAGATTATAGAACAAGAAATGAAAGAAACTGCCTTATCCTATCCCATATTTTCCTTGGCTGCCTCAGTCCTCATTTTGGTATGATGCTTAATAATTTCTGTCGAGTTTAAATATATCTTCATCGTGTTTATAGCTTTTGTATTGTAGATGAATGAATGGGGTGAAAAGGACCAGGATGTAGAGGGATGGCGTCACCGCGGACATCCTGGCGCTCACCGCAGCCGTATGCATGGTACGAGTATGTAAATATTTCTTTTGCAATTATATATGTATCAGAACTGGCCTAACCGGATTAGTCTTGTTAGGAACACAATTATAATATGAATAAAATGTATGTAGTTATATATTTATTAGATAAGGGTAGATTGGCGTCTGTCTTGTTTAGCCGAGCTATGCTTAACATCTCCTGATGTTGTCGACCAAGAGTAGTGGCAACTCGTCGAGAATAAATTATACATTATGACGACCGTAAGCTCGAAAACAAAATCATATTTTTTTATTACTTTGTATGTTTTATTATATGACGAGATTAAATTTAATTTTTAGAGGACTACAACCGTGGTATGAGAATAGATCATGTACGGAACGAAAGTAAACGTAGAGGGGGGCGAACAGAACCAGAAGCAGGAAAAGATTTACCGGCTCAAGTACCAACCGCTGCACCTACACACGATGACGCTGAAGTTGACGACAAACCCATACCAGATGATTTAAGCGAGATTAGCGATGATCCCGATGATATTTTGGAGCGCGATGATGTAAGTTTTAAGGGATATAAATTTTATATAATATCTGTAACAGGTTGTAGAAAGTCTGCAATGTTGATGAAAATTAACTCCATAATATAAATAACTATAATTATAGGAGTTTATATCAAATAGCTAAATAGAGACAAAAATTATATAATCCTTTCAGATGGTTGATCAAATTCTTGAAGACGATAATCCTAAAGAGAAATTACGTCAAGAGCATCAGCATACCAAACCCGAATGTATGGAAAAAGATAACACACAGGTATTTCATCTTTTTAGTTACACACAAGCTATGATCCAGGGATCACAAACTTATTATATCGTGATAATTATTGCTTTGTAGGATACCAATGGTATTAGTGAAGACAAGGAGTCTCAGGATGGTAAAGATGAAGATGATGCTGCTAATTTAGATTTTGAAGAAATCTCAGATGGAGAATTAGAGGAGGAAAGAACAAGAAGTGAGTCTATAAGACTTTGAATTTCAAAGTATTAGTTATTTAAGATGGACACTCGAATTAAATATTTACCGAATTTATTAAAAAAGAAATACTGTTCAGCGTTTTAATCTTTCAATATATATTTTTCTAGCTGGTTTGGGTGATGCTCTTGGCGTGGACTGGGCAAGTCTCGTAGCTGATGTGAATCGTCGCGAACAGAAACCACCAACAGGTGGCGCACGGGATCGATGGCGACCCGAACGGGTTTTATCCCGACTTGGTTTGTCCTTTAACATGGCCGGGAAAGATAAAGTACAGAGCATCTTGCAGAAAAATGCAGAGTCAATTGAAAAAGGAAATAAGGAGGTCGATGCGAAGCAAGGAAAAGAAATGTTAAATGGCAACGACAAAGATGTACAAACGCCTGATGTCAATAGTCTTCACCCTGTTGCTTCTGTTCAGGTATCTATTCTCTAAGTAAGAAACGTATAACGGTTTAAAACGCTAAATGTATTACTTTTAGAATATCTACGGCCATCTATCTATCCTCATAATTAAATTTATTTACATTCCTTAATTCAAACACCTTTTAACATGTCACTGTTACTACTGAAATTGAAAAATATAATTTACGCGAGTAGTACACATTTAAATAAAACACTTAAACGGGTTATAAACCGTTAAAGTGTTTTATTTACATTTGTAATATAATTCAATTGGGCTAGTGAAATAGTAATACATAGTAGTCATAATCCCAACCATTTTATTTTTATAAGATTTACTCACGCCTAAAAAATATGTTATTTTCTAAGTTTCCCGAAAAATAAAGCATATTTTAAATAAAGAATTGACCAGATGACCATGGCATAAATTTGACATATATTTGTAGGTGGCCATCGATAAGCGGAAACGTCAACGCGAAGTATTATTTGGTTTGGGTTGTGAGATCACTCGTGGGTTAAGTGCGAGGCGCGACCTGGCCCTGCGGCGGTATTTGTGCAATCTGCCTGCTGTAGAACGCACCGGGCAATCAAGAATCACCCCACAACCTTCATTATTCCAAGCTGCACGGGCTTTGTTGCTAGAAGCTCCTGTCAACGGCTGACGAAGAAGTAGGCACTACTACAGTGGAAGACTTTAAATTCGTTATTATATTCAACTTAAAGTAATTGGCTTCTTTATTTTATTGAAATGTAATCTGTAGATTTCCTTTGCATATCTATCGGCTTGGAAATACTAGTGAGGTCCAAACTATTCAGGCTAGGTTTGTGCATTTACATCAATTAGTGCCAAACAAAATATCAACAGCATATTATATTGTTGTAAACAACATATTATTAGATAAAAAGTGTTTTCAAACGTTTATTTAAAGGGTATATATTTTGAATTTGTATAACTGCTTAGTAATGACCTTAGTATCTAATAACTTTATTATAGGAAATATTTACCTGTAAAAGTAGTAGTGATATACAATTAATGCATGTCCATAAATACTTTAATAAATTATACATGTATGCTTAGTAAATACTATTACTCTTAGCAAATAATGTTTCAAAGTTTTTCTTCCAATAAAAATGATACATCTGCTCCAACTTCATACTCTTTTTTTTCCTTATTTCTGAAAAATAAAATTTTAGTTTTCAGAATAAAAAATACTAGTACTTAGTTTTATTCAGGTATATGGCAACAATAGTTTTCCTGCTTTATTTTTTAATATCTAGTAGGCTTATTAGCTGCTACTGCCAAAGTGCATCATCTGCTAGTTCTGGGTTGGATAAAATGTCAGTTTATTATTATTTTTCATTAATAATTTCTAATGTCAGTCCCAAGAATGGAAGTAAGGGAAATCTTTACCCCCTCCCTAAAGAACATGTTGTGGCTGTCAACATGTTAATAGTTTAAATAAAAAATTTGTTTTGTTTTTTTTTTTTTTTTTTTGTTTAACATAGTTAACGTGTGGGCATGGGGTCAACATGTTAATAGTTACCATCTTCGGTCATTTAATTATTGGTGAAATTTAAAACCCCATCTATTTAAGAGCAACCTCTGCCAAAAAATGAGACATTATATATTGAAATGATCAACAATTTATCACCTTTTTTTACTTTAACATTTAATGCAATTTGCACTATAAGAGTAAAAAATATAACTAAATGATTACAAAAATATAACAATAATAAAAAGTTACCTAAAAATAACTGCACCTGCTACACCTTTTATTGTAAACTCGTTTTTATTTACGTAAAGTAAAGAACCTTCTCTTAATCCTAGAACAGAATTTGCATGAGGCATTTCCATATATTCAGTGATTCTTTGATCTCTTGTTTCGCCCTTGTGCTTCTCGCTTTCAACTTTGTCAATGTAATGAGGGTTAATATTAAATGGAACAATTCCAATAGCATTGAAACTTGGAGGGTATATAATTGGCATATCATTTGTAGTGTGGATACTATGTGTCGCTACATTAGTACCAGCACTGCTTCCAATATACACTAAACTTCCATCATCTACTTTCTCCTTTATAATATTTACCAGCTTCTTTTCATATAACCTATTCAATAATAGGAAAGTGTTTCCTCCACCCACAAATATGGCTTTAGCTGAGTTAATAGCCTTAGCGGGATCTTCATATGTATGTAAACCTTTGACAGAGTAGCCCCAAGGATTAATAACATCTTTTATTTTGCTTGTGTAGCCATCAAAATTATTTTGTGCATATGGCACAAAGATAAGCTCATTAACATTATTGCTGAAATTATATTTTAAAAAGTTACACACATACTCTTGTTCGCAAAAATTTCATTAAACTATTTTTAAACTAATGACATTACAGTACAGAGATAAGATCAAAGGTACAAAAGTAGATGCTTTACATACCTATTTAGAAAACTGCAGATTTCTTTTTTCGCAAATTCCAATAAGGAGTATCCATGGCAATTGGAAGATGAAAGCAAAAGAGCTTGCCGTTTAGATTGCATTATTTTTCTTTGTTTTACACCACGGACGATAGCTTGTAACTGAAAAGTAATAGATATTGTATCTTAAAATTAGCATTTATTTATCTAATCGGTTTTATCGGGATACAGTTATTTAAATACTCGGTTGTACTTTATTGCTTTGCTATGAAAGTGAACTGTAATTGAATGTTTACAAACAAGTAGGTATAATATTTTAACAAAGAAGTAGGCATACCTTATATAATATCGCTTTAGTGTTTCTCATTAGCTTATAATATTATTATATTTATATCATGTTTACTCAAATAAAATAATATGTAAAATATTTTAAATTAGTAGAAATCTGTGGATCAAGACTAGGAAATAAAATGATTATATTGCATCTGTGGACGTAACTATACGCCTTAGCATATATGTTTTCTTTTACTTCTTTATAATTATTGTTTTACATAATCATATGTTTCATAAGTGTAAAAGTAACGAAAAAAAAGCGTAACCGTATTTGCTCGTTACAATTACATTTAATACCCGTTACTCTCACATCGTTACGTTACTCGTTACTTCTAATACCTCATGCTATTATACTATCTTTCCTAGACTCGTACAGTAATTTGAAGAAATTATATTACCTTATCTAATATGTACAAAAAATAAATATTCTAAAATTAAATTTCAAGTAAGTGTATTTTAATTAGCCTATTTAAAATTAAAACCAAGAGTAACTCTGGCAACTTAATTATTGAAATTAGTGTTTTTTTATCATTTTCTTCATTCCAATGTGTTTTGACTTTAGTAAAGTAAATAGTAATAGTGCACGCATTAAATGATATCCTTACTATACGACCAAATTGGAGTAACGAAATTTATCCGCTGAAACTTTAATTCCCTGTTAGTTTATAGCCTACCCGTTACTCAATACCTAATACATACGGTTTTTACAGGTCTATTAATTAGGTATTCTTGATCACAGCAAACTACATAATATATTAATGTCATTGTTTTATAAAACTTCAGACAAAATACTGATTAATAAAGTTCATTTTATATTTATAATTTTTTTACACAATAAAAATTTGATATAATCTGTATCTATAATTTATTACTTGTAGGTTTACAGTACATTATTAATATATGAAGCTTAAACGTACAATTTTGATTTTTGTTAAACTCCATTGGTGCAGGAATAAACATTATTGACCATGATTTATATTAAATATACGGTATGTATTAATTAATTTAGTTAAATTTTAAGAATGAGTTAAAATAAAAAATCTCTCTTCGTGAGGTCTTTGGCTCCCTGGTCCAAGATACTGATATCTGAGCTTTAAATCTGGAGGTGATGCAATATTGCCCTGAAGAATATCGTAAGCTTGTTGAATAGTGTCCTCAATCTCTGCCTTCAACTCCTGTAATGTATACATTTTTATTTCTGGTTTAAAAGTCTTAAAACTGTACATATTATGCGCCAAAGAAACAATTATTTTGACCAAGTTAACTTACTTTCAAGTAATGTATACAATAACTACACTTTATTATAATTTTTTGATAGAATGCAAACCTCATACAACTCAGGAGTGCGTCGAGCTTTCTCCGCGAGGGTAGCGTGAAGGTGATATAGCAACAGGCCACGGAGATGTATGTCTCCCAGACCCAGTGCTGTCACTGTGGTCAGAATGTTGCGACACAGACCCTCCTTCAGCTCTAACCGTGATTCCGACAGCTCTAAAATATTAAGAGCATTAATGTTTTTGGTGACATATCATTAAAATGTCACAGCTCTCATAAATAATTTTCAACGATTATTTTGTCTATTTAACGCTTTTAATAAGAAATAGCAGAGCTTGTTAAAATAGATACGAAAATTGACTAATTAATATGTTATCTGTATATTCTCATTTATCATGCTCTCAACACGCAACCGAAACGGATAATTGACATATTTGGCAGCATCACAAAGAGATCTTAAAATGTTGCAAATATGAAACTAGAAGTGATGAAAGGACCTTCCGTAGCCTATGCTAATCACACGGTAACGATCAACAATTATTTAGATATTGATAGCATATTTAAAGCTATTTCAGGAGTTCTATGGTTTATTTAAATTAATATATACGTCTTATATTTAATATACTAACGGCACAGGTAAGCCAATCCACCTGACAATTACGTGTGGACGTGGATTCCTTGCGGCTGCACCCATGTCACAGGTGATAAACTAATCAACAACTCTCGCGCAATTGTTGTATTCGACTTTTATTCACTTGATACGCAGTTAATGCTCGCACTGAGAATGCACTGAACTCACTATACCATTTAGAATAATAAACACACCACGTATGTAATACCTTAGTATATTATTACAAGCATTTACTATACATGTTTTCGAGCAGCATAGCAGCTTTCGTATATGCTTCATTGCAGCGTTAATGGAATTGCGCAGTTTTGTAGCATTTGGTAGATATTCAACAATGACATATTTTAGAAATGTTTTATCTATTGCCAATGGATTTTCCTATCCTTTGTAAAGAATATGTTATCGCTCCGCAGGTATTCAAAATACAATTTGAACACAAATAGCTAATTTAAAGCGAAATATGCTTTCGTAAATGATGATGAAATAAATGTATGTTTGATCTGATACTAATATTGTTAAGTTGAAGAGTTTGATTGTTTGTTTGCACGCATTAACATCAGGAACTACCGGTTCGAATTAAAAAGCATATTTTGTGTTGGGTAGACCCTTTGTCAAGGAAGGCTTTAGGCTATAAAACATCGTGCTACGATACAAAATAAAATATGTATAGAATCATTATTCTGATTTAAATAATTAAAAAAAAATCCGCCACTGTATATGCCTATCTTTGAAGGTTAACTCTCGAGAACCGTTTTCATGGTTATAAACTTTGCCGAACTGCTTCATATGGCAAACAACGTTCGTCTGGTCAGTTAGTATTTAATATAGGTAATTGTTAAAAGTGCCAATTGTCGCCTCATATTTCAAAAGAATATAAAATAGGAATATAAACAGTATGTAAATTGTATGAACATTACGTAAATTAAATTTAGCGTGTATACGTATTAAGAAAGAAAGTCCTTATTAGAAATTAAAATTAATTTTCAATCTTAAAACTTTCTGTAATAAACGTGTTATATGATTTCGAATAATTAATATAAGTTTAAGAATGATTTCTCACCGTGCCATCGACATCCATCTATTTCTCCGAATTCAAAAACAATTCGGCACTGTAGATCTACTACAATCTGATTACTTCTTGGTATATATTTAAATACTCTATCTAAGTAGAACTTCTCTAGTTCTGATATGTTTTTGAAGTTTAACGATCCAATCAGGCTACCGAGAGCACTTTGTATAGCACTGATGTTGCTGTTTGGAACTTTCAGTTTACAAGAAAGACAGCACCAAGCAGAGTTGGGGTTAAGCGGCTCTACTGGAAGGAGTGCGCTTGGGCAACTTGACTCAAAACACTTTAAAGCTGCTAAAAATGTACCCCTTTCAGTCGGATCAGAACATCTTTCACATTTACACCAGAAATGCTTTGTTTTAAATAAATGTAGCCGTCTCGCCGGCGTTCCCCATAATACACCAGAATAACATGTTGTTAGTTCAGTACCGGCTGGTATGGGTTTAACAGCTTTTACTATCATGTGATTATCTTCGTTAAAAGTATGCTTTGTGTTCGGGACACAGTTATGATTCATTAATGATGACACTGGGTACAAGCCTCGTCTGCTCACTGTCTTCCTTCCATAAGGATTGCCAATTTCAAAAGCATTTGCATCAAGAATACACGCTGCTATTGTTATTAATTCCTCTTCGTCTGCTGGTATATCAAAGTATTCGGTCAATTCTCTTATTTCACTTCCGTGTTGAGGACCTGCGTGAGCTTGAAGGGCGTTCATAAATTTTTGCTGATCTGTGTTTAATGACAATATTCTTATAGGAGCGAGGCACCGCGATAGCAAAGTGTCGTTCACATTTTCAATTGGGACTTTGTTGCCCCAACCGGATATGATTATACAATCGTCACTATGAGTTTTACTACTTTGGCACTGGTGTGAGCATAATAATAAGCAGCAATTGTCGCACTGAAAGAGAATCTCACTATCATTTTTACCACATACAGTGCACCCAGTTTGTACATTAGTGCTAGATCGAGGACCGACAATTATCGGATGGTCTACGAAAAGAACTTCTCCCGATCGGATGTCTTCAACGGCAATTAGGCCACGACCGCTAATACCTGACTGACCGATTGTCCATTTATTCGATTGTTCCTGATTATGTAACTGGGTATTTTGATTGAGATGGTCCTTCACAATGATCGACAATTGTTTCAACGATAACATCCTGCCGCTATTCACTCTGTGCCGGCACTACACTGCGCACTCGCTGTGAATATCAACACTAGTTACTCTGATAAAAAAGGCGTTGATCGAATACACATCGCCAAAACGCGAGCCGGCTACTCCGTAATTAGCTAAGTCCGCCCGACTTCCGCGAGATTTACAAGTACCTAGCTCCAGTCGCTGTTTTTACCGCACGAATTTGGAAAAAATACAGAAAGGTGGGTCACTTTATTGAATAATATGTTATGCATTGTCCAAATATACTGAGCGAGTTTGTTTGAAAACGTGGAAGACTTATATAATATTGTGTTATTTATAACTTCTTAGACGTGTATCAGGTAGGTCAAATCATTCTTCAAAGCTATTGGGTATCGATACAAAATTAAACGTTTCCTGGCGTTAGCGAAACAAATATCGCGAAAACAAGAACATTTTTTTTTATAGTATCAGAATTATGGAATTGGTAGCCTTTAAATTGACTGGACGTTTGCCTGGAATTAAATGGCCCCCTGGCTCGGCCTCAGCTTGGCCTATTGCATGCTAAAGATCACAGAATCACAGAAAGTATATTGTAAGTCTTATTATCTGACGAAATTCGATAAGCTCTAAAGAGTAAGCAATGAAGAATTCTGTTGCGTTCGGAATGTTATTCTCCTACGTAACTTAATACGCACCCTTTGTTCCAAAGCTAGCTCGTCAACTTTACCAGTCTTTACGACCGCTCCTCCCATTAGGACGTGGTAACCGCAAACTCTTTTGTATATTTTTCGTGAAAGTGTTTGTTCTGTATTCGGCAATTAGAATCCCAGACGTCATGCAATCATCGTCGGAGTATAACGAAGAAGAGTGTCCCTGGTATTACTATGACAGTTCATACAAAACTCTTCTCGGGGCATGTCTGATTAGTTTAGGTGAGTAACCGACCTAAATCTTTGACAAATATATAGTGTGATTAATATTACTAATTCGTGTCACTAAATAGATCGTTCTCTGGTTTATCGTCGTTGATTAATGGCTGTGTTGGATTTATTTGAATTTGATTCGAAGAGTGGTAACAGGTGTATTCGGGGTGCTGCTCAACGGTTGGCTCTTTGCCACTTTCATCCACAGTCACCTGTTAGTTTTTAAAAGCCACATTCTCGTACTCAATTTTTGCTCGGCTTCCCTGGGAAGGAACTTGCTCGGATTCCCTTTTGCGGCTTCATCAGCAATAGCAAGAAGGCAAGTTTATATAGCAACAATATTAAAATTAATTTTTTTTTTGTAAAATTTTATTCGAGAATTAGAAAAAAACGTACTTGTCTATCTTTTGTTTTAGATGACTGTTTGGTCCAGATGCATGCCAGCTTTACGCTTTCCTCAATCACTTCTTCGGCGTTTTTCAGATGACTGCTTTATTTACTCTTGTACTAGAGCGATATTTACTAGCAAGATACACAAGGAGAGGTTGGTTTTTTGTATGTCTCTTTACTTACAAAAAACAATAGTGAAAATTATCTTTGTTTCAGAAAGAACATTGGTCTATCGATATTATTGGTCGTTAGGAGCAGTGGCTTGGGTGAACGCTTTAGTATTCGCTATACCCCCATTATTAGGATACGGAATATACTCTTGTGATGCAACCGATACCATATGTACGTATTTGTGGCCTTCGAGTAGAGCAAGTGCAAAGCATCTGGGTTATGCTGTGCCGTACACTGTTCTTTGTGGTATTATGCCAATCATCGGTATGTAAGTTGACTTTCATTTTATCTTTCGAAAGAAAAATAAATAATTGCTCACAGAGGTTCTTCTATAGACTGAGCTATTTTTCTTTACATTTTATGGGAAATTCCTCAATTGTGATATTAATTTTATTGATACAACATTATCACTGATGATACAATCATTAGGTTGTCAAATATTATTATCTGTTTGAGCGGTTAGAATTAGAGCTCCTTTTTTTCTTTCTTCTTTCATAATCAGTTCAATTTTATAGGAATTTATATTATAATTGATTTTTATACATTTACAGATTCTACTATATGGGCAAAGCGAATAGACTGGAAAGTATTTATTACAGAAATGAGAGATTGCGAGAAGAAAAACATTTGACAAAGGTATTTCTTGCGCTGCTTTAATATTATAAATTAAAAGCATTTATATTAATAAGTATGATACATTGAGTGTCTACTTATTTACTTTAGATTCATTACGAAAAATATATAAAGATCTCTTATTATTTTTCTAGTGCGTCCACGCTTTATCTGTATTAACTTTAGCACTATGGACCCCAGCGGCAGTATTAGCTGGCTGTCAATGGTTTCCACTTTTGCTTTATGGGTATCGACCACACGTTCCACAAGTTTTAGCACTCATTGCTCCCATCACATCTGAGGTATTTACATCTTAAATCAGTATTTGTTATTAATTTTGTAATAAAAGAAGAATACATGTATATTTTACTTGCTAGATTGACATATGAAATAATTATTAATTATTCGGAGATTTGTACAATTTTTTTTCCCTTATGAACGAGTTCTCAACTCATTTTGCGACAAACCTCGTGGCATAATTAAAAAAGCATTTTATTCTGTTTGACAGGCAGCAACTTGTGTTCCTGTCCTAAGCTATTTATCAGGTGACAATAGAATAAGAGCTGCTCTACTTGGAAGAATGAAGAGGAATTACGCACTGCTACCCCAACAATATGCGATACGATATCGACGAGATTAATCAAAGGAAACATCTTAAGAGAATTTGATGAATTTTGTTCAGAGTAAAAGCGCCAAAAGAAGGGGAGAAGACAACCATATCGTATGGGGCCATGACGTATTTTCTACTGGAATATTGAGCTTTTTAATAAATGTATAAACAGTAATGTAATTTTAATTTCCTAGTGAGTTTTAAACTGCGGATTTTTTTTTGTTATCAAACCTATAGTTTGATGAACAAACATTTTAAACGCCGACTTGGGTATGTAAAACCTCTGTAATTCAACCATATGCGGTTTTAACAATAACATGTGGGTTTAGGAAACAGAGCGTAAACAAACCAGACCAAGGTACTAATATGTAGTATGTAGAAGTAATTTGATATAGAAATATAAATATAATCAAGACAACTTTATCCTTGGATCACAGGTATCGACTTCAGTCAAGCTTTGTTCTTTACAACAATAACATAGTTTTATTTTAATAATGACCACTATTCGTTGTGTCTGGGCTGATATATTTAGCGAAGAAGACATTTCAGTTTTGCAGCATGGCTTAGAGTTTACAGGTACTTTTCATTTCGTATACCTTCATCTGTTATTAAAAAATAGTAAGCTAAACTCCCGCTACCTAAACTCTAAACATGATCGTGGACTGATAGACAGATTTCTGCGTCTGTTTATTTTTATATATCTATTTAAGGTCTGTCGACGTTTTAGCATCGCTCGGTCTGACGTCTGTTTATTTTGTTGCCGTAGCACAATTGCTCACATGCTTTAAATATTATTGTGATAAAACGTCGACCGTCTATAAATGATTAGTCCGTTTCATGGAATTTATCTACAGGCAAGTAGGTGATCAGCCTTCTGTAAAGCCGAAGGTCTTTTGTAAAAGAATCCCATACATTGGAGCTGCACCCATGCTTTTATAATACTACATGGTGTAGGACTCGGTAACTCAAATTGGTTAGAGCCTTGCCAGAGTCCTATTTCTTTTCCAATTTATAATTGATTTTTAATGTATACTAAGCTCGTGAGTCGCTTTGATGTGTCTGTGCAATGCCGTCGGGTATAGTATTAAACAAATATATGCAAAAAACAAATCTAGTGCTACGCCCTGGCGTGTCCGGATATAGAGCAAGTTTATCTGTACAAAAAGCAAATAAAAAAAGGCTTACCGAATGTTATTCTATTTTCAGATACAGCATCTGCTGTCTTAGGTTTATGGCTAAATCTATCACTCCTGTTAACCAATCTCAGATACGATTTAGGTTACCGCAATTTGGCTTTTTTTACTTTAATCTCTTGCATACAACGCATTTTTGCCGTCGCTAATAATTATTTTTTTACCACAAGGTAAATCTCTAATATATTATCTTTTTTTTAAATGTTTGTACTTACATAAAGTTGTGAAGGTTATTTTATTTGCTACCATAGGTGTTTTGAGATAACGGACTCCTGCGTCATCAATGGATTTTGGAACACATTTTTATCGGTGTATGAAGTTGAATGTCTCACGCATGTTTGCATTGAACGATACGTCGTAACAAAATATATTAATAATGGTAGATACAATATACAGATAGATAACCTCATCCTTTTCACGTATTTAGCCACTTTAATTTTATATTTAACATTTTAGGTTGGGCCCTTATAAGATGGCATTACACGATGTATCAAGGCTTATGTATTTTTTTCGCCTTGTTGTACTCGATGACACCTCTACTTGGCGTTGGCGAATATGCACTTGATTTTACATGCAAATCATGCGCATTCGATATGGTTTTGCCGGATACATTACAAAAATATTTCATTATTTTGGTATTTCTGTTACGCAGCGTGAAATCAGCGTCTTTTATGTCAGTTGAGTATAGCTTAGATAATTAGAGTATTAGCGATAATATAAGTATGTTTATAAAAGTGTGAAAGTCCATTTCCCCCGGGGCATGGGGCGAACACATTTCTGTGTCCGTTTCACTGATCCGTTCTTTTAACGGGCAAGTAGTTGATCAGACTTCTGTGCCCTGCCTGCCCGAAACAATTTTGTTTCCCTGGGATTCGAACCTAGGACCTCTCGCGCTTAACGCAATGCTAGGCAATACGTTTAACCATTTGGCTACAGAGGCGGTCTATGGCGATATATAGGCGAAGTATGTTTATGTAACATATATAAAAGTAGTGATGCACTGATTATTCAACATAACAAAGTAAACAATGCAAAACTAATCTCGATTCGACAAGCAAATAAAGGTTTTATGACCTACTTTTACAATTATATGCAACTTAATGTACATATTTCAATTGTTTTATAAGCCAGACTAGACGGTTCTTAAAATTGTGTAATTCATTTGTGTAAGTAAGTAGATATTCTGTTTAACATTTCAGGGTGATTATGCTTTATTGGGCTCGGAAATTGGAAGGTTTGAATAAAACTTCAAAACACATTTTGGAAGAAGCGCCTTTTACGAAGGTCTCTGTTGTATTTTAAGTAAAACATAATAATTTTTAACGCAATAAATTTGAAAAACGGTTTTATAATTTAAAATATTTTTTGAATTGTTAAACAAAATCAGTTTCGTAGATAGAAATTATATTTTTTACAGAGTGTTATTGTTATAACGATCGTGAACTTGTTATGCTGGTGGCCTATCACTGCGATTCGGGGTTCGGTGGTGCTGTCGAGCTTTCTTCATGGATATATACTAAACCCACCTGCCACGCTTATTCAGTGGGCATTGTGGGTTAATTCGGTAATTTTTTTTATGTATGATACGAAAATTCAAACAGAAAATAATACTATCTGTAGTTTACGCGAGTAATACGTTATAGTGTATATATAACGAGTAATAAATTAAATAAAACACTTTAACGGTTTTAAAAGCGAAATACATTAGTTAAACTTATTTTTTAAAATATTTTAACTACGGCTCGACGTTTCGGGTGCTTTGCAGTAACCGTGGTTACGCACCGATTAGTCTCCCCTTGACCACGGCTGTTGCAAAGCATCCGAAACGTCGGGCCCAAGTTGAAAATCATTTTCAAATAAGTTTAACTAATATATCGCGTTTTAAACCCTTACAGTATTTTATTTAACTGTGTACTACTCGCGTAAACTATAGACAGTATTTACATTAATATGTATTTGCAATATGCTTACATCATAAATACCTATGTAATCCCAAAATCTAGTTTATTCTAATCCCAATATGTTTAGTTAGTTAGTTTAATTAATTTCTTCTTCTTCGTTTTTTTTCTTGTTAATTACATATAAAATTGATATTCATATGACTCTGTTTAGTACTTTTCTCTTTTTTTTTAATTTCAGGCTGCACCAGCGTTAACTGTAATGGCTCTTTATATTGTGGATCGTAAGATCCGTAAAAAAATGAACAAATGTGAGACAAGTCCTGCTAAAGAGAAGAAAATATGAAAGACAGTTAACAAAAACATATTATAACCGAACGGCATATATCATCGTTGATTTCAAATAACTATTTTAGATGTATTTAATTTTTTTTATTTTATCCTATTTACATTTACTGATATACGGACATTCCTAAATGTACTTGTTGTAATAAAGTTATTACTTTAATTACCTATACATTTTTTTTACGTATAACATCTAGTTATTATGGATTTGGTCTCAAATTAAAACAACAGATTAAAATAATAATTTATCTTTAGATCGGTAATTTTGTTCCTTGTACAACAAAGTATTTTAGTTAATAGTTGCGCTAACATTACAGTAAAACAAGTTTTGTAACAAATTATATCAGTCTAGAAGACGGAAACATTACGAAACATTTTTAAAGAAACTAGTTATCGAGTTTCATTAGAATTGAACTTTTTAAACAACAGCTTGTGAAAATGTATACTTATCCTATAACATAATAATATTTTTATTGTGTACTTTACATTAGTTAATGATCAATATATTTCTATATTATATTATATAGTTTTGTTTTGGTCCACTTTAAGGCCATCTATGATATTCAAAATCTTCCTTGGTATACGTTTTCATTGTACCTCATAATTGTCATTTGAACAGTTGGTGAATGAATGCTAACACCAAAACTGGTTTACTGCTTTAACAATATTCGAGATAAAACATTTTTCTGTATAATTATTTTCTATTATGATTTCGTCATTATAGTCACAATATAGTTCGGTGTAGTGAAATGTATCGAAGATAATATGCAACGGCGGAAATATTACGCACATAATTAAAAATCTATTATTTTTTGTTATATTACATTCACCTTTAACACATCAATTTGTTGCAGTCACTTAATCTTAAACTTCACTTATTTCACACGAGTTAGTAGTTATTATATACACCCATTTACATTTCACATACACACTATCTTTGGAATGAGCTTGGTTATCCAGGAAAGTTATCGTAATATGTACATTCACTATTTACACAGTTACATTTTGTTTCTATATACATTAAATCATCTACACTAGTCGTATATACCCTGTTGCTATAGGTGTCCTCATTGGAAGAGCGTTCAGACGGCGTAGAAGGACTTTGGAGCACGATAAGTGGGTACTCGCGTTCAGTCCTTCTGAAGTTGTCCTGCTAAATTTGCTCCAGGACTACACTGGCCCGTCTGCTGTTTCGCTTCTCGAGAAACGGAATTAAAAATAGGATTATCCCGCTCAGGGAAATGGTTCCACCAGCGACGTAGAACCCAGGCGAATACGAGTGATATGTATCGTACAACCAACCTGGAAATAGAATTAGAAATAAGTAGTTATCACGTTTCATCGAATACACATTGCAAAACAATAACAGAACATGCAAAAGAAATATATTTTCTTGTTGGTTGTATTTATTTTAGGCTATAGGCTATGAAACAACACGACCGACGACGACGCTACCTAACTAACTAACAAATAGGAGTGTGGAAAAAAACAGGTTAAAATATTCTATTATATATATTAAGGTGTTTCCATTGCGTGCAATGCGAAAACGGTTTAAAATACCTAAAAATATGTAAGAAAGAATGATTTTTCTCTAAATTATACAAAAAAGGGACCGCGCGACAATATGTCTATCTTTTAACATTAACTTACAAGAACGACGGGACGCGACTGGCTTGGTGGGCAATAGCTATAATGTATAAGGATGAGGTTTGCAAAAAAACAAAAAAATTGCCAAAATAACTATTATAGTAACTGGCACAGCTAGTACTAAATAAACGATCATTTTAGAAATAAATATTTAACGCAATTTATTTACCTGCAAAAGGTGGTCCTATAAGTGACGCGACGCCTTGAAATAGTAAGAGCAAACCGAACGCATTTGTTAATTTCTCCAATCCCAGCAGATCTACCAGTACCACTGAAGTCAGTCCAACATAAGCACCAATAGTAAAGCCGAATGCGGTTGCATACATTGCCAGACCCCAGAACTCCCAGCATAACATAGCTGCGGCTGTACCTAAAAATATTAAAGAGATTTTAAAAATAATAAAGAACATCTGTGAAAACAAACAACGAGATATGAGTATGTTTGACGGGCTGTTGGTGTAATGGTATGGCTAATAACAACTCATGGTATTCCACCATGCATAATCGTCCTATCAAAATTTTCTAAAAATCTGATTTTCAGATCGGTGTCAGATGACAAAAGTATGTGGATTTCCGAATATCCAAAGCCAAAATAGGTCGACAGCGGATCTTGTTTAGGTGTTATATGATTGGCGTATTTCACCTACCGTCAAGCGAACCCCACGCTTATCTGTCGATCTCTATAAAAAATTTAAAAATTGATATCAATGTTATAACCATATTTAGGATACATTGTCTATATGTACTAATACAGACAAAGTATACTGAATGTAAGAAGGTAAGAATGATAATAAAATTAATAAATGTCATAAGGATAAACACTTACTTATTCCAGCAATTGTAAGGCAAACATTATATGCCAATAGGCGATTGACCCAAGGTTTATCACTGATATATCCAAGTATAATCCTACCCACTAAGTTAGAAGCACCAATTATAGAGATCAAGTATGCTGGATTCTCAATTCCTAAGTTTTTGCTCATTGGCACTGTATAAACATATGGAATATAAAATCCTATACTAGTTAAGAAATTTGATATTGAAAATAATATGAACACAGGATCAATAAGAAGAGATACATCGAGCATTTCCGATAAGGCTATCTTGAATTCATCGGAGCAAGGCAGCCAGCCGCACCTGGTTTCTTGTTTTTCTTGCGCCCTTGTGCTAATTTGTGTTCTATCTATGGAAGTACCTCTATATCTTGATATACTTGTCATGCTTCCTTGATACAGAACATCGGGGCGTTGCATGATACCACTCCCATGACGTGAACCCATTTGCTTTTGTTCTTGTGGCTTATTTAATGAAGGCTGCGAAAGAGTGAGCCTCGCTACGTCATCATCAACTTTTCCATTGACTCGTAAAAAGTGTTCTGTGCTCTGTGACCTTTTGAGTGGTGATTTGTTGTTGGTCTGAGGTAACATCGGTTCAGTGACTGGTGTTCGTGGCCTCTCTGGCACAGGTCGAAACATGAGTCCTAGAGGAATACAGTTCAAGATGAACGCTCCAATAATAGCCATTGCGCCTCGCCAGCCGTAGTTCGTGATGAGGGCAGAGGTTATCGGTGCAAAAAGGAATGTTCCCAGTCCCGATCCACACACGGCTATGCCTGTAAACGATCACGATATTGAGTCATCTTTTTCAAATTATTGTTTGTAAATTTGCCTTGTCTTGCTTTATTCGAACTATATAGAATAATGAATCATCAATAAAGAAAAGATTCTGCAAGTGGGTCCTATATATACATATATCTGTAATGTAGAAAAATTAAAAAGGAACAACCAAAAGTTAAGAGAAAGTGACCAGTAAATAAACGTATAAAGATTACTTATTTACCAGTTGCAAGACTTCTATATCTCTCGAACCATACTGTAACGCTGACGATAGCAGGAAGGTAGATGAGACCGAAGCCAATGCCGGTACCAACCCCGATTGTCAAGATAAGTGTTGTGATGTTGTTTGCAAAGGCCGATAGTACTACGCATACAGCGGAGAGGCAAGCACCGGCGACCGTAACTGATCTGCAGCCCCATCGGTTAACAAAGGAACTGGAAACTGGTCCTGAAATTGATATATTGACGAGTTAAGATCTTGCCTATATGACAATCTACTAAAGTCTGTGTGATTTAGCCCTAATTATTCAAATTATGTTAATTGAGTAATTTCTTTCACGGGCTTTTTAGTGTAGCAATGTAATCAATCGGTCGTGGCTTCGATCCTTAATAGGGAAATCTGGATATTAAATGGGCGGTGAGAATATCAAAATTCCGTCCGAGTGACAAACCACCACACAGTCCACAGATGAAAAGTCGTCAAGTGTCGCATTTCTGTTTTAGTCTGTGGATTTCCGAATATTCAAAGCCAAAATACGGTCGACCGCTGTTAGTTCACCTACCATCCATCAACCCCATGCTTGTCTACTCTCCTCTATCATAAAAAAAAATCTAAAGCTCATTGTTTGATTGTTGGCTCTTCCTCGACCAAAGAAATTTATTGTTTCCGGGAATTCAAAAATAGAACATCTTGCGCTTATCGTAATCCGGTTAAAAATAAGCTACGAGTAAGTTGCAAAAATTTGGTATCTATTTTTACAATACGGGTCTTTGGGATTCTACATTAAGATAATATTGTTTAGTAGCTTACCTGAACTTAGCGTGACCCCAACAAGGATGGATACGATCCACGCCGTTTTGCCTTTGCCCTCGTTAAAGTAGGTCAGGAACTCTTCGTAGAAAACGCCAAACGAGTAAGTCATGCCATCGGCTGTAATGAACAAATTTAAATAAATAAGCAGTCCGGTTATACTAACTACTAACTAAAATGAATAAAACTAATATAAAAAAATGAAGTGAAAATTATTTTTAATTATAGTCTCCCTTTGACCACGGCTGCTGCAAAGCATGCGAAACGTCGGACCGAAGTTAAAAATAAATAACAAATTTTCAAATAAGTTTAACTAATATATATTGCTTTTTAAACCGTTAAAGTGTTTTATTTAAGTAAAAATAAAATTATTAAAGGTTTGTTGTAAAGGTTATAGGTACGTACTTAGTCGAGCTAATTTGGAATTTCAATTATATATCGCGGTCTTTTATTAAAAAATGCTTTCAACCGATTTATATAAATTTGTGAATTACACCTTACAGTGTATTAATGTTCAAAAGAGAATTACGTTATGTTAGAAAATTATTAAGATGACGATCAAGGAGGGGATTAGAAGTAGTAGTGAAAATCGTGCACGCCTCATTGCCTAAGGAGAGACTCTGCCCGATTGAATAGTCAATCTGTCTTTTTTTTTAAATAACTCAGTGTTGTGTCATTTGACAATTATAAAATAGGATTATTTTTAGTAAGTTTACATGCGCTGAAATTACATTAAGTTTAAAAATTGGATATTGATAACGACACGGACACGGTAGCTCAATTTGGTAGAGCAAAAGCACCTTTGGTTGACGATTTAAGTCTTGCCCGTTATATATTTATATTCGATTTTTAAATTATATAGGATTATTTAGTTTATTTATTATATACCACTCCTGGTCTTATTATGAACAAAGTTTCATATCTGTGTCTTTATGAAAGTCTTTCTTTTTACAGAGCCGTCTAGTGACGTCACACGAGCTTGAACACTAAAGACGCATTTTCTCAAACGTTTCGATACTATACAAGCGATAATAGGGAACTAGGTTAACATGATAGGCACTTTGCCTACAATACCATATCGCTTCAGGCGTCAATGGTTCTCACAACTGTTTTGTGGCAACAATGAACTGGTGTGTTGAACAAACGGAACGTGCAAGTCTGAATCAGATATTCTTGTCCCTAAGATATGTTGTTCTCAAATTAATCCTAAGTAACGTCTGTTTTTTTATGCGATACCTTTCATGATAATAATCCATACTAATATATAAAGCTGGAGAGTTTTTCGTTTGAACGTGCTAATCTCAGAAACTACTAGTTCGAATAGAAACATTATATTTGTGTTGGTTACAATATTTATCGATAAAGATTATATATAAGCTTTAAAACTTCGGACTGCGACTAATAGGAGCGAAGAAACAGCGGGAAATGTGGAAAAGCGGACAAAGTTATTCATCTTCTTGGTTCGATTGCGTACGCTGCGTAAACGGTCAAGGTACCCAAAAAATAGGTAGAAAGGAATGATTCCTCTTTAAATGATCTAAAAAAGGCTCGGGCACTATTTATCGATCTTTTAAGATTAACTTGAAAGAACGACGCGAAGCGAACGACGTCGTGGGTTAAATGTATTACCTAAGATGAAGTAAGCGGACGAAGTCGCTGACACAGCTAGTCATAATATAATTGTATATCTTAGTAATAACCGAATGTTCCAATTTTTTTCTTTTTTGTACAATGTCTGTCATTATATAACCTTACATGTTTTGTCTATAACTGTTTAAACAATTTTGTTTTTTTTTTCCAATTAAAATTAAATTCATATCAGTAGGTAATTATGATAAAATGTCGACAGACCTCAACTTAATAAATAGATAACTGTTCGGAAGTTGATATTTCGTTATTTAATTGAGTACTTTCGACGATGAAAGTGTTATTGTTTAATATGCAGATTAAGTAATTAATTTTTATTAAACGAAGGACTAAAATAGGCTTATACAATAGATAATCTTAAAACGTCATTAAACGGAAATCGAGACGGTCCATTAGTTTCGTTCTTCGAAAGAAATGGTCAAATAGTCGTGATTTTGACAAGCATCCGTTCGTTAATTTGATATATAGCAATTCTAAAGAGTACTTACTTATTCCATACGTCACAATATCCTCTTGAGCAATCGAAACGAGGATCTTCAAATGGCCGTTTTATTCTGACCGTTTACCCGTATATCTACCGAGAAAGTTATTAGATTAAAGAGTTAACGGGCTTGTTGGTCGAATGGTAGCTGTGTGGCTATTAATCAACGGGTTGTGGATCGACACCACCGGGTCTAACATATTTTTAATCAATTTATAACTTTTCTAAAACCTGTTGGACTTCGTCTGGAAATCTGGATATTAATTACTGGTAAGCTCCCTTTCGGGTCACGAACCACCGTCCACATGAAAACATGTATGAAATTAAAAATCATATATTTTGTATAAAATTATATATATCAAAATATATATAAGATAATAATGCCCTACCTTCTAGTAGGTAGATAGGAAATCAATTTTCGGTAGCTGTCGATTGATAACGTCGGCTGTCGGTGTGTTATCATAAAATAGAGATAATATTTGATCAATATCGATTTGATTGACACAGTGATGAAATTGTAACCAGTGATAAGATTATGGTTGCTGGCCGCTAGCTGATGTAGTAAATAGTTACTATATTTGATTTCATACGCATAAGTGACCCGGTATGTACTTCGAATCACTCTAAGCTATATTTATATATAATTAAAAGTTATAACTCAAATTTGTTTACGGGTTTAGTTATGAGTAGGTGAAATACTCCAGCCATACAACATCTAAACATGATCTGCTGTCGACCTATTTTGGCTTTGGATATACGGGATATCCGTATATACAACAGACTGAAACCAAAACGCGAACGAAGTCGTGGGCCGAATTTCGATTTTCATACCATTTAATATCCAGATGTCCAACAGAGATATCCAACAATTATAAATTGTTTAGAAAATTTTGGAACACATAAAGAGGATATATCAAATACTGTCTGAATAGTAACATTTAAATAAAACGTTATAACTTAAAGGATATATATGCAAAATACTCGGGCCGTAGTAATAATTCACAAAAAAGTTTAACTAAAATTTATCGCGTTCTAAACCTAAATCGTTTTATTTAAAAATATATGTTGTTACGGTTATTTATCTAGTAAAACTTTAACGTTTTCCAATCTAAATATTTATAAAGTTATTTTTACCCCGTATCTCATTTGAAAAACGCAAATGTCTCATTGAAATTTCCAACTTGATTGTATAATATTTACTTACTCCAATCATATCTATGTTATCATGATTACTCAAAGATCAGTTATATAACGGAATTGCAGTGAGTACAAACTTACACAAAAACTACTTAGATTAATATCCTATCACTATATGATCGATGGCCTATAACAACAAAAGATCTTCGTTACTTTACAAATATTTTTGGTAACGACGTAAGTATATATGTATGATTATCTCGCGCATTTACAACATTCGGTTTCATTCTGTAGATTAAGTTAAAAGTTAAAGGCCGAAGTTAAAAATCATTTTCAAATAAGTTTAACTAATATATCGCGTTTTAAACCGTTAAAGTGTTTTATTTATATGTGTACTACTCTAAACTACAGACAGTATGTATACCAACTTGATCTTTGATATAAAGCCAATAAATAAATACCTACTGATGTCTATCATTTATAAATTAAATGTAGGTAATAAACGACGCAACAACACAGAAGACAATAGATCTATTAACGTGAAGTTGTAAAAAGCAATAACAGACTTCTCATTCACAAAGATCAATTATATTTTCATGATCAGTGTTAATTAAACACATTTTCAGCGTAATTGTGTTTGTTGTTGTCGATAACATAAAATAAATGATGTATTGGAGTTTAAAAATCAGTAGGTAACTAAGTACACGTATGGACTAAAAAACATCAAAATTTACATTTACTACTAGTTCTCGACAGTAGTACAGGGGCGCTGTAGCCAAATGGTTAAACGTATTGTCTAGCATTGTGTTATGCGCGAGGGGTTCGAAACCTAGGAAAAAAAAAATGTTTCGGTCGGGCAGGGCAAAGAAGTCTGATCAACTACTTGCCTGTTAAAGAACGAATCAGTGAAACGGAAATGTTCGCCCGAAGCGTGGTTTTATATAGCCGAAAAGCTTCCTCGATAAATGGTCGAATGGTGCCCGGTTAGTATTGACGGCAAGGGTAAAAATATGTCATTTAAAAAAACGGTCTATAGAATATAGGATTTTCAATTCGTACCAATTGTTTATGAGATTAGCGCGATTAAACAAACAAAATCTTCAGTATTAGTATACATTAACTATATACTTGTACGAGTTGTAATGACTCATGTGGCTCCAACGAAACGTACGTTTATTTTTGTCAAACACACTACGTCATGGTGATGCGGAACTCTTCAAACAAAGCTTTTGTCTCTTCGTGACATTTCTTTATTCTATACTTAGTTAAGTCAATACAACAATCTTTCTAGTATACTCTGCTAAATTATAGCATTCTGCTTTTGTTTCAAGTTAAACGCATTGTGTAACGTGTGTTATACGAGAATGAATACGTAGAGTTGAAATCCGGGAATACATAAAACATTTAATTGGACAGGGGACTTTTTTCAAATGTTATTGCACATGATGGAATTATAAAAAAATTAAGATCGAAAAACACCTTATTTAATTTACTTTGACTCAATAGCTCAATTGGTAAGAGCAACAGCACGGTACGCTGTGGAGCCGGTTCAAGTCCTGCCCGAGTCGTAAATTTTTAATTTAGACAGAGCACGTCAGAAATAGTCGTTAAAGGGGCAACAACATTTCAGTATATAGTTCATTTTTCTGTTAAATACATGGTTTAAATTCATGATGTTCGTTGATTAAGAATGTCTGTTTTCTATCTTCTGTTCCGTAAATATTTTTTACGGAACAGTTAACTAATTTATTTCGCGTGTAAAACCATTAAATGTAAACCGCATCTAACGACTTATTGTCTTACCAGAAATTGTGTTAAGTTGTATATATTATCTACAAACGATGCAATGACCTCGTGCAAAGTGCAAGAGTATTGCATTGTGTTTAATACAGTCATTGCCATTGCAAATATTATTATGGTAAAATTATTTTATTTTTTATTTATTTAAAAGATATTTTTATTCACATTGCACGACGTGTAGGATTTATTCATTAAGATACTTTGAAAATATGTAATGCAATAATAGATTCCAGCAAGATTGATGAATTATGCAGGTGAGGTTCTGACCTTACGTTCGATTGCCTAGAATTAAATTCTATTACAAGTTATCATTGAACTCAATATCTTGTAAAGTACTTATTCGCAAAATGAAGTTTTCTTTTAGAAGACATAGAAATGCTGTATACGAGTATTTTCGTATAACAAACTGTTATAAACTTATATATTGTCTGTGTTTTAAGAGGTTTATTTACACAAGAAACATTATTTCGATTAAATACAATACCATTGGATCTATTTACATTTTTATTTATTACTAGCTGAGCTAGCTGATATAATATGTATAATCCCTTCATCTTTATAAACTTAAGCTTGAGTTGGTCGCGTCTCCTCCCCTCGTTCTTGCAACTTAATCTTAAAAGATATAATAGATATATAGCGTCGCTTTTTTTAGATCATTTAAAGAGATATCATTCATTCCTACATATTTTTTGGGTATCTTAAACCGTTTTCGCAGCGTACGCAACGGATTGGGTATCCGTGATATATCCAAAGGTGAATGATTTTCCCCGTTTTATCCATATTTCCTTCGTTCCACGTACGCTTTTTCTTCGTTTCTATTAGTCACAGCGCGATAGTATCGCCTATAACTTTCCTTGATAAATACTCTTACCAACACAAACAGAATTTTTCAATTCCAACATGTAGTTCCTGAGATTAGCGCGTTCAAACATACAGACAAACAAGCTCTTCAGCTTTACATATTAGTATAGATATTATTTGGGTTATCGTAGTAGATTGCAAATACTCCTAAACACTATTTAAATACTAATATTATTTAATTATACACTAACACACAATTCGATTTTTATCTTAGCTGTAAAGCGTCATTACTTAATTAAAAGATTTTTAATATAAATACGTAGTTTTTTCATATGGGAATAATATATAGAAAGGTACGGATATAGTGAATTCTTGAAAAGATGCCTCAATAACTTGTTATTGTCTTAACTAATTCAGTGTAGTGGCGTCTTTCAAAATTGATTGAGCTGCTATGCTAAGCTAAGTGATCTATAAATTGGACAAATAAAGGTTATAAGACAACAATAAAAACTGTACTTACTAACTATATGTATCATAAACGAAGCGAAGACCACCATCCACCCCCAGCCTCCATCCGGCGGCGGTGACTGACTTTCTGAGCCCTCTCTAGACTCCACCTGAGCACTATTCTCATTTCTGGCAGACTTTACTCCACCGTGCGACATCTCTGTTAGTTTATCAGTCTACCACTTAAAATATATCCAGTTCTCTTTGTATTCAACAATTTGAGGTTATGTGAGTTAGAATTTACAAATAGCTAATAATACTTAGGTAAGTAAGAAGTCTTTCATTTTCGCAAATGGAAGGAAGAAATGGAAGCGCTGATCGAAAAAATTATCTCATTATCTTTGTTTGCCTTTTGGATTGTCTATGGTTATTATATTCTATTTATCTGTAGACTCATAGCCTAAGGTTCATCTGAAACAAAAGAAAAACGAGATTTAAAGTAGTTTTTTTTAATGATAGAGGAGGACAGACAATCAATTATTTTGGCTTTGGAATTAGGTTAAATATTAATAAAATCGTAAGTTAAAATATGTAATTTTATCATAAGTAATCATATGTTCTATAAACAGAACGCGGTTATCGTCGTGTTGAATAAATAAAATTTGCGAATAATAACTATTAAACATGTTCTTACATAACTTGACATCTGTGTTATCGCTATTATGTCTTTTATATGTGTTGTCATTTACATGGCCTTTTATAATATTTGTTTTTGTAATTTCACTTTAAATGCTGTCTTTAATTTACGCGAGTACACATTTAAATAAAACACTGTAACGGTTTAAAACGCGATATATTAGTTAAACTTATTTGAACATGATTTTTAACTTCGGCCCGACGTTTCGGATTTTTTGCAGCAGCCGTGGTCACGGGGAGAGTCTCCCCGGCCCGACCACGGCCACTCTAAAACGACCACTTAAAAATAATTATCATAACATTAGTACCTCATAGTGTATTTATTTTATTTTTACATACATTGACTTACATGCTAACCAAAATGTTATTTTTAGAAGAATTTGAATGAACTAAAAATAATTAAATGCAAATAGTTTTCATTTTAATTTTTAATGCATTTAAGGTTAAAGTTGTATCCGACTTTGTTGTTTAGGCGAGTGGTACAATTAATAAAAATAATACGGCTACATTTCGCGTATTTAATTAATTTTCAACTACGACCTGATGCCTTCCAGCAGTTGTGGTTAATCCAACCCCAAGTTGAGAGGGTGTCACCAAGAAAGCTCGAGGCTGTATTTTCCAGGAAATCTTGATTATTAAAAAAGTTTTGTAAAATATTATAATCTGTTTAATTAAGTATTGCATCATGTCTGTAGTTTACGCGAGTAAGAAACAATTTTAGCAGTTTAAAATGCGAAATATATTAGTCAAATTACTCTTTGTTAATTTATCCCCCAGTGACCACGGCTGCTGCACAGCACCCGAAACGTTAAACTATAGTTAACATGACTTGTAAATATTAGTTATCTAATATATTCCGCGTTTAAAACTGGAAAATGTGTTTTGTTAAAACAAACTGTCTTGCATATGGTCACAAACGTGTTCTATTGCTAAACCATGAATTGTCAAGTCCACATTTATACAAATATAATGCAAAGCGAAAGAAAGGATTACGTCTATCGTTCAAGTCAGCTGCGATCTGGGATGTTCTAGTTTGATGAGAAATGCACGTGGCTAATAAATGCTACTTTTATTTACGCTCAGACACATTACGTCTCAAAATAAAGAGGACAATCTCAACACGTTTAAAAATAGTTCATAAAAGATATATCGTTAACAAGTTCTACATTGATCGTAACTTCAATTCAATTACAGTAATTAAATGGTAATATTTATTCTATTTACACATACGTCTTATACATTATGCATACATATACTCATTTGTAACAAACAAACTAATTCATATGTCAATTTTAAATATAGTTAGTAGGTAGATATTTTATGTTTTTTAAAGACATTTGTGCATTATTCTTCGGCTTATATGTTGTGATTATTACGTTGATAGTTGAATGTTTAAGAAGTATTTTGGGCATTTTTCGTCATACTTTATCGACGATTACCGCCCACTTAGTGATGGCAAACGTATAACCATTACTATATGCAGATGGCACATATGTATATATATCATATGTATTTTACAAATATTTGAATTGTATTTGCTATGTTAATAAGTCTTTTTAAATTTCTATAACATTGTAAAAGACAAACTTATGTTCCTATATTAGTCAAACTTTGCAAAACAAGGGCCTTTATTAACCACCAAAGCGATGATACATCAAAGTTCAATTAATGAGTTCAACGACTTAGCGTGTTAAAAACAGAGTCTTTCCGAAACAATGCCATTATCAAATAAACAAGTATGCACTTTGTTTCCTTCGATAATATTGTAGAATAATACATAGTGACACATGTCAGTAGGAACTATTTCTGATACGTTTCATTAATAATATAAACTGTCGTCAATGTAGTTTTATCAACATTGTAATATAAATGTGATTAAAAAAAACATCTTTTTTAAAATTCTAATTCCAATGTTAACCTTAGTCTATAACCACGTAATCGTTATTGTCTTAAATAACCTTATATATATTTTATATGATTCGCATTGCAATCAACATGAAACATTTATCTTAAAATAAGTTTTGGCTTCAAATTACATAGATAATGATTTGTACAACATATATCTGGATGATAATAAAATAGATAAACCTTACCTGATTTATGCACTTGTACTGCATAGGGAAATAACTCACAGTGTTTAACAATTTTTCAAAATACTACATAACGCTAAGAATGAAGATTCGTTTATTGAACGACCGCGCGCTCTGTGATACGAAACGAGACTGAAAGTTGTAGCGAAAATTATACGATAAACGTGTAAACAGACGGACAAATAATTTTTAATCTCGTAAGTGAAATTGGGGCACGCTTAATTATTTATTTACACAGTTAGAAGTTTAACATTAGTGTCAACAACTGTATAATGCACTCACTATTGATTCTTTTATCACGTTTTAATGAGGGATTCATAAATATTGGTTGTCAAACGTATCGAAAATAATCACAATTATGATAGTACTCATTTCTGATTTGTTATTTATTGATAATTTTTTAAATTAAAACTCTATTCATGCTTACTTCTTTTTCTACTTTATAAAAAAATATCCTCTTTAAAATTTAAAAAACTATTTAGATTCGTCATAGAATATTTGTCTGTCTGTCCGTCGTGATTCTACAATGTTCACAAGAGCAACTTGACCGAGAACACTCAAGAAACTCAGTCCGGCTTTTTTCAACGTGTTTCTTAAACAAAACATTTTTGTGAATTTATTAACCTAAGGAGCAATTCATATTACTTCCAGGCAGCCTTGTTATTAAAATTCAATGGTGGGCAAACATATTTTAATATAGTGATGCTAAATATAGACAACAGGTCAATTGTAATAATTATAACTTCTGGTCTAATGATACTTCGAGTAACAATTTCATTATTTATAAAAGTGAACGATGTTTCTGACTTGGCACGCTACATGCCCATTTTTATCTGTATCAGTGATTGTGGATTATTATACAGATTAAAAATTCCCAGTCAAGTTCATACAGACATCCATGACCTGGCTGCCACGCCATGACAGTAACAATTTATACTGTTTCCTCGAGTTTTAAACCTAGAACCCCTCGCGCAATGTTACTACACCGGGAGATTAACGTATTTTATGAAGGTTCGACGGAACAAAAACTTTAGACTAGTGTTATAACATATAGTCAATGACGAAAGTTGCAAAACAGTTTCCTTGCAATTGTTTTGCAAACGGCCAAGATAAAAAGCCAAAGGGCATTCTGATAGGCCGCCATAATACGAGCTTTATCTTTTTTACTTTGTTCAACTGTTTAGGTCAGGGGCTAAGGGCTTACATAAAACGCCCACGTTTTTTATTTATGTAAGGACGTAAGTATATGTGTTATGCAAGAAAGATTATTATGTCAAGGGGAGCCTGGTATTTTTAAGAACAATAAAGTCACATTTTTTTATGTAAATTTATAACGAGGTGATAGGTGTAATGTTTGATAAATAACGCGTTGCGGGTTTGATCCCCACCAGGTCCAACATTTTTTTAATGAATTTTTCTTTTGACTTCGCCTGGAGATCTGGATATATAATGTTCGTCCTTTTCGCGAACCACTGTCCACAGATAAAAAAGCCGTGAAGTTTAATCGCATTTCGGTTTGCAGTCCGTAAATTTTCTAAAATCCAAAGCCAAAATAGGCCGACAGTGCATCTTGTTTAGATGTTATATGGATGTTACATGTAACTCCAATTATTAGACAGTAATTTTTGAAAAAAGAAATTGTCAAACGACTAAGTGTTAATTCTATAATATTTCTTAGTTTCCTTCAACTAGCAGAAGAGGTGTATCCCTTATCTGACATTCTTCGTGTTATCAGTTATCACAATTCTTGCGTCTCCAGAGCAAGGTTTATCGATTTATCTGTTTGACTTGACATGCCTGATTTACATTGAAATCGTACCTATCCTTACCTGTTTTTTTATGTTTTAATCTATACATTTTTCAAATTTAAAAGGTTTAAGAACGACTATACAAATAGTAATACGTCTCTCTGTAGTTTAGGCGAGTAAGTACACATTTAAATAAAATACTTTAACGGTTTAAAACACGATATATAATAGTTAAACTTATTTGAAAATAATTTAACTACGGCCCGACGTTTTGGATGCTCTGCAGTAGCCACGTGACCACGGCTGCTAAAATTCGCGTTTTAAACCGTTAAAGTGTTTATTTAAATCGTAGCTCTGTTTAATACATTACAACTATATCGCTTTATTGTACGCGTTGTAATGGACAATTACAATTACTAGATAATTACTAACATATATTGACGCGTTTAGGAAAACTAGGTCAGTGGATAAACGCATATATAAATACTTGGCTTCAATATGTTGATTACTTGAAATTACTGTGAGAAAGAATGTTGTTAATTTCAAAATGACTACTGTTATGTCTGAGTTAGTTCTTATTTTGAATAATAATACAATTCAAATAATAATAATAAACCTTCTTGGAGGTTTCATTTCGAGCAAAATAATTTTCAAAGTACGTTATGCTGATTTCTTGACCGAGTTCCAAAATTTCTTCCTTGGCCTTGACATATGTTCTAAATTAAATCTATTAGTGTCCGTTTCTACATAAATTGTAAGTAGGCATTTTATTTAATATTATTTACCGTATTATCGCACGGGAATTACCGTATTATTACTAAGCTAGCTGTGTTAGCGACGTCGTCCGCGTGGAATAGTTATTTTGCGCTTCCAAATTTGTTTTGCAAACCTCTTCCCAATCTTTATGAATTTGAACTATTATTCACGACGGCGATCGCGACTCGTCGTTCTTGCAAGTTAATCTTTTAAGATTAAAAATATAGTGTCGCGGACATTAGAGGAATAATTCTTGGATAAATATTTTTTGGGTTATCTCGAACCATTTACGCAGCGTATGGTTTGGAAACCCATAAAAATAATTTTCCTCGTTTCTTCCGCTGTTTCTTCGCTTCTATTAGCCAGATCGCGATGTGTTATAGCCCATAGCCTTCGATAAATGTTATATAACCCTCGATAAATGTTCTAACTAAAACATTTTTTTTTAATTTTATTTCAAAACAAACAAACAAACTTTTCAGCTTTATACATTAGTATAGATAAAGACATAACATGAAATATCTACAATTTCACGATGATTAAAGTAAAAAATTTCAAGGAAATCGCTATTATTACCCGAAACTCAAACATCGTCATGGCTAGAAGTCACAATGAAAAAATAAACATCTATGTTCAGTGAGTGCGTTTCGCGCGTAATTTAGTTTAGTTGACGCATTAAGCGTAGAAAACGACTCAATATTTTTAGGGTTGCCCATTTTAAATATTATGAGTGATTAAAATGACTGCCTCAATGGCGTCTTCCAACATTGAGTTCAGTTCTTAAGTTCGTGTCGACGAGAAAAAGTAAGTATCCACGTAATGAGTTTCGTGTGTACAATCGATTCAGCCGCTCGGTGTCACATGGAATTATATTTTTAATTAATGGTAATAATATTTCCGGTATGTTTTCAAATAAAACAACATAACACATTAGCCGTGGTCCAGGGCTGCTGAAGGTTCCGAAACGTTGGGCCACGTTAAAATAATTTGTAAATTAAGATTTACTGATATATTTCGCGTTTTAAACCGTTAAAGTGTTCTATTTAAATGTGTACTACTCGCTTAAATTACAGACAGTATTGAATTATGTTTTTAATTACTGGTAAATAAAATACTTCAGATAGTATTTGTCTCCTTCAACCCTAGACTGTAACTGGATTTCAAACGGGTGATTGGGTTCATACCGCTACGTTGGGTACGAATAGCTTGTTCTATCAATTTCCAAGTTATCTGCTAAGTGTGTTATTTATGGTAAAACAATTCACAAGCAAATTAACTACTTATTTGCATTAAAATCGGACCTGTTTATGTTAGATTAATTAAAGAGAACCCGAAATAATTATTGACTCTTTACGCACTTAAGTAGTCGTAGGATTAAAACATATCAAATAGACAAATTATGCTTCAAAACATGTTGTAAGCGACTGGAGCTTTGAAGACACAATCTATTTAGCTTTTTATACATTTAAAGTCTTTCTATAACATAAATCTAGGACGTCAATTGAGTTACGCAATTGGTCATAACTTTGATTTCCTTCGGGTACAATTTATTTTATATAAAGTCCCCACATGCATTAAAATGTGTATACTGATTCCAGCTTTTCAAATGTATTATGACGTAGATAAGCAGATACTCATGGGAATTCCTACTACATGAACACGTGTATCGTCAATATAATCATTTATATATATCACGTTGTTAAATAACACATTGAAAACGTGATATTGAACATAGCATATACTTACTACGAATATAATGTCGCATATCTCCTAGTGTAACCCTTTACAATTTTCTTTTTAGCATTGTCATTATTATATTAAAAATAACATACATTATGTAGACTATATAATGACTGTATGCTAAGAAATTTATCACACGTTTTCACCACATTTTGATTTAAATAAATATTAATAAGCTGCAGTCTCAAACAGGTCGGCTCAAACAGGTGTTTTAGAAATGAAATTGTTAGAATAAAACTATTCAACGCACTCACCATTTCAAAACAATGCATTGTGGTAAACTCATGAATAATGTCTTGTTTTCACGCTAATAATCAATATCAATTTTGTTGTTATTTTGCTGATAAACAAAATGACAGCTTTGAGCACATGTTATTTCACATTCCGTAGTTTTTATTTTAGTAGTCCTTTTTTTATTTGCTATAATTTTAATTAGTCTTAGTCTTAAACTAGGACTGTAACCCAGATTGTGAGGTTATGTTTAGTTAGGGAAAAGGCCGCGCGCGGCGTTGCCGGCCACCATCGATGGGCGACTGAGTACTTTGCGCTGGGCGGGCGGCACGAGTCTCTACAAATACCAACCGTATACTGTTTCCTGCTCATTCATACGGAGAAAGCTATCGCGATGTGCATATTGCGGATCCTGGTTGTATGAGCAGGAAGAAATAATCAGTTAATGAATTCTGGCTTCCGTGCCTTTATTAAATTCTTAACTTTAATGTACCTTTCTTGTTTTCGTGACTTTGTATGAGCCGAGTTTTAAATTAATTAAAATATTTTGTTTTATATTTAAAATTATATACCCATACCGGATACAATAATTTTAAGTGCTGGTATCATATATTATTGTCGTTTCATTTCATTTTACAAAGCATAAAATACACCACTTAATCTATTGTTGAAATTGCTTTAATTATTTTAATATATTTTATATAATATCACTGTAGTTACACACTCAAACTCACTTATTGATAATTTATTTAAATAAACAGACGAATCATTTAAACACTTTTGCAAATTACATATAAGTGTCATCATTTGAAATATACATATAATTCGACACATGTAAATATTACCAAATTTGTGAGAACATAAACATGGAACTTTACACCACGTGTAGACACTCAAACCGCAATCGAACACGCAGATTAAATCCCGTATATTACATGCAATAAATAAGTTTATGAGCGGTACTGGGCGATAAAATGTACTTTTGCTTTTTATTGCATTCAACTGGCTTTCATTTCGCATTTATTCAGGCCATGAATAGTGTTTTTTATGTATGTGTGTGTTATACTATTTACCTTTTCTGTTCGGAAGCGCGAGGGCGGGGGATAATGTCTTGGACATTTTGGAAGCTAAAATTGTCGGCGGCAAGCCAGTGAAAATGGAGAGCTTTCCTTTTACCGTGAAGTTCTTTAATCAAGGGGCCCTCTGTGCTGGAACGATTTTGAATAGCTGGAGTGTCTTGTCCGCTGCGCATTGTTTTGATCATAGCAAAGATAAAACTGATATGCTTATTGTTGTTGGTAAAAATTTATGTTAAGTGAAAAAGAAAGCTATATTGTAAGGCGTAGTTTTGAATAAGATTAATAGAACAAAATTCAAACGATTTGACTGGACACGGTGGCTCAATTGGTTAGAGCAGTATGGAACACTGTGGGTGTCGGTTCAAGTCCCGCCAAGTAGTGTTTTCAATCTGAATTAATTTTTAATTTAGATTTTTTTTTATAATGTTATTTTCTAAAGATAATACTGGGTACATTTAATATTAAATTTTTTATCACAAAGACAATGCATAACATATAGAATGCACTGTCTGCAACTTTGGCATTGGTTGGTGAATACTAATCCATTTGAAAATTGTATGTTTGTGTATGGGCATGTATAATTGTGGTTTCGATCTTGTGTAGAAGAATATTATTGTATGCGAGAGATGGTTATTAGGACTTAAAATTAAAATCATAGATAAGGGTAGTTTAAAATTATACTTTCTGATGATATGACTCATTATTTTTATAGGTTCCAGGTACGCATACGACCACGACGCAGCGACGTATGACATATCTCATTTTCTTATTCATGAAGACTATTACAAAGACATGCCGTTTGCATGCGATATTGCTTTAATTTTTGTTACAAGTCCGATAAAATTCGGAAAGAGGTCCCAAAAAGCTCTCCTTGTTAATACAAACTTATGGATGAATGCCAATGAGACACACTTTGTTGCGACTGGCTGGGGTAAAATTAAGGTACTATTGTTTATATTTTTACAGACAAAATTTATATATATTAAACTTTCCAAAAACAAATTCACAGACAGTAGCGGAATTTTCATCTGTAGACGATCATTTTTTACGAGTTGTGGACATTTACTGTGAAATCCCGTTTTCGCTCGCAGGGCATAGGACGAACATATTTTTGTATCCGTTTCACTCAGCGGTTTTATTTTCAGGCATGTACTGGATCAGACTTCTGTGCTATGAACGACCCAAACATCCTATTGTTTCCCCGGGATTCGAACCCAGGAGATCTCGCGCTTAACACAATTTAGATATAAACGTTAAGGATTGCTTTATCGCTAGTGATAACTAGCATTAAAGTATGCAATGTATTTTTCGAGGCAAGGTTGCACTACCTGCTTTTAAACACCGATTTAGCAATGGTAAGTCTTGTAAATGTCCCTTGAATTAATTCCAAACATCGGATTAACATTTTCGGCAACTTGGGAATCGGACCCTACTTATGTGCGGTAGTGGTGTAACCATAAGGCAGTCGACACTTATTGTATAACTAACTGAGTTATTAAAATTAACATTTTAAGTACGACGGGCCGATATCCGAGCTGGGGTTGATGCAGACAGAGCTACGCTACGTGCCTAAGAAGGACTGTGAGAAGATGCATAAAATGAAATTCACCTCAGACATGTTTTGTTTGTACGGCGAGGGGGACCGAGACACGTGCAAGGGAGATTCGGGAGGGGGCGTACTGTGGCACAGGTACTGAATTTCGATAGCGGGTTTTCTTACACAATTTTCCTTATATGGAAATATTTTTATATCTTAATTACATTCACGTGGTTCACTAACTAGTCATATAACATTCATGGTTCAGTATTCGCCTTTTTGTTATTCATTGAAGGAAATCCTAAATTATATTTATTAGGTAGTGATACATAAAAGGTTATATTATATACCTAAATAATATGTCTGAAAATTATCGTCATTTAAAATGTTAATGTTAAAAACTTATATTATAGAAGTATAAATTTTTTCAGGATGGTTATAGGTATAGTGTCACATGGCGATGGCTGTGCTAAGAAAGATAAGCCGAGCATATACGCAAACGTGTGGTACTTCAGAAAATGGATACAGAAAAATGTAGAAAATTTTATAACGGAGTATTGTTACAAAAGGAACACGACCTACACAATATAAAAATCCTTTATTATACGTGTCAATTACTAGTTGTCAAATTTGTTGTAATGTGTAAGCCAGAACGCCTAAAAGTGTACTCAGGAATAAATGTTTTTTGTTTGGTTGGCAATAACATATTGGATAATTTCTGTTGATCAACTAATGCAAATTAATACTGTCCAGACAACAGTGTGTCTGGTCTCTTGTCCCACGGTTGGCAGGTCTGTCTCATACTAAGGTTAGAGAACCTAGTTTCACCCGGTGCCAGACAGTCGGCACTGATTTAGTGATGATATCAAAGCGTCCTGATGGTCTAACACGTACTAGAAAAAAAGTAAATTGTGTAAGGCTTTCACGGCCATCGTTCAGCATATCATTGTCTTTCGGGCTGTTCGACCTCTTCTCGCTCACATCGGCCGAACAGCCCGAAAGACAATGATATGTAGAAAATAGATATTTATATAATAATTACAAAAATGTTTTTGTAATTTCGCCTGTCCCGTGCTCCGAATCCTGAATCTGCTCGCACTAACTACGTAACCAACTAGGCAACGATGGTGGTCCTGAATATTGATAAAAGGAGGTATGCAGATACCGGTAAGAATTCAACTGCAATATTTATTTAGGATGCAGTCATTTGTATATGGAAATACTTAACTTTCACATTTCAATATCCTTATCAGCGCACACACTGTTATCGCTTATCAGTTATCACCTCGTACTATTATTTTATTGATTTATCATTCTACTACAAAATTGTGTAGCATTTTCAGTATTATAAAATAATCAAACACAGATTTGAGATTAAAACTTTTTCAATAGAAGACAATCAAGTCTGTCTGTAGTTTACGCAAGTAGTACACATTTAAATAAAATACTTATAACAATGTAAAACGCAATATGTATTAGTTAACTTATTAACTGACATTTCGGATGCTTGGACCAGCCGTTATGATCATGCCCCCCATGACCATTGTTTTATTTTAAGATTTTATTAAGATTCTGGAAATTCCATAGATGACATTAGGTAGTAGTCATTGGTTTCCGCTACAGAACAATACTTCTTTAAATACATGTCTGTGTTAAGTTTAATCCACCTGCATTCAAGATATAATTACTATATTAATTTAAATTAATTAAACTTTTAATCTCATCTCTTACTGGGAGGCGTCAATCAAAAACATCTTTATGTTCTATCTATGATCAATTTTATTTCCAGGCATGTACTTAATTGGTGCGAAATTCTGTGCCATACCTTACCGAAACATTTTTCCCTGGTATTCGAACGCTGGACCTCTAGTATTTAACATAATGCTTGACATCGTAAACCATTTAGATAGAGAGTTACTTCTTAAGAAAATTTACAGAGTAAACTCTATATAATGTTTTAATGCGTAGTTGTCGTTAAATAATAAAATAAGTAACGAAGGTTAATATTTGATATGAATCACACATTTTACTTGAATGTAAAAAGGGGGATATTTCATTTAACTCTTTCTCTATAACCACTGCATTAGTCGCATTGCAGAGACGAAATTTGGTTCTGCAGTCTGATTGATTATATTTGGCGTGCAGTATTGAGCAAAAACTATAAGCAAACGGTACTATGTGCATATACATATATGTGCATTCGTCCGCGTGGAATAGTGACTTGGGGTAGAATTTTTAAATATTTAGGCCGTTTATTAATTTATGTAAGGGCGCATTTAAGGCAGCCAATCTATGTTGTAAGTGCTACTTTGCCGCAACACTTCGACTCTCACCTCACGTCACTCCTGCTCTAACTGGCACTCTCAATCTTACACTCACTCCCACTCCCATTCCTATGCCCAAAAAGTCAAAGAAGAAAGTTTCATCGTTCTAGCTTCAAAAACCACGAATTTCCATACAAACTTTCATCCCCTTTTTCAACCCCTATCAATCCTTTTTTTGGCATTAAAAGTAGCCTATGCCCTTTCTATGTAGAAAATTTCAATTACATCGGTTCAGTAGTTTCCGAGTTAAAGCCGGACAGACAGACCGACAGATAGAGTTACTTTCGCATTTATAATATTAGTATAGATATAATTTAACATTTGTAATTTATAAAATATCTGATAAAATGTTTAAAATTTCTATTTAAAGTTATGTGTATTTAAGTTTTGTAACATAATAACATATGATCAAATCTTATCTTATGTAAATAAATGCAGAATTGAAATGCATTATTTACATTAACATAACAAGTTATATATTTGATCCAAAATTACACATTTTATCGTTGACAGTTTGCAAAGCCTTTAGATATCTTTGTTATCTGTATTTTTTAGGCTTTATAGAATTAAAAACCTTTAATATTTTTTACATGTATTGCATGTATGGCGTTATAGAAATTAAAAATTGATTCTATATAAAAAAAATAAGACACGGACAGGACTTGAACCGGCTTGACTCGTTCCGTGCTATTGCTCTAACCACACGGTAGGTCAATTAGTCGATTTTTCATTTTGCTAAAATGTATTTTAAGTGATGGAGATTAAGAGGGATACGAGTTGTTTCATTTTAAAGTAAGCGATAATATTGAAATAATAAAAAAAATCTCTAATGAACTAAAACGTTAAGATTAAGTTAAGTTTTAGCATCTAAGAAACTACTTATTCTAGTCAAGTCACGTTAGCTAAAATACTTATTAACTTACGTACTTATTAAAGTAGGAGACGTTGGTAAGTACAGCGAAGTTAGGCAAGGAACTGGTTATTCCACCTGCAGACAGTATCCCCACTAATGTCTTGTTGTATGAAGCACTGCCGCCATTGTCGCTTAGTTTTCGGTGCTTAAAAAACAAACTTATAACATGGAATAATTAGTATTAATATATACATCTATCATGCAGTTTTTTGGAATGCGAAGAAGGCGGCCTCTACATATTAAATAAGGGATTGTCCATTAATCACGTGACTTTTTTTAGAATTTTTAAACCCCCCCTCCCCCCATTGATGATACCTAGTGAGGTTTAAGACCACCCCCCTCCCCCTTCTCAACATCACGTGTATTTTTAGCAGACCTACAAAGAATCTTAAAATTTTCTAAATATTATCTTAATATAAATACATGTATAAACTATAATCTTATTTTATTCTGAAATTAAGGTACCATAATAAAAATATCTACACCAATTGTTTAAAAAAACGCGCGTTTGGCGAAAAAATAAATACATGAGATATCTTACTACACCCCCCTCCCCTCTTGTGTTATTTTCGTGATTTTTATTAAACCAACCCCCCCCTTCAAGCCTTACGTGATTAATGGACAACCCCTAACTAGAATCTTTAAAACACTAGACCCAAAAAAAAACGTCGTACCGAGAATTAAGAGGATACCGTGGGTCAGTTCAGTTCCGTTCTCGTTTCTGCAAATACTACCTACGACGAAACAGATGGCGGTAACGTAGCAGACTAGACCCTCCATATTCAGTTCCCCCGTGACCTCAGCTGATGTAAAGCATCCGAACGTCGGGCTGTAGTTAAAGCGTCTAATATTTCGCGTTTTAAACCATTAAAATTATTTCATTTAAATGAGTACTATTCGCGTAAACTACAGACAATACTTAAACTGATAATTTACATCAGCTGTGGTCACATTACAGGGGAGAGGGGAGAATAATTATAAAAAAAAAACTATGGACATTCACAATAAAAAGCTTGACGTTATCACGTACAACACATTGTGTCTAATATTAATATTTTTATTCAAAAGATTTATATTTTATTTCCTTATTACGTATATGAAGTGTCTAAAATACACATCTCGAAAAATGATATAGGTAACAATATTTGTAATCATTCATCAAACATATTTTGTCGGCCTTGATACAAAAAAATATATCAACATAGATATTATCAAACGAACGTAACACCTTAATATTGTGCTGTTTTATCTCAATTCAATATTTTTCTTATCAATGGCCTCCAAGAGGTTGTTATACATATAATTCGGTAGCTTTAGCTTGATAAACTTACAGGATTAAATCTGACACAAAAATTGGAAGGTGTTATCAAACGTCCATAATAAGCTGCACATTCCATTTTGTCGATGACCGCCATTTCGGAACACAACGGCATATTTTGGTACTTTACTGCTTTCTCCTATATCGAAAAATAAAACGAACAGTTGTAGGAGTAATTAAATTTTCTATAAATTTATTTAAGAGTAAATTCATAAACAAGTCACTTATTAAAAGATATATTATGGTCAGCAGCTGATCCGTTCCTATTATATTTAAATTAATATAATTGGTTGCTACATACATTTAAAATATGAAGTGCCATCTACTAATATCTCTACTAAAACTCGACGCTGCTTTTGCAAACTTTATCGTGTCTTGTTAATTTAAGTCCTTCTTGGTAGTTATAAAAGATAGATGGCGCTTTTTTCTAATTTCCTAAAGCATTAACCAAAAAGTATTGTAGTCTTTTTATTTGTATTAGTTTTGTATTTTAATAATTTTTAAGGTAAAATAACGTACCGATCCACCCCAACCATAAACATGTAAAGGGGTGTTAAGACGTAAAGCTACATCCGGGTCCAGCAAAACAATCTTCTCAACATTACCATCATTGAAATCTACGTTTTCCTAAAAATTAATATTTCTGAATATTTATCATTAAAAACCGTGTATGATAGTGTAAAAGTGGGTATATTTACATAGTCAAGGACGATAGATAGTCGATAAGAGAGCCTGATATCCGCGTGGTTCTCAACGACCCATAAGGCGCTGGTACGATAACACCCAATATTTAAAGACAGAATGATTATGCAAGAAAAAATCTTCGGAGAAGTCTCTATTTTTATTTAACTTTTTCACCAAGGAGATGAAGAATCAATTCGATTCGTATATAAATAATATACCTATTTCAGTAAATAATAAAGCTTTTTCTTTTAAATATTTATCATGAGTAAGTTGATATCAATTTGAAACTGGTTTCGGGAATAGTTACGAACGTCAGTCAAACAAGACTTCAATGTATAATAAAATTGTTTGAACTAAAATGGAGCCGGAAATTGAATTCTGATATGAACATGAATGCAACGAAAGATTAAGCCAGCTTAGGTGTACATTAAGCCCTTTAAGAATAGTGCTTATAGTAAGAAAGAAAAAGACTATATTAATGTTTTTAATGTAGAGGAGGCAATAAACATGGGTCACTATGGTAGGTGATTTTTTTTTTTTTTTTTTACTGGGGAAATATTTCGGATACCCACCCACAGAAGGAGCAATGGTAGGTATATACCCCACCAATAACATCGAAACAAATGCGCTGTGAACTATTATGACTTTAGGTATTCGGGAATCCACAACTGAATCCGCAACCATTAAGCTTTACGGATTTTTAATCTGTGGACAGTGGTTCGCGACCCGAACGGAATTTCTATATTCCTCTTCCATCATTTAATTAAATACTGTCTATAGTTTACGCGAGTAGTACTCATTTAAATAAAACACTTTAACGGTTTAAAACGCGATATATTAGTTAAACTTATTTGGAAATGATTTTTAACTTCGGCCCGACGTTTCGGATGCTTTGCAGCAGCCGTCGTCGGGCCGAATCCGAAACGTCGGGCCGAAGTTAAAAATCATTTCCAAATAAGTTTAACTAATATATCGCGTTTTAAACCGTTAAAGTGTTTTATTTAAACACCCATTTAATATCCAGAATTCAAGTCCAACATGTATCAGAAAAAATATAAATTAATAAAATAAAAACACGTTGGACCCGATGAGGATCGAACCAACGACCCGTTGATTATTAGCCAGACTTTGAAACCTTTAAACCAAAAAGCCCGTCAAATAAAACTATAAAGTTAAAATTACCATATGCATAATTAAACTAAAACACAAGAAAAGAACTTAAACTTATCGCTAAATATCGGTTCTACTTTGCAGATAGTGTCGGCATTTTACCTTGAGATTAATTTTCTGATACTAACTATATTAACCTAATCTAACAGATTGGGTAACTAGAAAAATACTAACATACTCACAGACGTTCTGTTGTATAGGTAAAAACTATTTCGTAAATACTTAATACTATAATAAGTAAACACTACCTTTAAAACCAGCATAGCGATATCGTTGTCAATTCGGCTCAGGTGTTGAAAGTATTCGTGCATCTTAAACTCGACAACTGATATTATTTGCCTGTAAAAAAACAGCTCGTAAGTGTTTACTCCAAATATTAAAAGTTAAAAAACATACTAGGTTGACAGCACAAAATTAGCTGGGTTATTGCATTTTCTAGTGAACCATATGCTTGTCTGTGCTCTTCGGGCATGAAAATATTGAATATTCATAAATCACGTATTCCTTAACAGCAAAAAATCACAAACATAATATTTGAAGTCGCGCAGCGTTCCATTTCATGTTATGGATCAAGAGAAAGAATTAATAACACTCGGCAAACTTTCTCCGTTATTGGATAAGGGCCAAACTTTGAACAGGTATTACGAACTGTAGATTGAAAAAACCTTTCTAATATAGGTATTGTGTTATATATTTATCACTAGTTTTTGTTTACGACTTCGTTGGCGTGAAGACTTGATAAATACTAAGGGCAAATACATTTCTTACTAATAAAGAAAGGAATAATTTGGTTTTTTCCAAATCCCCCCCCCCCCAAGGGGAAGCCCGGGATTTTTTGGGGGGGTTTTTTTTTTTTAAAAAAAAAAAATTTAAATTCCAAAAAAAAAAAAATTTTTTCCCCCCCCCCCCCCCCCCCGGCGCGGGGGGCCCCAAAACCCCCAAAAAAAAAAATTTTTTTTTTAAAAATTTTTTTTTTTTTTGGTTTTTTTTTTTTTTTTTTTTTTTTTCCCCCTTTTCAACCCAAAACTGTTACTATAGCCTTGTATTTCATTGTTATTTTGCAAGGTATAATTGAATGTATATATAATATGCATATAACTGTATGCAGTATATACAGAATTAGCTATCAGAACGACCTACAGAATAGCTCTTGCCAACTTAAAACGCTTATAACTTAATAATGTTTTCCATAACCTTGAATGCGAAGGTCTCTTATTTACTTTTTAAAGTCACGCAACGCGCTATTGTCGGGCGAACGAGCGATTTAATTTAAATTTTAATGACGCGCATTTCCAAGGATTAACGTGAATAAAGCAGGGAAAACAATTACCCGTTTGCGGTCATTGATTCGGCACCAATTTTGATGGTAATCCCTTCACCTTTATAGTTAACGAAGCAGCTAGCAGCCGTGACCACGATCTTGCTAGCCGTTAAGCTACCAGAACAATACCACGTCCCATAAACTATTAACACGTGGTGGGGTACTTCAGTGACATTGGCTAACAGTTCACGTTCTAGGGTGGAGTAGGAATATGGAATGTGCCCGGAGTCTGGCAAGTAGCGATATGGCGACGTCTGACGTATTATGAATAAGTAATACACTATCCTGCAAGTAAACTTGGTTTAAATTGAAAACTTCTTGGTTGTATTCATAGCTGGAAGTTTCTCGTACAATAAATATTTTCCTATACTCGAAAGATATTGCGAAAAGAGACAATGTTCGAAGTTTGTTACAGTTATTATAAGACAGGTAGTGCCTAGTTTGGTATTACATTATCTATCCACGTGTACAAATAGAACACATTATTTTAGAATATTTGTTTGCATACGAATGTCAGTAGATTTAAATAAAATGCTTTGACGGTTTAAAACGCGATAATATCTAGTCGAACTTGTTTGAAAATTATTTATAACTCCCCACGGCCACGGTGACCACGGCCGCTCGTAGGTCGTAGTTAAAAATAATTTTCAAACATGTTTAACTAAAATTTATCGCGTTATAAACCGTTTCTAAACAGTGTCTAATTTAAATGTGTACTACTCGCGTAAACTATAGCCAGTATTTAATGTCAGTAGATATTAAATAAAATATTCTTTCCATATACTGGAAATATTTTTTTTCTAAAAGTGTGTATATAAGACAATCGTATTTGTTGATGTGTAATGTAAATATGTTAAATAAAGCGATAAATAAATAAATAAAAATAGAATCCGCAAATTATTGTATTACATTAGGCGTTATTTATCTTCCAAAAACCTCTTTTAAGTCTTAGTTGTTGAGATCGCAATAAACCGCGTATAGATCGCTTCCTTTCAAAATGGAACAAATATAACGTCTATCGTAGATATCTTATATTATATTGAATGAAAAGATTTGCTGCACAGATTGGCAGTCTTTATTCCAGAGTTTTATCTGGAGCGTAGTGATGTGACGATGTCGATAATAACAAGTATCGTAGTAATTTAATTTGAATTGCGAGCTCTTTATGCAGATTAATTTTATCTTATCGAATTTATAAAACACAATCTTAGGTGTGTTTGAGATTTTCATAATGTCCATGGTGATTGCTAGTGAGTGATTGTTTAGCCAGTTTTTCATGTTAATAGAGTAAAAATGACTTTGTTTTACCCACTATATAAAAAATCATACAAAACTAATTTTAAATTAAAACACTTACCACCACATTTGATAATCTAATAATCACTAAAAAATTGTAACTACGTAGGTTAGCATTACATAGAGTAACATACTGTTCTGTTTGAATATGAAAGCGATAAACCCGCCGATAAAATTCTCAATCATACTCGGTGGGTTTATAAGGTTAAGTCTCGTAAAAATATTTATGTTGCGTGTTACTTTTATATTTTTACACCGAAGATAATATCTTTAATATAATACGGTAAAACACAGTCTATAAAACCCCTTTCGTCAAAGAATACGAATACTTTTCAAGAATTACCTATATCAAAACTTTTACCCTCGTGTTTCGGGTTATACTCAGAAGTAGGATGTGGCGCGAACAAAACTACTATCTAGTTTACTAGTTCTATAGGTTGTTGGGCGTTATATCTAAAATCTTTGCTCACCTTTGTTTAACATTCTCGTCACGTTCGCGTAGGTAAAGAATGCAAAGTCATCTTCCAAAAGAAAATAGTATGTTGACTATGTTATGTACAATGTAGATTATATTATTTAAGTAACCAATATAATCATAGATATTTTAATAAAGTAATTTTAACCGTGTGAAACGCGAAATATATTAGTTAAATTATTTCCAATTTCATTTTACTATGGCCGAACGTGTCGGATGTTTTGCAGCAGCCGTGGTTACGTGGGGATGTATTTTGCGTTTTAAACCGTTGAAAGTTTTCTATTCAAATGTGTAGAACACGCGTAAACCACTACAATACAAGATTATTGATATAAAAACAGGTTTAATTAAGCGTATAAATGAACAAATTTTAATAGTTACCGTTTGTTTATTTAATAGTATAGTATATAATACGTTAGTCACTTTTATTCAAATGAAAACAACATTGAACTCCCTTAATAACTTTCGTTATGAGCGTGTATAGATTTCAAAAGGTTCAGAGTTTTTCTCCGCAAGGATCATTACTCCTCTCCCGCAGTGCACTTTGGCTTTAATTTGGTTCACCGTATCTCGAGTGCTTGAAACAAAAGTTTTTAAACAAAAGCCACGAGATTTTCGCGGTAGGTAATATAGAATGAATGAGAGCTTTTCATTCGTTCGAGCTTTGTGCACAGCGTTCGGATTTATTATCTTCAATAACTTGTTAATTTACCTTAATTACCCATCTTAATTGACCGAATCGTACTTTAACTAAAAAATAGCTTTATGTTAAGAGTAAGGGGTTCTGGGTTTGAATCTTGGAGCTACATTATTTTTATTCTAGTGACTAACTCATACTATACGAAATAAGTTAAAGTATTAGTAACCCAATGAACATTATTTAGATATGAAAAATGGATCAGTTTGACAAACAAATTATTTTAATTATTATACTTTCGTTCGGGCACGGCACAGTATGTTCGACTAATTATTCCTATACTTGCCTCCAAATTAAAAGGTTGAGAAGTGTAACAAAACAAACCACGACATCATGGTCTGAGGATATCTAAAGTTTATTCATTCAATCAAATTATCTAAACGCAACTTCTCTAAAAATGAATATTATAATATATTATCCATTTAAGTACACACTTTAACGGTTTAAAACGCGATATATATTAGTTAAACTTAATAAAATACTATTTCCATGACTGCGGCTGGTGCAAACCATCCGAAACGTCGGGCCGTAGCTAAAATAATTTTCGTATAACTTTAACTAATATATATCATGTTTTAAACCGTTAAAAGTATTCTATTTAAATGTCAGTATACATAACCCAATCACATATTGTGTTTGTACTATTACTTTGCAAGGAAAGAACAAAAGTCATTCTTTGAAGTTGCTCTTTACCCATCCGATGTCAAAATAGATTTTGTTTGTTATGGGCGAGTCGCTACGCGGACACTGTGGTTCGTAGCTTGCGGCAGTCACGCGAAGACCTTTGAGCGCTACGGTGCTACGGGATTCACTACGGTGGTTCTGCATCGGCTACGAGATGTGGACTTCGTGCCTTTTTTTGGCACTGTTCGTAACGGTTCAAGGACGAGCTGTAAGTAAAAAATATACGCTATTTTTAAATACTCTTACTTTTTCTCATATCATCTCCGTGATACAATGCTTAAACGCATTACCCAGCTTAGCTTTACCCACGGTAGACCCTAGGTTCAAAAACCTTTTTAGTCATGATGTCAATATATAAAAAAAATTCAAACAGAAAAAATACACAATGTCTGGTCCAAGATTACGTAGATGAGATTTTATCTTATTTTTATATGCTTTTGTATTTTGCTTAACATTTTAGACAACAAGAAGGCTGCTTTAAATAACAAAAACGTATTATCCCTCTTGGTTTAATAATGATAGACACCCTTTACCTTAAACATTCTATCCGGCTAATGGATTGATACAATAACGTATTAATTTAATTGAAATAATAGAATGTCTCAAAGGGCTTATATTACCCTCGTCTTCATAACAAACCTTGAAGGGGCTAGAATCAATTAATAGGGAAACGTAATTTCATATATATTTAATCAAAGTGTTATTGTAACTACACTACACTTTTAAAACCTTTACATTAGTTATCTACAGAAAAAATAATTATTATTTATTTTGGGAATGAAATACTCATTAAATTAACTTTCAACGTTCGCGATTATCATTTTTGTATAAATATACCAAGTTATATATATTTACTTGTATATATAGACATATAAACTTTTGAGATAATTAAATATCTAATATATTAAATATAATGAAGGTATATTTATGCATTAAATTTAAAAGGTTAAAAGTTATATTGCCTGATAGTAAGTATATTCAGTGCGATGATACTGGGAAAATTGAAGTCCAAACAACGTCTCTCAGTCCCGATATCGTCTTTTAAACGGAAATCCTGTTTTATAGAGGGTTCAGATGAAATCATAAAACAAAGAGATGAAATGGCTCCATTTTCTCAAATCTTAACATTTCCTTCGAAACTCTCAGTGATGTTCATTTGACACAAATTGAAACATTTGTAATGGAGGTACGACATTTGAAACGGAAGTTTATAAACAATTTACCCTTATTTAACTATTTCCACATTCGTTTGAAATTATTAACGTCCCACTAAATAAAAAGAAAATCATTAAATCAAAGTTGCAAACCATAAAACCATTAACTAAACCCAGTAGATATATATACTTATTTTACAGCTTAGCGTTTAGACCCACCACGCTGTTCCAGAGGAGCTTTAACGATTACATTTACTAAATAAAAATATATTACAATAGTGCGATGATTTCTGACAATATCTCCATATCAACCAAAATAATTCTTAGTCTATTAAGAAGACTATAATCGTAAAAGACACATTGATAATGTTAATCATGAGACTAATGCAGCAAATTAAAAAAAAATCGTTCTGCGTCGTTGATGTCATAAAAAATATTCAATTTTTTTTAATAAACACAGAGACGTGACTGAATTCTGTTTGTAAATTAAATCGCATTTGTTTGCTTTACTGAATGCAGATACAATAATTGGATTAACATATCAAAGCTTTCGAGTTAGGTCGAATGGATTTAATTAGAGGCAATTGAGTTATTGTTGGTCCATTAATTTGCTCTCTAGCATTGTTGCAAATAATGAGGTGTGATGCGTGAATAACGACGTAGATTGAGTTATTAATTTTTAACTATCTCGTTAGCTACTCAAAAGATCAGCCGCACAAGCATTAAGTTATGGTTTATTAACAGAATACTTCGAGTTTTAAACCGTCAAAAGTATTTTCTTTAAAGAGTGCCCCTCGCATAAGCACACACCTACAAAACAACATATTGTTATAGGAATTTCATATTATATTTTTCACGTAATTTCACATGATGGCACTAAATACTGTCTATAGTTTACGCGAGTAGTACACATTTAAATAAAACAGTTGAACGGTTTAAAACGCTATATATTAAGTTTCGTTTCGGCTCTCAAGGCATCAAACGTCGGGCCGAAGTTAAAAATCATTTTCAAATAAGTTTAACTAATATATTTCGTTTTAAACCGTTAAAGTGTTTTATTTAAATGTGTACTACTCGCGTAAACTATAGACAGTATTTTACATTTAACAAATTGATAGAAATGCCGAACAAAATCAGTACCGTGTTATCCAATTTACCATTTATAAATTTTTATTTGCAATAATATAATATAATATTCATGACTTTCTCAATGATGATTACTTTTTTAATTATTGAAATCGAACATTTATTCGAAAAGTTCGTCGTATTGGAAGGAGTCTTCTTCTGAAAATGATCGTCTGGAAAGTATTAGAGTGCAATAGAAAGGACGCGTCCCAATCGTGAGCCAGAGAATCTAGCGTCGAACGTTCTGTTCGTCTTGCCTAATAAAAAATGCAAGATTATCGCAGCTATACGAACGACAGTCAAGCGCTGAGCGTTCTCAGCGACTTGAAGGAAATTAAGGCAAAAGGAGATGGAAATTCGCGAACGCCTGCAAGGGAGAGACAGGCAACGGTCATTAACAGCTAGGCCTCGCAATACAAATTTTTTTCTAATTCAGTGTTTCATGGTCGTTTTAATTAGCATGCTTATAATTTAAATATCTGTATACCTATATATGTCTTACCCGTGCGAAGCCGGGACGGGCCGCTAGTATATAAATAAGGCAAACAAAGAAATAAACTCTTAAGCTTTATATAGATAACATTGTGACTAATACGTAAGAGACACGGAGCGTTAGTGATTTAGCGTAATTAGGTTCAATTAATCTTTCGTCCTCACAGCTTTCGTATAAGCAATTTATATTCAGAGGCAACTAGAATAATGTCCACAAAATCACTAAGAAAGTGGCGAGATTTTAACGAGGAAAGAACATCAACTTGTATATTATACACTTATGCTTATCATATACAGATATATCATCATATAACAATTTTTTTATATGAGTAAAGTTTTATATTAAGGTAGCTGCGTCAGCGACTTTGTCCGCGTAGAATGGTTATTTTTGGCATCCGAATTTTGTTTTAGCAAACGTCCTCCTCATCTTTATAAATTTATGCTGTTTCCTACGACGTCGTCGGTCGTTCTTGCACGTTAATCTGGAAAGATAGACATATAGTGTCACGGACATTTTTTTAGATAATTTAAAGAGAAAAAAATTTTCCATACATATTTTTTGATTATCTTGAACCGCTTTCGAGCGTGCGTATCGGAAACCCACAAAACGCCCCTATTAGTCATAGCGCAATGTTTTATAGCCGATAAATGTTTAAACAAACATAAAAATAATTTTCCAATTTCAAGTTCCTGAGTTTAACGCGTTCAAACAAACTCTTCAGCTTTATATATTTGATTATTAATTTTTATGTACAAAGAAAAAAATAGTTCCGTCTAAGTTTGCATTTCTCTAGTATAATTCTAATAAGTACATGAAACTAGACGAACAGATTTGTAGAACAATTCCAACTTTTATTAAACTTCGCGAACCCGTACCCACTCAGTTCATTAGTTCTCGGCGCTAGCGCATTCCGCTTCTAATTTTCCTCCCCTTTGTACGAAACTTGGTAGCTCGAGCTTTTGTAGTTGCGTATAAATTTGAATCGACTCTCCCGGAAGTTTTATACAATGATAATGTTTCTATTAATATTAAGTTTCTAATTACAAACTTCTACAATGAAATAACATTTAAGCCTTGTTTTTATCTACGGAAATGATGGCACCTTTTTTCTAAACATAATCTTTCGAATGTCTAAGTGAAGTATAAGTGTAGACTTACAGCTGTTTTATTGACCAGTTTTCCTAAAGAGTTAGTAGGTCAGTCGGTACCAAGTCTTCCCAATCAAAGTATACCTACATATGGCGTAGATCAAGAGCATTATTTTTGGTTTTAGTACAGTTTTTAATGAGCTCGTTCACGTTAGCAATGTATGGCTAAGAGTCAACAAATCGTGAGTTCGAACACCATCGGTTCACACGTTAGACTTAATCTGGAAAGTTGAATATTTTGGATGGAAGAATACATCAAAATTCCGCCTGGAGCTCCTAAAGATGAACTTCCTGTTTGTCTGTCCTCCAGTATAAAAAGGTACCAAGCCTTCCTAATCTGTCTGAAATACTGCTAGTATTCATAAAGTATTTTTGCAGGTGAACATAAGCAACACGTGGGTGCTGCCAGAAGAAGGGTTTCCTGTATTCTATCGCTACTTCAAGGATCGCATTTCTTGGTACGAAGCTGATGCAGTTTGCCAATTCCACCACGCCAACCTTGTAACAGGTACATTAAAAAATATATATATAAAAATATTACCGACGGAACTTCATTCCTTTGTGGTTCTTCTTGAAACAGTTATAATACAAATCGCAGTAAACGTGTTATGATTTAAGTTTTTTAAACCTTTAAAAAAATTGTCACAGAATTGTGTCTGTTCTATGCCTCTATAGGACATACGATATCCCACATGCATCCACCAGTAAAACTCTACTAAAATCGGAAAGATGTTTCAGGTATAATAAGACGCAACCAATTATAAACTTACTAATATTACTAATTGCTTATGATCTATATACATTTAATAAACCATGAAAATTATAGACAGACAGGACAATCATCTTATTTTGTATAGTTATTTGTGGGTATAAACATCCTGTTTCGAACAAAGAATATAAGAAGCACTTTCAACCAGAACAAGAAGCTTTCCGATGGAAATAATATTAAATGTAAAATAGAATGAGCTTTATACAAAGCAATTGTTTGTGGTACATAATGAGCTCTTAAAAGGAATGAAGACTATTGTTTCAGAAAAAATGGATTTCAGTCTCTAAAAGGTTTGTTTCACTGTACTTAGAATTTAATTGGATGAACTGCGTTTCGTAATTTGTGAGGGTAATAACTTGTTGCTAATGTTCTTTCACAATGCAAGGCATTGTGGTTACAAAGATATACTGGTACTAAGGGTTAACTAAAAAATTAAAACTCCTTTATATTATTATTAAGCTAAAATTTTAAATTGCATAAGTAATTCAATGACTTTTTTGAGTTTTGAAAACGTAATAACTGCTCTCTTGGGCTAGTATAGCACAGATTACTAGGTCAAGGGTTTAAATCTCTGGGCGGGAAAATAAATTAACTAAAACAAAGCATTTACCGCCTTCGTTGCGCAATGGCTACGTGTTATCCAACTTTTCAGCAAGCAGCGAGAAGTACTAAGTTAGAATCCACGGGAAACAATTTTTTTAAAGTTAGGTATAGAAGTCAAATAAATAAACGACAGTAAATAAATCGAAACAGATACATAAATATGTCTTAAATAGGGGATCGGGATTTCAATTTGTACAATCTGTACAAATATTAAATAGACGTCAAAATAATAACCACGTTGCAGGATACGTTTCCAGTGCGGATGATGTGGTTAGATTCTTCACCTCGACTGTCGTTCACGTCGAACTAGTTTCGGTTTTTATGCATTTTATTTTTATTTCAATTCCCTGACTCACGAGCGGTGAAATATTGGCATGCTTGATATTTCACATGTACACACAGTTTGCTTTAATTGAAATGAATGATTTGTTAACCTGAACATACACATGTTGTGTTCAGTTAACTGTTTGTGTCTATGTAATGTGTGTGTATGTGATTTCCCATTTTCTCTACGTCATGGGCCAGACACATTTTAGTGAACATTTCAATGATTAATTTACATGTAGCACCGATAGAAACGTTCCAAAACAAAACCAAACAAATATAGTTCTTCCAGATTTTTCACGAAATATCACGCGTATAGTTCTGTTTGCTTATCTGAAATAATGTAACATTCAAACCTACACATGTGTTTATGTTTTGGTCTTATTAGTCGTAGTTTTGTGATTTACTACTAAAGATCCCGAGTTTGAAGTCACTAACATAGTTTCAAAAATGCAAGCCACAAAAGTATGTTCAATTACTTGCCTGTAAAATCAATCGTTGAAACGGGAAAAATAATATGTCCACAACACGTGAAAACAGGATTTAACTTTTAAATAAAACACTGTAACAGCTTAAAACTCGATAGATATTATTTAAACATATTTGAAAATTATTTTAGCTACGGCCCGACGGCTCGAATGCTTTACAGCAGTCGTGGTCACGGGGAGAAAGGATTTTACTTATCTTGTATTTGGTTACACTTATATCTGTACATAATAGTCTCAAATTCGTGTTGTCTTTATAACTGTGAATTCAAATACTTAGTAAGTAGAGTAGCTGTGCAACAACATGCAATAAGACAAAGGTAAAAAAAATCTACCTGTTTATACATTCAAGCAATTAATGGTAGTTCGTTCTACACTGAAAGTACCAGGAACAAACCATTAGCTTAACCGAAACGAGCCGGTTTGAATTGCGTAATTGCTGTTAAACTGAATAAACAACAGCTTGCACTCAACTTTACTCATTAGCTGGAATTGTTTTGCACAAATGCATAAGCCATACGAAAAACTTAATTTAGAAAAAATAAGCTACCTAATTTGACCGGCTCGTTGGACCAGTAGTTATTATAGAGTTTTGGGGTTCAATTCGCATTGGGTTACTGAGCACTATGAGTGAGAATATCGAAATTATGTAAATCCCATCAAAAACATAAATGTAAAAAAAGGGGAGCCCAGTTCAGAACAAAAATTGTGCTTTGCTTCGCCGTAAAAAGAATGGAGATCTAAACAAGTACCAAATTCTATGCAAAATCCAAATATGTACTTCTGGGAACAAAATAATATTATGAACTAGTAATAAACTCTATTTTTTTTTGCTATATTGGATATGTAAATTCAATTCTAATAATGACTGGCCAAGATAGTTCGAGAGCGCATTTTAATTAAGATAAGGCTAGGGCAAGTCATCTTCTATCCAGTGCAAAAATGTTGCTTAAATATGATGTTTAAACATGAAGGATAAAATACAGCTGAGCCGTTGGGTATGATTTATAAGTACACCAGGGCGTCATAACAATAATAGGGGTTCAGCCTCAATGTCTCGTAAAACTGATTTTTGGCACGATAATCCTACCCTGTCATATAACATATGGTAATAAAGATATATACGATATATCGTACATGAAGCATTAATTCATCTTTATTTATATCAATAAAAATAAAATAAGTAAGCTATTGTGAATTGTAAGCATTGAAAATTCAAGTTAGACAGGCTTTTTGGTCTCATGGTATTTCACTAAAATAATTAGTCATCTAATTTAACACACAAAAAAGTTATACCTTTGTTAAATTAAAAAAAAACTTTAAACAAACAGTTTCATGAAACGCAGATATCCATCCAGCTTTCTCGTCTCTATGATCCACAGACATTTTTTTAAGAATACAGCTTTGAATGTCTTTCATAGTTATATAGCAATACTTCTTAATACATACTTCATGTTTTGTTATGGACGTCTTTAATCATTTCGCAACGCAAAATCCTTCACAGGAGACCTCCATTGTGAATGAAAACTTAAATTGGTTCTGACATTCCAGCGTAAGATTTATTACAAGTTTCAGAATTGTGTCAGATGAACAGAAACTCTGTGCCAACTTTTAAACTTGATAATTCCACGCGAGTAGGTTCGCTAATTTTATATATGACCTATTATTTCGCAGCTGATACAAATTTAAATAAAACAATTATAACGGTTTTAAACATGAAATCATTAAAAATCGTGCCAGCAAAGGATCCAACATAAACTCAAATAAATAAATATAATTCACCTATTATTAAAATTAAAAAAATAACGTGTAATACAAGTTGCACACAAGAACTAAATTCATTTTATAACTAAAAATATGTATACATGAATATAAAATAGACAATTGCAACTTGTAAACAGGACCCACTCAGCATAATGTTACGAACACGGTCGTGTTGCAACACTGACATTTTATTAGCCTTTGGTTGAAAAGTACTTGTTGTGCCGACAGTTTGAACTAAAAACTACAACTTATACGATGAAAAAATCCTATTTTGCTACAAACATATAGGTCGGTAGGTACTTACTAAACTAAGAACACGTATTGGTGAAATTTACAAAACGTATCTCACTAAGATATAAACAAGACCCTTTTAACACATATTATAATATACACTAAATCAGATCGAACTCAAAGAGTCTTCCAAGTTCCAAGATCTTTTGTGTCCTTCACTACGAAGTTGGTTCCGGCCTAGTCTCTTAAAGAATTCCTCAAGTTTAAGTAGCTTATTCAAGTCACGATTGAGTTTTCTTAAGTACACGAGACACGGGCACAGACTATAAAAATAACAGCACCTTCTAAAAATAATAACTTAGTAATTTTTGGAACATGGATCAGAAACGTTCGCTGTTTCACTATTTATTTTTTCATAGGGTAATTGTTAAATACTGTCTACAGTGTACGCGAGTATTAATTAAATGTGAACCATTAAATTAATACGCTTTAACGGTTTAAAACATGATATATATTAGTTAAGCTAATTTGAAAATTATTTCAACTACGGCCCGACGTTTCAAGGCCATAGTTCTGAGGGTAATTGTTGTCTTCTGTGGTTGAAACATGTTTTTCTGGGATTTGAACCTCGACAGGTTAAGTGAGTGGGGCAGTAAAAGAATATTATTTTGCAAAATATAATAATTATGTAAATCGAGGTGTGATATTAACAAACGGACTGTCGATGCCAGTTCGAACCCCGCTCGCGTTGTCAGTTTTTTTAAACCCTCTTTTCAAATATTTTTTAATTATAAAGACAAGAAGAAGTAACATGTGAAAATAATAAAACTTTCAAAGTACTGCTAATAGTATAAAAGTCTCTTACAGTTAAGTAGATTATGTTAAGCAAATTGAAGTTATAAGAGTTACCTGAATTGAAACTAATTGCTGCTAATGGCGAAAAGCTTTTATTATGATTACAAAGATAAGATGAAAGAGATAAAACTTTGTTTATATCGGGCGCGCTGTGTACATCTACTTAATTAAAATTAAGGTTGTTTTGCTAAACAAGCCTTAGGTATTAACAATACACAATACCTACTTCAAGGGTCTTGTTACGTATCTGGCTGTTAATATTTGTAAAAAAATATTTTTATTACTAGCTGTGCCCGCGACTTCGTCCGCGTGGAATAGTGACTTCAGAATTTTTAATTATTCAGAATGTTTATTAATTTATGTAAGAGCGTATTTAATGCAACTTATCCATGTTGCAAGTGCTACTTTGCCGCAACACTCTCACCTCACATCACTCCAACTCTAACTTCCACTCTCACCCCCATTCCCAAAAAGCCA